CAGGCGGAGGTACCTGCACGTGCTCCTGCCCTTGTCCTGGAGGATCCTCAGTTCCAGGTGACAACGGACCACAAGGCGACGGTGGATCAGACCCAGGTGCGACTCCAACTCCGCCACCACAGCCTACTTCACAACCATCTCTGTTCCCCTCTCCCAGCTCGCGCACACCGTCTCGCACCCCATCACGGACTAAACAATTCCCCCCAGGAAAACCCACAAGTACTACCGCACCTGGAAGGCAAGCTCAGGTCGCACGGAACGCTGGGTCACCCCCGAAGACAACAACAACTACAACAGACCTAGGGATCACTGACTCGAGGGGTGGTAGAACTCATGATAGGGATCACACCGTACCCGGTTGGACAACCTTGACAAAGGGCGGGCATGACAATACCAAATATAACACCAAGATGAAGAGGGCCGTTTCCGGTGAAAGTGCGGCAGCATCTGCTCCAACAGTTAGTTCAGCGAATGCTGCAAACGTGGTAAGTCTGGGCATTGGATATACAACCCCTTCCGGGGAGCAGAAAGGCCAGACAACGACAGATGTCGACAACACGTTCACCCTTCCAACTGTGCCGGCCAGCAAACCTGCCGCAATAGATCCCACCGTATACGATCCATACAAACCAGCTCCAACACCTACTCCCGGAAAAGCTGATCCAGGAAGCTCCAACGACTATCCGAGCCAGGGCAACAATGATCCCTCCAAGAATGGAGGACTTCCGGTGGCACCATCAACTGGGCAGAATGGTCAGAACGGCAATGCTGCTGTCGGGGTAGACCCAGCAATCGGAAACGCTGATCCCGGTAGAAATCAGCTCAACGACCAGTACAACAATGGAAGGCCTCCGGTGACCCTATCGCCATTGCCCGTACCAGTTCCAGCTCCGGCTCCTACTCTTGCGCCAGGAGGAGGCTACAGGCACTATGCTGACAGCAACGGCTACCAGTATTATGATGATGACGATGACGATGATGATGATGATGACGACGACGATGATGATGATGATGGTGATGGTGATGATCACCATAATGGGTATGACAATAACTATAGAGGTTCCTCCGGCGGATACGCGAACCCACACCCTGACTCCAGCGGCCAAGATCCCCCGATCAGAGGAAATGGCAATAACGGCGCGGGAAGGCCAAACTATAGCCGACCCATCATCACGCTCCCGTCCAGTAGCGCAGCGACACCGTCGTCTACGCCCCACAGCTCGACTGTGTTCTCGTCCACCGTCACTCCTGGAGAACCTGGGCGGTATCGCTTCTTCTTCTAGTGGCATATACTGGGCATAGTCGTTGAACTGCACATCATTGCGGATCGAATAGTGGGAGGAGTAGTACAAAAGGGGCGAAGAGTTACCATGGAAAGAACGTCGAGACTGTCAGTGTTGTAATTTTGTGTTTATTTCTATTTCGCCTGGCTAGGATACTGGCTACTGCGAGTGTGCCCTACTTATAATATAACTGGTAGGTGGTGGGATTGGGGATCGGGTAGGGACGTGTAGCTAGGTTCTCAGCTTGGTATTAGCTTTACTTAATGCTTAGGGAACGAAGGTTGTTTCTACGAACTCGGATACTACGTGTAAGGAAGAGATGGAGGACTGTTAAGATCTGGTTCCCCTCTTGAACTTCACCAACTTTACGATGAACATTATTCCGAAATACTGGAAAGGCCTTGGATGAGGATCTATGATGGAAATAGAATGCTTTGCAATTGTGATGTAGTAAGCCCCTCCCCAAACCAAGGTGTATGTAGTAATGTCTGATCAATCGATATGCGAGAGAAACGAAAATTAAATCAAGAATTAAGTACAATACAAGTAGGAATCGAACAGAGAAAAAGAGGAAAAGGGGGGTTAGAGAGAAGGTCTCGAGAAGCGAGTTAACCGAGGGGCCGACAACATGCAAGTCATATGGAAGGGACATCCGTAGTAAACATAATATGATATGATAGGAAGTATGGTATGCTTCCAGGGTTGCTGATTCCACCAGAATTTTGCTTCTCGCTCTGTCTGCTAGAATGTAAGGAAAAAGAGGCTTGAGGTATTCGAGTCGAAATTCATAAGAGGGTTTCCTCCCTGCCGAAATTGTTTCATGCGCCAAAGAACACCATTACACCAGGAATTTAACTGGCACTGCACTGCATGTAGAACTGCCGAAATCACAACATGATATACTATGTAAAAGAGGCCCGATAGACTGTCGAGGCTGCTGCCTGAGAGAAGAATATGCAAAAAAATGGACAGCGGGTGACCGAGAAAGACTGAGAAAAGTCTGGGGTGTTGGTAGGTAGGAATGGTGGAGAGAATGCTTTTCCGAGAGAAAAAGACTGAGAGGGTAAGAAAGGTACGATGAGATGACTGGGCCGAGCGAAGTCACAGTCCTCAAAAGAGCAGTTCTTACACATGCAAAGAACAGAATGGGGTATATAAGATCTGTAACGACGGTACTCGCAAAGACCGAGCAGAGCAAAGGGCAAGAGAAGATTCCGAGAACCCGCCTCACGAGCTATTAGATCGCAGCAAAGCCTGCTAGACTAATTAGCTTGCGCAGGCACGGTCTTGAGGGCTTAGAATCTTACCCTATCCAGGGAGAGTTGGTCGCTGCTCTCAGTATTCGGGCTTGCCAGACTGTGATTCGTAGCGCTAGTCGAGGTGATTGATCGGGTTTCCATACCAGGGCGTTGTGATTTGCCTTCTGGCCCTGTGTGGACATGATGCATCTCTCCACTGCTTGAAATGCGAGACTCTTTGCTCTTCTCCAAAAGCGAACCGCCGAGGGTAGCACATTTGAGAATGGTCTGCATCATCTGGTTTTGCTTCAGTGGCTTGGACAAGTATTCGTCCATCTGAGCCTGTATACACTTCTCGCGATCACCCAACATGGCGTGCGCTGTAAGGGCGATGATTGGTGTTCTGCTCAGGCCGCTATCCTTTTCGTACTCGCGAATCTTACCCGTGGCCTCGAAACCACCCATGACTGGCATTTGGACGTCCATAAGAATGACATCGTACCGGCGTTGTTTGACAGCGTCAACAGCTTCCTGACCGTTGCTGACAACAGAGACATTATGGTTGTGCTTCTCGAGTATCTTGACAGCAAGCTTCTGATTGACGTCGTTGTCCTCGGCAAGTAGAATGTCAAAGGAGCGTGAGTGGTCCGTAGTGATTGGCGTGGATCGCCCTTCAAGTGCTGGCAGCATACCATTGCCTAGATCAATCGGCTGGCATGGTGTCGTCATGTAGGAGCTGATTCCAAGATCCAGGGCTGACTTGAGGCTGACACAGACAAGGGGGCAGACTAGTACGATAGGAACGTATTTGAAGTCATCGTACGTCCGCAGCATTCGAGCAGTGTTTACAGAATCCACAATAATCACATCATATGCATGACCTGACTCCTTGCCAGAGGGGTCTTGGATCTCTGGTGGCGGGACATGATCTTCATTACGGACGACCAAGGGTTCCAAATCGAGCTTCTTCAGCATCTTCAGAACATTTTCTGCCTCGTTGGCATTCTCTCCTTTGTCGATGAAGAGAACGCGGTGATTCTTGTATGGCAAAAGTTGAGACGCGATGACGTTCAGTGACTGATCTGCCAATTTGACGACGCAGGTGAAATGGAATGTGCTGCCGTGGCCATATTCCGAAGTGACCCAGACGTCACCGCCCATGAGGTTAACCAGGCGTTTCGAAATGGAGAGTCCAAGGCCAGTACCACCAAACCTTCGCGTGGTTGATCCATCCGCCTGCTGGAACGTATCGAAGATCAGATCCAGTTTGTCCTCCTCGATGCCAATTCCTGTATCAGAAACGGAAAACTCAAATGCGTACTCATCCGCCGCACATTGCTCACGGTCTGATTTGCAGATTGTAAGCTTGACCTCGCCATGTTCGGTAAATTTGATGGCATTGCCAACCAAGTTCAAGATGATCTGTCGAAGACGGAACGGATCACCAATGACGTAGTCGGGAACGGTGTTGTCGACTTGGTATGTCAAACTCAGGAACTTTTCATTGGCCTTAACGGCTAACGTCTTGAGGGCGTTGAAGACCGTGCCGCGAACAGTGAATGGAATGCTTTCAATCACCATACGGTTTGCTTCGATCTTCGAGATGTCGAGAATGTCGTCAATAATCGTTAATAAGCTGTTTGCCAAGTTATGCACGACGTTCAACATTTCTCTAGTATAAGGCTTGAGGTCGTCCGTGTCCAGGGTTAGTTGCGTCATGCCGATAATACCATTCATCGGGGTTCGAATTTCGTGACTCATGTTGGCCAGGAACTCCGACTTTGTACGGTTGGCCAATTCAGCTGCCTCCCTGGCAGCAGTGTTTCGTTGAATACTGTCCCGGAGATTTGACACCATCTTGTTGATCTTGCGTTTCAATTCGTCCATTTCACCCGAGGCATTGACAGTAATGAGTTTCGTAAAGTCGCCGTCGGTTGCAGCATCTGTGATCTCGCCAAAAGCGCGCACCTGCGATGTAAGGTTTTCGGCCATGGTGTTGACGTCCTCTGTGATTTCCTTCCATGTCCCAGCAATTCCTTCCACGTTGGCTTGGCCACCCATCTTACCATCAACACCGACATCGCGCGCCACTTTTTTCAATTCGGTTGCGAATTTAGCCAAACGGTCCACCATGTGGTTGATGGTCACCTTGAGAGTCAAGATCTCTCCTTGGGCATGCACTTCAATCTTCTTGCTTAGGTCACCCTTTGCAATAGCTTGCGTAACGTCGGATATACTTCGGACTTGCGAGGTCAAATTCTGAGCCATGGTGTTGACATTGTCAGTGAGATCCTTCCATTTTCCTTCCACATTGTCCACCTTGGCTTGGCCGCCAAGGGTACCATCAGTACCGACCTCCCTGGCGACTTTGCTAACTTCGAACGCGAACGTATTCAGCCGGTCCACCATGCCGTTAATGGTGCTCTTGAGATCGAGTATTTCACCTTGAACATTGGCCGTAACTTTTTTGCTCAAATCACCCTTGGCTACAGCAGTGGTAACGTCTGCGATTTCTCTGACTTGGGTGGTCAGATTGTTCGCCATCCGGTTCACATTTTCGGTCAGATCCTTCCATGTGCCTTCCACATCATTCACAGTAGCTTGACCACCGAGTACACCATCTGTACCGACCTCTTTAGCAATTTTCGTCACCTCCTGGGCGAATTGACGGAGTTGGTCAACCATGGAATTGATGATGTTCTTGAGCTCGGCAATTTCACCCTTGCAGTTGGCCTGGACTTTCTGGGTAAGATCACCCTTGGCGACCGCTTTGGTAACTGTTGCAATATCGCGCACTTGCGTCGTTAAATTGTTCGCCATTGCGTTCACATTGACCGTCAATTCGTTCCACATGCCTTGTACGCCTTCGATTTGAGCCTGACCACCAAGAACACCCTCCGTTCCGACATCACGAGCTACCCGCGTGACCTCTGTAGCAAATGTCCGAAGTTGATCCACCATGGTGTTGATCGTCTGTTGAAGTTCGAGGATTTCTCCCTGGGCTCGGCTCTCAATTTTTTGGCTCAGATCACCGTGGGCGACGGCTGTTGTGACCACAGCGATTTCACGCACTTGGTCCGTGAGATTTTTAGCCATGATGTTGACGTTTTCTGTAAGTTCCTTCCAGATTCCATGGACACCAGTGATTTGAGCCTGGCCACCTAGTATACCTTCCGTTCCTACCTCACGAGCGACGCGGGACACTTCGCTACCGAAGACTTGGAGTTGATCCATCATGGTGTTGATTGTTCGTTTGAACGTCGCGATTTCGGGGTCCATCTCCAAAGGATGAATTTGCACCTTCATTGACAGGTCTCCGTTCGCGACTTGTGTAATGATGCCACCAATCTCTCGTAAAGCCTTCTGGAAAGCCTCGTTCGCTTGTTGATGTTTGCGCAGTTCCCGCTCTAAGAGAACCACATCCTCGTTCTCCACCTTGGTGAGAGCCCGCCGAGTTTGTTCCTCCTGCTGCTGTAGCTCCTCGCGAACCTGAGATATGATATCCTTCTGGAAGCTTATTTCTTCCGCTTGCTTCTGAACATGGTTCCGTAGTATACTGATATCTTCCTCCCGTACTAATCGACTGGCGGATCCATCTTCATCTTCGTCGCTCTCTTCCAGATCACTTTCCTCGACGACTTCCGGGGCTGCATCGTTGGAGGGTTTTCTTCGTTTATGAGCGTGTGTTGCTGTGTGATTCTGCTGCTGGACCTTAAACCATGTTAGAAGAGCGATGGCAAGGACGGCAAGGAAGCCCGATGCCGATGAGGGACTTACAGTTTGAATTTCTAATCGATGAATCCGACGAACCAACGCCTCTAGCTCATTTTCGAACGCGACCTTTGCTAAGCTAGGATCGCCTGGCAACTTGGGGATCTTTGTGTCGGCACCATTTGTGGAGTGCGGGGAAAAGTTGAAGTCGAAGGAGGGAGATCCAGACGAAGGGGCTTCTCTGGCGAGATTCTGTAGGATGGCAGCAGCGGCCGTGAGCGTGTCGTCCACGCAAGCCATTTTGCCCTAAAAGACTCTGTTAAAAGTTCGAACGCATCAAGAAAGGACGTCGCGAGGTGGAAAAGTCCGAGTCGAGGGTTGGTCGTGCAGAGATGACAAATGGTCCGTGTGATGGGCAACGGGCAGGGAACCAAGATTTGGGGTCCGTCGCACGGAAGCTAGAACAGGGGAGCAGGGAGAAAAAGATGTGGAACAGCAAAAGTCTAATAAGGCGGGCAAGAATATAATATGGCAAACAAAGGCTGACAAAATATTATAAGGCCTCGGAGGCGAGACTCGGAAAGGAAAAAGAGGAAATGGGACGAGTAAGAGTGAGGTGAGGCAGGATGAAAAAGCAAAGACAGTTGTAAACCTGGGGGCGAATGATTGGATATGGGGAGGTCAAGGGGAGGAGGCGCTGGATGAATGAACTATCCGCTGGTTCGAAGCGGCAGGAAGGAGATCCAAAGGGAAACGAGCAAAGGAGAAAGTACCTGGCGGGAGTCCGTGTTGCTGAGCGTTATCGACTACGACGACATGAGGCGGGCGTTGGTTGTTGAAGAAGCGCGATGGACACTGGGACAGCACAGGGTCAAGGGAGTTCTCCTTCGCGAGGCAAAAGCGAGAGAAAGGGGGTGGAGAGGCTCTGGTGTGAAGACTCTGAACAAGACCCGTTTCGCGGTGTTCGGATGGTTCAGAGTTCGAAGCAGAGACAGAGAGGATAAGGAGAAATCAAAGAACCAAAAGTTAAACTCGAATCAGATAGCGAGCAGAAGGAGAGGAGTGGAGAGGTGAAGGCGCGGACAGGCGGACTGAGAGGGGTCAAACTGGAAGATTGTGACCTTGCGAATTGGGTTCGTCTCGTCTTTTCCCAGTCGGGTTGGCTTGGTTTGACCCGACCCAGAAACTGGAAAAGGGGAGCAGTCAATGGAAATCAAGGCTGATGGTTGAAGTGCGCGAAGCTCAAGCGCGGATTTGCGGCATTCCTGTCCTGCACGAGACAGCGTGATCAGGCTATACTAACTAAGATAGTGCTCTTGCATTACTGCAGCTTCAGCTACAATTACTTGTCCTGCAGCTTGTCATCTGTGTTCTACAAGGTACAAACAGATGACCATCGATATATTCCCTGTCAATCACGCCTCCATCTCAGAGTTCTTGAAACAATCGACAAGCTGGAATTCTGGGCCGGTAAGTGCGTGGCCATATCCCGAGGATCCGTGGTGGCAGGCCATGGATTGCTTGACCCATGTTGACCGCGCTAACTGACGCCGCTTCTTGGGGACAGCCAGAGAGAGGTTGCACTTGTTATTGAAGAAATCCGCTTGACCGCTGTGCGTGCACATTTTGATCCCATGTTTCATCCACAACGTGCCTTGATTGGCACGCTGCTGATCACCTCCCCAAACTAGTGGCGATCCTTGGGACGTCTGATGCCCAGTGTCTGCCTATCGCAGTCGTCTTGACTGTTTGAGATAGTCGAGGAGGGGCATGTGAGACGCAACGAGAAAATCAGCCCCAAAAGTACGGCTCTTCAACGGCGCACCACAACTGTCCAGGAACAGTCACGGAACCTACAGTTTTCTTATACTACTATGAGTATCTCTCACTTCCAACCACTAGGATATTGGGAAAGTCTAAAAGATAGTATTTCTCAAGGCCGTTCTATCATCAAATAAGAATGCACAGTGCCTAAGACCGCGAATCGCCATCTGCGCGTGTTCTTGCAGAATCCCCGTAGGTACTCAAAAGTCATAACTCGTCAAAGATTAAGCGTCACGGTCATGCTGTTGCTATGAACCAATAAACAAGGAGGCAAGCCCTGCCATAGAAGGCTTAGGTCGCTCAGATAAGACTGGCTGGCCTCCTCACTCTCCGCAGTGCCCTCGAGTGGTGAGGGCAGTGTGGTGAAAATGACGGCGGTCTCTCCGCTATGCTTGGCCATCAGCTCGTTCAGTATCAGATGCTGTGCGCGGCTGGGAAGATCGTTAAAGGACAGTGGGACCGAGGCCTGTTGTGGGTATCCTGAAGCGCTTGCTGCGTCTGAGTTGACCGAGGGTGAACGTCGCTTGTAGATAGAATCGTTCTTCTTTGAGGACCGAGGGGGCGACGAATTCGGAGCAAACATGATGCTCGGGCCAGCGCCTTCTTCAGTGTTGACCTGCGCTTCAGGTATCGGCGAAGAGCTAAACCTATTACTTGACGCCGAACGGCTTAAAGCTGGCCGTGAACGGTTTGCCGGTTCTCCAGGGGTCTCTCCTTCACCGGTAGCTATGATGGAAGGAATATTGGGCTTCGTGTTATCCTCTCCAGCACCCCCCTGCCTAATGGACTCCGATTCCAGAGGCCGATCCTGCCCCTGAGAGACCGCTGCTCCATGCATACCATCCATTCGTCCTTCTTCACCGCTCGCATATTCATCCGAGTCGCTATCCTCGCTACTATCACTAGGAGTACTGTCGTCCTCAACGAAAGCATCAAGCAGCCGGTGCGTCTGCATCCCCAAATTGACGCCCCTCATGCTTCTGAAACTAGATATGGACCGCCGTCGCCTCGAAGATTGCATCAGTTTCCTTATTCCACCTGCGAGGGGATAGCGTGCTTGGTGACGATATTCATCAAGCCGCCCTCCGGCCTTGTTCAATCCGCTAAGATCCGAAGAATCCGAGCTCCTTCGGCCTTGCTGGACGTCCTGCCACCAGTCTTCATCCTTCAGGATTTCGTTAATGTCCCTTTGATGATCCCGAGTTTGCGAAGAGGTGTCTCCATTAACAATGATGCGGTACGTTTTCAAGTCACCACATGCAAGCCAGAAGACGAGGACTTCTGCTTCAATCCTCAGTTTCTCGAGAAGAGCTTCAACTCGTTTTCTCTCGTCCTCGACGTCTATCTCGTATTCGACAAAGACTGCTACCCTCAGCTTGTATGTCTTTTTCCACGAAGGTACCGTGTTGAGAATACATCCCAGCTGGAGAATGAGGGTGTACGTGTCAAAGTTAGTCGTTAGGATATTCCGCTTCGTCTCACTGTTCGCGTTGAGCTCAGCAGACATCTGAATTGGCCAGAGATCAATGTATTTTTTTGAATGCGAGCCGTCTTGCCCAGGCAGCTCTAGGTCTTCAAATCCTTTTGCTACTGCGACATTTATACGCAGTTGGAACAAGAGATCTTCCAATACTGTAATGTAGGTCTGGCAGCTTGCCGATATGATTGATGTGTCGGGCCTTGGGGTATCAGGTGTCATATGGTGATATTGGCGTTTATGGTGGAAGGGTTCGGCAAGCGATTTTCCCTCGCGGAACTGGTCAATGATGACTATATTTGGCCGCATTCCTCCGAGGCCAGAGTTCAGAACCACATTTCGGACTCCCCATTCAACAGCAGGCGATACTGCAATATTCACAAAGGCTTTGACCCTAGAATTCTCGACGAACTTCGTCCAAGCAATCTGTTGACGGCGTGCTTCGGGGACGGTAGATGAGAAATCATCAGTCACGAGGACGTGGCCAAGTACAAACAGTGCGCCTTTCTTAAGCGAGTTGCAGAAGGAGACCAGCTTGAACTCATCATCCGGATTGTTCACAAAAAGAAGGATCTGGGGCCTCCAAAACTTGACGTGTTCCTGCTTTAGGCGTAGTAAATACTTGCGAACTTGATGGTAAATCAAGCTCTGGCTCACATCGCCCCACGGTTTGGGAGGAGACGTGTAATGAATCAGAAGAAACAAAGTAATCAAAATACCGAAACAGCCGGTGGCGTACACCCCATCGACGAAAAACATGCTGGCTCCACAAACCACAGTACCGAGCGCAGCTGTCTGCCAATTGAAGTAGTGAAAGGAAGGTCTAAAATTGGGGGCTGATCCGATTTTGAGCAGGAAACAAGCCAAATTCATCACCAGAAACGTCATGAGGTAAGCCATGGTGACGAACGACGCGATCTGGTTGATGTCGAAAAGCATAGTGAGCTGTGCGGCGACGAATGTCACGATGATTGCGCGGACGGGCTCGTCATTTTCCTTGGTGCCTTTGCTAAAGAGGCTCAGACCAGGAAGCAGACTATCTTTAGCGATGGCTTGTAGTAGTTTGGCGGACCCAATTACTCCCATCAAGGCAGAGAAAAAGCTCGTTGCAAATTCACCCAAGAGAATCACAACTCCTGATAGGTTTGCCTGGGAAACAGTCAGGGTCTACTGGCCTGATCCGTAAAGAAAGCGGGATAGTGCTCATCGAGACTTACGATTTGAACAATATTGGCATTGTTATACAGCGAGGCTCTTGTCAAAGTAGCCGCCATTGCGAATATCACGAGAGCATACAAAACAAAGGTCAAAGCCAGCCCGTACAAAGTTCCTTTTGGGATTGATTTGCTAGGGTTTTTCAAATCGCCCGACATGCTTGCACCACTGCCTAGGTAAGCATGATGCCGACGGAACTTCAGCAGGGGATGACTTACGCAAAGATTCCACCAGTCGCAGGAAACAAAATGCCAAAGAGGTCTTGGAAAGTCTCTCGCCCGGGAATTTGGCTGCCAGCTGCCCCCTTCGTCAGGTTAGGCTTGAGATTCCCCAAAAAGGTCTGCAGGCGGATTCCAGTGAAATGGACACCCAGTTTTGGCACGCTGAATGGTTTCATGGCAATGGCTGAGACCGGTATACTGAGCGTTGCAACCAGCAGTGTGATAAGCAATCCGTTGCTTGCTCGTGCAAAAATGGAGCTGCCTGCCAAGCATATGCCGGTGCAAAGGACTAGTATAATTGTTCCCCAGAGGTACTGCCACCAGAACCCTTCCTCAAGGAAGTTATACCAAGTGCCCGACTGCGTACCAAAGTTCTCTGTGAAACAATCAACCAAGCCAACGGCATTCATGCCGGTATTTAACACAGAGCCAAGATAGAACACTATCCCGATAGAGCCGCCAAATTCAGGACCCAGAGACCTTGATATCAGATAGTAAGCTCCTCCTCCCTTGACTGTGCCATTAGTTGCGATGGCAGACAACGACATTGTGGTTACTAGGTTGATTGTGTAGGAAATTGCCAGCAGTGCTGAAATTAATCAGCAATAGCTCAAAAGTAGCAAAGAGCCTTCCACCTTACCGAGCATCCCAAGAAGACCAGCTTGCCCAAGAATGAATCCGAACCGGAGGAACATAAGGATACTCAAAACATTCAGGGTTGTCGGTACGAAGACGCCTGAGAAGGTCCCGAATTTCTCAGAGCCATCCGATGGGCGATGCTTTTCACCATTCCCAGGTCTAATTTCGACGGCCGCATCTCTGAAAGGCCCAGCTGGTACTGAATTTCCTGGTATCTCCCCTCCGCTGTACTGGCCTTGTACCTCATGGTTATTCTCTGTCCTGCTCCACCAGCTCGAAAGGCGTCCGAGGAGCTTCGATGCTGACGAATAGCGCCGAGATTTCGTTTTGGGAGAAGGTACGGTTCCGTAAGATTGAACTGGCGCGGTCGACTGCCAATTCAGTAACCTAGCAGTCTCCTCTGGAGAAGCGGTGACAGATTCGCTTGGGTCCAGCCTGGACTCATCTTCCTGTGGCGTGCGTGTGGAGAAGTTGGGCCTTCTCCGAGGTAGAGAGTCTGGGGCACCGTCACCTCGTGAGCTAGTCATCGAATATAGCGAACACTCTTCTGGTCATGAAAGTGCGTCTCTTTCATGCAGTCAGAATCGGAAGTTGCACTCTTTGGTCAGGACATGAATTGATATAATCAAGCAGGCACTATAGCAAAGAATGGATTATCATCCGAATTCCAGAGTGGTATAAACAGCTGTCAACCATCAATCGCAATGACAGCGTAAGGACAAGCAGTTTTGCACCTGGTGCTATTCCGGGGAGCGATTGGCGATGACTTCATTTGCCAAGAGTTACGGTTGCACAAACAGTGCAAACCCCACCGCTCAGCCACGGCATCTTCAACTCGGCGAGCAAGTGACCATCTCCTGTGATGCTCGCGGCCATCTTCTGGTTATTACCATATTCTTTCCTCTTTATCTCTGTTACACAAAGGAGAGAGCCCTAGAGGGACTTGAGGCTTTGTCGCCGCAGTATCCGCCTCCAGCGCCGCTTGCTCTTTCAGCTCCTTTCGGCCTTGCCAGGAGGGCCCGAACCACAGAGCGATCAGTACTTGAACAATTGAATATTTGTTTCTTGCTGAGAACTGTCTTTCAAACTCTGGTTCTTGATATATACTACGGTACTTTACTATGGCATCCCCTGCTACGTATGACAATGGCGAGGGCTCGTCATCCCCGAATCGTCGGTCTTCTCCGATCGCGGCCTCCACGCACCGCTCAGGTTCTCCGGTGACAGATGCCTCTGTACGGCAAGCCTCCATTGCTCGGCTCGCATCTCCAGTACCTTCCGTACCCAACTCCTTCTCATCGAGACAGGTCCCGGTTCCGGCTCCTACAGATACAACTCAAGATCTTCCCAAAATCGATAATGTCTCATCTCTACCTGGGCCTGGGCAATCCATGATTGCGTCTGCTCTTCAGAACAGCCTTGGCCGATCTCCGCCGAGATTCGAATCGTCTCCCAGACGGACGGCATCCCCTGCATTCAATCAGAGCGTTCAAGTTAGGTCGAATTATGGCTCGTTTGGTCCTGGGTCGTTCAGAGAGGGATCGGAGTATTCTGCAGGCCCGTATGAAGATCCGGAGATCATCAAAAGGCATCTAGTGCAACCTGTCGAGAATGCGGATACTCAGTACTCGGGGCCTGGGGTTAGCAATGTAGACGATGAGTTTTCGAGTCTGCAGCTCCAGGGAGGTGACATCACAAGACAGGTCTACAGATGGGCTGAGGATGCGGAAGAAGGAGGCTCCCTCCGAAAGCCCCAGCGCAGCAGAAGTTTCCATCTCAACCGTCCTACACCCGAGAACGACACCATGAATATTAACAGCATTCGCGTACCTGGCGGGTTCCGAAGGGATTACCTGCGCAGGACAGCAGGAAGCCCTCACCCCGGCGATCCGGAAGCAAGCGACGGCGCTTCACCTGGTCCGCCTCAGCTACCCACAAGTAGTTTCCTCGAGTTCCTGACACTGTATGGGCACTTTGCGGGTGAGGAACTGGAAGAAGATGACGAGGTACTTGGACCTAATGAGTACTTCTCGTCCGAATCATGGGACGAAACCGATGAACGGGAACCAGGCGAAGAGTCTGCGTTACTTCGTCCCGATACGCCCGGCAAGAGAAAGCGCAAGCCTCGTGGAGGAACGGGAACAAACACTAGAACCGGAGCTGCTCTTCTCCTGCTAAAGTCATTCGTTGGCACCGGGGTTTTATTCTTACCAAGGGCCTTTTTGAATGGGGGCATGCTTTTTAGCAGCCTGGTACTGCTGGCCGTTTCGTTACTCAGCTTCTACTGCTTCATTCTTCTTGTAAATACGCGACTGAAGATTGATGGTTCATTCGGTGACATTGGTGGTGCGCTCTACGGAAAACATATGCGTCGAATCATTCTTGGTTCGATTGTCCTTAGCCAGCTGGGCTTTGTGTCTGCATATATCGTGTTTACGGCCGAAAATCTCCAAGCTTTTGTCCTCGCCGTCAGCAACTGCAGGTCTTTCATTGACATCAAGTGGATGGTGTTGATGCAACTGGTTATCTTCCTCCCGCTATCGCTGATCCGCGATATCAGCAAGCTTGGATTTACCGCCCTCATTGCGGACTTGTTTATCTTGCTTGGACTGATCTATCTCTTCTACTACGACATTTTTACGATATCTGCGCAGGGTGGTGTTGCCGATATTGTAAAGTTCAACCCGGCCACATGGACACTCTTCATCGGAACCGCCATCTTCACCTACGAGGGTATTGGCCTTATTATTCCTATCCAGGAGTCAATGAAGCACCCGCAGCAATTTACCGGTGTCTTGGCTGGTGTCATGGTGATCATCACAATCGTCTTCCTTTCGGCCGGTGCAATCAGCTATGCTGCCTACGGCTCTGCGACCAAAACCGTGGTCATCCTCAACCTTCCACAAGATGACAAATTTGTGAATGCCGTTCAGTTCCTTTACTCGCTGGCCATTCTCCTCAGCACCCCACTCCAGCTTTTCCCAGCCATTCGAATCATGGAGAACGAGCTCTTCACGCGAAGCGGCAAGTATAACCCTCTCATCAAGTGGAAGAAGAACGGCTTCCGGTTCTTCCTTGTCATGATCTGTGCTTTCGTCGCATGGGGTGGAGCTGAAGACCTTGACAAGTTTGTATCGCTTGTGGGTAGCTTTGCCTGCGTCCCTTTAATATACGTGTACCCGGTCTGTTCCCCCAACTTTATAAACTATACATGACCATTGCTAACCTACCTATAGCCTCTTCTGCACCTTAGAGCCTGTGCATGCTCCCGACGACAAAAGATCGCAGATATAGCCCTTACCATCTTCGGTATCGTTAGCTGTATCTACACTACGTCCTTGACGCTCAACAACTGGATCAACGGCGATAACACCAAGGCCCCTGGATACTGTGACACATAATACCAGAGTTATGCCCGCTCCTCAATACCACCATCCTCGTCCCTTCACGATACTGCCCTGGCTTCCACATCAGGAGGGGAGCCAGCGTCTATAGAATAACAAACAACATACACAGGTTCCGCGCAGCGATGCAGTAACCTGAGCTTATAGTTAGATTCAAGATCTCTTTCTCGTTGGCGCACTGGATTTACCCCGGTTCATTTTGTGGTACGTTCAAGATACCTAGCGATATTTTGGATTCCATGGCGCCAATATAACGCTTTAGCCCATAGCTTAGCTTGCAGCTTTCCTGAATACTACTTAGATGGATCATAATCCTCGAGGCTATTATGATGATTTGTACCTTCTTTAGGCAATGTGTAACGTATTAAAAGTACATTTACTATAGCACGCAAGGAGCAGGAAAATAAATATCGCCTTCTGACATGCAAAGACAAAGAAACGCAAACACCTCACCGACCACAGCCACTTACATTCTCTATAAGTACAGGGTCTAGCACTAATATATAAGTAACAGTAAGAATTGCCAGACGAAACCACATCAATCCAACCGAAACCATACCATTTCACTCGCCTTTCATTACGCACCAGCCTCAGTAGCCGTCTTACCCTGCTGCGCTCCCTCCGCGGCAAGTTTAGCTTCACGGCCTCCCCACCTGCATCATCGAAGCATGTTAGCAATATACTCACGGAATAACTCAACCCCCGGGAACGCGTATTGCCTGGCAAATACAGGGTGGAAGGGAGCAAGGGTCTGGTGCAACATACTTCCAGTAGTTCAGATAACGGTATCCCTGGGTACACTGAGCGGAGAAGTTGATGGCGTGGCAAGCGAAGAGAAGGTAGTTCTTAGGAGAGACGGCGAGGGCGTAGCGCATGAAGGTTGCGGAGTAGATGACCAGGGCGCCGGTCATTTGGCCGGAGATGCTGTTGGTTTGATAACGAGTTAGCTCCGCACTTCAGTGAGGTGAGTACCTCTCTCTTGCTATGCAACTGGCGAGGGGGAAGTTCTTATGCTAAATTGGGACGCACATTTCAGGGTCCTTCTGTGTATCCATCACCGCCGCAACGGGGATACCGAAGTTGGAGACGGGGCCCCAGAAGTCTAGATAGGGCAAGTCATCCGTTAGTTAATTGCCTTCTCAAATGCCAAGTCCCTCAGTTAGTGTGCCATTGCTTCTTCAGGGCGGAGCGTAATCTAGTCCGCTTCGATGTTGGCCGGTGTAGGTATAATACCACCGCGGACTCTGGCGCGGCCGATCTCGGGAACCGGAGTGAGAGAAGGGAAAAGCTGGGTTGCAACGTACGTGTTGAGCAAACATAGTCGGCGACCTTGTTGGACCGGATCTTTGCATTGATTGCCTTGATTGCGGCGGCCATCTTGCAGAGCGTGGGGGTGAATGAAATGAGACAGCTGCTGGTCGGCGACAGACAGAAACAAGAATTGGGGACAGTCATCACCACCGAAGCGCGGGCGGAATGGCTGCCGAGCGGAGCTTGTTGGGACCGGTCACGTGAGTATTACGACGTCGCAAATTAAGCAGTAGTGTTTTTATGAAGCATTAGATTTCACTATGGGATAGTGCATAGCACATGTCTAGCATTACTTGTCTCGAATCTGAAGTTTTGAGTTGATCCTGTAATCTCTTGGGCAGTCCTTGCATCCGCACACGCCGCAACGCCTTTGCCGAGTAAAATTTGGTGTGTTGTTTCCTCTGCAACAGCAAATAGATAGCCAGAGTAGCTCCTTTGATTCGTTATCGAATTCACATTGTCATCCGTCGCTGGTGGTACATAAAGTAGCCGAGGTTGTTGTAATGAGCTGTTAAACCGCTCCATATTGTCTCAAATCACCGTCCCCCAAAGCCTGGGGGAGGGAATCCCCGACCACCGCCAGGAGGCTGGAAGCCTGGTGGAGGTTGGAAGCCGCCAGCTAGAGAAGTCAAAGTTAGCCAGCAGTATGGTAAAACTTCCTAGATGGTACTTACGAGGGCCACCCTGGGCACCGAATCCAGGAGGAGGGGCAAAGCCGGCTAAAAAAACGATCAACAATCTCACTCCAAGTATCAGCATACAGAAAGAGACTTACGAGGTCCAGCTCCAGGACCCCCCCGGCCACCAAAGCCTGGAGGAGGGCCACCGGGGAAACCGCCAGGAGGGAAACCGGGGAAGCCACCTGGTGGGGGCGGCCCTCCAACGCCAGCAGCAGGGCCTCCAAGGCCAACCGGCAGACCACGTCCAGCGGGCTTGCTGATTCCAGGGCCGGCAGCAAGGGTGGCGGCAGCACTTGGGACGTTCGGACCACCGGTTCCAAGACGTGCTGAAGGATCGGCGGGAGGAGGTCCATCGACGGAGCAGGAAACGACATGGGTACCGCGCACGATTGTAAGGCCGAGGGTTCGCTTTTCCTCCGCTTCGACGAGAGGGGCGTTTCCGGGGGCGGACTTGGCTTTGCGCTTGACGCGACGGAATTCTTCTGTATCGGCCAGGACTAGGTTCATATGCTAGGCAACAGTTAGTAAGATGTCCGAGTATATCAACGCATATGCAAACCACCCTACCTTGTCAAATGCGAGCATCTGGCCGGTCATCTGTCGCCCGTCGTTCAAGGTAACCCTCATCCGGTAGTTGATCTATTGACGTTAGATTTTCACAGAGACGACAACGCGTTGTGGAGTATCACATACAAGGTTTTGCTAGAGAAGATAGAAAATTAGCAAGCTCCCTCAGAATGAATAAACAAACATCGCTCAATTGGATTCATTGGAATAGACTTGGAAGGAAAAGGAACTGGAATGCTCACCATCTTGCCCTGCTTGTTGGCGGCCATGTTGGCTGGAAAGTGCGCACGAATGCGACTTTAGGATAGGACAAAAAAATGTGTGAGATCAAATCAATAGAGATGAACTCCCGTTGTATCTTCACTTCAACGCCTGCACACTCCGTGAGAGATCTGCCAGGCAAATAGGTCCGAGACCGACAACTGCGACTCGCTGGTTTGGGTCTTGCGGGTGTCGGAGCTCGTGACTCTAACCGCGCGGCTGAGCGGCTAACCGCCAGCCGATAGTGCCAAGACGCTAAGGGCTCTCGCTTCCCACATTCACCCACAGTCGAACTTGCACACAACTTTCCCCGATCGACCGATTCTTTGAGATTCTTCAACACACCGAGTCGACCAGTCCACGCCAAAGTAGTCGCCATGGTATGTCAAAATACTACTCACCAGTTCTCGCCGTTTTCACGTCTGAATTATCGAGATGCTAATCTTCATCGCCAATGCAGTCGGACGGAAAGGACAAGAGCGCCAACCCCATGCGCGAGCTGCGCGTTCAGAAGCTCGTGCTCAACATCTCTGTCGGCGAGTCTGGTGACAGACTTACCCGTGCTGCTAAGGTGCTCGAGCAGCTGAGCGGTCAGACTCCTGTTTACAGTAAGAACACCCGAATTTTCCGATGAAATGGAATGGGAAAGAGCAGAGGAGGGCAATCTTTCGATAGGTGGAGAAAAGGGAATCAGATGGCTAACGAGGGGGAATCGCACAACAGGCAAGGCCCGCTACACTGTCCGTACCTTCGGTATCCGCCGTAACGAAAAGATCTCCGTCCACGTCACCGTCCGTGGTCCCAAGGCCGAGGAGATCCTCGAGCGTGGCCTCAAGGTCAAGGAATACGAGCTCCGCAAGCGCAACTTCTCCGAGACCGGCAACTTTGGCTTCGGTATCAGCGAGCACATTGATCTCGGTATCAAGTACGACCCCAACATCGGTATCTACGGCATGGACTTTTACTGCTGCATGTGAGTTGGACTTTTATACCCGGGACTTGAGGAGAAGAAGGACCATTCTGACGCAGTACAACACAGGACCCGCCCTGGTGAGCGTGTCGCCAAGCGCCGCCGCTGCAAGGCCCGCGTCGGTTCCAGCCACCGCATCACCCAGACTGAGACCGTCAGGTGGTTCAAGCAGCGCTTCGACGGCATCGTCCGGTAAATTATTCCCTCCGTTTACCGGGTGGTCTTCGATTGGCGATTTTGAACGAAACAGCGGGGTTCTATGTTTATGAATTTCGATCTCGATCAAGGAAACACAAAAAAATTTCCGGGCAGGGGCGTTGAAACTCGAAATGATATTCGCCTCTGCTTTCCTACCACGGCATGAGATATAGGCGTGTTAGACATCAAATCACAAATTCTTTCAAAACGCATCTTTACTTGTCAATCAATGAAGGCTTCACGAAGGGTGAATGATTTCCGCATAACCATTGATGAAAAGTATTTACATGATGCTCCACCCTGTTTGTGCTCACTCGGGATGGTGAGCATAACTTGGTTGCTTCTGGCCGTGAGACTCGAACTCTCTGAGTTATCAAGTCTCTATCACCTGCTCCTACTCGGGACAGGTGGTATAGTAATCCTTCGCTCCTGGACCTAAACGCCACCGATGTGCCCCGTGACTGGTCTTGTCTTGTAGAGCTGTAGATGTATCAAGGTCGACAAGGTTGATGCTCACATCTCATAGCCAACGTCAGCATACAGCGCCCAACTACCGAACCCTGAGACTCTGGGTTCTAACTGCTTTTGCCAGAGCTTTATGGCTTGTTGGCACTCGTCTCTCCAGCACACATGCCATTGGTCCATGTCTCTACAATCTTACATCAAGTCAAAACGACATGGGAGAACATGCATTGCTAATTACTAGTACTGCTTGAACATAGTTGAACATAGTAGCATGTCCAATCTAAGAATCATCACTGCAATTGTTTCCTTTGGCACATATTGCACGCTTTACCAATATTAATATCAACACCAATGCGTTATCAGACTAAATGCAGCAGCATACTTAATCAGAATATTCATCTGCTTGATCAAAGCAAGTAAGAGCAGTATTCAAAGCCTTGTCAGAAACTACAAACCCACCTCCGCAGATTCACTTATTAGTATAATTACCCCGAGTATAGCCATCCCACCACTTTGAAAAGTACCCGCCGGGCTGAGACTGCTCATTCCAGCTCTGTCGACGCGCAGTAAACGTGTCATCGCCCGAGTTACGTTTCTGGTTCGTCAGGTTCTCGAAGAGGCTGGAGGGTCCGTGGCCGCTGGATCTCCTTCGCTCGCCAACGGAGGGGGGGCTACGTTGGCCTGCATTGGTGGCGGATGATTCGGATGCACTAGAGGACTAGGATAGACGTGTTAGTTTGTTGAGTTCCTTTTACATGGTACGTTGGACTAGGGCATACACGTCTCTCAGTTGTAGCAAATGCATCGGTTGTATTAGTAGAGGTCGAGGGCCGTGTCGCCTTATAGGCTGAGGATGGGCCTCCTCTCACCCAGACATTGTGATGCTCATAGCGGTCGCCAAATGTTCCGTGCCAGTGGCGAGGAGAGGTTGGGCTACCTTCCTTGTTGCTCATGGTAATCAATGTGGGATATAGTTATGACTGCGTCAAGGCTAGTTCAGCGTTCCTTGATGTGCAAATAGGACACCTAGAGCCGACAACAGAAGTCATTATCGATTACTCACCTTGATAAGAGGAATAAGTTTCGCTGTATGATTGCTGAGTTTGGTGGTTTTTGGGTGTGCCGAGCGACTTATATATCAGAAAGAGGGGTAAGCAAGTAACCTCACGGTTGTGAAACAAGCCGTGGATAGACGACCGCATTACTACGATATTTCCCACCATGAGCGCAACCTCTGGAGCGGTCCAATAACGGACCAAGCGGTTTCGTGACCCTAAACCTCTAGCTCATGATTGGGAGGAGCTCTCAGCAACCCCGGACGGATCAACAGCCTAGATCCACAGTGCGCCACGGGCATGATGGTAAATAATCGAAAGCAGGAGTTCTGATGGGCTCACAAGGGCGCTTCAATCAGATCGTGATGTCGAGACTTCCAATGGAGCCTAAGGCTGACGTCAAGCGCCCTTCCAAGTGCGGGGGACCACAAAGACGACGACTCTGGTAAGGTCAGCACGAGCCATGGGAGGATGAATATCAGCTGGTGGCACAAGACATGGTTAACAGAGCTTGATATTTGTGGATTCAACGTGCATACCACCGACACGCATACCTTGACAGTAATTGGGCTTATGATAGGCTGAAGCTCCAGCTTATGGTCTTTCGAAGCCCAGGGCTCGGTGCATCCAGCGATTTCGCGGGTAAGCGAACACATCTTCAAAATGATGGATGCCACTTTGTATATCACCCGATTATTCACACTTGCCAGCAGATATGCTAACACTATCAAGCATAATTGGAGGGAAGGTCGGCGAATGGTGATAGATTCACGTGGCCGACGGTCTCCAGATCTGGGGCCGAGCGCGAGCACCAAATTTCCCCCATAGCAACCATCTTCTTTCCTCATCCATCGCTTGCACAGTTGATACGCTCGTTTGCCGATACCACTTATCGTGTGTTCCCCTGTCGTGCTCTTTCTAGCCAAGGGGCTGTCACATCCCCGCCTCCCCGCCTATCCACTCGGCTAATTGACGACTGAGGCGCTTCTCTACTCCAACTCCAAGTGCGTACATCCTCATTTGAAGAACGGCCGGCCCGGCTATCTCAGGTATATAACACTGCATATTTGTATCCTGTAAATGAGTACCTTTTTTCACAATTGGCCTTCCAATTCATCTTTCAGCAAACGATTGTGTATGTAGCGACGCGGGGCTGCTTTTGCTGCTTCATTCCTTGAACAACCATGGAGACTATTCAGAAACCATATGTGAGATCTCTCGGCCCTAGAGGCTATGTACAGGGAGTCACGATATCCTCCAAATTCTCCAACAGACCTCTTTGTCACTACTTTGGTGGCATTCGTTATGCACTCTCTCCGTCAGATCGCTGGCGAAAGGCTCAGAAACTGTCCTCAGCATACACATATGGGACCAAAGACAGCCCCTTCCAATGCCCTGGCTCTTCGGGCGTATGTCCCCAAGCCACATTTATGGAGCTTTCGGCTACACAAGGTTGGGATGAGGATTGCTTCCAATGCAACGTATGGGTTCCTCTTGGTGAACCCCCAAAGAATGGTGCGTATTTAGCCTTTACATGAAGAAAGATGCAAATTAACTTTTGTACTTTCGCAGGATGGCCTGTCCTTTTCTTCATCCGTAAGTATATTACTACTCGTTTCAGCAACCCGAATATTATCTAAAATTCTATAGATGGCGGCTTCCTGCAATTCGGTTCCCCAAATTCGTTCCACGCCGCAGCTCTTTTAGGTGAAACGGACATGAATGCTATCGTTGTCATGCCGGCCTACCGTCTAGGCCCTCTGGGTTTCCTCTACTCTTCAGAACTCGAAACGGACGCCGCCTCAGTTGGCGAGACCGTGGGAAACCACGGCTTCTGGGACCAGCGCATGGCCTTAGAATGGACCCGGGACAACATTAGCGTATTCGGCGGCAACGGCTCTGAGATCACTCTCACAGGATACTCCGCCGGTATAACCCCCACCTCTTCCTCATTCACTATATAACCTCAAATCTAACAATAAACTAGGAGCCTACTCCGTCTGCTACCAACTGGCCTACGACCTAAACGTCCCCGACAGCGAATCCCTCGTAAAGCGCGCCTGCATCTGGTCCAACTCTTTCACCGTACATCCCAAGTCCCCATCCCTCGCCCAAACCCAATTCAACCAACTCCTCTCCGCCCTCCACATCCCCATCACCCTCCCCGCCGCCGAGAAACTCCGCCGCCTCCGCTCTACACCCCACAACACCCTCCTCGGCGCCGCAACATCCATAGACCTCCACGAATTCCGCCCAACAACCGACAACGCCTTCATCCCCAACAACCTCTTCCACACCCTCGACAATGGAACCCTCGCACGCAAGCTCGTATCCCGAAACGTCCGCATCATAACCGGCGAATGCCGAGACGAACACTTTCTCTACGGAAGCTGGCGCCCACCCCACCAAAACACCATTGGCGGTCTCCGCCACCGCCTCCTAGCAGACTACCCGCAGCCCATAGTCGACGCCCTCATGAGAATGTATTACCCCAACGGCACTCTGCCACGCGATTGCGAGAACTGGGACTCCGACGCCTTTGGGCGCGTGTATGCTGATATGCAGGTGCACAACATGCAGCGCGGGTTCATCTACGCACTCACGAACCCCGCTACGAACAAACCTGTTCCCGGGATCGAGAAGCTGATCTTCCGATATCGCATGGAGTATCGGCTTTCGTGTGCTGATCGGTCTCTCCCGCCTGCGTGGGGGGTTACGCATGCGACGGACCAGTACATTTGGTTCTGGGGTAATGGGGAGGTAATCAAAGAGGCGGAGAAGGGACTTATTAAGAAGGCGGTTGTAGATCCGTTTGTCAAATTTGTGCATGGGGAGGACGATTTGAAGTGGGGGACCCAGAGTTATAAGGAGATGAGAACGTTGAAGCCGGATGGATCAGTAGGGATTTGGAAGGATGAGATTTGGGATGAGGGAGTTAGGGTTTGGAAGATTCTTAGGGAGGTAGGGGAGTATAGTGATGGTGGCAGCTCTAGACTTTGACTTTACGAGATCTCGATATAGAAAGGAGAACAGGTGAAGCAGCTAGGCCAACATTTCATACAATGTGACCTAAATATCTTGATCATGAATCATAAAATAACAGTAGAAAAAAAGCTTGACACGTGAAACACAGCAGATAAAACACACATTTCCCAGGTTCGACCCGAACGTCACTGGACAGACGATTTAGCAGTATCTCTAACCAACACCAAAGTATTTCCGACATTCATGCCACCATGTACTGTATTTTCCATCCGGCTGTGGAGATGGATGGGGGCTATGAAATGCAGTTGACACATGATTTCCATTCATAGTCACTTTTCGCTTTGAGAATCAATGAATTCGTTCGTGCACATTTATGCCTTGGCGATCTTGCAGATGAGGTCCTGCCCATCGACGGAGTCGCCCTCCTTGACCAGCAATCCAGACACCTTTCCGCTGTGTGGAGCGGAGATGACCATTTCCTAAGCATAAGATTAGCTAATTCGTTTGTAAAACATCAAGTGCTAGGGAGCTTACCATCTTCATAGCGCTGAGAACAGCAATGGGATCTCCCTTCTTGACCTCCGAGCCCTCGTGAACTCGGATCTCGACAACGACACCACTCATAGGAGCGCCAACCTGGCTGCTGTCGCCAACATCGGCCTTAGGACGGGCAACGTTGTCGACGGAGGCCTTCTTGTCATCAACGCTGACTTGACGGACCTCTCCGTTCACCTCGTAGAAGACCTCACGCTGGCCGGTCTGCTCGGAAAGAGGACCGATGGCGAGCAACTTGAGGATGAGAACCTTGCCCTTCTCCAGCTCAACGTGGAACTCCTCGCCAATCTCGGGCTTAGCCAGGAAGTAGCGGGTAGGAAGGACGGACAGATCACCAAACTTCTGAACGAACTTCTTGTAATCTTCGAAAACCTTAGGGTACATGGCGTAACTGGCCACGTCGTATTCGGTAGCAGCCCCGAATTTCTCGCGAATCTCGGTCTTGATTTTAGCCAGATCCAGAGGCTCCAGGAAGAGACCGGGGCGCTTGTCGAGCTTGCGGCGGTTGCGCAGAGCCTTGGAGCGCAGAGGTTCGGGGAAACCGCCGTAAGGCTGACCCATGAGACCTTCAAGGAACTCGAGGACGGAGCCAGGGAAATCAAGCTCACCGGCGCGGTTGATCACATCCTCGGGAGTCAGCTTGTTGGAGACGATGAACTGAGCCAGGTCACCGACGACCTTGGAAGTAGGAGTGACCTTGACGATGTCGCCAAGCAAATCGTTGGCTATTTCGTAAGCCTTCTTGGTCTCCGCCCACTGCTGGCCCAGACCAAGTTGGCTGGCCTGGAAGATGAGGTTGGTCAGTTGACCACCGGGGATTTCGTGCTCGTATACCTCGGGGTCTGGGCCAGTCAGACCAGCCTCGAAGGGTGAGTACAGCAGACGCAGCTGGGCCCAGTAGGTGTCAATAGCGCGCACCTGGGCACGGTCAAGGCCAGGATCCTGCTCGGTCCCCTCGAGAGAGGCGAGGATAGCACCAATGCTGGGCTGAGAGGTCATTCCGGACAAGCTATCAGTGGCGGCATCGACTGCATCAGCACCGGCCTGGGCGCAGGCAATCATGGAAGCCACACCAGTTCCGGCAGAGTCGTGAGTGTGGACGTGAATGGGGAGGTCGGGGTAGCGCTCACGGATACCACCGACAAGGAGGCGGGCAGCCTGGGGCTTCAGCACACCAGCCATGTCCTTGATACCAAGGACATGAGGCTTGAGTGCAACGATCTTGTCAACCAGACTCAGGTAGTACTCTAGGTTGTACTTCTTGGAGGGGTTCAACATGTCACCGCTGTAGCAGACGGTGGCTTCAACGACACCACCAGCGGCGTGAACAGCCTTGATACCGACCTCGAGCTGGTCAATATCATTGAGAGCATCGAAGATACGGAAGATGTCAACACCGCACTTCTTGGCTTGCTTGCAAAAGTGGTAGATGGCGTTGTCAGGGAGAGACGAGTAGGCAACTCCGTTGGCACCACGAAGCAGCATCTGGAAGGGGATGTTAGGAACGGCCTTGCGCATCTTGCGCAGACGGTCCCAAGGATCCTCATAGAGGAAACGCATGGCGACGTCGAAAGTAGCACCACCCCAGCACTCCAAACTGTAAGCATTGGAGTATGCGTGGCTCGTTTCGTGGGCGATGTTCAGGAGATCAATGGTACGGACACGGGTAGCAAGCAGAGACTGGTGGGCATCGCGCCAGGTGGTGTCCATGATCAAGCAGCCCTTGTTAGCGCGCACGGCCTTGGCCCAAGCTTCGGGACCCTCCTGGTCAAGAATCTGCTTCCAGCCCTTGGTAGCAGGTACGGAGGTATCGACGACCTTTCCAGCGGCATCATAAAGGGTAGGTTTGATAATGTCGCCCTTGAGCTTAGGTTCACCAATCTGCCCCTTGATGCTGCTGCCGTTGACGGCGACATCACCAAGGTAAGAAAGCAGCTTCTGAGCACGGTTCTGACTGCCAACCAGGGCGAAAAGTTCAGGAGTATCATCAATGAAGGTTGTCCAGCAGTTGCCGTCAATGAAAGTGGGGTGGCTGAGCAATGAGGTCAAGAAAGGAATGTTGGTCTTGACACCACGAATGCGGAACTCAACGAGGGCACGCACGACCTTGCGGCGAGCAATCTCATATGTGGATCCACGGCAGGTACACTTGACCAACATGGAGTCGTAGTGAGGTGTGATGACGGCACCAGCAAAACCGTTACCACCATCCAGACGAACACCGTTACCACCAGCAGAGCGGTACACCTCGATCTTACCGGTGTCTGGGGAGAAGCCCTTGGCGGGATCTTCGGTTGTGATACGGCACTGAATGGCGAACCCGCGGGTGGAGATGCGGTCCTGGGTCAAGCCAAGCTGCTCAAGGGTAGCACCAGCAGCAATCTGGATCTGAGCAGCGACGATATCAATGCCAGTGATTTCTTCGGTAATGGTGTGCTCGACTTGGATACGGGGGTTGATTTCGATGAAGTAGTAGCGGTTCTGCTGGTCGACCAAGAACTCGGCAGTACCAGCATTGCGGTAGTTGACGGACTTGGCCAGGCGGACAGCATCAGCGAGGATGCGGTCACGGACATCGACAGGTAGATCCTTTGCAGGGGCGATCTCGACGACCTTTTGGTGACGACGTTGGACGGAGCAGTCACGCTCGAAGAGGTGGACAACGTTGCCATGGTTGTCACCCAGGAGCTGGACTTCAATGTGCTTCGGGCGGTCGAGGAAGCGCTCCACAAAGACAGTACCATTGCCAAAGGCTGACCGGGCTTCCGAGGTAGCACGCTCGAAGGAATCTCGCAGATCCGCCTGGTTGCGGACGACACGCATACCACGGCCACCACCACCAAAGGCAGCCTTGATGATGATGGGGAAGCCGTAGGTGTCGGTGAACTCTTTAACCTCTTCAAAGCGCTCGACGGGACCCTCTGTGCCAGGGACGACCGGCACATCGCATTTGATAGCTAACCGACGGGCTGAGACCTTGTCACCAAGACCCTCAATTGTTTCCGGGGTAGGGCCAACAAAGACCATACCCGCCTGCTCGACTTTCCGCGCGAACTCGGCGTTTTCTGACAAGAAACCATAACCAGGGTGGATCAGGTGGACGCCGTGTTCCAGGGCAATCTTGACGATCTCATCGATGGCAAGGTAGGCACCGACAGGGGTGTATTGGCCGCGTTTACCGATCACGTAGGCCTCGTCGGCCTTCTGACGGTGCATCGAAAGTCGATCCTCGTACGAGTAAACGGCGACAGTCTGGAGGGACAGCTCGTGGGCTGTTCGGAAGATACGAATAGGGATCTCACCACGGTTGGCGACGAGGATCTTCTGGAACTGCATGATAGCTGAATTGGCGCGCAGGCGGTGATGGACGGAATCCCGGTGGTGGCCATCATGGTGGTCGTCGACAAACTCGGTGTCGTCGATGGCCTCCTCAACCTGGTTGTTGTGGTCGACGGGGGCAGCCATGATGGGCGGGATGAATTGGTGGAGGGGAGAGAGGAGGGGAGGGCGGAGGTGGGGGAGGGGAAAGAGAGAGGGAGGGGGTCGGGACAATTAAGATTGACAGGAGAGGGGAATGGATCTAAATGTTCTGGAAGAGATCGGGGAAGCTAGAAGGCTTTATTAGAATTAGCAGGCAGAGCCAGAAAAAGAGCAGGAATGAGTCACCTTGAGAGACAGGCGCTTCCCGGCGGAGGAGTATGTGTACAAGCTGGGGGCAAGAAAATAGCCCGGTTTCGGAACGGAAAGGGAGAGGAAAGCAGCGGGACGATCAATTGGAACGAGACAGACCGGGAAATTGATAAGAGAATGAGAAATAAGAGGGATTTCGGGCGGAAATGGTACGGAAAATGATGGGGAGCGGTGGAGGATGAAGCTAAAGAGGGATGGATGCTTTGGAGGGGAGCAGTCCAGAAGCAGGTGACGATGACGATATGCACTCTATCTATCAGGAAACTCTTTCCTTCTGGCAGCGGCCCTCGTCCAGCTCCTCTACTCTTAATATACCGCGCGTCGTTTCTCTCACCGGCACACCGGGCAGCTCTTGAAGCCAAGTCTTTTCTTTTTCCCCTCCCTTGGTCCGGTCTTTTTTTCTCCGTCTCCATCCAGACTTCTGGGATATGATGCAATTCAATCAGCAAACCATTATGTATACACTTCTCTTTTGCTTCAAAAACGCCGAACGCCTACAATAACCGAGCCATCGGGTGCTTCAGGAAGTCCAGTTATCTTCGATGCGTACCTCGGGTACTCGGGCTAATACTCCCCATGATATTTGAATCCCTCTAGCTCTCCGGAGATGGCATCCATTAAGAGACCATTACTCGATTAGGCACTCCGGCTCGTTTGCCCGGCCATCCAGAGCACGCCCGTCAATGGCCCAGGGCGCCGGGCCTCGGTCATTGTCTTTCTGAAAAGGCTGATTGTCTGGGTGGTAATTGAACAGTCGCACCGTGAGCGACGCCCTCGATGCGAGCAGCCTCTCCCGCATGAGCAGGTCTCGTGATTGTCTCCCTTGCTCCAGAGCTCTCCGGAGTACTCTCGGCCTACGGCGACCCCACTTGTGCCCCCTCCTCTGCAGACTCTGATCAACGACATGATCTGATCATGTCAGAAATTATTTAGCCCCAAGCCGGGACAAGATTTGCTCAACCCTGTCTAGACTGCACCTCCCTTCCCAGATCATCACACCGGAGTGTCGCCCAAACGCCGCTCCTCCACAACCCATGGATTCCTCTGCTGCCCCTCCCGTCCAATCGTGTCGCTCCACACTATCACCTTCCTTCGTCCTGCCCTCAATTTCGGTCGCTCCTCTGTCGCCCAGCTGCACATCACGCCCATTCACTACAACAATCACCTGCTTGGCGCCGTCTTGAGGTTACGCTTGTTTACCCTTACAGCTCCGCTTTCTGCATCGTGCACTAAATCAGGAAAATGCCATTCACTAGTAACCGCAACCAGGGGGTACCCGGGTCACAAGACAGCTCAGAAGAGAATGAGAGTTCGTATCAGAAAGACATGATGAGAAAATGATTTGAAATTTATCAATCAGGGAAGAAAAAGTACAACATCACAACGGTCATCTAGAATGGCCGGAACCCCGTGGCTTGTGGTGTAATCCCGTTAGCCTGTGTTGCCGGACCCTGCGTGAGCATGAGCCTAGAACCCCCAAGGATGGGTGTATTATCCTCTTCCTTCCTTTGTGTCACCTCTCGTGCCTTGCGCTCCTCGTTATCCTTCTTGAGCGTCTCAATTGCACGAGTCTGCTCGCAAAGGAAGTTGATCATAAACGGCATAGTGAAGTCCTGAAGACCGTGTCGCCATGACATCTCCAGGATGACATCGGGACGGATGAGATCGTAGCAAGCATACAACATGCCGACGTAGCACTCCCGGCTACCGATATCCACAAACTATCCCACAGTTAGTAAACGGGGTATTCAAGGGGTAAAAAGAAAAGGAGTAGCTTACGTAGCGAAGGAGCTCCTCCACCACCTCAGGCTTGCCTGAGATAGCTGCTGTCTCAATGGCATCTTTGTAGAGCTTATCTTGCTTGGAAAGCTCGATCGACTTGGCCCAGCGTTTGTTGTTGCGGTAGATGTTGGCCGCGATCTGTCTGAAGAAAATCAGGTCGTGTTTCTCCAGGCGCTGAGCGAGCTCCACGGCGTCAAAGTTGTCATGGTTGTCTACTGAGTCACGAAGAGTCTTGTAGTCCTCCTCTTCGATCAACAGGTCATTGATGGCGTCATTGACCGCCCTCTTGTTCTGAGACTGGACGTTGATAAGGAAAGGCTTGATTAGAGGGATATTGTCCGAGGTCTGGAAGATCCGTACAACACGGTTGACGTCGATACGGGCGGTCAACACTTGCAGCAGGTCGGTGAGCAGTAGAGGTTGCTCCTGCAGGTAGAAGTTGAGAGCACGGTAGTAAATCTCCAAGTTTGCAACCTTGACGATGATGTCCTTAAAGGAGTGGTGTTCCCATGCATCGGCGGCACGCTCCATCATTGCCAAAGCTGCGTTGTCCCACTCATCATAATGACAGTACAGGAAAACAAGCTCGGGCCACAGGCTGGCCTCCTCACTAGCCTTGATCATCTTGGGGATGTTGATACGAGACCAGAAGAGCTTAAGGTGCTCCATGACTCGGTCGGGGTGGTACTTGGAAAGAGCAATGCCCAGTTCAGTGAACATTCCCATGTGAGCTCTCTCCAGCCCCAGACCAGCTTCAAGCACGGCAATCAGCTCGTCAAAGTACCCATTGCGCTCGTATTGGCGAACAAGATCTTGCAGCTCCTCCGCGTGGACGATCAGGTTAAGACCACAAATCTGTGCAAGACGGAACTCCTTCTTTTCGACGCAGGCCTCGTTAACTTGCTTCCATACCTTGACACTGTTGGCCTTGCGGGCGCACTCAACCGCCGCCTGGTAGTCTTCGAGGTGCACAAGTGTTGTTGCCAACTTGGCCCAGTTGGAGATGCTGGTGTAGAAAATCTTGGCAGCCTGGTGGTAACCCTCCTCATAAGCCTTGTCACCAGAAGCCTCGATATCAGCAACGTTGGTGGCACGCAGGAAGTCTTCAAGCTCTGCGAGCTGGTCTAAGCGCGCGTAGCAGAAGGCAAGGCCAGTATCAATAGCAGGCTCTCGTAGCGTCTTACGAGCCATCTTGAGGTATTTGACGAGATCCTCGTCCTTTCCGGCGTGCGTTGCGGTTTCGATGACCTCAAGGTAATTGGAAGGATCGTTGGCATGAATATAAGACTCGATGGAGTCAGTGACACGGAGGCCGTCCAACTGAGCCTTGGCGACCTTGCTCCAAACATCTGGCAGCTCAACACGCTCGGCAAACTCTTGTGCCCGGTCAATGCTGACGATATTTTCCACGAGAACGTTGACAGCAGCAATGTAGTTGTTGACCTTCTTGTAGATCTCGAATGCCTCCTCGTACAAGCCAACTGAGATACACATTTCAGCGATCTCATCGGGGCTGAACTCATTGAGTTGATGGATGTAGTCCATCAGACGACCCTTGTCAGCCTTGGCAGCAGTCAGCATCAAGAGATTTTGCAGGCTACCGTTGTCGCTGAAAGGCGATGGTTCAAGAATAATCTTCTCAAGAAGTTCAATTAGGTCGCCAGGAAGATCAGCCTGAAGGAAAGCTTTGACAGCAACTGACACCTTGTCTGGCTCTGTGGACTCGGGGACGGCTGTCGCAACCACCTGGTCAACGAGAGATCGGCGGTGCATGTTGTTCTCGCTCAAAACAAACGACCAGATTTCTGGATCTGAGCGTTCAACGAGGTAGCGAGCCTGTGCCCTGTACATGGCGTTCTCATTGGTGATGTTAATGAGTTCCAGATCATTCTGCCCCTTACTATAGGCGACGTAGGCGAGGTTAGGATCACGCTTCTCGCAGTACTTTCCAACAGTGAGGGTATCGTAAAGGTCGTTCTCCTTGAGGAATTTCTCTGGGTTGTTGTTGCTGTCAATGTAGATCTTTGCGAGGGCGTTGTAGACAGCTTGCTGCTGGTTACCCGTGGCAAGAGTTGCCTCTAGGAATGGCAGGAGAAGTTTCAGCCTGTTGCGGCTCTCTACCTCGGAAACCAACTCGTCGATGGGGATTACAGACGGATCAACGGTAGACAGAAGGTTCTTGATGATACCCTCGTCACAGTCGACATCGAGTAGGCCTCCGACGACAGCCGGGGTGCGCGAGGGATTGACCCGCTGCACATACACTTCAATGGACTTGTACTGTTGGTTCTGGTATAGGTAAAGCACAAGGTCATGAATGAAGTTGAATCGGTCGCAGACAATGATGAGCGGCAACTGTTCTGTCAACCGAGCTTCCTTGAGGAAGTTCTTGACCTTTTCGGCATTGTAGTAGTTGCTCTCACGGCAGATTCTCTCAACCTCGGTGATCTGACCCATGGCAGTGGCGGCTTCGATATACTTGAAGTGCACCTCGGGGTCCTCAGACAGATTGACGATACTTCCAAGGTAGTAGTACAGACCCTCCGCAGTGCGGTATTTCTCCAGGAGGCTGATTAGGCGGCCAGGTCCAATGAGGTCGGAGAACTTTGTACAGATCTGAACAACGGCTTGCAGGTTCTGGCGGATATTGACTTCCAACATCGTGTCCATGCACTCCAAAGTCTGCTCGACAGAAAGACGGCCAATAAAGTTCATCAGCCACTCCGAGTTCAGCTTGTCAGTCTTGACGATGTTGCGCTTGATCACGGCGGGATCATCGGTATTTTCCAAGGCTCTTTGGACAAGACCAGCACCTTCGCAGAGCTGAGAGATGCGAGGGCGGTCATAGTGCGTGAAAATCTCGTTGCCAAGGATAGCGTCAGCAACTTGAGGGGCGTTGACAAGGTTCATCTCGAGCAGACGTGTCTGGAGATGGCCATGCTCGGGCTTGTTATCCTTGAGAGCATCCAAAAGGAAAGAAGTGGCCTGTTGGATCATGTTTTGGGCCAGGAAGACGTCAACGACGCGATCGAGGTCAATGAGGGCACCAGATTCTTCATTCGCAAGCTGGCTCGCAAATTCAGCTCCCTTTTCCGGGTTCACGCGTACAATATGTTGGAGAAGCTGGGTGTAATCTGGTTGGTAACCGACTTGCTTGGAGTAGGCGAGGATCTTGTCGAATTGACCGGTTTCGGCAAAACCGGCAATGACCTTGTTCGGAACATTGGCCTGGAGGTAGATGCTCAAAGCGAGGTTCATGTCGTATGGCCGCACAATGTCACCAAGCTCCTCGGAGCCCTCCAGCTTGTTCTCACGCATCCACTTTTCCAGCAGGTGTTTTCTGTTCTGCTGCAAGACAGGACGCACAAGTTCAACACTCTCGTATCTGTTAAGAGTTCCCTTGTCCAACAGCATACCAAAGTACTGCAGAATGACTGACATTCCCTGTCCGCTCTGTGGAGCGTTCTTGAACTTGTTGATGGTATCGGTGGTTCTAAGAAATCCTCGAGGAGAGTTTGCAGCGATCTTCGCGGCTTCCGAGTAGTTACCCTGCGCGAGCAGGTTGTCAAATTGCTGCTGGTAAAGGTGGTCCGCTCCAGGAAGCCCTCCCTTGGAAGCAAGCTTCACAGCGAGGCCGGACATGGCCGGGTTCTCCATCAGATAACCAATGATATTGTCCTCATCGACACTGACGGACAAGACTTGACCTTTGCGGTTGACACCGACGAGACCAGCGGATTCGGAGTCGGGGGCGGTAGTAAAAATGGTCTCGCTGGATATCCGGTTCATGAAGATGCAGGTACCGGATTCGAGGTCGTAAAGGTGGATAAAACCATACTTGGTGACCAGGTAAACGATGTCATATCTTCGGGAAACCTGCATCGCGACTGGAAAGTCGTTGACTGCCTCTTGGGGGAAGAACACCTCCACGGCTTTCTTCTGGAACCTCGGGTTAGGCTCTTGGTGATCAATCTCAGCAATCTGCAGCTTGGCCCCGGTTTGTGTTCGCACGGCGAATGTGAAAAGCTTGTGTTCCAAGGGCGAGCCCTCCACTCTGATTGAAGCAAAGGCAGCTGCGTGACCTTCAATAAACTGCGAAATCCCACGCTCCTTGGAGTAAAGCTGCATTGAACCAACAACACGACCCTGCTGTTGGCTGATTCCAACAACCACCATCCATTTCTCTTCGTCGTTTACGCGGTAGTTGATGATTTGGCAGCCCTGAAGAATGACGCATAATTAGATGTGCACTTTTAGCAATTCTCTCGGGAAAGGATGAACATACGCTGAGGTTCGGGAGTCGGTCAAAGACCTTTATTGGCTGAGACTGGGTGGGATCGAAAACATCCCAGTGGTAGACTGAGGTTTCCGTCACCAGACCCAAGCTTTGCTCACTGAACCACTTCCAGTACACAACATCCTCGTTCATGACCGCAGACTTGAGCTTCGCCTTGGCTGCCAGGTCGAATATTTGGATTGTCTTGCCTTGCGCTTTGAGGGCAATGATATTCTTGGACCAGTGCATAATAGCACTGTCCGCGTTGATGGGCCGTTTGATGACTTCATTGTTGTTCTTGAGATTAATGATGATAACCTGGGGCTTATCATTCTCGTCCAGTTTCTGGCGGACGCAGACGTAGTGATCCGATTCTAGAGTCTGTATGACGTACGGAAGTTAACGGCCGGACGAAGGCGGATCATTGAGACGCGCAGCAAGACTTACACATGAATTGAACCCAATCGACGCCGGCTATCAAGAGCGTGGTGTCAGCAGCTATCTCGGAACATATCAAAGGTGCGTTGGAGAGGGCGGAGCCATAACACGGGGAAAGGCCACGGAGTGCGACGACCAGAGAACATACCGCGATTTCGGCATTCGTCAACTGCGCGAGCGAGGTCAGGAGTCAGTTTTGCAATCAATAGTGGGCGATTGAATCAGAGCAACTCACATTAATAAGCTCCGTGAATTTAATGGGAAGAGGAGCCATATTTACAAGGGCCGCAGGACGACCTCATACACCCGGAAACGCCAAGCAAATCAATGAAGGGAGATACAGGAAATGGTGCGTTAAGAAACGAGGGATTGGAGTATGTAAAGAGAAAGGAGTAAGGAAAGGGGGAATGAAGGAAAGCGGAGAGGAAGATGAGGAATTGGGGAGTTGATGAGCAGGGAAACACTGGGGAAGCGGAAGGTGACCTCAGGAGGCAGGCGCCGTCGTTGCTGAGGTGTCGCTTATGGCCTCCGTCACGTGCACGTGGCCCCAGTGCCTGAGCTACCAGTAGCTCCTCGAGTAAACGCGAACCCCGGGAGTGAGATGAAAGTAATTGCTAGTAAGGCTAGAGGTGAGATGAATCTAGGGATCTTTGACTATTTGTTGTTCTGAACTGGACTGCGGAGGCAAAGGATATGTATGCAGGAGGAATTGAAGGTCCAGTGAGCCAAGAACTATACGCAAGCCAGCTGGGGAAGTTGGTTGTTGGAGGATTCCCGGCCTGCCTCAGATCAAAACACCTGCTCTTATAGTAGAGGTGTTGAGAGTTGATTCCTTCACTTGGTACTTGAATAGCGAGTCTTGCAGGTCGATTCCAACTTCACTAACGGAAGGAGACCATTGCGGGTGGTTGTCACCGGGTGCTTTCAATGCCTTCCAGTGCTCGGAAAGACCATGTCAGGTGCTTGAAGTAAGTATTTAAAGCAAGGGATGACAATTGCAGCACCCCGTAATTATATTCATGATCCTCGGGGTGAGCCGACCTATAATCCTGGTTTGCTAGGTAGGAGGAAGAGATTCAACTGCCTTCATCAGTCTATACCTATCTATATACACAATGACATGGAAGCAACCTGGGCTTGATTGAACAATGGATAACTGGTCCCGTCTAAGCATATCTATTGTATTCACCAAATCTGGTCCAGCAAACCTTTAACCCACGGAAATCATTCGCCACAAACTCGCTCGTGCAATTGACAGGCCAATCAACCAGGACATTCACTGAATCTCCGAGCAAAAATCAAGAACCAAAAAGAAATGCTCCCACGCGGATTTGAACCGCGGACCTCATGATTTATATTGACGTTTGAAATTCGTACTAGTCATGCGCTCTACCAACTGAGCCATAGGAGCTAGTTGTTGGTGCGAGCGGAGTACAATGTTATCTCATCCAGCGCGTCAATATTTTCTGTTACCGTTGTGTGCTAGGCTACTTTCGTGTTAGCTCAGCTTACCTAATGATTCGTCCCCAAGCCGAGCCTCAGCTGCTTTGTCCATGGTACTCGTTGACTACATTCCCTTGGAACTCGAGCTGCCAGGCGCTGGGCAAAGCTAGTGTGTTTTTTTTCACACCGGTGTTGAGGCCTATTCATGAGACTTTCAGTTTTGTTGTCACTAAGGACACGATCGAGCTACCTTCGCTCCCGCCAAACTGTATAGAGCTGCTGCGATCGCAGAAGTACGGACTTGACTTCGCTACACTAACACCAGGAAATCATACACAAGCTTGGAATCTCGCACTATCATACTATTATTTGCCTGGATGGACCATGGCAGAGGTTTCCATCTCGACATTCCTGCCATGAGCCACGTGCTCGTAGGAAGTTGTCGCAAAAGCTCGGGTTCGAGACTCAGTTGAATCGATTCTCCTGTACTATCAGAATCCCCAGCATTCAACAGCCCTCGATGCCGAGTGCCGACGGGCGTAAAGGCGTCAAAGCCATGACAGAAGTCGCATACGCTTTACACTGCAGCATAGAAGACTATACTCCCCAGCTGTCGCTCAATTAGGATTGCGTTGATCTTGCCTCCCATTTTCCTGGCAGCAGCACTCCGAATGTGGAACACAGATCGCAGTCAGATCTGCAAACTCAATGTGCTCCAGCTACGGGCATACGTGCGCCGTTTACTAGGGATGGGTATTTTGGGAGAAGGAGCGAGGACCGGCGAAGGATCCCCATAGGAACTTCACCCCACGCCCTGAACCTCTTCCTCGGATAAGCATCCCTTACTGTCACTGTATCGATTACGGGGTAGGTAGCTTAAGTCGAATTGCATTTGACCTATCATCGTTATTCTTCCTCTACAGAGGGATGAACCACCGCAGGGACGAGCCAGATCCTGGAAACACCTTTGTTTGACCTTCATTTTCGCGAATATCCTCTGTAAGACCTTTTACACCACTATGGGCGCTATCTGGACCTTCACTTGATCTCTACAAAGCTTCTGCTTATTCCTCCGCTTCGACCTCTACTCGAACCTCTACTTCTTGATCAATAGTTCACGCCTATAATCCCCGTTCTCTCAAGATCCTCGCTGTGGTGAGGATTGGATCTCGATGTTTCTCTGGTTTTGAAGTCTTTCGGGATCCTCGCTGCGGTGGGGGTAGACTCTTGCCGGATTTCTCTTTGGTTGGGTCGTGGAGAGTCCAGGGTAGAAGGGGACTTGCGTGTGCCTTCTTCCTGGCTCCAGCTAACGCCTGTACGAACCCCAATACATACGTTTCTATAGGCTCCGGTCGTCATTTGAGAACAGTCTCACGAATAATTCAGGGGAACGGTATTGGAAGGCGCGAAGGATGTCGGTGTTCCACTTTAAATCTTCACTCTCGCTCAGATCCTCTTGAACCTCTACAAAAAGCCTCTCTTACCTCGCTTTGTTGATTAAGGAAGACCTTCGCTGGTGCTTCAATCTTGTATTCCTTCGTGATCATTGTACAGTACTGTGGCTCGTTTCAGAGGCTTAGAAAAGCTGCTTGGGCTCTATATCACAACAGTCTGAACTCATGTATCAACAGCTCCTATGGCTCAGTTGGTAGAGCGCGTGACTAGTAATCACGAGGTCCGCGGTTCAAATCCGCGTGGGAGCATGTCTTTTTGGTCCTTTTCTAAATTCCATCGCAGCTTTTTTTTCTCCCCCTTTTTATATCTACTATTTACTGTTCATGACGTGATCGTTTCTCATCCATTGTTTATTATTGCTCTATGCGTGCCCCCATCTGGTCCACTGGTTGGGCTGCTTGAAGGCGTCGTTGCCCCTGGTTTAGGCGGGGTCAGGGCTGAAATATATACTTGTCCGGCTCCCATGAACCCTGTCAACACCGGTTGAATGTCTCGGTGCCGCGTCCATCTCATTAGGGCAGTACCTAGCTGAGATATCCAAATGGTGTCGACAAATCACACCAACTTCCCCGCACCAAAGCCCGATAACAGAGAAATAATCGAGTTACTCTATGACTACGATAAACAGAACTGGTCATTAACAGAGCCCCGACCACTGGGCAGGCAACAATGGGACCAAATCCAGACAACATACCGCGCATTAGCAGAAACCGCGGACACTACGAGAACGGGACAATTCTACTTCGATAGAAGTTGAAGGATATAGGGCAAGTCGCGAATGGAAAAGGAAATAGGTCTACTGCACAAGCTTTTAGTACGGGAGCACCACTACAAGCATCTCCCAGGGGGAAAAAAAGGAAGAAAAAAAAGAAGAAAAAAAATTCCCAAAAAATTTATCAAACCCGTGGGTATTCATTTTTAGCGACGCGGACCATTTTGGCACACAAACAAAAGAGGATATAACAGTCTAGTGGTGGAAGAGACGAGTGCCCTGCTCTACAAAGACCATACCGAGCTTCTCAGCAGTCTCAAAGACGGGACCATCGTTCTGGCTACCGCTGGGAGCAGCAATGTACTTGACACCCGAACGGGCAGCGCGGAAGACGTTGTCGATGAAAGGGAACTTTCACGGAGTTAGTACTAGAGGCTCTAAGCAGAAACGGGAGGGTAACGTACAAAAGCGTCCGACGACACGGCAACCTCGCCCAGCTGCTTGAGCCAGGACTCGCGCTCCTCCTGTGTGAATGGGGCAGGAACCTCCTCAAAGACGCGCTCGTATTCAGCCCTTTCAATGTCATTGCGGGGAGTCTGACCAGAGCAGAGCAGGTCAATAGCGTTGCTCTTGTCGGCGCGCTTGGTGCCGGCCTTCCACTTGATGCCGATGACACGGTCGTGGAAGCGCATCCACCAGTTGTCGGTCTTGTCACCAGCCAGACGGGTGCAGTGGATACGGCTCTGCTGGCCGGCTCCGAGACCAACAACCTGGCCGTTTAGCGCGTAACACACAGAGTTCGACTGGGTGTACTTGAGGGCAATGGTGGCCACGGTGAGGTCCCTTAGAGCGGAGTCGGGGAGGGTCTTGAGATCCTTTGGAGTAATGATCGTGGTAAAGGTCTTTTGGGGGGAGATGACAACGTCATTTCGGTGCTGGCTGAGCTGGACACCGTAGACTGTGCGAGTCTCCTCGCCAGCAGGAACGTAAGAGTCGTCCATTTGCAGAACGAGGTACTTGCCGCCCTTCTTCTTGGAAAGAATTTCGAGGGCCTCCTTCTCATAACCGGGAGCAATAACACCGTCAGAAACCTCACGGGAGATGATCTTGGCGGTAGTAACATCGACAACGTCGGAAAGGGCGAGGACGTCGCCAAAGCTGGACATGCGGTCGGCACCACGAGCACGAGCGTAGGCTTGAGCAAGGCCCGAGGACTCGATGCCGGCAATGTCGTCGACCATGTAGACCCTGCGCTCCTTCTCAGTAAGAGGAACACCCACCGCAGCACCAGCGGGAGAAACGTGCTTGAAGCTCGCAGCAGCAGGGTAGCCAAGAGCCTGCTTCAGCTCCTTGACAAGAGCCCAAGCATTGAGGGCGTCCAAAAGGTTAACGTAGCCGGGGGACCCATTGAGAGCCTTGAAAGGAAGCTTGCCTTGAGGCATGTAGGCCGAGGCGGGCTTCTGATGAGGGTTGGTTCCGTAACGGAGAGAGAGGTACTGCTCGCCGTTGCCAGCGTACTGCTTGCGGAAGAAACCCGAGATGGCGGTATCATAGTCTGCGGTGTGTTCAAACGCCTTGAGGGCGTATGACCTCCGGCTGGCCTCGGTGATTTCTCCAGCCTCAAGCTCCTTTAGGAACTCGGGGTAATCCTCGGGATCCGAGAGGATAGTAACGCGCGAGTGGTTCTTTGCGGCGGCACGGAGCAGAGTCACTCCTCCGATATCGATCTCTTCCACGGCCTCCTCGATGGTGACGTTGACCTTGTTGACGGTCTCCTTGAAGGGGTACAAGTTGCAGACGACAAAGTCGACCTTGGCGATGTTCTGGTCGGCCAGATCCTTTTCATCGGACTCGATATCACGGGCAAGAATACCACCGTGGACGGCAGGGTGGAGGGTCTTGACACGGCCACCGAGCATCTCGGGTGCGTGGGTAATAGCTGAAACATCCCTGATGCCCGTCAGCCACCAAGCTTTCACACAGCCCCGAATGTCATATCTTCCAACAACCACGGCCTCGACAGGATGAGCGGCGAAAGGGGCCCATGTCAAAAGGGAACGCACTCAACTGGGAATCCCGCTTCCCGGATCATCCTCGCGGTACCACCAGACGCAAGCAGGCGGACATTGTGCTTGGAAAGACCCTTTGCCAGGTCCAGAAGACCAGTCTTGTCGTAGACGGAGAGGATGGCTATAGTTGGGCAAGAGAAAGCATATAATTAGCAAGACCATCCAGAGAGGATAAATAGCAGTCAGAGAAATGTCAATTGTGGGGACGAGGTGAACCAAGTCCGTACTTGGCAGAGAGCTGGAGAGGTTCCAGATTCCAGCATGAGAGAGATCCAGTGCTCAGCAGGGAGAAGAAAGGAAATGTGATAGCCTACCTGACTTTTGCTGGGACATTGTGAGACACTGACGGCGACGTTCTGAGCCCCAGAAAGAAGAAAAAGAAGTCAGGACTGACGATGTGCAGGAAAAAGAAACTTAAAAAAAAGATCGGGAGGGTCAGGAGCTCCCCACTACCCCTCAATCTCAGTCGAGAGTCAGACAAAATGCTACCTAGGTAAGGTCTGAAGAAGTAGCACTAGAGAAGGAAAGGGTTGTAGTCTTTTCACTTCAATTATGCGCACAAACAACAACTATAAAGCCCACCACATAAATTGACGATTCCCTCGATTCCAATTGCCTTCTTCTTCCCGCGGGGTCACGTCAGTCATGAATGGCCGCTTTCGGAGTCCATCCCACTTAACCACCCAGGAGACGCATAAAGTAGCTGACTAACTGATCTAGCATATCAATATTTATCCTGAAAAAATTCACGTGGCGCTTCTCACATGATTATCTCTGCACAGACCACATTTCAGTGAACAAAACCCAAGCCAAAAATTTCTCCCGCGTCTTTTTCTTTTCTTCTTTTCTTCTTCATGAACAACGCAAAATCAACATTCTTCCAAAAAGCGTTCCTACGAGGGATCAATCCTTGATTGATACCTATGAAGTACGGAAATCGTCATACAGAATGGAGAACGACTGCACATTGCAGGAGTATCGATCTTGGGTGCAGTGCCTACCTGGCCCCTACGGGGCTTGGTGGGAGGGACTGCAATGATTGGTTCTACACCACGTATTTTCTAGAGGATTTGTTCTGTGTGTAATTTAAGTTTTGTAGGTGTGGCTTGATATTGCTTGATGATCCTGCGTGCTTATGTGCGTGATGGATGTCTACCATACGGACTATCAGGTCGCATCGACATGTTCGAGGAAGAAGTTTGATTTACGGCATGCACGAGGTTACGGAACCGATAAACATCTCATGAGAAGAGCGTTCTGAACGTATTATTCGTCTCTTTTAAGGCATTTAAGAAAGACCTCACGTCCTAACCTGAATCATGGCTTGACTGCCTGGCGACGCCCAAAGTCAAGTTGTCTGCCAATGTTGCCGAAGCAGACGATCGCGCAGAAGAGGACGCTTGCAACCCATGTTCGGACCGCAATGCTCTCCTGGGTAATTCCTGCCACCGCAGCAGCTTCTGCCCCGGTCCCGTTTAGTGTTGGAATTGTAGGCGCAGATGCTTCGGCCGACGGAATCAAATCAGGCTTGAGACCTAGCAGCAAGCCCATACCCCCGACTCCCAAGGTGGTTGAAAGGATGAAACCGGTCTTGGTGCGGTCGATGAGATACCACAGAACGGGATTGACGAGGGCCAGCGTTAGAGACGCTTGAGTTGTGGATTCCCAGGGAGTGCGACGCTATAAAAGATGAACATTAATCATTGCTTACAGACAATCACACGAAAAAAAAAAGTCGCTTACCATGGCGAACGCGATACCCACAAAAGCTCCGACGCTGCGGACCACGGCGGGCCAAGAAAGCGCGAGCTCCGAAGTGTTCTGATCAGTACTCGAACGTTTATCCTGCGTCGCATCGCCGACTGCGCCCTCCAGGAACGTGTCCAACCAAGGAAGAACGTTTCCTATAGCGATCCCGGTGATGCCCCATAGCCCCAGATATTGCCATGATCCGTAAAAATGAGTATACTCAAGTTTCACCGGGGTAATCCAGTGGTTTTCGTGGAGGTGGATGGTAATGATGCCGTATGCGACACCAAATGCAAATAAAAGGGTGCTCCGGAGGGCCTGTGGGAGAATAACGCCGCGGAACAACCCTTGGCTGAGGCGAGACCGCGTTCGAAGAACCGCGGCAGAGTCTGTCCGGCCACCAGTTGGTTGAACCTTGAGGCTGTTCGGGCTGCGAGGTTGTACCTCGGACTCGGTTCCCCATGGACTGTGGTCATCTCGAATGCTCTCAAAGGCCGTCGGAGAGTAAATGCCATACAACGTTGGGGATGTCAAATTCATGATCGACCCATTGCGACTGATAGCGGCCGACCCAGGTTCTCTGGGAGTCAAGGTGTCGGAATTAGAGGGTTCCGCCGGGGTCGAGGATCCGGATGAGTCGTTCAAATTGAATACTCGCTGGGGGCGTGGGCGCAAGATTGGAGTTTGGTCGGACATGATGGGCGAAAAGAGCAGAAGAGCGCGTTTATGTGGCAACTCGTGATCTCAGACGTAGCATCTAATCCAGGGCGGCAAAGTCCGGAAGAAACAGCGCGCTGTGGGTGGTTGCGAATAATGGCCGTGGAAGGAGAATAGGAGTTATCAGGCCTGGGAACTTTGAAGAGATGGAGAGAGTGAAAGTGGTCGAGGTCGATTCGAGAGGAGGTGGAGTGGTGTTCACAACCCCGGTTGTTGGTTGTTGGCAGCGGCGGACGGAGGCCCAGCGTGTCTTAATAATAATAACCGCAAACTCAAAATGGAGAGAAAAAAAAAAGTCTCACTCAGTCTTCAGATGGTTCTGACAGGGGACACAGCTGCAGAAGAGGAGGAGGCCGGGAGGAGAAATACTATGTCGCCAGTGGAGCACGACTGGTCCGCTGCAGGAGAAGCTGGGGAGGCAAGATTTGCAGAGGTGGGCGTGCTCCGTGGAACTGGGACGGAAATGGTGGTTGAAGAGTCAGACGAGAGCTTCTAAAGACATTTTTATCTCTACAGTTGGTTGGGGTTACTGTGGCCCTCAACCCTGAACCTGTTGAGCCAGTCGCGTAATGCCCATTCCGGTCTTCACGAGTCCGTCCTCGGAAAATACAGTATAAGTGTGAAAGGCACCAGGGCACGATCCGGGCGTAAATATCTCCTGACAGCGTACTCCGTAAACACAGGGCGTTGCCCCCTTACATGCCCTATCTTTCCGGCACTGCCATTTCCAAAATACAGCCCTGTACTCGGTAGACTCGTACTAGAGCTGGGATCCTTACGCACACGAATCGCCATGCAGTGAATCTGGATTACATTGTATGGGAACAGTTTGTTGAGCTCCTCGGCAGTAGTTGCAGCGTCAATGACTCTTGAATCCTAGTCAGGTCATGTGCTTGTCGCTGCCAGAGTTACTCCTTCGGCCGCAGAACGAAAGTCATAGAGTATTCGTATTTACGGTGTAGACCTCATCCCGGTCCCTCAGCTGCTGATCTCCGCTTGTTACTATGGAGCACGACTCCAATCCTTACCAGTCTAACGCCGCCGGACGTCATGATGTCTTGGATTACTGGGATTTAATGGCTGTGGCAAGACCTTGGCTTTGGCCATGACTTCATCATCAAGGGAAAAAAAAGCAAAGAATAAATAAAAGTCAAAATAAGTATGAGTAGAAGTGAAGTAGGCGAAAGAGGACAGATGCGAAGGGAACGAGAAGCTAGGGTAGTCCTTAGCTGGTAGAGGAAAGAGAAGATAGAAATAGGGTCCTGAGATACCAGACACGTCAGTATATCCTGCCAACAGTCACATCCGAGCTTCCAAGCTAAGCGCGCCATCGGGATTGAGGAGACGCCGTCTCAAGCCCATCCCGGTCTCTCAAAGTCGGCACCCGAAACCTCACTTGCCGCATCGCGCTCTCCGCCGTCGGGAATGGATGAGGTCTCATCGGCATCGCCCTCCACATCCATATCAACATCATTCTCGTCGAGCTCCTCGTCTTCACCGTCATCGTCTTCTTCTTCATCAGACGACAGGGCATCGGCATCCTCATCCCCGTCTCCGCCCAAGAGGCTGTCTTCGTAACCTGGCTCGCCGGGACGTAGTGCTTGGGCTGCTCCAGAAATGTCATCTTCATCGCCGCTACCCTCGCCCAAAAGTTCACGATCAATATCATCAAGTCCCTCTTCTCCTTCGATCTCTCCGGGCGCCGGAGACAGTCCGTCATCTCGCCCTGGCGTATGCAAGCCGGTAGTATTATCGGCTCCGAGCGTAGATGCGCCCGCGCCCTTACTACTCCGGCTGCGGCCGCCTTTGGCACGGGATGCTGACGCCTTGGAAGCCGCACCGGTTGGAGTCGACGTCGCAGCAGCGGCGGCGGCGGCCCGAGCGAGCTTGCGCTTGGCATTGCGTTGAGCCCGAGCTCTGCTTCGAGAAGACATCTTACCCTCTAAAGCATCCTCAAAGTCCATAGCTTCTTCCCTGGCTTTCTGACGTTCTTCCCGCTCCTTCTTCCGATCCCTTCGCGGTCCGTTTGCATTTTCATAGTCCCAGCGGTCTAGTCGTCTGGACGCTTTCCGGATGACAGACAGAAAGTAGTTTGCGCACTCGCCAAAGTCCTCTTCATCCTCTGGGTTCGGCAGAATCCCGGCCTTTCCCCATGATTTTTCATCCTCTGTATCGTAACCATCCGGAAGATTCTGCAGCAAGCGGCCATACCGAATAAATGGGATTTCGTTCTCCCTCTTCTCACGAAGATCACGATATGCATCACTTTTCCGTTTGGCTAGGATGTATTCGATTCGTTGTCGGCGATTTCGCTCTACTGCCAATTGGTGTTGCGTAAGTGGCCGGGGTCGTCGGCTCGAAGATTGATGATGATGTGGCGAAGCTTCAGTAATGAATCGATTCAGGATAGGATGACCTGAGCCTGGGGGCGCCGGCGAAGCAGTATCGGGGGTGTGCTCTGCCTTTGTCTTCAAGACGCGTGGGGATGGGCCTTCGAGGCCGGCGGGTTGGTAGCCATATTCGTCGTCTCGAGGCATCTTCATGGTAGAGCGAATCGTTCCATCGGGATTTCGAAAGTCTATGAGATTGTCAGAGTCTGCGCCGGCTACAAAGGCTTCCCCTTTATTATCAGAGTGAGGGAGAGAGATTTCGTTACCTGTAAGAAAAAGTTAGCAACAGGATTCTTTCCACTAAATCCCGTGTCAACCGCTCACCAGGCTCCATTTGCTTCAAGTATTGGGATTCCCAATATGGCGCTATGAAGTGAGGGCTGTCAGGGAAAGGAGTGTGGCTGAATTGACAGCTGGGAAATTTGCAAGACTTACCCTTCTTAGGACGTTTTGGCGCTCTGGGTGTAGGTTCTTCTTCTTCTAAGATTCCTAGATGAGAGTTAGATAGTAGGGTTTGTTTGGGGGCGTGGATGGTGGAAAGATGGGGAAAGATCGTAAGGCCGGGGCAAATAGCGTACGCTTGCGTTCTAAGCGCTTCTCCTCTCCATACTCAATCTCGGATTGCGTATCGACATTTTCTTCATTCGCCTGCTCCTCGGTGAGAATCTCATAAGCCGGGACCTTGAGCGGCAAACCACCGGTCCCTTCACCCTCAAGACCGGGACCGAAGGGGTTGTTCATCGCAGCTTCACGAGAAAAGTCGCTCTCCAGGTACCACCACATGAGCCAAAGGAAGGCCTTTGCGCGGCTTTGACTGCTCAATGTGGATCTCATAACAAGATCGAAAAAATCGCGGGGAGGGAAGAAGTGCACCTCGGATACCTTGGGAGCATATTGTGCGAGGACGAAGATCAGGTTCACGGGGTTGGTTCGAGGCACATTTTCGCGTTTGATCTTTTCTAAAGTATTGGGCTGATCGACATCCTCCGATGCACCCTTGAGTATGGACTTGAGGCGCGGAGCATCCTGCAGCTGTTTGTACGCGTTCGGATCCTGGTGCGCTTGTAACGAAGGGATGGAGTGGTAGGTTCGCAACTGAGCACGCATTTCAGGAAAGACTGCGACGAGACCGAGTTAGCGCGGCCGGCCTCAAACGCCCCTAGATTGAATCTAAGCAAGCAGTGAGGGAACATACAGTTGAGAGTGGTATTCATCCTTCCAAAGTTGACCAGCAGACAAACCATGGCCATGTTGATTGCCGCCTGTTTATCACTTTGAAGCTTATCCTTGAGGATCTTGCTAGTCTTGCTGCTCTTAGCCATAGCATCAATATAAATATCCGCAAAATCCAAATTCTTCTGTCCATCAGGCCAGCGGGTGAAGACTGGGGTCTTGTCCTCAAAGACAAGCTTAAGGAACTGGAACTGAATATCTTTGCGCCACAGAGGGATACCGTCCTCCTTCTTCAGATGTCTAATTTTGTTTCCCGAATAGACCGACCCTATCGTCCCGTTCGGTTGGCGTCTCGTACCAACCGTCATATTGTGGATTTGTTGCTCGTCGTGGGTTTCGGACTGCGCGAACGATTCGTCCGCGCCGGCCGCGGCTTCGATCTCAGCCATCGCGAGCTTTTGGGGGTCAGATCGGAGGTAGCAATTCCCATGCAAAGCAATTAAATCAATTGAATTGAGCCTGAAATGTCGACCACAGACCACAGGCGAAGTTTCCGGCCACGTGCCCTGAGAGGGCGAAACGCAGTTGGTTCACAGCCGGGCAGAAATCCGAGGGGGGAAGCTATGATGATGGTGAAAGAATTAGGGTACGAGCAAGGAGATGAGCCTGAAGATTCGCACCGCAGTGAAGGAAAGGGGTTAAGGAGGAGTGTAGAAGATAGGAGAACAAGGACGGGATGAGGCGGAAAGGGACGAAAGGACGGAAGGAGAGTCAAGTCTCAACGAAAGAGCTGGGGTGCTGATTTGAGGCCGGGAGCGCGATTATCGATCCATTCTTGTAATCCCGTACGGGAGACCTGGTGATGGTGCGAGACCCCAGCCATTTCTGCCACGCACCTTTATGTTATATTTCAAAGTCGGTAATTCTGGTAATTTTCCATTCCGTGCGACTTGAATTTGCCCCAGTCACCCAGGTCATAGTAACAAGCATGTCCGAGACAACTGATGCTATACTTCTTACGGTTATGAGTAGTATTATGAGTAGTACTTGATTATAGAAAGAAGCAAGCAAAGCGATTTACTGTATGTCGCAAAATGAGCATAACTTTTGGGTTAAATTGCGACTAGCTCCTTCTCGAGACCCAGAGTCTCCGTAGGGCCGTCTTCGGCATGTCCCCTTTAACCTAAACTGCTACATAGGTACTGACATGAGATGATAGATGCCTGCACCAGGACGAGTAGTGCCGTAGCAGTGTTTCCCCGCCACGGATCCGAGTTGTGATCATAACAAGAGAGATCCCGATCAAAGTCAGCCTCCACAAGACACCTGTGTAGATTTTGGTGGAACCAGTAGCAAGCCAACGCCAGATACAATGCAAAGAATCCCGTCTCTCTATCATCCATGTGTCATGATTTTCGTGCACGCTGTTTCGTAAACGTAGTGCAAAGAAATCAATCGTCGCCGAGAAGACCCGCGGTTCGTAATGGAAACACAAACAGAGAGAAAATGAAGAAAAGGAAACACGAGGCCTGGTTCTGTAGAAGTCTGAACTTCTTTCCCGCACGCCTGAGGAGACGGAGAAACAGGTCGGAGAAGGTGTTTCAATTGAAACTAGGAATGAGAAGCATGCGTGTAGGTAGAGGATACCAAAGACGAAACGAGATGAACGCCCCCTTGAGTGCCGAAACAGAGAAAACTCTATGTTGTAAGACACGGTCGATGCGATTGCTGTTGCACCAAGCAGAGGGAAATCATAAATGCACTTCACGAAAAAGCCGGAAAGCCTGCTCGGCACGCGTCGTCGTTCTCCGTAAAACCGCCCGAGAACAAAATGGGTATCTGATAGAAGCGGTCGTAGGAGAAAGTCAACGCAGTCTATGATGTTCATGCAATGCCGACCGACTCCGATACGCTCGACAATGGGGAATAGGTCGAGAGTAGTTCAAAGAATCCGGACCGCATCGAAAGCCATGTCTAAAAACAAAAAAAAAAGGAATATCAACGAGATTTGCGAAAGGCGTAGGTAATAACAAGTAACACCGCGAACTTGCTCAAGGGGGATAAATGGAACATGAAGTAAAGAAATTCTGGTCGAGTCGTCGCAGTCATGAAAAAGCCGGTCCTGAGAAGGTAAGCGAGGAGAGTAACAACTCAGGGCTTCTGATCGTGGTCCAAAAAGAGAGAGATAGAAGGAAGGTAATCAGATCCGGCGGCTGCATCAAAGACTCTCGTTTACCACCACGAGGAAGGGCCGGTAGGGCCAGAGGGGTTGCCGTAGCCACCACCACCGCCACTGCCGCCGCCATAGCCGCCGCTGTACCCACCACCACCGCCGTAAGAGGGAGCACCGCCGTAGCTTCCACCGCCGTAGTTGCTGGCAGGGGCGGCATAGCCACCACCGCTGCCAAAGGAGGGAGGTCCACCCATGTTTCCGCCCACGCGACGAACGTCACGACTAGCGTTGCCGCCACGGCCACGGCCTCCACGGCCTCCACGACCGCCGTATCCGCTGCCTTCACGGGCAATGCTCTCCAAGAAGGAGGGAACCTCCTGGTGAGCTTCCTTGAGGAGGTCAATCAACTCGCGTACGACGCCACGGTTGCCACGGTTGAAGAACGCAGTAGCGATACCTGTGTTACCAGCACGACCGGTACGACCAATACGATGGACGTAGTCGTCGATGTCGGTGGGGAGATCGTAGTTGATGACGTGGGTAACGTTGGGGATATCAAGTCCACGAGCAGCGACGGCAGTGGCGACTAGGATGGGGTAACGACCAGAGCGGAACATTTCAAGAGCACGCTCACGCTCACGCTGAGTACGGTCACCGTGAATGGCAGTAGCAGGGAAGCGCTGATTGATGAGAAAGTCGGACAGGGCGTCAGCCATGCGCTTGGTCTCGACGAAGATGAGCGTAAGACCAGTGCTGCCATGAGTGTGAAGGATATCGAGCAGGACAGAGCGCTTATCGTGATCCTCGACGTATTCCACCTTTTGTGTGATGTTTTCAGAGGTAGATCCAACACGACCGACAGACAGAAAAACATAGTCCTTTAAAAAGTCACGAGCCAACATTTGGATATCCCGAGGGAAGGTGGCTGAGAACATGAGAGTCTGGCGATCATTGACATTGGGCATATCCTCGCCCTCGACGATGCGACGAATTTGGGGCTCGAAACCCATGTCCAGCATGCGGTCAGCTTCGTCAAGAACCAGGTACTTGATGTTAACAAGAGAGATGCGGCCACGCTCAATAAGATCCACAAGACGACCAGGGGTAGCAACCAAAAGATCGCATCCACGCTCAATCTGGCGGAGCTGGGAGCCGATATCAGCACCACCGTAAACAACGCAGGGGCGAACCCAGGAGCGGTAGGCGAACTTGCGGGCCTCGTCAAAAATCTGAGAAACAAGCTCGCGAGTGGGCGCCAAAATCAAAGAGGTAGGGTAAGCCTTTCGCTGGCGGCCGTAGCCGTACTGACCAGCTGCTTGAGCAGGGGCGGCGGCAGGGCCGTTCTTGTAAGCCTGGGACAGGATGGGGAAAAGGAAACCACCTGTCTTTCCGGAACCGGTTTGAGCGCAAGCCATCAGGTCACGACCGTTCATCACAATGGGGATCGAGTACTTTTGGACGGGGGTGGGGGTCTGGTAGCGGGCGAGTTTGATGTTTGAAATGAGGTGGTCGTCCAAGGGAGGGTTGGTGAATGTGTTGACGGGCTCGGGCACATCATGACCGGAGGCCTCGACGGGAATGTCGTCGTAGTTGGCAAAGTTGATACCGGTGCTCTGCTTGGTGGGATCGTTGGGAACACCGAAAAGTTCGCGCTCAAGGCGAGCGTTGGCGGGACCAGGAACGTGCTTGCCGTCGCGCCACTGGCCGTCTCCGGAGCCACGGGCTGAGGCACCAGCGTAGCCGCCTCCATGTCCTGCTGGGTTTCCGTAAGCATCTGGATTAAAGGTTGGGCGACCGCCTTCAGTGGCGCTCCAGCTGGTGGTGTTGGTGTTACCATTGGGACCATTGGGACCGCGGGGGCTGAAATCAGGAGCGTTGGCGTTGGCCCAGTTGCCACCACGGGGACCTCCTCTGTAATGGAGCAGTACAGTTAGTTGTCTGTCGACTAAACGAATCCGGACAGCAAATCATGTCAAATACACTTACCTAGGACCATTGAACGTGTTCGGAGCAGAAGGAGGAGGAGCGGAATCAGCATTGGCACCCTGGCGCCCGCGGAGATGGGGAGGAATATAGGCGGCGCGGCCACCACCAGAAGGGTTACCGCCAGGCGCAGGCGCATGCTGGGATTCGTTGAGGGTAAGCCCTCCCATGTTCAAGCCGTCGGCCATGTTGGGTGGTTTATCAAAAACTGTATGACTCGTTCGGTAAGCTAATGAAGTTTATGGAGACGCAGGGGAGAAGAGCTGAGGAGGGGACGTACGACGTGGAAAGGCGGGAAAGCGACTTCTTCGGAAAAAGAGTATCAGCTGTCGCTCTGGATGAGTTTCGAGGAGGGGTTAACGAGGGTCTCACAGTTGGATACAAGGAGAGAGGGCGTGAGGTTGAGAGCGAAAGTTCGTATGATCTATCAGGAAAATAGAACACACGAAAGAGCGGCACAATAAGAGAAAGTGTTAATGACAGAAAACAAGGTGATCTCCCAGATCTAACCCTCTATTAAGTGCAAAAGGGAGGGAAAAGGAAACCAGTAAAAGAAAGAGATGATATGGAGGTCAAATATGGCAAGAGGAAAAGGACTTTTGATTATGAGGTTTGGAGAAGAAGGGGTTTAGAAAAGGAGGATGATGAAGAGGGAAGAAGAAAAGTGGAAGTAAGAAGGTTTGTGGGAGAGGAGGAGGCAAGAAAGGCTTAGTCCGCAAACTTGAAGTGTCAACTTGGAAGCTGTAATACTATTAAATTACCGCCCATCAAATGTAATGTGGTGTTACTCTATGGCCAGCGTGGAATCTCTCCTACTGGTCTCAAGAATCAATGCCCTCTTCCCCAAGACTTGTGGTAATTACCCAGTTATTGGGCATGACGAATTTTTTTTTTTTTTGCCATGACCGTGAAGGCAAAAGAGAGAAAAATTGAAGTCCACCGCCAAAAGGCCGGACTGCCAATAAGAACGCCCGAGGGCGAAAGGCTGGCCACACATTTCCCACAACGTCGATTCGACTGGGTGATTCTCCAGATATTTGATTAGAGTTTTTCATGGTCGAAGAGATTTGCTGCGTATTGACTGAGGTCTCCATCCTGAGTAGGTTGGCGCGATGTTGTGCTGATACCAGATATACATGGGACAGGCAGCTCTCCGTATTACTCTGTCTCTCTGCCCCCACTCAGACATCAAATGTAAGGCTGTGCGTGTTACACACACACGCAGGCTAATCAACCAAGTGCCTGACGGAATCAAGATTCTACGCCAGATTTGGTTTGATCATGAGCTTGCCACCTTCTGTGCCAAGCGCAAGTCATGTGACCTCATTTGCCACTGCCAGTGCAAGGCTGCGGGGGTCAAAGGAGAGAAAAAGAATGGTTATCTGGAGATCTTAGGTCTATGGGAATATAGAGTATGTGGACGAAAAATATGGCTGCAGAGAGCTATCGTATAGTGCGGAAAATGCTGCAAGATTGTTGATTAGACAGCACTCTTTTCGTCTTCACCCCGGCTTTTAGTCTTGTTCTTGTTCCTGTTCCTAACCAAGAGCACAACAACACCAATAATCACAACGAACATTGCGAATCTTGGGAGCATAGACGAAGAGTGGTCAAAGGTCACTGGAGCAGCTGCTAGTCGGGACGATTCAAACGGTTTGTTGCTCGGTGTGGCTTGCAACCCATCAGCATGGGGCTGGGAACTGGTCTATAGCTCCCCATGGGTACCTTTCTTTTCACCCTCATCGGCGCTGGTATCGGCATCGGCCTCGAACTCCAGCTCCCCGCTCTTGACAATCTTCACAGGCTTCGTGGGCCTATCGCTGGCACCCTTGGGGACGTTTTCGATCTTCTCGACGATGTCGTAGCCTTCGAGGACCTCGCCGAACACGACGTGCCTGCCATCGAGCCAACTGCAGCAATAGAGCTATTTAGTATTCCATCTCTGACCAAACAAACCAAGAAGTTTACAGAAACATACGAGGTAATCGCGGTGGTGATAAAGAACTGAGAGCCATTGGTGTCCTTGCCGGCATTGGCCATGCTCAGAACTCCTTTCTTGGTGTGCCTCAGCTTGAAGTTCTCATCCTCGAACTTGTTGCCGTAGATTGACTTTCCACCAGTACCTTGATTGGCAACAGTCAGCGAATTTCGCTCTGATCTAGGGTGTCCTGCCAAAAAAAATCAACGGCGGACCAAAACTTACCATCGCCGTTGGTAAAGTCACCACCCTGAATCATAAAGTTCTTGATCACACGGTGAAAGGTGGAGCCTTCATATCCGAAGCCCTTCTCACCAGTAGCAAGAGCACTTGATAACGCATTATTAACAAGAAACAATCAATCATCATGATTGCAGGAAATCATACCGGAAGTTTTCGGCAGTCTCGAGATCAAGTTAGCCACCAAGTTCGGTAAGCAGTTAGTTCTAGGATCGTTTACCTTGGGAACAGTCTTGCCATACAATCCCAGCACAATTCGGCCTAGAGGCTCATCGCCATGCTCGATATCAAAATATACCTATAATTCGATCCCGGATTAGTGATAAATTCGTCACAGAAAGAGACGGGCTAAAGTGATGGCTTAAACGGCATCAACTCGCCTTGTTGGTAATCTTAGGTCCGCGGGGCTCGGTGGCCTGGACGAGAGCCAGGCCAAGGGCTAGGACTACAAAGAAGGACAAGAAAAGGTTCTTCAAATTGGCCATTGTTGATAGATCACTCGATCCTTCTGTGTGATGATGGTTCGAGGGGAGAAGGGAGGATGAGGGGATTGTTGGGGTAGATAGCTCGGCAGCGAAGGCCAGCTTGCGTTATGGGAGCGCGCTATGACGCATTGAGGAACTGCTTCAAGTAATTTTCACCTTATCTTACGAGTTACCGCCTGAAAATAGTATAATCTGAGCATGCGTTGACGCTAACGAGTGAAAAATACTGCCCAAATACCGGAGAAACATTGTTGCAGAATCGAATTTCTCTGCCCGCTAGACGAGACATCCGGAGGCCACTCGAAGTTGGTCTCCTGCCGTGATCTAGTTCATAGACAAGAACAGCCGTCAAAATGGTACGTATATTCTCAATTGCATTTAACGATACCCAAATTTATGATCTAACAACTCTCAAGGTTTACATCCTGGGCCTGAACTTCACCGAGAGCATTCTCGTCAAGGCAAGTCTTCAAAACAAACCTCGATTGTCAAACCTCATCTAACGCGAAGCTCCTTTTGTGATATTAGAAAGCCTTGCAGAGTTTCTTTGGAATTGGTACGGATACCTCAGCGCGCCTCCTCGCCCGCTACCACATTCACCCAACATGCAAGGTCGGCGAGCTGGCAAACAAACAGGTTCTTGACCTAACAGCCGCACTATCGGATATGAAAATCGAGAACGATCTGCGGAGACAGGTACTGGATGATATTAAGCGGTTAAGGGAAACGGGAACGACGCGTGGCCGACGTCATGCGCTGGGACTGCCTGTTCGAGGACAGAGAACGAGGACACAGGTGAGTTATGTATCTATGCTGGTTTGGATGGGTTGCGAAGTCGTTTCTGACTATTCTGCTCCAGATCAAAACTGCGATCAAGCTCAACCGCGTGGATCGGAGGCTTTGACTTTCACCTGGGTTTGTTCTTCCACGGCCAAGTCGTTCTGTGCGGGCATGGCATGGCGTGGCGTTGTATGTATATGTATTTTATTGAAAGTGTGATTCCCCTAGAAATCTATGAATGTACTTTATATGGGAAAACTTTTAGTCCGATCTTGCGCTAATGCCAAAGATCAAACTTTTGAAAGAATATACACGACTCCAAGACCTACTCATAGTACATATGCAGGCAGAAACTATGAAGAAGACAAAACACCCTCGCCGCGATTGATCTGAATCCGCTTATCCTCACCAGCGCTCACAATACCGACTTGCCGGTCCCAGCAGACGCTAAACACCTTGACACCTTCACCACCTACGCGTTTGCTGTTCGCCCTGCCCTCTTCCTCCAAGCTCTTTCGAGAGATAGAGTATACGCTATCACCAACAGCTGCGCCTTTGTCTGTTTTCGTGGCACGCAGATCCCAGATTCGGCATGTTCCGTCGTGGCTACCGCTGATAAGCCCATATGTGCTGTTCGGATCACGCGCAAGTGTGACAACGGCGTTTGTGTGCCCCCGAAGCGTCATAGCGGAGATGGTCGTTGCTGAAGCGCGAGGATCTATGAGGGTGATGTGGCGTGCGGATGTTCCGGTGGCGAGAAGGTGGTGGTCGGGTAGGTGCTCAAGCGAGAGGAGAGAGTGAGATATTGTTCGAGTATCCACGAGGCTTGCAGTTACGAGATCCCATGTTCGTAGTGAATGATCCCACGAGGCCGAGTATCCTACTGTTGAATCTTTGGCATCAAAGATCGCGGCTGAGACCGGTGCTGTGTGTGCGGACATAAGGGCCAATGGTCCGCGTTGTGAGACGCTCACGGATGTGTTTAGCTTTCTCCTCTTTGATGTCCTCGAGCCAGTTGAGGGGAGCAGGTTCTCGGGCGCAGCCGGGGCGTCGGATTTCCTGGTCGACCAGAACCCTACGCTGTGATCTGCCGAGGCGGAGAGGATGCGATTTGAGGGTGCGTGTACGGATAACGAGTTGATTCCTGATTTGTGGCCATAGAGTTCAAGTTGAGGAGCAATCTTTCCAGAGAAGCCATCTTCGCTCTCGGAATACTTCCATAAACGCACTGTCCGATCGAGCCCAGCAGAAACAATTGAATTTGGAGAGACGAATTTCGCCGCCTTGATGGAGGACGTGTGTCCGCCTTCAGTCGGTGAAGGAGAAGTTGCGACAACCTGGGAAGACGTATTCCATACACGCAATAGACCGTCGTAGCTTCCAGAGAGAATGCGCTCCTGGCCCTGGGGGATCGACGAGGCAGACGTGCCAGAGAGTACATCGACCGCGCTCACCCAGTCGTCATGCTCATAAGATGCAATGTGCAATGGCGGTATCAGGGCTCGAACATATTCAATTTCTAGAGTGGTTTCTGCCGATATCCCGTTGGCAGTCAAGTATTCGTCAATCGATGTTCGGAGGAATGCCCCGTTGATAAGGAACTCGAATGGAATCGGCTTGTCATTTCCGAGGAGGTTGTTGACGAGGGTCGAAAGAGCATATCGTCTTAGACCTATAAATCTAAAGGTTGGTAATCCGTTGCCAAAATTTAAACGCTATACGATTCCTAGAGGTACTGACCAGTGGGCACGAGAATTGGACCTGTGCTGTCAGGAAGTGCGATATCTTCTTGTTGGCTAGTCAGTTGCACGCGCACTTGTCTCTGGGCCGCCTGAAGCGAGTTCGCCGTAGACAATTGTGTATTATCCATGTTAGAACGGCTGGATCCCGAAGACGATAATGGTCCTTGGGCGATTCGAGGTTCTGCGAAGTAGAGGCAGAAAAACTCCGCTTGGCGAAAGGAAAAAAAATTACGGTGGGCGTTGCGGCCACTTGTGCCAAGCGCGGAGCCATTCTCCGCACATGCAAAAACACTGCTCGAGATCTAGAGTGTAGAGTTTGGACTTTTGATGAAGAAATATGCGTTCTATGCTACCTAATATATACACAAATACCCTATGTGCCCTTTGATGCTCTCCTGATTTCTGCAATTGCCTTTCGCCGGTAGTCAGATTCTGCAAAAAGCGCCTCAATCAAGTCCACCACTTCATCCGCGGAGAATTCGAGAGACAGCTCTCCCTCCACCCATAGGAACTTGATGTCGGCTATAGAGCTCTCGAGGATGTTGATCAGATACTGGAATTTGAGCCAATTCCGCACGTAGACGGCGGTCATGGGCACTGGTTCGTTACTATCCGAGTTTGCTGGCAAAAACAGCCTCTCCAGCCTTGACAACTGATTGCAGAAAGATACGAGCTTCTGAGACTGAGCCTCGGATATGTCACCCAGATCCGCGATATCAATGATAATCTTGTTGATTACCGTCGATACTAGGGAACCAATTGCTTGGAGCAGTGCGGAATGCGAAAGAATCGGCTGCCACTCAGCATAGACGTCCTGTAGCCTGTCCACAGTTGCGCTCACAGCGTTTTCACATTCTCCCAGAAAAGGTTGTTCCGAGCATTGACTGAACCCCTGCGCACCGTCCAGTAAGTCTGTGACGATCGTTCGCTGTGTCTGCATTTCTTTGCTGTATGCCAGTTTGCCGAATCTGGCAAGGGCATCAACATCGGCATAAAGTCTTGGAAGCTGATTTTCGTCTGCGACTTCACGCACTCGCTCTGAGAGATATAAGCTGTCATTATACAGATACATCTGGCCACAATTAAGCTTCAGGCTGTAGAATGAAGATGCTGTTGCCTTGAACATGGCGACAATCAGAGTTGGAAGAGCAAGAAGGCCAGCACCGGAGGAAGACACAAGGGTGCTAGTATTCCTTGTAGATGTTAGCGAAAAGTGTTTAGTGCATTTGTTTAGAAAACTTACGCAGGTTGCGATATGGCCACAGAGTCTGCGACCTGCTGCCGGATAATGTGAAGAATAGAGTCCGGCACATCAGTAATCGTATAATGTTCCTTTAGCGTTATTTCCCTAGGCCCTGATTGCGACTTATGCTTTTGATCTTGACTCGGCTTGGCCTCTGTGACTGCTTTATTTGGCGCGGTGTCCTCAAAAGACTGATCTTCTTCATCGTCTTCTGCCCATCCCCAAGCATCCTCGGCACCATCGTCTTCCTCGTCATCAACACCTGCACTGGCTTTTGCGGCCTTGGAATCGTCTTTGTCATCATCCAATCCCCAAGCGCTGACCACTTCATCGTCGTGGTTTTGATCGTCCCAACCCGCATCCCAGTCGTCTAAAGTCGAATTGTCCAACAATACTTCATCCGACGCATGAACTTGTCTCTTTTCGACCCTCTCCACCTGTCTTGAATCTCCTTTGCTAGCAGAAAGCACCTTGCGAACCTGATCCAGTGAATCAATTCTTCGCCTGGTGAGCCATAAGCGAGGGGCTTGGTTGACCCAGGAAAGGAGCTCCTCCTGGCCATGCCAATTCAAAGAGCCTATCAACTTGGTGAACCCAAGGACATGGTTTAGAGTTGCTTCAAACCAGCCTAGTCCCTCAAGTTCAGTGGGTATCGCGGTCGACAGCCAGTGAGAGATGATCTTTGATGAAATGGCAGGGATGAATGTATCCGAGAGCGAACTTTGGATTGCTAGAGGAAGAGAATGGTGGAGGAATGCGAGAACTGTGCCAACTCGATCCAACACATCTCTAACCGAAGCCGGAGACGGCTCAGGCTCGAGACAGATTGAGCCCTCGAGAACCTGAATTCCGTGGCTGTAGCCATTCCTGCTGGGCAGCAATATCGGATCTATGACCACCAAGAACAGATCTTTCTGGAATTGCTCATTTACTGCAGCGAGTTCATCTAAACGAGCTAGGGCAGAGATGGTCTCTTCTAGTGCGTCCTCTGTTTTATTCTTCATTAGCACGTGGCAAGGTGAGAGAATTCGAGAAATCGCGCTCACTTGAAATACGAAAGGTCCCTTCTTTGTGGTCAAGCTTGAAATGTTGGTTCCAGCGACTATGAAGTACGTTGACGATATCCTGCCGTAATGAAGAGACATTCTCCAAGAGCAACCCTCTAACATTAGTGTGCTTAAAATAACTGTCCTGGTTGATGGCATGTTCGATGGCCTCTAGATTTTCAATTGCATCTGTGATTCTGTCATCCTGATAGAGAGCTCGGGTGGAATCAAGTTGGCGGCATATGCTCTGAACCTCCTCTAATGTATTCGTCACGGTCTGGTTGAATATGATCTCTTTCTCCACTAAATCAACTTTCGCAGCTGCGTCCTCGATGTTTGATTGCAGCGGTACAGTGTTCTCGTGTTGCTTGACGATTTCCCGGGCAGTGAGCCTGGATCGTTCGAGGTCTGCGTGAAGTTGTTTCGCTTGCGATATCCACTCATCGACATTGAAATCGTTCTCTTGGCTCAGCGAGCTTATCTCTGCCTATTCAAGATAGAGCAATCAGTATGCGGCCACCAAATACAACCCAAGTGAACGCTTTAGTGTACTCACTTCTACCTGGTCTCTGGCCTGGGTGATAAGCTCCAATTCTCTGGAAAGGGCAGATAGAGGGAATTCGACAGCTACGACTTGCTCCGCTTCCGGATATGTGCCGTCGGCGGCGAAGTCTAGGACTGCCTTGAAGATCTCCTGCTCCGATAGTTGGCCTGACATTCTGATTCGTGTCCTCCACCTGGAGCTTGACCATTCCAGAAGGGGCCGTTGACAAGCTACGGGGAATAAAGCAGCTGTGTCTGCAGGTTAATGCTCGAAAGCTGCACGCTGGACCGCTGGACAGAGGAAGAGCAACTGCTACTCGATGTTGCTGGCAAAAATAATCATGGGGGGAACTTGAGAAACAAGCTCCCCAGCCATGTGACCTAGAGCTACCCCACCGCCTTCCTTGGGGCCAGCGTGAGATTGATTTTGTGCCTCATGGCGGGGTTCTCTCATCTTGGTTAAGGGTTGATTCTAAAAGAGTTTATGGGGTTTGGCCTTTTGGCGAATTGTTATATTAAGGTGCTTTGGACTGTATACTATATCGGGTTTACTGGAATGTGATCTGGACGAGTAGCGGAACCCAAGCTGCCCTTCCCCCGCTGTCACAGCAACATCCTCTCCGCCCACAACAGCGGTCCGTGACAAGAACTCACACCTATTTGCAGGGATAAGCCCATCGTGCTGGCTCGTCCTGCCTTAAGAAGACTGGCTTGGACGCCCTTGGCCCGATATATGTGAGTTTTGTGCCCTTTCTGTCCCAGCTCATTCTATTCGTGGATGAAGTCATCGAGGCCTGATGTGTACTGTTCGCACATGTTCGCTGTCTAGTCTTGTCTCCATTACAATGACTCAATTTTTTATTTAGCACTGTATCTCTTGCACTAGCTTAGTTTGGATTCCATACTTCAGCAGTCCAACAGTGTAACTTGATGCTAACGCATCTTCTTAGATTCAGAACTTCCCTGTCTAAGCTTTCGATAGCACCCAACACCTCGAATAATCTCCAGAGATTCCCTATATCAATTTCCAAGATGCCCGCGACTCGGACAAGCCACTTTAAATGCCTTCAACGTTTTAAACCAGACTACTCGCCGAGCGAATTTGTTCAATATGAGTCGCAGAGAACCGGCATGAGGGTAGTGGTCATTGACCAAAAGGGCCCTAAAGTGAACGGGTACTTTGTTTTGGCAACAGAGATCTTTGACGACTCTGGAGCTCCTCATACCCTAGAACATCTAGTTTTCATGGGATCGCGAAACTACAAGTACAAGGGCTTTCTTGACAAGCTCGCCACGCGACTCTACTCGAATACCAACGCCTGGACAGCCACTGACCATACGGCATACACGTTGGACACGGCGGGATGGGAAGCCTTTTCACGGATGCTACCTGTTTATCTAGAGCACGTCGTTGCGCCAACCTTGACAGATGAAGGCTGCTACACCGAGGTTCATCATATTGATGGTTCGGGCAACGACGCTGGAGTTGTGTACTCGGAAATGCAGGGAGTCCAAAACAACGCTGCTGAGCTTATCGACTTGGCCGCACGCCGGTTGACCTACCCTGAGGGCGTAGGCTTCCGCTACGAGACTGGTGGTATGATGGAGCAACTGCGTGTTCTTACCCCTGATAGGATCCGGGCCTTTCACCGTGAGATGTACCAACCCAAGAACTTGTGCCTGATCATCACTGGTGAAGTAGACCAGGAGGACATGCTGGAGAGGTTAGACCAGTTCGAGGATACAATTCTTGATGTTATCCCAAGTCCGGATTCTCCCTTCAAGCGACCCTGGGTTGATTCTATGCAAGCTCCCCCGTTGTCGCAATCCATCGTCAAAACGGTAGAATTTCCCGAAGAGGATGAATCCTATGGTGAGCTGGAGATACGATTCCTTGGCCCGGACTGTACCGATCCTGTGCAAAGTAGGTTTCCCTGATCTTCGTTGTGTACCACACTGCTGATAGCTTCGCAGCCGGCGCTGCTTATGTTACCTTGCTCTACCTGGCCGGCTCATCAGCGTCCTTGCTGGACAATACTCTCGTCGAGAAAGAGGAGCTCGCAAGTGGTGTATACTACGCTACATCAGACCGCCCTAGCCTTGACATCCACTTTACCCTGACCAGTGTGGAGACAGGGAAGCTTGCCCAAGTTGAGAAGCGCTTCTTTGACGTCTTAAAGGATGCCATGAGCAAAGATCTCGACATGAAGTATATGCAGGAATGCATTGATCGTCAAAGACGGACCTGGAAATTCTCCACCGAAACCTCGGCCTCGTCGTTTGCCGAGTATGTCATTTCAGACTTCCTTTTCGGGAACAAGGATGGCTCCACTTTGCTAGATGTTGCCTCGCTAAAGGCGTACGATGTTCTGGAGAAATGGACGCAGGAGGATTGGCGCGGTTTCATCAAGAAATGGATCTCTGATGCTCCTCATGTTTCCATCCTAGGAACGCCATCTGCAAAAATGTCCGACACACTAAAAAAGGAAGAAGAAACTCGAGTGGCGGCGCAAAAGGAGCGCCTGGGAGAACAAGGCTTGAAGAAGCTAGCCGAGAAGCTCGAAAAGGCAAAGGCTGAGAATGACAAGGAGATTCCCAAGGAGCTACTCGAAAGGTTCCAGATCCCTGGTATAGAGTCAATTCACTTCATCGAGACCATGACAGCCAGGTCTGGGGCAGCTTTGCGCCTTGGCCGCCCTGAAAACAAGGCCCAGAAAATTGTGGACGCTGATGGAACGGATTTGCCTGCGTTTATTCATTTTGAGCATATCCCCAGCAGCTTTGTTCAAATGTATCTGCTCATATCCGCCGAGTCCGTGCCTGTGCAATTGCGTCCTCTTTTGTCTGTGTTCACAGAGGCGTTCTTCAGCCTGCCTGTGGAGCGTGACGGCAAGACCATCAGCTTCGAGCAAGTGGTTGTAGAGCTGGAACGTGACACCGTTTCCTATACAACGGAGACTGCCAGAGGCCTGGGCAACACAGAGATGCTGCGCGTCTCGTTCAAGGTCGAGCTAGAAAAGTACAGCACAGCAATTGCTTGGCTAAAGGAGCTTTCTTGGAACATAATCTTTGACATTGAGAGACTTCGAACCATTACAAGCCGGCTCTTATCCGATGTTCCAGACTCTAAGCGCAGCGGCGATGACATGATGGCAGCCGTCCATGTCATGGTCCACTATGCGGCCGAGTCAATCGTCCGCGCGCGGAGCACGCTGGTAAAAGCACGGTACCTCAAGAGGATCAAGCGGCTGCTAAAGGACGAGCCAGAAACCGTTGTGGCCCGTATGGAGGAGATTCGCAAATCTCTCTTCCAATTCGAAAACATCCGGATCCTAGTCATCGCGGATCTTGAAAAGCTTCCTAACCCGGTCTCAACCTGGAAGCCATTCGTCGAGCGACTGGGCATCAGTGACGCTCTGAAACCCATCACAGCCAGAAGGCCGCTCTTGAGCCCAGCTGGGCAGAATCTTGGTGGCAAAGCCTATGTGGTCCCCATGGCGACCATTGACTCATCCTTTGCCTATGCTACCGCGCGAGGCCTCGACTCCTATGATGACCCCAAGTTACCTGCGCTGTTAGTGGCGATCGCGTACATGAACGCCGTTGAGGGACCACTCTGGGTTGCCGTCCGCGGCAAGGGATTGGCATACGGCACGACCTTTGCCTACAACATCGATACGGGCTTTGTCAACTTTGACGTCTACCGCTCGCCCAACGCGCACAAGGCATTCGAATCCAGCAAGGACATTGTCAAGGCCCATATCTCTGGAGATGCTCCGTTTGATCCCTTGATGTTCGAAGGGGCGATCAGCAGCATTGTTGTCACTTTTGCAAACGAGCAAATCACCGCTACCAATGCGGCCCAAGGAAGCTTCATCCGGCAGGTTGTACGCGGTTTGCCCAGTAACTACAAGGAGAGGATCCTCAAGCAAGTCCGAGACATTGATGTTGAGGATGTCAAGAATGCGCTGCGGGAAATCATTCTGCCTTTGTTCGCCCCCGAGACTGCGAATATTGTTGTCACTTGTGCTACCGTGCTTGATGAGGTATGTCAATCTAACCGCCCCAAATATAGGAGAATAGTGCAATACTGACTGTATAATCAGACCATAGAAAAGGGTCTAAAGGAGTCTGGGTTCTCTCCGAAAGTCCAGTCACTCAAAGATTTTGAGGATGATTATGGCCTAAAGGTTGGCGATGATGATGGTGATGACGAAGATGAAAATGAAGACGAGGACGAGGATGAAGATGATGAAGATGATGGAGATGATGAGTCTGGGTCTGAGGAAGTCTCTGATGATGAATGATGATACTTTGATATGAGTTGTGGTTTGAAGCTGGTGTTTTGAATTGGGCTGGGATGGTACGATTTGTTGGATCAAAAGACGGCAGCCATTCTGTAAAACAGTCATCTTCACTAGACGTTTAGGAGCGGTAGACGGAGTAGTTGATGCCTCAACCCCTACCTAACATAGGGTTTAATAATGGCACCCCTTTAGAATCATCTTCCAGTATTGTTTGTGAAGCAAAAATAAACATTCAACCCAACATCTATGTCTGCATATAGTACACAGAGGACAACGCAGCCCCCCGATCATCTCAGAAGTCATTCTGACAATCTCCTCTCTTCTCTTCCACATAACCCTCTCACAGCAAGGCAATTCAAGCCCATCGTAGATATACAGCCTACCACCATCCGCAGCCCCTAGACCATAGTAAAAGAAACCACCATTTGAAAAAAGCCTACCAGCTCAAATTCTTTCTCCCCTTGGCCCTCCGCCGCGCAATAATCGCCCTCCCCGTCCTCGTCTTCACTCTAGCCAAGAATCCATGGCGGCGCTTCTGCACCCGGCGCGAGGGGTTGTATGTGTCGCGTTTACCGGCGAGAGAGGCACTAGCGGAGAATGAACGGATCTGTTGGGCTCCGATGTTCGGAAGTTGTGAGAGGACGGAGAGGGAGGCGGTTGTTGTTGACTGTGTCGGGGTCGGGGGGAGGGTTGGTCGTATTGTGCTTGTGGGCGCGGCAGCGAAGGAGAAGGGGCGGACTTGCGAGGGGATAGCGCATAAGACGGGTGTTTGTCTGTTTGAGTAAGGAATTGTTAGCTTCTGTTGTTTAAAATGAGTAGGCAGCCAGCTGGAGACAGACTTGGTGATTGAGGATATGGCTGGCCTCAAGGTGTAGGGGATGGCTCTGCACCGCAGGCAAAGCATTGTCGGTCGAGTAGATAGAGGTAAACCCAGAGATTGTCTCGAAAGGTAACCGCTGGTGGGAAAATGTCGGTTGCGACCAAGAGAGTGCGATAGGTGGCTGTGTTGAGTGTACTGCGAGTTGCGTCAAAATTCGGTGATCAACTAACAACGTCGGGGGAGAGTGCACGTGCCACCTCCGATACCAAACATTTTTTTCCTCAGTCATTCAACTGAGAAAGACGACTACGTTCTTGAGAAACAGGACACTTTGGTGAAAAAAACACTCTACTCACCTGATTGAGCTCATATAATTCATTTATTATAGCAAACCTCCCAATCTCAGGGGTAGCTTTGCACTCCCAGCCGCAGCATATCCGCGGAATCTCGGACTCTACTTGAACCATCGCAACAGATCCTTTGCCAATTACTCGAGACCCAACCCTTCCATAGCGGCAAAAAAAAAGGAGAAGAAGAAGAAGCTTCAAAATGTCGGCCCAAGATCCAACGCCGCTCCCTCCCACAACAATTCTTACCACAAAGCCAATATCGCAAACTCTCGCACACGACTTTCTCGCCGCATACCTCGACCGCGCAACTACAGATCCAGCACTTCAACCCAATGCCGGAATTAGCGAGCACGGCCCCGTCTCGCGAACGACAGCCGCCGCGCCCAATATCATCTTACACAATCTGAAGCGCGTCCAGGCGGGGCTTGCGGGGGAAGTTTTGGGTCGGGATTTGGCTATCGCGAAGCTAAAAGAGGGAGCGAGGAGAGCGGCACAGAATGGGGTGGACGGAGCAGGCGGGTGGGAGGATAAGAAGCAGTTTGAGCATGGGCAGGAGCCGGAAAAGGAGCAGAACGGTGTGGATGATGTGATGGATGTGGATGAAGAGGGAGAGACTAGGCCTGTGGATAAGGAGGAGAGGAAGCGGAAGAAGAAGGAGCGGAGAAAGGCTGAAAAGAAGGCAAAGTTGAAGGTGGCGGATGAGTAGAGGCTTCATTGTAATGCACTGCTGGGTTTCATTCTGGGGTTTAGGGTCCAAAAAGCAATACTGGCGCATTGAGGGGCTACGGTTTATAGGGTTGTTTATCTAACGTGGAACTTTGTCGGATTGCGTTGACGAATATGATAACGTGTAGTATTTGAAGTAGAGGTTCTTTTTCAAGATCATTACTCAGTTGAAAAACAGATCAAATGCAGAAGAATTGGTCGTTCTTAAAATCTCTCGGTGCTCACAGTTCCCTGTCAGCAGCCTTGACAGGCTTCTCGCTGTCTTCATCCTTGAGGTCAGTGACCTTTCCACCCTTCCAGTTGAGCGCCTTGAGCCTCTCCGGGAGGATAGGGTGAGAGTAGTGGTAGCTAGCATACAGCCAGTCCGCATCCATAGTGCTCAGGTTCTGAATCTGGAGCTTGAGCAGCGATTGGGAGAGCTGTTCCGAGTAACCAAGGCCTACAGCAAATGCATCTGCATACTGATTAGTATCCAGCGCCACAGGGATAGTAGTGAAAGTCACTTACCGGCCTCAAATTCGAATTTACGGCTAAGAATGTTCATGAGAAGCTTGACAACAGCATCCATGGGCGCGAGGGCGTCCGAAAAGAGGAGGAAACCGATCATAATAGGCTGCTGGCTGTAGAAACCAAAAGACTGGTAGAGAGACTTGTTGTTCACAAACGTCGAAAAAAGAGCAAAGATGTAAAACATGTGGAACTGGGCAATGCCAAAGAGCTTGGTAGTGTGGTTGAGCTTCCAGTGACCCAACTCGTGGCTGAGAACAGCAACGACTTCCTCGGGCTCGCTCTTTTCAATCAGGGTATCGTAGATGACAATGTGCTTCTTCCAAGGGAGACCGTAGAAATAAGCATTGCTGTGCGCACTCCGCTTGCTGCCATCAATCACATGTAGTTCTTGAAGAGGAAAGTTCAACTTCTTGGCGAGATTCTCGACGCCAGTCTTGATAGGTCCGGGCTCAAGAGGAGACAGCTTGTTAAACAAGGGCAGGATGACGATCGGGTAGATGGTGATGGCGAAGACCTGGACGAAGATGCCAAAGAGCCAGAGGTAGTAGAAGAACGAGTTGCCAGTCTTTTGAACAATCTTCAGCACGGCGCTGATAATCGGTGTGCCCAGAACTATACCCAGCATCTGACCCTTGAGCATATCCATAACCCAGAGCTTGACCGTTTGCTTGTTGAAACCAAACTTCTCCTCAAGGACAAAGGTGTTGTAGTACGAAACGGGCAGAGAAAGGACAGTGCTAATCAGATTGAACCCAAAGATGAATAAGAGTGTCTGCGAGATTTCACCCTGGAAGCGATCTGGGAGGTATCTTGCCAAAAGGAGTCCACTAACTCCCCAGAGCTTGGGGAGAACGTCACCGTAGATAAACGCAAGGTTCTGAATTTGACCATATACACCGGAGATAAACCCAAACTTCGCCTTCGCACGACCATATGCCTAGAGACGCCAGAGAGTGAGCCTCTCTCTTCCCTGTCGTTTGATGAGACTTTGGCTGAACTTACCTGACTTTGATCATAGACTTTCTGTGATACCTCCTGTTCAATGACCTTTGGTGGCTTCGTTCGCTGCAAGACCTTGTACTGACGGAAGGATAGAAGTCCTTCTAGGATGAACTGGCCCAGGGAGAACCCAACGAGGACGTTCTTCCATGGGAAGAGCGGGCGGTCCAAAAGACGCGCCAGTTGCTGTATGGCCGTGGCTCGTTAGCGCATTGTCTGCCTCCATCAAAACGACCAAGTGGAAGGTGTTTTGGAAACAGCTTCGTGGTACTCACATCTAGAATATACATCTTGACCTGGCAGCACAGAAAGTAGAGAGAGTTGGCAAGTGCTGTGATGTCGTGGGAAAAGACAAAGGACAGCTTGGACCTTTAAAGTGGACAGAAATGGTGACTAAGAATCAGGCTGCAGATCTCATCCACTGCGGAGTATCCCGGATTTCCGGTTCCTGCTTGCTTAGCCAGCACCTCTACATAACCTATAGTCCAAGTCTCCTTAGGAGTACCCTGATGGCTGAGATCTATTCTTATTCATGTTCGTTGCGATTCGTAACCCCCTTGATAGTTCGTCTAACCGTCCATACAAAGTCGAAATCAAGAATGCGATAGGCACAATAATAGATCAGTTTTCCCCTCCCCAGACAGAAGAGCATCATAACACTCGTAAAGAAGTGGCCGTCTCTACTCAATCTTTCTTCTCGTTCGCGCCCCACCAGGTCCGCCTACTAGAGGCATGGTGCCCTTGCTTTCGTTCCATCAACGGGCTAATATGCATGGGAACCCCCATGCGTTCTTGTCTTTTGAAGCTCTCAGTAGGCGGAAGAGGTGGCAATCATTCTATTCAAAAGCCAATGCATGCTTCGCTCATTGCACTCCTTTTTTCAAGTCGACCACCAGGATTCGCTGGTAGAGACGGCTTCTCTCATCTCTCTCTCAACCCCTCCCGAATAGGCTGACCGACCTGGGTTGTCCACTCTAGTTTACAATGGGTTCAAGGGTGTTACCACTGTTATTTAGTCAGTTGTCTTTCGAAAAACGGAGCATGTCCGATAATTAGGGATTTAAGAGAACTTACGCGACAATGTTGGCCCAACCAATCAGACGCCAGTGCTTCTCAATTCTTCGACTGATGGCAATCTTCTCCCCAATTTCGGTACAAGCAGGGCTGGTCAAGCTCAGCTTAGCAGCATCCGCCTTGACACCAATAACCTTTGCTCCGGTGGCTGTGGAGCCGATGTTGACCATGAGAACCTCGTTCTTGGTCAGCTTAGCAACCTTGGCCTGCTTGCCGTCGGCGGTCTTGACACCAAGAAGTCGGCGCAACAGGAAGTAGTTGACCTCGAGTTCTGTGTAAATGGCAGGCAGGCGACCACGGTGACCCAGGACGAAACCAACCAAACGATCAGCACGGCACAGGGTAGGATCGACCCGAGTACCAACTCCAATCAGACCACCAGGAACAGCGAACTTCAAGTCATTGTGTTCGGCGAAAAGCGATACGACACGCGAAAAGATGGGGCGACATTGGATCTTGCCGTTCTCATCTTTAGTGACGAGACCCGGTCGAATTTCAATCTCATCGTTCAACTTGAGCACACCGGTCAAGATGGAACCACCAGCAACACCACCCTTTAGCTCATCAATCTCAGCACCGGGCTTGTTGACATCAAAGGATCGAATGACAATCATGTGGGGGGATGCTGTGAAATCGCGGACGGGGACAGGGATGTGTGAGACCAGGTACTCGTTGACGGCGTCAATGTTGTACTTGAGCTGCGCGGAGATGGGGATGATCGGAGAACCGTCGGCAACAGTACCACGGATGAATTTCAGGATTGACTGGTAGTGCTGCAGGGCCCCGTCTTCCCTCATAAGATCCACCTTGTTCTGGAGGATGATAATGTGGCTTAGCTTCATGATTTCAATGGCAGCCAAGTGCTCGGAGGTCTGAGGCTGAGGGCACGTTTCGTTTCCGGCAATCAAAAGGAGAGCAGCGTCCATGACGGCGGCACCTGACAACATAGTACTCATGAGAATATCGTGACCCGGGCAGTCGACGAAGCTAAAAAGTCAGTAAAAGAAAATTGAACAGAAGGACCAGATAACATACGAGACGTGTCTCAAAAGGCGATAGTGGCCGGAGCATCCATCTCGCTCACAGGGCGGGTCAACCTCTTTCTCACTCTTATAACTCTTGAAGCATGTCGGCCGAGGGCAGGCGGGGTTGTCGCACTTGTAGATTTTTGCGTTGGCGTAACCCAGCTTGATCGTAATGTTCCGCTCCAGCTCATTCTTGAATCGGACAGTCTGAACCTCCGAGATAGCCTTCACCACCGTTGACTTTCCGTGAGCGACGTGTCCGATCGTACCGATGTTGATAGTGGCCTGGCGGGCGATAATTTCGGGCGACAGAGGAGTTAATGTAGATAGGTCGATGGTCTCTGGATCGGGCTGTTCTGGGAGCTCGGGTCGTTTTGGCTGGGAAGCGGGGGTTATGGAATCCGACTTCTTCAGCGCTGACTTGAGGGGCTTCTCCTCTTGGTCGAGAGGCTCTTGGTCTTCAATGTCATCGTGGCCGTTGGCATCAATAATGGGGGAGCCGGGCTGGGACTCGTCATCTGAAAAATCGCCGTTGGTAGCCATGATTGCGGTTGACGGCCGGTTCCGAGGGAAAGGGGGAATGAAATATGAAAGAGTGTGGAGGGGGGAGCGGAGGAGGAGGTGATTGTAGTGTTCGATGAAATTTGCTGTTTTTGCAGAGGATGGAGGCGACACGATCCTTAGGCCTGCACCGAGTTTAGTGGGGTCGCTTTGTGCAGTGGAGAGCGAGCAGGCGGTGGCCGGCGGCAGTTGGGCGTTCTTTTCGCAGCTCTCAACGAGCCTGACCTTCTTTTTGTTGCTTGATGTAAAAAGGCCTTGTTGCTATATAGGATTCCTACCTTATTGGGTGATTTGGAGGTCTCTTGATGCTTGGTGAAATTAGGAAGGGGTTCAATAATGCCGTTGCTCAGTTGCTATTCCAGAGCCCTAGCTCTTCTAATATTGAAATGACTCAGACTATATTTTTTCCGTATCTGCGTAGTAGGATTGGCACGGAGTACTGAGAGTCAACTTGAGAAAATAACATAAACTTGAACTTGAACTTGGTAATTGATTTGGTTTACATTCTTTCAACTTCCATGTTGGGTATATACAGCGTGTTATCTATTCTTCATCACTCCCTTCGCTGCTAGATTCCAGCGGACTTTCTTCATCAGACGACCCATCAAGATCCTCAAGCGTAAGAGGATCTTCGGCAGGCATCATGACAAAAGCCTTCAGGCAGGTAATCCGGTTTCCCGTTTCATAAGAGTTCAGAAGCTTGCCCACCTGAAGATCCTTTGCGTCGCCCGACTTCTTTCTTCCAGTCATGCGCAACTCCATTCCGAGTAACCGCCAAACACGCACAACTCCTTCACTATTTGCTGTAACGACAGCAAAGTCACCACTCTTGGCTCCTGGCTGCCCCTCCAAACTCAAGATCTCAAAGTCTTTCACCCTGCCAGGAAATCCTTGGGATTTGCCTCCGAGCTGAGCAACTGGCTCAGCATAAGGAATGGTCGACTCATCGCCCTCCTCTGGTTCTCGTAGTTTATGGGCCGAGTAGAATATAATTCTGCCGTCTTCCGTCGAGGCGGCGATCAACTCGCCTGAAGAGATTGGTACGTATTTGATCGCATGTAGCTTACTCCGGGGAGTAGGAAGTACTCTGCAAATAGGCGTTGAATCCTGAGACACGTTAGAAAGACTAATCGAGTTACTGTAGGTTGAGGAACTTACAATCCCAAAGACTACGGCGCCCCATTCAAACCCGACTGTGAATTCTTCTCCTTCAGAGTTCCAAGCTATCTTCCTCCCCTCACCGGTGCTCCATTTGCCTTCCTTCACGCTCTGCAGAATCTCCTTGTTGAAATTCAAAACCCCAGCTTTCTTCCCAGTGACCAGGTTCCACAACCGCATACACTTTTCCCCCTTTCCCACGCTGAGCATCAACTTCATACTAGGATGCACAGCAAAGTCATTGACACCAGATGGACAGCCCCCGGGAGGGGCAGTATCTCCGCTAGGCCTGCCTTGAACCTTTGGGCGGGGGGCTTTGATGGTAGAAATGACAGTCAAGTCTCGAGTCTTGTTGACTGAGATGCTGTTGTCTTCGGACGACGCCAAAAGTTTTGATCGCGAGGGGAAACTTAGTGCGGTAATCGGAGCTGAATGGTGAAGAAGAGCTCCAAGCTCTCTGTTTTGGGGGTTTTCCAAAATCTTGTTTCCAGCGAGGGTAGGGACCGTCGGATAAAGCTCATTGACCGCTGGAGGAGCCACTGATAGCGTATAGAGATTGACACGCTCATCGCTGCCCCCACTAGCTAGCATGACCTTTGGAGGCTCTGTAGAATCTTTGTTTGGCAGGGGCGACAAGGCCAGGCATTTTATCGCAGAGGAATGGGCTTCAAATAAGAATGTATCCACAAACTGAGCCCTAGAAGAATCATCAGATGACGCTTTGGCATCAAAGCAGGTTGAATCAATCGATGCAGTGAAACCATGCAGCACACGCTCGTAGGATCCAGTGACTATTTGCAAGGTGATAGGAGCAGCGTCGTTGTGCTGGGGAGACGATGATTCTCCATTTTTTGACGATTTGGCAATCTTTGTTGGTTGTACCGGTTGAGGCTCTTTAGTCAGCTGCTCTCTCTTGCGTTTCGCCATCTCTGTGAGTGTTCTTGATATGAAAAGATCAAATATAATAATCTGTCTGTTCTTGTTTGCGATCCTTCCAAAAAGCGGGAAACTTTTTTTTTCTGCCGGACATTCCCGCAGCCGATCCACATAGGCGGTGGATAGAGCAGAGGCTGGACGGGTATTCTTGGCGCATGCAGCCTTGCGGCCTCAGGCCTCTGGGACTCGCAACTGATTTCACTATCACATCAACCACTCCAAATCTTGATTGACAGGGATACGACAATATTGTCCAACAGCCGTACCATCCTGGACTAAAAGTTTTCAGTCTGTCTTGAGAAGGAACGAGGATACCACTACCATTACCCCCTATTCTTAGAGATAACAATTTCCGTAAGAAATAATAATAACAAGAGTCTCGCATACCTCTATCTAAGCGTTCCCCCCCATACCTGCTCTCGCTGCTCCCGGTACCCTTCCCAAAAGTCAACCAACCACAACTCGACACTCTCTTCATCACCACGAACCTCTCCAAAAAACCCTTCACAGCGCAATATCCGTGTCGACTCTTTCGCATCGCAGAACAACACAACCACAACATTTTCATCTTTTTCGAGCGATTTTTTCCTTCTGGATGACTTCGCTCAACTTATCCCCCTTCTTTTCAGCGCGTTAATCGGATGTTGTGTTCTTGAATTAGACTCGATGCTCCGAGAAGAGCTTCTTCGGTCTAAGCAAGATGAGATCGCGTAAGTTTTATTTCATCCCACCGATACTTTGTATTTTGATGCAATTTGCGCTGTCGTTCGGTCGCTCACTGGGCATTTTAGACGATGTTTGTTGTCGCGAAAGCGCAAATTGAGCGAGCTCTACTTTGCGACCGTAGGCTACGCGGGCGCGACCGAGGATCCGTTCGCGGACTCCGTGTATCAGGAAAAGGAGCAGGCATTTCTCGATGCCAACGATATAACCAAGTAGGTTTTTTTCCCTCGCAAGACATTGCTATGATAACCTTCTTTATTATTATCTTACTTTATTGAATTGATTGCGTCTCCCCTTGCGCTGTGCTCACCGTCTCTTATAGAGGTCGTTACTTTTCCGAGGCTACCCTCCCCAGCTATGCGGTGCCTTCGGTCCAGGATACCAAAGAAATCCACTTGGATACCACCGAACCAGCTTCATCCACTCCAAGTGCTCTTCCGACTACACCGCCGCAGCACGAGACTCCCGCGCCCCTGGTTGCTCAGCCGATCGCAACGACAGAGCGACAGAATGTTACGCCGTCACAACCAGCCGAGAAGAAGTCATCTCGACCTGTAACTAAACGCGTCGACAGCAAACCTGTTGTTCATGTCGCACCTGGTACTCCGCCAGATGGGTTACAAGGGCCGGATGGGTCGACACCAAAGGCAACGTATGAGCCTAGCGTGAAGGAGACTCCTTCTGTCCTGGAAACTCCTCGAAGCTCTCAGGAATCTAGCGAACCTATCGCTGCGACCGACCAAGAAACCCTACCGAAAGCAGCATGGCCTGTCCAGCCTACAGCTTCCACAAAATCCAAGCATGATGCGCGCCCGTCCCTTGTTCCCGGGCGAGCGGCCCAAGTTGTTGAACAGCCCTTGTCTCCCGCATCCTCCGCCGGCCCGTACTCGAATAACACGCCCGCCGCAACTGCAGTGTCCCCTGCTACGAGTCCTGCTGAGGAGGTGGCAGAGCCGGGCGAAAAGTCCCCAAGCCCCAAGCACATGACGACTGCTCAAGGACCCCCAAGCTTCGTTCCATCAACCCCGGATGAGCAACTTCGCCTAGAGGAGGCGCAGTCACTCCAACAGAATGCTCTTTTGGCGAGCCAGGTCAAGGATGGAGCTGGCCTGGGCCCTTCGACAAACCAAGTCATCCGGCTTGATCTTCCATCGGAATCAACAGCAGCAGAGCCTCAGAAAGCAGTCTTGGAACTGGAGTCTGAAGTTATACTACCGGAGTCACTACCGGAGTCGAAGAAGCCTGCAGCGACCCCCGAGAGTACACTAGAAAGTAAGACTTCAGCGCAACAACTTTCGGAACAACCTTCAAGTCAACCCGAACATGTAGCCAAGGAAACGATGCCAGGCTTTCAAACAGAGAAGAAGCTCAGCCCGCCCACTCACCCAGGACCGGCACCGGAGAGAATGACAACTAGAGTATCTTCCGGGGCGATTCGACACAAGTCTGTATCTGAGATTCTTGGCGAAACTCCCAAGCCCGTCGTCTCTCAGCCTGACAAGGCTCATGCATCTGACAAGCCGACAGCTGCTACCGATGCCTCTATGGACTCTGCTAGAATGCGCTTAAAGGACAGAAAAGCGCGCGAGAAGGAGAGAAATAGATTGTCGACTGTGGTCTTTCCCAAACAGCAGCAGCAGCAGCAAGACAAGAGTGGATCAATGGATCTTGTTCGCCAGCAGTCGAGTGAGCTCGCAAAACTGAATGAAGAACAAGACTACCTCTTTACCTTATTCCAGAACAAGGCCTACGCTCCGCCTCGAGGAAATGCGCTGAATGCGCTTCTTGCTTCTGCTCATAAAACATTGTCTACGAATAATTACCTCCTGGACTATCAGGAGCAGATGGATTGCCGCATCTTACGCCGCATATATGACCTTCAAAATGCTAATAGGTGGCCCTTGCGTCAACTGAAGCGCTCCCCTGAGCCACCTAGGAAGGGAACGCATTGGGATATTCTTTTGGATCACATGAAGTGGATGCGGACAGACTTTCGAGAGGAACGCAAATGGAAGCTTGCAGCAGCCAAGAGTTGTGCGGATTGGTGTGCCGAGTATGTTCATAGTGACATCGAGTCTCGGTCGTTGTTACGCGTTTCTGCAAGAATACCCTCAAGAAACGACCACGGGAAAGCCGAGCTGCACCCTGCCTCAATGATCTCCCCTCCAGAGGAGCCAATGAATGACACCATGGAAACATCCCATCCAACGCCGGATCTGGTTCCTTCCACCGAGGAGGACTCGGTCAGTGAAGGGTTCGTTGATGAGCCACGCCACGACTTGCAGGACACAGTTGCCCCAGCTGCGATCTTTTCCCTCGGATCCGATGAATTCACAGTCTCCCTGGATATAACCCCATCGGCTCAGAAACTTTTGGATGAGTTACCCATTTACGCCCCAATGCAAATTGCCCCAAACACGGGTTTCCCGATCTTCAAGCAACCTCCTGATTCTTCTTGGAAGATTGATATACTTCCCGTCTCGAAATATGCCCGTGGCAAGATAATCATCCGCGATGATGAGCCCCCAAAGAAACGGAGCCGTTATGAGTATTCCCAGTATGATTCTGGAACCGAGCACCCTGTTTTAGACCTGCCTCCTGAACAAACCAACGTTGCTCTCTTTCAACCTGAAAACAGGCATATCCGCGACCGCATTCACCCAGCTCAGCCTTTCCGGCCCCCAACCGAGTATCCCATGCCTTCTCTTGGGTTCCTGGAGTCAAGACAATCGTCACAATGGACCTACGCGGAAGATGAGGAGCTTCGTAGCCTGGTTGAGGAGTATTCCTACAATTGGTCACTGATATCTAGTTGTCTCACTCCGCCATCACAATTCACATCCGGTGCAGAAAGACGAACGCCCTGGGAATGTTTCGAGCGTTGGGCAGGAATAGAAGGTCTGCCTTCTGATATGTCAAAAACGCCATACTTTAGAGCCTATCACCAAAGAATTGACACAGCGCAGCGAAATGTCATGGCACAGCAGCAAGCTGCGGCTCAGCAGCAACAACAACAGCAGCAACAGCAAGGGAATAACAATAGTCAACAACCGGTCCCTGTGATTCGACGGAGAGGCACGCAGCCCATTCGTGTCGACAGACGACGGTCGTCTAGACATTTGGCACTGCTTGACGCTATGAGAAAATTGGCAAAGAAGCGAGAGACGATGCTTCAGAAGCAGCAACATGGTAAGGAAGCACACCCATGTGCCCGGTATCCTTGGAGAAGCTAATTTTTATTTCTTACCCGGCTTAAGCTTCTCATCTCGCTGGTCTTAGGAAAGTTAATGAAGCCAATCAACCAAAACCTCCGATCTCTTCGCCGGCTGAGTTTAGTCGTTTGAAACATGAGCGCGAATTGAAGCTTCAGGAGAGGCAGGAGCAATACCGCCAGCAGATGATCGCCCAACAGAGAGTGAGTCTCCTTCCTGCCTCTCGGTAGACTCGTCATTTCTAACACGCGCAAAGGCCAACTTTGCCGCCCGTGCCGGCCAGATGCCAAACCAACAGCAGATGATGAATGCTCCTGGGCGAGCTCCTAACGCGATGCCTCATAACCCTAATGCCCCTCCTGTAGCCCCTAGTGCTCCCAATGGCCTGCCAAATGGCGTTTCAAACGGCATGACTAATGGAATACCGAATGGCGTGCCACAGGGCGTTGGCGTGAACCAAGGTCGACCTCATGTTCAGGGCATGCAAGGTGGCGCTGGGCCTGTCAACAGTCAAATGCCGCCCAATCCTATGGCTATGAAAATGATGCCACAATCAGGGATGCAGCAAGCCAATGGCGCTCGTCCCAACATGTCAATGCAAGCGTCCCCGGATAACGCTCGAGTGATTCGGGAGGCCAATCGCCTTCAAGAGCAACAGCGGCTCCTGCAGTCCAGGCAGCTCCAGCACCCACAGGCACAACCGACATCACAACCGCAGGCGCAACAGGCTCAACAGCAGTTTCATGCTCAGCCTCAATTTGTGCCTCAAGGATCCAACTCTCCTAACCTGAACATGCCGAATGTCAACGGCACCCCGAACAATCCTGCTATGATGGCAGCGCTGCAAGCGGGAGGTGGGATGCAAAGCCCCCCGTTCCACAATGCCACACCCCAAGGCGTTTCCACACCTTCACCGCGAATGGGTCAGCCGAACCTGCTATCGGGTGGGGTGGTCCCTACCATCAGCAGCATTCAAAGCCAGATTCAAAGGAGCAATCCTAATATGCCGATAGAGCAAGTCAATAAACTGGCCACGGATCGACTGCATCAATACCAACAGCAGCGCATGTCTCAAGTGGCGATGAATGCGGCGGCGGGTAACCTTGGCGTACATCCCAACTACCAGGTTCCGCACGATGGGAACTTCCAGCCTCAACCGGGCATGAATGGCGGGCCGGGTATGCAGGTCCCGCAAGGGCAAGGCTTTTCGCCGATGATGCGTGTCCCACAGTCAGCTCAGCAAAATCGCCCAGGTACTGGAAGCTCACCCGCCATGGGGGTAGCTATGCCACAACAAAGCCGGAGCGCCACTCCGCAGACCCAACGGAGCGGCAGCATTCAAACTGGCCCGATACCGGGCACGAGCAAGAGCCCTAACCATCCCCAGTCTCAACCGATGGGAACTTGATGGGTTCTTCCCTTATCACCTCCTTCCTCCTCTCCCCACATCCCCCAACTGTTTTTTGTTCTTCACCTGTAAATATTTACCTTACCAACCTTTATTCCGTTATCATCTTGTTTTCGATTCACCCTTTACGATCCACAATACCATGACGCGCAACTAGCACCCTGAACGATTCTGTTTTCGACCCTTTAACATCTACCCTTCCTCAACCCTCATCCTCTCGCACACCCCCAAAACATGCACACCCCACATCACTCTCATATCTCGACCCTCTATTAGACACCAGTTTGGCCTTCCAACACTGGGATGCGTTGCCATTTAACCAGTACCCTGACTCGGGACTTCAATTTTTAAATGTACCACTTGTACCGATAGGACAGATGCGAACGCTTAGCGATATATCAGGACGGTCGTTGGAATGGAATAAATTTTAGGAAAGGAAGGCCAAAGTTGTGTGCACCATCACTGTGTAATACACCGTAATACACCGTTCTCGTCAATATTAATTAGTTGCCCGATGTTGATATACTTGGGTATGGTTAAGTAAGAGTGAGGAGTCCCAAGTTGAAATGCTCAAACAGGAAACTCGGCTTAAGCGCGCGCCTAAAAACTTTCGCCACCTGCAACCTGCCCAACTACAGATATTCTTTTGCAGTTTATCAACTACTCGACAAGAAAGCACTGCCCGACTCATGGATCGAATCCCTGCTAGCACCGAAAACACTGACTTCAGAACCGCGAAGACGCAATAAACCTGTGTCACGCCCATCATGTCCTCCAACAACTCCAGGGACCAGCACACAGAGTCGCCAGGCCCTTCGATAAAGTCCGTCTCCCTTTCCCTCAACTCTTCCAACACAAAAAAGCCTGGCTTCAGCCTCTTAAACACCGCCCGCCAGAAATCTACCCCAAAACCCAGCGCCACACTCCCCCGCCGCCCTCACAACCTACGCAACCACAATGACGACTCTGACGCAAGCGGCGACGAAGGACAGCCCGCCTTCGAATCCGTAACCGGCTTTGACACTCTCACAGGGAAAACGATCTCGGCTGATGCGGCACCGGAGAAGAAACCGCTGACGATCCCCGTCGCGAGCGGGAATAACTGGCGCGACCGGCCGGGAGTCATACGAAGGCCGAAGGGGAAAAACCTACTACCAAAGGAGGTGCAGGCGATGCAGGAAGCGCAGAGGAAAGGAGTGGATATCAACGGTGGGGGTGAGGCGGTGGGACCGAGTATGTCCTATGGGTTGAGTTTTGCGCAGGGCGCGACTGAGGAGGAGGGAAAGGGGGAAGATGGGGATCAGCGGATGGGAGAGGTTCCAGCGGCGACAGTTGAAGAGGAACCGCGGAAACCGCTTACGGAGGATGAGATCGCGTTGCGAGCGCTTGTGCGCGAGAGTAAAGGGCAGGTTGAGGGGCGGTCGGACCTAGTGATTGAGTCTAGACGAGATGGAGATGATCATTATGACGGGCCTCAAAATGAGACGAAGTCATTCCGAGCAGATGTCGCGGCGCGGCCGGAGTCTGCGTCGTTGGACCAGTACAATGCCGTCCCCGTGGAGGAGTTCGGCGCGGCCCTGTTACGGGGCATGGGCTGGAAGGATGGACAGGCTGTTGGGAAGGGCAAGTACGGTGGTGCGGATCCTGCCAGAGCAAATACACCTCACGTCCCTGCTCGGCGACCTGGCTTCTTGGGGATCGGAGCCAAGGATGTCTCTGGGGGAAAGGGCGCGGAGATTGAGCTGGGCGCGTGGGGGAAATCGGCTATGCGCAAAGGGTCTCGAAGGGCTGGAGAGGAAAAGGATGGAGAGAGGAATACAGATGGCGTTTATATGCCTGTGCTTATGCGGAATAAGAAGACAGGCGAGACGATTACTACCGAGGAGCTCACAACTTTGCAGAAGGAAGGGAAGAAACGGGATACAGATGACGACTGGAAGGAGAGACGGGATCGAAATCTGGACCGAAATGGACGTGATCGAGAACGTGATCGGGATCAAGATCGAGACAGGGGCAGTCGGCGTCTAGAATATGGAAACGACGAAGACAGTGATCGGTACGACATTCGGCGGAATGGCTCGTCACGGAGAGATAGAAGTCGGTCGACGAGTGATCGGGATTCTCGACGACGCAAATACGAAGACGACGGTAGGTACTATCGAGAGCGCGACGGGGACCGTGATCGGGACCGGGACCGAGATCGTAAGCGTCGGTCTGACCGCGATAGGGATCGGGATATGGATCGGGATATGGATCGGGATAGGGATCGCAAAAGCTCGAGATACTACGATGATGACCGGCATAGCTCAAGACATTCATCGTCGAATACCTCGAGCAGACACCGTGATCGGGACCGAGACCGCGATAGCGATCGTGACTCTCATCGGCGGCGGAAATATGATGACCGATGAAGATAGATATAACGACATTGGATGGTTCGGATGGATATAGATTTCGTACTTATAATGCCACTCGTTCTTGACAGTGGTTGACATGAATTCGATCTGAATTTCGGCCTGGTTAGAGAACATTATCTTGTCTAATGGTCTGAAATGACCATTCTAAACACAACTTTTCATAATCCCTGATGTAAATGCAATGAAATAATAAGTACTCCCACCAAACAAACACCTTAGGTATATACCGTGTCAACACAACCAGAGCAACCAGAACAACAAGAACGGAAATGATGTTTTAGTCGTACATGATCATCCTCATATGACTAATTAATCCAATCAGCCGAGTCGAATTCATGCCCCCAGCATGACCACGTCCTTCTCGTGCTGGGGCACATCGTAGGGACCGGAGACGATACCGTTGATGGCCCCTTGTGAGGAGGGAGCACCCAGCGCACTGAGGCCAACGCCGCCTTCCATCTCACCGAGAACCCATTCCACGAGATAACTTTCGTCCTCGAGCTCCTCGACACGGCGGTAGTGACGTTCTGTGTATGCGGCCAGAGCCTGCAGGATGTCTTTCATGGCTGCTGCTGCACGGCCATCGGGGCTACGCTTTACCATCTTTGATGAGGCGAGCTCGACGAATGTTGAAGCGGGGTAGGATCTGAAGAGTGCGAATAGGATTCGCTGAGCGATCTTGGAGTGGCGGGCATTTGTGTTCCAGTCTCGCAGGCGGAGGACGAGGGCAAAGAGGTTTTCGGGGTCGAGGGTTTGGAGGACCTCATCGATGGAAGAGTTACCAGTGAGGCTGTTGGCGCGGTCCTGCTTTTGTTCATCGCTCGCATTAGGGTCATCGGCGGCTTCGATGGCAGTATTAAAGAGGGAGAGGAGGCGGCCTGGGTGATTGAGTTGGAGGGCGAGTGTGATGGCTTCGCGGTAAGCTCCTGCGACAATGTAATTCTGTAGTTGCTGGTCTTGCTCGACGCGGGCTGAATTGGCATTGACTGCTGCGGTGTAGGTTGCAGATGTAGTGTCGGTCCAGAAGGTGACTGTGGAGTCTGCCGAACCAGAGGCGAGGGCATATGGGAATGAGGACTTGGAATTGTCGCGTGAACCGGATGGGGTAGGACTGGCCAGGGCCCAGACACGGTCCGTATGGTTATCCAGCGTAGTCTCAAGCTCGCCAGTGTAGGGAGACCAGACCTTGACCAGACCGTCTGCGGCTGCAGACGCTACAAGAGGCCGCAGCTGTAGAGCCACTCCGTTTGCTGGTGCTCCCATTTCTTCATCCTCATCGTCTTTGGCTTTGCTCGACATGTCAGGAGGGGGAAGCCAGAGTACTTTGAGCACGCTGTTGGTGTGACCCTCGAATGTAAGCAGACAGCTATAATCCGACAAGCTCCATAATTTGACGGTTTTATCACCGGAGCCTGTAACGATCATGCCTCTATTGGTGCTGCTTTTTGCGTCAGCGCTGAGGGTTGGTGTGCCCCGCGGTGAGAAACGCGCCGACCAAACTCCTCTCTTGTGTCCGCGCAAAACACCCAGAGCAGTTCCATCGTCGGCAGACCAGATTTTGACGGTCCGGTCTTGTGACGCTGATGCGAATAGTTCAGATGATGGGCTCACGTCGAGAGCATTGATATCTTTGTCGTGAGCTTTGCGAGTGAACAACGCCTTTGGCGTGTGTGGTTCATCGGAAGTTACCGGTCCCAGTTTGGCCGTATTCCAGCGCTTGATGGTACGATCCTGGGAGCCCGTGATAATGAATGGGGGAGGGTGATTCACTGGATCGTTGTGTGCTGGGGTATTCGGTTGCGGCGAACCTCGTGGAAAGCTGATAGCTCCTAGGGACTCTGCATGTCCTGTCAGAACGGCAAAGCATGTGTAAGATGATGTCTTCGGGTCGAGCCGCCAGAGACGCGCGGTATTGTCCTTTGCACCTGTGGCTAGCCAGTGGCCTGACCAGTCTACATCGATGCAGATGATAATATCGTCGTGACCGTCCAAATGTGCGACATCAGCACCGAAATACTCTTGCTTCTGGGCCGTGGGCCTGTCCTCGGACGGCGCAACTGAGACAACACGAATGCTTTCGGTGTTGGTTGCCAAAGCCAGCAGAGACCGATCAGGACCAACGTAGGCGACATCGATAATATCATCATCATTGCCCGAGATGCGCCTCACGACTGGCAACGGATCAAGTGTAGAGCCAGGTTTGTAGCCGTACAAGGGTTCGAGAGAATGGAGCCTTAGGGTTTGGTCGGCGTGCACAGTCATAGCGAAGGACATCCCAGGGGTATAATGAAGCGCGATTACTGCCTCAAATTCGGGAGCTGCCTCCTGTTCTATCGTTACCTCTCCACCTCTGTTACAATCCCAGACTCGCAGTCTGCCGTTTTCCCCTCCAACCAGGCATAGACCGCCCTCTGCAACGAAGGAAGCAGCCTCGGCGCTTTCGAGGACCGGAATTATCCTTCGTGTCTTGAATGTTCGCATGTCCCACACAATGACGGTCTTATCACGGGCGGCAGACAGTAGTGCGTTCTCCATTGACGAGTATGATAGACTGCGCACAACCGAAACGTGTGAGTCGAGAGACGCTATGGACTTTCTCTTGTTCAAATCCCAAACGCGCACTTTACCATCCTCACTCCCGGAGGCCAGCCGAAAGGCGCCGAGAGAGCTGGCAGGGGTGTCCGCGTCCGACATATCTTCGTCCTCATCTTCGCTTTTCCGCTTTGATCTGTTCTTTTTGGAAGACGATTTGCCGTCGGTCTCTGAGAAAGGCGACTGGAAGAAGCACAGCGCCGAGATAACGCCGCCATGTCCATGGAAACTGTGTGTAATATAACCACCCCGGATATCCCAGACCTTGATTGAGCCATCCGCAGCTCCGGTTGCCAAAAGAGTGCCCGTCGGATCCGTGGCGGTCGTTACAACAGGTGCAGTGTGGGGTTTCAGACTCCTGACGAGTTTTGTCTCTATAGCGCTGGAGGTATCGTCGTAAGGGGTTAAAGAGTATATGCGCATCGACATCGACCGGGAGCAGAGAATAACATGTGATGCTGAAGGGGTAACTGTTCCAGAGTTAGTATATCCAAGCGCTAGGTATCGATGCATAAAGGCGGGTGCGACGGACTGGTTAAGCTGGTAATGATCTCTCCATCCTGCAGATCTAATTAGCAAATTGGAAAGAAAGCTTGATGCTGTGCTTGTACTGACTCCTTCAAGTGTTGCGAGCTGGTCGCCAGACTCCAGATCAACGATGAGCGCATCTTCGTTAACGCAGGTCACCAGTAGTCGGCCGGTGGCATCGAGTGCGGTGCTTCCGCCAGTATAGATGGGACGAAGGATTCGAGACGCCTCAAAGGTCGTCTTGACAACGGCTTTGGACATAATTGGACGTAGTTTAAAAGAATTTCAAAATCCGTATCTATTGCGCCATGGCCTGGTTTCACAAAATTCGTCAATGTAAGCGGGTTGAATTGTAGCAGCGCAATTTCACCTTTGAACTTGCTGGGGAAACTTTTTGGCCATTTTTTTTGAAATGGTTTGTCCTGTTTGCCATGTTTGCCAAGCTGCCAAACTAGCAGCCTTCACAGCCTTCAAAGATGGGTTGTGCACGAGACGCGGCAGCCGCCATCTCAGCCGCCGAGACATCAGATCGTCGACTCAAGTATCAGCTGCATTCCTCACTTCATCTCGGGGTCTTTTGACTTCGCGGTACAATGACGCTGGAAAGGTGATTCAGGACATATATCATGGGGCGACGTGCATATTTGAATCGCCTGGCTCTGGTAGGCTGCCCGCTTTCTTCCAATCCTTCGAGTGTATTCGCATATTTAGCAAATGGCTTCCTGGTCACATAGACCTTATTCCTGTTTCTCGCAATACACGTCTATAGTATCAGGTCTGGAATAGGCCCGGTTAATTTACTTTCTATGTTCGGCGCTCGTCTACCAAGAAGTTTACATATCTTCACTTGTACTATAAGGGGTTTCTTCATTCATTCCGCCTTCATGTGTATCTCTCCAGGTTCTCTAACGTTTTTTCAAAGGGCCGTTCCCCATATGAAGCTCCAGAGACCCCCTCCGGCTCTTCAACTGATGGGCCAACCTCAACTACAAGAAGAATCTCACCTCTCCATGCGGACGAATATGTCCAGCATTACGATGAAAGAGGTCACCCGGTCAACCCGGAGTCCAAGTCCTTTGGCAAGGAACTCCGAAGGGCCAAGAATGACATTCTTTCTACCATGGGTATTGTTGTCAGCGAAGACGCAAATCGGGGCCGTAACGAACAGCAAAAGATCGACGCGATCGTGGCCGAGAATGACTACGGGTTGATCATGGTGACGCTCGACCAAATCTCCGTTTTCTTAGGCTCCTGGTGGACTACTTCGCTTACAGGTCGGATACAGGTGAGCTCATTCTGGTCTATTTGTGAAGGGTGGCTGGAACTAAACATTTGCCTGACCACAGAGCTTCAGAAGCTATACCCATGTCCCCATCACGAGAATCATGAGCCACGAGCGTGCTTCCCTTGGAGCATTTGGTTTCTACTTTGCTGGAGTTCCAGCTTGGGCGATTTCGACATGTTTATCTATTTGTCGGCATCACCCTCTCGAGCGACTGGTTTCCACCGTACAAAACTACTTCCCGAACAATGACGCGGGCTCCAAGCTTGTGAGAGCATCTTTCACAGTGCTACACACTGCGTAAGTACCTTGTCCAATGCTAGAAACCCAAACTTATGATGCACATAGTACCCGAGGGATCCTGCTGGTTCTCGCTATGCAGACTTATATGTACTCTCTGCTACAATCTCTTCACCTGATTCATCCTGCTTCTTTCCCAGGCTTCGGGTATTTTATGCCGTTAGGCGAATTTACATCAATGCTACTTCCGTCTATTCCCCCGGACCTTTCGGCTCGCTCCTTGGGCGCTTTTCTTTTGGACATACTAAAAACCCCCTCCCTGTTTTATATCTATGTTTACCTGCGACCATTCATTGAAGTTCGACTCTATAGGTTGATCCGCAGGCGGTTACCAAAACCTAGTCTTACGGACGACCTTTCCATCAAAGTGGCTTTTGACAATGATCTGATTGACTGGATGGTACCCACACTTGGTCGTCGTGCGGTAGAGGAGACACTGCGCAGCAAGCTCTCGCTGACGGAAGACTTGCTGTACGAGGCATTTTCTCTTTGGCAGTGGGTGACATCCAAACTGACTTTCAGGACGCGGCGAGGCTCTTATGCTTCAGACATTGGAGCAGAACATGAGACACAAACTCAATCTGCGGATCTACCTTTGGAGCAACACGCCCAGAGCCGGAGGAGCGCGCGATCTAACACTACTGATCAACCGGCACCAATACCACATTATGACAATGGCGACAGCGTCGCCTTGTCAAATGAAGAAACCCAGCTGCCCAATGGAGAGAGTGTGGACATACTAAGACGTGCGAGAAACCTCACCCTTTCTACGCGCACATCCTCACCGGATCCAGATCTACATACACACGGCGGGATCCCTTCAATTGAGAGTCAACGAGCATCCTGGTCAGATACACTACATTCTCGAGTGTCATCGCCTGCATCTTCGCAGTCATCTCCGCGGGTCCGAGCACACGTAATCCCGAATTCAGACGTCATTGCCATGCAACTAGAGCTAGGGAGTCGCCGGCTTCAAGACCGGAGACAAATTAATGCTGCCATTGACGCTCAAGACGGCTTACAGAATGAAGGACCAGCTGGTCGCCGTTCCATTTCTGAGCTCCTTGACACTCTTCTCTTGAATGATGGCCGGAATCTTGCCACAATCATCAACTCCGATGGTACGGATAGCGATGGCCTCTCAAATATGACTGCAGCAGTTTCCCCTGATCTTGGAGAGCCGGCTCGCTCATCTTCTCTCCAAAATCAAGCACACAGTCCAACAACCGCACAACTCGATTCAGCCGTCGAAAACGGCATCTCAGAACCTGTGAACATCCTCCCCGACATCGTCGAAGAACCACCCCTGCACACAACAAACTCATCGGAACCCCAACCAATCGTAGAGGACGACGACCTTGAAGACGATGACAACGACAGCGATAATGACAATGGATCCTCTGTATTCCCCTCTAGAGGGGACCCCAGCGCACTCCCAAACACGACTCAGCCCCAAATTACAGGCTCCACGACGGCAGCGCACAGAGTCACCATCCTCTCTGCGCTCCCGGTCGACTCTCTAGCCTCGCACCTCTCATCCATGCTTACAACAGCTCTCTTCGCGCCTCTCGAAGCGTTTTACCTGCGATCGCTGGCTTCTTCGTATCTTTTTGCCGCAGGTGCATCTGGCGCTCTTCGGGCTGATGTCTATAAGCTGGGTGCCTGGGGTGGCGGACCCTGGGGTGATGACCGGTTGGCGTATATGGGGAAGCTGGCTCTTATGTTTGGGCTGCAGGCTGCTGTTAACGCATCGGTTTGGGGGGTTATTTCTGGGACGGCAATTCGGATTGGGAGGAGGTGGTGTGGATGGGGTACACTCTAAGGACCTCCTAGCATAAGGATCTGCCAACCGACTGATCAACTGCGGCTGCGAAACCTTGTGTAGTATAATAACACGAGGAAATACCATTTATTCATAAAGTAGCCAAAATACTCGTCTCTTGAGCATACCATAATCATATTTCTTATTGTACACAAAGACTACATATGCGCTTCGATCTAGCTAGCAGTAGCCTTTGCCTTCTTTCCCGCCATTCCGGGAACCCTCCTCCGTTCCCAGATCATGAGATACCCCTCCTTGGTAAAAAGCGTCTCACTCTCTGCGCGCTTAACAAACAGATCCTGGATCTCAAGCCACTCCGGGCCCCGCTGTTCCCCAGTATGCTGCTCGCTCTGGAATCGCGCATTCTCAGCGGCCATTGCCTTATCATTCAGCTGGACGAGCCACGAGACTTTCTCCGTGCCCGCACCAGCGCCGCCTGAGGCTGCATTGACGCCCTTTTCTGCGGCGTCTTCGGTTCCCCCTGGGGCAGAGATTGTGGGGTCGAGGATGATGTTGGCAACGAGGTCGTAAAGGATTGGTTCGCCCGGGGGCCAGACAGCTGGGTTGGGTTCTACGTACGGGGACATGTCAAGAGAGCGCGGGGAGGGGAATGTGACAATTGTGGGGTTGCGCTCGGAGACGAAGCGGTTTTTGCTGAAGCGTTTAATGTGGAACATGAGGTAAGGAGGTAGTGGGTGAAGGAGGCGATGGCGGACTCGTTGTGCGAGCTTCTCGGAGGCGGTGATACCGTTATATTTGTTAAGGAGGGTTGTTAGGGGAACTTGGGGGATGATGGATTCCCTGTTTGCGGACTGAAAGAGCGGCGTTGGGGGGAGGTCGAGGGTAAGGATGAGAAAGGGTGTTGTTTGGCTGTTGATGGTGCCTGATTCGGTGAAAACTAGGCGGGCGTTCTGTGTGTCTGAGTGCGCAGTGATGGCTTGGCTTTCTATCCGTAGGTGGCCCTGGAAGGCCGCGTGGACGACACTTGTTGGCGTCTTTGATGGTTTTCGGGAGCCCCCGAGTGCAAGGTGAAGATTGTTGAGAAACCAAGATAAGAAATCCACGGGATCTGACTGGTGGGTCAGGGTAAATCGCTTTGATGACCGCAAGGCAATCTCCTGTAAGAGTTCGTGTGGTGATACGTGAGACCGGAAAGCTTTAGGGTTCCAGAGCTTGCGGACGAGTGTACCAAAGCGCAAAACCAGCTGAGGTGTCCCAGGCTGGGGAAACTCGTGAAGCAGGAAATAATTGCGTATCGGGAGAACATGGGCCAGTGACTGGGCCACGACGTTGAGATAGTCGTTTGCTTTGATATTGTTCATACCCACAAATCCTGGAATATGGTTAGTTATATGATTTCCTGAGCCCAGAAGCAAGAAGCAAGACTTGCCTGGTCTATAGCGCTTCCCTGAAAGATCAAAAGCATCTGTGACCTCCTTATCCAGCTTGCCCACCTCCTCCTTGGTATAGTATGGATCGACAACGTATTTGATATCATCCAAGCTCTTATTTTTGACCTCGTATCCCTCCGGCAGAACGTATACTTTTTTGGTGCTCATATTGACGAAAACATGGTGTCCAACCTCGAGGGCATGGAAGTAGGCATGCGACTTGGGCCCTCTGCCCTGAAAATATTTGCCGCAAACAAGACAAGCATACACGTTGATGTTTGACAAGCTGACGGAACACAGTTTCTCAAAGTCAAAATCCAGAATCTGGCGATTAATCGTATCGAGGTAGAGATCGCTGTATCCCTCCATCGGGGCGCTTTGCCGTTGGGGAGCCACGATCGCGGGCTGGTCATCGTCTTGATCGTCTTCGCTGCCGTCCATCTCCTCCTCTATTTGCGCTGCTTCTTCAAGCTCCTCCGCTTCTCGGTCTGCCGCTGCTAGGATATCTTGGCCATGGCGTTCATGGTCCTCCATTTCCTGGCCGCTAGCTCGCCGAAACGGCAAGGCCCCATGGCGCGGGTCGTCTTCTGGCAGGTTGTCGTCTTCCACGCGGGCCTTTTTCGGAGCGGGCGAGCCCACTGTAGTTCCATCCTCGAGGGGCAGCTCGGCTTGTCGTTTGGACATCATGACTTGTTCGGGCAATGGCGAATTCAGGTGGGATGAGCTTGCGGCTTCTGGAAATCCTCAAACGCGACGGAAGAAGATCGGATGCAAACATGACAAACATCAAGCTTCTTCGGTATCATTACCTCAACCACCGAACTCCGAATCTACAGGGGAACAACTTTGGCAGTCGTGTATCATGTCATTTCATTTGTTGTCTACCTAGTAGCCACGTTCGGCTGAGACTACACCGGGATCAATGCAACCGATCAACGGAGAATCCCAAGACCCATAATAAAGCGAAACATAAATGCTTGGTATGATACATTAAGCACTCTTGACAATCCGGTTGTTGTCAAAGGGTACTTCTTTCACGCCATCCTTCGTCACTACCTTGACAAGAACCTATAAAGCATTAGTTGTCTCTATTTGGGAGATCAGAATACATAGAACATACTCCTTTGTAGTCAATAGGTAGTCGGCGCTTCAGCTCATCTGTGCACATCTCCAGAAGCTTCATGCCTTGTTCGAGATCGATATCGGGATGATGATGCTTGTCGAGTGTTGAAAGACAGTAATATCTGGCACCCCTTAGCTCAAATCAGCAACAAACAGTCATAGGCCACTTACTGGGCATAGCCATGGGCGGCATATGGAACAGGAGCCAGGGACGCAAGGTAATCGATCCAGTATAGATGGGGCTTCTCAGTGATCTTGTCTACACCACCCAAGAGGAGGTTTACTGTGTAGGGACTTCGCGATCGTAGACTGCGTGCTAGCTCTCCTCGGACGAAGTTGGCAACGGCACTAGGAGAAAGTTCGGTGTCGTTGCGCATTGTGTATAGCTGAACATTGGCTTGGATATATTCGGCGAATTGCACTAGTCGAGAAAGAAGCTTGATTAGTCCTGTTTTGGTCAATCTCCATATCCCATAGCGGTAAACGAACCGGTGTCTCCCGCCTCGCCGGAGAAAGCGATGAGTGTGTGCTCGTTCAGCTGCTTCGTCTTATCGTCTTCAGCTTTGAGAATTGTTGGACCTCTCATAGCAGCCTTTGAAGCTGCCAGAATGACAAAGTCCTTGCCCGTGATACCAAGTAGAACCTCCCTGTGACGATATCGGTCAGTGTTGCTAGTAATAGCTCCGTGGAAGTGGTGGGAGCTTACATTCTGATTGTGCGAACTTCGAACGTGGCAATAGACGGAGGTATAGCTGGAGTAGCAGTAAAGAGCAGCAAGTACGAGCTCGTGGAGAAAAACAGGAGTGAGATGTCAATCGATAACTACCGTTGGCCGCGCGGAGCTCTGACTGCCTGGAGCTGTCGCTTTGGGGCGGCAGCCTCAGGCGGAGAGCTCTGATGCTGAGTCAGCGCAAAGACCCACCGCCCGCACGGACAACGGCAGAAAAAAAAAGTTGAAAATGAGCGGGAAAATATCAGTAAACGCGGTCGAGTCGCCGTCGTCATCCGCCTCGATTGGACAACGCCCTCGCTGGTTAAGCTTCAATCGACCTTTTTACCCGCCTAATGTCGTCGTTTTTTACATTACCCGCGTCCCAGCGGAAACGCAAGAGGGAGGACCGGTCTGGAGCCCCCGCGACAAAGAAACGGGGCGTTGATGCGGACGGAGATGCGCGCAACAAGAACAAGAGAACGAGGGAACGAGACGAGTCAATCTCGGGCAGTGACTTGGATGAGGATGTGGAAAGTGCGGCATCGGTAGCCTCGGAGGGAGAAAGTGGTTCAGAGTCGGATGAGGGAGAGACTGCTGCCGAGCGAAGACTGAAATTAGCGGAGCGCTACCTGGACAACGTCCGAGAGGAGGTTGATGATTACGGGTTCGATGCTGCTGAGATTGATCGTGACTTGATTGCAGAGAGGCTAAAAGAGGACGTGGTATGTGCGAGAGAAATTACTGCGGACCTAGCGCAGATCTAACGGGGCATCCTAGGACGAATTCAAAGGACGAGTATATCGTCAAATTGCTTCCGACCTAGCGTTCTCGACCGCTTCTCATACGTTCTTCCGAGCAGACACACAGACTACCACATCAATCGCCGTCCACGCTCCATACGTCTACACTGTATCTAAAGATCGAACTTTGATCAAGTGGGAGCTCGCCACACCCGGTGCATCCAGCACAGATACGACGAATGAAACAGATGGGGCATCAAAGCGCGCCCCTCGACCGCAGCGAAAGAAGCCGAAGCAGGTGCGCTTCACAAGAGGTCTGCAAAAAGTTGCGGAGAGCGCAGAAGAGCAGGGCCACTCGAAGAACATACTAGCGGTCGCGGTGTCCCCGTCAGGGAAATTTGTTGCCACTGGAGGAGAGGATAACAAGCTCATCATCTGGGATGCCGCAACCTTGATTCCCGTGCAGACCTTTTCCCAGCACCGAGACTCCGTCAGTGGACTGGCGTTTGTTCGTCACATTTCTACCATGAGCTCGGGAGAGCAATTGTTCTCTGGCTCATTTGACCGGACCATTAAAACATGGTCTATTAGCTCCGCAGGTCACGCCTATGTGGAAACATTATTTGGACACCAAGACAACGTCACGTCGCTGGCCGCTATGACGATTGATCAGTGTATCAGTGTTGGAGCCCGCGATCGCACAGCTAGGTTGTGGAAGGTAGTGGAGGAGGCGCAGCTTATCTTCCGCGGTGGCTCATCAAGAAACACCTACCAGGAAAACAACATTGACTGCATCGCACCTTTACCTCCCACACATTTCGTCACCGGCTCCGATAACGGATCAATCTCCCTTTGGTCTATACACAAGAAGAAACCGCTCTACACCATCCCGCATGCTCACGGCCTCGACCCATTACCGCCACTCGAGGTACACTCTCCTGAGACCGATCGTCAAACGGCACAGTCGAATGCACGCTTCCTCAGACGCATGCCTCGCTGGATTACTGCGTTGACAACGGTTCCAGGTACGGACATTGTCCTCAGTGGCAGTTGGGACGGCTGGATTCGGGCGTGGAAGGTTTCAGACGATAAACGCACAATACACCCCCTAGGGCCCGTTGGCGGAGGCCCTGCATCGCAAGCCCCAGATACTCCATCCAAACAGTTGGAACAGAGCCTCGCGTCCGCCGACGGATCCCACAGACACGCGGTCGAAGAAGAGACAGAGCCCTTGGTAAAGGGCGTCGTCAACGGCATCTCCGTCTTTGAACGGCGCGTAGAGACGACAAAGCCGGGTCAAGTACCATCTGACTCGAAGAAATCGAAATCCACGCCAAGCACGGCACCAGAACCCCGCGGTCTCTGTATCGCCGTCGCCATCGGAAAGGAGCATAGGCTCGGCCGCTGGAAATGCTACGATAACAATTATTCCAAGGGAGCCACGGCAGAAGGTCGAAATGGCGCAATGATCTTTGAGGTCCCTTTTCTTTCTGACAAGCATGGTCGAGGAGAAAAGGAACCCCTCTGAGCGAATGTATCTAACCATCAATAGATTCGACTGTATTTTATTCCTAGCGGCATTTGCATACCTGGAAAAGTCCCTGAAGTTCGATTTCCTTTTCTCTTCAACTATCCGCTATTGCTTTGATGGGATTTCTGTAGATCTTTGACTTCTCTCTTCCACCAACGCAGCTAGAACCTCAACTGGTTACAACCTCAACGGAGCCATGGCTAGGGTACAACCAAGCCATGGCAATAACAACCACATATAAAGCCTTGATATCTATTCCATAATCTTCTCTGATTCATCATATTCACTAGCAGCATGCTATGATGACCGGCCACATTCCGTTCATTGGCCTGCTTGATGAACCCGTTTCTGTATTCTTCGGCCAAATATATGCCGTCCTGATACGCTGTCAGATCTGTGGATGTGCTTCTGCGCGCAGCTACTGCGTAATAATCATTTCCCAAGCTGTGTCACCACATAGTCAATGCGGCTGTTAGGGCTTGCAGGACTAATGGTACCCTTGACCCTGGACTTTGTGAGGTGGGCCACATACAGCCCAAGAGTTCATCATGACAAGAGGATGTCAGAGTATATGCTTTCTCGCCATAATCGTCTGTTCGGTTCCTGCTGTCCCAGACTGGTGCAGAAAATGAGAAGTCTAGAGCCGCCATTGTCCGTTGTACCAGGCCTCGCGTTTAGCCACAGTAATGTTGCCGGCGCGACATTTTTATCGTCAAGGAAAAGCCTCGGAGATCAGGGCTACTAAGCAGTTGCCCTGGGTTGGTAGCACAGGCTGGTCGTTAGCTGATTCCGAATATTAGGGCTCAGCTGGTTTGGGCATGCACCACGGTAGAAATAGATCAAACAGGCTTCTCATGGGCTAGGATGCTCTCGGTCACTTGACGAAGCATGGTCTGAATAGGGTCCGGCTTGGAAACAATCTCCTCTTGCTTGGTTTCGAGAGTGGGTAGAATGTCCTTAGCAACGAGCTGTTCATCAACAGCGTTCTGTTCATTCTACAGTTTTCTGCTTTGCGAAGTTTGCTGAAGTGTCACGCGCAGAGAGGCGATGGTGGAACAAGCCAAGTTAGCTATATTCTGCACTAGAACAAATATCGGTATTATTGGCATGAAGCACATACTTTCCTAGTAACTTCGTCCCTGATTCAGTCCATACCGATATGGGTCCCACCAGTGCCATCCAAGGGCAAGCGCATTTAGACGATTGTAACCGAAAGCGCTTACGCCATGTGGTGGGGGTGTTGACATAAGTCATGACAGAGACAGTTCGAGGGGCCATGGTGTTGGACTTGATTTAGTTGCAATACCTCGTGGACGTCGTTTACGTGTGTTCAAGTTCTGGGATTGTACTGCGCTCTCCTAGATATGTGCATTGCCCTCGCTCAGAGCAAAAGCAGAACGATTTTAGCCCTGATTTGTATGAGCCGTGGAACCCCGTTCCACTCCTTTAAGCTAGCATTATGGTTGTTATTTTGTATGCCGACCTCGGAGCCATGCGAGACATTGAGTTGGCAGCTTATACTCTTCGGAGTTGCGGGCTCAAGTATATAACTCTCCCTCGCCAACATATGTGTTTCTCCTGATCTAGGTAGACAGCTGTCCCAGCATGGCCGAATACCGTCGTCTCGCAGACCCTCATCCGCAGTGGGAAAACGTAGGTCTCCTCATACTACCCAAATCCTCAAGATCTATCTACAGTGCACTCTGACCATCAGATCTAGTTTCCCCACAATCTACCACCGAACGCCCGCATCCTGAGAATGAACCGAGACCGGCTCCCCATCAATCCACGATCCGGTCTTGAAATCGAGGAGTTCGACGTCCCAGCCCGTGACGGGTACGCTATTCGGGTGCGATCGTACAGACAATCAGCCACCACGAGCCAGGCTGCTCTGCCACTCCTCATCTATTTCCACGGCGGCGGGTTCGTCACCGGCGGCTTGGAGACCGATGACGAGCCTTGTCGGGCCATGGCCTCTGAGATTCCTATTCTCGTCCTGAATGTCGAGTATAGACTTGCACCTGAGCATCCATTCCCTGTTGGGTTCACGGATTGCCTCGATGTTGTTCTCTGGGTTCGTTATACCCTTCCTTCCCCGTCCCAGCAACGAGTATAGTATACTCGACAACCCATACTATATTTCACACCCTGCCAAATACCAACACCCTAACCATACTTGCCTTTACAGGCCTCCTCCCCTAGATCCCAATCCACCCTCCCCAAAAACCTCTCCCTACAATCCGGCTTCCTAATCGGCGGCACATCCGCCGGCGCAAACTTCACCTTTGGCATCGCGCACCTCGTCGCGCAAATCCACAAGCCTGAGCTCCTTCACCCAGTGACAGGGATCCTCTTCCTCGCAGGAACAATTTGCCATGAAGATGCGCGGCCGGAAAAGTACGCAGATAGGATTCTGAGCATCGATGAGATTACCTCGGGGCCCGGGTTGAGTAAAAAGAGTATTCAGTATTTCGCTGGTGTGTACCGAATCCAAACCCTAGGCATTCGTTGAGGTTCATGATCAGGTACTGACGAACCGAGTAGAGAAATATGGCGCTCCGCCCACGGATGTCCGCCGCTCGCCTCTCCTCTTCGGGTCCCATGCTGGTCTGGCGCAGCGGGCGGTGGTTTATGCCTGTGGGTGGGATCCGCGGCGGGACGAGACATTGCTGGTTGAGGAGATCCTACGCGCCGAGGGCGTGGCGACGAACAAGTATATTTATCCTGGGCTGCCGCATGGGTTCTGGAGCACGTGTCCGGATTTGGAGGAGAGTAAGGCATGGAAAAGAGATTTGCTCAAGGGGGTGAGATTTTTGTTGGAGGGGGGAGTGGCGTAGGGTAGGACTTTGACCCCCTTGGCAGATAGGGCTGGCTAGCTATTGAGAGTAAGAGGCCATTTCTTGACGACATTATGTTAGTTATGTATTTTGCTCTGGTGGTATTGCGAAGACTTGAACTCAAAGGGCATAACGGTTTTGATCGACTGGCTCGCCAAAAATCCAGGATCATCTAATACAGTGTGCCTAAAAAAAAAGATGTCGCTAAAAAGGCATCGTCCAGCACCTGAAAACTCCCACAAGCATCAAGTCGTGAAATGGTAAAGGTCTCAGTCCAGCTGCAGTCGGTGGTTTGAACAAGGTAAAGTTGAGGAAGCTAATCTTGGCAGATGCGGTCATTAGGGTAGCATATGAGTTCAAAAGCTAGAGAGCTGATGGCCGAGGGTTGCCTTGGCCTCTTGCCCTTCGCGTCGGCGCTACTGGGCCTTCATCCGAGTCATCATCATCAACAGCAATAGCTCTGGTAGCAGAAGAGCCTACAGATCGGGATGGCTCAGGATGTCGCACATTTTGAGAATTCAGCCCGTTTAAAGCAGGGTTTCTGGGAGTTGCTCCGTTTGGACGGTGAGGAGAAGAGCTCGACAATATGTGATAAGTTGGTATGCGTCGTCGGTTTCCTGGTACAGCTGGTCGAATCGGCTCCTCATCGTCATCATCGTCGTTGCTATCGTCATCATCATCGTCGTCGTCGTCGTTGTCGCCGCCGCCATACTCGAATCTGTCTCCGACCTCGAGATCATGTTCGTCTTCGTCCTCAGAATCAGATTCTTCATCCTCGCTGTCTGGTACCGCAGTGAAGTCGTATACATTTGAGTGCGCCGTGCTATATCCAGAGCTCGGCGACTCGTCGAACATGGCATGTAACTGCTCATGGCTATAATCAGGGTGGCCCACAACAGTCGATCGATCTGAATCCGAAGCATAGTCCTCAGACGGTTCCCCATCGTCTATGAACGAATCCATATCCTCGTCCTCTTCGTCGTCGTCATCATCATCATCGTCCCCATCATGGACAGAGTCGTGCGAGTCATAATCCAGGTGGTCGTGCATACCGGGTAAAATGGGGAAACCATTGCGGCCAAGAGGTACTATACGCGGGTGGAAAAGCTCAGGTGGAATTGCTTCCACAGGCACTCGGTCGTACCACTCCCCCCAATCAAACCCTGGTGCTTCCCCAAATCCATCTTCTATGTCTTCATCCACTTCCTCGTATGGATCCGTCATTTCAGAGTTCTCTTCCGAGTCACTCCGCCAGTCGGTACCGGACATCGAGTCATCGTCATGGCGATACCCACAGTTGACACATCCGGTTTCATCCAATTCCCAAGAACAATGCGGACAACGAACAACCCCATCTTCAAGGTCGATAATCGGTACCCCGGGTGGGTGTCTTGATTTGTTAAAGATACCTCGAAATAGACCAGCTTCTCTAGGATTCGTGTTTTTCTTATCAGCCTCAAGCTTCTCCGCCTCTTCTCGTTGGTGGGATTTGTGTTGCTCCGTTGTTTCCCCTTTATCTAGAAGCTCTGCGCGACTTGTGAACAACTGGACGACCGCACGGACCTGCACGAGTTAAAAAATCACATTGCGAAAAGATTTTGTGTATTCCAAAGGCTTACCAAATAGGCTGGCGCAGGTTGTGATTTCACTGGGGTTCGACAATCGGGACAGGTCTTGTTGTTGGTTCTCCCTTCAGCGAACCACGAAGACAGGCACTGGACCATGTTAACATCACACAGCAACAGAGGCGCACTCGACTAACACCGTAGCAGAATGTATGCCCACAGGCAAGGGTGAACGGCTCGTAAAGTGGCCGGATACAGATACCGCACTGTATGAGGGCACGAATATCATCCACGTGGCCCTGCAGTGTGTGAAAAAGCTAGAAAAACGAAGAGCTTAGTCGGCGCGGTGGCTGAAGAGTTCCGACGAAGCAAACTCACCCCCGAAGCATCCTGTAGAGTAGCGCCCTTTGTCCCACCAGGGCCCTTGTTCAGAGCACCTGTTGGAGGGGTATGCAGCGACATAATTCGCGATCACTTGCACTGAATACCGACGAAGAGTAAAATGAGGTCCGGATAATTGTTCGCGATGTTGTAGAGGGAGCGAAAATCTCGGCTCTACGTCAGCAAGGAGACAATCAAGCTCGGCTGTTGATTCAAGTAATCGAAAGAGCGACGGGCATAACGCAGGCGAGCGAATCGCCGCTGAGCGGCAGATGAGAGTTTTTGGGAGATTCGAGAGCCCCGGGTGAGAACGCGGCGTGCTTGTGATTCGAGGGTCGGTTCGAGAGGCTCCAACGTAGAAAGAAAAGCGGCTCAAAGGCAAGGAAGGCGATGGCAACCGACCAGCGTGTCCGTGAGCATCTTTTTCTGTCGGAATCGGAGAGCAGCGCACAGGAACCAAACCGATCAAACACGCGTGACGAGTCGGGTTCAGGCTCCACTGCTCCACCCTTCACTACTGGGCCGGCCCTCCTAATTGCTTTGACCTTCACTATCCTTGTTCCAATGAATCTCCAACACTTTTATCTCATTTTTCTCGGCGTTTTTTTAGACAGTCATCCCCTCAAAATCCGGCAGCTTTAAAGAACGAGCTTGGCCTCGATCCGTGCTGATTTATCCTAATCTGAAGAGACTCAAAATGCCTGCGAATAGTATTGGTGTTTCTGTCATTATCGGGGTCAATACATACGAAGTAGAACGTTCACAATGTCGGGCCTTCTGCTGCCACTAGGTTGAAATTCAGTTGGGATGCTGCCGACAGCGCCAATCTACTGTCATTTTCCATGTTCGTAAAACTCACTAGCACCAACCCTGAGTACTTTATCAAGTCTTTGTGTCCAGTGTTGGCGAAATCTGACAGCCGTGGCGGCCATGTCGCTCGTCTATTCGGCGCTTCGGCTGTGGCAGGAGAACCTCCTCAAAATATAGTCATGTCAAGGTTAACAATCCCACCATATGTCTCTTCCCTCTTTTGCAATCCAAATCTTTCCGCCAAACCGTTGCATTTGATCCTGATTGCAAAGGTATCAAGGACTAAAAGTGAACAGGGCATATGCCAGAAAAGGAGCTAAGATTATCAGCTATATGATTTGCCGAGGATGTATTCTGCTAATCATAGGATCGTAATTCGGGCCCTAGAGCCTGAAGCCAGTAAAATGGAGGAGGGGAATCCTTTGACAGAGGAGAAGAGGATTGGAGTGGGCAATAGGCCCCAATCCCCTAGTCATTGAGCACGGGTAAAGATATAGAGCCCTGTAGACTGATATATCGCTCACCCAATGCTATAATCCTGCAGTCAGGAGCTCGTCCGACTGTAGAGAATCAGCTTCAGTGTATCTCCAAATTGAATTCGGAAGGTCATCGGTTCTCCCCGTTTGCTCCGTTTAGTTTTGTTCCCTTTTTTTTAATCTGCATAGATTAGGTATTACTAGTGAGTAGGGCATATTTTGTGGTGCTGGTCTAACCCATGTTACGCTGATATTGGGGTTGACGAAGGAGCCTTCCATTCTCATGGGCTAAAGAGAGGATAGGGCCGTGGCGACTCATATACGAGCATACAACGAATGTAGGGTGTTTGGTCTTAACACGCCATGAGCACTCCGTAGTCGCAAGTTGAATATCTATTCAGCAGGCTTCTGAAAAAGGATCTAGTTAATATATTTATACTCCAGTATATCACAGCCTCACAGCCAAGACTCCACCAAGCGCTTCATCCCAGCTCTCCATAAGCTCGCCACAGAAGAGCTCCAAAGAGGATGTATCAAGGGTCTTCTCAAGTTCACCACGGAGTTGTGGACCATCTTCCCCAGTCCCACTTCCAGCCGTCACCAAGTCAATCAGGGAGCCAAGCCTCCCCGACTCTGAAACGTGCTTTTTCAGAGCTCGAGCATTACCCTGGGCGCTCTGGTGTACTTTGCGAGCCGTTTCTAGCAAGCTTGCAACACGATCCTTGGGAAGTTTGGCGTTCTTTAATCCTTTTTTGGATGCGATGGAGAATAAAGAGGCGGCGGCTTTGACTGAGTCCAGGACGCTGTAGATGGTGTGGAAGAATCGCCAGGTTGGAGCGTATGGCGTATCTGACTGGAGGAAGATCGCCGTTTCTGAAACTAGCGGCGACACGGTCGTCCCCTCTGCCTCGACAGCCTTCAATTTGGAATTCAACCATTCTTCCACTTGGTTTAGACTTTCGTCTACTTGCTCCGTGGTGACAGATTTCGAGCCGCTTAGATATACAGCCAGCTTTAGCAGGTTGAGGTTGGTTTTGGTACCCTCAATCTCTGGAATGGTCATGTCGGATTCAGCGCTGGTCCCGACAAGGTCATCCAGACTGGGCACCTCGGGTGCTACTGAGATAGGCTTTTGGTTGGCCAAATCTTTGAGTATTCCAAGAAGTTTGTCAGTCAGTTGAGCTGACCTCACCCATCGATCCTGCAGTCTTTAGTATCAGTCACGAATGTAAGAGGACGTAACATACCTGCGGCAGCGGTCCTAGGCGCACCAACTCCTCAAATGTGGGTTGACTAGGAGCTTCACAGTTCATGAACGCATCAAAGGTACGCTGATCGATAAGTGGCGATGAATCCCTCGCTGCATAGCACATTAGTAAAGGCCAAAAAACAAGATGTTCAGAAAGGACGAACCTATATCGTCAAAGCGGCCCATGGGATCTCCACCAGCCAGTCTCTGTGTTTGTTTCACACTGAGGGCCCACATTCTACGGCAGACACTTTGTCTGAGACGCTTCTGAAGCTCAATAGTACTCTCGATGTTCACATAACTCCCGTAATCCAGACCCTTTGAGCGTTGCCTCGTTGATATGAGGTCCGCACTCCTATAGAAGTTCAGAGCTTGCACAAAGGCTGATTGCGGATTAAAGTCCTTATATTCTGCACCGTCAATTGGTGGCGCTGAGTGTGGATGGATTGTTGATAGGCGCGTAAAGAGGTTGTGGGCAACAGTTTCGAACTGCAATTGCTTGACAGAAAGCTTGCTGAACGTTTTCAATGCAAGCGAGCCAGCACCTAGCCGGAGGTATAGCCGGACAAGAAGAAGCAAGCATTGGTAGTTATGGGGAGAATCGACAATCAAGCGTTCCAAGATGGCAGCTGCACGAATAAGCATAATATCCGGGATTTCCTCCTGTTTGCTCGGAGACCAGCTGCTGCTGAAGCGAACCAGCCCCATCGCTGCAAGGACGCATAGGTCATCGCTAGGCTGGCTTTCGATGGTTGATGGAGCATCACTCTGATTAGGGCGCTCAGCTTTGCGGTAGGCTTTTAGACATCGGGAAACAAAATCCTCTACTTTCTCTCTTGAAACCTTAGCTGCATTGGAAGACATCAAGCAGTACTCCAGCTTCAAAGCGTTAATCACAGCAACGCCTTTAAATGGGCCGGATCCCTTCAATAGTCCGTTAGCGAGACTATAGCCATCAGATGAGTTTTTCACGTACCTCACTCTGTTCCGAGTTCTGGGACGCATAGTTTAGGAGTTTTACAACCGATTCCTCATTTAAGGAGGGGATATACCCGAGGATGTCACTGAAGCAATAAAGTTTGTTCTTGCTGTGATCAAAGTAACCTTGGCATGCGGACAGAAGATCCTCCTGCATTACTGATCCGGATTGGAAGCCTGAATGTGTCAGATCGAGGTGGGCAAGTTGTGCATTCCTAGACTTGGGCTGGGCCGCAATGAACTCAGATATGAACTTCTGCGTCTCCGATGTTGTCCTAAAGAAGTTAGTCGCTGTAGATAACATTATGACGCTGGGTAGGAAGTTACCCTGAGGAGTTGATCTTTTGAGTTGCAGTGACAAGCAAGTGCCAAACGGCCCAGTCGTCGCGTTCCTGGATAGCTTTCTTCTCCTCCTCAGTAAAGGGAATAGCGAGGAGCTCTTTGGTATACGACAAGCCTTCAGCCCACATCTCTGCTTTTTCTAAGCTGGAAAGCTTCACGCCAATGAAGGACCAGTCACTCTGCACCATTTTTGACTTGATGCCAAGGTTTTCGCTATCAAGGATCTTGACGATCTCGGAATGCCGTCCCTGAGACTCGTAGATCTTAACAAGTAGCAACAGCTCCTCGGCTGACTGTATAGCTCTAGGAGGGCTCAGCAATTCTTTCTATAGTAACGCATAAACATCATCATCCGGCCTCCAAAAGTGAGATAGAACAGAAGAAAGCGAGACGGCAGAAAGACAATCATGACATACCGGATCAGACGGAACACTCTCAGCAGCCTTCGAAACCATACGGTAAGCCAGCGTTCCAAAGAGTTTACGGTCCATATCTGAGCTCTCCTCATCGACAGCGAGAAGATAACAGAGGAAGATAGCCCAGATATAGTAGTTCCGCTTCTTGGGGAAGTTATTCTGCAGAGACATGGCAGCCTTCTGTGCCGACTTCCAGTCATCTTTCTCAAAAGCATACTCGAACCACCTCGTCTGGATGTCAAGATCTTGCGGCTTCGCCTTTGCGGCCCGTTCCCAAATACTCCTCATAGTATCTTCGTGCCCGCCCACTCTTTGCAGCGTCTCATAGAGGATATCTAATGTGTCGAGATCCGTAACCGCCGGCTCGGCTCTGCACAGCGCGAGTGTCTCCGTGATACCTCGCTGCTGGTGAGTGTCGTCGGCGTGACGGTGAAGAACGTGCGCTTTCCATGCCTATTTAGCGCAGAACCATTAGCAACTGCGGGCATCATAGAACCGAGATTATCACAGCGTGGAGAAGGCTGTTTGTGAGTATGACAGAGACTTGGAACATACTTTGAGAAAAGACGTATCCTCCCCCTTCTTGATCCGCTTCTCAATCAGCTGCAGCGCTTGTTTCAGATTCCCAACGTCAATGGCATCTTCGATTTGCTTATTCCGCCTATGGAACACGGCGTCATTGGTCGACATGGCGGCAAACGGCACTGGCAGCTCCGAGTTGGACGATACAGAGAAGTAGGACAGATAGAATCGGATATCCAATTCAAGCCGTGCGAAAGGTAGCGGCGTATGCTGCGCAATCAAGCACAGCACACGGTGTGCGGGGGATAGATTGCTGGGTTGGATGAGGGGTGGAATTATTTCTCTTCATTTTTGGCAGTTCAAGTGGGTGGGGGAATTCGATGGGGAAGGCGGTGATGGTTGGGGGGTTGGTTCTGGGGTATAGTCTCAGGAACCGAGTAAACATGAAATAATGAGGAGATATGGTAGTAGATAAGTGTTGATTGAATGTTGTAGAATTTCGAAAGTTGAGATTGGGTTCGAGTCAAAGTACAGATGAAGCTCTTTGCACATGTCACTATATCCGCCTAACAAAGGCTAGTAGTAGTATGGATGCATGTTTCCACTCGCAAACTATATTTTTTCATCTTATGTCTGAATGTAAATAAATGAAACTCTTTAGCTTTCACAGCAACCTTAGAAAAATCTTATGCTACACAATTTACTATGGTCTTGCTACCCATACACGGCGCAGAGTTGGTAGATTAAGGATTCAGGGAATCTCATTTGAAAAAACAGACATACTTATCTTACAGATCCCGAACCGCATAATCAGTCAACGCAGGCCAGGAAAACAAATCCAAAAGCAGAAATAACTCGAGTGAGCGCTATAAAACAGAGAAGAGTGTTTATCGTACAGGGTAGCCAACCGCATCGCAAAGATCAAGCAAAAGTGCCAAAAATGGCAGTTGTTCCCTGGGCAAAGGAACAAAATGCCGATGTACGCCTATGCCTTATCAATGAGCCTAAGTTGCAACGAGTGGTGCGCAAGACGGGGGCCGGTTTTGACGACTTCGAAATTCCTTTAGGCCCAAGGGTGAATCCTTGAATGCAGCCAGCATGGAGAGAAAAGACGTTTAGAAGGATAATGCAGGATCGACATGGCGGATCCAGAAGGATACGGCAACGTTGGTCTACGGGGTGCTTCGAATTCCTGCGGCGTAGGAACGAGGCCAGCTCGTTCTTTGGTATCATGACTTAGAGACTTGAGATGTAGCCAGTTTTTTCTGGGTCAACTGCATGGCCGTTAGATGAATACTCCAGTGACGAGGCGAATGATGAAGAACTAAGTCCGAGCCCAAACTCTTGAAAGGCCCGGCGCATCAGAGATAGCAAGGCCATCCACACGTATTTACTTACCCATTGCTTCTTGCAATCGCGGTATGCTCTGTAATATGTCAGTCTCACGAATATGCATCGGGCCCGAGGCCCAAGGATCACAAAGGAAGAGACTCACTGAAAATAATCATGACACATTTCCCTGTCATAAGCGTTGCGCTTCATGCACTTTAGACTTCGGTCCGCAAAGTCCTGACAGGGATCATAGTACTCGCTGGCAGTTTTGCTGGCAGGTTGGGTCAGCAAGCAATCGGGATTCCGCCGAGGCGTTGAGAATGATGGGTAAGCGGCTATATAAGCCATGAGGTTGATCTGAGAAGGAGGATCGGGGAATCAAGAGAGACACACTTCGTAAATTTCCGCTCCGAGCGTTCCCAGGCATTTGAAGGGACAAGCTCCGGATGTGCTGCGGAGGACGGTTGCTGATCTGGCTGGGAAGTCATGGCGTATGCAACTTGTCGCCTGGGTAATTAGAGAGCGCTAAAAGCCACAGGACTGCAGTCGAAGTTTGATGGATCTCGATCAAGAAGCTCCAGGTGAGAGAGCACTGAGGATAAGCTTAAAAGGTTGGTCAGATGATCATCAAAAAATCGGGCAGAGATTGGGGATTCCGCAAGTCTTGGCGCGGAGATCTAGATTGCGAGTTGGACAGTATACCGACTATTCGCTGGGCACATTGTTGCTGTCAAACACAGCCAGTGTCAATCAGGATATAGACACTAAGTCAAAGGCCAAATAAGTTTGTTGATTATGATACTACTACTGCTTTTTAGTTTCAAGCATGCCCTCTAGGCTTCAACGAAAGACGTAGCTCAAATGTCTAGCACTAGCAAAAAAGGGTTCAATCTTAATGGAATTCTATTATTCGATGCTTGATATGACTGTATCACGAGTCGCAGATCAATCGTAAATTGAATGCAAGCTTAAGCCCTCATAGCAATGTTTACTATAGTCGAAGAACCCGATTCAGCTGGAACCTGCAGCGCAGCGCTACGCAGCGCTACAGAGTTTCGCCCAGTCTGTGCAGTTATGATAACGTCTCCATCCTTCAGGGACCTATTGACGCTGGAAACAAGGTGGCATTGGTATGGAGGAACAGCGTCTTACGCTTGGTGGACAAAGCAAGCTATCTCTCGAAGCTGCAGAGTAACTGGTAACTGAGCTGACCACCAACGCTTACCCAAGGTTAGAATGAATGTTGAGCTTTTGGAGGGATGCTTGGTCTCCTAAGTCACATGGCCTAGCCACTGCGCCCAAGGCGTCAAGGTAGCGTTCAACAAGCGGGGAATGTCATTGATATAACGGACCACTACTATGGTTGTTGTTAGGTATGCGCAGCTGGTGACAATTGCTGATTTGCGTGGAGTTTCGAAGCTATAGGCGATTGACACCAGGAAACCTTGTATATGGAAGTCATAGGCGACATGCTTCCGATCGAAAAAAAAAAACCTAAAGTCGAAGATCATCCTAATTGTTGGTCAAGATACTTCGAGAATGCCAAATGAGACACCAGATCGAATTTTGGGGTAAATCCCCGCCAATCTAATGGAAGACGGTAACGCACATCCGAATTGCTACTGCATGGTCCGCTAGGGCGCCTGTATCAATATCAATATTCATCACGTCTGGGACGTGATCCTGAAAGTACGGAGGCGGGGAAATCATCCGCAGGCATCTGATAACCACACGGAGTCGATAACAGACCGAGCCGCTTCCTGCTCATCCCAAATCAAGTCAAAAAGTCCATTATCAAGGACAAGCCGTCGGCACGGTGGACCGGGTCCGCCACATTATCGTGATGTGTTTTGGAATCGCCCAACCCTCATCCAAAAGATGGGGATTGTTTATCGAACGAACCATAAGCCTCCCAGCACTTGGATAATCGCTTGCACATCAGATCGAGTTGTCCAGGCCGTCCTTGTCTGGGTAGAAACGCCCCAGCGGTATGAGCCCGTTGCCAACCATTGGGCAGGGAATGAGAGGAATCCTTCTTATAGTTTGGTTAGTTCTCGCCGAAAAGGGTGATCTAGAACAGATTGACAAGGAATCATCGTAGTGAGGCTGGTCAGTTGGTGGGTCCAAGGCTGTTTAAACCAAACCCAACAAAGAAACAGTTTCCATAGTTCGAATCACGGGGCGCATGAGATTTTGATGATGTGGTCTTCATGTAGGGAAGGACGGGTCCTGGCCGAGTTTTGGAGTCTCGGGGCCATCAAGTGAATCAGCAAGCCGGCATCTATCTGGTGTGCTGTTATACGGAGGCAATGAACGGCAGCTGTTGATCTTGTTGGTTGATGGACATAAATATCTAGGCTGTCCTCGTAAGATCGCAGTCTTCCATATCAAAACTCAACTTGAACGATCATTTCGAAGCAGTCAAGGAAGATACCCCAAGGAAATCAATTGACATCAACGTACTTCGCACCTAATCCTAAAATAATAGCAAGGTAAGTTGGGTGCAACTTTCACTCGTTCCCACACCTGTCAATACTCACATGGATATAGACAATGGCTACCGTAGGAACGCTTACCTCGACGCCGCTCCCCGACCCAATGGCCAACCCCGAATTCGATGGGGTGAACGCTATAGGGTCCTCAAGCATGTTAGAGAAGATTTCTTTTGATCCGTTGAAGCACCTCAACTTCATCCCTCCTTCCATGGTGTACAGCATGGAAGATCTGGGTTATACGAAGAGCCGTGGAGTATCTCCGATAGGTGTATCTGAGCCTTTCTCATTGTTCTCTGCCGAGGCCATTCAGCAGATGAGGAAGGAAGTTCTGAGCGGTGAAGTTTTTGCCAAATGGAAATACTCCAGCGAGCTTGCTCAGTGCCAGTTAAGGGGATACGCAGCAGAGTGAGTTGACCTAAGCGACCCGGGTATGATGAATTCTGCTAACACAATTCGGCAGCTGTGCACCGTTCATATATGACGCCTGGAAAAATCCCGAGACCCTTGGCATTATCTCCAACATTGCAGGCGTTGATCTCGTTCCGGCCATGGACTTTGAGATTGGACATGTCAACCTCGCAGTCTATAGCGAAGAAGAGAAAAACAAGGCACTCAACGAGCTGATCGAACAGGCAAACCGCGCAACAGACGAAAACCGAACTTGGGAAGATGACGACCCTGTTGTGGACTGGCACACGGACAGCTACCCTTTTGTGTGCGTGACCATGCTCTCGGACTGCACAGGAATGGTAGGGGGCGAGACTGCTTTGAGGAGAGGAGACGGCGAGGTGGTCAAAGTCCGCGGGCCACAAATGGTATGCCTTGACTCTTCTGAAGATTAGATTCAGGCTGACGGGGTGCCGCAGGGGTACGCCGTGATTCTTCAGGGGCGCTACATTGAGCATCAGGCGCTTCGTGCATTGGGAGGAACAGAGCGGATCAGTATGGTGACTTCATTCCGACCGCGTGCCTCGCTCACCAAAGACGACACTGTTCTCACTACTGTCCGTCCAATCTCGGACCTGGGCGAACTGTACCTTCAGTTTGCAGAGTACCGCTTCGACATGCTTCAGGATCGGTTCCGCCATGCCAACAAACTGATGCGTGATCGACAGCGAGCTCGGCGACCATTCGATACAGCTCAGCTAAAGCAGTTCATTCGAGAGCAGATTGAATTCCTGGAGCATATGGACACGGAGATAGTGGAGGATGATAAAGTCGTGAAGGGCAAATTCGACAAAAGTCATCTTATTTCTGAGCATCTCGTACTCGAGAGGTGAAGAAAGCGACGCGTCGCAGTGGCATGATAATAATGGTCTCAAGAGATGCTACATGGGGCAGCTGGGTCTTCTCGATGATGAGTTTTGGTTGTGTTTGTTGCCAGGGCTTGCCACAAGAGATGCCACAGCAACGAGGTCTTGAGGTCATCGTCGGAGGTAGTACCTGGGAATGCCTGTTTGAGTTCTTGGCTGGCTAGTTGATGCCTTCGTCTTTTTGCTGCTTTGGAGCGTTGACCTAGAGTTTACTGCAAGTTGGCCTGCACTGCCGTTAGCGACGTTATTTGAAGTTGAATAATTTTTGTTAGCTTGACTGCAGGCTCAAGTATGATCTTGTATACATTTCGGCTGCGAATAGATGGAATGGCGCGATAAGAAGGGCCGATAGATTATGCGTGCGTAGCAAAGGGTAAACATCTTCTCAGCCTAGCATCTTTTGCGCAGAGTGTATGGTAGTAGTAACTACTCCGTAGATCTTGAGAGATGCTTTAAGCCTTATGTAAGCTTTCGGCTTTCTGGGAGCACCTGATATGGACTCCGAATGAAGAAAGACTGGAGAGACTTAGTCTGCCTCAGGCAGAAACAGCAGCTGCGAAAGACTTGGCAGAAAAAGCCCTAGCCCTAAAGCACTGTAGGCGAAGGCGGTGAACCCACATCTCACCGTTCTGAGCAGAGACTCCGCACCGAGTTGGACAACTTCAGCCAACAACCACCTCGTCGTCGCCAACCAGTCCTTCATCCGATAATCCTGTCGAGATGGCTCAAGAACGCTCCGGAATCGTGGTCGGTCTCAACAAGGGCCACGTACGTATACCTCTTCCACCTTCCTGTTTTCCTGCTGCAAATTGCCTCGGATCTGGATGGTACGGAATCTCTGAGGATCGGGTTTCTCCCGGTCGCAAGTCGAATCGAGTTGAAGCGAGTTGGATTACTTCGAGCGAACAATATACGCCAATTACACCGTGCGATGTGAAAGCTCTCCGACTGAGCTAAGAGGAGGTGCGAATGAAGCGGGATCTTGAGGAATAATTTTCTCCGGCATCGACAAATCTGGTTCGAACCTAGAACACGGCCAACACAGAATTGAATTCGCGACGGAATGCTGCACGAGAACAACGGAATATACTAAATGATAGTATTGGCCCGAGCTCGTCGCCTCAATCGTCGCGATCTCATCGGCCAATGCTCAATTCAATTCGACCGGGAAATCCTCCGACCAAAGCCAATCCGACCACCAGTTCCAGCATATGCAGCGTCAGTGAAACCAAAACCGAACTAACAATATGCCTGCAATAGAAAACCACCCCCCTCAACACCCCCAAGACCCGGATCAGCCGTTCCAAGGGCAAGGCTTCTCGCCGCACCGCTTTCGTCCGCGAAATCGCCCGTGAGGTTGTCGGTCTCGCTCCCTATGAGCGTCGCGTCATCGAACTTCTGAGAAACGCTCAGGACAAGCGTGCCCGGAAGCTCGCTAAGAAGAGGGTATGTTCATACATCGCTTGGTTGTTTGCGGAGAGGTATATCTATGGGCTGTATTGGGCTTGGAGTACCTGTTCGAAACCCTCGACTACCGTGCCGCCCAACTATACCCTGGATACTTTCACCTCTTGATAACAATTTCTGTCTCATCCCAGAGAATCCAGCTAATCATCATCCGTCACAGCTCGGTACCTTCACCCGCGGCAAGAGAAAGGTTGAGGACATGCAGCGCGTCATCGCCGAGGCCCGCCGTGTCGGTGCTCACTAAATCTGAATTTTCCGTTTTCTTCCTACAAAATATGCACATGTCTATGTCCCAGGGTTCTGCTGCTCGGATTAGCCAGGAACGAGATGAATGAAAACTAAATTTCAAAAAAGTGAGGAATACTTGCTTTCTCTTCTGCTTCCCTCTCTTTATCTATATATCTACATGGATGAGTGCATGGCCAGTGCGATTCATGAGACTTGAACTGTGGAAAGAGATGGAAGATGGTCGGCAGGCTCGAAAAAGGTGCCACTCATATGTATGATGGATGAGTGCGCGCATAGGCATGGGTTTATCAAGTGAATCTAATCAAATGCCAATACCAATGTCCACCTTTACTACTGGACGGTTTATGGGTCTGTTACTTGCTTTCTTTCCTGCGTTCTGGCTGTCTCCGGAATGTAGTCTAGCAAATACGTAGCAGACATTAGCTGTTTATAAAGTTTTTATTCTTGACCCATGACAACTGTCCAGCTGAGAAGGTATTTACTATTTAGCTATTTCTTCCCCGGCAATTTCAACCACTTTGGTATCTTCCGATCCCCAGGTTTCTTCCCGTCCTTACTTGAATCATCTGCTTTTGTTGGCACTACTACATCTCCTGAGGTATCCATAACATCTGCCGGTTGTTGGACCTTGAGTTCTTGAGCCCTGGTCTGAAGTTCCGGTCGAAGTATGCCAGAGCGGCTTTTCTGCGCGGCAGATGATGCAGTTACGTCCCAGGAGAAATTGACAAGGACGCGGCCAGTCATACCGTGGTTTTTGATGAGCAGAGATTGGTCCGACTCTGGGAGTACTGACTGGAAGGGGACGCTTGATTTGTGACCCTTTGAAACGGCCGGTCCGGAGAAGTTTGTTAGGACGAAATTCTCCTTTGCATATGTTGGTGCAAGACAGCTGCGGACAAAATCGTAAAGGTTCTTGCTGGTGTCTGTTTGGCCGAATTTGGAGACGAGCTGGCTCTGGTCTGGGAGGCGGATTTTTACTTCGATCTCTTTGATCGAGGCGCGGCGTTCCTCTTCTGCTGTGGCCGCAGCAGCGATTTCGGCATCGGATCGGAGGCGTGTGTTCTTGCCGGCTGCTTGGAGCCTTCGCTGGTGGATTTGGGCGTGCTCGACCGAGGGTACGTAATCAGTGTCATTAAACGCCGCTTGTGCGGATTGGGGGGTATTGTTGGAGGGAGGGGCGTAAACGGTCACAGGTCGAGATGTATCTGCTGATGATTCCAACGCTTCAGGGGGGGGATCGGAGACGGAATTCGATGGAGGGATTATTGGTTGTTGACCTGTAGTGTTTGTGTCTTCTAGAGTGGCATCAGGCGTCGGCTGCCCAGTTTGCTCGCTCGTATCAGTCTTTGTTGTCTCTGCTTTTTGGTTCGAGGCTTGCGCCTCTGTTGATGCGACAGCATCCTCTGACGATTGGAAGAATTCGTGAATCTTCGTCATAGCCTCTTCCAGCGGTTGGTCCGTCCGGCGGAAGCTCAGCCGTAGTAATACATTCCCGCTGTTGAAACCCAGCTGTGCCAGCGATTTCTGAAAGTCTGCCAAAGTAGAGACCTCCCGGTCCATAATCTGTAAAACAGGCATTTCGTAGAACAGCCGTCCGGACCCTTGGCCCTCGGCGACCGGAACTCCACGGCCAGTGAGATTTCGGATAGCCGTACTTCCAGCCACTCCCGCTTCGAACTTGCGTAGGACCATCCATATACTCGTTGTACTGGGGAATTTGTCCGTAAGCCGTCCATTCGGTGCTTCTCGGGCTTCCGACGGAGGAAGCTGGAGAGCTACTGTGACGACGGACGGAGACCGAGAGAGCTGAACAAGCTCTAGCTTTGCGCCAGGTGAAAGGCCAGTAAGACGGAAGGCAAGGGATAGGTCAAGCTGGCGGCTCTTGTGCCTGAAGACGCAAAAGTTAATAGCTGGACCTGGCAGCATCAAAAGCGTCTAGACTTACTTTAGTCCATATTGGTTGGCATCTAGGCCGAGCTTCTTGCACGCTTCTTGCAAGATATCTGTCAAGTATTTCCCAGGCGTGGTCTTGATTGTTGCTCTTCGAGCTGTCGCATCGAGGACCACGACGTGGCTGCTCATGATGAGGGCGTGAGTATATTGCGGGGTTGGTATTCGTGGCGGACGTCGAAGCCTAAAACGGCGGGTGACGGTCGAATTAACAGATGGTGTCCAAAATATATTGATCAGATCAATAATCAAAATTAAAAGGAAGTCAACAGAAGACCAGCGAAGAATCTAGGTTGAAGCGAAGGATAAGGAGGTGTTGAGCAGGCAGCGGGCGGCGCGTCATCGGAAGAAGCTGAATGGGCGCCGATTGACTGAGCTGCCAGACTCCAGACTCCAGCACTCGCAGAGCTTCAGTCCTCCATCCACACTCAACTCCAGCACCTCTTCCATCCCCATCCTCCTCAACCACCTATCACCGCCTCTTTTATTCCGTTATTCTAGAGCACAGCCCTCTTGTTCTGCTTTTGTTCTCAGTTCCCCCAATTCTCCATCATGGTACGTGTATCCTCTCCATTCTTCTGTGGAACCTAGCTGACTGGCTCCTTCAGAGCTCCCCGTTCGACATCAGTACGTCCCGGCGATCTCCCCTTTCTTCCTCCAATTATCGTGCAATGCATTAATCTCATAACACATAGATGGCGGTGCCTGCGTCGCAATGGTAGGCAAGGACTGTGTCGCAATCGCCTGTGATCTTCGACTCGGCATGCAAGCCCTGACCGTCTCCAACAACTTCCCCAAGATCTTCAACTATGCTCCTGGAACATACCTCGGCCTGACGGGCCTGGCCACCGACGTCTCAACCGTCTCAGATCTCTTCCGCTACAAAGTGAACATGTACCGTCTCCGCGAAGAACGACACATTGCTCCCCAAACGCTCGCCAACCTCGTCAGCTCATCGCTCTACGAGAAACGCTTCGGCCCATACTTTGTCAGCCCTGTGATCGCGGGTATCAACAACACAACAGGGAAGCCATTCATTTGCGGATTCGACAGCATCGGGTGTATTGATTTTGCGAAAGATTTCATTGTCAGCGGAACAGCGAGTGACCAGCTCTTTGGTACCTGTGAGGGTTTGTGGGAGCCGGATCTGGTATGTTCTGTCAGTAAATTATTTATCCCGTTAGGCTGTCTAACTTGAAACAATAGTCTCCCGAGGACCTGTTCGAAACCATCTCCCAGGCACTGTTGAGCGCTGTCGACAGAGACGCTCTTTCCGGTTGGGGTGCCCAGGTGTACATCATAGAGAAGGACAAGGTGACTCAGCGGCTACTGAAGGGACGGCAAGACTAGATGTGGAGTTCCTCGGGGATACGTATTGGGGTTCTACTGTTTTCTCCTGTCCCAATGCTCGACTCACAATCAAATATATGGGTTGAAAGCAGCTCGTCAATGCCTTTCATGTCGAGCAATGCACTTACTATACAGCTCGGTCGATCTCCAACGTAGGCAGAACCCTGGAAAGGACTATTGCGTGTACCTGCTTGCTGTGCAATCTGCCGCTGTTGAATCTCGAAGACCCGCATAGATACAAGACGACTACGCAAACCCGTCCTTCTCTTTAACAACGCCATAAGCCTGCCCATCCTTTCCAAATAACTCCCTCAAATCATCAACCAAGAGTTCCGGTACTTCCCACGCCGCAAAATGCCCACCGGTTGGAAACTCTGTAGCCCTTACCACATCCCCCAACAGGCTCGTCCACGATAACGGGTACCGCATGATCTCTTCCTTGAACTGCGCAACCCCAACCTTGACTCCCGCCGGCGCAGCCTTCGAAATGGACTCCTGCAACGTCCCGTCCTCCGAGGTCTCATAGTAGATCCGTAACGAAGCCGCGGGCCCGGCAGCAGAGAACAGATATATACTCACCCAGGTCAAGATCTCGTCGTCCGTCCATGGATACCCATCCGTCCACGAGTGCAATTTATCGTAGATCCAGGATAGCAGCGCAACGGGACTATCGTGCAGTGCGTAACCTAGAGTTTGGGGGCGGGTCGACTGCTGGAGCATGTACCCGCTTCCCTTGGTGAGGTAGTTGAAGACGGAACCTAAGTAGGACTTTCGGGCTGGGGAAAAGGGGATTGGCAGGAGGTTTTGGAGGAAGAAGAGTGGGTTTTGCCAGGGCATGGGGAAGCGCATAGGGATAAAGTTGAGGTGGATTGCTTTTGTGTGATTTGGATATTTTTGAGCCATTGTGCGCGCGATAAAGCTGCCCCAGTCGCCACCTTGGATTACTGTTGGGAATGTTTGTCAGAGTGCTAACCTTGGGAAAGGGAAGTGGTTACTGGTAACGGACCATATTCTTTGTAGCCTAGGTTTGTCATGAGGTTGTGGAGGGCTTCGGCGTATTGCTTAAGGCCGAAACCTCGCTGGGAGAGTTAGCTTGCGAATGGAAAGCGTCAGGGGCAAATTCAAACTTTTTTCACAAGGGAAGAGAAGCCAAAGTTGGGCAATGAGGGAGCGATCACACTGAAAGCTGGTTTGCCATCATCGCCACTGGTTAGGAGTGGAATTATCTTGGTGGCTTCGATGAAGCTTCCGGGCCCTGCACATTGGTAGCTATAGTCAGTTTGATGACTCAAATCGAACCAAGCATAAGGATCCTTACATCCATGAATGAAGAGTAATGGAATAGCACCCGGAATTTGGCTGGTATGATGTAGATAGTGGATCTCCAAGTCATCGTAGCCATCGACTGGCACAGGCACAGTGAATTGCTTGAACTGCGTGTTCAGCTTCGTCTCCTGCTCTCGCCAATCGAAGCCACTTCGCCAATATGCCGTCAACCGCTTGATGGAATCCAAGGGAACGCCCATATCCCACCCGGCACTGCCAAGCTCATCAGGGAAGGTTGCTGCATCGAGCTTCTGATGAAGACGCTCTATATCCGCGTCAGGAACGTTGATCTGGAATGGTACCGGAGACATTGGGCCTGTTCTCAACTATTTATGGTCTTTGTTCTTAGGATAAACTCCTCATTCAAAGAAACACGAAGTATTGCTAAGGGAGGGGGATGGAGATAAAGCGAGGTTATCATCAGAGGTTTCACATGCTAGACCTTAAACAGAATCAGGATTGCCCACTTATACTCTTAATTCTCTAGTATGGTGTACTCCCTTTTTTGTTATGGACTATGGATTAATTTTAGTACTTACAAAAGTCCTACAAGTAGTATTCTTACATTTGTTTGCCTTTCTGCAGCTTGTGTCTCGCGGCCGAGGTAGGATAAACTACAGATGGGTCTGTACACAAAAGGGTCGCTTAGATGGATTCTCCACCTCGAAATTGTCAGGTTCGTAGAGTATATTATTGCGCAGCGGAGCAAACGCCTGAGCGAGCACTGGGTTAGTATCATTTAAACAGACTAAGTGCCTGGGCGAGCAACTGAGCGAGCTCATCAAAAGGCATTAACCAGGGCGCTCGGCTCATAAGGTCTTCGTAAATGTCCTCATCGTTGCCCTGATCAAGGTCAGGTAGGGAGTCAATCGATGGACCGGGCGGTCTTTGCGGTCTCATCTTCCGTAGGACATATCTCCATGAAGTTGTCGGTGCTGTTCGGTGTTGAGACAGTCGAGTCTTGAGTAAGCAGGTCTGTCTCCCGAACCCCCGCGTCTAGACCCGTCGATCGGCCCCCAAGAATAACCATTGGCTCCATCGCGACAAGCCACCGATTCTAATTCTCTGCTTTTCCCCTCTTCCTCTCCCAAGCTTCAAATCCCAACCCTGGAACACCCTCCTGTCCCTAGCGGTTGATGCCGCCGTCTATCATCAACTTCAGTTTTAATTCAGCGAAAGGGGCCATCCGCGGTGCCATGAATCGACTTTATACCTAGGTACTTATCATTTGTCCGACCTCTACCCATAAGCTTGACCCACGTCGCAATTGGCTCCGCTACAGTCCAGCTCCTTCACGTCATTCATCATCTACTACATCTGCGCAGACAAGTGTTCAATCTACCTGGGACCTGGTTGTCTTGGAGCGCTCCGCGGAGCGTTCCAACACCTGCGGTGCACCCAGCGTGGCTCGTCTCTTATCCAGCTGCGAATTGATGTATGTATTGGACATCGTACCACCAAGAAGTTTAGTACTGACCAAACTTTCTTCTGTAGACCAAGAGCCATGCACTGTCTTGCCTCCAGAGACGTAGCCCGAAATCTGTTGGTCTCTTACCAATCGCCCTCTGTCACTTGGCGACCTCCCATAACGTGAAAACATCACTTCAATCCGTAATTCCGCCTCATCACCTCATCATCGTCTACCCCAGGCGCCATGCCTGACCACCGTGAATCGGAATGGGCCAATTCATTGGCTTCTGGCCCAACACTCTCGTTTCTTCCACAAGTTCCACCGTCGTCAAGCGCCTTTCGAACCGAGGGTTCACAAGGCGAAGGCTCGAATAGCCAATGCACAGGAAATCCTGAATATGCTGCCATAGAATGGTTAGCAGCGCTGAAAAAGGAGCTGCGCGTTTTGGATCTGGAGGCTTTTTGGTGCAAGCTCCTGGAGAACACCGCCTCGCTGTGTAATGCACAGTATGCCTTCGTGGCTCGAAGGGTTAGAGAGGACGAAGCCGCTAAAGAGATCGGTGGACACAAGCCTTCTCTCTTCGGAACCGCATTTTATTACAATGATGGTTCTAATAATGTCGGAATCCATCGGAACAGATATTTCGCTGGCGGAAATCCACTCTTACATATGGACTCCATGAAGCCATGTTTAATCGTCGAAAACCTGAGCTCGTATATCTCTTTTGATAAAGACAGATTGCCATTTTCGGCGGAGGGTTACCTGGCTATCCCGTTATTCTCAGGCGATGAATGCCTCGCGTATCTTGGCTTAATGTGGTCAGGTCCAGGACTACAGAAAAAGAAGCTTTCATGGTCTTTCTTGGAAACAGTTCTCTATTCTCTGGAAGAACTAGTCGTCCAGCGAATTCATGAGGATCGCAAGACTACAGATCAGGATCGACACAACCAAGAAGCGTCTCCCAACGGTCCAAGCACCTGCGATGAAAAATCCACATATTCGCACCAAGCTGCCGGCTTCGCTTCCCAACACCTGAAGCCTTTTGCCCGCAGCCTCTCGCATGAGCTCCGAACGCCAATGCAGGGAATTGTTGGGATGTTGGATGTGATGCATGCCACTGTGCGTGAAGCACTTGTCGGAAAACCCTCCGCGAAAACTGCTTACGTTTTCCAATCACTCAAGGAAAGCATCGAGATGGTTCAAGGTTTGTGTCTATTCCAAAACACCTTGGATATAGCAGGCTCTAATACTGTATCACAGATAGTGCAAGGCGGGCAGTTGAAGCGGCCGACAATGTCGTCCATGCATACGACCTCAATATGGAAGTGCCCAAAACTCCTCAAATGGAGCGTGATATCAATCTCTCCAGCTTCATCTCGTCCCCGGTGACGGCGCCCGAAATTAGGCCCAAAGTTTTCATTGAAGGGAGCAATATCGCAGTTAACCCCTACAAGCGCCGAAGGAGCAACCCAGCAGAGGGCTTTGGCACGAGTCCAAGGCAGAAAATCCCTCGCGTATCGTCGCCGGAAGAGCTCTCCCCTCGTACCGAGGAGGTCAAAAACGCAGTCCATGAAAGCGACAAGATCTTTAATAGCGAGACCCCGGCTCATCAGATTGAAGCAGTGATGGCGAGCATGGTTGATCCTCGTCCGTCCTTGGCCGTGCGAAGGTCAGCGCCCAATCTCCTCTTAGAAGGCATCAATGTGAACATCAAGGGTCCGGCGTTGCGATTCACCAAGCTCCGCGATCTTCTCCGGCTGGTGGTCAACGAGTCTCTCCATGTCGGTGGTAGGCCCGACTTTGTGGTCAGCGGCGCCACTGAAGTGGGCGAGAAGATCGAAGTTCGGTCGCGGTTGTCCAATGGAGAAGTCCACTCCAAAACCATTGAATGGTCCGTGGATAATGAAGTACCGGACGCTCTTCTCGTGGATGATCGGGATCTGGCCAAGCTGATATCATGCGTGTTTCTGAATGCTGTCAAGTTCACAAACAGTGGCTTGATTACTCTCAAAGCCACCCTCAATAGTAGGGCCCACGATATTTTGATCAATGTCCACGACACAGGACCTGGTATCCCCATGGCCTTCTTACCTAACCTATTCAAGCCTTTTGCCAGGGAAGATACATCCCTTACCCGAAGCAAAGATGGTTTAGGACTCGGACTCTTGGTGGCGAAGGGTCTCGCTAGGAAGATGGGCGGAGACCTTGTCTGTGTTCGATCATCAACCTCAGGATTTGACCGCGGCTCCGAATTTGAAATAAGGGTTCCTGTCAACGAACCTGAAACTGCTGCTACGATTGCCCCTTCCTCACAGTTGTTGACCCCTATCAACATGAAAGACCCATCAAGACTCAGCAGCGCCAGCAGCACCACACCAGATTTTACTGTGTTATCACCATTAGTACCACCCTCACATACCCCGTTGCAAGAACCGACTCCCGCTCTCACGGACGAGTCCTCTTCCCGCACACCCACTCCTGCTCGATCCGTCTCGAACACAAAACCTACAAGAGCATCTCTTAGCAATCAAGCCTACGACGGTAAGCTAGGAGAGAAGTACCCTCTTACTTTCCTGGTGGCCGAAGACAACAAGATTAACCGGCGGGTTCTGGTTCACATGTTGAAGAGATTGGGCTACCAAGAAATATATGAGGCCGGCAACGGAAAAGAAGCTGTCCGGATGATGCAGAATATACTCGAGTCGCAGTTAGCTGAGCTTGGGGCGAGCAATCCACCGAAGCCCTTACAGCAGCATGCCGGGTCTGACGATTTTCTCGTCCCCGAGCCACCCCTCCGCCAGAAGAAAGCGAAACCGGTAGACGTGATCTTGATGGATCTTTGGATGCCGGAAATGGACGGATATGAAGCCACTTCCGAGATTTTCAAGCTCGTCAATAATCACCGTGAGCTGCGTTTGTCATGTTCCGTGGGCTGTGCCCCTTCGCAACCTACTGTTCTCGCCGTTAGCGCCGACGTCACGGACGAGTCGCTAAGTCGAGCCTCGAAAGTCGGCATGAAGGGCTACATGACAAAACCATATAGATTGACTGATTTGGAACGCCTGATTGAAGGTTTCTGCAGCGATACTGCAAGGCAAACCAATGATTCAACGAACGCATCATGAACTCAACTCTTCTTACTATTTATGCAATGCTCTTTGCCCACATGATGACATTTTGCTGGGTTACGATAATATGTCTACGATTTTGGATTCTCTACTTCCCCTATTTTTACCTTTTTTCCTTTTCGAATTCCCCACTGCTCCGCATAAAGTCGGCCGGATAGATATAGATCTTTTTAATTTTGGTGCCTGTTGAGGGTATTATTTGAGAACGATAATCTGTTTCAGACGGCTAGATACTGGGAATGCACATATCTCTTGATGCCCAGTAAAAATTCGTAGACAACAACCACTTTATATGGTACGAAAGGAAATTCAATTGACCTCATTTGATCAAGAAAACGCTATGTACTAGACACATATCATTGACTTCGGAAAGTCGAAGCTGGTATAACTTACAGCCCTCCTCTTAGGAACCAGAACCCACAGCTCCCGTTACCAGCAAGCTACGTTGTGCGCTCCGAACCTTCCACTTCCCAGTTCACCAACCCTCTAGGTCAGCTTCTGCTTGATGAAGAATGACCTGAGGTGAGACAGCTGCCAGGCACAAGCGAGAGATAGAACAGCGAGCTGCATCAGAGTCCAGCGGACGACGCGCGAGTTGGTTGCTTCGGACTGATCACGGAATTCGGCTTCACGTTCCTGTAGAGCGAGTTCGTTAGCATGGTATAAGGCAAAAGCCAAGCATGCCCCGATAAAACACCAGTTCATTGCCTCTGAAGTGAAAAGGGAAAGTAGCGGCTGAAGAAGCATACTCTTTGGAATACCTGCTCCCTCCTAATGTCCTGTAAGCGGCCATTTAAATCCTTAACACGCTGCACCAAGTCCGTCATTTTCCCCTTGTCCTCGCTCTCGATCTTACTCGTCTCTCCAATGGCCATGTCCAGCGTCACCCTGACGGCGCCCGCAGGCGAACCAGAGAGCCAGCCGCCCGTTGCAGCGTTCGTTTCGGGGGTGATGCAGATCTTGTGGCTGCCCGGGTCGGCGGCGGAGAAGGTGAAGCGGCCGGAGTGAGAATCGCGCTTGTTGACAACGCGGTGGTCGTTGTCGAAGACTTCGTCAACGGTGATGAGCATCTTCAAGGATGGGTCGACGGCATATGTGCCGCTGGCTTGGTCGACGACTTCGCTGGAGTAGGTTCCTGTGTGCGGGAACAAATTTGTGAGCAGTGATCAAAACTGGTGAAGAGGAGTACTTTTGTGGAATTGGGGACAAACTTACCAACTACGAGAGTATCCTTGGGAAGCTCCTCATAGAAGCATCTTGTTTGACGGCCATCGACGTAGAAATAGAGACCGTTGGCTGGGAGAGAAAGGCATAGGATTGCGTAGACGGCGAGTGCGGAGGAAAGCCATGAGGCTGATGGCTTGGAGGAAGCCATTATGGCAGTGCAATAAATAAGGGACGATTGGATATTCTGAGGGACAGGAAAATCGATGGAGATACTCTTCGTGCGGATAAGTTGTTATGGTGTCCAGATCCAGCCTGGGCGGCGGCGGACGAAAGCCTTGGCGCGAATTCTCATTCCTCCGTCCGCTATTCATCGTCACGTTCACTTCCCCATGTCATTATTGACGAATCTGGGGCGGATTTACAGCTTCTTCATCAGAACTCCGACACGGGATTCATCGCATATCTGTTAGGTTGTCAAGCTTCCCTTTCAGGGCCCGCCTTGACGCCATGGCTGCCGCCGATGTTCGCGAGATGCTCAACTTGCCCGCGGAGGGCCACCCGCGACCACATAAGAAGCAGAAGGTTGTGGAAAAGAGACCAGGTGAGTTTCGATATTCTCTTGTGCTACTGGTACTGTTTGAATCTAACCTTGCTGTGTCACGTAGAGGGTATCACCCGTGAGCTCTTCGCTTTATTAGGAGAACGAGCACCCCCGATCGCAGTCAACGAGAACCGTTATAAGGGTCGCCCCAAATGGCTGACCAAGGCCCGCGCGAAATCATGGTACGCGGAATGATATCGAGTAGTCTATATGTACTGACTAGCCGCAGGCGGATGACTCCCTTCACGAACGGGGCGCGTTCCGATGACCTGGTTCTATCACATTGGAAGAGAGAACCGACTCCGGAAGACAGTATGGCAACCGAGGGCGACCAAGCGAAAGAAGAGCAGGTAGCCACCAAGCCTGCTGAACAGGAATATGGCTTTGCAAAATATAATATCAAAGCTCGCGTTCCGAACCGATATACCACTGACGAGTACAATCGTCATTTAAAAAGCGACGAGTGGTCGCGTGAGGAGACTGACTATTTGATGGATCTGGTCGAGGAATACGACCTTCGCTGGGTGGTTATTGCTGATCGATACGACTTCCAACAGCAACCCGTCGAGAATACAGAAAATTCCACAGCGCTGGTGCCCAGCAAACGATACAGAACCATGGAGCAACTCAAAGCCCGTTATTACTTCATTGCTGCCTCAATGCTTGCCCTCGAACACCCGCCATCAGAAATGTCCGAAGCCGAATTCGATCTACACGAGAAAATGATCAAGTTTGATGCTGAGAGGGAACGACATCGCAAGGAACTCGCTGCTCTCCAGCTCAACCGCACAGCCGACGAAGTCCGGGAGGAATCCATCCTACTCGAGGAACTCAAACGCATCACCGCCAATGAGCAAGAATTCATCACCGAACGCAGAGAGCTTTACTCCCGCCTTGACGCCCCTATCAGCGTCGGCAACGCCACAAACTACCACAACAGCCAAGGCTTATCCCACCTTCTCCAAACCCTCCTGCAAGCAGACAAGAGCAAGAAACGCCGCTCGCTTCTCGGCCCCGAAGGCATCGTTCCTACCCCTGGCGGCCAAACACCTATCAATAATGCCCCCGGCAGCGCTCGCGACAGCAGCAGGGCAGATACCCCCAACGCAGGCCCCTCGCAGCTACCAACGAACAAAAAGGCTGCCGCCGCCGCCTCAGCGGCAAACAAAGAAGCGGCTCAACAAGCAATAAGAATCCTCACGCCCGCCGAAGAAGCCCGATACGGTGTCCAGCACCACGACCGCATAGCACCCGGCGTCCAATTCCGCAGTGACCGGGCGCAGAAACTAACGCAAGCTAAGTCTCACGTTCAGACCCAAAAGCTTGCCTCCGCGCTTGCGGAACTCGAAATCCCTCTTCGCCTCGTAATGCCCACAGAGCGTGTTGTCAAGGACTTCGAGAAACTCATCCACTCCGTGAACCTGCTCCTCGATGCGCGCAAGGTCTCTGAAAAGGTTGAGAGTGAAATTCGCGTCCTTGAGTCCGCTAGAGAGGAGCGGGAGCGGAAGGCGCGAGAAGTACGCGAGAAGGACAAACCTGAGGTCAAATCGGAGCAGCAGGATGACGATGGCGGCGAGATAGCTCCAGCTGCCTCCAATTCTGCAGCCTTCCAAGCGAATCAGGCAGCTGAAAGCCAGACGGATGCGAATATTTCCTCGACCCCCGCCAATGGCTCTGACGGCGGAGGCACATCTGGGGCTGGAGATGGTGTTTCGCATAAGCGATCTGCTAGCGTGCTAAGCAATGCGAGCGATAAGAGCGTCAAGCGTCAAAGAAAGTGATCACCTTCTGTACCTATACTTTTCACGAGCTTCTTCATTTTACCAATGTACGACTACCGCTATCCAGAGTGCCGCTTCGCTTGATCGTATTGATATTTCTATTTTCCCTAGCTTCTCCCCGTGGATTGCTAAATGATACACAGGTTTTCGTGTCTTACGATCCCTCATCTTATACCTCAACAGAACAGAGAGTCTATTCTGGGATTGACCGCTCTTCAAGACACTCCTCATACAGACTATCCCAGTCACCAGAGCTTGTCGAACTGATTCGCTGGTGAGCTGCGGCTCTAAAGTATCCTGGGTCTTCGTGACCGTCCAACTGGCTTGTCGCAAACATAGGCTTGTCATCGTGCATCCTTCCCACATGCTCTTTGCTGGTTGGGCCTTTTAGTCTCAAAACCCGAGTCGCCGTTCGCTGGACGGCAGGGAACTGTTCTGCTGAGGCAGCTAATTTTGCTACCGCGCGTCTCTCGATGTTGCGAGCGATCTCCGAGACTTTGCGTTTAGTAGCCCATGCACCCCCTCTCCGGCGGAGTGTCGCTAGTTTATCTATCAACTGTGCTTCTGCATGCTCACGGGATCTAATGCTGTCTTGCTGGTGGGCTGCTACTTGCTGTTCCCCCAAGCTTTGGGACAAGCTTTGGGACGGGCGTACCCAAGAACAAAATTCCCATGGGTTCTCTGCCTCGATATGCGGGCCGACTTGCTCGTTGGGCTTCTTTCTATTCGAGAAAATGCCGAACAAAGAAGAGCCGCCAGAATCGCAGCTCCCGGCGTCACTGTTATTGCTTGTCTTGAGCGCAAAATTCGTGCCTGTCCATCTAGGAAGGTTCAATTTCTGAAGGATTCCTGATAAATCGAAGCTGGACTCGCTTGTTTTGGGCATTTCGTTGCGAGCATTCCCCGTTTGCTCCGTTTCGTGTATATTCGCGAGTTCGTGTTCAGTGTCCTTCAAGCCCTTAGGACTATCTTTCCTAGAATCACAACCTCCTAGCGAGCCGGACTCGCCCTGCATCTGCTGTTGCCTTTCCCTCGTATGCTCTGACGGTACCAGAGTATAACCGTACCCAACTCGTCGGCCTTCGGATAACCAGCCAATGCTTGTTTTGCGAGGTGAAGTGGCATCGTCTTCCTCATGCGACCCATGCCCAGCAGCACCCACCGACCGATCAGAGCCCAGTTTCTCGGTAATCCTGCTCGCCAACACATGATTCTTATCCGCAGTACTATTATCTCGAGACTGGGCCGAATTTCGTGTCTCTTTCGAGTGTGAGGATCTACCAGGAATATGCAGAGGCATACGTGCAGGTTTTTGTGCTGAATCCTGAGGACAATCGATGAAATTCTGCTCATGATCCATTCCCACGGATGACACACTGTTATTCCGGGAATACGGGGACCGCGGACCTGTGTTACCGTTTGGGTTTCCTTCAGGCGCATCCCATATTGGTGCCATAACCGTTGGATGGCTAGTCCCTTGGTATCGGTTTGCTGACCATGTCCCCAGATTACTAGCAGGCTGGTACTCGTCGAACTCGGGATGACGGGCCATTAAGTTGGATGTTGAGCCAGAGGAAGCGAGCATTCTCGGAATATTCATCTCGCCCAGGTGGACAGATTGCTCGTCTGGAGCCATCTCTCTTCGTGGGCGTTGATTCCTCTTTCTGATGGAGAGTTGTGGAGGACAGCCATGTATGGACTCGGCGGATGTGGTGTAGGCCTGCTGTTGAGGTACGTGGTGGCCGGTATAACTAGGAACTGCGGGTTCGTATCCGTAGCCAGGTCGTTGAATTGCAATGTCTTCAAAGCTATTTTTCGGTACAATGGACCTCCCAGTAACGACAGGGGTGTGCGGGCGATGAATATCCGGCACCCTCAACCCTGGGCCCGGACCTGGTCGTTCCTGTGCGCAGACCCTGCTATTGCTGGGGCTAGGGCTCAGTTGCTTGCCACGAAAGGTCCCAACGTCGATGTTGTGGGAAGAAGAATAAGGGGATTCCTGTGGGTGCTGGGGTCCTCGATATTCATGATCTCGAGAGCGCCAACTTTGCTGAGGCTCGTTCTGTTCCCAATGGTAGGGTGCCTGTTCATTTGCGCCTCCCCTGGCATCCATTACCAACCCAAATGCTTGCTCCCGCGAAGGCTCCATATCCGGTTCACGAAAAGGCTGGGGTGGCCGACGAGGAGTTATTGCCATCCCATTCCTAGGTCTGCCTGGTGGGTATTCTGTAGCGTAAGTTGGTTGTTTCGGGGTTGCAATGTACTGCGCATCGCTATCGTATCCTCTCTCGCTCATCAGACTGCTCCCTGGGTCATAAGAAGCGACTTGCGCGGGATGCACGCCGGACTTGGACGCAAAGTGCAGAAATGGTACTTTCGGTCCTCGCTCCGGCCGGTTGGGCCGTCGATATACGTCTCTCGCGTCTCGAGAGAACCGCCTGCGAATTCTACTAGACAGGCCGCCGGACGAATCACTTCGGTGCGGAGATCGCGTCTGCTCGTCCGCCGACGACGATATGCCTACTCCAGTTAGAGATATTGGCTCCGACAGGGACAAAAAGCAAGTTCATTATCACCTTCGAGATTCCCATGGTCAGAGGACAACGACTCAAATCGATCCAGCTGGCAGTCCGAGGAGCCTGAGGCTCTTTGGTACCTTCTAAGCCGAGGGCAGAAGAAGAAACCCATTGATTGAGCGGTGCTAGCAGCACGCACAGGGGATGGAATGCTGCTTTAGGAGTCTTTGAGTAATGGGAGCATGGCTGAACCCATCGCGCCGAGCAGACGAGCGCCCGCGTATGCATAGTATTGCGCAGCTCCATCATCGCGGAAGGCAAGAGCGTTGCTCGACCCTGAAGGGGCAGGTACAGCCATCAGCAAGCTCTCGCCAGGACCTGCACCGAAGCGATATCTGCCAGGTGTTGTTTATAGTAATACTACTCGTAGCATCGGAGCGGTGGCTCATACTATCTGTAGGGCTACTATGTTCTGGGTCCTAGCAAGGGACGTTTTTTCTAGCTGAGCAGTTGCTAGCACTCTATACTCCGAACAAGGCAATGTCAGGTTACTCATGAGGTTCCGAACTGGATCCAAATTCTCTAAAGCTTACCTCAAGATGGCGATTTCCTCCTCCTAAAAAACTCCGACAGAGGCAAGCGCGTTGACGGTTGACGGCCGATCGCGGAGCAGCTTCGGAGTTGTCTACTACCAGTATTTGGCTTTTGTTATTGAACCATGGATGGACCGTCAAAATTACGCCAACTCAATCATTGCCATCACGCCATTTCTTCCTTACAGCTCTCAACACCATCTAACAGCGTCTTTGTGCGCCAATGCATTGCTGTCCTGCTCGGTCCACGATAGACAGAAAATACCCATTAGTGGTCTGAATCTAATTCTCCAATGGCTGCGTTGGCAGTGTTGAGCGGTCTACTTTGAATTCTGGCCGAGATCTTTTGTATGGTACTGGTACGACTCCGTTTTCAAACCACCCCGCCTCCGGGCTTTGTGATTCGCCGGTTTCCACACCGAGGGGGAGGACTCGACTTTTCCCCTCCATATATTATTTCCTCCTCGTCCTCCTCCTCTCTTCTTTCTTTTCTTCCTTTCTTCATCCCCCTTCTTTGCTCTTCATCCTTTTCTCCTACAAGAGATTCTTGTGAATTGTCTCTTGTTTCTCCTCCACCTTCTTCATATCCAGCCTTTCCTCACTCAATAGACCATTTTCTTTTTCCGACCCCGCCCCCACCACCCTCCCTTTTTCTCACGTCTTCATATACACATAGCCGTCAGAATGGTTCAATCGTATGTGATCGATCACGTCTTCCCTTTCTATGCTATGTACACCTGCTAACTGTTTTCTTTAACAGCGCCGTTCTCGGTTTCCCTCGTATGGGAAAGCTCCGTGACCTCAAGAAGGCCACTGAGGCTTACTGGAGTGACAAGATCTCTCGCGATGAGCTTCTGAGCGAGGGAAAGAGACTGCGTCTGGAGCACTGGAAGATCCAGAAGGACGCTGGCGTCGACATCATCCCCAGCAATGACTTTGCTTTCTATGATCAGGTCTTGGACCACATCCAGCTGTTCGGTGTCATCCCTGAGCGTTACACCCAGTACAACCTTCACTCCCTTGACGAATACTTTGCCATGGGACGCGGTCTCCAGAAGCCCGCCAAGGATGGCCAGGCCGCCATCGACGTCCCTTCTCTCGTAAGTTTCGCATCATACCTCCGCGCAGTTGGAACATTTCTCTAACCTACCTTCTCTTCACCAGGAAATGGTCAAGTGGTTTGACTCTAACTACCACTACGTCAAGCCTACCCTTCAGGACAACCAGACCTTCAAGCTGGCTGAGAACCCTAAGCCTGTTGCTGAGTTCCTTGAGGCCAAGGAGGCCGGCATCATCACCCGCCCTGTCATCCTGGGTCCCGTCTCTTTCTTGACCCTCGCCAAGGCCGACCGTGGCCAGTCTGTTGACCCCATCACCAAGATCGATGAGCTCCTCCCCGTCTACGTCGAGCTCCTTACCAAGCTGAAGGAGGCTGGTGTTGAGGATGTTCAGATTGATGAGCCCGTCCTTGTCTTTGACCTGCCCCTCAAGTCCAAGGCTGCTTTCAAGCCGGTTTACGAGAAGCTCGGCTCCCTTGGTGCCCAGGCTCCTCGCCTTGTTCTCGCCACCTACTTCGGTGACATCGTCCACAACATTGATGTCCTCCCTGCCCTTCAGAGCCTCTACGGTATCCACATCGACCTGGTCCGCAACCCCGAGCAGCTTGACTCTGTGGTCAATGCTCTTGGCCCCAACCAGGTTCTCTCTGCTGGTGTTGTTGATGGCCGTAACATCTGGAAGACAAACTTCAAGACTGCCATTGAGAAGGTTGAGCTTGCCATTCAGCGCCTCGGCAAGGAGCGTGTCATTGTCTCCACCTCCAGCTCCCTCCTCCACGTTCCCCACACTCTCGCCAACGAGAAGAACCTCGACCCTGAGGTCCACGACTGGTTCAGCTTTGCCGTCGAGAAGACCAGTGAAGTCGTCGTGATTGCCAAGGCTGTCACCGACGGCCCCGCTGCTGTCCGTGAGCAGCTCGAGGCCAACGCCAAGTCTGTTCAGGCTCGTGCCTCCTCCAAGCGTACCAACGATCCCAAGGTCAAGGAGCGCCAGGCCGCCGTCACCCCTGAGCAGCACAACCGCAAGTCTCCCTTCCCTGTCCGTCTTGCTGAGCAGACCAAGTCCATCAACCTTCCTCTCTTCCCCACCACTACCATCGGATCCTTCCCTCAGACCAAGGAGATCCGTATCCAGCGTAACAAGTTCACCAAGGGTGAGATTACCGCTGAGGAGTACGAGAAGTTCATTGAGAGCGAGATCCAGGATGTTGTCAAGATCCAGGAGGAGCTTGGCCTCGACGTCTTCGTCCACGGTGAGCCTGAGCGTAACGACATGGTTCAGTACTTCGGTGAGCGTCTTACCGGTTATGTCTTCACCACCCACGCCTGGGTTCAGAGTTACGGATCCCGTTGCGTGCGTCCTCCCATCATTGTCGGTGACATCTCTCGTCCCGCCCCTATGACGGTCAAGGAATCCAAGTACGCCGTGTCGATCTCCTCCAAGCCCATGAAGGGTATGCTTACCGGACCCATCACCTGTCTCCGCTGGTCCTTCCCTCGTGATGATGTCCACCAGTCTGTGCAGGCTCAGCAGCTGGCTCTGGCTCTCCGTGATGAGGTTGTCGACCTCGAGGAGGCCGGTGTCAAGGTCATCCAGGTCGACGAGCCTGCCCTCCGTGAGGGTCTTCCTCTCCGTGCTGGCAAGGAGCGTGAGGACTACCTCCAGTGGGCTGTTGCCGCCTTCCGTCTGTCCACCAGCGGTGTCACCGACGGCACTCAGATCCACTCTCACTTCTGCTACTCGGAGTTCCAGGACTTCTTCCACGCCATCGCTGCTCTGGATGCCGATGTTCTGTCCATCGAGAACAGCAAGTCTGACGCCAAGCTCCTCAAGGTCTTCATCGATGAGGCCTACCCCCGCCACATTGGTCCCGGTGTCTACGATATCCACTCTCCTCGTGTCCCCAGCGAGCAGGAGATCAAGGACCGTGTCGATGAGATGCTTACCTTCCTGCGTCCCGACCAGCTCTGGATCAACCCCGACTGCGGTCTGAAGACCCGCCAGTGGCCCGAGACCAAGGCTGCTCTGACCAACATGGTCAACGCTGCCAAGTACTTCCGCGAGAAGTACGCCAAATAAATCTTTTAACACTTAATAACAACCCAAGGAGGGGGCGACATTGTCAACCTGTCGTCTCGAAATGGTTGAGAAAAATTCTTTCTCTTTAATGAGTTATGATGATGATACCAAAAGTTCAACATATGGGTTCGGGGTTACATTAGAGACATAATGGGGGTCCACGGAGTTCAACATTTTACGATTTCAACATCGGCGTTCAAGCCAAGCATCGACATGATTCCCCCCAGGGCGTGGGTTTCTTTTCTCTTTGTTCATCTTTCAGGAGCATGAGTGGGGATGTTGGTGGTGGCCAGTTTGGCCGATGTTTCATATATTTCAACAATGTGTATATCACACTTGAGGTTAATAAACCATACCTCGCTGAAACTTTTCCTCTTCTTCCCGCAAACGTAATGCTATAGTTTACAATGTCCGATTGCCGATTCAGTAAGGGTCCTGTCAGTCCATACATCTCAGCCAACTTCGAGGCCGCCGTAATTATAGGTAGATATGGTATACATATACCTTATTATGCACAGATTTCAGCCCTCCGTTCCTCCATCAATCCCGAGTCCAAAACACAACCAAAACTAAAGTACTCCTTACATCCAAGAACAAAACGGTACAACAGCGCCCCGCTCTCCCACCTTCTCCACCCCAAACTTCCCAACGTACCACTTCCTCCCCCATCTCGCATGCGGCAACATATTCGCCACGGCATTAACCACAAACACAATCGCCGGCAGCGGCAGCACAGGAACCCTCAATTTACCCGCAGCCCACACGGCGGGGACAAGCCAGGGTGCAAGACGCAGTGGCGGTGATGAACCTCCCGGGGCGCCCAGACCAAGTGCTAGCGGTGAGGTGCTTGGGCTTAGGACGCCGGGGAGGAGCGAGGGCGGGCTTAGGGCTGGGAAGACGGCTAGGCCTGCGAGGGCGAAGCCTGTCCATTCGAGCCACTCCAGGGCGTAGTGCGGGTAGAGGATTGAAGTGAAGAGGCCGGACTTGGGAGGGATGACGTAGACTTTGGAGTATTTGTTGCCGTTTTCTGAGGTCTGTTCTTTCGACTGTGACTGGGACTGGGAATGTTTCTTGTCTGCTTCGTTACGTCGGAGCGAGAAGAGTGTTCGCTCCGCGTAAATATTCCCAGCCATTCCGACAATAAACAGCAAGAGCCCTAAGGACGGGAGTAACAGCGAAGTCCCAACCTTCCCGGCAAGATTCTCCTCAAAGATCTTCTCCGGCGTCGTGATCAGTGACGGCGAGGATGGATTAGGATACACCCCCGGGATAGTCGAGACATTATACCCGACTAGCCAACAAGCCAGACAAGAGGAGTTGAACCAATTGAAGAACACGGCGCTGACGACAATGAAAACGTGCATGGGTGACATACTCGGCGCCGCGAAAAACGGCGAGATGATAGCCCGGTTGGCGTAGTGGATGAGGTAGAGTGACGCCACGAGCTTGTTTGGCAGTGGGAGGGTCTGGATGTTCATCTTAGCCGGGAGATTGTATAGGATGTAGACCAGGTTAATGGGGCCAGTGATTTCCATGATGAACCAGCCGATGCGGCCGGGGATATTGAAGTAGCTCTGGACGGAGCCTTTTCCTGCGGGGTGCCACGAGGTGAGCCATTGAATGGCGGTGAACTGTTGCCTTGTTAGAGGTGCTCTAGAGATATCTGAGTTCATGTAATTAAGCTTACAAGGGGAAACCATTGCCAGATGTTAAGGAGCGTCACGTAAACCTGCGGGGTGGGAAGAAGGAGATCCTGTAGCAGAGGAAGGGAATTACTCGTGGTGGAGAGTAATGACCCCATTGCGTTATAGTTCGGGGGAACCTGCCAGGATTTAGAGCACTGAGCTCGGCAGTTGGGATGGCGGGGATAAAAGGTGAGGTTTTTGCGTGTGTTTGCACGTCCGTTGTTGAGAGAAAGGGTGTCGCAATTGAATCGGAGTTGAGATCCTCAGACAATTTTAGAGACCTATGGACGCATGAAAAGGAATGACCAAATAACAGAGCTGGGGCTCCAGATCGAAAGCAAATAAGAGGTCGATCAGGATTCATCGGCCCTGGCGACGATCCGTGATGTCAGCGATGCACGTGACATCATCTATAGAAAGTAAACAGTCTGTAGAGTAGGCCACATAGTTTCATATTGCACGGTGTTAGGCCGATTTGCTATTATATTCGCTCAGCCAGTAGACGTGTCCATGCTGTCAACCGCCACTTGGCCCTGTTCCCCTCGTCGCTCCGCCAACTTTTGCCTCTTGAATTCCTCGATCTTCGCTTTGAGGCCAATATCTAAACGCAAAGTGATTAGCTTGAACTATATTCCTAGGAAAATGGGGCCTTACCAGGCGTAACATCCTCCATCTTCAGTGGAACTCGATTGAACGGATCATGCGGGTCACTCAGGAGATGAGAACGTATGGTAGCCCGGTCAATGGACATCTTCGATGCAGGAAGGATGACAGGATCTTGCATCAGTGTGTACATCAAGGGGTCTACAAGGCTATTAGTCCATGGCACATAGTCATGTCAAAGGATACACTTACCCAAGAACTCATCAGGAATCTCTCCTAGATCCTGTTCCTCCTGCTCATCCGCCTCCTTGGCCTCTCTCACCTTGATTTGAAGCTGATCCCAGCGCTTCAACTCCTCAGGAGACTTCAATGACCACTTTCGCAAAATTTCAGTCGCCTTCTCAAAGTTAGCAGGCTTGTATGAGCGTCCGTCTCGTGCAACAGCGACGATGAAGTTCTGCTTGTTCATCAAATTCAGGTATACATCGACGATCTCACTCAACAAGGCTCGTGGTCTGAAACCGTATTCATTCAGATTTTCCACGCGCAAATTGGAGCTCTTCGGTCCCACCATGGCGTCCAAGTTATAATCAAGCATGTCTGCCAATCTCTGCACGATTTCTGGCATGGTGAAGGACTCTGCTAGTGTTTCTGTGAAAAGCTTGAGCATAGCAACGGTTTCGTTCGTCAGCTGCATGTACATTTTCGCAGTCCGTTGTGCCGACGCGAGTCGCCCTTCTCTCTCCTGGCGCACGGTGGGATCCATGCCAGCTCCTTCATTGCGCAACTCCAGTTGCGTGGTGTTGATTATCTTGAAACTGCCAAATGACTCATCTAGAACATAGGTAACATCGTTCAAGAGCAGGTTGACAAATTGAACAAAAAAGTCCAGGTTCCGCTTGGCCTGGTTGAGCAGCTTCGTCCGGTAAAGCGTATTGGGCCAAACACACTTGATGATCTGGAAAATCTCGTAACGAATGTTGAATTTGTCGTAAAACTGGTTGTGTGTACCTGTATGTTCAGCTTCAATGTAGAACTTCATTAAAGCATGCAGCAAATACTCGTTAGCGAAAGGCATAGAGTTGAGTAGATCCACCAAGACGCCGGTTCCACCACCAGGGCGAGACCATGTTCCTTGATACAAGATTGAGACGAGACCCGCTTTGAGATAAGGATTCTTGATGTAATCCGAGCTCTCCAAGAATGCAATGCACAGCATAACCAGCTCGTCGCCCTGCGCAGCAGTAACGATTTGGGGCATGCTCCACATTATGAACTTGAAGTTGCTGACGATATCATCCACAAAGTACTCAGGAAGACACCTGAAAGATTCCGATGGTTCTTCCGGAAGAGGTAAAGAGATTTGTTCCTTTGGAAAGTTTTTTCCGGAGGCTACCCGGAGCAACCAGACGATGACATAGCGCATAAATGTCATTGAGCGGAATTGCCATTGATCGTCAAACAGCACCCCCTGAAGGCTGTATTTCAGGGCGTATCCCAGATCCACTCGGTCCTTGTACTTCTTCAAATGAGTCTCGAAGAGCCTAAGCTGCAATGGGTTGTTCACATATTTATGCCGCTCTGCCTCAAACTTGGCAAGTGTTGATTCTAGATGTTTGAGATCTTGCTCCAGCGTCTCCAGCTTAGAGGTTAATGACTCGCTTCCATAATGATGGGCGGCCACAGTGAGGAAGAAAATCTCGGTAATGAAGTTAGATGTGCCTTCCGACTTTTTAGCATAGAAAGCATCAGAAGCATGCTGATCAGCATTGATCTTAGTCTCGCCCTTGATGTCAACACGAGGGTTCCGGTGTAAGTACCCGATATCAATCCTATCAACCTATACGCACAATTAGCGAGATGTATCCCGTGGAGATACAGGGGAAAGATTACCTTGGTGAAATTCGCATCCATGAAAGGCTGACAGAGCTGATCAAGACACGTGGTAAGGTTGAACATGAAGCCGTCAGAAGCAACAGTGTTTGGGTCTACTTGCATTGCCCGTATTTTATGGTTGATGTTCAAAGCAGTCGCGAACCAGTCCAAAACTCTATTTCTCGCCTCTGGCGACGCCCTGACCAGGTGGTTCATAACATCTAAGAGATCAGAGCTGATGAGCTGCTGAACCATGCGAACTGACCGTTGCGCATTCAGGATGTATGCTTGATCCCTTGTCTTGGGACTTGAAAAGAAAGATAGCGTAGCATCACGTTGTAAGGGTGACAAGCGAAACCACGGTCCAAGAAGGGTGTCCTTCTCGAATGACACGGGATCCCGCGACGCGTTGAAGACTTCCGACTCTGTGATTGCCACAGCAATGACAGAATGACGCACGAGGTTTCGCAGGGCCTGTAGAGATCTAAGAATGTGCCCCTGGTAGAAATAAAAGGATGGCCTTAACATACTGTCACATATGGCTTGTAATCATCGCCAATGCCCATGGAGGAGAGATCCCGGCTTAACTCCTCAACAGCGGCGATAAAGGCCGGCTTAACGGACTCATCCTCCTCAAACCTCTTGACAGCTTCACCAAGGAACTCAAGATCCACTCCTTTGTCATCTTCGGGTTCCAGGAGGAGATAGGGCTTGATGGGCGACAGCCCGGTGGGATCGATCCTATGAGGCACAGTTAGCCCTTTCGATCTTTCCTCTCCTTCAATATAAAACAACGCACCCAAACATCTCCGGCATCGTGAGAGCGAAGATGCAGTAGCTCATACACAAGCGCCTAGCCTCGCAGATCGCCTGAAATTTGGGGTCGTCTTCTCGAGCGCGTCGAAACCCCTTGTGCAGCCTCGTTATCCGCTTCCAGCACGGTAATAAATAGTCCAGCGGTTTACCCTCTGGTTGGCTAGATGCAGCCTCCAGAAGAGCCTGGTCAAGAACAGAGGCGTCTATACGCAAACTTCGGCCCTGGTCTTGTAATTCGCTGCGCAGCCCAGGAAGAAACGTCAATCTCTGCCCATGTATATCCTTCTGTCGGTCCTCATTTAACGTCAACTTGAATACGGCGCATAATGTTCTGTCCTCAAACGCTTCGAGCGTGTCTTCTGCCTTTGCGGGGGGGGGAGTGTTTGAGACGGGGGTGAGGGAGGGTTGTGGTCGGGCAGGCGTGGAGGTCGATGGTGTAATCTTGATTCGTTTCTCTTCCGATCCTTCTTGCGGACCCTGTCTTGATGTGGATAACGGAGTGTTGCTCCTACTAGGTTGTTGTTGTGATGTTTCCGGCGCCGCGGATGACGGCTCACCACTGCCCGATTGCGCGGACGGTGATGGATTCGAAAGTTTGGCGAGGCGTTTGCTGCGGATCTGTAGGTATACCGGTTAGTATAAATCTTCAACAAGCGAGCAAGCTAGCAGAGCACGATATGTAAGGGCAAACGAACCTTGTCCGCCTCAGAGAGGTTATCTCCCATACTTGGTGGCCGATAGGCAATCTGTGTACCGCAGCGGGTGAGGAACTTCTATTCTTACAATGAGTGGCGTTAGAGAGCAATAAAAAGGCTCCTAGTCATAAAGATGTGGAATGCCAAAAGATGTCAGTCAAAAAACTAAACAAAGTGAGGGGCCTGCCAAAGAATAGGCAGAGTTGCTAGTCGCCAGGCGAGGTTCTGTCACAATCGCTGAGGTTCGCCCGCAGTTCAATATTACTAAGTCAAAGCGAGCGAGCGTTGTTGCCCGCAATCTTCTCCGCAATAACATCACCAAGCTTAGTTGCGAGTCTGTACCTAGCTACATTTACAGGTGCCTAGTCCTCTCTGTAATTGGGATCTTTATGACAAATATAAGAAATGTTCATCCATGCAACGCCAATACTCGCACAATCATTGATATCTAAATAAGACAGGCCCAGGCAATGAAAAAAGTAACAATGCTGCAGGGGGCAAGAGAACAGTGCCCCAATCAGGCGGAGAAGCACCAAAGTACTAGAGCATATGAGTCTATCATCCCGACGTCAGCTAATACCTCCCTTTCAGGCTTTCTAACCGACGACAGCTCTTAAGCTCCATCGTCCGGGCCGCCTTCAGTTTCTCTACATCGGGGAAGAACCAGCCTTGCGCATCCTGGATCATCCGATCACGAGCGTGTATTTCACTCTCGCACTCGTGCCGGAGTCTAGTAACATATTCCACTTCCACACGCTTATCCAAATTATTGAACTTTCGCGTGTTGTAGTCGTCCACATCTAGCGGGTTGACAAAATAGTTTATATTGAGCTTGGGTGTTGTTCGTTGCATCGTATGAGGAGATACGGCTTCAAATCGATAAGAGGGCCCATCGGGGGTAGGCGAACCGGAGAAGAGCGAGGAGAGCAGCGGGAGCACGAAGAGAAGGATTAGGGGCAGAAACTGCTGGAAAGTGGCCCAGAGCGATGGCGTAGGTTGGGACTCAGCATTTTCACGAGGCCGTCGTCGAGGTCGAGAGCCTCCAAACTGATGAACTCTGAACCCGGGGCCACCTCCCATGTTAAAGACGAACTGCGGACCGCCTGCGACTGGAAATTAGTTCATAGCCTTGCGGCAAGTTCCTCTAGAAAGAAGTCATACCGAACGGTCCAAACCCACCACCAAGCCCACCGTTAAAGAAGCGATTAAACAACTCCTCCGGTGATATCTCCTCATCGAACCCAGGCCCTCCTGGTCCTCGAGGGAACCCACCACCAGAGAAACCACCGAAAGGCGACGCACCAGCCGGACCACCTGACGGCTGGAACCTGCTATCGGGATCCCCGCCGAACTTGTCATACTTGGCCTTCTTCTCCGAATCCGACAAGATCTGGAACGCGCGCGAGACCACTGACCGCATTTCGTCAGACAAAAATCCTCATCGCAATCCAAGCGCGGAAACCGACTCACTTTTGAACGCCTCGTCCGCCCCCTCATACCCATTCTTATCAGGATGCGTCAACAGACTCAGTTTCCGGTACGCCTTCTTTATCTCGCCATCCGTCGCCGTCTTCTCCAATGCCAGAATCTCGTAGAACGCCGTCGCAGAGCATTTTCGTATCCGAAGCACGGCCGCTTTCTGCTCTGGTGTGTATTTCCGGTCTTGATTTCCTTGGTTATGTTCGCGGGATTTCGCAGAGCCCCCTGACCCAGTATCCGCCCCTGACGCTGTGGCCGACGGCATGTTTTGAGGGTGCGGTACGTGCCTCTCAAAAGGCTGATGAAAGCCGACGTTCAATGTCCTGCCCGCTTCGGAGATTGGGATAACTGGTGGCGTGCCGGCGGACGAAAGATAAAGAGGGGCGAAAACAAAAGATTCGCGATGAAGAGTAGCAGGAATTGTGCTTTCGACTCTATCAACCCTTCGGACGATATCGAAGTGACGGGAAGGGTGAAACAACCAGTAGAAATGACAGGTGGAGAGGAAACGGGGTTGGCGGAGATCTGGCGATTGATAAACGTGGTGAGATTCTGAAGGGTTGGTTCTGGCGCTAGGGTCGGCACTGGCAGAGGCCTTTTCTGGGCGGTGAATTGACAGGGAAGTTATTCAAGCATCATTTCAACTTCAACAACTCTCTGAAGCCTTGGCTTAGGCTATCTAGTTGATTGTCTCATCGACAATCCATTTATGTTTCCTCAGAATAACGCTTTTGCCCCTTGGAACTCTATACAGTTCGTCATGGCCGGTCCAGATTCTGCAGTGGAAGAAGCCAAAGCAACCCTCGTGCAGAGGTTCAGAGCTTGGGGAGGTAAGAAACAATCAGTCATTCATGTTTTCTAGCACGCCTATTTTTACACTGCCTGGACAATAGACTTACACTCAATTGTCCAATAGAGAACCCTTTCCCTCCGACCCTGCTTGCTACCCTTATCACCGCGCAGTATATGCGTCCTTTCCAGGCGCTGCCGATGCTTTTCCCACCTGTCCTTCTTTTCACAAGCTATGCGAGTATACAAGGTTTCAAGACCGACACTGCTGGTATCAGTGCCGCCTGGTCTGGTCTTTATCTTTTACTCGCTGGTCGACGAAAGCAGCCATTCATGAAAAAATGGGGAGCCCGGGGTATCACACGAGGGGCCACAATGGGTCTTGCTTTGGTCAACATGGTCGGTGGAGGCCTAGCTTATACTCTCGGAAAGAGGGAAGACGAGGGGGATGAGTAGATCGAGGCGTTGGGATGGCCTCTTTCGATCTCTACCATTTCTTGTGACGAAAAGACAAGTGTATACTAGACGTGGGTTGCATGGTCACGGTGTTTGGGTAGGATGTCAAAATATCTGTATCATTATGTTGAAAGTTGTTGTCATGTTCTGATAGAAAGCTGTTGAAATACTGGACGGTGCCTACTCTGAATAAGGTTGGACTGTTAGGATAAAGTCTTGAACATCCCGGGGGACCAGCCATTCGAGATCTTGCGACTTCGTCCGGATAGCTTCTCGAGCTCTCGTGGAACTCACGGACTTCTCTTCAGGCTTCTTTCCTTCCACGAGTCTAATGCGCTGCGCCCATTCTGGCTTCGCGCCTTCGCTTTCCCGCCCTCCTCGAGCTATATTGGCGAGATATGCCTCTTGTTCAGCTCTACTTCCCCATTCACTATCCGGGCGCATGGTAACTCGCAGCCGGTGTTTCGAAAGAAATGGTTCTAACGGTTGCAGAGTGTGCTCCGGTGGGTAGTACTTGGGATTGAAGATTCGTATCAAGGTGTCGTAGCCAATGAGGTGTACCTGCTCGAGGCCTTGCGGATATATTCCTGCAGACTCAATTTCCGCCGCTTTATCCACGAAGTACGGCTTTTTCGTGACGCCAATGTCAATCACAGGGATACTCTCCTGATTCGCGGCTGGGATCTCGGAGCGCAAGAATGCTAAAAGGTCCTGGGCAAAAAGCTGCATCATAATCAACCGGTCCTCGAACGAGGCCGGCTTGGAAGGTTTATCCGCATTCTGAGTTGCAAGGAGAAGGAGAAGACGAGCGGGCTTCCCGGGGTTCTCAAGAATAGCGGAGCACGCGATACGGCGGTGCGCGAAAGTTGGAGGGTTGAAGGAGGAGTCTAACACGTAGACCACTTCCGGGGTGTGTGATTGGCGGGGTTCGAGGGGTAGTGATGTGATGACCTCGAAGTCCTTGGTTGACTCGATGAAGCGTTTCAAGGCCGAACTATACTGGTCCCTGAGGACCTGGAAGGAGTGGTTCATCGTGAGAGAAGGCTGAGTGCAAGGGTCCCGAGGATCCAAGATTGATGGTGAGGCCGAGTTAGTATTGATGATTCAGTTTCACTGTTTCAGTCGCAGTTGCTCAGCCGGGCGGGGCAATCTTGAGACGAGCCCCAATATCATTCCATGGAGGCTATGATGAAATCGGGTGATCCGGACTCTGGAGAGTTTCATCAAGACCAGGTTCCCGCAAAGCATGTGCCTCATCAAAGTGAAACCGCTAGTCCCGATCTCATTCGGCGAGAAACATATATCAGGCCAGACCTTTCCGATCAGCCATGAGCGTAAGGTATCACATCGGCAACGCTGGGAAGCCGGCCCTCATTTCTGTTTGCTTGAATACTAGCAGTGAGAGAGCGAGGATGGCTATACCCCGGACGCAATTGGCCGGTTGCGAAATGAAGTGGCTGTAATTATCGGAGTATAAGACAGCCCCGGGTTTTGACTCTTGTCTGAAACACTGGCCCGTCACTCCGGGATCCCTGGCAGCCCGAGAAGCCAAGATCACCTCCATTTATGTCATACTCGCCGATATATCCAGGGTCAGTCGATACCACCTTACATATGAATGGCGCCTGCAAAGTGTCTGCATTCATATTTGGAAAAGTAAACGTTGAAGATGACTTCAGACTCCAGACAATGGATCAAATCCCCGCTCGGATGATACTTGGAGATCAACGTTGTCGCTGATCGGCGCGGCCTGAGACGTGCTTGCCAAGGCTCAATAATGACGATTCGACTGAGTTCTGATAAGCTCACTGCTGTACCAGCATGGACCCATTTTTCCCAAGCCTGAGGTGATCGAGGATGAAGCATGGGTGGAGTAAACGCAACATGAAACGGCCTCATCGAACCTTGGCTTTTACTAGCGAGATTAGCAACGGGACCTTATTCATTCTCTATGGCTCTAAGATGCAAACGAACAAGACGCATGAGTCCATTATGCCATGGATTGTGCCTTTGCAGCAGGGTCTGGCCATGCGTTGGGCCGTCCCAGATCTGTCAGTCTCCAGGTTTAATAAAACGTACATCTTCTTTCTCCCTGTCTCTGCCTTTTCCTCTTCTCTTCTCTTCCCTTCTCCTTCTCTCTTCATCGATCCTCTCTGGTAGAGTCCGTTCTCTCGTTCTTGCACTTCAGTGTCTGAGACACGTTCATTCTTTTCAGTCATTCCTTCAACTTATTGCTTCGCGAATTGAGTTCGCAGCTTTGCCTTCCTTTGAGGACTTACCAAGATCAGACATTGACTGTCGACATCCTCACAATGCAGTTTACCTTTAAGCTCTCTGTTGCTCTTCTAGGCGCCTTGGTCGCCGTTGGAGAGGCTACCCATGGTCGTCAAGTTCGCCATGAGAGGCGCTTCCAACCGAACGGATTCTCCAACCTAACGACTACTACAACCTATATCACGGTCTTTCCAACCCCGACTCCTCTTTCTTCTGCGCCAGTCACACCTGTTTTACCTGTCTCGCCGAGTACTCCCATAGTCAGCCCTGTTTCGCCAGTCACACCTAGCTCATCTTCTGTGGCTGTGATTCCTACTAGTACTCGTACCCCGAGTCCCAGCTCCTCTGTTCCCATTATCCCAAGTACTCCTGTTAGGCCGGTCACCCCTGTCTCTCCAATTACGCCTAGCTCGTCATCTGTGCCCGTGATCCCTACTAGCCGCACTCATACACCCAGTATTCCTCTCACCACGAGCCCGGCCCGGCCAGGAACCACCAGCATCGGCTATGAGACCGAGGGGCCGGGTGAGGTTGTGACCATCACCTACACATTGGGCACGGGCACTACGACAAGTGTTGTCACGACTACCATCCACAAGACTCGCACACGTACTGAAACCGTCTATGAGGTATGAATCCTTTGAGCCAGGATAGGGTAGCGCAGCTGACGAGTGATACTAGACTCTCGCCCCTGGAGGAGACAACACTGACGTGGTGACCACTACCGTGACCTCAATTGATGGGGTATGCCCTGCAACCAAGACAACCCCTCAACGCATCTCACTAATGAATCTAGTCTCTTACTGCTCCTGGTGACAACACTGCCGTCGTAACTTCCGCCGCGACTGCAGGTGGCGAGGTATGTCCCTAATAAATTCTAGTCCAAATAACCATAACTGACTAGCAAAGGCTCCCTCCTCGGGTGCCGTTTTTTTTATTTTTTCAACCACTACCTTTATCTACACTGTGCGCCCGGTTCCTACAAGTTCTTCAGGCTCTGGTTCTTGGACCGACTCCGGTTCTGGGGCCTGTGGCCCTCAGGCTACGGTTACAGTCACCGAATCCTTTACCGTCACCGTAGTATGTCTTAACCCTAACTTCTTATATATGCCGCCTACTAACAATTTAGACTGCTGGACCCACTGCTACCTACACCGAGCCTGAGAACAACAACCAGCACGCTACCACGCGTCCTGGTCGCCCCGGTCGTCCTAACCATCCTCATCGACCACCTCACGGCCACGACGATGATGAGGAGGAGGAGGAGGATGAATCTGGCAACGGTCCTGTCCCGACGACCACCTACACGCCTGTCATCCCAACTTACACACCCCCTCCGTTCCCAACACTTCCTCCTCATAACAACGGCACACGCCCTGGAACCAGCAGCGGCTACGCAAGGCCCACCGGCTTCGTCACCAGTAGTCGAGGGCCCGCTCCCACGAACTGGCGTCGTCGATATATCTAAACTTATCTGTCGGTTCTAACTGGGATGAGTGGCTTCAGAACGGAAAGTCATTCTAGGACAAGATATGCAGGCGTCAGCTTTCAGTCCTTGTGATATTACTATCTAGCAACATCTAGACTTGATTGTTTATATCTCTTCATTTCTTCGGAGTAGGGTTCTGTTGTTCCCTTCTCTGTGGAGTCTGGTCGCTCGGATTCTCCAATTTAACCACATTTTTTTTCTCTTCCAAATTGTTTATACCCTTTACGCTAAATAGAGTCCTCATGGATCATCTCGAAATGGCTTGGAAGTAAATTGTCTAGTATGTGCTAATGAGAACATGCTCGTATCACTGATACACCAAGCCTCGTAGATGATGAATATATCTTATATCCTGGACATCTATAGATATCTGTGTACAAAAATAGGTGAAATGGGTATCACGGCATAAAAAAATAGAACATATAATAAAACATATTAGTGCACCAGGATCTAATTAATCATGGTAACTCAAGCCCAGCCGCACCAACGCCATCCCTAGCAACCCTCCCCCTCATCCTCTCCCACTCTAGCCAGGTGATTCCCTGAACAAGACAATCCGCCAAATCATCAAGTTTTCCAATATCAACAGCAGCATTGTTCTCACCATCATCTGCATCCTTATTCGTAGGAGCCCGTCTTTCCGTTTTCAATCTCGATGCCGACCTCGTCTTCACCCGCTTCTTTTCCTTCTTCCATTTTGACATATACCTCTCAACCCACGGCTCCACTGCATCGTCGCCGATTGCAAAAGACCCATTCTCAAGCCATGACCCAACGAGGTTGATCTTGAGTTTCTTGCCTTCGCGACTCGTATTTTTCCTCTTCGGCTTCGCGCTTGCCTCAGCCGCAGCGGTGGTTGAATCAGTTGAAGCACCGTGAGGCATCAAATACCTGCCCACCCGGCCCGGCTCAATACTGACCACCAAGGGCCATGCAGGCTCAGTCCCGTCTCCCTCTACATCATTCCCGTCCCCGTCTCGTCCTAACACACCCTGAGCCCCCAACCCAGCCTGGCTCTGAGCACGCAACGTCCCCAACACAGCCCAAAGCATCCCCTCAAAAACACCCACTCGCAGACTCCACTCTTGCACGGCGGAGCCACCACCAGACCGGAACCGCTGCCGCTCGATCAGGATGTGCGTGGGGTTGTACCGCGAAAGCAGGGTTGAGATTATGCTATGGGCGTGGGCGGCGTAGATGGGGAGGGAGAAGCACTCCTTCTCTTTCTCCTTTTGGTTCTTCTTTGCGGTTGGGGTTTCTAGGTTGGATAAAGACTCGGAGTCGGATTCGGTCTCTGGCTGAGACTCGGAGGCACCGAGAGGTGTGTTTAGATACGCCTCGAACTCTTCAACCGTATACGGTCGCGAGAACGGAAGAGAGATTCGTCGCCAGGCGTTTAGGACAATCTTATCCTCCTCCTTCTCCCTGTCCATACCCGCCAAACCCGTACCAAGGTTTGGAGAAATCGAACTTGAAGAATAATCACACCTCAGATGCACAAACGCCAAGTTCCGAATCCCCATATCAATGCTTAATAAACTTATCCCTCTCCTCTCCTGCCTTTTCTCCCTTTGCTTCCCATTCCTCGCAGTTTGCTCTTCTTGAAGAGGAAGAGGAGATCGATACGGCGTAAGCCCACTCTCCAACCCCGCAACAAGAACGGGTTTAGTTCCCGAAGTGGGTAGACCAGTTTTCTGAGCTATGTGCTGCAGTTGTTTTGTTTTGAGAGTAGAAAGCCATGAGAGTGAGGTTGTGGGGGAAGATATGGTGGGCTTGAGTCTGAAGAGGGGAAAAGTGAGGCGCATCCTCTACTTCTCATTCAGTATATTCTTCAATACTTCTGGGGTGGGACGTTGAATGTAAAGACGTGGTGGTAATAGTGGCCGTGGTTTTTTGGAGGATTGGTTGTGTATATTTTGAAGTTAGGTCAAGGATTTGGTGATTACATAAGACGATATCTACCACCGGCAATTAAGCCTGGGGTTTCAGGGTATGGTAACAAAGTTGCTTCGGGATTTTGAAAAGAGACGCACGGGAAGGGTACATATTGCATTGATTAAGATTAGATATCTTGTAGGGTGAAAAGAATGCCCTCTATTCCAAATACCCCGGGATGCCCCGAAACAAACACCGCCCGACTTGTATATGCCTTGACGCCCATAATATACTCCCATGCACGCTAAACTGCATAACATTAGCGATAAAAGATAGATAATGTGATTGAAAACGCTTTGGAGTTTCCTCAAAAGACAGAATGCCAAGCTTCTCTCTTGAAAATTAAAAGGGAAGATGATCGAACGCCTGCTCATGTTCGGCTTGAAACATCGACCCGCCAGTTGGCGGCATGCTCTCGCGAACATAGAGGATAGGTGCCCACACTCTCCAGTGCAGCACAGCAATATGTGCTAGCCGCGTTGAAATTCGCTCAATGTCGTAGTGTTGTTGGTCAAAGGACCCGTGGGGAGAGTGTCGCTGTGCCTCGCAGATAGCCAGCGGTGACATGTTGAGGTATCTTTTGGCTAAACCAAAGGTTGAATAACGCAGCTTTTGCCTGAGTATATCCCGAGAGGCTCGAAACAAGTCACCATCGTTCGACAGATTCCACTCTAACATCCGCTCAATGACATCGTCCTCAATTCTGACATCGCCACAGCATGCCATGTTGGCAAACCGGGCGATCTCCAAAGCAATGCTGCGCACGTTCTTCAACCATCGAGGCGACCCACGAGCGCAGTCCTCGTTTTCCTCCATTAGGGTTCCGACCCGAGAGCGAAAAGTGGTACCTGTCCGCTCAGGGGAGGGGATATGCCGCTTATGAGACTGCACATAACGCTCAAGAATATACCAGCAGATTTCGAGGTTGATGGTGTTTTGCAAACACGCTCGTAAGCCCCACAAGCGGTCAGAGTCAAAGATAAAGGTCTCGGGAAACCCCTCGGGATTATCAAATTGCAGTAGAAACTCGCTCAAACCCTGGAGAAGAAGCGAAAGTGGCCAAAAGCCGTCCGTTTGTGTTGGGTCCTTCATCCTGCGCAGCTCTTGTTCCCGGAGGTTCAGATACCACTGCCTAGAGGACTCCACGTGGAAGTTGTCCCTTTCGATCTTGCTCTTGAAGTAAGTCTGCAGAAAGGGAATGGTATCTTCGATGAGAAGGACACGAAATGCCCGTATCTGGTGGTTGGCAACATCCAACTTCATAGCCTCCAGGATACCGAACAGAGTATGGAGACCACGGACTATCTCACTAGGATTCTGAGACTGTGAGCCTGACGTGATTTGTTCAACCATGCTATCCGCCCAATCATCGCGCATTGGGGCGCAATGTGTCTTGAGGAGCGATGCAAGCCACTTGGCAACTCCGACCATGTCAAGCACACCCTTTTGAATTTGTTGCATCAGCAGAGCAACTTCAAGGTTCTGCATGATACTTGGGTGGTCGCGCTCTGGGACAAGTGTCTTGAGGACGTCTTGCAAAGTTTCGAATAATGCAGGAAGCCGGGGTTCAAAGGTTCGTCGTTTGTCTCGAGACCCAGGCCGGGCCTGATTTTCCACTCCACACGAGGCACTGAAAGCGTAGATACCAATCTCAACAGCCATTGCTTCCCAGTAGTCTGCAGCATCCTTTCGTTTCTTCCTGCCCTTCTCACCATCACAGTCAGGCTTAAAGTGAAGATCGCGGTCGAAGTTGGCATCAATACGTAGATTAATGTTGTTCATAATGCAGGGTAGGTCCAGTTCGCTCAGCGTGCCCTTGGTGACCGGAGGGTTCATATTGGCCGACGCTAACAGTACTGCATCCCTGGAACTAAGATATAGGGACGGAGGTATCTCAATCGCCCTCGATGATGTAGAAGATAGATCGGAGTGTGCGATTGAAGGAGCGGATGCGGTCGACAAAGGCGTTGTAGCTTGATCTAAGTCTGGAGTATACAGTTCACCATTCTGCGGTCGATGACCTCCACTTGCAGATTCATTTGCCTTGTTCGTCTCTGAATGGTGGCCTAGGGAATCATTCTTCGGCGAATTCTTTGAATGGCTATTTCCTTTGTATGGCTCTAAGGGGCATTCTGTCCCCTCTTCTTTCTTGCCCGCCGTGTGATGGGCTTCCTTTGTCTTTTGAAGGTCCATTTTCCATTCGCACCTGACCCCAGTGTGGCGGTGGATTGATTTGCGGAGGGTAGCCGGAGGGACAAGAGACGAAGGAGAATCAAGACCAGAACAAGTGCAATAAAGCCTGGTAAGTTGTTGTCAGGGTCACGAGCAACTCCTTTTTCACCGACGCAAGGCACCGACAGTGACCTTTACCCTGTTGCCGGGTCGATCAACCGTGAAGATAGATGGAATCCCTTCGCAGGTGCCCTGTCTCAGTCCTTGCCTGCAATCGAGGGGGGAAACAAGGTGAGGGACAGAGGGAGGGAGAAGGGGGAGAGATAGTTCAGAACTTACCTGCAGATAATTATGGTCGATCGCAAAATTGCCGGTCTTGGAAATGGAAACTGATCAGGTACGTCCAATGCCCAAATGATAAATCGATAGTGGGATTCCTCCAGGAAACTCTCGATTGCTATTGTTGTGCACGATTGCTGTCTTGTTTCTTGGGTAACTTGTCTGGCGATTGAGCAACAGAGCCAGCAAGAGTCACCCGGTCCGAGCGAGAGAGAAAAAGAAGCAACAGCGATCAAGGGCCAAAAATGCTGGAGGATAGAGGCAGGAAGCCAAAGGCGCGGGGGAGCAAAGATGGTTTTTGAGAGGGTGGAAAGAAAAAAAAAAAAAAAAGGGAAGATGCAGCTATGCAAGCCAGCGAGGGCAAACAAGGACGCTGGCAGCGACTGCTTGAAAGAACAATATAGTACTTCTACCTGGTGGCAGCAGGGCTTGGATCAGTGCAAAGAGACAAGGAAGGCGCCTGGAGCTGAAATAAAGCCGCTCTGATATGACCAATAACGGTATGAAGTAGACATGCTACGTTGCCCTGGACATGAAACCGGAGAAAAGACGAAGTGGACCACGCCTGGTAGCAGAAGAGAAGAATGACGATGAAGTGGTATAGAGATGGAGATGGAGACAAAGAAGGAGTTGCTATTTACAGTGCAACAACTCGAAGTGTGGCTGGAGAGCTGAACACGTTACTACCATGCAGATTGAGAAGAGCAATTGGAATGCATTTCTCGAAAGTCAAAATGACAAAGCCGATAAAAACTTGGAAAAAAGCAAATAATTCAAGAAAATGACGAAGAAAAATACTAAATAATGGTGGGAGAGAAAGAGTGAGGCTTGAGCCTAACGCTTCCGGCGGACGGCCAGCAAAGAACTCGAACTATTCCACGGCGGCGTGGGAAGCCAGATTGTGGCCGCCTCGGGTGGGAGGTGGAGAGAGATGGTCAGAAGCGCGCAAAAGTGGCATTGACTCCACGGAAATCCCTGTTGCGCATCCACGACTCCGGAGCGGAAGAGCCAAGACGTGAGTTGGACAGACTTTCATGTCTGTATCCGAAAACGGGCGCAGGAAGACGGCAGATGTGAGAGAGACGTTGATTGTCCTGCCCAGTCCTGAGCGAAGAACCTCACTATCAACTCTACAGTCCAGTTCAAGATGGAAGCAAGGAAATAATGATGAATTGAACAATGCAACTGACCGCGCTGGTGTACGGAGTACTCGGTAGATAGATCAAGGACAACTCGAAGTGAAGCATAGGGATCCGCGGTGTGCTTGCCGCAGGATTGCTTTTTCCCAGGCGAAAGGAGTCGAGGATAAAAAACAGTACGGATGCTCCCAACTGCATTCCTGGGCCCATTCTCAACTCTCCAGCGTACTTTGTCGCCTCATCCAGCAGACTCACCTCATTGACGCATTCGGCTTCTTCAATTGCTCTCGGAACATACCGACCGGCTTCGTTTCCCGTTTCGATGTCGCCTACAGACAAGATTATATGCGGGCGCCTCGCCTCCCTCCGTTATTTGATTTTCGGGGTTTTGCTACATTGCACCCCCCCCCCCCCCTCCAGTTGCCTGGGCCCCCGTGCCAGGGGTGACTTGTGGGATTCCCGAGCAATTGGGTTGGTTATACGATACCTAGATAATAATTATGGTTTCTTCCCCGAAGCGGAGACCCGCTCCTGTCACCGACATTTCGGTATGGCAATCGAGGATCGCGGGTGATTCCTGCGGGATTCATGGTATCGCGTTACACGCCGTTTCTGCTCAAGATTTGGCGAGACCTGAAAGCGATATCGTGACTCAATGCGCGTAAGTCGATGGCTCCAATCATGTCGACGCCCGCCCTACTACTCGTAGAGGCGAGCCATGGGACAGGTTATTTTGGCAATTGACCAGTCGGATCGTGCCATTGATTGGTGTGCAAGATCTGTACTTCATTGCTTCATGTAATTATTCTTCCCTCGGGCTTTAGACAGTCAGTTCATCTGCCCAGGCCGTCTGGCGACCCGTCAAGGTCATTGATTGAAATCGAGTTCCGTTGAAGATCATGCGGTGAGGTTCTCCGAGACCACAAACGAATGGGGGACGCCAGTGTCGGAGCATCTAAAACGCCTCACTTTGCGCACGAGCTCAACTAAAATCTTCACACCGTATGGTAGGCCGCCTCATTCTAGGACGGATGGTGACGGATGGGTATCGATTGGAAGCCAAATTGTTTACATCGAGTATCGGCAAAACAGCGGTGTCGTCTGCGATCCTGTTGTCTTCTGACTTTTAATCAAGACAGGGACCATCAACGATGGGCGGATTCCTTCACATCCGAGCTGGGGTAATTGGAGCCCTCATCAGGGCTGGGAGAGAGGCAAATGAGGTAGGCAAGCTTGTGTCTCGATGCAAAGAGCAATTGGCCCTTCGTCGCTTCGTCGTGACGCACAATTTCATCACTACATAGCGATGGCGACGTCGCAAAGGACCGCGGACAATCTTTCGGTCGAATGTTGGATCTCAGTGACAGTGTGTCGACTGGAGCGGGAGATCCAAGAGAGAGAAAGCATCAGAAGCTGCTAGGGCATGACATCGAAGAGTGAAACCAATCTCACTAATCGGGTCACGAGATAGGATTCATCTGGTCATGTGACCGTGCTTGCACGAGACATGTACTCCATACTGTCTGATCTCGATCCACGCGCATTTTCAGACATTTTCAGACCCTGGCGGAGTACATACAACGTCAGGCGAGACCATTATTCGCATCATTAAACCCATCTGCTTGAAGAACGGTAACCATAGTCATGATGACCCGACAACGTCTGCCCATTGGGCCATCGCAACACTACTTCATGATCCGCACTGCGGGCTGTTCAGAAAGACCCAACAATTGACCAGCATTTGTTCTCTCATGCGCTCGATCTCCTTCTACAATATATTTCTATTTACAACCAAGCAAAATCTGTTTTATGAGGTAGAATCCGCCAATTGGTGGCAACTCACGATGCTTTACCCTGATCTGGGCTCAATAGGGTGTTTGCCTTATTGAGATCGGTATCGGGAGAGACACTCTTATTGACGATGCGTTCTCGATCGCTTCCGTCGCGCATGGCCGGTCAGATGAATTTAAAAGCAATGTCGTACCTTCAACAGCTTTGCAGAGGACGTCTTAACATCCAATGTATCCATCTTCTCAGCCTCTGGCCTCCGCTGCTTTTACAACGGCCTGGTTCAGCCAGCAATCGATAGCATTAGCGCCATGCATTCACTTTTTTTGCCAGCTCTTTGGGCGATATCCTGTCTTTTTTTCGGCCTAACCCGCACAGCCCCGGATAACTCCCAGTTCAAAGTTCATTCCTTGCCAGATAATCCTACGCTGCCTTCCAGCTGGGCTGGTCGACTTCCAATTCCCAATACTGCGCCGGGCAACGCTCTGTTTTTCTGGTTTTTCCAGACTGAAGATCCTGTATACGATGACAATTTACTCAGTTAGTCTTAAGATGATGGGGGTGCTTTCGGAGCTTGAACTGACAGCTACTTGCATAGTCTGGTTCAATGGAGGCCCCGGTTGCTCGTCCTTGATCGGACTAACGACAGGGAACGGGCCAATTTCTTTTGAAGGAAACTCGACTCGCGCTACTGCGAATCCATACGCATGGACCAAATTCGGCCATCTCCTGTACATCGATCAGCCTGTTGGGACAGGCTATTCGACTGCGAGCTATCCGTACCCGGCAGTTGACAATGAGGTTGTAACTTCGCAGTTCTATGCCTGGTTGCAATCCTTCTTTGGCCAATTTCCCCATCTTCGATCAAAGCATGTACACATGATGGGAGAGTCATGGGCAGGGATATACGTACCATACTTTGCATCCGCCATAGTCGAGAATCAGGTTTCGTTTCCCATCAATCTTCGTTCCATAACGCTTGGTGATGCATCAATCGGCAACCCAGCCGCAATGTCTACAGTGACGATTGGGAAGTTTCTGGAATCGCATCAATCCCTTCTCCGGATACCCGATGAAGTTCTAGACGTTTACCGGGAAGCAGGTGAGACATGTGGCTTTGAAGAGATCCTGGAAAAAGTAGCCCAGTTTCCCCCGGAAAGTACTATCCGTATTCCTGGGAAGCCAGAGAACCTCAATTACAAGCATCGGCGCCAGCAGCGTCTGCGTCGTGATCTCAACGATGTAGCCAATGGGTCCTGCAACATCAATCCAACAACGCCGGAAGAGGTACGATTGTCCATCATGCAGTCCTCCTGCTATGGGCGCTGTGCAACTTTTGCAACTGCAATGGACTATTTGTCTTCAGTGTCCGCCTCTGGGGTAGGCAAACCGTGCTTCGACGTGTATGACATCAGCCACGACTGTAGCACAGTCAACTCACTGCCCCTTGTCTCTTCGTACTTCAGCCGCGCCGACGTCCAAGCCGCACTGAACATCGCAAAAAGGCCTACATCAACGTCAGCGGCTGATGCTGAAAGTCCAGCACCATCGCCGTCAGAATACGCAGCCTGTAACTCCACAATCCTCGACATCCTCCTCGGTAGCCAATCTCCTCGTGCGCCCGTCTACTCCATTCTTCCGACTTTGGTCACGTCACACAACATTTCCCTCCACATCTACTTCGGCGAGTACGACATGCTCCTTAACCACTACGGCGCCGAGCTCGCGCTGCAGAATATGACCTGGCACGGAGCCCAGGGCTTCTCTCAACCAATCAACCGTCCCTTCTACTCCGATAACGCCGCACCTTTCCTCTCCCGCCATCCCCGCGGCAGTAGCGGCAGCAGAAGCAGGAGCAGAAACAGTACCTCAATCACAACTACCCGCACGCAAGACAGCTACAACGGTGCATCATCATCGCATAAACCCCCACGCTCCAACGCCAGAAATCCCAAGCCAGTCGAAGCGTGCCCTGTGCCCGAGGCCGGGAAATGGGCTTCGGAGCGCGGTGTAACATACCACCTGTTTTGGGGCGCGGGTCACAGTGTCTTTGCAAGTAAGCCACGTGAGATGTTTGCTTATGTGAGGGATGTTGTTGTCTCCGATTGATGAATCTTCAACCACCCATTATTGGCTAGTACGTATGCTGCACTATGGGTTCCCTCTAAGCCTTTGAGGTTCTTTTGCTTTACTATGTTGCAGGCTAGGTACGTGCTTGGAGAAGGCTCGCTGCGTTGCACAATAGCTTTATGATTGGCTGGCTGGCCCAGTTACTTTCTTGATCTATGTACACATTAGACAGGGACCTCTGGAGGAGTATTCATGGAGGAAAAGTCGCCAATATACGACAATTTCATTTCCTGCATTCACATACATTAACGCTTTCCGAGAATACCCAAATCCTGGTGTGAATAAACAAAGTACACCATCCCAACCCATGAAAATTCGTATAGCAAACCTGAACGGTCTTGATATGCATAAACTAGATAGCCGTAGATACTCCTGAACCCGGTCTCTGCCTTACGCCGCCCACATTCAGATACAGTAACTGCACTTTTTTTCTTAATACTCCAGCCATAGACCCAACAAAACGAAAGACAGGAAAAAGAAGACAACAAATAGCGAACCAAGCAGCTACTTGGGTATACATCTTCGAAACAAAAATAAACAAAGCCATCATGACTTGAGGCTAGCCAGTCTAGCCAGTCTAACCGAGTAACAGATTCCCGGGATATTCGGAATGGCTTACAGGGACCGTTCATATGTACCTAGTCGCTTCGGGAAGCGTGTTGATGCAGGTCTCCAAGCGCGGCGTCGGGTTCGGTTGGGCTTTAGGAATGGCCTAGTCTAGGCTGTGCTGAGCTGTCGTGATCTTCGGTCCTGCCGAAAGGGGAAGCCGGCCTGTATGTACTTGACCAAAGTACCACGGAAATTAACATGGTCATGCCATCTCTATGACGGCGGTAGTCAAGGGCGGTGGGATGGAAGAAGCCAAAAATCGTGTATGCGTGCGCCTTCATAGTAACACATTATCGTCGAGTAAAAAATGGCGCCTGGTTTGGCATTGAGAGTAAGGAGTCGGCGCGTTGGAAGACGTCTCCCTCGAAGAATTTGTCGCTGTATGCACTCGCGGGGGTAGAAGGTACCGTGGCCTGTGCAGCCGGACCGAGAGCCGCGCTCAGGGGCGTTGCAGGAAGATTGACGAATTGGGGCGATAGGTTCGTGTTGAGCTGGGGATTGTGGTGATGGTTGTGGTTATGATGATTTTGCGACGGTAATGGCGGTCCGTATATGGCCGTCGGACCGTTTCCGGGAGCAAGATCTGCGAGATATGACCACGGCGAGGCTTCGATCAAGCGACCTGCTTCTCTGCTTGACTTCTGAACTGGTCGAAGAATCACAATGATCTCGGACGGAAGGAGATGCATGTTCCGCACTTCGCGCATATCTGTCACCAAGTCAACAAAGGATTGCATGAACGACTTGCATAGCTGCCAAAATTCGCGCTGATTACGCATGCCCCCGCCTGGCTCCTTGATTTTCATGTTGGATAAGCGAACTCCGAGGGCTTCGGATACGTCTTCGCATGCACGGCAGCGGCGGATGAGATTGTTCCACAGCATTTGAATGTCGCCGAATTCTCGGTTCTGCTCTGCAAGTTTAGCCTCGAACTGACGGCGCGCTATGGGCAAGGCATGGAGAGCAGCCGTGTAGGCCGCGCTGAGCTGGTAGAAAACTTTTTCAAAGATACGCTCCTCTTCTATCTCGTCGAGGCCTGTTAAGGGGTTGATCCGCGGTATTACCGACGTAGGCATAGGGGGAAACGACTCGCCTGACCGAGGGGTGGCGAGAGAAGAAGGCACGGATGTATTTATATGATTGGACCGGCTGCTAGATCGGCTCCGTGCGCCATAGCTTAATGGCGTGGGTGCAAAACCTGGGGAGCTGACGGCAGACTGATAGGTGGTTGACGCTGGTAGAGGCCCATTTGTGCTAATCTGAGGATGCAGGATTGTCGTGTCGCTGCGGAGCCGTCGGGTTGAGAATGAGGGCTCTCTTCCCCGCATTGGGGTCACTGTCGCACCAGCAAGCCTGTCCGAACTGAGAGACTCCTTGTAGACCTCAGGTACCGGTAATTTACCAGTTGGCTGTGTTTGGGGTTGGACAGGAACTTCCAAGCCGGTGCAAGCATTGCGAAGCTCAATCACGCTACCGAAAATCATGAGCATCAGCGAGCGCACGTAGCGCGAGTCACCGTTGGCAACAATTCGATCAAGACTGTTGCGCAGTTGCGCACCAACATGGGAATACGCCATGATGCATGTTTCGCACTCTCGTTTGACGGCTTCGTAGGAAGCCCGCATGGGCTCCGCGTCCTCGGTTCTTGAGTTTTCTGCATTCTCCAAGGCGTCGTTCAGTCGGTCCACATGCGTGGTGGCATTGTAGAAAAGGATTTCGAGACTATTGCGCCGCTCTTCGTTGCGCCTAATAACGTTGATTAAGGAATAGACATGAGACTGCACTTGAAACAGAGCAAAAAGGATGCCTTTCGCGCTTTTGATGATAGGTTCTCCCGTTTCCCACTCACCCTTGTGTTCCGGCAAGCTTGACATTCTGTTCACATATCCATCCCTAGGTCGTCTGCGCTCACGTGGACTGCTCGGGCTAGATGAGTTGCTGATAGATGGCCTTGTCCGAAGGATAGACCCATAACTAAGGCCACGGAGATGGCTGTTCCGGTACGGCCGCATCTCATCCAGAGTGCCGAGGTCGGTGTTTTTTCGACTAATGAGTCCCATTCGCTTAGAGCGGGTTGCAAAGGACGCCTGGATGATACCTTCACTATTACTTCGATTGCGTTCATTGATTCCAGGTATGGGCCCTGGCCGTTGAAGGCCACTGTGAAAAGCACTTCCGTGTCCAGAAGCAATACGATAATGGGATTTGAGTGGGATAGGAGGTGGCCGCGAGAGTGACGGTGATTTGGGGTCAGAAGCACCATCACCTGTGCTTGGGATCACTGGGAAACGGCTGCTCATTCCCCGTTTGACGGGTTTGGGTGTATCCATAATTCCCTCACTATACATGAACAGAATTAGAAGTGTTCAAACCGACCGAGTTAGAAGGCACAAACCTTAGCTCATTCATCTTGTCATAGTCTTGAGGAGCAATAGGCTGCCGAGTCTTGAGAAATCTTTTTAATTCAGCCGTGACAGCAACTTCCTTCTCGTTATCGGTCATTGCTGAAGATGTAATCTCAGTCTCTGAAGTGTCCAGTAGTTTCCGAAGCGGGTACCGCAGCGGGTTTCCAGCGACCTTTAGAATCTGAAGCTTATTCATATCCGATACACCAAGAGGTAAATCATCAAGGCGATTTTGCATGACCGACAAAACTCGAAGAGACGTGAGCTTCTTGATTTCTTCCGGAAGCTGACTGATCTTATTGCGACTCAAATCTAGGATCTCTAGGAGCGGCAACTTGATCACCTACGCCGAAAATCAGACTCCAATCATGTCAGAAGAAAGAATAGAGAGGACTAAGCATACTCCTTTGGGAAATTCACGGAAGTTGTTGGCCCTAATGTTAAGATATCGAAGATGCGAACATTCCGCGAACCGATACGGGATATGGACCAGATGATTGTTCGACAATGACAGACTAAACTTGATTAGCTCCATGTCTTAAGCAAAAAAGTCCCAGCAGCATGTCATGCAACCGAGAGTCTCGGGTATTTATTGACTGCTACTCACCGTTCAACCTCATCCTTTATAGCATCCACAACAGGCTCCGGAATGCGAGAAATGTTCGAGTGGCCCAAATCAATGGTCAACTTCGGCTTCACCACATCACTGACAGCCTCACTGCCTGCCAAAGAGCGTTTTGTTTCCTGAATTCCGTTTTCTACAGCGCGACGTGCGAGTTCAATCGTCTCCTCCGGGGAGAGTAATCGAGGGCCCTTCAGCGGCTTTGCTGGTATGCTGTTACTATCACCAGTAGTCTCATTCATCAATGCGACTGCATCCTCATTTTTGAATGATCCTTCGGTGTTGGATGATGACGACGATGAGGGTGCTATTGGCTCAGGTGTCTCTCGGCTCCCGCTTTCTTCTTCTATGTCCCGATACGAAGGAGGCATCCTTATAATATCCTCCGGGCGGATCATTGTAGAAATCATGACTGGTGGTGAAGGGAGTCAGGCTCGGCCAATCCGAATCAAAAGCATGCATTCAACATTGCCCTTTCGAGCGATCAACCAGAAAACGGAACTTCCGCGGCAAGCATGATCGAGAAACCAGGCCACGTAATGCTAACAACTAGCTCAAGGTAGGGAGCAAGGCTTTTGAGGAGGATGAAGGCAAAGTATGTCGTGGATGTGTCACACCTCTATGAGCGCGTAACAACAAAGGCCAGCTCCGAGAAGCTCCGTTGGGTTCCAGATGTATCGGCGTTCGCTTGCTTCGTAGAGGTCAGGAGTAGAGGTTGCGGATTGTCGTGATCAAGCAAATTGGTCTCGAGATATCAGGATCAAAGTGACAGGTTGAGCCGAAGGTTGAAAAGTCGCTGCTGCCTGTGACTTTAACTCGAAGGGTCGGTTTCATTTATAGGAAACGGGCTCGGCAGTTAGTGCCACACAGCGAGGAAGAACTGCTGTGTCCGGCAGCAAAAGGAATAAGGCGGATCGATATAAGAAATTCCAGCAGGTTCAACACCAAGGACAGCATGCGAAGTATCTATCCTGTAGCGCGACTGGTCGGGAAGGACAACTTCAAGGAGTTGAAATGGGTGATGACCGGAAATTTGGGTCCTCGCCGAGCGTTACAGTGTGCTCTTGCCGCGATTGGCCAGAGCCCTTTTCCACTGTCGCCTTTTAGTAACCTAGCTACTGTATATACTAGGTAGTATATTGAAACGAAGAACTATGGCTCATGCCAGGTTCCTCGAGTCTTGGAATGATATGCTTATCTTTCTCGATTTTTGCGATTTTTTTTTTGGCAAGGTCTAATCCTCCTGGTATGCCCTCACTCAGACCATTCTCGCATGGGGGGTCTGTAGTGATACAATAGAACCAAACAAGTACGATAATATACATGGCTATCAAAAACATTATAGCGATCAAGCTGGCTGAGCAACGACGTCCTCCTCAGACCCAGTGCCCTCATCAGCATCAGGTGCCTCGGAAGTCCCAGCTGCCATGGCGTTTGCTGAGTTGCGGTTCGCCAGAGCCTGGGCCTCTGCTTTCGCCCATTTCTTCCAGACCTCGAATTGCTGGTTCTCAAACTCCATACCCCACTCTAGAGCAGAAGGCCCAAATGTCGCCCCGGTGGCTTCCGCTTCTTCTGCAGCTACTCGACGCTCAATGTCCTCTTGTAGACGGAGTCGGTAGAATTCTCGTCGCGCAATATCGTATGCGGCACTCTTTGTCATATCGGGAACGTTGTTCAAAAGCCACAGCTGCCGTTGCACAACACTTTTGATAGGTGAAATATAGATGTTAGCTAACGAGCATGACTAGACCATTAAGAATTCATAAAAACATACCTTTCGCCATCCAATCTCTTACCAGGCTGCTGCATCCGACTCCAGTCATAGTGAATGAAGTCTTTACCAGTCTTCTCAACAAGGATCCTAGGTCTCGCAAGCTCCCAAGGGTGGTCTTTGAAGAATTCCTTGCGCAGCTGATCCTCCTCATACTTGATCTCGACGGGCAAGAACATGCGACTGGCTTTCTTCGGTTTCAAGCGCTTCTCTTGAACCTCAAATACAGTCCGCGGTTTTGACTCTCCAGGGACGGTTTTCAGACGCTGCCGTACAAGTTGATGCTGCTGTGGTTGACTGCGTACAAGGATCTGGGCGGGCGGAATATCACGGACTATGTCGGTCCACATAGGAGGCTGTCGAATCTTCTTCGCAGCGTATGACTGAAGAGCAGTCTGGCGCACTCTGAGCGCTGCGAAGTTGTATTTTCCCATCGTGAACTCGGGGAGGGCGGCTGATGCGCCGTGCTGTCGGAGGCCGAGGCGGATAAATGTTGGAAAGGAATTTCGACAATAGCAGCTCCGAGATAGGGAAAAGTAGAAGTACACTCAAGGCCTGGCTGACGTCGAGGTACTTCGCGATGTCAAATGTGTCGTCGATAGGGAATTGCGGTTGGAGTTCTTGGGGGGAGAAAAAGAAGATTGGCAATGGCCGTCTCCGATTGGCCCGACGCGGTCTCCGCTCTCCAGAAAAGCGCATCTGCTCAAATATTGCATCTTCCAACAGCGACATAGGAAAGCACCTCAATTCCTCGCGGAGCTGGCCCCTTCGCTTCGTCATCCCGTGTCTAATCCTGTCGTCTATTCATTCTCAAACACTTTCCCCTCAAACGAACAGTCTTTCAGGACTCACTCAACTAATGCATGGGTGAATCAATACCACAATGTCTGCCATCTCATGCCTCATCCCAATCAGTCTCAGTGCTCACCACAACTGCGATCACCACATTCGCAGGGGTCGGACTCGAGATTCCCGTCTAGCTCTGAGTCGATGCATACTTCGGCATCCCTCCTGTCCAACGCTGCCGTCCGACGAACCCGGTTCCCCAGACACTCTCGGCCGGGCGCGACGTCAATAGCAGATATCTTCGTCCAATCTTTGGTGGCAGCCGGTTATTGCCACAAACATTCCCCCCGGGGCAGGGGTCTGAGTACGGTGTCGATCAAATCTACAAAAGGCAATACAACGAAGAGCCCAGGGGTCAAGGGGTTGGGGGAAACTTCCAGACAGTTTTCGGCCCAAAGTGCACCGGGTTCTCTGAGTGCGCGAGTCCGAACCCTGGGAGCTCATCGGCCAAGAACACAGCAAATGTTTACGTCTAGCGTTGCACAGCGGTTGGAGATTTCCGATACTGATGACTGCCAGACTGAACAGTTATCAGCAAATGAACCTTCACACAAAACTCTGGTTGACACCGTCAGCTCTAGCCTTACGCATGGAAACACAGCCCCTCCGTTACCGCGCGAGAGAATGCGATCTGGAGCTATGGTTCAGCGTGAGGATCGGGATAATTTGCCCTTTTGCGACAGAGGACCTGCCAAGGTCAACTATTCGCACCACGGGGTCGAGAAACACCCTATCCACAAGAGCCACATAGAGGAGAAATACCCCAATTACAAGAGTCCCAGAGAAGAGCTTTTTCAATATACGTCGAAAATATATGAGGCAGCACTTGGCCCGTCCATGGATTGGAGGAAGGCCGTGGATAGTCTTATGCCGGTTGAAACTACATCTTATCGCCACGACGAGACAACAACAGCAGCGGCTAAGATCGAATCAGTGAGGAACCTCTTAGAAGCCATGTGGGACAAGCGAAAATCGAATCACTACGTCTTCACGTTGTACCGGGAACTCCCATCCCCAGGAGTTGCACACCTTTCGAAGCGTTCGCGGGGGGCACTTTTACGCAGATTCGCAGAGCCACCTGACCGTCGATGGGTTGATGCTCGTCGTTACCTGGCCCTGATTGAAGATATGCTGACCGCGCGCCTTCCGGTATCCCGATCACTTTGGACCAGCGCTATTCACCTAGCAGGCCGCGCCACAGGCAAGGTCAATAAGCAAGATTTAGTACGAGCGATCGGTATCTGGCACCAGATGGAACACATAGGCCGCGTTGAGTCGGACGAGGTGGTGTTCGGCGTTTTATTTGACATAGCAACCAAATCAGGCCATTACACCGTCGCTGATCGTATACTAGAAGAGATGGAGAACAGGAAGCTCCAATTCGGTCGCGCTGGAAAAATCAGCAAAATATTTTACTACGGATTGCTACAAGATCCTGTTGCCATCGGCCGGACATTTGACGAGTATGTCGAGAGCGGAGAAATCGTTGACATCACGGTTATAAACTGCCTCATGGCATCGTTTCTCAATGCTGGTGAAAAAAGGACTGCGAAGCAACTATATCAACGTCTTTTGACAACTGCGAGCACTACGCACTTAGCGTCAAACACCGATAAAGCTTCCTGGCACGTTTCAGGCCCTAGCCTCACACCCGAGCTCGTTTCCTATCGAAGACGAAACAAGAAGCTCGGGCGCGTTCTGCAAATGTCAGCATCCCTGAAAGATACCTTTCCGCGACATCATCGAGCTCTTCAACAAGCCCTCCTAGTGGCCCCCGATACGCGGACATTTCATATATTTCTCAAACACCACGCGCACAGGTCGGGAACTCTCGATGCGTTCATGTCCATCGTGAGCGATATGGAGAGGATATATCGAGTGCCTCCACGCGGAATGATATACTTGCTGCTTTTTGATGGGTTTGCGCACAATGGACGAAGTAAAAGAGGCTGGTCGGCAGAAAAATTGCGAGCAGTGTGGACAGCATACCTCCGAGCGCTCCATGAGTCTAAAAGTAGACTCCATCGTCGATCCTTCGCCCTGCCTCCGTTTTTCAAATGGGAGAACCCGTTGGGAGACATTAACGTCGCCGCGACATCCAAATCACATCGCCATTCTAGCATTACAACTGACAATTTATACACACAGTTGCCTTCAGTTGCTACCGGCTCGGCAAATGGCAACTCGATCGGCCATGTTTCCAATGATGGTCATCTTGACGACTTGCCGGATCTCCATCGTGATTCTCCAATACCTCACCTCACTGGTCAAAGGACACGCGAGCCGCCCGACGAGGATGACCAGGAATTTCTTGAACGCCGTATTGAAAATGGTGTGTTCCTGGGTCGCCGCATGATCATCACGATCCTTCGCGCATTCGGTACTTGCTGCAGTGAAAATGATCTCATGGAGGTCTGGCTTCGTATAGAGCGCATCTGGCAACCGGAAAAGCGAAAGGGACTCGATGTCATGGCCGTCAAGGAGGAACTGGACAAACAGTTGGAAAAATTCCGGCCGCCGAATTAATTATCTACTCTCGATGTACATTATTGACTCATATATATACCCTCGAGCGATGATCTTGTGACATTTGTTCGAGTGTACCCAGGGTGATTCTTGAGTTGAAGTCAGTCTATGACAAAGGTTTTGTATTTTTAGCGATCATAATAGACAACAGTTATCTTAAATATTCCTGAAACTTAGCGATGCTACCTACGTTCTTGACCTTTTAGGCACTGTATTGAATCAATATGGACCACGTGATATCGCGTACCTCCCATCGCGTCACATTAAAACCTTCAAAGTTGGGAAGTAACTGTCGACCGCTTCTTCTCTCTTTCCAAAGTCCTTCACTTTGTTTATCATCATATCAATCAATCAAGTGTTTCTCTTTCTCTCTCTCCATCTCATCGTCAGCCTTGCTCCTCGTCTTACTCAGTTTCCCAATAGACACTCCAACTTTTTGTTATAGTTCTCCCATTACACGTCAAGAGCTAGACGCCTACTCGTCAAAGATGCAGCAGCAGTGATGGAGGCTAGCTTGAAGCGCCGTAAGGTTGATCTAGACTTTTACCTCCACCGCGTTTTCCAGAAGAAGTCGTTCCGGTAAGCTCATTTCAACCAGCATTCCCTACGAGATCTAAACTGTGTTAGTCCACTGCAGCGCGATGTCATCACCGCTGCCATCGAAGGTCATGATGTCTTCTTACAAGCCTCTACATCTTTCGGAAAGAGCCTGTGCTTTCAGCTGCCAGCTATGACGACGCATGGAGGTGTGTCCATGGGCTCGTCGCACAATCTGGTGTACAGTCGGCTAAGATTTGCCTCATAGTCACCATCGTTGTTAGCCCACTTCTTTCCTTGATGGTGAGTTCCAAGCGAAGGGCCTTTGATGGACGCCATCAAATCCGGAGATCATCTGCGTTCGAGGAAGTACTAACCTTAACCAGACCGACCAGGTGAATCAACTACAAGCATTGGGGGTGCCAGTTGCCACGATTAACTCGACAACTCCCATCGCTAAACGAAAAGTTATCTTAAACGACCTCCTATGCGGGCACCCGAGAACCAGACTCCTCTATGTCACGCCAGAACTTTGTCAGACCGAGACGTTCCGTCGCAATCTCCAAACCATACATCGGCAGAGAGAACTAGTTCGAATTGCTATTGACGAAGCGCATTGCATTAGCGAATGGGGCCATGATTTCCGCCCAGCCTACAAGAATCTCGCTTGGTTCAGAACCAACCTGACAGATCCATTGGTTCCCATTAGCGCCTTGACAGCGACAGCGACGCCCCAGGTCCGCACGGATATAATCAACATTCTCAGGCTCAACCCGTCTCGGTTGAGGGTATTCAGCACACCTTCCGCACGACCTAACATTCATTACGAGATCCGTTTCATGCAGCAATTTGCCCCGGATCCAACAGAACCGGAACCATTTCAAATCAACGACATGCTTGCATGGCTACACTCCATCCAGGCGCGAAGGGAAGCTAGATTAGGGGCTGATGCAGCCTCGAAACTACCACCCATCTCGGGAATAGTCTATGTCTCCACCCGAATTGCGTCAGAAAAGCTCGCTGAGGCCTTGTGCAGACGTGATGGTCGCATCCGCGCTGTAGCATACCATGCAGGGCTTTCCGCCAAAGACAGAACCCGAGTGCAGAACGAATGGATAGTACCCCAAAAGCCCCAACAGCAGCAACACAGCACAAATGAAGATCTGAACCCCGGCCCTCTAAACTTCTACATAATTGTTGCAACTACAGCCTTTGGCATGGGCATCGACAATTCCGACGTCCGCTTCGTCATTCACTGGAGCCCCCCGCGCACATTTGAAGGCTTCGTCCAGGAGTCCGGACGCGCAGGCCGCGACGGCCGTGCCGCAGTCTCGATAGTTTACTACAACCCGCAAGAACGAGAACGCATCCTAGAGCGGCTGCGCCGCGACATCGAAAACGTGAACAATCGAACAGGCGGTCGAAACGCGGGACTACAAAACCGCGATAAGGTCTCCCTACTCCGGAATCTAAAGGCCCGCAAACAAAGCTTCGAGAAGGTGGTCCAATACTGTGAAACCACGACACAGTGCAGGCACCAGATGATAAGAGAGTTTTTCGGTGATTACGAGCTAGAGAAGATGGGGTCTCAAGTTCCCGTAAAGGTTGAAGTCAATACCGAGTCTGTTAATGACGTAGCAAGAATATCAGTGGAGATTCCGCGGTCATCCCCTTGTGAATATGCCTGTGATTTTTGCAAGGAGGGGCCCAAAGGGCTCGCAGACCGAAAGAAGAAGATGGCACCGGAAAGTGGGTTGACTCTTTTCAGAGAAATTGGTCCAGGTTGGCTTGAAGCCATGTTTTGTTCGGTTGATCGGCTATTTCCCGAACTACGCAGTTGTGATTGGTGATTTTCTCTTTCCATGTTCATGTCTCAGATCATATGGGTCGGCTGGTATCTTCTTAAGCGTTAGGCCTATTGTTGATCTGCCATAGGGGTCGCAATGTTATGGAATAGTGTAGGTGGGTTGTTATTGGAGATTACGATCTCGCTCAGGTTACTACTTGCATGCAAGGAGAAGAGTCATTAGAATGAAGAAATTAACGCTTTTTGAAGCTGCTAGCCTTTGTCTTCAGGCGGATAGGAAATCAACGAGATTGGATATATCGCATGAGGCATGCATGATGTGAGATAGCGATAGGGATACAGGTGATGATTTTTGTTTTTTTGGGTGGGGGCAAGGTTTGACTAAACTCGCCGACACAAGACAGGTCATTGGATGAGAAGGTCACCTTAGCATACCACTGTCCGCCTGCAAGATTAGTGATTTGATTATCCAAGGGGTGTCGCTGGCATGCAGACATATTCACAGTCCTGGGGGCGGCGGAACCTATACACGGCTTTGTTAGTGATCTGACACTAGGTAATGGAAAAGAGAAGTTGCACATACAGCACTGTAGCTGCCACCAGGTGGGGGTGGGGGCGGAGGAGAACCAGACCCAGGTGGTGGTGGAGGGGCTTCAGATGCTGGGGGAGGGGGAGGAGCAGGACTCTGTGACTGTTGTTGTTGCTGTTGGGCAGCAGCCTGCTGGTAATACTGATAATAGGCGACGTAGTTCTGGTAACCGCCATATGCAGCATAGGGATCGGAGCCGTAATACTGGGCGTATTGCGCACTGTAGTCGGCGGCACTCGTAGCAGCTGCCGGGGTTCCTGACCCAGACGGGCTCGCTGAAGCGGGAGGGGTTTGCTGATGTTGATGTTGATTGCCATAGCCACTGCCGTAGCCTCCGCCTCCTCCACCCGCACCGTAGTTGTTGTGGCGGTCCCCGCGCTGCCCATAGCCACCGTAATTATGTTGAGGCGGGTTTTCCTTAAACCGTTGGTACATTTCCCGAACGTTGGCCAGCAAATCCTCGCATAGCTCCTTTGCGTTTTGGACTTCGTTGGGATCGGGACCACTATATCTCATTAGCACAATGGTTATGCCTTACCTAGCTGGGGACTACTTACGCAACATGAAGGTACATTGGCTCGTCACTCTCTCTGCCAGTGCTTTGTTCCATAAAGCCAGAGCCACGGCCCTTGATCTGAACCTTGCACCGCGTCTTCTGCTGTATGTGCTTCACGTAGGCACCTCCCTGTCCGACGACTTGGGCACGGAGGTTGAAACCCGGGATAGGTTCTAAACCGATAGGGATCTTTTCCTCGGGCCATTTGCGCTGCAGCGTGTCTGTCAGCCCTCAACCTTGAAAATGCACAGCATGGAATGGGGATGCATACGCGACCAAATTCGTCGCGCTCGACTTGTTCTGGCTCCCGGCGGCGAAATCGTCGTTCATCCACTAGGTTGGGTAGTTCCCTCTTCATGAGATCGTCGATCAGTTCGACAGCCTTCTCGAGGCCTTCTTTGCTCGTGCTTGTCACGTGGAGGTACAGCGGCGGGTTCTGGACGGAGAGAAACACACATTAGATAACGAGGCTCCTTCCAGATAGGTTGAAAGCACTTACGGCTGCGGTGGCCATGCTCTTGTCGGGATAATAACTTCCTCGAGTGGTAACATCTTGAGAGAATCAATTGATGAGCTTCCTTCTTGAGTAAAACAGTTGATAAAAAGGTAACATGGAATGAAGGCGTACCGGCGCCAGTTTGATCCGTTATCTAAATATCACGCAAGGGAGGTCAGCAGATGCAAACGACGGTTAAATGCTACGCGTGAGCTGGGTAAGCTTTCTTCACAACCACAGTAGATCGGGGTTAGATAGGGAGAAAATGCGCCTGGAATATCAGTGGACATAGCAGGAGTAATTACCATCTGTTGCGTTGACCCCTTTGTCAGTGTGTAGCGGTTGCGCAGGTCATTGATTTCGATGTCTTTGATATAGTCACCATCCGCAACATAAATTTCGGCATTCAGTTTGGCATCGCCGGCGGATGGGGTGGCGGATTGGGACGGGCTCGACGTCTAATCATTTAATCAAGTTTTAGCGACTCTTGAACGGCCGAATAGTTCCTAGGAGGAGGCACACTGACGGAGCGAATGGGCGGTACATCGACGTGTTGAATTCCTTTTTTAGCCTGCAACTGGGCGTTGATTTTGGCGGCGGCAGCAGCTGTTATCCATGGGTTAATTGAGCAACACTGTACAGGACTTAGTCCGCAGAAAAGGTCACAACACACCAGCTGCCGCGACAGGATCAGCCTTGTTGGAAGCCCCGGGGCTTCGAGGCTCGCGACTGAGGGGGCTCCGGGTTCGAGTAGCCTCGGACTGTCGCGAAGAAGGAGATCGAGAACGCCGGTCGAACCGCGACTGGCGTCGAGGCTCTGGAGTAGTTTGGTCGAACCGCGAGCGTTTGGTACGGCGATCGTCGTCGGCCATGGTAGATGTTGTGTAATCCAGATCAAGGCGAAAACAAGGGAGAGTGAGTGTGGGATGTCCTGGAGACAACCTCGAAGGCGGCCGAGACAAATAGTAGGCTGAAAGGACTGATAGTTTTGGCGGTGGAGTTGCTTGTCGCTAGTGCAAAAAGGCTAGAACCGGGGGGTGCTTTGTGCCTATCGGAGCCAATAAGAGTGGAGCAAATATTAGCACTAAGTTATGAGTTTCCAAGGTAAGGGTACCTAGGACTCCCAGGCAGGGCAGGTCATTCAACGCTTACTCCAAGTCACATGTCTACATCAATTGATGGTAATTTTGCTGCTCGTGGTTGCCAACCTCCCACTGGCAGGACGAAGTCGAGAGATGTCAAAGGCTTGGGAGCTTCAGATCATGTGCATCGATAAGATGCTAATCCTAAGTGGGTTTAGCGGTAATCTCCGGGACAGTATCGATACTCCGGAGAATGAGTCAGCTCCCCGAGGTCGGACCCGTGACCGGACCCAACAATAAAATGAAATGCGCAAGCCATCCATGACTGCGATTTTTCGACTCCAACCGCCTCACCTGCCAGTCTTTTCCAATCCGGGGGGAAGACCATGGCTTTCCGACGTCCTCTGACGCTGTCCTCGACAGCATCAATGCCTTTCCTCTCGGTGGCTGGCCGCAGCTCTCGGCTTGCATCTGCCCTTCCCCGATCAACCTTTACTACGAGTTCCAGGGCCTCCTCCAGCTCAACCTCAGCATTGGCCTACAAGGCTCTCCACCGCCGCTCCCCTCTTACCCTCCCAGTCTCGGACATCTCACCGCAATGGGACGCCCCGACAGCCGTCTCGTCAATCCTCTACGAGACCCCCGTTCGCCCGACAAACCCGCCGAAGCGTCATATCCTGAACTGTCTGGTACAGAACGAGCCCGGTGTGCTCTCTCGTGTCTCTGGGATTCTTGCGGCCCGCGGCTTCAACATTGACAGTCTTGTTGTCTGTAATACCGAGGTGGAGGATCTGTCTCGCATGACCATCGTGCTGCAGGGTCAGGACGGAGTCGTTGAGCAGGCCCGCCGCCAGCTGGATGATCTCGTCCCTGTTTGGGCTGTGCTCGATTACACGGACTCTGCGCTGGTACAGCGTGAACTCCTCTTGGCCAAGGTCAGCATTTTGGGCCCTGAGTTCTTCGAGGAATTGCTCCAGCACCATCGTGAGATCACAACACCCGTCGATGCCGTAGAAGGCATGAGGGAGAAGAACGGCGAGGAACGGTCTCTGTCCAAGACTGCTGAGGAATTCCACCCCCGCAACTTGCCCAGCAGTCAAGCTCTCCGACACAAACACGAGCATCTGGATGCCATTACACGATTGACTCACCAATTCGGTGGCAAGGTGTTGGATATCAGCACGAACAACTGCATTGTCGAAATGTTTGTCTTCCTGTGATTCGATAAACCTGCTCATGTGCCGAGATATTAACTTTCCTTATAGTTCCGCTAAGCCCAACCGTATCGATTCCTTCATGAAGCTCATTGCCCCCTTCGGTATCCTCGAGTCCACCCGTACCGGCCTGATGGCCCTTCCTCGTTCTCCTCTCTTCGAGCCGAACGACGAGATTGAGAAGGATGCCGCCGACGTGGTCGATGCTAGCACCCTTCCTCCCGGCTAATTGATGTTCTATATGAAAGGCTTGTAATTCAATAAACGAAAGTTGTTCCTATTTGAGGTTTCGTAATACTCTGCATCTCTTATCGCAAGCTCACCATCAAGATTTGTTGATTCTTAATGTTTGTATAGTTTTGCATGCTTTAGACTTCAGGGATCGCATCCAGTGCGAATTTATACTATGCAGATTGGAGAAACGATTCACAGTAGAATAGGCTGGCTGCATATGATAAGCCCTAACCATTGCTGGGCTGGAATGCACCCGTGAAATCACTTGATTCCAAGCTATGCTATCAATCTCAATGAATCATAGAATCCTGTCTTCTAGCGCCATTAAACACCCAAAACCCCAGATAATGATGCAGGAACCCTCAGTTCCCGTGTGCAAATACCCAATCACAGTTTAACCTTCGCCTTGATTCCCTTTCCATGATAATGAATAATATCCTCATAATCTTTGACCCGAAGGCCAATCTTCGCCACAGTATCCAAGTCTAGTGAACCACCAACAGCTCTCCTGAGGTCACCGTAGCCGATTCCACCTAGATTCAAGTCGACAGGTAGCCGAGGAGAATGAGAAATCCCTGGCGACACTGAAAAAGGTTCATAATAGTTGATTGTGCCGACTTTTTCGTCATGGTTTCGGAATGCTTGTGCTTCCACCGATGTGACCTCTATAGTTGTATTGGTCAGGGGCGAAAACAAGGTAAACTCGGCAGTTGATGAAAGTAGATGTAGCTGTGACAGTCGGGAGTTAGCTGTCTTCCTTAGAACAAAATGCCGTCTTTAAAGGAAAGTCTATACGGCGAAAACACACAATCGCGCTCAATATATATTTGTGTAATATCAAATGATATGTTCAGAGACGGTATCTACGAAGGCAGATAATACCGTGGCTTCTTGTATGAACCCTCCGGGGCCATTGTGACCAGGCTGATCTGGATCACCGTCGGGATCACGACGGACAGGTAGTCTAGGAATCCGAACTTCGAACCCTAGTCTGGATAAGGACTGCCCCAGATTGGGTAGCGCTGGAATGGTTCCTTTGTGCGTTGTGACTGTGACTGAAGTGTTGTGACCTGATGTACGTGTCAATAACATGACCTTGCTCTGCTCAGTAACTTTACTCACCTGACACATATTGCGAGATCAAATCTCGACCAGCGAGTACACCTGAAGGCCCGCCTAGGTCATGTGGACTCCATCGAAGATCAATAGGAATATCAGAGTTTGCCCCGGGAACAATTCTAACATCATTCGTGGTCATATGCGCAACCTTTGTCGAGTTGTAGACAAGCAAGAAATCGATAAAAGGTAGTGAGATTGAGTATTGGGTCGGATTTGTGAAGTTGACCGCTGTTTTCACGATAAGCGAGGACTCTGTCGTGTCTCCTAGCGCAAGTGATTCCAAATGTGGACTTAAACCATCAGGGAGCGAGCCGCCATAAGGTGCTATCAGATATTAGTAACGGATATCGTTCCTGCCCGGTATAACTCACGTTTGACGGTCAATTTGCTGTCGGCTGGAATCCCGCGGACGGCGAATTCCCCAAGGCTTGTGGAGATCTCTGCATCGACGCTCGCAGAGACTGTAAGTTGAACAGGCTTCCCTTGAAAGATTAAGCTCGAAAGTACGTCTGTCAACACGTCGTCATCGGTCACCTCGAGCGGTGCTTTGCGCATTGGGAATTCAACGAGTAACGCGATGGTATTGTCGACGTCGTGAACAAGTGTCGAGTTAGCAGACTGCCATTCTTTCAGATTTAACACGCCTAGTTTACTTTGATGATAGTAAACATCGGCAGTTGCTCGGACTCGCGGTACGTCCAAGTCAAACCCAACCTGTTCCGGCAATCCTATCAATACTTTCACCAAAGCAGAGACGGTTGGTCGAGATTCTGGAGAATCAGGCTCTGCCAGGGGGTCCGGAAGCGAGAAATGAACATCAGCCATGGTAAAGTTTCTCACAATATGATCCAAAGCTCGTCCGGTAAAGGGTAGGGGTACAGTCACACTCTTGAGGATATCGGTTACCCATTTGGGTGTGCCCAATGATGGGAAATCAGCTCCACGAACGTAAATCGTTGTTTGAAGACCGTGGATATAGTTTGTAAGAAGGGAATCAAGGGGCGAGCTCTTTTCACCCGGACAATTTGATGTAAGTTCATCAGAGAGACCCCGGATAATGCCAGCAACGTCGAGCACGGTTCTGGAGCCAGGCGTTACTGTGACCTCTTTGGTGATGACATCCGCCACCGAGATATAAGGGTCGTTCGGCGCGCAGTTGGCCACAAGGACTTTGAAGCCAAGAGGAGGAATGCGCAGAGAAAAGGGCAAGTCAGTCAAGACCGAGACAGAAACGTCCACGGCCATTGCTTCATCGTCGTCGGGAGAGTCGACGTCGTGTACGCTAAACTGTGTGATATCAATATCCGGCAAAGATGGAAGGTCATCGCCTAATACTGCATTAGTATACTGTAATGTATCATACTTGTGAATCTCACCTTTGAACGTCATAGAGTCGGTCAGAGTCTGCTCACCCAGACTCAGCAGGCCTGATTTGAGATGCAGAGTGGCTGTTCCTTGAAGGTTCAAGCGTTTCAACTTTCCGTCTAACCAGTCAATGGCGACGGACCGCAGGGCCTTGGTCTCACCGGCCATTAGATTGGCTCTAAAATCTAGGTGATTCACATGGCCGTTCCGGATAATTATTTTCATCGAGGGTAGCGACGCAGTTCCGACCAAAGTATTGTGGTATTCTGGTAGGTACACCTCGACTTTCGACTCTCCAACCTCGACTTCGCGCCCAATCCAAGTGACGAAACGCCCAATATTTCGTACCGGTCCCCTTTCGACGCGACCAGCATCGAGGAATACACCCCCCTGGACCCTTGCTCTTACTCCTTCGCTCGTAGCAGATTCGATTGATAGGTTTGTGGGCTTTAGCACGGCGGCTTCCTTCACATATTGCTTGACAACGGAGGGGAGGAGGAAAGCTAGGATAAGGATGGCGATAATGGCGCTGACAGCAAGTAGGCCACAGATAAAAGCCCATCCAATCCTCCTTCGCGGATTTTTGGGATCGTCTTTGGAGGAAAGCGTGCCGGACACTGGAGAAGAGGCCCGTCGTGGTTCAATACCGCCATATGTCGACAGGACATCATTGCGGCGGTGGAGGAGCGGGGTAGACTCAGAAGACACTTCAAAAGATTGGCGTTGCTCATATGTAGATGGAGACTGATGAGGTGAATGGTCGGCGTGCTCGCCCAGCAGGGGCTGGCTTGTCTCGTCCGTCATGGCGGACAATTCAAAGAGTGGAGTGGGAGATTGATGTGGGGAGAGCACCGGGCCTGATCAGACGGCGGACAAGGCCCGAAGGATTCAAATGAGAGATCTCATGTAAATAGGAGATAGAGAAATTATAATAGAAGACGTTGAGTTGACATCCGAGACTCTAGATAAAGGTGATGAAAGTGGGGGGTTAGGATGATGACGAAGAGTAAGGACTACCGACTGTACGGATTATCATCGTTCGTAATGGAGGTGATCAGCGGGCGCAAGTTAAGCTAGTAAGCGTCCCACGCTTGAGGGCCCACCCCAGAAGCTCTGGGCGAGTCCGAGTCACCATAAATGGAATTAGGGCGGAAATTGAGTCACTCCTCAACCATTTATTATTTTGTCCTCAAGAGCTATTTCTCTGCCTTGTAACTCTACACGCTCATCATGCCTCACACCCTCCCAATGGCTTCCCTCCGCTCTGCCCTGAAGCGTCAGCCCATGCGACAGTCCGTGCGACTTTACTCTTCGCAGACCACGCCCCAGACCTCTCCATTTGCTCCCCGCCATTTGCTCTCTATCGCGGATCTCTCTCCCACCGAATTCGCAACTCTCGTTCGCAATGCCTCTTCCCACAAGCGAGCGATCAAGTCCGGATCAATTCCTCAGAACCTGCTTGGTTCATTGTCAGGGAAGACGGTTGCCATGATGTTCAGCAAACGAAGCACACGGACAAGGGTCTCAACAGAAGGCGCTGTGGTGCAGCTGGGCGGTCACCCGATGTTCCTAGGCAAGGATGACATTCAATTAGGAGTCAACGAGTCCTTATATGACACCTCAGTTGTCATCTCGTCCATGGTGTCTTGCATGGTTGCACGAGTTGGTCCACATGAGGAGATTGCTAGTCTTGCGAAGCATTCTTCTGTTCCAGTCATCAATGCTCTGTGCAACTCCTTTCATCCCCTACAAGCCATTGCGGACTTTCAGACTATCTACGAAACATTCACACCCAAAGCCCATCACCTCTCAAGTCTAGGTCTGGAGGGCCTGAAGATCGCTTGGGTGGGCGACTCCAACAACGTTCTGTTCGATATGGCTATTGCTGCCACTAAGATGGGAATTGACGTTGCTGTTGCGACCCCTAAGGGCTATGAGATTCCAGCGGATATGGTCGCGCTTATCAAGTCTGCTGGAGAGGGCGTTTCGCGGCCCGGAAAACTCCTGCAAACCAATGTTCCTGAAGAGGCGGTCAAGGATGCAGACATTCTAGTAACGGACACCTGGGTGTCCATGGGATTCGAGGAAGAGACAGCCAAGAGGCTTCGAGAATTCGAAGGCTTCCAGATCACAACTGACCTTGCCAAGCGTGGAGGCGCCAAGGAAGGCTGGAAGTTCATGCACTGCCTTCCGCGACACCCAGAGGAGGTCAGTGATGAGGTTTTCTACGGTCATCGATCGCTCGTCTTCCCCGAGGCTGAGAACCGGTTATGGGCTGCAATTTCTGCTTTGGAGGGGTTTGTTGTCAATAAGGGAAAGATCGAGTGAATTTTGAGGACTGATTAGTCTATAATTGATTAAAAATGAGTAGCGTTTCCAAGAGGCCCTGTTGTTGGTGGCTTAAGACCCTTCAAGCCGATGTATATATAGATGGAACATAACCAAAGTTTTAGGGCAGCGAGATGGATGCCTTAACAGTCTACTCCGTCATTCCTCCTTGGAATTTGAACCGAGGCTACTGCACAGAGTGTCATCTTCTATTCCGTTGTCTATCGCCTACAGAAACAAAGCAGATCTTTGAGCAAACAAGGCGATTTTCACATGCCAAAAACATGCAGCGGAGTCGTCATAAGGTTTTACCGGGAGTCCAGATTCCAGCAGGCCTACTACACCCGGCCATCGACCTCGATTGTATTTCATCCTCATTCTCCTTTTCCTAGCGGCAGGAAATTGCGCGCTGGATAATCACAAATATCAAATCAATATCATCTCGCAATGGATGTATGTAACTTTACCTTTCCTCATCATTCGCCGACCAGCTACTAACGCGCTCCTCGATAGTCCACCCAACCCCAACCCCAGACAGGCTTCCGCTCCCGCCGCTCTTATCCATCTTTAAATCAGATATCTGTCGCACCTTTGACACCACGCTACCCTATTGACGATGATGATGGGGATTCAAATGAAAGCCAACAGGATTATTTCACGCCCCGCAATGAATCTGTCGAAACCCCAACCAGAACCTCCTATTTATCTAGCTACTCGGTACCAGGAACACCCGGGGTTCTATCCCGCACTCCTTCGCGGAGCGGCTCGCGCGTCCGCCACCACACCAGGAGCAAGAGCTCAACGCCTATTCATCTAAGCGACTCCAGCCTCCACGATCAGAACGTGAATCCACCGCTGCATCATCACCGTCACCATTCAAGAAGTAGCGGAAGCAGAAAGACTAAGCGTCCTACGGCGGTGCGCCACCAGACTGCCGACGCGCGGGATCCAGAATGGATGCTTCGCGCTGGAATAGCGCTGGCTTCGTCTGCTCGTGAAGAAAAGGGCCAAAGCTGGCTTGTGAAACGGGAGAGTTCGACCAGCTTGGTTTCCGAGGGCCAAAAGTATGAAGTGGATGCTATTTCACAGTCTCTGCGAACGAGCATGGGTAGACGCTCACGATCTGGCCGGTCGACCCCCGCTGCATTTTCGCGGTCCCGTACAGAGAGTCGACGCAACAGTAGACCGGACCTTTCCATGACCGGTCTTGAAATGACCATGCCTTCCTCATCGACGCGTAGTAGTATACACGCGGGTTCGAGGCCACGCACTCCGCACACCAACGATGAGCCGAGGTCTTCTCTCTCCTTACTTCCGGATTTCATAGATGAGCGAGTCCGCGCGGAGATGCGAGACACCATGGAGCAGGGTGACGGCGGGTATGACTCCGCCGCCTCAAATGATTGGGACTCATCATCATCAGAAGACGAAGAAATGGACGAACGCGAGCTGCGGCGCCTCACCCGCGAGCGCGGCTTTGGCCTCGGAAGCTTCGTAGACCGGTTAGTCGAGTGGACGTTATTTGGTGTGGACGACTGGCCGCTTTCCTCCGCAGATCCGCTGAACAACGGGCCACCCGGGCCAGAGGAAGCTCATCCAGAAGAGCCCCACCAAATAGCTACTCGTTCGATTGCAGAATCATCCGACAATGATCATGACGAGACTAGGAGTCAAGCGTCAGACACCACCCACGAGGAACTTCCTGCTGAAATGGCTGGGGAGCACGGCGGTTGGGAGGATGCAGGGTGGTTTTTCCGGGCGATGAGGCGAGCGTTGATATCTGCGTAGGGTTGTTTGCCTGCTTCCATCAAACCCTCGGCCGAATTGTTATAGTGTGATCTTCGCTCGTCCCTATCAAGGCGTTTGCGGTCTTACCGTTCTGAATACAGCATCGGAGCAGCGTGTAATGAATATCTACTAGCTTGGTCTTGCCTGTATATTTCTTACAACCGAACTGAATGCTCCCGATTAACACTGGGTTCTTCTTGGTCCCGGTTCAATGATAGGCAGTGGGATATATACGAAACTGGAGGGAAGAATTCTACTCAATCTAAGGCCGACGGTGGTAGGACTACGAGACCTACAGGATTGTAAGTATACAAAGTAGCCTCATGGACTTTGGCAAACGTCAGAGCTTGAGCAGCTCTTCGACCACATGATTGGGTCATTCAATTGAACTATGGCCGCATGACGTGTATAAGAGAGTCTGCTGAGGCAGATGAAATGGGGGTGAAGTAGGTGGCATAGTGTAGACCGTGTGAATCGAGAAAAAGATGAGGCTGGGTATACAAAAAGGACCTGACATAACTTCGATGACGACAAGGGGAGAAAAAGCCCAATGAGATAGAGGATGAATAAGAAAACATTGCCGACGATACCACCCCAAGTAATGTGTGCAGCGTAATGACGGTACTCCTGTGAAACGATCTAGATGATAGTAGAATGGATGGAGGTGATGCAGAATAGTGACATATGGGGAAACAGAGGAAGCATGGGTTAAAAAGGGATGGAAAATGCCTGATTGCACAGAGTAACGCCAGATGAACCTTGTAAGTCTAGTTCATGCAGTAGGTATCGTGATCGTATCGAAGGTGGGGCGAGGATTCGAAGGGCAACAAAGACTTCGATGGCCGGGATAGCCACTGTTAAGTTGGCGGAAGGTTGTGATCGGGCACAGAAAGGTTGTTTACCAAGGTCCTACTTTGACCGGAGTTCCAAGCCCGTATGTACCGGAAAGAAGTTGCTCACGAATTGACCCAAGATCGTTGCCTCCGGGGCTTCCAAAACCTTGAGGATCCGGCCCGTGCATCCATCCCAAGCTGGATGCGAGGTCGTTGACGGCTGCCTGAAGTCTTCCCCCGGAGTTCTGATTGTGTTTCGCCAGTTTTTGGTCCCAGCCTCCGTACTGTAACTGAATTCCACCACCACGTTTTGCGGCCTCTCGAATCACCAGAATCCAGGCCTTGCAGATTTCATCATACGCAGAGTCCCGCTCTACGTTGTTCTGAGGTGAGCTCCATCGCGGCAACGAGTGTATGATGTCTGTGGCACCATCCAGATAGCTCAAAGATACCGAAGCTTGGGACTCATTGGGCGGTAAGAAATGTGGTGTAAAATCGCTCAAGGCTTCAAGAAGGCTCCCTAGAGGCTGCCGAACTCGATTGTAGGCGTAGTCGGATTCAGTATTGCCTCCTAACGGAAACGAGGATTGAAGGGTGGTTTGATAATTTCGAAGGACTTGAAGGGCAGATGCAACGCTGGGGCGAGGGGCACTTTGAACCACCTCATCAGCTAAACTGGGATGTCGGTCGCAGATAGACCGAAGAACGCCGCGGAGAGCATCTGTGTCGAGAGTTTCAAGTAGACGGGGAAGAGAGAGTGGCCTGCCACCAACGTTGGGTCGAGCACGTTTCAGTTGTCGATTCGCTGGTAGGGATCTTGGGGTGACGGCTGGGGAGTTCGTAGGAGATGCGGACATTCGACTATCATAATCATTGTTGTCGTCTTCTGCTTTCCGTTTGCGGCTGCTGGAAGTGTGGTGGCTCGGAGTAGACACTGGAATGTTGGGTTAGAATTAGAGTTTATACGACCTCGGGAAAGCCGGACTAGACGTACTCGAGCGAGAGGGAGAGTGGCGAGAATATTCGTAGAAGTGAGGAGGCACAGGTGGTGTAGCCACCAGACTGTTCATGATGGCCACAAACAGTTGGCTGGCAAAGGAAGGGTGAAAGGTCGGACCTTGGTAGCTGGGTGATAGGGGAGCGGAGGCAGTAATAAGGGAGTCGGAGACAACCAGCTACTAGCACGAGGAAGACAGAAGAAAGGCGTGAACTAGAAAGGAGATGATGCAAGGGAGAGACAGAAAAAGATGCAGTGAAGAGGAGAAAGAGAGAGAGGAGGCAGGGGCAGGGAGAATGAGTCGTCGTGGTGGTGGGGAAAGAAGAGCGAAGAAAGACAACTTAAGCGGTGGAGAGACGCAGCCAGACAACCAGGGCGGGTTGCAGCTGGCAACGCAGACCCAGAATGCAGTCCAAGAAAAAAAGTGCCTTCACATCATATCCAAATCAGTTGGGCAACTCTTTGTATCATTTTTATTTCTGCCCTCCTCGTCTAAAATAAGACCTTACTTCTTAGATTGTCACTTCGTCCATTAAATGATATTCCGAGCTTATCCGGCTTGGTACAGTGTTTTGCCACTTTTTCCTCCCCAGTAAATTCTCAGGATATCACGATACCACATAACATACAGATCCGGGGGGAAAACCCGACAAGGCAATTAAATAATAGAAAAAATGGCTGAAAACCTTTTTAGCCCGACGCCAGGGAAATGCAGCTCCCAAGACAACCAAGATTACACCTCGTAGCTCACTTCCAATGACATACACAAGCCTCAGAAACCTGCCTCGTCGTTTACAGATACAGAGACTGGGCGGCAACAATATCTCTGCGGACCTTTGTCAAGGCAGTCTCGAATTTACTCTCAAGCTCCTCGCTGCCCATGACCTTGGATGCCTGGGCCATTTGCCGCAGGCACTCTTCTAACCGACGGAAGACACGGATCAAGCTGCCTTCATAAACATCCGTCATCCCGCTAGATGAAGTTAGAGAAATTCAGGGATACGAAAGCTGGAAAAGTCAGCAACTTACCAGATATCAGCAAATGACTTTCCATTAGCCCATTCGTAAATGACCTCCATAAGCTCCCAATGGAAACTCTGAACATAGTCTTCTTCACTGACGGCTAGCTTCGACTCCTGGGCAACTTTGGCGACAATCCGCGCTTGCGCTTGGATCTCCTTGAGGGGCTTTGCAAGCTCATCCTTTGACAGCGGCGGTGTCTCCTTTGACTTTTCTTCAAACACAAAGACGCTCAGAACGGCCGCTGCTTGCTCCGGGGTCAGTTTATTAAAGAAGCCGTTGAAGAGAAGCTCGCTGAGCATCAGCTCGTCACCAGTGCTGATTTCACATGCGACACGAGCTTTCAGCTGGACAACTTCGGCCTCATTGATGAATCCAAACCGGCGGAGAACTCGTTTGCGGCATTTGAGCTCGTCTAATTGCTGGATTGCCATGCCCTCGGATATTTTCTTCTTGGTTGCTTTGATTTTGTTTCCAAGCTCCACCTTTTCTGAATACTGTTGGTACAGTTCCTCCAATCTCGGAGAGTTATGCAACGGATTAGCGAGTAGACGAGATTCGAGAACCTCAATTTTCTATGGTTTGTTAGCGTCTTGTCTGCTGCCTCTGCTACAGACACCACTTACCCTTAATAACTTCTTGAACTCGTCATCCTTGATGCCCATATCCTCGATCGGATCGAGTACCGCGATTCCGTCTGGGAACCGCTTTTTGACCTCATCCACCTTCTTTCGGACAACTTCGCGTGAACCAGCCGATTGCACATCTTTGGGAAGGTGCAAGCGGACATGTGAGATCGATTGAATACAGTTGAGAAGCAACGGAACAACCGCCATTTGGAATCCCTCGCCCTCCTTTGGCGGACGAACACCAGGTGGCAGATCACCAAACGTCTTGGTGCCAACAGATGGCCCATCAGCGACTTTCAAGAGAACATCGACAACCCAACTCTGATGGTCGCTGATCTCTTCTGAATTCTTTGCGGGCTTTCGCTTCTTGCAGTTCACCACCACGCCCCAGCCGAAGTCAAAATCTTTATATTTGATGTTCAACAGGCGGCCAGGCGTGAGATAGGGTACGGAATACTTTGGATGACTAATGACGGTTCGTACATCGTCACTGAACTGATCAAGCTGTGTTTTGAGGTCGTAATATTCACGAATCGTTCCCTCATCGGAGATGGTCATGTTTGCCCTCTTTTCCTCTAGTTCGCCAAGTTCTGCATCACAGTTAGCGGGGAAAAAATATGCCACGCTGATAGATAGACACTAATACTTGCCCTTTTCGAGGCCTGCTAGGCCGGCGGTGTTCTGAAACTGGTAGAAGCACCTCTCAAGCATGAACTCGGGAGAGATACCTTCTACACGCATGAGGTTCAGAATCATGTTGTAACCCAGATGGAAGGCAGAATTCAGGCGGTCCTGCTCTCCACGGACGATTTCCTTCGCGACAGCAGGATCCATCTCCTCGCCAATCATCATTATAACAATACCTCGGTCGTCAAGACCTCTTCGACCAGCGCGGCCTGACATTTGAACAAATTCCGAAGGAGTGACCCAGCGCTGACTGAAGCCATCGAACTTCCGCACACTTGTGAAGACGACAGTTTTAGCAGGCATATTGAGCCCAATGGAGAAGGTCTCGGTGGCGAATAGGACCTTGATAAGACCCTCTTGAAACAAGATTTCGATAGTTTCCTTGAGGATCGGAAGGAGTCCAGAATGATGAACACCAATTCCCCTCCGAAGAAGCGGCAAGATGTTCTGAATCTGGGGCAGGTTTCTGTCCTCTTCCGACAACATGTCAATCGCACTGTTGAAAACCTTGGAAACCATCTCTTTCTCGGAATCATCGTTGAAGGCCAAATTCTTCATCCTCAGAGCATAGAACTCGCACTCGCGCTTGCTGAAACTGAAGACGATAACGGGGTTAAGACTTTTAAGCATTATCATCTTCACAATCTTGTATATATCGTTGTTTTCCTGGTTGCCGCCTTTGTTCAGCTTCTTATCCTTACCCTTCCCTTTTCGTTTAGCCATTGCATCTGAGGGGTCGTCACCCTTCTTGTCCGCAATCGAGCTCATAGCCTTCTGGAAATTCTCCTCGCGGAAAACACCCTTTTCATCCACGATTAGGTGCATGCCTTCTGAGCCGGCGGGGAAGAAGTAATGTTGTAGCGGGGTGGGTCTAAAGTCGGTATAGACAACATGGCATGGCTGATTGTGCATTTTCGTGATCCATTCGGCGAATTGCATTGCATTAGGTATCGTAGCGGACAAGAACACGTAGCGAACCTTGTCAGGAAGTAAGATAATCGTCTCTTCCCAAACAACACCTCGCGCTATATCAGTAGTTAGTGATATGCAAATGTTTATTGTGTGCAGTACACTTACTAGCATCTCGCATATAATGAATCTCGTCGAAGATAACCCAACCAACTTCTCGCATAATCTCTGAGCCACGATATAACATAGATCTCAGAATCTCCGTCGTCATCACCAAGCAAGTAGCGGTTGGATTTATCGTCACATCTCCCGTCATCAATCCGACATCTCCAAAGTCTGCAGCAAACTCCCGGTACTTTTGGTTACTCAGCGCTTTGATCGGACTTGTGTAGATGACTCTCTGGTTGTTCTTCAGACTCTGGGCGATGGCGTACTCTGCAACCACCGTTTTCCCTGCACTGGTATGGGCCGAAACGAGCACACTTTCCTCCCTCTGAATAGATGCGACGGCAACCTGTTGAAAAGGATCGAGCGTAAAGGGCCATACTCTCGCGGGATTTTCTGGGGCCTTGTGCTGAGAGATAGGTACGTATGGATATTTTGGAGGAATGGCGACTTGATGTCGGACTTGGTGGGACAACACAACTGGACCTGCCTCCTTCTCAGACTGAAGTCCTGCAGAGCCTGCGATTTCGCGCTCCTGCGCCGTTTCGAACAGATCCGCGACTACAGGTTCCGGTTCCTGCTCCAGTCGCAATCGCTTCGCTTCCGGTTGGTTGAGACTGTCCACATCTACAGCATTTTCGTCCTCTCCGTCGGCAACAGTCTGATCGGCGACATCGGCAGCCGCAGCATCCTCCTTGGGTTCGGGCGTTGCGCCGTTTTCCTTCACATCGCCATTGACCTGTCGCTTCTTGCTTTTATCCTTCTTCGGCCGTCTGGGTGCGGGCTCGGAGGCGGTTGGCGCCTGAGGCTTGTCCTCAAACACATCAAAAAGCTCATCCATTGTCGAGCTCCGGACAGAATTTAGGCCACCAGGCGGGGGTGAACCAACGTCGATGGTTGAAATTAGCTATTCTTTTGTCCACCGACTGAAGCGACCAAGAAATTTCAATGTCCCGTTTAGGGAAGGCGCCGTTGAGCGAGAATAGCCGGGTGACCGCCGGAGAAACTTGCTTGAACCTGTCCCATTATATCACGTGACCAGTATCGGGAGCCGCTGGTTCCATCTTGCCCTGCACTTCCCGTATGGCACGATCAGCTCCTCTGCCTCGATCATCTCATCGCGCTCCTGCTCATTCAAGGTTGAACGACCCTCTGCTCAATATACGACCCAATTGTACTGACACTATCCAAGATGAACGCTGCTGCCGCTTTCCGGGCCCGCATGGCCACCTCCTTCGTTGCCCGCCGTGGGTTTTCCTCCACCCGCACCCAGCTCTCGAGCCCGTACCACTACGATGAGGGTCCTCGCTCCAACATCCCCTTCAACCCTCTCACCAAGTACTTCTTCTACAGATACTGGGCTTTCATGAGTCAGTGGCGTCCAACTGAGTGAACACCGTGGGTTGAAGTATTTGTTTCGCTAACTCCGTACCTCCTCCAGTCACCGGTTTCGGTGCTCCCTTCGCCATTGCTGGTATGCCTCCATTCAACCTTGATTCCGCCTTGCCCAGTCAGCTAATCGCTTCTCTCACTCTAGTCTGGCAAACCTACAAGACCCGCTAAACCCTACTTCCGCTACGTGCTTGGGTGCTGTATCGCAGTCGGGGAGTGTAACCTACGATGGGGGAATTCATATATCATGTATAAATCTAGAGAATCCATTCGACTTCGAACTGGAGAATCGTTTTGCGACAGCTTCTGGAGCTTTCAATGGCTGTTGTTGTGGCTCTAGGAAGCGCTGTAGAGTCTGGTCGGTAGTAGCAGTCATCAGAATATGAAGTCATCCATTGGCTGGATTTTTATTTGTGAAAATCAAAAAATCTTTGGGTCGCGATGGTAGATGCATCTGCAGTTCCACCAGAACACAGCTTGAGCAAAGGCCTTAAATAACTCAAGCCTTTGCTCTATGGAACCCATAATTATCTAATATCCCACCTTTTCTCTTTTTTTTTTTTTTCTCTTTTCCCCTCCTTCTCGTGCAAACACCCCTCGTTTTTGGCAGTGGGGTAAACCACCAACTCATCAAAAGATGCGCAACCTGAAAAATGTGCGCCTCGCAGAGGTGCAGCTTCAGAGTGAGCTCCCTTTAACAGCGACAGCTTGGGATACATCTTCAGATGCTGTTATCTGCACATTTGGCCCAACGCCCACAAACGCAGTCATCGAACTGCGGAGAAAGCGCCATGATACCCATTTTTCAGATCCCGTGAGCCCAGAAGTCTTCGAGACTATTGCATCCTGGGACGCCCCATGTCCGTTACCCGAGCTTGATTGTGACAGGGTTCTCTCTCTACATTACTTTGCAGATACTTTGACAGCCTGCTTGGTACTGGAGGGAGGCGATATCATCATCGTCCGCGAAGAACCGCTTCCGGGCGAGGACAAGATCGAGATTGTGGGCTCTGTTGATGTTGGCATTACAGCAGCCGCTTGGTCACCGGATGAGGAGCTTTTAGCTCTTACAACGGCAGCCAATACGTTTCTGTACATGACTAGGGAGTTTGAGAATGTTGCTGAGATATCATTAACCCTGGAGGACCTCAAGGCATCACAGCATGTCTCTGTCGGCTGGGGAAAGCGTGAGACCCAGTTCCAGGGGAAAAGAGCCAAAGCTCTCCGAGATCCCACTGTCCCGGAAAAGGTGGACGAGGGCAAGCTGAGCGGTACTGATGACGGGAGGGCCACTATCAGCTGGCGGGGAGACGGTGCTTATGTTGCAGTGAATAGCATTGAAGGTGGCAGCCGTCGTGCAATCAGAGTCTACTCCCGCGAGGGAACTTTGGATAGCGTGAGCGAGCCTGTCGACGGTCTGGAGGGTGCCCTTAGCTGGAGACCCTATGGCAATCTTATCGCGGGCATCCAGAGGCTTGAGGATAAGATCGATGTGGTTTTCTTTGAGAGAAATGGTTTACGGCATGGCCAGTTCACACTTCGCCTCACTGAAGAGGAGCGAAACACATGGGCTTCGAATATCAGCTTGAGCTGGAATGTTGACTCTACAGTACTTGCGGTGCAATTTAAGGATAGGGTCCAGTTCTGGACGACCGGCAATTATCACTACTATCTTAAACAGGAGTTACCTGTGGTCATAGACCCTGAAAATCGGTCTTTGTTGGCTTTCAAATGGCATCAGGAGAAGGCTTTGCGCTTTGTTACAGGCTCAACTGGTATGAGGATCATCTCGCTGCTCCGTTGACAAGAACTAACGAAGTTACAGTGTCAATCCTGGATGGCGAATTTGTTTTCGAGGTGCTACATGGTTCAACCACTTCCCCTAACGACGTCGGAGCTGTTGCCGTTATTGACGGAAGTAAGTACAATGATTAACGTCTTGGTCTCTCACAGCTGCTGACTATCACAAGAAAACCTCAAGCTGACACCACTGAGACTCTCTGGGGTCCCGCCACCTATGGCTCACAACGAGCTGGCGCTTGACTCAAATGCTATTGACATTGCGTTTAGCAAGACTGGAACAAGGATAGCTGTGCTTATGAATGACCGCTTCTCCATCTTTCTGTGGTCTCTTAAATCTCGACCCGTACCTGTACCGATCCTGGAATCAAGCTATCCCTTGTCGGATGAAAAGCATAGTCGTCCTCGTCAAATCGCGTTCCTTAATGATAATGAAGTCTTTGTTCTGCGGAACACGGGCCCAAACAACACATGTATCGAGCGGACCACGTTGGAAACAAGGGAAACCAAGGTTGCCTATGAAGCAGGTGACTCCGAGCAGCTGATTTCGATATTTACAAGCTTAGGCCACGAAGCATTATGGTTCTCGAACGTCCCTCGACCTGGACAAACAGTTGCTTATTCTAGCATAACCATACCCTCGCTAGATGAGTTCCGAGTCAATCCCTGGGCCCAGAGTCCTGCAGTTGACACATACTGGGCCAAGAGTGTCCAGATCTCGGATGACGACGTAAGGACCAAAACCGGCGCTATGGACAGTTCGCTAATATTTATCAGACGATCTTGATCTCCTTGGCTAGGACTGGAGGCCTATTCGCAAACAAGACGTTACTTGCGAAGAACTGCACATCCTTCCTCCTCACTCCATCTCATGTTATTTTCACCACCTCTCTACACCTCTTGAAATTCGTGCATATTTGCCGCGCCGAAGGTTAATGGAACTTGGAACGCACTTGTTTGTTTCTAACTAACCAGGTTTATAGACATGGAAGTCCCTCCTGACACTCCAGAGACGGACGAACGTTGTCGAAGCATCGAGCGAGGATCCCGCCTCGTAACCGTGATGCCTTCTACCTTTGCGGTCATTCTGCAAGCTCCCAGAGGAAATATCGAAACCATATACCCGCGAGCCCTCGTGCTCGCCGGGATCCGATCATTTATTGACCGGAAGGATTATCGATCTGCGTTCCTCACCTGCCGCAGTCAAATGGTCGACATGAACATCATCCATGACTACAACCCTGAACAGTTCATGGAGAGCATCTTGCTATTCGTTGAACAGGTGAAGAGAGTCGACTTCGTCGATGAGTTTCTCTCGCGCTTAAAGTATGGCACCAACCATTTCAGATAAAAACAGTGAAGAACTTCCACTAACGTTATATAGAGAGGAAGATGTCTCGCAAACACTTTATAAAGACACACTTAGAGCCCTCAAAGTCGATACCGCAGCGCAAGCCCTCACAAACCCAGCCAAGAAAGGCAACAAAGTGAATAAAATCTGCGATGGCTTTTTGGCTGCTCTAGAGAAACGGTCCGAGTCAAATCTGCACAACCTCATCACTGCGTACGTTTGCAAGCTTCCACCAGATCTCGAATCTGGTCTTCAACTTGTCGCCCGCTTGAGAGGTTCGTCTACTCTACCGCCCTTCTCTAGCCCTTACTTACTAGGTTTAGATGAGAGCCCTGAACAGGCTGAAGATGCTGTTGAGCACATGTGCTTCTTGACGGATGCGAACCGACTATATGATACAGCCTTGGGCCTATATGACCTGGAGCTCACTTTACTTGTGGCTCAGCAAGCACAGAGGGTAAGCACCTTGCATTGAAGTAGACGACATGAGACATGCTAATAGCGATAGGACCCCCGTGAATACCTCCCGTTCTTGCGAAAGCTGCAGCAACTGCCAGAGCTTCGACGTTATTATGAGATCGACAACTATCTTGGAAGATGGGCCAAGGCCCTAAAACATCTTCACGCATTGGGAGTCCACGACGAACTCCGCGAGTACACAGTCAAGCACGTCCTATACAAGGACGCTATTGATATCTACAAGTACCAGCCAGAATTGCTCCACCAAATAACCCACCTCTACGCGGACTACCTATACGGAGAGTCCAAGTATCAGGACGCCGGTATTGGTAATAATATATCCATATCTACACCCTCTAAGAATACACGATGCTAATCTTTGGCAGCCTACGAATCTCTGGCTCTCTACACAGACGCCTACAAGTGTTACCAACTCGCACATCTCTGGCGCGAATCTCTATATTGCGCAATGCTCACCCCCCTCTCCTCAGAGGACCTAACAAACCACGCGGCGTCTCTCGCCACAACTCTAATTGAAGAAAACAAAGACTACACCTCAGCGTCACAAATTTACTCCGAACACCTGCACGACATTCCCACCGCGGCACGCCTGCTCTGCCGCAGCTCCCGCTTCTCTGACGCCAGCCGCCTGCTAACCCTACACAATTCCACACCCCTGATTCCGGAGATTATCGACACCAGCCTCGGCGATGCAATGGGTAGCATGACCGATCTCCTCGCGGATTTCCGCTCACAACTCGCTGCCCAGGTTCCCCGCATTGGCGAACTGCGTATTCGCCGGATCCAGGATCCCTTGGCTTATTTTGGTGGTGATCCCGCCGCTGCGGATGGGATAGGAGGAATAGATATTCCCGATAACGTCTCGCTGGCGCCGACGGACGCATCCACACTTGCTGGTAAGAGTATGTTCACCCGCTACACGGGCAAGACAGCCTCCGGCAAAACCACTAGCTCGCGGCAGAGCTCCCGCAACCGGCGCAAAGAAGAACGCAAAAGGGCGCGTGGAAAGAAGGGGACTGTGTACGAAGAGGAGTACCTCGTCAACAGTGTGCGGCGTTTAATCGAGCGGGTAAATTCGACTGTCCCCGAGGTAGAGAATCTGGTTGATGCGCTGCTTCGGCGGGGAATGAGACAACGCGCTGCGGCGATTGAGAAGACGATGGGTGATGTTCTCAAGTTGTGTGCGGAGAGTCAGGTGGAGGTCTTTGCCGTCGCGGCCGAGCCAATGCAGCAGGAAGAAGGTGCGGAAAAGCAGGATGGAGGCGTCTCAATGAATCTGCCTGTTGATGCTCCGGTACCGCTTGGAGGGCAGAGGGTCTTCTGGGAGAGCGTTGTTTCTACGGGTAGGGCCCAGGCGGCGCCTAAGATTAAGGAGATGAAGAAGTCGGCGTTGTTGAATTAGGGACCGGTTTTCTGGAGGTAGAAGAAAAAGTCTGTTCGGATATAATTAGAATAGTACCATGTAAGTAGAGAAACTATATGATGTGGCTCGTATACTGTATTTTCAAGAATGTAATTATGGATGATACGTGCCCGAAAGTTCCAGCGCAGATCATGTATCGTGTCAAACGATGCATCGACTTGCAATTATAACTAGTATGTACCTTCAAATGATTTTCTTATGCGATTGAGTAGAATCATAAGTCGTTGTTTCTGCTAATCCTCTTCTCTTTACTGGCGAGAGAGAATCTCACCCTTCTCGCCGACGAGATGCTCCTCCACACTGATCGGGCCCTCGCCGACCCCGGTAAGGATCACGCGGCTCAGCCCAGTCTTGAGCACATCCACGGCCCGGGAGTCCACCTGGTCCAGGGCCACGCCTGAGGTGGTGATGTCCTTCAGAGGCTCGTAGAACGGACCGGACCATCCCTCGAGGGATGTACCCAGGATAGCTTTGAAAGTTCCTGCAACGAGCGCAGAGTCCTTCTCGAGGTAGTAGATGACAGCATTCGGGCCAGCATCAAAGGTGTAGGCGGCCACAGTACGGCCGACGAGGTTGTTGATATCATGAACGAGTCTGACGGCAGCCCTTGAGACATCGTTCATGTAGAAGATTGGGGGCCACGAGTCAAGACAAGTGGCGTGGAAGCCGTTCGAGTCGCGCATGGTGATTTCGGCGAATGTGGGGAAGTCGCGATCATGAATGGCCTTCTCAATAGCAGTCATCCGGGCAGGAACGACGGCGTTTGCCCGAGTAGCAAAGAGCTCAGAGGTCGCGACGGTCGTTTGCATACCGGTAGTGCTGGGGACGTCCTTCTTCTCAGCACTGACAACTAGAATGAGTGCACGCATTTCGGGCCAATGAGATTGCGAGGCCACCTCCTCGGCGAGACTGTCGCTTCCATCTGCGAGGTCACCGCCGCGCCAGGCGACGTAGCCTCCCATCAAAGACCGACAAGCCGAACCTGAGCCCTGTCGGGCGATCTTACTTAGCTCCTTGGGCGACTGGGGTAGCTTGTACAGATCGGCTACGGCGCGGACCAGGGCAGCAAATCCAGCAGCAGAACTGGCAAGACCAGCGGCAGTGGGGAAATTGTTCTCGGAAACAATTCGGAGGGGGAAGCTCGAGAGCTTGGGCAAGGAGGAATCTGCGCTTTCGAGCTCTTGACGATGAGCGCGCAGGCTAGCTAGGCATGCTAGGGTACGCTTGGACGACTGAATGTCCTGTGGTTTGCCATTGAGAGTGAGCTCGTCGGCGGCGGGGTAATCGGCAGAGCACGAAGCGGTGGTAAGGGTGCGGAGAGATTTCTGGGATAGGGTGACGGAAAGCGAAGAGTTCGTGGGTAGGTTCAAGGTGGCATCGCGTTTTCCCCAGTACCTAAACAACGATTATGAGCCAATTCGTGATGGAACAATAGCGAGCCTGTGGTACAACGGAGGGCGGGGTTTCGGGCTTACTTGATAACAGCGATGTTGACAGGGGCGGTGGTGGTGGCCCGGAAGACTGGGCTCTCGGAGACAGCAGCCATAACGATGATAGGACAAGAAGTTTTGATCAGAGAATTTTGCGACAGTAATGAACAGAATACTCAGCAGAAAAAGGGGGTTCAGGAAGTTCGGAGAGAGGACCAGAAAAGTAAATAATGGTCTAGTTCCCGGGGTCCATCGCTAGTCGGAGTAATTCATCGGGGTTCGAGGGCGGTCAGGCGAACCAGAATTTCCGACTCGGTGTTTTTGCTTCTTTTTCGCATTACCAAGCATCATAATTCTCAAGTATTCAAGTGCATTTCTCATCGCCGGTTTTATTCCTTCGCTTTCCGCTTCTTCCACTCAGTCTCCATTCCAATGGGCGCCGGCGCAAGCACCCCAACCTCTCCCCCTTCCAGCTCAGCCCCGGCTGCCACATGCCCTGTTGACCATAAAACCCGAGAAGCATGGCTACAACAACATAAAGGCGCCAATGGGGGCGCACCGCATCCGCTCCCCTCAGACGAAGAGAAAGCAGGAGCCAAACTGCAGCGGCCACTCTCCACAGACCGCGAAGTAAGCAGCATACCGCGAGCCCTCGATTCTGAATCGAAAGACCCTTCCGAATGTCCCGCCGTACCCTCTTCTCCATACTCATCATCGCCCGCTGCATCGCACGGCACCCCTTCCAACGCCGAATCTGAAACTGGTCACGATAAGTCAACAGGCAATTGGATATATCCATCTGAGCGACAGTTCTTTGAAGCACTCATGCGCAAGGGCAACACACCCGGCTCGGTGACTTCGGCCTCGGAGCTAGCGACCTCGGTAGCATCAATCATACCTATCCACAATGCCGTGAATGAACGCGCGTGGCAGCAGATCCTGGAATGGGAGAAGCAAGCGCCCAGCTCAGACCCTGGGAGCAAGAAGTGCGGCGGGCCGAAACTGTATTCGTTCCGTGGCCTGGGCGCGGAGTCGGAGTTTCTCAGTCCTCGGGCACGTATCAATAGTCTAATGGGCTACCAGCTTCCTTTTGATCGACATGATTGGGTGGTCGAGCGATGCGGCGGGGAGCGCATCGAGTACGTGATTGACTTTTACCAAGGCAAGTCAACGGGTGGAAATAATGGTAGCGGCCTCGCTGCCAATTCTGGACCAGGAAAACTTAGCTTCTATCTCGACGTGCGGCCGAAACTGAACTCTTTGGAAGGCTGCATTATGCGGTTTAGACGCTTCAGTGGTATCTGATGTTGGACTCTTCCACCACTAACTTGTTCAATCCTTCTCTTTCTCATGATTTTAGAAGTACACGGAGTTTGGGCATTGATTTGGGGTCATCTTGTATTATATGTATAACAACACGAGGCTGTGTATGATATCAAGGCGCGCAAAGACAGCATAAGAATGCGAAGTAAACATCCACTCCATACGCCTGAGGTCATGGAACATTCGTCAAGAAACCACCTCACTGCTCATAGCAGGACAAATCATCACTATACATCAACTGTACAGGGTAGGATATCATGAACAAAAGGACAAAGGAAAGACAGTAACGGCAGGCAGTGTTGATTGAAATGCCGGGCGTCGGGTATGTTGGGTTTTTAACCAAGAACAGCTGCCAGGATAATGATGGCTAGGATGACAGCAAGGATAACGAGCAAGCAACAAGCTTTGTTTCGCGCATTCTTCTGGTACCGGCTGGCGCTGCGGAGTTCAACATTTGCGCCTTGTGTGTCATTATGAACTCGATCAACGTTCTCACTGATAAGATCTAGTTGCCCGCCTTGCTCGTGGACAATATGGGCGACATCTCGGAACAGTTCGTTCAGTTCACCGACACTTTGTTCGATGCTTCGGATCTCTGTCTCGCGCTCAATTATCAGTGCCTCCTGGAAATCGACTTCATCTTGGTTTGCTAGGCGCGGCTGCTCCTCAAGTAATTGCTGCTGCTCCAGCGAAACGCCGCCTTCTGTCGGATGTTCCGCTTCTTCCACAGCAGTTCGTGCAGCGACTGCTGAGGCACGTTGCTTCTCCAGAGCCCGGCGCTGAACGGTCTGGAACTCCTTCAAGGTGGCCTGGAATTCCGTTGAGAGCTTCTGCTGCGTCCACTTCTGAGAAGGCTAGAGAATACATGTTAGAATCTCTCTTGAAACCATTAATCACTTGTAGGTATTGTCAGGACGACATACATTCACGTCCTCCCAGTTCTGTACTTTCTTGATTCCTTCCCCAACCTCTCTAAACCCAGTGCGAGTCTGTTCGAGGAGATTGTGCACTCGCTCGCGCACTCGCTCAGTGTCTCGCTTTGTCCCGAGAAGAGCTATTTGGTCTGACAAGCGGGTGATGTTAGACGTCAGCGTGAATAGCTGATTGGAGAGCGACTCGGTGAGACGCTGGAACTCGGGATCGTCATGGTACTGCGGGTCGTCTGAGCGACGGTATGTTGTAGGCTGAGCCTCGAGCGAATTCAAGCGATCAAACGACATGGTGTAGCGAGAGCGAGAGAGAAGAATGAGCGAAGGTTGGGCTTGATTCACGAGTCTTGTGAGGATGAGAAGCAGATGCCGGTGCCTGCAGGTTGCTGCGCCGTGCGGACAAGTCGTTGTTGATGCCCAGGTCTGCAGGCCCCACTCACATGACGTGACATCAGAGCTGTGTGGCTAGTGTCGATCACCTGATCAACGACATGCGGCTTGTGTGTTTTGATGGTCCTTTCGGTTTCACCCAAAAAAAAAAGCTTCGTTGACGCTCGACTCGCCATACTTGTCGTCGCCGGGTTCAGGAAAAACCAAACCACCATCGCAACTCGACCGGCGCGGTAACTGACGATAGGATCTTTACGTCTTCAGAAACATGCTATGAACTTCATATCCCCTCCCTCGCCCTCGAGATCCAGCACCCAAGCTTGTTTAGCTTAGCACCATGGCCGCCGCAAAGCCTCGCCCGTACCGGCGCATCTTGACGTCTGCGCTGCACCGGAGATTTGTCCATGCTTCGGCCCTCTCAATACTCGTCTGCTATTTAATATCCATTTTTATCGGCGACAAATCGTCGTGTAAGTAGACTCAATGAGCTGGTTATCCGCCAACGCTTTGCGCATAACGATGTTAACCTACCCTGGACCAGTCTTTTGGGCCATTTTCCCAATTGGAGGTTGCGGTATTCGTACCGTCCTTCTCTTCATATCCTCCCTTTCTGTATTCGTCCTACGGGTTGGTCAGATGCACATTGGCTCGAGAACGACCGGCTCCGCGATACATACTTTCAAGCACCTTTTCCCACTCCATGTTCTTCAGACGTTCGCCTGGTATCTCTTCTCTGCATGGTGGTTCAGTGAGATATACAAGTGGTCCGCCTCTACTAGCGCGCATCTAGAATGGATAAAACGGGGCAGGTAGGTTCTAGAACAGCTCTGGTGGATGAACCCTCTTCGGACAAAAGCTAACCATAAAAGTCCTCATGAGCGAGCAAGTCTCAACGAACGACCTATCTATGTCTATACGTATCACCTACTCTTAGCGATTGCGCAGTCGGTAGCTCACCTCTACCTCGACTATGATCGTGTGCCCATTCCTCTCACAGAGCAAGCTGCTGGCCCGGATCAGAAGACACATCCGACAGAAACGGTTTCAAAGCGTATCCAGGCGGAGCTGCCGCGACTTCTTAGGGATGGGCTTCTAAGGAGCGCCACTGTGGCCATGGTGTGCCCAGTTGTATACACCTTCTTCCTCAGACGGCGAGCATGGAGCTACGCTATGTCCTTTGCCAAATTATTCTGGGACTTCCCCAGGTCCGCGGCCGACCCACCAGGATTAATTCCTCCTGTTAATCCCCTCCTGATTACTCGGACCTTGTTCTCTGGCGGACTATTAGTGCTCCTCTGGCAGACCACTAACTTGTTCTTCTCTATTTTCCTCAGCAAGGAGCCTTTGAAACGGGGCCAACCCTTGACCGCAGAGGTCAAAGATCCGAACGGCAGTCTGTTAAATGGATTAAAGGCCAAGAAGGAAACTGTCCGCTCATTCGCGTTCTGGGAGCTATTTTTCATCAGCCATCAGTTCCCCGACCGCCGAAGGGCGATTTTTAATGACATCGAACGCGAAGGTGGATCTGCCTGGACTCAAATTTTGGAAGCCTCCACAGAGGTGATCAAAGCCATCTCGACTCGTATCGCTGAGAGCAAACCACCATCTTCAAACCCCAAGCCGTCTTTGACTAAGAAAGAGGAGCCGGTCCTCCACACTTTACCCCGATTGACTGACTCCCCAAAGGCGGACAACATATTCGCTTCTTCCCCTAAACCCACCACCACACAAGGAAAACTCGGAGAAGGATTCAGCAAGACTCTACGATCCCTCGGCGAGTCGCCAGACTGGACACCTAAAGCCCGGGCCCGAGCCCGCGACGCCTTCGACCGCGCCTCCTCAATAGTCCTCAGCCCCGAACGCAAGCAGCGCCTTCTGGGCTCCCAGGATCTCAAGCTCCTAACCGGCGCCTCACCCACGAAACCCGAGAACCTCCACCCGCTCATCACCCGCCTCCTGCGCTCCCCAGCAGGCCATTTCCTCCGCCAAACCTACGCCCGCCGCCTAAGCGGCATTGTCCTCGGCACACCAACCTCCAGCCTCTCCTCAATCATCGATTCCATCGAATCCCTCACCCGGCTCCTCATCGCAAGCCTCCAGGAAGACCCCTACGGCAAAGTCCAAGCCGACGTCCCTGGTGTCGTGCGTCTGTTTACAGAAACAGCCACGACGCTCGGGAAATTCGCTCACGGGGAGCTAGAAGTCCACTGGACGGATGCAAACTTCCCGCCATCGAGTAACCCCGCTGCCCAAGCGGAAGCTCGTCGTGTTCCCGATGTGGAGCTTGTCATTGATACGCTCAAGGGGTCTCTCAAGAGTCTTTTGTCTGCATTCAAGCCATATCTGAAGGATATTGGTCTGGTCGGGAAGGATTTGCGGTTGGCGAAGGAGGTAGCCGGTGTCGTTGAAGAGTAAAGATGCTTATCTATTACACATTGAAAGAGCCGCAGGCCTCTCAAATGTCCTGAGCGGACATTCAGCTCCGATCTACGTGATCATCTTCTTCTAGCATTTCTACGATAATGTTCAGTAGTTAGAATCTATAACTGTGCATTAGTCAGGCGTTGTGTTATATCATTATGGAATCTCAAACTCCCAAACAATGAAGATCATAGTTTTGAACTTTTTTAGAAGTTTCATTTCGTGAATTGCTCATATAGGTTGAGTCGAAGCTTGCCCGTCTATATATCTCCCATCCCAGATGCTGCGCCAATAACAATAATGGCTGCAACTGTGTATGTAATTTGACCCGTTGTATCTCTCAGATCCAAGTTCCTTGATCTCATCAAGCACCGCCCTGCACATATCATCATGTGCCTGCCTGCTTGCAGAAAAAAGTATATCCGACAAGACCCAAAACCAAGCAACCGGAGGGAAGATCTGCATCCAAAAACAACCCTGAACAAACCAAGATACACCAAAACCAGTATAATAGCTTCATTTTTACCTCGCACCCTTGACCAGAACCAAAGAAAAAAACCTCGTTCATTCCAGACCAAACTCCAGTTTGTCCGTCACTGAAGCGCTCCAGAACCATACATAGGGGAAAAAAAAAAGCGAGATCATGTCACGTGAATGTTCGAAATATTGTGCTGTCGTCCGTCATTGGGGGAAATATGCTTTTTTCGTGTCTTTCTATATCCACAGTACCCGGTAGGTACTTCTATTGTTTTCATTTTCCGCTCGGCGGATATGCAAAAGAGCCCTGAATAAGAATCAGGGTGAAAGGGCAGAGCGTCAAGTGAGTTCCTCGATATTTCAAAAAGCATCGGTGCTCAGCAGTCTCGGAGAACGTCGTTCATTTTGTTCGGAGACTCTGCTCCACCGTTCCTGTTTAGAGGTTCGGGTGGTGCCTCTTCTTTCATGCAGGCATTCTCGAGGATGTTGGTCCATTTCCCACTAGTTCCAGCGTGGCTGTGTTTGAGATGCTGTCGGAAGTGGTCTGCTCGGAAGAACTTTTTCGAGTTGTTACACTCTCCAAACTTGTGGACAGTAGTAAGGTGCTCGAACCGCTGATCCCAATCTGGGTGGGGGAAATTAGGAAACTCTTCACCACAGTATCCACAGCTATCGTGGGATGCGCCCGGGCCCGTTTGAGCTGACGGAGACGGATGGAATGCTAATTGATAGCTCGGGAGTGCGGCACAAGACCAAGAGTGACGCCGCAGATGGAGTGAGTTCTGATGTCGTTCAGCCTCGTTTTTGTTCTTGAACCTGTTATTGCAATACAGGCAGGAGTATTGCTTCTCCATTGCATGGGCACTATGCTATATTAGAGTCTATAACTCGATAGAGACGAATGGGACTTACCGAAGTTCTTCCGGACTGTCGAACTTCTTGGGTTTCTTCGGGCAACAATCACAAATGTACAGTCCACCAAGTTTAGGTGCTGCTGGCTTGGGTGCATTCATACCAGTCTGGAAGGACATCTTCCTCGAATGGCTCCCAGTCGATGACTCGATGGAGCCGACGTCATGAGCAGTTTGTGCGGCCAAATGAGCCGATAGCCCCGCGCTGGAGCTTGAACCCAAGACGGACTTGTCGTGGAACGCATCGAAATCGGACTTCGGTGATAGACCCCCGGGTGAGCGATCGTATGTCGAGGCAGTAGTAATGCTACTGCCTATAGAAGGAGCTGCTGACGAATATGATGCAGTGGTTCGCAGGCTTACAGACGAGGCGGCCGAAAGACTTCCATAGCTAGCATAGCCACTGTTGACCGACAGATTGTTCCCAAACGGATGGCCACTGGTCCTTCGTTGGGAAAGATCGCCATTGCTCGTCGCCGTATGCAAGGCGTGTTTGTCGTGACCAATAGGCTCACGAGGAGGAGAAGAAGCCCTTCTTTTCATTCCAGACCTAGAGGCATCTAGATAGGGCGGAGTTGCCTCGCGGACACTGAATAATCGTGACGGCATAGATTCATCCATGGAAAATTCGCCCTCCATATCCGAAACGACGCTCTGGTCGTAGCTTCCTCGGTTGGAACGACTGGGAAGGCTGGAGATATCATCATGTTGCGGGGTGGTTCCGGCCTTACGACGGCAATCTCGCGAGAACGGCGAATGCTCATAATCCATGGTAGAGGATGGCGCATTGCTTTCAACACTGGGGCTTCGGCGGCCAATATAATCTCTCCATGCAACCTTGGTACCTGGGGATATACCACCCGACTGAGAACTTCCAGACCACCTAACATCGAGAGATGGAGCATCAGAGCCGGCGGGTGAGGGTAAGCTTGCGAAGCCTCTTGAAGGAATTGGGAGAGTCGCTAATGAGCTTTTATTTTCTGTTCCGAGACTAACAGATTGTCGTGGAGAGAGCGGTTTACCAATCTTGGATAGAAGGTGCTGGTCGTAGGCATCGGATGAATCTTTGACGCTCCGCTGAGAGAATTTCTGTTCGCCCTTGAGGCTGTTGAGAGAATTAGTCACCGAAACATAGTGCTGAGTACACCACAACATTCAAAGCCAGAAAGTCTCATGATTTTGCCCAATGGGCAGACAACAGTTTCATAAAGACTTACATCGATCCTGAAATAGAAACAGAGTTCCGAAAACCTTCATCAGCCGGCGGCGGCGGTTCGATTTTGATATGTGCTTCCGGACTCCTTGACGTGGGTAGGGCACCTTGCCTGCCATCTGATTCATCCAAGATCATTCGATCGCTGCGAGGCACAGGGTATTCTGGACGACGGTGATCACCGAACAAACTCGAATTAGGATTTATCGGTGCAAGCATCGTCGACCCAGGCTGCGGCGATCCAGGCTGCAGTCTCAAGTTCGCATGTATCCAACCTGCATCGTACCCATTCTCCAGGCCACTAATCCGCGGAGGTGGCGGTAACGGAGGCGGCGCGAAATTGTTCATCGAGTTTGAGCGAATCGGCATGGGTCCCTGTGATGGAAATGACTGCCCGGGCATGTTGTACGAGGCTCTAGCAATAGACATATGGCCGCTGTTGAAGTCGTGGATATTAATCGAGGGGGGTGAGAGTCGAGGAAAGTCCATCGTACAGAGGTAGAGGCGACCTAGGGTTACTCATCGATATCGGAAGGAGCGACGCTGAGCCGGAAAGAGAAACGAGTTGAGTAGCTCGAAAGCAGGAGAAAAAGAACGACTAGGACTCAACCGTAACCGTAAGCTCTATAGAGTGCGATTACGGAGTAAAAGAACAAATCCAGCCTTCAGTGGAGTAATAGAAGATCCCGCTTCTAGACCCCGATCTATACACCGTACTTGAACCGTTCGAGTAGAATGGATGGCAACGATCTCACGCAAAGATTTGTGGACAAGCGCTTCGATAACTATTGAAGCCTGAATAGAGCGCTTAGGAATTGGTTTCGTGGTGGCGATAGCAGGGGCAAACCTACTGCAAAACAAAGTAAATATTCAGCTGTCTCCGTTTTTCAGCTTGTGCAATTTCTCAAGGGTCGGCGGAAATGTGCAACAATGGAGGTTTAGCTTGCAAAAAGGTTCGGAGGTCATCAATCTGCCAAACGGCAGCGAGGTTATTGACGACGAAGAAGAGCAAGTGTGCAGGATTCACCGGACATGCTGGAAAATTAATTGGCGGATAATGGTCGTCAGCAGTAGCATAAACTGCTCCAAAGTGCAATCGCGGGATGCAACAGAAGGCAAGGCTGTGTGTGCAAGGTGTCTGTGGAAAGCGATTTTATTGGCACCAAGCGGAGGTCAAGAGGAAGCTCGCGGGTGCGCTCGTCTCCGTAGGCGCTGTTGCGGGTTTCAAAGTGGGCAAATCCGCCTGTCAATATCGGGGCGATAACGAGCGGTCCAGGGAATCAGACGATAAAATCCAGCTGAGTGGTCGCAGCACGTGTCAAATGCACAGTGTTGACGCAGCAGTTGGAGAGAAGGGAGAGACCATGGGGAATGGGATAAACGGAGGTGTGAGGAGACAACACTGAGCAGGAGCGGAGGAGAAATACCGGTTTCAGTTTCAGTACAGTCCGGAGCGCAACACCAAGGAGTTGTAGGAAACGACAATAATGAGAAGAGAGGGAAAAAAAGGTGGGAAGATGGTGGTGCAACCCACTGCCTTATTGGTCCCTACAAGGCTGGAGAGGAAGGACGGAATAGCTGTAAAGTATTATTTTCAGGGTCTGGCAGTCCACGGTGGTTCCTTGGGCGCAGGTTGTCTGGCTTCGTTCTCTGACGGGGCAAGGATGATCAAGCAGATCAGCTGTGACTGGACTCGCTGGAGTGATGTGCCGCACGCAGGATTAAGTTGCAGGAGGGGGATAGTCGGGGGGAGACAGAATGACTTAAAGAGAAGGAGAATAAGCAGCCTGCAATGATACAAGACAAGAGGGTTTCGTATTGAAGATCTGGAGTTGGCTGACCAACGAGCATAGCGTGCCTTGTCGCTGTATTGACACCCAGAATTAAAATTTCCCGCATAGATTATTTGCGTTACAAAATTACTGAAGAAGATTTCTGGAGATTTGTGGCAGAAATCCTGTCACCACATTTTGATGCTTGACAAGGCTGCAAATCCAAATTTCCCTGGTTGCTGGTCTGATGATGTTGATCTCTCTGATCGCAGGTCGACTTTGATCTCTCCTTGTAAGGACCGCGCCGTTTGGGACAACGTGGGAGGTCGATTGTCACTGAGAGCGGTCTACTACTACAACAAGGATTATGTAGACAAGTGCCACTCAAATTTGGCCTGCTCCGTACGTCAAGTCGTGCATACAGATTTTCCTCTTTTGATACCTCGCGCTGCTGGTGCTTCTGCTAGAAAAGTCTAAACACTTCGCAATTTTAAGGCAGGACACTCGAACTTGCCTGCCACGAGGTTCCAGGTTCCTCCATGCTCCTGCTTTCAAAGATGGCCATCCATCCTGGAGAACATTAGTCAGTTGAAAAGGGGGGTTATCCATTGAAATCCACTTGGTTGTTATAATACCTCTTCTGTCTGTTCTCCGAAGCGGTAGAGGTGGTAGCACTACGGAGCATGGTCCATAGTCGACGTAATATCCAGATAGATGATTGCTCACTGCATGGTTGCACAGTTCTTCCCCTTCGCTTTGATACGGGCCCTTCGAGGGCTGGCATTGGAAGAACCATCCCCTGAAGCCTAACGAGACAGACCCGGCAGTTTGTCTCAAGAGAAAACTCACTCAGCCTTACCAAAACAAAGCCAACGAGCGAGACGCCACCACGCTCGCACGCCCTGTGTTGTTCAAGAACTGGATATCCAAGATCAAGAGCGGTGAGGTTAGCCAAACGGGTTAGCTCGAAGAATGAGGCAGTGCTGGCAGCTGGCATGGTTTCAATTGGGCAGATCTGCTTCTCCATAAATAATTCATGAAGGTCAGTTCAAAGTGCTCCTCAGCAGGACTGCATCAATATTATTTCTTGGATCAGAAAGACCATCGTTTTGATGGTGATGCTCAAGGTTTGTTAACCCGTAGAGGATAGCAGCTGGCTGTTAGTGCGCTCTAAACATTATAGTTAGTTCACATTTCCCCGGATGAGTCAGCCAAAGTAAGATGTTTTTCAGCCGTTGTGCTCCGCCTGGGTTGTGACAAGGCATATCTCGTCCCAGAGGTCTTCCAAGGATGAGCAAAGGAGGATCCAGGAAACAGAAGAGTCAGGTCTTCGCTGACCAACACCGATCCACGAGAGCCGGAAAGATGGGCATTACTCCAGCCTCCCAGGAAGCAGACATTACTCCGTATTTGTGGTTCTACGAGACCTTACCAGAGAAGGAAGCAGCTAAAGTGATGGATGCGATTCGAAAGCTGGCAGGATAAGATCCACCAGTGGCTAAAAGATGGATAAGTCCAACTTCACTACTGTCTTGACTCTCTTTGCCCACGTAACTGCGATGGTCGAAGAAGGGTAAAAAGACGTGAGGGCCTCGTCATCGAGGATGATTCCCTTCCCTGTCTGGCGTGCGTAGGTAAGTATGATCTGATCTGTCTGCGTTGCAGGAGAACAGCGCCAAATGACAGCAATGTGGCAGTGCATGTATCTAGAGGGCCTGGTGGAACCACTAGTTGCAACAAGGCCACTCATGCAGCTCTTTTTTGCTTTTCTGCAATAACTCCATGGGTGGGGCAAGAGGTATGTAGTATCGAGGAGGGAGAACTTGAGGACGCTTCTGAATCCCGAGCCCATGGGCAATTCTTGGACAGGCGAAGACTCGAAGCCCCTTCGGCCATTCATTGACAGTGGATTTTTCTGGAACCCGGCCAGGTACCGAGTAGGTACACGCTGGTAATTTTCGTACCCGTACTCTCCGCAGCAACTTTCAGTTTGTTACGGTAACTTTGGACAAGCCACCCACCAAGACTTCAAAGTTGGATCAGCTTCGTATCCTTCGTCAAGACAATCTCTATTTTCAATAATTCCGAGTTCCGACTGCAAAAAGGTCTTGAATCAGTCTCCATATCCGCCAAGAGGATGACTTGCCCTTGGGATCGTTTTCATCTGTTGAACTTGCATCGCATCCAACAGGAGGCAATCCAGTCACTTGCAGCGGCTGGTAGCCTCCTCCCATCCGCGAGGCAAAAAGGTGGTACCAAGACCATTTCGGGGTCAGCTATTGGTTACTCTGCAGCAGAGGATGATCTCACCTGGCCGTCGCTTTGGAAGGCTGGCTGTCTGGCTGGCTGACACTGGGCTCGCCAGAAGCTGGGTTCGTCAGCGTGAGAACTCAACTTACTCGAGTGCGCCGGAGTCGCCTTCCGAGGTGCATTCAAAGTGATTGTTGGTCCAGGTGCGTATACGAGCAGGGCTCAGCCATTCGGCGCAGCAGAAGACCGCGTCAACTGAAGATTCCAGTTGCAGGGGAAAAAAAGCAACGAGGAAACTACTGGCTGGTACTTTACGGCTTACCTCAAGGTTCGCCGCTGCCCCAAACGCCGTCAGCCTTAACAGGCTGCAGAGAGTTCCGTGCGCTTGAACTTGAGAGACTCGTATTGAGGCTGTCCTGCTGCTCAAGTCAAACTGCACTTCATTTTCATGTTCAGCATTAGACTCTTGGGACTATGCTCTCTTGCCACCATGAATCATGTCGCACCCAAGACATCATTATGTCCTCAGCTGTGCCTCTACGTCGTATACTCCATACAGTGGTGGTATGAGAGGAAACCAAGCATTATTTACCTCGTACTAAAGTACACATTTTGATTGGGACCAAGGGTACCGGAACTTTCTTGGCCACAGACTACATCCCCTTAGCGCCAAAGAGCGGCCCCGTTGATTAGTAGATATACTTTTAAAAGTTTTGATCCGGCAGAAGAAGAAGCTCTCTCGCATACGTAGAGTGATGACGACAGCAAGGATAACAAAGGCAAATATCAAGCGCCTCTCGGCTGCCAATGTCCAACCAGGGTGAGTGAGGTCGCACAGTTTCAATGGGTGTTTCCTCATGAAGCCCGAATCTAAAACCATCTTCGGGAACCTTGGCGACGGAATAAAAGCCAATCACGAACAAGTGTGACGGAACCCATTGCCATGGAAGTCCTTCCTGCAGGGCATCATGCACCACCTGCTTTTGACAGAGTATATTCGATGACGAAGCCCGGCGTCGGCGTGATGTTGATGGGATGTCCGAAGATTTTCCTGCGGCTTGACTCGACTTGCGCTAGCGTGACTTTGTGTTTAGTGTCTGCGCCAAGTGCCAGCCCATGAAACGAAGTTTTGTCACTTGTCCGTCGCAGTGGAAAATCAAGCCATCCACTCACGTTGACAAAACACTTTCGAAGAGCATCTGTGGAGCTGACCCTTTCTGGATCGAATAAAACTGGCAAATGAAAGACGTGGAAATACCAGCAATCCTTACTCACCGGGGTGGAACCGCAGATTCGACAAGGTTAGCGATGTGCCCTTTAAGCGAGGAGCTGGACAGTGGACTTGAGTCACTCGACCATGGTCCGGAGGAGTAAAGTAAAGTACCTAGGTACTCCTCAGTACTAACAGTCAAATGCGGGGTACTGTCACGAGAAGACTGGCCCTTGCCCTTGCCCTCAGCCCTTATTTCCTCTTCGGCTCTTCCTTCCATTCGGACGGTCTTGGCAAAGGCGCCTGCATCTCCTATCAAATTTGCGACTTGGACATCAGGCCCACGCTGACCACCCTTTCATCAACCTTCCATCCAGTACGCCTGTTTACTAGGCACTCCAGTCTGCTCTCGCTAGAAACTCTCTCAGTCACAGCCATCAGCGCCATGGCGATGAACAAGATACCTGGCCGTAACATATATATTGGAGGGTGGGTGCCGCTAATCCTCACTTCCTATTTCTCCCCTTCATACTACTTTCAGAGTGGGGAGCAAGGGGACGATGTTGTGTATAAACTCTATACTAACCGCGTTCTTGGTGTAGCATATTCTCGCTCAAAAACAAAGCAGCCTTAAGTAGAGCAAACATCACTCATGTTGTCTCGGTGTTACGACTGCAGCCAACAGATGATACATTCTTGACTTACCAACATCACCAGATTGAAGTTGATGATGTTGAGGATGAAAATATCCTAGAACACTTCCCAGCTGCCATCGGGTTTATCCAGTCTGGCTTGAACTCAGGTGGGGGAGTGCTTGTTCATTGGTTAGTAGAACGCTGCCATCTTTCGTTTTTGACTCATCTTGGCTCTGGAGGCCCGAATGGTCCTTTCCAGAGAAGGCCTCGTATACGGTGACTGACAGCATATAGTGCAATGGGAAAGTCTCGCTCCGCAACCATCTGCATCGCCTATCTTCTGCATCATCAGCAAAGCGCTTTTACACCACAGTCTGCTCTTGCTCTTCTCAGAGAATCTCGACCTCTATGTGAGCCCAATCCCGGGTTCATGAAGCAGCTTGAACTTTATCATCAGATGGGCTGTCCTACAGACGTTACTTCACACCCCGCCTACAGTCGCTGGCTTTACCATCGAGAAGTTGAAGAGAGCGTAGCATGCGGACGTGCTCCTGAAATGAATTCTATTTTATTCGAAGATGAACAGCCGCAGCAGCAAGTCGATACTGCGGGCGAATTAACGGAGGTTAAGTGTCGCAGATGCAGGTTGGTGTTCTCTCTGCCCAAATTCAGCCGTCCGCTCTGCTCACCAGAAACAGGCGCAAATTGGCGCTAGCTCGATTTGTCGTTCCCCATGGGCCCCAGAAAGATGCCAAAGCTGCTGTAACATCTGATTGCGCTCATGTGTTCTTGAACCCGCTGACGTGGATGCGACCGAGCCTCTTTCCCAATAGCCCTGACGCCTCGGCTGACCTTGCTTCCGAAGATGCCCCTCTATCCGGCCGCTTGACATGCCCCAATGCCTCATGCGGCTCCAACATTGGCAAGTTTGCGTGGCAGGGTATGCAGTGTAGCTGCGGTGACTGGGTGGTACCCGCCATTGCCCTTGCAAGGGCCAGGGTTGACATTTCAGAACCAGTAACCATCCGTCGCGGTCCAGGTAACCTAGCCCCTGGTATTCGCCTGCCGCCAAGCATGAGGCCCAGCGGCGTGGATACGTCTACTGCCAGACCGTTAAGTGAAAGGTACACCTCCCACCATGTTTACTTGTCATCCTAGCCTATGTGAAAGGCTGTTTACTAACATGGGCTTCGTGACTATCAGAGACTCGACCAGAGGAAGCCTTTGATGGACACGATCATAGCTCCAACATCCCGAAAACGGCCTCTCAAACGATGGGCAACAGCCAGGGTCAGCGAAGCCTACGTAATGTGCGTGCTACCCGCGGAAAATGGCAGGCCTTTGCTTTCCGTCAGAACGGTCCAGGCCAAGCTGGCGTACCATTGACCGGCGGTCAATGTAGAGACATACGTCACGTGGCATGCCGATCACGAATGCTCATTTCAGAGGAAATTAGAAAGGCACGCCACTCAATTTGCCATATCTACGGAGTACCACAGCACTGAAGATTCGGTCGATCGCTCGAATGACGGTATGGACTTGGACCCTTGCGTGGGATAACGGCGAAATCAAGGCGAATGACTGAGCGTTAAACTTTAATCCAGTCTTCCAGGCTGTCAATTCGCTGGCGTCTCGGAAGTCGCAGATCCAATCACCAGATCGACCGCGACCATCATTCAGCAATGAGGAAGAAATTCAGTGTATACATCGATGATAGACTGCGAGACTCAGTGCCGGAGAACTAAGGTTGACTCAGATGCAACCGCTGCAGCCGACAGCCATGATCCATTGTCCCTGTTGACCGCATCGTACGGAGAATTTGATCCAGGAGCCCGGCAAGTGCCGCATCCCTCGCTAGTAGGCTGTCATTGGCAAAGTTGAAACCAGCGCAAAACCCCACATCCGTCCCACGAGGCTGTGCCCCACATGAAGCCCGAGAAGCCAATCACTGGAGGTTCAAGCCAGGAACCCGACCGCGTCAGCGAGCCATTTCGGGGATCTGCAGCATGGGCGGTTCGGAGGTGGAAGAACATTTCTCAGTCCTCGCAGGGACGCCAGAAGCTCCTCTCAGGCCTGCCTAGGCTGGATCACTAGCGCCGGGAAGGGGGCTGTGCAAACTGCTCTTACGCAACGCCCGTTCAGCAGCAGCCACTCAACGCCCAGGGCTGACATTCACTCTCGTCCTCGTTTTACACCCGAGCCGTATTTTTCACTCTTCTGTAACCGATAGCAAGGAGGACTTTCAAGACCACCGGCGTGGCAATCCGGGCTACAGGAGATTGTTGGAACACACGGATCTTGAATCGTGTCACAGCCGCCACTCTAATAATATGATTTGATGTACGTCAACCTAGGCTGTAGTTGAGATGCACCTCCCTTCTTCTTCTAAAAACTGGCTTGTGCAGGCACCCGTTATCCAGGAGCCACCAAAGACTTGCTTGCTAGGAGAGAGAAAGTTAAGTTATAGTTCTGACCTCCTGGCACGAGGGGCGCTGGAACTTGGGAGCTGCCTGGAACCCCCGGACCAGGCTTGGTAGAGATGTTTATCGGCTCAGATATCTCTCGTATGGTCATTCTAGTTGACCTCAAACAATTCAACCCATTTCATCAACCAAGACTGGGTTTGTCGCCGTTACGCAGTTACCTAGTCTAAGAATAGGCCCTGCTGGTACTCCGTATCGCGATCAAGCTTCGGCATTATTGTCACCAGTCACACCATGAAGGTTTGGCGGATCCCTAGCTCTACCAAGTCGGATCTGGATGAATGGACGGGATGTCGAAGAGGTTATTGCCTAGCGACTCGTCACTGCCCACGTCTTCTCCCAGGCAAAGGACGGAGAAGATCAAGATGAAGCCGAGAGTGTCGAGATCGAGGGAGCCTAGCACTGCCTCGTTCATGAATCGCTGTATAGTTCCCTTGGACCCTGGCTGCCGGCCTAAATAAATCTTGTTGCCTTGACGTGACAAGCATTCCACCAAGGGTCCAGCGTCGTTATCTTCCCTTTTTTTTTTTTTTTTTTTTTACGCCTGCCGAGACAAGAAGGATTGAACGTCGACACTTTGAGACACCTTGCAATATCCAAGAGAAGAGACAGGGACGAGGGTAGGGGTAGTGGTAGTGGTAGAGAAATGTATGGTAGATAATCACACTTTCACTCGACTTCCGTCCCCGGCGCATCTCGGTCCTACAGTATTGTCGAGCTTTTATACCTAGGTCTCTAGTGCAGGGCTAGCTGGTGCGGGATGATAAGATTGAGTTCGTGGGAGGACACGACATGGACTATCGATTTTGGTTTGGGCATGGACATGGACGTGGACGTGGGCAATGGGTATGACTCGCAGCTAGCTTGCGAGTCCCAATATCATTGTCCGCTGGTTTTCGTAACAGTAGTAAGCGCCCAACCCGTTGGACAACCCTTGGAGTCTTAGACGAAATCGGCCTTCTTGAAGAGCGAAGTAGTGCGGTGGTAGGTCGGTCAACACCTGGGTAAGGCAGACACTCACGCTCCAGCCAGCCATTGCGTTACCAGATTATGTACCTCAGTATCCTACCTAGCGCAGTTCAATGCTTGGACTAACAGATCATATGAATTCAATAGCCTAGCTCGTGCTCGCCCTCCGGGGAGAATATCCGTCGTCCTCGTCGGCTATAATGACCTGCATCAGCGACTGCGGCTGCGGCTGACCTCGTTGTTTAGACCTATGTACTAGTCGGCAGGCCAAGAACCGAACCGAAAAACGTAACGAACTAGCGGTAAGTACTACTAAGAAGTAGGCATTTGGAGATGAACAAGTGTTGATGAGATGAGATGAGATGAGATGAGGCTGAGAAGGAGACAGGGCCTATAACTAGGTTGACGTTTGCGAGATGACAGTATGGGGACGAGACGGAACCTTGCGACAACGAGGAAGGAATGGGCGAAGTATACGATGGGTACAACGGCTAGAATAACCTGGAACTTCGTTCCGGGAAACGATGATATATAATCTCTAATATCTACACGGCGACTAATTTAGTAATGAATAGATACCGGGCACTAACTATCATAAACACGAGTTGCCCTGTCAGGCTGCTTGGACCACTAGCCCGCTAGGGCTGAATGCGGTTCGCAGGATCAGAATCAAAGTTAGAATTGGAAGAGGCAGATGAGGGTAGTAAGACAAGACGACAACCTAGAAGACAAAAAAGCTCCCGTGGTTCCGCCCACTCGAGACTAGCGCTTACGAACCTGCTGGTGAAACCATTTTGGGCAACATCGAGCGAACCATCGCGTCGCATGTTGCGTCTTGCGTCCTGCGTCTGCGGGTGTGTGCGCGAGGTGTATGACGTGAGGGTGGAAGGGAAGGATGATGGAAAGGGCACTTCCGCCGAAGGCGTTAGTGCTGATGCCCGGCCTGATCGTCGACTACAACGCTTTGGGTCCTCAGGGAACTGCAACCCCGACGAGACCAGGAGGGGGTCAGTTGCTCCGCCTCCACGTTGTCTCTCTGTCTGCCTTGGCTGGGCTGGGTTGGAAGCCTTAAAAGAATGATGTAGTCGTCGGAGACTGACCGCTAAATGGATCCCGACTCCCGAGCTATAAGGACAAGCGTATAAGTGATAGGAAGGAAAGCGGGCGAAGCGTTGCCCTAGCCCGCCAGAACAGCCCGTTTTGTCCTCCCTGCACCCTTATCCAGGGCGTAGGGCGTGGGACGGTGGGTGGGATTCTCCTTCGCGGAAACCAACATTGTTACACGGACGATTCTCCGTTTTCTGTAGGACGGTTCAACAAAGCCCTAGAAGATGACGAGAGGAGCGCGGGTTCCCGTGTTTGGCAAAAGCTAAGAGATCCTTGGGCTTGATCATGCAGGAGACATTTATTTGCGAAGCAGAACTTGCAGAGTAGCAAGTCGCCTGATTTGTGACGACTTCCTTTCCCCTCTTCCCTCGCTCCTTTGGCACAGGCAAGAGGAGGACGTGCATTCAGAGACCGCCAGACGGAACAGACGGGAAGTACGAGGGGTCTTGAAGCCGTTGACGATTGCGCTTCGCTGCCTCCATGTTACGCATCCTGTCGATGCGCATCTGGTAAAAGTTTCTAAGCGAATGCGTGTCAGTGAACTTTCCCTTCATCCACTCATGTCCAAGACGAGGATTCATACTTATGCAGAGAGAAGATACGAGGAGGGTCATCTGCTGGCGCGCCCGTGCCTTGGGCTTTCTTGATGGCATCAATCTGCTGTTCGTTAGACTTGCGCAGTCCGAGAGCAAAGCAAAAGTGAATGATTGCGAAGACACAAACCTTCTCATCTCGCTCTTTTTCATCCTTGTTATCGGCATCTCCCTTTACAGCTTCATCCTTAGAATCCTTGGAGGCTTTCGCGTCATCTTCCGAATCATCCTTGTCCTTCTTCTTCTCCTTTTCTTTCTCCTTCTTCCTCCGCTGCTTCTCCTCATACTCCAACTTTACCTTCTCAATCTCCCTCGCCATTGCCTCCGCCTTTTCCTTCGCCGCCTCCTCCTCGACATCAATAATAGGCGAGCAGAAATGCCGGTCCTGGAGATGAATAGGGCAGACGTAGAAAAAGTCCTGGTTATCGGCAGTTAGACCGATGCAATGCTCTTTCTACTCGGTTTGGCTTGAATTGTAACTGTATAGATTGCTTAGTTACCTTGTTGTTGGGTGTGATTAGCACACTACTCGATGGCTTGTGGCAGACTAGGCAGGATTTGGCTGCGGTTTCTGCTACCCGGCGGAGATGCCAGGTGTTTGGGAGGGTTGTTGCCATTGTAGGATTTCTGATCGTAGGCGCGATGCAACGTTTGTAAGGTGAGTTCTATATGGGAAAACTGGCTGTATCCAAATTCGCGATGCAAGCAGGGGAGTTTGAAGACGGATCGTGGTGTCGGAGCGGAGGCTGGTAACAGTGTCATGTGACAAGATAGCGTTAACCACCATTATTCATTTGTTTATCCAGGTTGACAATGAAAATATCTATATCTAATGAGTTACAGGAATCGAAAAAAAAGACTACTCAGTCACGCTATCAAGGCTTCTCAGCGCACTCCTCTCTTTCCCCGGCGCCAGCGCATCCGTGTTCTTAGCTCGTCGCCTCGCATCCGTCCAAACCATGTACTCGCTATAGCTCTTGGGCATAACATGCACATCACCTTCAACCAGGAACGTATAATTGAACATGCCAGTCGGCTTCTTCGTGCCGTGCTCCACATCCCGCACCTTCGTGTCTACACGCACCTGGATCTTGGTATACTTGCTTCCCGCGCCGCCTTCTCGTTCAAGAGGCTCGGTATAAGCAACCGTTGCACGCAGGTACAGTACGCTCCCTACCGGAACCGGGTTCTCGAATGTGCTGGGGTCGAGTGAGATGAAGTTGGGCCGGGCGTGGGAAAAGGCGGCTGCGCAGCAGAAGGCGAGTTCGAAGGTCTGTTTGAGTAGGAAGCCGCCGAAGATCATGAAGTTGTGCCGGTTGCGGTCTTGTGGCTGCATTATCATAGCGGACTTAAGAACTGTATCGCTCATCGAGATGGTGTTTGGGGGTCGCTGGTCAGAGGTTTCGGGGTCTGCGCTGGGTTAGTGATGATGCCCGGAAAATAGTTGTCTCATACGCACTCAGATATGACATCTCCTTTGTCCACAGGGAGTGAATGAGGTTGCTCTCCTCCGAGTCAGGTGCCTTCGCAAGAAGACTCCTCGTCCGTAGGGATTTCTTAGCTTGGTAGTTCTTCTCTCCTTTCTTGAACAGTTCCCGCTCTTCCTCCGTTTCGATCAGAAGAGGCGCAACAGACGCAGGCCTAGAGAGTCAGCGTAGGAAACTCCAAGGCGAATCATATAGACTTACGTTTTTGTCACCGGGTCCAGCGATACCATTGTAAACGCACAAGTGATGAGTACATCCTCGGGGCTGGGCTTCTCCCCAGCAGCAGGAACCTTGGCGACCTGGAGCGACACCTCCATACTTGAGCGTCCTGTCGCGTACGTCACCTGGCCACTCAACTCGAGATCGCAGATCTCCATCAGCGGGTGCTCGATTGTGATCCGGTCAACTGCTGCAGTCACTGTTGTCACCGAGTCCCCGGTGTGTCTGTAGGCAATAACACCCGCCAGAGCATCAAGGTCCATCAGCAACGAGCCCAATCTACATCCGTTAGACACTATCCAGAGATAATCGAGCAAGTAGGGTAGTACCGAATATTGCCCGAAGCATTCAGGTAAGTATCCAGGAGCCACTTATCCTGGGCCAGCGGTAGAATCTAGGCAACATTAGCCACAACAATCGACTTCACCGCGCAATGAACAAGACTGAGATCACTCACAGCACTGTAGAAACTATCCGACATCCTCTTCGGTGTCAAGTTCGGCTTAGGGCGAGGCGCCTCCGACCGACCAGACTGTCCGGCTTCGCGACTCTTGTTCAGCGCCTCAATCCAAGGCGTCTTCACTCGCATGGGCATCCAAGTCGGTCGGAACGCGCCATTTGGTCGACTTGACTGGAACTCTCGCAGTGTGGTAATCGACGGTGATGCGCTTGCAGCGCGGGTGCGTAGAACCGCAGTGCCCGAGGTGAGACACCGTGACCGCGTCGCGACGGATCTTGAGCTGAGCATTTTCACTTGTTGGCAATTTGCACCGTCGTAACGTCTGTTTTGATCACTTGGTACCGGGGTATAGTTAGCTAGTGTAAGGAACCCTGGTCAATGACAATCGCAGTGGTTGCTATTGGAGAGATTGGCTCGACCGGGGATGTGACTCCTTTTCGGCCTCACTCCCGTTGTCTGGGGCCGACTCGGCTTCTCCCCGGAACAAGTCGGGTACTGCCGACTAAGTTTTAACCCGTCAGTGAGCTTAATCGTTGTCGAATTCTCGACTGCAACTGGCAAGTATAGCGTGCTGTTGGTTTCTGTTTTATCTTCCTGGGTTCTTGTGTTCTTTCTGTGTTTCATCGCCAACGAGCGCTTTGACTTATGACGTCATATATATATACACTTCAAGATGCGCATATCGCGACAAATACCACATGTCTACCAGAGAAGATTGGATCTAGAGAAATCGTATAAGATAGCCTATCTCTTCTATCACCAGACATTTTCTACAGATTGCCGCTCAGGAACGTATACATGTGATGATACGTCAAAATGAAGTCATGTCATCCAGCTTCCGAAAACGTCCTATACTTCCACCATGGAGAAACATCCTGGGATTTCAGAAGCTTGTACCTATTTTGTACATCTTTCGAACATTTCTTCTAAATTACAGCAGCTCTCGTCATCACAGGATACAAGATGAGCGACCCTCATAATCCCAATATCACGAACCGCACAACCCCTCAATGGGCTCTCTACCAGCGGGAGAACTTTGAGAAGCTCAACGAAGGCAAAACCGCACCATTCAGCACTGGTACGTCCCTTTACCACCACTATCTGACAAGACACCAGCAACTCATGGTGCACAGACCCGACCAAGCTTGAAGAAAGAGCCCACGAATCCCTCAGCAAAGGCGGCTGGCTATACGCGTCCTCCAACGCCGGCCTCTCAACAACCCACCTCGCAAACCGACAAGCCTTCTACCGCCACCGCATAATCCCCAACCAGCTCGTCGACACGAACCTCCGCGACACAACGACCGAGATCTTCGGGCACCGTGTATCGGCGCCCATCGGGTTCGCACCTATCGGCATCAACAAAATCTACCACCAATCCGCGGAGATCGCCGTTGCAAAGGTAGCGGGCGAGCTGAACTTACCATACTGTCTCTCAACAGCGGGGAGTTCGCCCATTGAAAAAGTCGGGGAAGCAAATGGCCAAGGCAATCCGCGGTTCTACCAGCTCTACATGCCGCACGACGACGAGCTAACCCTCTCCCTCCTAAACCGCGCCTGGAACAGCGGCTTCGACGCCCTGGTCCTAACGACAGATACATGGCAGCTCGGCTGGCGGCATGAGGACGTCGCAAACTCAAACTATGCCTTCTACCGCGGGCTCGGCGCAGACCTAGGACTCAGTGACCCCGTTTTCCAGCGTCGATGCCGTGAATCAGGGATTGACCCCGAGAAGGACGTCGTCGCCGCCTCAACAAAGTGGATTGACTCCGTCTGGCATGGCCGCGCGTGGTCGTGGGACAAGATCCCCTGGCTGATCGAGCAGTGGAAGAAGATCTCCGGCGGGAGACCGTTCGTCATCAAGGGCATTCAGTCTGTCGGTGATGCTCGAAAATGCGTGGAGCTTGGTGTCGATGGAATTATAGTGAGTAATCATGCCGGGAGGCAGGTCGACGGGGCGATTGCGAGTTTGGATGCGTTGGAAAATATTGTGGAGGCTGTTGGTGAGAGGTTGTACATCATGTACGATTCGGGGGTTCGAGGCGCGAGTGACGTTGCAAAGGCGCTTGCTCTGGGCGCAAAGTTTGTGTTCGTGGGACGGCTTTGGATCTGGGGCTTGAGTATCATGGGAGAGGAAGGGGTACGGCATGTGATGAAGTCGTTGCTGGCGGATTTTGATATCCTCATGGCTGTTGGAGGGTTCAACCGTGTTGCGGACTTTGAGCGGTCTACGCTTGGTAAGACGCTTATACCCAGGCAAATGACGCCTGTAGAGCTAACAGAAGCAGAGTCATATCCAAAATCGTACACACTAATCCCAGACAGGGTGCTATAGGGTTGAGAAAGGACGTCAGATATTGATTCAGTAACCTGTATTCCAGAAAAAACCCGCTAGATATCGAATAAATGGCATGAATCAACATGTTGTATTTGATTACAAGAATATATGCAATGAAATCGGTGCGTAGAGGCGGGGTATAGGACAGGTAACGCTGGGCATATACATGGACCCAGCTGGGAGAAAAAAAAAAGGCTAAAGATAGTACAAATACACGAGGCCGGCTAGAGCAGGCCAGTAGATATTGGAAACACTGAACGTTGTTCCCGAACCCTTGAACTCAGAGTGAGTTTCCGTAGGGTTAGAAGCGGCGGCACTATCGGTAGAATCAGTTGACTCGGTAGAACCTGAAACTGTGCTCTCTGTAGCGAATGTGTCTGTGGGTGCGGCAACTCCTGCTGCCGTGGTTGTGGTTGTTTGAGGTGTAGGAGGGTGAGTGAGTTCGGCAAAGCCAATGCGGTCGTGGTCAAAATCAAAAACGGCATACACATTCTTGAGGAACGTATCACCGAGAATCCAAACATCATCTCCGAAAACTGCTTGGGCGATGATGGTCGAAATACAACCATCGCCACCCTCCAGGCGGGCTCCAATGTAGTCCTTGGGAGACATGGGATAGCTTTTCCCGGAAAAGGTAAACTGGACATCAGCAGTTGAGTCACACGGGAGAATATAATTCTCGTCTGAAACTTGTTTCGAGCCTGGGATGAGTGCATGCACCGCTGCTGCATCTTTCGGGGGAAGCAGCGAGTACGAAGTTCCTGTATCAATAATGGCGAATTTGTCCTCGAAGCCGCAGTTCTCTCCATTGACGCTGGCCTCGTCCAGAGGAATGCTCCAATGAATGCTTGAATTGGCGACATCGGTGTAGGCAATGTCTCCGCTGAACTTAGTGGTATCCACTCCGCCAAATGTGACTGTTCCATCCCTTGCACCATCGGAGTTGCGGGACAGATGGAAGCTAACAATGTTCTTCTCGAGATCTCCTTGCTCCGCGACAAGGTCCATGAAAGGTGGTCTTCCCATCGAGGTATCGTTGGATCGTCCCAAACCAAGAATGCCGTCGATCGGGTAGTTTATAAAGTCGTCCGTCGCTTCCCTGGCCAATCCAAACGTCATCTCCACGTTGATACCAGCAATTGCAAGGTGGTCCGTGACAAGAACGCCGCTGACATTGCCTGAACCGTATCCCACCTGAAATTTGTCCTTCGTCATCTTAACAGTGGAAGAAGAGTCCTCCCCAAAAGTATTGTGCATCCTGCAAGGCTCGGCCGTACAATCCTCGCTGAACACCCATGTATTCGCGCCTCCTGTATCCAGCATCATCCATACCGGTTGACCAGGCGTGCCAACATTCACAGTCGCAAAGTATGAGTAGTCGAGACCATCCTGGTGGAGAGCGACGGTGTTTGGTGAGGTAGGTTTGTCGGCCAGAACGACTTTGTAGATGTTGTCACGGCGAACGCGGGTGTTTTTGATGTCCAGAGACAGTAATTCGTCATCGTGAGTGTCCGTAGCTTCCTTGTAATCTAATGATATATCGCCAGATAATAACTTCACAGGCACGAAACGTCGATCGAGGCTGTCGTTCTCGCTATCGGAACCAGAAGGGGCGGTCTTGACCTTAAAACGATACGGAATGAAGGCATTGGCGCTGCCGTAAAGAAAAGCTGCAGAGAGAAGACATTGTGAGAGACGCATGATCCGGCCACAGATCTAAGTGAATAACGAGGCGGGCGAAATCATTGAGAGGGTGTCGATTTTGGACCGGTTCCTGAGCTCGTTTGCATGGAAATGGATGTAAAGGTGGACAGAAAGGCAGGGTCGGGTCGATTAGGATTATGAGTGATCCAGACAGGATAGAAATAAGAAAAGAGAATTATTGAAGTATGCGGCTCTGGTAAAAATAGGACACAAGGGACGCAGAGAAGCGAGGGCGAGGCCGAAAAGGGACGCGATGATAAGGGCCCAGAACGACACAAACAGGGGTATTAATGTTGTACAACAGACGCAGAAAGAGATGCGTCTAAATGACAAAGAAAGAAAAGACAAATTAGATATCAGCAACGATAGAAGCAAAAGCGAGGGGAGGGAGGGAGGAGGCTGAGGTTGAGATGAGGTCGAGGGTCCATGGATTTGGACGGGGGATGGACTGAGATACAACCTTCTGACAGATGCTCAGTTCACGGAAACGGTGGAGATACGATACAACCTTGTGTCCTGCAGAAGAGGAAAGGCGCGTTTGGAGACGCACTCTGACTGGCTGCAGGCAGCCTAGCTCACGAACGGGTTCGGATCTTCGGTTTATCGGGCTCTTTTCAGCGCTGTGAGTGGAGAGTGAGGGGAAACCCCTGAATGTGCTTGATCACAGACCTTGGAAGTGGGCACTCGAAGGCTGGCAAGTGGCGAGATGATTTGAATTGTCCATCCTGAGGCTGCCTCTTATCTCTCGCTCGAACATAAATTTCGACGAGCAGAGAACTGAAATTAGCATCGAGGCAAGGGGTCGAAGATTCCAGACTCCAAGGAACATGCAAAGACCATCTGTTTGTTGTGTGGTTTCAGCCCTGAAGACTGGTTGCTGCTGCCCCACGCCTTTGCTCTGCATCTTTCCTGAGGTCCTTCATCTCATTCGCGCTCGGCCAAAACATAAATCCACAATTTTATTTATGCCAAGTTTTATGCTAAATCCTGCGAAATGTCCCGCGGCTCGCAAACGCACATGTGTGGAGGATTCAAGGAACACCCTCATCAAACCCTTATCTCATGAGCTAGCTGTGTCCTCACCTTGAGGGCCATCCCGGCGGCTTTGTTTTCGTGTTCTCTTGACATGCTGAGAGCAATGGAATTGCTCGAGGATAATCGCGTGCCCAGGCCTCAGGGTACACGTTAGAGACTTGGTCTTGCAGACGGCCCAGATAATGTCTGTATAGACCATCACGGCCAGAGTATCACTAATAACTCAATATCAGCCTCGAATCTTGTATCGCCACTCGAGTCGACGTCCGGGCGCAGCAATCCCCGGCTTGATATCTCTGCAGATTCAGTAAGTTGTTCCTCATGTGATTCAACCCCTTGATCGCGATACACTGAGCTCATGTATGTCTTGAGCTTGCAACCATGTTCTCATAAAGAGTGCTTCGGCCTAGTGTATATAATGCCTGCTGAGGTTCTAGCTGTTGCAAGGATCAATTTCTGTCTCGAATTGCATCTAGTGCTTGGGAGGCACTTGCTGGTTCCCTTTCTGGCGCACCATGCTTGAGAATGCTCTCTGTTTTGAGACGATGATGGAATCTCAATCTGCGGTTTATGTCGCTGACTTGCTGCGACAGTTCCCAAAGGTGACGTGAATCGAAGCGTTTTCATGCACATATGTTTGGTGGGACACTGTAAACAGCGCAGCAGCAGTATTGATCTGTCCTATGTGCAGTATCTGTTCTACTTTAAGTGACTGGACGTTACCGAGGGCGAAAGGCGAATGACTTCTACTGCCTCCATGATACCTCTTCCTAGTCTCTCCCTCTCCCTACCAGACGTCAATGCTACCTAGGTATCACGACAACTAACCACTCCGCCGGACCACCAGCTTCCCAAACCCTAACCAGTCAACAAACACCAGATTCCATGCTTATCCCCCAGAACAGGCCGGTACCGGCCAAACAAAGCCATGTTACCAAGCACAATCACAATCGCCCTCTACAGTCTCCGTATCCTCCCATCTCTCGACCCCCTCCCCCTCACAAGTGCCACAAGTATCCGCCTCAAACCACCCACAGGCATTGCGATGTCCGCAGTACTCGCAGTCCGGATCACCACTGCAGCAGGTAATTTTAAGAGCCCCAAGACCGCCGAATGTCAGGTAATATCCCTTTCCGTCACAGTTGCGGCACTCGTCGCTCATTTGCACCGTGCGCTCCTCTGTGTAGAAGCCTGTACCGTTGCATATCTCGCAGTTGGGGTTTGGGCGGGGTTCGCGGGAGGCATCGCTGCTGGCGGAGCTGGCGTGGGAGGTTGGGCTGTCGGCCATTTCTCTCTTGAGCAATCAGACTAAATGTAGTGTAGCTGGTTAGGTAAGGTGGCTTCAACCAGGGCAGCTTTTGGTCCTCTTGTTCGAGGACAGTGTAGTTGGTTCTTACCTAGAGTTAGATATAGTTGGATTAGTATAGGTACTCGACGGAAAGAGGAGGAGGAAGAGAATGAGAAGAAAAACGAGGTGCACAGGTTGATTTAATCTCTTTCAGGCGTTCTGTTTGGTAGCCTTGTGAGCCTTGTAAGGCCAAGGCACAATATAAGTTCATTTTTCTCTGCTGGCCCCAGAGCCTTGCCAGTATAGTCAAGCGAAGCCTTTGGTGCTCTGCGCTTTATACCAAAGCTTTCATTCAGCCTTGCCATGCATGACGCGCTCTCGATGACTTGGGAGACTAATTATCTTGCGGTGCCAATTACTGCATGAACTAAACTAGCCGCATTCTCCTGATGCCTTCAAGCGAATATATCTTATAGACCAGAAAACAAATTCGCGCAGTTTTCATGTAATACTCTTTCATCATGTATCCGTAACCGGGACAAACCCCCCATCGAGCCCTAACACGACTACTCCGAGTAGAACAAACTCTATACCCAGGTATTTCCAATGACGGCCAGCCGGATGCCTCTATCAGCGAATGTACCGGGCTACTATAGTACATCAACAACTTGTTTACGATACTGCCATCGTGATATCTTCTTTTGACACGCTGAATACCCTGGCCAAGTAGGGTTTTGACTTTGACCTGGTCAGGAAAGTAAGCTTTTTATGATGGCTGTGTCCTATATAATTTGCTAAATAGTGTTAACTGGTACATCCGACCACAGGGTGTGGCGAACAGGGCTTCCCGTCCGCTCAGCCGTACTTAAGCCACATACTAAACGCGGTCAAAACCAAAGTGCCCTGGATCTTAGAATAGCGTCAGTTTCTGAGTTATGGTGAGTGTGGGTGATATGGGGAGAATTCCGGAGACTGGGGTGAGAGCGGGTAAGAATAGGGTGAGAGGGGTGAGAATACCAACTGCGGTGCGTTGCGTTATCCAATCTGCAATGGTAGAAAACAAAAGCCCGAGGGCGCATGTCCAGTCTGCTATTCCTATTTCTTTTTTACCTAGCTCATCGACCGAAGATGCTCCTAGAAGAAATACAAAAGAAGCTAGACGAGAGGAAGGCACGTGCTATATCACGTGGCTTACCTCACATTGGATGCGGGATGACTAACCCTGGAGCCTGTGGCCCCGCTCTCAGTATAAATACCGGATCTTCCCCACCGCCAACTTTTGTTCTTCAAGGCACATCTGTTCTTTGCCTATGGACAATGATGAAATACGTTCAAGTGAAATCCATAGTGTACCACCATGCCATCTAGCACCGGGCGGAATACCTGGATATACTTTCTGAGTCCACCTGTCCCATTTGCACACAACCAATGTCTTCTAGAGCTCTCTTTCATAATGAAACCCCATCTATCTAGAATCTGTCTTATTGAGGGTGGGAGTGTATGTGAGCGATATGGAAGACTAGAAGGGCGTAATCATGGACTCTGCTTGTTCGTTGGTTATATTATCACCTACTTTCCTTCCCTTCAGTAGATAATCGACACCTCCACGTCACCAATATCACAATAAACTTTATCCTTTACGTTTCTGTCCTTCTTGCTACGCAGACTTCTCATTCCTCTTCTTGTGGTTTTAGAGGCTGACTGGGAACAAGAGGACATTTCGATGCTCAAAACGCGTGCAACTTGAACTGAGAGACCCTCCCACGCGAATTCGAAGAACTGCTGTAAGGACTACTACAAGAACGAAGGGGGCGGAATCTGTTGAGGCACCAGCTGACTCAGACATCCAGGTCACCATGCCGTCCTGGCGGCAGGAGTGCTTGTTGTGGTTTCGAAGGCCACATTGCCGATCGATGCTTTGCGCTGCAGCCTGAGGTACGATGTCCGTCGTATGACAAAGGCCACCGGAGACTTATTAGCGAGGAATCAACGAATACAAGAAACCAAGAAGCCGATCTCCGTGCCCTACACCCAAGACCAAAAAACCGACGTCAAATATAGTGTCCAGAGCTAAGAAGAAGTCCTTGACAGCATAATTTGTGGCGTATCGTTTTTCGAGGACGATGGACTCGCTTTTGCGGCCAAACGACGACATTGAAGACCTGCTCGATATCCTATTTCCCGTCGTTGCCGTGCCAGAGGTTGCTACACACGACCCTATTCCAGACGTTGACGACGTGCCGGGGCTCATCCATCAAGTTGGAGCGGCCGTTGTTGCTGTCCCCGAGATAACCAAGATGATAAAAAGCAACAATATCCACATTCCTGTCGCCGATTGCTACGCTGATTGCTACCTTACGCTGAGAGATATGACAATTGCGAGATTGATACGGGATGAACCGTCGCTTTGTCCAGCAACAGAATCCGCAGGGTGTGAAATGGCAGGAAGCTCGAGTAAAACATGAGAATAGGCTTCCGATCGTGGTACACTTCGCTGTCAGCAAAATTGAATTGGTCCGGGCTGGGTCTAAGAAGAAGAGGGTTAGCTGCTATGCTAACTCAGGTTGGGCGCCAAAAATTGGATCAGTGTTGGTTCCAAAAAATATGTCACTCTCCCGTAGGGTCCACAGCAACAAGTCACTGGGCTGGACGAAGTGCCCCTCGAATTGTAGACAGTTTGATCACTGGGTCACACCACGCGGACGTAGGTGACCCTTATCCTGTTCTTTTGTTTCCTCATTGGGGCAAAGCAAACAGCACATAGTACTTACACTTAACTGTTGGCTCCGCGGGAGAGCCACCCCATCTCAGCACCAAGAGTATTGTTCCAGAAGAGGCCCGTGGAATCGCGTGAGGAGACTCTGCATTGAGAGGTCATAGAATGATTGTGTGAAAAAAAAGAAAGAAAAAAGCAACCACAAGAGTATGAGGATGGACATATGGAAGAAGGATGAAGAGGAAAAGTGGGAGGGAATGTCTTTAACACCGCTTGCACCTACAAGAGGAAGGCGCGATAAATTCTGAAATTCAGGGAAACTGCAACTATATAATACGTAAGATTTGATATGAGGGAGGGAGTAGTATGGCATTAATCATTGATGTTGATCATAGAGATTATACAGAAGAGGGAGAGAGAGAGAGTGAGAGTTGTATTCTACTCCGCTTGGTAGCTCTTGAAGGGCTCTTCTAGAGTTGCTGATGGTCACCATAACACGCCTTTGAGGTGCCAAATACACGAATAGCTCCAGGGCAGGCTTGAAAAGCCCGTGATTCATTGGCCCAAGAGAAGCCGTGGCAGAAGGGCATTCTCACTGACTCAATCTACAGAAAATTACAGGCAGATACTGCGGGATATACATATCGGAGCTATCACCAACCCAAATTTGACATCACACCATTCGATCAAGAATGAATCCGAGAAGCAATCCGACAATTCTCGCAAGCCGAGGACGAGGAGCATCAAGCAAGCGGAATCATAATATTCTGTCCATGATCTGTGGGGCTTGTCAAGTTCTAGCTGCAGAAACCAATATGAAGCGCCGGAGGAGACATTCAGCGAGAGTTCATTGCCGCGATGATCTGCAATTGAGGGCTCTCATTTGGCGAATTAAGTCATTTAGGTTGCGGGCAAAGGGAGATGATTTCTCGAGATTCGGAATCATCAGTTGCATGAAGCACTAGATGGAAGATCAAGTGAGTACGCCCGGATAACCGAGGTAACTATTTTGAGCAATAGAACCATCAGGCACAATGAGATAAAGCTTCACAGCAAATTAATTGAACCACACTCATTCAGAGCAGCAGAATTCGTACATATAGCGCTACGTAGCAAATGATGTCAGATAGACAGCGATAAATCACTTTCTCAAGGGACTAGACTGTTTGGGTCCTAAAATATCGTCCAACAACCCACTCCAGAGCTCTTTCACGACACCGGGTCCAGTTTCAGATCCGTTCTGTTGCTTCTGCGCGGCAGCGTATCTTGACTTCCCGACTGCTTCCGTCAGGGAGAACGGGTCGATTTCGACGGAGTCATTGTCAACGACCTCGGACATGGGACTAGCCGAGACGTCTGCACCATCGCCGGCAACGGTGTAAACTTGTGGCTTCATGGGGGCGCTGGAGGGGTTTGTGGGGTCGTACTGGTTGTAGATTTCGGAAAGGATCGGGACGGGGACGTCGGTTGTAACACTGCTCTCCGAGATTGAGGGCATATAGGCAAAGTCGACGGTGGAAGTGTCGTTGACGGCTTTGAGGGAGCGGGAGGTGTTGAATGAGCGAGTGGGAGCACTGATGGGAGATGATTGTTAGGTTTTGAATTCAAGGAAAATGCACAGCCGAGGGCCAAGGGGTATACGCACTCTGCTAGGGAGCTGCTGTTGATCCTCTTCATAGCAATGCTAAAGGCGCGAGACTGTAGGAAATCATGGTTGGAGAGACGTTCGACGAGCTGAAGGCGTTGTCAGTTAGGTTCAGTGATTCGGGACATTTGATGGGGAGTATATACCTCATCATGTGTTCCTGTGGCCCTCAGGGAACGCTTCTGACATTCGCTCTTGAGGTCTGCGATAGTGCGAGCGGAGTACAGGGTTGTACGGTCTGTGATATTGGCAGGTTGCGCAGACTGGGCGCCAGTAATGTGAAGACCGCGACGGAGGGAGGGAGATACTGTGTGCTGCTGGGAGAGCAGGCGGAGGGCACGCATGGAAGCCGAGCGGGGGGCAGTCATTGTGAGTGGTGTAGATGAGTTTGTGGGATGAAAGTCGTGAATGACGAGATATATAGCTGTCGAGCGTTGAGCAGAGGAATGCTATGTATAGTGGTGCGCCAAGAGTGGATGATATGTATTCAACCAGGCAGCGGAATGTAGGTACAGTGGAGCAGGATGCGCTCGAGTAGGGTAGAGTAGGATAAAAATAAGTCAAGGAAGACAAGAGGAAGAGAAAAAGAGGAAGAAGAGAGCAGCATGAGCCGGGGAGCTCGCAGTACTTGAAGGAGAGCTCCGTGGAACACGGAACCGTTGGGAGGATGTTGAGCTCTCCACTCTGCCGCAGCGGGTGGACGCTCGTCAGGACTGGGGGCTGGCGGTCTGGCCAAGTCGGCCAGATTGTTTAATAGTAGCGTCCCTAACAAGACTGATCGCTGAGTCTATCACTTCTGCTGGGTCAGGCGTACTCTCTGGAATACTGACATTCCATCTTTCCCACTTCCGCTTCCCTCAACTCTCTCCCTCCTTTTTCCTCGCCTGAAACAAGCACTTCTATTATTGGCCAAGACATGGATCGAGAACGGAGATTCATGGATTTGAGGAGGGGTAAATTGAGTTGACCCATGATCATCCGTCCAATTCAATTCATTTCCATCCACCCTTCGGCGACACAAGGAATGCATCATGGCTATCTCCCGCGTACAGTGCTGTGCGGGCCAATAGCCATCGATCAGGACTGTTTCCAAGAGGCAGGTTCTGTGCTTGACAGAACCCCTGGCCACTTGGGATTCGGGGATTACGGCGGATTATTCCAACTATTCTCAGCTGTCTTGCAAATAGTACCGATAATATTGATGAGCAACCATCTTTCCCCTCCTCGTGCTGCAGTGCATCAGATTGCGTTTCGTCAAACCTGTCCAGTCCAAATGGAGTGTGCCCCGGAGTCATCCATGGGATTGCATTTGTTAGTCTTTCCAGCCCGAATCGCTGTGATTCGAGCGTCGCGCCGTTTGTACAGTCATAATCACCGTCCTATTATTCATGCTACGGGTGTAGAACCCAGCACTCCGTATATACCACTGCGGTCTTACGCGTTAACTCCGTAATCTCAACAGCCAGCACCCCCTCTTCTGTTTACGCTGTAACGTCCCAGCAAGTCATGACGTGGAGGATCATCTCGTGGGTAAAACGAGCGCCGCTGCGGTTCCGTGGCTTTGGCCCTCAGCTCCTGATTGCAACCTCAAGGAAGTGCTTCGCTCAAATCAAGCACCACATGACTCTGCGAATCAGATATATTCCCTTACGTACAGCACGCCGTTCTCCAACCGTGCTCAAGAATACATTGTAGAATAAACAGAGCTAGAGTTACGGTGAACGGAGTATTTCTCAGACCCCCCCAGCGAATGGATTGCCGATGATCAATTCGCTGATCATTCCATGCTTACTCGGAGTATGATTACATTTACTGTGTAGATTGAAGAATAAGTCGGCTCCTCAAAAGAGGGCGGAGCTTGACTGTTTATGGGGAGAGGCTAGTCCTTCGGCCAGCCTCAAGAGGGCTCACGTGGCCTGTTTCACCGCCCCTCAACGAATCGAAACGAAGCAACTCGATCGGAGTTTCCCTGAGTTTCCGGTGGGATTCATGGGTTTTCTGTTGTTGAGCTCTTTGATTCATGTTCGCGAGTTCCGATGCTGGCTTGAGTCCTGACCTCCGGTCGGATTTCTTATCTTTTGATTACAGATTCCCTTGGATCTTACGGCTGGCCGCCCAAGACCGGCTCCGGCCAGTACATCGACGTATGTGCCATGTGCCATGTGCTGTGTTCTTCCTATTTTGTATAACGCTCTTAGCGTGCTGATGTCGCTGCAAACTGCAAACTGCACACTTCATGGCATGGTATCTAAATTGCCAACCCTATCGTGGCTGAGCTGTATCAACGTTATCACTAGGCAGCATCATAATAGTAAGAAGGATTAATCATCAATGATGCAACACAGTGTCTATCTTCATCGTATATGACCTGTCGCTTGGGTCTGCGATAGGCCATGCCTCGCATGCTAATCCCTGCACAGCGTCATGGTCATTGGCCAGTCGTCCCTAGAGCTTGGACATCTTTACGCCCCGACCTTTGGCTATTTTCCGAGCGTACGGATGCAAAGGACTTCCCGGGACGAGATGATCAATATCACCGGTGTTGACGAGATGAGGACCGGCTTCCTCAAGTGACGTTATTCCGTTATTTCGCATGGCCGTCTCTAGCTCATCTTGCATAACTGGAGCGCTGTCAGTAGATGAGAAGAAATGATACGGGAGCGAACATCTTACTGTCTATCAAATGCTCGACTCCTTCTTGACCGTAGTTGGTCGCAAACAGCATGCTGCGTCCCATACCCACAGCGGTTGCGCCGAGGCAGACAGCTTTCAGAATGTCTGTTCCTCGACGGATGCCGCTATCCACATAGATTTCCATTCGGTCGAATATCTCCGGACAGCGCTTATGGAGCTCGAGGAGTGTAACGATGGACGGGGGACTTGTATCGAGATTGCGCCCTCCGTGATTGCTCAACAGAATCCCATCCAATCCAGCTTCCATTGCGAGGACGGCATCATCTGCAGACATCACACCCTTCAAGCATACAGGAAGATGAGTATGCTTGCGAACCCACACAAGGTCTTCCCATGTCAGTCCGGGATCAATGAATCCCGCCATTACCCGCCCAAGCCCGCCTCCTTTGCTGTCATTCTTCGCCTGGGATGGCGACATAGGGACAGATAGACTCTCATCAGCCTTGACCCGCTCGTCTGCCTCTCGCTTCCCTGGCCACGCTGCATCGACAGTCACGAAAATTGCCTTGATATTGGGGTTCGCCGAGCATTGGCGCAGCAGCGCTGCTGACTTTTCGCGCTCCCGGTTGACGTATAACTGGAAGAAGAAGCTTGCCCCAGGAGCAGTATTCTTGAGATCTTCTATCGTGTAGGAGGAGTTATTTGAGACCTGTTCATTATCGTGAGGAAATACTCGTCTCAGGAGGGTTGGGCTGACGTACTCCTTGCATGATTCCTCTGCTTTCGCATGCTCGCGCAATGGCCCGCTCACCTTCTGGATGAATCAACTTGGCCATGGCCGCAGGGCTGACGAATAATGGGAGCGAGACGTCGACTCCGAGGATTTTAGACTTTGTATCCACCGAGCGAACATTTCTCAGCACACGAGGTCGAAACCATATGCGGTCAAAACAAGACTTGTTCGCGTCCCGTGTAATTAGGTCTGTCGCAGCACTGGAGTAAAATGCCCACGTCTTTTTACTGGCGGTTCTCGAAGCAACATGCTCAAAGTCATGCGAGTTTATCAAGGTTTCGAGTGGAGGTTTGTCATTTTCCCAGACTGCTTCAGGATTCTCACTAGCCGGTTGCTTGTGCCATTCCTCGTGTATTGTCGACTCATCGAGTTTACCTTTGTACTGCTCCGGAGCCAGCTCTGCCTTCAGAAGCCCAGGCGCGTGTACTTCAGAGTAGGCTTTGGTGGCATCGCGGCCGGCGTATTTGAGGATAACTAAATAGAGCATCCAAGTCAATGGGAAGCAGCATGCATTTTGGAACCTCCAGTCTCACCTGAGGAGCCCCCAGGGTGTTTTCCAACAAAGTCTGTAACGTCCCACACTTGATTATCGACAACGATCCAGCAATCATCAGGACCTTTGTGATTCGATATCTCGTAAGTCGACAAGAGTTTGTCTTGAGCCATCCTTTTTCGGATCGCACTAGTTTGCTCGGCTGCCAGTGAAAATTGCAAATGGAAGACACGGATTTCAAAAAGTCGCAGGTAGAGAGCCGGGCACACCGCCAGAAAGATGGGGTAGCGATGTGAAGTTATACGAGAGAGTGTCGGGCTAAGTGCGTCCGAGGTAGCACTGAAGCCCTTCGCAACCTGACCCGCTCTCCGCACTTCGTTGCGAAAATGCGGAGAATGCGCTTGGTCCACAACGGGAATAACTCCGCGCTCGGCATGCGTGAGTGAGGTGAAATCATCTTGCGAAATCTTTGAGCCTCATAAGACAGTGCAACAGACCCCCGTTTAGGATATCACTGCAAATATCAAGGGCGTGGTATTGATGCCCATAGTGCGGCTTGGTGTCGCGAAGAATCTGTTGTTGGTCTTGGGGACTGGCTTTCTCCCGAGACCCTGTTAAAGCGGAGAAGACAAGAAATGATAATCGCCAATCACAGAGAAGGGATTGGCATGGAATTCGAGTCTCGGTCGAGATGGCGGAGGTCGAAGAGAGCGCGATCGGATGATTCCCGAGTCTTCGTGCGGAGAGAGAGAGAGCCTGAGGCAGGATATTGAAATGTGCGAGCCACAGTGGCTGAAGCGCCAAGCCTCTCAGGGCACAACATCTTCGCCTTTTTGAGGTTATTCAAGTTGAGAGGCCCAAAAAAAAGAATCCGGGCTCAATCACTGCTTGAATTCTGGCTTCTTGACCTGCCAATGATCGGAGGCTTCTTTGTAGACGGCGCTTTGAAAAGACTGGGAAATACTTGTAGTTTTTCTTCTCTTTGTGTCCTTCGCAGAAGCGCAGTGCCCCGACACCTTTCCTGGAATACACGGGGTATGTACCTATTCTTCAATTTGTTGCATTAGCTTATCTGGCTAAATACTGGCCACTTATATTCATTCCTCGCTTCTGTGCAATCATTAAGCTTATAATTAAACAGTGTTTTCTACAAATCGCATCGTTCCTCGACCTGCTCCCCGCGTTCCTAAAATCGGCGAACGAGAAGGTCAGTGGTACTCTTCGTCGTCCACTTTCTCATCCAGAATGGGTGACACAAGTACTTCCCTAAGATATGTGGATGTACGTGTTCTCGCAGCCCGGCTGTTTCCATGACCAGCCTGAGGAAGCTGACCAAAGGGCATCGTCTCGGAAACTTAGATTGGGATCAACTTGAGTGATCCTGTATTCAAAGGGAATTATCATGGTAAACAGGTCCATGAAAATGACTTGGATGATATTATCCAACGTGCGAGGGACGTGGGCTGCCAAAAATTCATGGTGACTGGCTCGGACTTAGGGGAATCTAAGCATGCCATTGATATCGCTCGAAAATACCGTATTCTCGAACCACGCCCCTCTGTTTCTACTGCACAGGAACTAACATTCTCTTAGCGGGATTTTGCTATGCGACGGTCGGGATTCATCCGTGCCAAGCGAAGCTGTTCGATAGTTACCCCGGTGGTCCCGAGAAAATGCTAGAAGAACTCAAATCCCTAGCCTTGGAGGCGAAGAACTCAGGCCATGTTGTCGCCTTTGGTGAGTTTGGGCTTGACTATGACAGACTGTTCCTGAGCGCCAAGGAACCGCAGCTGAAGTATTTCGAGGCCCAGCTGGACCTTGCGGTGGAAATCCAGCTCCCGCTCTTCCTCCATTCACGAGCAGCCCACGAAGACTTCGAGCGACTCCTGACGCCAAGGCTGGAGAAGCTCCCAAAGCGAGGGCTTGTTCATAGTTTTACTGGGACACTAGAAGAGATGGAAAAGCTGGTGGCGCTTGGTCTGGACATTGGTGTAAACGGATGCAGCCTGAAGACGGAGGAGAACCTTGAAGTCGTCAAAGCAATACCGTTAGACCGAATTCAGATCGAGACTGATGGGCCCTGGGTAAGATCTCTTCGTTTATCCGTCTCCGACTCGCTCTTCACTTGGGTGTACCTGACCTGACTTCAACCCTTCTAGTGTGAAATCCGCCCTTCGCATGCTTCTTCGAAATTCCTACAAGGGGCACCTGCGTTACCAAAGGCAGTCAAGAAAGAGAGATGGCAGAAGGGCTTTATGGTGAAAGGTCGAAACGAGCCTGTTGCCATAGCCCAGGTCGCGCATGTCATCGCCGGTGTCAAGGGGATAACGGTGGAAGAGGTCTGTGAAGCGTAAGTTTCGCTTAGTCAATTTTGATCGCCGTCCTGGCTAATCATGTATGTATCAGCGCCTGGAAGAACTCGATTGGAATGTTTGGCCTTGGGGAAGAAAGCTCCTGATATCGTCTCTCTACAACTACCTTGCCTTGAGTCGGGTGGTGTCATATCGGTTCAATGGTTTATTGGGGCAGAACCTGTCTTGTACTCCAAGGCCGTGTAAAACGAAGATTGAACGTCGTCCTTGCTCTTGAACTAAGTTTTCGTAGGAGGCGTAGAGCCATGCTTGAGCAGCAACCCTTTTCTTGTCCAGTCGTTGGGACATAGGACCTCGCCTCCTTCCCTCTCTCCTTCCCTCTTCAACACGTCCTCCCATCTTCATTTACTTACTCTGGTGCTGCTACCATTATCCAGCTTATCCGGCTTGGCAGGCATATTCATCAAGCGGGACTATCATTTACCTGATATCATCTGTTCTGAGACTTGATACAGTAAGTTGGGTCTGATTTCGTTCTGCTGCTGGTTCTCCTGGAGCGTTTGTGCCGCTTTGTCCTCGTTCTTTCTTCCTGCTTGTTGAATACATCTCCTTTCAGTTATTGTGATTTTGGAGGTTTCAAGTTCTTTTTCTGCAAGTGCTTTCCTCTTGTTTACATCTCTTCACACCTCACCGCCCCATGCCTTCTTCACTTAACACAGCGGCTTTTCCCTAGCATATCTTCTGTAAAGCAACCACTCTATTACAGAACCTTTCTTTATCTCTTGCGTTTAATCCAGTTTTGACTCGTCCTCATCCTTTACCATGAATGCTTGGCCTTGAAATCGACAGCTAGGCCTCCGAGTCTACTGCCCTCGTCTGCTTCGTTTCTCCTGCTTTCCTCTTTTTTTTCCCTTTCTGTTTCGTTGCGCCGTTTACTGATTCGCGATTTCCTCTGAGAAGTTACGCCTTCTCGAATTCTTGGTATATCGCGGCAGTATCCCTCTAATCCCAAACGTGGAGGGCACAGCAAGGCATCTCGCTCGCGACGACCACGGAAACACGATCAGAATGTCCCACCCTTTGACGAATATAGATTTGAACGGCGCCACTCAGGACACTCAAAGTAAGTTGCTCTAGGCTCTATAGGCCGTGCTATCTGCCTATTTATTCAAGTACGTTCTCTTGCTAACAACTGTACTCCATAGCCGAAAAGCAGGTCGTCAAGGTCTCCTCCCCAGAGGCAATGCAGCCCAGCAAAGAAGCATCCAAACTACCTGAGAACTTTGGCGAGATTGTGCAAGGAATTTACCGCAGCTCGTTTCCTCTACCGTCGAACCTTCCGGCACTAAAGGCCCTCGGCTTGAAAACCATCATGTAACTATGCCCCTTCCAAGACCCGCTTCAACCTCCTGCTGACAGATGACTTTTAGTACTCTTGTCGAAGAGCCATATGAACAAAGCCATGAGAACTTTGTAAAAGACGGTGGAATTACGCATCATCGGATTGCATTCATTGCAAACAAGAACCCAAGTGTCAGGACTCCAGAGACCGTTGTGAACCATATTATGGAGATATTGCTCAACAAAAACAACCATCCGGTGCTTATCCACTGCAATAAGGGTAAGGTGAGTACAGCCAAATTTACGAGTCGCTTCCAAGGTTAACATAACAAATAGCATCGCACTGGATGCGTGAGCGCCTGTTTCCGCAAACTGCAGGGATGGGACTTGCGGGAGATCATTGATGAATATGTCCACTACTCGGGCAAGAAGCAACGACAGCTCGACAAGGTGTTCATCGAGGAATTTGATCCTTCCAAGCTCATGCAATTGACTCAAGCTTCGGGTGCAAAACTCTGGCGTCCCGAAGGGAGCCACTTCAATATCGAAACCGATACGGATGATGACCAGTCCAACAAACTTCACGAACTCCCTTGCAACGGCATTCCCGTTACTTAGACTCGAAACTATCGACTCCCCGACTTTCGCTACGGCATATGTGACATTAGCGGCGTTATCTGCATTAATTCGGACTATGGAGCAAGATTCTATTGATGGTGGCGTTTCTTTTTGTGGTGTCATCTACTGTTCAGAGGCTTATTGAATTGCGACGCAAGAATCTCGAAATAATACAGCGTTGACATTGAGACTATCTTGGGTTTTGTTGTTTCTTATCAATGCATGTACAATAAAGCTTGTTCATAGGGGCAGAGGAATGAAACAAGTCTCCCCTCCCACTTATTCGATCTTGAATAGGTTCAAAGTTCTTGGCTCGCGTTGTGGAAGTACAACCCTGGGTGCCTTTGTTGTCTTAGGGCTAGCCTCCACTTTGAACCTAAGGGTCTCCACATTTTGCACTTACATCTATTTCAAATATCAATTCCTTGACTATACACTGTATACAGCGCATTCAGAGATGTTCTTCCATTGTCTCGTTCAAGAGCATCTCACAGTCGCTGTTTTCCTCATCTAGTATTTCAGTCCAAGTGCGCCACCGAGGCGCCTGGCTCAAGAGTTCTTCTCTAGCATACCCCTGCATAATCACGTCCCCGTCCAATCTATCGACGTCACCAATTTCAAAGCCTCCAGACAAAAACGATCGCGACAGTCTTGGAGCAAATACAGTGGCCCAAGTTTCCGCCACCCCTTGGTCTATTCTGGCGTCGGAGTAATCATCTAGCATCTCCATAGGCTGCTCTGTTTGGCTGTTTCCGAATATCATGCTTGATCCGCAACTTCCAGCGTCGCAGACCTCGAGTTCAAAGGGTTTGTCGCCAGCGATTAGGTGGGGGTCGGCCCCGAGGCCGCAATTGGTGTAGTCATCGTAAGCATCACATAAATCTTCTGTTCCCTCCAAAGACTCCTCCAAAAGCATATCCTCATCTTTGTTCTGCCTATCCACTTCCATTCTAAGGAAGAATCGTTCATGATTCAGTTGTTTCGGCGTAGGCGTATTGTAAAGCTGCTTTTGAGCGATGCGCCAAAGGCTTTCCTTCAGATAAGCCTTCGTATCATCATTATACGTTGAGATCAACGGTCGATTCTCTGTTCGGTTTTGCTCCCTGGTGTAGGCGAGACGTTCTTGGAGAGATCGGTTTTTGCCGGGCTTTATCCAGTAAGCCATACATTTCGCAATGGACGGGATCAAACGCGCTCGTTGGTTCATGCCCTGGATGAAAGTAAGTTAATGTTAGATGCTGCACATAACCTCAACGATCATATAAGCTTACTTCAAGATATTGCGGCTTGAATACCGCGGGGGCTAGTCTAGATAGACCCTGGAAGCTCTCCGTCCTGGGAGAATTGTCTGGGCGTCGCCGGCGCACATGCCCCGATATCAGTGTTCTGAAGGCATCTTGAAACAGTTTACTGAGATCTGATGAGCTCACAACGCTTATTGGAGAGGAACTGTCAGGCTTCTGTCCTTCATCCACCTCCCTGGAGCTCTTGTCGAATATCGTGTCACTGCTCTTCGTAGCACTCAAGATGCTCCCCGGAGAAAGGTATACTCGATCGCTATCCAGGTCCTTAAACTCATGCAATTGTAGTATATCCTCGAAACATTGTAGATCTTCACTTGGAGAGGCGGGTATTGTGGGGGACGGCGCATACGTTCGGTCTCGATGGCTTTTGTGGTTGTAACCCAGTAGGATATCGACGGAGGTTATATATGCGGTTGGGACGCGAGGAGGAGGCAGGAAATCGCCAAGATTTCTTAGTACTTTCGGGACTCGACATTTTTTGGCCGCCTCGGTAGAATCAAGTCGTCTTTGTATTCCGAAAGAAAGCTCAATTTCCGGCGGTATCTGGTCCGGCGACTGTATACAGCTTTGGTAGAGGGCACTCAGTCCGAGCTCGGACCATATCTGTAGCGATTGTTAATATGATAATAGACCTTTTGAATAGGCTTGGGAATCTCAGCTGAGATTCCTACCTTTGCTTCGCAGATCGCATCGCCTAGTTGAGACGCAAAGTGCCCAATCAGGTCGTGTAGGCCAGGCGTGCACGCAATAGTGAGGTTCATATCGAGGCCGGGCGCTTGAGATACCCAAACGCTGCCGGAACAAAGAAGCTCCCTCAAGCGCCCCGGGTCACAGGGTAGATTTGAGCTGTCTGAAGAAGATATCGTCGCAGAAGCACGTACTGACAATTCCAGGTCTAACACCGGAGAAGAAAAGCTTCTCTCTCCGAGTTGTATGGTCTGGTTCATGTTGTATGCTCCTAGAAGCTATAATAAATGCACATATGATCATCTTGGAATGACAAGGCGGAATGCGATTGGAGAAGAGTAGGATGAAAAGGAGTAGTATGATCGAACTGGAAGTTGCGAAGATGGTCCACAATCATGACCGACACATACGGCTTGATTAGCTTAGCACCAGGCACATGGGCATATGAGAGTAACAGCATAGAAATAAAAAGGCTAGAAAATCTTCTAATCAAGCTGAATTTGATGTGATCAGATATGAGTGGACTGATCTGTAAATATAGTTCACAAGTTATATATTGGAAGGGTGGAGTAGCCAGTACAGAGAGTGAGAAGTCCTGCATTTGGCGCTGTACTCATTGAATAGACGCGAGTAGTACTAGCTACTAGTACTACTTTCTTTCGACCTACTTTACAATTCCTGCGCTTATAAGTCTTACATATAGTACTACTAGAAGTGGAGAGACATTCCGTCTTTGTGGACATAAGAATTGAACCTTATCGATAAGCCACCAATCACGTGTGCTGGTATCCCAGAACGTAAGATGGTTGTCCCAGCCAACCTCGATCACTTGTCTACTTCGAAGATGGTTCTCCTGAGCCACAAAACCAGCAATGCCAGATGATGAGAGACAGCAGTCTCCCCTGGCTGAAGCTAATCGGCGCACAGAGCCGGATTCAGAGCGATTTCTTTCTGACTCGTCGAGCGAAGACTACAATGATACCATTCATCCCAACATAGCCAACCTGACCCCCGATGAAGGTTCGCGATTCACCACCTCTCCCCTCTCGGACGGGGAGCGTCGCACTCCCCGGACACAGAATCGGGTGAGATTTGATATTGAAGACGAAACCGAGGATGAGCGCCGTACAAATAGCGACCCCCGTGACTCCGGAGACGTACTGTGGCTGGATGAGGAGGACTACACCCACACGGACAGGGGCCTCTCAGGGCGGCACCATGCTGGACAAAGTGTTCCCCTTCTGACGAACATTGAGGCACCTAGCGTGACCCTTGCCACGTCTGAGGAATTCTTTCCAGAGGAGCATCTCGAGAGTGCTAGGCCAAGAAGCGGAATGAAGATGGCCTTCATGAACATGGCCAATAGCATCATTGGCGCCGGCATTATAGGCCAACCTTACGCACTTCGCCAATCAGGCATGGTGATGGGGATAGTACTTTTGTTGGCGCTAACCATCACGGTCGATTGGACTATCCGGTTGATAGTGGTCAATTCCAAGCTGAGCGGCGCGGATTCCTTCCAAGCGACAATGCAGCATTGTTTTGGCAAATCAGGCCTGATTGCCATCTCTGTTGCGCAATGGGCATTTGCGTTCGGTGGTATGATCGCCTTCTGTATCATTGTTGGAGATACTATACCCCATGTCTTGGGTTCTCTGTTTCCGTCTTTGCGGGAAATGTCATTCCTCTGGCTCCTCACTGATAGACGGGCCATTATTGTGCTTCTTGTCTTGGGCATCTCATACCCATTGTCATTATACCGAGACATTGCCAAGGTTCGCAAACCCCCGCAGGCGAAGTTTCGTCGCTGACTGTTCTGTAGTTGGCCAAAGCATCTACTTTGGCTCTGATAAGTATGGCAGTAATTGTAGTTGCCGTGCTCACGCAGGGCTTCCGCGTTCCGCACGACTCCCGTGGCGATGTGAAGAGTCTACTATTGGTTAACTCTGGCTTCTTCCAGGCCGTTGGCGTAATCTCATTCGGTAAGACTCAATCACTTTCTGTTTCCTGCACCACCATGCTGACCACATGTAGCGTTTGTATGCCGTACGTAGCGAATAATCTCTCCTCAGGAACTCAGAATCTGACCCATTCAAGACCACAATAGCCTTCTGATCTATGGCTCGCTGAAAAAGCCAACGCTGGACCGATTTGCAACCGTTACTCATTACTCGACCGCGGTATCGCTGATTATGTGTCTAACCATGGGCATATCTGGCTTTCTCTTCTTCGGCTCACAAACCCAAGGCAATGTGCTCAATAACTTTCCGTCTGATAATATCCTGATCAACATAGCGCGGCTGTGAGATACCCTCCTCTCTCGAGACGCGTTCATGGACTGACACTTGATCATAGTTGTTTCGGATTGAACATGCTGACTACATTGCCGCTCGAGGCATTCGTTTGCCGGTCGGTGATGACCACTTACTATTTCCCTGACGAGCCGTTCAATATCAATCGACATCTGATATTCACGTCTGCCTTGGTGCTCACGTCGGTAGCGATGGCTTTATTGACCTGCGACTTGGGCGCTGTCTTTGAATTGATCGGAGCGACAAGCGCGGCTTCCTTGGCGTATATCTTCCCGCCATTATGCTATATCAAGTTGAGCAACGCCTCTCGGAAAGAGAAAATCCCCGCCTACCTGTGCATCGTCTTTGGGGTGACTGTAATGGGAGTCAGTCTCTTGCAGGCCGTTGGGAAGATGATAAATAGTATGTGCTCTCCATCTTTTGTGTATAGCCCGGGAGGCACCTGCTAACGACTCAATTTTATAGACGAAGGTGGGGCAGCAACTTGCAGTGCCTAGCATTGCGCAAGTGTACTAGCTTATGTATCCGACGCCTACTACATTGCGGCTCATCTATTGCAATCAATGTACATATAGAATTCAGCCTTGACTGATCTCCCTGACCTGATTAGTATTTCCCTCCCAGGGGCCTGCCTTTCTTGTTTCCAGGTGTCCAGTATCACCGACGGCTGCGCAGAATCCCGGCCACTCTTTAATTTTATTTGCATTCATTTAATATGTATACTGACCCTAGCCCAGAAAAGAATGGATATATTGCTGACTGGGACCAATTCCCGTATTGTTTACGGCCAGCCCCGTTTGCGTGTCCTAGGCAGATTGAGCTTGGTTGAGCAAAGTGAGCAGAATATCTGCCGTTTTCTGCACAGTCGCGTTTGCAGCATGAAACCCTGGCGACCACAACTCCCGACCTTCTTTCTCTTCTGCTTCCTGTCTCCCCCCTGCAAAACCCATTTCATAACAACCGTCACTGAAGAAGTCTAGTTTTCGCTTTCTCGCATCCTCATTGAGAGGTGGCCAGCCAGACATTGGATCTCACTTCGCCCTTTCACGAAAGGTAAATGCTAACACATGCTCCATGGTATCATAAGTGAAGTCTTGACTGACACAGTTTTCGAAGTGTTACCCAGCAAAACATCCTCTCCTCTCGTGAGCTGCCCATTTCATGTGGATTGTCTTGAGCATAGCTCTTGCTTCAGTTCACTTCCACTCCTTTTTATTTCTACCCTCGTTTTATCCTTCGTCAGCCTGAAGGAATAACACCATTCTGCGACTGCACTTTTTACCCTTGCCTATTCCACTCGGGCTTGACAGAATCATCGGTGTACGATATGGTAGAAACAGCGGCGGAGCGCCTGAACAGGCTGCAAATGGCAAGTAGTTCTTGCAGTCCTTCCAGATTCGTGGCAGATTGCTAACACTAGTAACACCATGTACAGGAAGATTTAGGCACGGCCCGCAGAGAATACATCTCAACAGTCGACAGAACGAGACTAAGGAACACACGGGTTGAAGTCATTGAGGCTACCAGAAAATCAAATCTTCCCGGATCAACCGAGCAGCGTATTGCCGGAGCGAATAAGTCTCGACTTGAAGGCTGGGCCAGTAAGCTCCCACTACCTGCTCCTTGCTTCTTGCAAATGCTGACATATGACCAAGACGTGTACAAGGAAATAGGCGACACCGGAGAGCTTGAAGGTCTCGATCCCCTCTTAAACGGCCAAAGTCACCGTTTGCAACTCAACGACACGATACGACAGATGAAAGAGTCAAGTCATGTCCCTTCCGGCAGACAGTTCGATGGCTTTGCGAAGACTTCACAAAGGATACCATCCCTTCAAGGTCCTACGACCAGGTCGACGTCGGCAGCTTTCCGTGGGCCAGGGCCACGACCCTTTGAGCCAAAGCAGCTTGCTGCCAGGTATGGCCAATTATCTCCGTCGAATTTAGGACATTCTAACGCTCAATAATAGGCCCGCTTCAAGGACACCACAGCCTGGACCAGGGCGTCCCCAATCGCGCATTTCACTTGACCCGGCACTTGACCTTAATAATGGAATCTCGAAAAAGACGTTCAAGAAGCAGAATTCGGCTGGAAGATCCACCAGCAGTAAGGGATTAACTCCTGAAACTCTGACCGTGAGAAAACTAACCGCAGCCCCCAAAAGGTGCGCCAAATATTCCACCCCTCAAAACAAGGCGGCCTATGTAAGTTCTGCTTTGGCCATGCTTCAACCGTGCTGACGCCACACCCATAGCTTTAATGGCCCACGGGCTATTAGCTCTCCCGAGGATTTTATGGCAGCAGCCCGCAGCAATGCCGCAGCGTAAGTTCTGAGGCTTCTCCACCACTTCGACGGATGTTATTTGACCGTAACAGAAAGGAAGCAGCAAACAGACAGCCGGCAAATTCGAAATCACCTTCTCAAGTTCAATCGGCATCCAGTGCTGTAAAGCCACTTCCTAACAGCCCATTTCCAGTTCGGAAGATCGAGTCTGAGGATAATGGTCACTCCACGTTGACTAACAAACACATGCCTACTGATCCTGATGCTAATCTTGGTTCAGAAAGCTCTAATCCCCGCGAACAGAAAGCATCTGGAGATAATGGCTCTTCCACGTTGGCGAAGCAACCGAAACCTACCCAACCTGCTATTAGTTCTCGCTCGCCGAGTTCTGACACTCCCAGGGAAGACTCAGCAGAAACTTCTGTTGACCAAGCTAGCCAAGTGAAGGACGAGCCTCATTCCAAGGAGCCTGCTGTAGCCGATCAGAAAGTGATTCCAGTCACATCCGTCCAGGAAAGCGCTGAGTTACTACTTGATTTGAGTTGTGCCACGCCCGGCGAGCTCGGATTGGAGCCCGGAATGAGCCCAGCCCTGGTAGAACTGCAAGGCTTGGAGTTTACACAATTCACAGAACCACCAGAGACCCCTATTTCAGGCCTACCAAGTGTTAACAGAAGACTTGACTTTGGAAGCACCGAAGCTGAATCAACTGCGGCGGAAATTGATGAAGCACCTTCTAGTCCCATAGACGAGGAGCTTGCTGCAGAATATCGGCGTGAGATTGATATAATCTGCAATCTTCTGGAACAAACAACCTTGACAGATACCTTTTGCTCCAAATTAACGGAATGCAAAGAGGAGCTCGAGCTTAGGCTACGACTGCGGCGCGCTCCCAAGAGCGACGTGGAACATAACGAGCAACTTTCAACTTCCAAAGCTCCTGTGTCTGAAAATCCTGAGATCTCCGCCTCTGCTACCTCTGAGAACGTAGCGAGAGCCAGCGGTGAATCGTCGAGCCCTTCAACTGACACACCTCGTTCTCAATCTCGTTTGAATGCTACGGCCCCTCAATTCACGCCGCAATCATTCACGCAGTACCGCTCCATATCGAATGCTACTTCCACCGACTCAGCGGGGAGTTTCCAGCCCACCCCAAGCAAATCCTCCCGTCAACCGCAGCCAGAGGGCGCTTGGAGTGAAACCAGTGAAACCCAGGTCAGCCAATTGGCAATCGACCGGGATTCGTCACAACCTCGTCCCGAATCTGCCCCGACTGATTCTACGGTTATTGTTTCTAGAGTGTCTGATTCCAGTCTGTCCACTCACATTTTTGGGGACCACCTCCTGCCCGGCGGCAGGACCAGGAAGCCAATAGAAATCAAGAGAGCAGAAGAAGCCAAGCAAACGGAGGAAAGCCATATCATTGGGGACCACTTGCTTCCAGGGCGGCGCGCAACACAACCATCGACCACAAAGCCAGGTACTCACACAGTGGCTTGCTCGGTCCTAGCTCGTAAGTGTCAACACACTCTTCTCTTCTGAAGCCATTGAACCTGATTTCCTTTTCTAGACGCAGCCGCTCCAAAACCAGGCCACATAAGCTTCTCCCTACCTCCACCGCAACCCAAACCCGCTATCCAGAAAATCGCTGTACCCGCGAAGTCTCCAAACGGCTCTACATTGGCACCTAACGCACCTGCGTTCAAACCATCTACTCTTTGCCTCAGGCCCAGCAACAGAGCAGCCACCACTGGCCCAACTACTGACATCCTCAAGCCTGCGCCGGCAATACTGGAGTCAATTCACGCCCCGAAGCCCCAGCCACAGGCAACTTTGGTTTCAGCAGCGCCGAAGAATCTCTCAAATGGACACGGGCTTCAGGGTTCAAGATATGCTGACGCAAAGTGGCTCTAAAGATCTTCCATCTTGTTTCCATGGTTCCCTTGCTTACCCGAGTGCGTCCCAGAGGAGAGATCTAGGCTGAGGGAAAAACCACGGCGGTGTGGAACTTTTCCTTTTGTTAGCAGTGTATTTGTGTCTCAATTCTCTCTTCTATGATCTTTCCTGTTTTCCTTCGTCTTTTCTGCCCCGGTTTAGGGTTCTGCATGTCATAGCGGCCAAATAGTGCATATGGCATACGAACTAATGGACATACGTCTTGCGCGACTTTCATGCCTTTTACCACACAGCGAATAGGACTGGATTGTTTAATATTCTACTGGCTCTGAATTTAGGGCTTAAGAACGAAGACAGGCAATGTGTGAAAACAGATCAATAAAGGGCAACTTTCGAAGTTACAAACCAGGTAAATGCAGTCCAATGCATTGCATCTAACCACAAAAGCAACATGCAGACGAGGTGGTTCAAGCTTCGTTCCTAGTTCAACCTGAACGCCGAGTCGCCCCGGTAACTCCAGACTATAAAGACCAGATACGCATCTGCAAGCACAGAAAGAGAGGTAAGAATTGATGTCTAGATTTCGAGATCTTTAAAGAAGGGTATAAGTTGCGGTTGAAGGGCGACCTCAGCGCTGTTGCGGTGGGTGTGGGTGGGTTTGTTGTTGATGCTGTTGTTGATGGGAAGTCTGGTCAAGCCTCGCTCGCTTTGGGTCATTAACAGCGCCTATTGGAGCAGGCCCGCTGCCACCAGGCATAGGTGCATTCGTCACGTCGTTTAGAGGAGGCCGTTTCCCGTTCGCATTTGGCGGTCCCAGCTCAGGCCGGTTCGCCGCCAGGTTGTTTGGCGCAGCCTTAGGGTCGAGATTTGGTCGCGTAAGCGGACGATAGGATGATGTTGTTGGCCCTCTGTTCATAGGACTGCCAACTCCGCTACCACCTGGAGCACCAATCTTTCTATGCATGTCCGTGGAGGGATTGATAAAATCGCGCGGTTGGTTTGCGGCTGGGGATGCACCAACTAGCATTGGCTTTGAGATCGGGACACTCTTGGTGTGGTCGACGCCTGCTGTTTTACGAATTGATGGGCTTTCTGCATGGGGATCGAAGGCCGGAGCAGAGGTGGCGGCACTGTGAGGGTTGTCTCGTAGCATGTCGACTCCGCGGGCCGAGAAGAATCCTACAACAGGAGGTCGTTGACTGTCAACCCCTGGTGTGCCTGGAGCGGCCGTGCCTTGCGCTTGGGCGGGTTGAGCGTTAGCGCCAAACTCTTGTTTTATTGGAACCTGAGCCACCGGGCCCAATGCTGTACTGTCATAGCTGGTCCGTTGTTGCCCGGGAGGAATTTGCATGTTCTGAAATTGTCTGGGTGCGTCCTGAGGTGGAACAGACCGCCGTTGATTTGCGTACTGATCTTGCACCGCCGGTGGGTACGGTTGGCGGTGGGTAGTCTGATTAGGGATCAGTCTAGCACCTTGGATTTGGTTCATCGGCCTCTCTGGCTTTGACGGTGTAACGACACTGGGGTTAGTCCGTGTTGGCGCGCCGGAAGCGTAGCTCGCCGGCCTCGGTGGAACACTGGCTCTGGAGGCTGGTGCTGGCGGTTGATACATCCTTTGGGGGTCTGTGTCTACCACAATCTCATCCGGATTACCGCCGTCGCCAACGTTGAAATCGGTTTCATCAAACACATCACCTAGGTTGGTTAGCGAGCTTGAGATATGGACATTAGGTCATGCCAACCGTACTTCCGAATTCTGCATCAAGATCTTGCAAGGAATTCTCGACTGGTGGGTTCCCCCTTGCTGCCATTCCAGGACGGGGTGGTAAGTCATCGTCATCTGGAGGTGGTTTTGGCTGCACCGGCTCCCTTTTTATAGGAGCGAAGTCCGGATGACGATGGAGTTCATCAATGTCTAACTTCGCCTACAAAGCATATTAGAACGCGGAGAGATTGAGGACTTGTAGCCAGCGAACGTACCGGTACTGTCCTCACTTTGGTTACCTTGGAGATGTAGTCCTTATCGTATATACAATTGCCCAAAACATTGCCGAAATTGCGCAGAGCACGCTTCAGGGCGTCTGTGGTGGCTTCTTTCTTAGCCTTTTCGAAAGCTGCCGCCTTGCCTTTGCAGTTCTCGATGTGTCCATATCCGACATCCTGAGTTTGCCCAATGTTAGCGAGGTGCTCTGCAAATCGTGCCTTGGCCACGAAAATGCTAGACACTTACCTCATGATAAGCCCCATCTTTTAACGTCACCCGCACTATCACAGATAAACCTAGACTAATTTTCCCGGTGTTCGGGGCCTCATCCACCTATAAGGCAGCGACTATTATCAGCAACCGCGGAATGGTACAACAAGAGCGAGGCTTGATCCCCCAGTAGCAACGTACGAAATCAATCTGAATGTTTTGAATTGAGCTCGACCACCCGTTGAATCCGAAAACTTCATTCGCAAGGTTTATGCATTTGTCTGCAGAAAGGTAATGCACTTTCTGGCCAGCAGCACCTGGTCGTGAGGAGATGTATTCCGGTCCTAATTTCTTCTCGAGGCGGGCTTGCAGGGTGGCAATTTCGTCGGAGGTGTATTGGTTAAGGCGTGATGGAGATTCTTCGAATGGATTTTTGGTGATAACCCCTGTTGCATTTGGCATCGTGATGGTCGCCGGGCCGCTCTTATGCTGGTCGCCGACGCTGAGGACGCGGGACGCGTTAGTAGCCAACGGGAGGCATCGATTTCGGGCTGGGGGAATATAAACATACGCTGGCATGTTTATGGTTATAGATAGATTAGTCTATAATGGGTGTTATTGGAGACTGTGTGTGCATTTGGACAAAAGATACCTCAGATACGAGGTTGTAGGAGGCTTGCGGCTTGGGTTTGGACGCGTCGGGATACGCTGCCCATCGCGATATCACGTGACCGCCTATCGTCAGACATCGCGGAAGTCGATGAGTTCTTCATGGGAGGTTCTTGGGGTAAACCCTGTCGTCTTAAATTCTTAATTGTAACTTGAACTATATCTTCTGAGAGTTGTTAGGTTCAGCTGCCTTGCCTAGACCAGTTCCGGGCCAGGCCAGTCATTCTTTGGCGTGCATTTCTCATGTTGTTTGAAACCTTCTATATTAGGTAATCTCTCGATGACCGATAGAAACACCAATGCTCTTTCAGCATAGAACTATTCAACGACAAGGCTTGCGCTAGGTACAAGCCCAAGATCCTTGAGCGATTCGCCGAAAAATTCCGAATTGAACACCTTCCGAGGGAAGTTCTGGCGGAGGCTGTTTACTTCAATCCCGTCATCTTGCTTTAGAGCGGCGACGACCTCAAAGAGAGTGGTATCGACCGGCACCGTCTTCTGGATGTTCCCCTTCCCAATCTGGAACCGAAGACGAGTTTCCGTGTATGCGGACGCCGGTTTAGAAGCAGCGGGGGCTGATGGTGCGGATTCTTGTGCAGTTGGGGGTGCAAGTCCGGCACGCTCAGCCTTCTCACGCTCCGCCCGAAGTCGTCGCTCTTCCTTGTCCGCTTCGATTCTGGCCTTAACACGGCGCTTGGCTTCGACCTCGTCCTGCTTCTCCTTCTTCTTCTGGGCGGCTTCTTTCAGCATTTGCTTTCTCTGGAGCTCCTCTTTAGCATCCTGGGATTCCTTGGTAGCCTTTCTTCGGATTTCCTATCATAGGGCCCATAGATTAGCAAGATTCAGACGAGAGTAGCTCCAAGCCTCCAGCCCAACTCACTTCATTTCGCTTTTTGTCGATCTTGTCTTGTTCTGACTGCCCTGCACGCTTCGCCGCTAGCTTCTCCCTCAGCTCTTGGAGTCTAGCCTTCTTGTCCTCCTCCGTCAAGGGCGCAATTTCTTCTGTCGATTCAGAGAAGTCAACATGTTCGGTTTTGGAAGCGTGGAATTCCGCCTGTGCCTGGCTTCGGAATTTCTTGCCGCATTCATTGCAGACCAAACTGCGGGCTTCCTCGCCGGGTTTGAGTGCTGGGCCTTCTTCCTCCTCCCCAGCATTTTCAGCTCCTGCTGACTTTATCTCCTCGATTGATTTGTCCTGATTGTCCTCAAGCCATTCAAGGGCTCCTTGCACTGTGCAGAGACAACAAAGCGTTAGTACGAGGTGTAGTGAATTGGGCAGAGACCACTCACGGCGGCCACTTTTTTTCACTGCGATCTCGGCCCGCTCCTTATCAAATCCCATCTCAATGAGCTGATCCAGGTCGGAAGTAGTCATTTTGTGTGTCACCGAAGCTTCAATTCTTGAGGTCAAACGAGCTGCGGAGGTGTACCGGGGTGAGAGCGGGGTAAGTTGTACGAGCTGAAAGCTCTAATATCTTGAAAGATTGGCGTAGATAAAGGGTGGCGTGGCGTTAGATCTGTCGGGAGATGTAAAAGCTAGTAAACCTATTGAGTGCTGGCGTTGGCGGGATTCTGAAAAAGGAAGAGCCAGGTGTTAATTGAGGTGACGTATGTATCGGTCAAAGCTAGAGGCGGAGGGCGGGATGCGGGATGACCCGCTTGATCTGGTTGTCCCTCACGAAGAACAAGGGCCCCGGGCAAGGCACATCACATCAACGGCGTTCTGGACTTTCAGGCTTTTCTAACTGTCGCACTGGCCTTGCTTGGCACTGATAGGACCCCTGTTTGCTACGTCCAACCTTAGGTTATTGATGTCTGCGCGCAAGCCATCTTGTACATTTTCTATTGGAGATGGTATGATGTGAGATACACTTCCATGGCTTCGCAAATTGCCAATTCCTTTTGCGGATCGCCGAAGCACTTCAAGCGTGAAAGAAAAGATCAGTTGGACTTCCGCATACTCCAGAATACTAGTATGCGGAAGCGATGCGCCGAATGTTTGCTGTAACGGGTGGTTCAGTGATTGTCCAGGGAAATGGAGGTACCTACCCATCAATATGGACACTATCTAGGATAGTAGTAGGTTCCGGCCATTGACTGGAATGAATGAAGGAAAAAGACGTGGTCATCGGGAAGCGGAGCGCCGACTTGGAAGCTGGACAGTATGATTCAACAATAATGGTGGCCATCTGAATCAAGAGGAAGTTACCAAGGTAGAACCCAGAAATCGAGAACGTCCTATCACATGCCCCATGGATGAAAGATGGTTCAGGACCCGAGGATGTGAAGCGCTGGCTCCGACCCCGAAGGGACTCTATCAAGATATACCCAAGACAACGGCACTGCGAAGCACTGTACTGACAAAGGATAAAGTAAATAAGTCAACGCTAATATAGAGTCTTGGGAGATGTCATTGTTTGTGCGGAGGACAAGCACTGTGCAACAAATGATGACTTCACTCGAGGAGGAGGGGCTGAGTCAGCATCCCCGGCCCAACCAGCAGCCGCGACGCTCTTCCCCCAGCAATTAATTTGGTTGCGCCTGAACTCCGGCTTCAAATCACAACTAACAAAGCTGTCTGCCTCCTTGAATCCCTATCTCCAGTTTCGAAATCGCCGCTGCCCTGATCCCCTCTCCGCCATCAGGTACCACAACTCTCGCTGCAACACACTGCTGGGGGCTTACTCTGCGTCAAACAACTCGTCCTTCTCGGGCTGATACCCCCCGTGTGAACAATCTCCCAGTCGCTTGAGGTTTCTCTCACCCACAAACCTCTCTAACCCTCTCAATCCGCCATGTCTATCCTCCTTGACCCCGCCGACTTAGGCTTCAAGCGTACGCCTATCACATATCGCTCTCTACGACATCGGACTGTGCAAGCTGACTTGGGAACTAGGCCCCTTCAACCGTGAGGTGTGCCAAGTCTTGCACCTCACTAATAACAATCAAGACGCTGTTGTCTTCAAGGTATGCGCTTGTAAGCCGTCCAAGTTGATTTCAATCCCAAGCTAACACGTGGTTTCTCTTTCAGGTTAAAACCACTGCACCCAAACAGTACGCCCTTATCCCGGCCGGCCGACCCTGGAATATCTACTAATTCCTACACAGTTATTGCGTTCGACCGAACTCCGGGCGGATAGAACCAGGAAAACACGTGGAAGTGCAGGGTAAATCTCCGAAAAGCGGTTTTGAATTGAGTAGAGTGGTTGACAAGGTTATAGTGTTACTGCAGGCGATGAAGGATGAACCGGCCCCTGACGCCAAATGCAAGGACAAGTTTCTTGTTCAGACTGTGGCTGTCACCAAAGACATGGAATTCGCCAACGTCTCGTCTATCGTACGTTGATCCGATGGTTACCCGGTTAATAGCGGTTACTGACGCCCACGTAGTTCGAAAAAGCCACAAAATCGTCTATTCAAGAGCGCAAAATCCGAGTAACTTGGCAACCCGCCGACGACCCTTCAGCTGAGAGCCAAGAGGAACCGAATGGCACGGTGAGTTGTGGTTCTGGGTTCTCGAGAAACTATAGGTGATTGCCTTGACTGACGTATTGCGCATCTAGAATGTTACCGAAGAAGAACCCCCCGCATATTCTTCCCCCAAGGGCAACTATGAAACTCCCGCTGCTCCTATTGCTAAAGGCACCAACGACTCATCTCCCATACCTCCGCCCGATTTCAACGACAGCGACAAGCGCGAATATTCCACCCCGCAAGTGAACGAAACCAAGGCAACGTCAGCGAAGTCCCCGACAGCAAGCAGCGGAAACACGAATGTTGACTATGAATCTCGGCTGTCTGACGCCAACGCTCAGATCCAGCGCTTGAAGGAAAAACTCGCAGACCAAGGCTTGAGGCAACGAAAGATTGGCGGCGAGTCTGACAAGTCTCCTGCGGCACTTGTGCAGCAACAGGCACAGTCCATCGAGGCTGGTGTACCTGTGAAGATTGTGGCCGGGCTCTGTCTGCTAAGTTTTCTGATTGCCTACTTCTTTTTCTAGCTCTCGCTTCCCTTTCCTGCCTACAACACAATACCTCTTTCATAATCGTCTCACAAACCACTTGCGTTCACCTGAACTGCCTGCCTTCTTTCTTTCCTTTCCTTTACTGTCACCAACTTATGCCCATATCTTTGACTATTCCCCTATGGTACGCGGCCGTACGGTCCGAAAACCGTGGCTCCAATGTCGGTTCATGAACCGTATCAATCTGACGATACTATGAAATCAACGGTGGGAGATGAGTTCGCAAGACAAAGTTCACTGGGCATGTCGAAGATGGAAAAGCATGCCAGTCCCATGGTCTCCGACCAGTGTTCCTAATGTGCACAGTCTGCTCAATATGTCCCCCGTTTCCCTCTACTCGTCCTCTCGTTGACGATTGATGTGATTTCCATGTTCAAAGCGAGTATCAGTTTTAGATGATCATGCGCGTTTCTAGCCAGGCAGTCCCAAATAATAACGATCATGTTCCTGAATAATGATTTCTTCTTTCGGCCAGAGCTATTTTTATTGGGTCCGCTTAGAGTCATAGTCAGATAAGACGCTTAAGTACAGACATACTATACGCCATGTTAAACATATTCTCGGCCATACAGGTACACACTACATATACCTAATACTTCATGCGGAAAAGCTCCCGCCGGTATACCGGCTCCGTTGAATGGCCGACAGCCACTGAGTTTGCACTATGTACTCGCGCGACTTTTCAACCAATTTCTGACAGAGAGGAAGGAATGGACAATAGACGGACATCACAACGCTCAGTTCTGAATCTCGCTCTCTTTCCACCCGTCACCGGACTCGTCGGGCCCAGCGGAGATACTTTCACCTGCACGGCCGTTGTTATTGCCACCACCGCCTCCGCCGACAAGACGACCGCCCTGCTCCCGCTTCACACGGCACCACATGCCGACATTCTTATCTAGAATGAAAGTCCAGATAACCCAGACCCAGCTCCGGTGGCAGGGCAATGGCTCGTAGAACTCACTAGCGATCCGGTGGAGAGCATGCAGTCTTGTCCATGGAATAGCAGGGAAGTCGTGATGTTCGTTGTGCAGGCCGACGTTGTAGGTGAAGATGTTGAGGGGCCCGTAGTAGGAGTATGTTTCTGGCGGGGGAAGAGAGTCAAGCGGGTGTGGTTTCTTGACCGTTCCGTCCGCGCCGGACTTTTGTTCCTGAATGGATTCTGTTCCGTGGTTGACCTGCGAGAAAAAGTAGTGCTCTGCGATGAAGTGGCCGGCGCAGGGGTGGAGAGAGCCGGCGAGGAAGGAGCTGAAGAGGAGGTAGAGGACTGGCTGGAGGGAGCCGTTGCAGAGGCGGGTTAAAGCGTAGTCGAAGGAAAGTTGAATGATTAGGTTTAGGACGTGGATTATGGTGAATGGTGGACTGTAGATGAACATGGGGCGGACGGCGTAGAAGAAGATCTGGAAAGTGCAGAAGAAGGCTTTGCCAAGAAGAGAGTCTAGAATGAAAGCTTCGAAGGCCGTGGGGAGGTCTGTATCAAGGCCTGCGACGCCGAGGGACTTGTGGTGGGTGAGATGGTAGGGCTGCGAAAGGTCAATTCATAGGCTCCAAGGATTCTTGATGTCCCTTCAAGTGAGGACAGGGAAGAAGACGTACCCTGAATGCGGCGCTGTACGGCAATCCAATGGGGAGATTGGCAAAGATAGCCAAAAGCCGGTTGGCCATGGGTGACCGGAAGGCCAGGTTGTGAGATATTTCATGGATAGCGAGGAAGAGGTTCTGATTCGACGTTGCGCCGATCACATAGGCCGTCAAGAAAAACCGCCAGGAGAACATGGAAGTATCGCGGAGAAGGTATGCGCAGCATATCTGCAGCGAGACGACACCGAGAACCACATATTTCGTCAATGGCTCGGGTCCGCAGAGCTTGGTTACCTAGTGATAGTTAGCCCTTTGCTCCAAATTCTAGTCGAGCAGCGGAGATACCTCTGGGTGAGCCTTGATGATTGCTTGCCGCCTTGATCTGTGAGGCTCCTCTGTATATGTCCAGAAGAACTGATCTTCTACGGAGGACTCTGGAGGCGGCGCCCTGACTGAACGCTCTTCATTCTGTGATTCTGAAGCTCTGCGGAGATTCTTGGTGGCCGACACGCGGAGCTGCGGTGTAGCGGAGGTTTCGATGGTGGAGGTCATAGTAGGCGGAGGAAGAGGATTTTTCGAGGAAAAAAAACCGGAAAAAACACTTACTCCATGGAATAAGACAATAAAAGAACAGGTAGAAACGTCAATATATAACGAGGCAAGCGAGTGTGGTTCGATTAAAGAAACGAAACATGGGAGAAGGTCGATTCTCGGAACCTTTGCCTTCCACGTGGGGCGCGCCAACCGCTTGGATGGTTCGATCTACAAGAAGCAAAGTCCAATTATACAATGCAAAATGTGATCGCTTTTTGTTTGTTCTGACTTAGTAAAGCTATTCATAAATTCATGCATCCAAATACTCGTCCAATGTGTCCTTCAGTAGTCGTCTCCACGACTAATCACCTCCTTTACGGTAGGTCGGAGCACAATTGTCTACGGCTATGGTTAGCTTCAAATTCAAAGTCATCGTGAGCATACTTCGTAACTTACATGTTCATACTGGGCTGTGTATGAGCCCTTGATGTCACAGAGAGGCGGGTAATCCTGGACAATTCCAGACTGAACCAGATTGTTCAACTGAAAGGGCGTAAACATTAGCTAGCAGCCCAAGCAGGGATCACGTGGAACGCTTACGCCTAGGAGGTATTTATCCTGGCCGAGTCGATCAAGGTAACGGCGACACCACGGGAGAGTGCCAAAGTTCTTGTTGATCACGTTCAGTAGGTTCTTTGCGGAAGACAGCCGCAGGGGGACCTGGGGTGCATTGGGGATCAGAGCATAATGAGAGGTTTCCATCTGTTATGCGTTAGTTCAAAATTGATTAACGGATACCAATTATTCGACTTACATCATCTCTCACGTAACCCTTTCCAGTACTACCAAAGGTTTCAATGGCGAATACTTCACCCTCCTCCATCTTGGTCTGGTCCCCACCCTTCACGATGGGGACACTCTTGCCACCATGGATAACATGCTGGTCAATGTTATGACCGTTGAGGTTGCGGATAGCCTTCACGGGGTAAGTGGTTCCGTTGATCTCAACTTCATAACTCTCCATAGTCTCTTGGATGGCAGCACCAATATCGCTCATGCGGACATCAATTCCCGCCTCCTATAATGAATCGTCAGCAAATATATCTGAATCTTGGCGATGAAGAGAAACGTACGCGAATACCGGTGTTGGTCGCATCCTTGACAGCCTCAAGCAGAGGATCGTAAACCGGGTCAAAAGACATAGTAAACGCACTGTCAACGATACGACCATTAATGTGGGCACCGAAATCGACCTTCATCACATCACCCTGCTGCAGGACCATCTTGTTGCCGGCATTCGGGGTGTAGTGGGCCGCGCAGTGATTAATGCTCAGACCGCAAGGGAAACCCATGCCACCCTTGATGTTATCACCTTCCTCAAGACCCTGGTGGCCGGTCAACGCACGGACGGAATCCTCGATACCCTCCGCAATCTCCGTCAGAGTCTGGCCGGGCTTGATGTTCTTCTGCGCATACTGACGGACCTGACGGTGCACCTCAGCGCCCTGACGGTACTCCTGCAGGAAGTCATTGTTCATGCGGTCAAGGTAGCGCTTTTCTTCGTTGGTTGTGCGGTATGAGTTTTCGTTCTTGTACTCTTCAATCTGGCCTTCAGGATACTGGTTGTTCGGGAACAGGCTCGACACCGGGACTCGAGGAGGAGAGCTCTGGACCTTGGCGCCCCCCTTCTTCTTCTTCTTGGACTTGCGCTTCTTCTTCTTTTTGGCGGCTATTACTCCGAGGCACCTAGTTAGCGGCGATGCGGAAACATAATAGCAAAGGCGGTAAATCCACGCGTACCTCCATTGGCAGCACCATCAGCAGCTGGGTTAGCATCATCTGCATCATCGTCTGAATCGTCCTCAGCCTCTCCGGCTTCCGCTTCGGCGCCCGTGGTTACGGCCGCCTTCGAGTCGCCGTGTTGACCGTTCACTGCGGAGAAGGATGCCTAATTAGATGCCGGGTGAGAAAAGAATTCGGTAAGGGAAACTCACGGTCAAGCTTTTGTAGCTTCTCCTCAGCTTGAGCAGCCATCATGAGAAGATTGCAAAGCTCGTGGAAGACCGGGCAAATTAGGCTGGACAGTTTATGGACAGAGGAAAAAATGGGGCGGGGAAACCGCAGCGGTTGGTTAATGAGCTGTGCCAAGCCTGAGGCAACCAACGCTGCGATAGTATCTTGAAATGTTGGATCTTGGAGCCCTGACTGTGGGGTTTAACAAGATAGATGCGGTCAATATTTCACGTAGTACTCGGAGTGCAGCAATATATATAAGGTTGGAAAAGGTAGAGTTCGCACTGCTGTGTGACTGGACTGGTGTTTTAAAACATAGATCATTTTTACTGCGCACGTAGTGTACCGTCAACTAGACTCAATAACTTGAAACTATATACTTGTATCATACAGTATCCTCATAGTCTACCCAGACTTTCTCAGTTCAATCTTGAAATAAGTATTGAGAATATAATGATTCAAGCACAATTCAGGAAAGCCATCCGGAAACCGATGACGCAGCTCCTCCGATAAGCGGCAAACCCCATCGCTCAAGAAATGTACTCCATACCCCAGCTCCTCTATTTCATCCTCATTCTGTATCACTTGTTCCCAAGCAAACACATAAAGGCATGCCTCTTCATCGCCATTTGAGGCCATCAGTCACTCAATTCCTCCTTGATAGCTCTCACCGGCCATATGCTACTCCTGTCATCTATCACACGAAGACGGCCTCGAGCTCTTGCACGCGACACCATGGTCTTCGACATGGATATAGCTACACACGAAGGCTCCTCTTCTCAACAACATCACATCAATTCCTCGCCTCAACCCGGGAACCAACTTATTACGAAATCCTCGACGTCCCCGTAACCGCCACCCCCTCCGAGATCAAAAAGTGCGTTTCTCTTTCGAAAACCCGCCCCCGTCGCATACTGACCTCTGGACAAAACAGAAAGTTTTACTCCCTCTCTCTCCGCCACCACCCAGACCGCAACCCAGACGATCCAACAGCTTCCTCTCGCTTCGCCAAAATTTCCTCCGCCTACAACGTTCTCAGCAACGCCGCGAAACGATCAACTTATGACCGCGACAACGGCATCCACTCCTTCACCTCGACATCGACACACTCCTCCGCGAACCCAGGCCAACACCCCATGGGCAGCCACAGCAGCCATGGCTACTACCACAAAGGCGGCGCATCATATTTTGGGTCCCGGCCTGCGAGCGGGCTGAGTAAACGGCGTGGCCCGTTCCGTGGGCCGCCGCCGAGTTTCTATGCGCATGGCGGGTATGGGAATCGGAAGGCACCGCCGACAGGAGGGTCGGCTGCGGGGTCTGGTGGTGGTGCTGCTGGCGGCGCCAAATACAATGAGGATGATCCGACTGCTTTTATTGACCGAAACCGGATAGGGCATTTTAATGCGAAGGGACACTATCGAACCCAGACTGCGGAGGATACCCGACGCCGGGAGCGCCGGTCCAGGCATTCGGGAGCCGATATGAATGATCAGTATATCGGGGGTAGGAGCGACTTCATTGTGCGATTCGTTGCTGTTACTGGCATTCTAGTGGGTGCTTCAGCGTTGTCAGGCTTGGTCCGTTGGCCTCAAAACCGTACTGATGTGCTGGACAAGGCGACTAGACCACTAAAGGCAAAGGACACCTGAGATAATCGCTTGCCCACACATCGCTATACATCCATGACCTGCGAACCCTGTCGTTGAGCGACATAACACTGTACATATACCATATTGATAGATACTGGAGCTAATCGGTTGGGAACCTTTCTTATATGTGTCAAAAAAAAATAATAACTAGAGCTAGCTATCACATTAGAGCAATATTTCATGGCAAAGGGGTACATGGAACAAAGGAAATATAGTCTTATTGATATACAGTTGTCGCCAATGACTACGGTACATGATCAATACCTAAAATCTAGATATCACAGCCAAACCAACCTACACCAATACTCCTGCTCTGTATATAATGAACTACCCGAATCAATGTGCTCCTAGAGTATGAATCCTAGAAACGAATTGACAGTGGGCCAATCAGAGAGTCACTCTAGGGAACGCCCAGGGTCTTTCTAATTGCTGCGCATTGGCATATTGGAGCAAGAACATAGAGGAGCAGATGTAGTCTTTAACAGAGAAATTTGCAAAGAAACCGCTTAAGCCTCGAAGGTGAAGCTGGCGCCAACCTTGTGGGCGGCCTGGTTAAGGTTCTGGGTATCGAAGGAAGCACCGAGGCCAAGGGTGACACCGGGACGGAGGAGAACGTTGTAAGCCAAAGCGGCGATACCACGGTCGTTGATCTTGACCTAGATTAAGAGAAAGGCATTGGTTAGCGTCGCATCAGCCCATTTTTTAATCCAGTGTACATACCTTGGCGAAGGAAGAGGGGTCGAGTCTGTACTTGCTGGCAACCTCAAGACCGACGGAGTTACCGGCCTTGGAGTCCCAGGTAGCCTTGGCACCAGCCTCAACCTGAGCGTTGACGCGGTGGTAGTAGCTGGCAGAGAAGACGGTCAGGTTGTTGGCAGCGGTGATGGCAGCAGAGTACTGGGAAACGCTGTAGCCGACGGCAGCGGAGTACTTGGTGATGGCGGCCTTCTGGACGTCGTAGCCACCCTCGGCACCGACGAGGAAGCCTTCGTGGCCCAGGACAGCGTCGAAGTTGGCGGAGGGACCGTTGAGGAGGTCGAAGAAAGCACGGGCGTGCACGTTGGGCTGCTTGAAGTAGAGGTTGAGCTTAGCACCCTTGGACTGCTTGGCAGGGAGGTACTGGGTCAGGATCTCAGCCTTGAGACCCTTGGCGATGTTGTTGTCGAGCTCGAGCTTGGTGTCGAGGGCGTTGGCGGTGGTCCAAGCCTGGGTGAGGGTGAGGCCTGAGCAAGGACAGATTATTAGCATCAATCTATGTTCGGCAACCCTTGACGCGAGAATGACTCGAGTGGATGGGGACAGGCGCTGGGAACATGTAATATTGACAACCAGGCCTTTATCAGGTCTTTTGGGGTATTTTGGGTCGGGTGGCTTCCGCTTGCGATCATCATGGGGGCGTTTACCAGTAGGAGCATCGACGTATTTAGCCTCGAGCTAGAGGGAATGTCAGCATGTAGTTTCATGAAACAACAACATTTCAAGCTATGGGCCAAACGTACGCTACCAGCGATGGGACCGTCGTGGGCAGACTTGCCCTTCACATTGAAGGTGACGCCATTGGGGGCCTTGGACTTGACCTCAAGGCTAGCTGAAGAATTCAATCGCAGGTTAGCTGAGCTCGTGTAGGGGCGTCGGAGCTTGAAGCGCAACAAGACTGAAGCTACATACCAGCGCTGGTGTGGTAGAAGTCCTTGTTCAGGAGCTATCGCAAACTGAATTAGCATCGGGATCCCGCGTTTTCCTCGGCCGTCATCCCCTTGCGAAGAAAGGCCGAGGGATAGACAACACATACGTCGTTGGCCGCCTTGGCGATGTCGGAGAAAGCAGCAGGAGCCATTGTATAGGATTATGTGAATCAAGACGGTAGCGTCCGACGGTATGAGAAAAGCGTGGAGAAGGAGGAGTGATGAAAGATGGGAAGAGAAGAATCGGATGGGGAAAGGATCACGAAGCAGGAGGTTGAGTTTCCAGTTGCCAACCCAAACAAATGATGGGGAACCCACGGGAAAAGCTTCCCGCTGTGATTGGCTGCTACTCGGCTGCCGGTAAAAGCCGCTTGATCCCGTGACGTTGATGCCGATTGGTGCCTTAAAAGTGCCTGGGGCACTCTCCGTGCTCCAGTCTGTTTGTTGAGCAAGTCCTTCTTTATTTTTCCGGTCTGATGCCATGGATTGTTGCTTCCCCTACATATGACTATAGTTCTTTGTGTCTCGGATCATACGCAGTTTAAAAAGTGTCATATGATGACTACCCTGCATTTTACTCACAGTCGGCACACCTATGGCTCAAGGGCACCAGGATAGCTTGAACAATCAAACATGACACATGATGGCAGACTAGCCTAAAACTATAACGACAGTACATAGAAAACATCATGGATCGATACACAATTTGGGAGAAGACAAGGACGCCACGTTCAGATCCCATTCTGTTTTGTCTCAAAAGAGCAGGCAAGAGTTGAACAAAATTGCAAACCAGACGCTGGTGACGCCGATAGAATCCACTCACATCAGTTGGACGAAACTCGCTGTGCGCCCCTAATGAACATCTCGGGATATAACATCTATGCATGCTTCTATACCTTAAAACAAATCCAACAGCATATTTTTGCAAATCGTTGCTATCCAAACATCTATTCGGCGTTGTCGTACTTCTGGTTGTGAGTGGCGATGGCTCTAGAGAGAAGTTAATGGCGTGAACTAAACAAAATCAAGTGCCGCAGACATACCTTCCACTGGGGTCAGATTGCTTCGACCATGTGGGGACCCAGCGCTCGACTGTGGACGCGCAATACGAGGGGAAGTGCTCGTCGAACATTGTGCGGTACCAGTAGCTGCGTTCAGTTAGCCTGGTGCCCAGAAAACACATATATGGGAACAGAAACGTACGCCTCCTTGGTGTCAGGGATATCACTACCCCACTCGGGCTTGGGGTTTTTCATCATCTCATCAGTGACGTGAAGCTCAGCATGGTCCTTCAGACCATCAATCCAGCTGTAGCCGACACCGTCGCTGAATTGTTCCTTCTGGCGCCAGAGAATCTTCTCAGGAAGGTAAGGCTCGACATCGGGCTCGTCGGTGGTGTCGAAGGCCTTGCGCAGGATGTACTTCTCAATGCGGTCCTTGGTGATCATCTTCTCCTTGGGGTCAACCGCCATGCATGTCTCGAGGAAGGCCTTGTCCAGGAAGGGAACACGGGCTTCCAAGCCCCACGCGGACGTTGACTTGTTGGCTCTAAGGCAGTCTGCGAGGTGCAGGTTCTTCACACGCCTAACAGTCTCCTTGTGGAACTCCTCCTTGTTGGGAGCGGCGTGGAAGTAAAGGTAGCCACCGAATATCTCGTCACTTCCCTCACCACTCAGGACCATCTTGACTCCCAGACCCTTGATCTTGCGGCTGAGCAGGTACATTGGGGTGGAAGCACGGATGGTAGTCACATCATAGGTCTCGAGGTGGTAAATGACGTCGGAGAGCGCGTTGAGACCATCTTCAATGGTGAAAGTGAGGGCATGGTGCTTGGTTCCCAGGAACTTGGCCACTTCCATGGCAGCCTCGGTGTCAGGAGCACCGGGGAGGCCGATGGAGAAGGATTGCAGCTGCTGGAAGGAGTTGACCGTGGAAAGCTCGTTTTCGTCATCGATACCGACCAGTTCACCGTTGGCCTCGCTTTTGACTCCTTCAGGGTGAGCCTTCTGCATGCGGGTGGTCTCGCGCTGGGCAATGGAAGCGACCAAGCTGGAATCGAGACCGCCAGACAGCAAAACACCATAAGGCACCTCCGCCATCAGACGCTTGCGCACAGATTTCGTGAGCGACTCACGGATAGCCTTGTAGTCAATCGGGGTGGAGGGGACGTTGGTCGGGTCCCACCATTTGGGCTGGAAATACCGGGTAAATTCACCGGTGTTGGAGTCGAAAACATGGCCAGGCGGGAAAGACTGGACCTTGTCGCAAACGGGGTGCAAGCTCTTCAGCTCAGAAGCGAAGTACACAGCCCCGGGAGTCTGAGAGGACCAGCCGATATAGAAACTGCAGACACCAATGGGGTCACGTGCCGCAACAACCCTGTCTTGCTCCTTGTCGAACAAGACCCATGCGAACATGCCGTCCAGGTGCTTGGGGGCGTCAAGACCATATTTCATGTACTGAAATGCCATCAGCGTCACTCAACCACAACCAAATCACGCAGCGCAAACATTTCCTTCACACATACCAGCGGGATGATGACTTCACAGTCCGAGTGTGTTTTATAGTTGTACTCAACATCCAAGGTCTTTCTCAGGATGCGGTGGTTGTAAATCTCGCCATTGACAGCCAGAGCGAGGGAGCCGTTGTCGTTGACGAGGGGTTGCGCACCGGAGTCTTGAAGCGAAAATCAATCTTAGCGAGGAGTCGAGGTGATTATGCGAAACGAAGGAGGAATGGAAGAGGAACGGAGGTGGTGTTCAGGGTTTGTCCGGACGGAGTAGGGTTACATACCGACACCGACGATGCACAGGCGCTCGTGGCAGAGAACTGCAAATCCAGTCAGCTTTTTGAGTTCCCAAGTTCTTTATGATTCAACAAGATACTAACCAGTCTTCTCAGCAATGAAGCTTCCACCTGTCACTGTGTGTTAGAATCCTGTTCCTTTCAGAGGCAAATCCATGACCGCATGACTCACTCCAATCGGGACCGCGATGGCGCACACTGCTGAGAGTCAATCGCAAATCCACATACCAGAGATGTGGAGGATGAGAAACACTTACGCCTTGGCCATGCGCAGGGCCGTGGGCTTGAAGCCCTGAACGTCAGGGTGACTGGCGCAGGAGAATTAGCATTGAAGACGCGGGGGAAAGTCGTCCGCGGAGAGCAAAATGACTGGAATGGGAGAAAAAAAAGTTGGCAGCCATACCGGTGACACGCGAAGATACCGCACATGGTCAAGGAGCAATTGGACGACTCTCTGAAGAATATCGAAGGCTCAGAGGGAAGGATGCTCTGGTAAAGAAGAGTTGTGTGTGAATTGACCGAGTTGTAGAGGGCCCAGATGGAGGGGAACAAGGGAATTTTTAAATGTCAACGAAATACCCAGGGCCCCGGTCCCAGTCGGCGGGGCGGAAATCGAGGGGCGATTTCGGCCTCCAAAAAATCTGGGAGAGGGACTGCACCACTGCACTATTGTGACTGGCTTGACTCACTCGCCTCAGCTCCCGATAAGATAACCTCGCTCCATTGCGCACACGCTAATTGGCCAGCTGCCACAACCCAATCCCGGCCTATCTTCAGGAACTAAACCAACTTACGATGGTGTTTTACTACGTGAAGCTATGACGCAGATTTTCTTTTTCTTCGTCTTGCTCTTGAAGATCTAACCGGGTGCACGCATGGGGTAAGGCGGTCGCCTGCTTCTTCACCTTGGTCAATGCTGAAAACGGTGACTGGCCTCGGCAACCGCCGAAAATCCCCCCATACACTAACAGAAAAAAAAAAGGATGCGCTCATGACTTCAACCCCCATACCATGCCGATTTCTTCCACTGCCCTCCTCCCTCACCGAATCCGTACAGGTGTGGGATCTTCCGTGCGAGCGAGAATAAAAGGCGCAAAAAAAAGTGGAATGCACGCGGATTCTGCGGAAGTCTCGCTGGATTGAAAAGAAGCCCTTCATGTAGGAAAAGGCAAAAACGCCGTCCACAGCCTGACTGATCTGCCGATTCTAGTACGCCACGCTAAGATAGAAAAACGAGATAGAACCTGTGGGAAACGACCATGCCGCGGGAGGTGACCAATCATCGTAAAATGCGGAGTATGAACTGAACACTCGTGACCACTGTGTACTCAACTCCAATGTACACCGAGAGCAGCCGGCGCGGAGATGAGCTTCTGGTCGCTGGGTGGCCATATCCTGGATTCAACTTCATGGCATGTTCCAACCCCACGTAGAGGATTGTTCAGAACCGCTATACCCGCCAACATTCCGGTGAATAGAAAATGGAAATTGAAGCGCGGAAACGATGCATTTCTTCAAAACCACCCAGCTCTATAAAGCCGGGTTTTCCTTGACGACCTGCCGAATGCGCTTTTCATACGCTGGTTTATCCTTCTTAAAGAGGTTATAAGCTTCGGCTTGAGCAGGCGATTCGGGGTTCGGGTCGTTTAGCAGATCCTGAATGCCGAGCAAGATCTGTTTAATCGTAATGGCAGGCTTCCAAGCTTCATCTTCGTTCAAGATGGAGAGGCAGACGGTTCCCGACGGGTAGACATTGGGGTGGAAGAGCGGCGGTACGAATTTGCCTGTTCAGAGAAGCGGTGGTATTAGTCAATCTTGTAGCAAGAAGCCGCGTGGTAACACAGGATAGGCGGGGGTTTATCTCCATGGCCAAAACAATGCGGCAAGATGAAGAGCCTGAAGAAGGAAAGCGGACGTACACTTGGGAGGCTTGGTAGGATACTCTGTGTAGAAAAACATGTTAGCTTTTGTGTTGCGCTTCAAAGACTGACAGACAGGCGCCACTCACCATCCGGAAAAATGACATCTAGCTTGAATAGACCTCCTTCCCATATGGTTTTCGACTTTCCCGGAATACCACATTCCCAGCGCTTCAAATCTAAGACACCTTGAGGTGTTCGGTGTGGTTTCGCGTAGAATCCGAACGGGTGGTCGCGTCGCCACTGCTTCCTGCGCATAGAAAGATTGCGATCAGCTTGGTGCGGGGCTAACACGAAGAAAGCAAATAAGTAGGCAGAGTGAAATAAGAGCCTGCGAAATACCTCTCTTCAGTTAAGCGATTCAAACAGAGCGACATGTTGAGTCAAAGAAGACCGCGTGGAGCAGCTGTTAGTGTAATAACTTTCTAGTGTTGCTTGCGCAAGAGAACGATAATCTGAACGATGCGAAAAAGTGAGGTTGTAGGAGACTCTGTGGAAGATGAGGAAGAGCTTGATCCGAGAGAGGAGCAGGTTCTAGCAAGAGGTAGGTAAGGTGAGCGAGTTGGTTACTGGAAGATCAACCAAAGCTTGAGTCGAGGTGAAGGCTGAAGTGAATTGAGGCCTGAGGCGAACACAACCTTACGATCTGAATCTCCCCCGCGGCCAATGATCGTCATCTCAGTCACATGATAAGATATGTATAGATCTGGAAATCGACAAGTACTGGAATCAAAGGTCGAAGAATTTGGCTAAAGTCTATTCCATACGTTTGAAGTATTTTGTACTCGCGTATCTGTTAATTTAACTAGAAATAGAGGCTCCATATGCGATCTGTATCATTGCATGAGTTGTAAACAAAGAACTGTTGAGCTGCTGGCACAAAGGCAGTGGTCTAAAATCAGATATGCACATTCCTTTGGTGGTGGCTGGCAACCACACATTTTCTTCACACATCCCCACAGCTATTTTTGTTTACTACGCAATAGCGTCCCGAGCAGCTACCTATACAACCCTCTAGCTCACCTTACCTTTCGTCTTTGCGACCCGCTCCATCACAGCACATCAAAAGAGGCTTTTCCATTCAACTGAACGCTATCGATCGAGCATCCACATGAGCAAGAGAGAAACTCAGTAATAGAAACATCATGTGCCACAAGATCTCCTGGTACCACGCCCTGTGTCTTCATTCTGATCACGCATCCACTGTCCACATCTGTTGCGAGACCGCCCTCCATTGCAGTTACGACTGTGACCTTGAAGAATCATGGTCGCTCCCTATACTTGGAGCCTGTCGTTTGTGCACGGTAAAAGCGGCATTTGCGGAGAACCTTTCACTGGGCAGCGAACTATATGCCGTTGCCGTTTCTCCCGTTGTTGAAGGGGCTGAAAAGGTGGCTTTGATGGGAGACGATGCGCTCTGTTCTTTCGAAAAGCATAGCGAGGCCGCTGTTGACGAACTAGAACTGTTTGACCAAATCACATTCTGAACGGCATTATAAACCGAGACTCGGTCTGTGTGGAAGGGCGAGCATTGATTCGGTCTTTGATCGTTCGCCCCAGGAAAAGTCAATCGTTGGCGTCATTCGAATATAAGCAGCACCAGACGAGTCTTAATCCACCCTGAATGCGGTACACCACTGAGTCTCGATTGATCAATCCTCGTATATGCCTGCCTCAAACTTGTGTGTGTCGAAGAAGCGGGCGGTGATTTCGTTCCCATTGAATATACGACCTTCGAGAGCGTTCACAGCCTGTCACAATTAGCAAATTTGGCACCTGTACGGATGTTGGCTGGCGAAGAAACACTCACCCTGAGAGCAGAAAGTTGGTTGGTGAATTTGACGAAGACTGGGATAGGACCTTTTGAATCACGGGAAACATAAACGCGTTCAACACGACCATACTGGATACAGTTAATACCGTGGACATAACAAAGAGAGCTTGATGATTACCTTCTCGGAGCACTCCTCCCCAATCTCTTGCATCAAGCCTCCTCCTTCTTGGCCTGCTAGTTCGGCATCCACGTCCATACCGTCCAGCATTCCTTTGAGTATGATAACCTCGCTCATCGGGCCGAACTTGCCGACGTCTTCCTCCTTTCTTGCGCCACCGATAATCTTTCCACGCCCAGCGGGAGTGACAAAACCACCACCCTCCGAGTCCGGTCGCTTCTTGCGCTTTTCAACCTGAACCTGCAGTGGCTTAGCAATTCCAGAGCCGGTAGCACCCAAGCCGGAGCCTTTGGTCCACCCATATTTGGCCAGCAACCTCTGAGCGAACCCTTTCTGGCCGGGTCGAAGGGAACGTTGGCCATTATCTTCCGCCTCTTCTTCGGCCGGCTGCTCCTTGGCGAAGACTTCTTCGAGTTCCGCTTCTGTTGCAGGAATATCCTCAGGAGGGGGTGGAAGAGTATAACGGACTGGTGCGCGTGATATTGTTGCGGATGATGCTTGGATGGCCTCAAGGGACCTAGATGGAGCTGGCGGAGGCGGGGGTACAGGCTCTGAAGTCTGTTGAGGCTGCGCAGAAAGCTGGAGTCGCCGCAAGTATGCGTCTTCACCCGTTGGGTCGTCCGGAACAGGAGCAGCTGGCTCCTGGGGCGGTGATGGTGGAGGATCCCGCACAGAGGAACGAAACATGTCATTGAGGTTTGGGGGTGGACCAAAATTGCTTGGTGGTGCAAATTGTCCTAAATCCAGAGTCAGTAATTAGGCCTCCTTTCAAAATGAATAAGCCAGCTTACGGTTCATTGGGCGTGCATAGTCATCATCGCTGTACGAATCTCGGCTCGGCGACCTTGCCATACGGTGTGCGTATAATCGGTCCTTCCATTCTCGAACTTCCACTATTTGCTCGTCGCTGTGTCTGTACTCTTCGTAGTTGTTCGGCCTTGATGGGTCGTAGATATCATCCCAATTCTGCACAAACTCTTGCGTTTCTCGGTTCTTCTTGCGCTTCTTGCGGCCTCCTCGCTGTCTCTTGGGCCCGGAGTAGAACTCGTTCACATCGTCCTCCTCGGTAGCTGCCCAGTCTGCGAGTGTGGTCTTGACAGTAGCTGTATTCGGTGCTGCAGGGACTGCCTTTGGTAGGTTCGGCTTGGGTTTCGGTTTTTGGTTCGCCAATTGGGGGCGTTTCGTCGGTTGAAACCTGAGAGCTATCGCGAACACTTAGGGTCAGCAGGGAGACTTGCAGAGTAGGCGAAATGACGCATACCATTATTCATCTGCTTCTTCGCAACCGACTCGTCAACCGGAGTTTCGCCCTCTGAAGCTTGCTTAAATACAACAGGCGCGCGCGAGATTGTGCCAGGCGTACTTTCGGCGGCCGGATCGAGCAAATTGGCGTAAAGAGACAGCATGCCGCGGCCCTTGTTAGACGTCGAGTCAGAAGCCATGCTGCGAAAGTTTTGAATCTGCAATCATGAGAACATTCCTGCAGAAGTTGAAGCTCATATGATTGAAATAAGGGTCCCCATTTGCGGAGCAGTCCGCTTGCTTTGTTTGTCTTGCTTGGCGCATTTGTCGGAGATGTTATGTAATCCTCATTGAGAGAGGAGGAGACTCGGCGATCGGGCCGATAAGGATGACGAGAGAACAAGCAAAATGATGGCACCTCATCGACCGTGCGGAGAACGAGGAGGCGACCCATTGCCGACCTGTTTCTCCTTAGTTTCATTCTTCACTTGACTTCCTGCTCATCCATCTATTCGTGTTTGAATCATAATAGCCACGAAATGGCTACATTGGCACGCTCCTTCTCGTCCGATGGCTCGGATGTAGCTGTCATTGTTCCCCAAAATCCCGCCCTATCGGTAACTTATAGGCAGCTGCATTCCCATATCTCCGACTTCCAGAATAAGCTGGCTAAGCTGGGTGTCGGACATGGCGCTGCAGTGAACTTGGCATTGGTAAACTCCTATGAATTCATTGTCGCCTTTCTAGCCGCGTCCTGGCAGCGCTCAATCGCTGCTCCCCTGAATCCTGCTTACAAGCAGGACGAGTTTGAGTTCTATATCGACGATCTCAGTTCGACCCTCGTTCTCATACCCCGGGGATCATACGCCCAGGATGGCCCCGCTGTCCGCGCGGGCAGGAAGTATCAAGCGGCTATTGCTGAATGTTACTGGAATGGAACCGAGGTTATCCTTGACGTCAAGGAGCTGGGCAAGCTTGAAGGGAAAGGAAACGTGGGAGTTCAAAATGCGCAACCTGATGATGTTGCTCTCGTTTTGCACACCAGTGGAACAACTGGCAGGCCCAAAGCTGTACGAGTCTCCCGTTGTAAATCCAATGACAAGTGATGTTGATCATGCGACAGGTTCCACTCACACACAAGAATCTAACGACCACCATGAGTATGTTGTCTTGATCAACCTTTGCCAGAAAAGGCCCTAATTTCGTCTAGGAAATATCAAGGCAACCTACAATCTCTCCCCGGCAGACCGAACGTATCTAGTGATGCCCCTGTTTCACGTCCATGGTCTCCTCGCCGCCTTCCTGGCTCCTCTGTACTCGGGAGGCTCAGTCATTGTGCCCGCTAAGTTCTCAGCGCACGAGTTCTGGTCCGATTTTATCAAGTACAAAGCGAACTGGTACTCCGCTGTGCCTACAATTCACCAAATCCTCCTCAAAACTCCATTGCCTAACCCCATCCCTCAAATCCGCTTCATTCGCTCATGCTCGTCGCCCTTATCGCCAAAGACATTCCAGGATCTTGAGAAGACGTTCAACGCCCCCGTGCTTGAGGCTTACGCTATGACAGAGGCAGCGCATCAAATGACCAGCAACCCGCTTCCACCAGCAAAGCGACAACCAGGCAGTGTGGGAATCGGCCAGGGAGTGGAAATCAAGATTATTGACCAAGCCGGAAACGAGGTCCCGCAAGGCGCAGAGGCAGAGATTTGTGTCCGTGGAGAAAACGTAACAAAGGGATACCTGAACAACCCCGCCGCCAACGAATCCTCATTCACTAAGGACGGCTTCTTTCGCACCGGTGACCAAGGCAAGAAAGATCCCGATGGCTATGTGATTATTACTGGCCGTATCAAGGAACTCATCAACAAGGGCGGAGAGAAGATCAGCCCGATCGAACTGGACAACACCCTGCTGCATAACCCCAAAGTTGGCGAAGCGGTATGCTTCGCTATCCCCGACGAGGGCCACTACGGTGAAGACATTGGAGCAGCCGTTGTCTTGAAGAGCGGCCAGAATGCTACAGAGACGGAGCTGAAGTCGTGGGTTGAGGGAAAACTCGCGAAATTCAAAACGCCGAAGCAGGTAAGCAGTAGAGTACACCCATGACGTGGATTAGTCCAGTAGATACTAACACGGCCCGAATATTCTATAGGTCTGGATCGTCCAGCAAATTCCCAAGACAGCGACGGGCAAGATCCAGCGACGCAAGGTGGCCGAGGCCATGCTGTCGAAGCCCAAGGCCAAGCTGTAAAGTCCTCGACAGCGTATGCTACACATACATACGCGCACATATCTAGTTCTAAACATAAAGTAAGGTCGGGATGTAGAGTTTATATTTGTGTCCATATGACAAATGCAATGCAATGTAGATAATAAACCTATGACCCGACGCGAACAGCAGCCTTGAACTGTACGCAGGGGCAGTCAGCACGTATCTTGCTTTGCAGCGAAAATCCCAAAACGTACCGGAATAACCTGCGCAGCATCCAAGTCCCAGACATCGGACTTGACATAGATGTCGTTCTTGATAATCTCCCACGCCTCCTCTTCCGTGTCCACGATGCAGATTAGCATGCTTCCCTTGAAAGAAGGGGTCTCGCCTTCTGCGGGGTGGGCGTTTAGCATGGCGCCTGGTAGATTCATTTTCTGTTAGAGGACAGAGGCCAGTAATTCTTGTTTTGAAGTTTGCGAGGAGAAAGAAAAAAAAAAAGAGAGGGGAGATAGGGAGTAATGAGTGACGGTTAAGGAGGGGGAATAAAGGAGGGGAAAAACGCACCACCAACAACAATCTTTCCGGCCGCGACGAGCGGTTTCACGCCTTCGAGGTGCTTCCTGTTCTCATAAGCATATTAGCTCCTCGTTATCCCTCAGGACCTGTCTCAAATCTCATCGCACTCGTCGCTTGGCATCACCCATCGCTCAAGAAAGGGATTGACCTACGGCCTAACCTCAAGCCTCCTCGCCTGCGCATCAGGCTTATCGGGGAGGATGCAGAGGAACTCCTTGGACATGGCTGCAGCGGTTCTAGAGAAGGAACGAGAGATAGAAGAGTGGAAGGATGCTTTAGCGGTGGCGGAGTAAAGAGGGATTCTTGGGGTTGCTAAAGGTGTTCGGCTGTGGCACTGCAAGAGGGAGAGGCCCCTGGTCGTTGTTGATTTTATGAAGCGGGGTGTTCCGGTCAGCATGGTGGGGAAGATGGAGTGGGATGGGGGGAAGCTTCGGGGGGGAAGAATACGATGGGGAGCGGTTAGCGGGAAGCTTACTCCGAGAGGAAGACGAGGAGTGTATGGAGTACTAGCCACTCGAGTCTCGGTAGAACAACAGCCGATGGAGCGGCAGAGGTGTTGAGAAGCTACATATGGATTTTTAGAAGAATTATCCAAATCACCAAGGTAATTCACACTTGACAGTCAATTGAATACACATAGCCTATATATGTATGTACATGAAAAGAAAGAACCAAGTGTCTCATCTTCGTCTTCGTCTGCTCCTTGCTCTCATCGAATCGTCTGGTCAATGCATGGTTGATGTAGGCTGGTTGGACAGGGTCATCGGAGAAAATTGAGAGCAAAGGGCAGCACAGCACAACCGGACTCGATCAATCAAATGGTTGCCTTTCCTGACGAACAAGAAAAGCTCAAACAGAGCCCGTCACGTTCAACTCTATGAGCCTCCAAGACCGCTGAACACACTATCCCCGAGCGCCAACAAACAAAAGCAGACATGACCCTAGAAACACAATGTAGAAAAGGCTAATTACCGGAGTGGAGTTGGTGTTTCCCAACTTCCGCGAATACAATGATTAGTAAAGAGAATTGCGTTGAAAGCGGCGAGGTCCTCTGCAATTAACCAGGCCGCAGTGCATCAAATACACGCACGGCCAAGTGGCCTGTCTGCGTGCTGAAATGATCTTGATCGACCCAAGCGTATTGACTAGTACGCCTTGCGGTCACCAAGGTTACCCGGCTTTTCAGCAGTATCAATGTGCCAGACAACATAGTTCGGCAATCCAATGACCTGGTATCCAGCACGCTTGGCCATTCGGGCAAACCCTTCGGTTTCAGCCTGGTTCTCGAAAGCATATGCGGGGAAGTTGATCCCTGGAAGCAAGGTTAGGACCCAAACCAAGTCGGGACGAAGCCACAATTACCTGAGCGATGAACATCCGCCTTCACGACGATATTGACACCACCAATACCGTCAAGCTCCACTTCCTTATCCTTGTCTTTCCTCCAGTCACCCATGCCGACGAGGTATTCACGTCCCGTGTCGTACTCCTTGTAACCTTCGGCCAGAACGGTATCAGGGTCCAGAGTCGCTCGAAGTCTTCGTCCTTTATCGGATTCGATCCAAGAGTTGTAGTCGACTAGAGCTAGGTTAGCTAAATCCAGTGAGCTTGAGGACAATTTAGTACATACACCGGCCTTCAATATCAACATTATCCTGGTTGTAACGGTGGAACCAAATGTCTGTCGAGGAATTAGCGACCACATTTGCGAATGGATAACGGATAAAACATACTAGGGACTAGAATATCTTTATCGTGGGCGATAAAGTCCTCCAGAATTGTTTCCGGGCTGTCCACAATATCAACGTCACGCCAGTAAACCCAAGAATGATCGGGCTTAAGAGCAGAGTAGAGCAAATAGTTCCGGGCCCTGCCAATAGCCTTACGGCGAGGACCCTGGGCGGCGAATGAGTGTCTGTCCTCCACAGACATTTCAAACTCAGAGCCGAAATCCTTCTGGATGATTGTTGCGCTCCGGAAAGCGATCTTGTCGCCTTGGTCCTGGATCCGCTGCAATTCGGAGGTGAGAATAGCCAAAGTATCATCTTTGCAATCTCCGACGAGAAAAGCCAGGTCAATCAGTTCGTGCGGGTAGGTCAATTTGTAGATCAGGTCGAAATATCTGTTCAGATGGAAAGAAGCATCCCGCAACGGGGTGAGAATGAGGATGCGCTCCGAGTTTTGTACAGCTTGGGTTGTCGACTTGATGGGATTGAGGTCGACGCTTGTAATGGAACTGGAATTCACTTCGTAAGGTTTGTGATAGTTGAAGAGAACTGGAGTCTGGGCGTGGGCGGTCCATTCTGCCATCTCGTTGAGACTCATATCCATTGGCGCCTTTGAAGGTCCATAGCAATAGAAACTAGTAGTCGCATGCGATTAGTAGGGCTGAGACGTAGTAATGCCGCGGCCGCTCGAGGCACGGCACCAAGTCTTGAGACCGATCGCGCCAACTCACTTTTGCATTTCAGATGCGGAACTGCTAATCCCGCGCCATAACAAAACAATTAGGCCAGTAATGGCCAGAGATATTAAGAAACGCGTCCTTGTCACTAGAACTAGGATAGCCCGCCATGGGGGCAACCTGGCTCTGGCGGACTTCCACGTTACACCACCCTTCGGAAGCAGCATCTTGGTGGACGGAAGCGAACGGAGAAGCGGATATTGAACAAGAGGGAAAACGAGTATGATTCCCAGATACCGCACACTATGATAGCAACAGAACGCGACAATCCCGGATGGGTGGTGTCACGACTGTCGGGGCGAATCTCACCCTTGACGCGGCGAAGGATAGGGGGGCCGTAACGGGAACTGGCTCGGCGGTGACCACTTCGGGGTCAGGAGAGGAATCAACAGGATCCGAATTGCGGCGTCAATCTGATCGAGATCTCAAGGTAGACGATGCCAGCTGGACGATAGATCGGCTTTGGTTAGGAAGGTCTGCGATGGATCGCCGGGGACCAAGGGCGGAAAAAAAGATTCGGTACGGGGGACGTAACACCGATTCAGAGAAAGCGACGAACCAAACGAGTGGAAAGAACCGGAATTAGGCTCGATAAGATACAAGACGAGTAACTTAGATCGAGCACCTCGCCGTTGTAGGCCCGAATAGGAGGGAGGAAACGTGATGGGAGGTGAGGATGGGGAAGGGGTCTTCAGTTGGATGTTTTACACCAGGAGGGAGGGATTCTGAATTGAGATTAAACCCACCAGCCGGAGTCCAGCCAGACTAGCCTCCGTTGGGAGTTAGTCCGCCATTGCTCTTTATAGTCGCAATGAAGTGCACGAAATGAATAAGAGGCGACGATAAGCGAGCTTATGGAGATTAAGTGATAGCTACAGGTTCAGGAAAGCAGATCAAAATTTAGATATCAAGTCCTGTTTGGCCATTACTCCGTTCTATTTCGCTGGAACCGTCGACTCGAAGCCCTTGTAACTCGGGGTCGTTATCAGTGAAAGTTACATGTAAAATACGCAAAACCCTTCCAGGATTCACGATGTAGTGTGTAACGGCTGGTAACTGCCAGTGCTCGTATTTGACCTTTTAGCCTCCACAGAAAAGAGTACTACTAAATTCTAGATTCAGGGTCTCGCAACTACTATACCTGATCGGCGTCGAGGGCAGCAACCGTGGATCAAGTGAAGAAAGATACAACGAGAGTACAAGCTCGCATGCACCCACTGCAGTATAATTAAGAAACAGTCATGTAGTATGCTTATGTTAATCACATCAACTTTCTCCCTTAATAGTACCCTCGTGATAAACCCCTGGCTCACCTGTCATTCAAGAGACACAAACACGGTTTCAGACTTGCAAAATGCCATTGTTACAGGCACTTATCATTTCTATGTCTATTATAGTGGTTGGTACATATATAATCAGCACAGTTGCTGTGTTTGCTTGATTTAAACATCCATAAAGCAAAACATTACAACTGAAAGGATGTACAGAGAATAAAGGAAACTGAGCAAATGAAAACACCGAAATCAGCCCTGAGATATGGGTTGAAGTCCACAAAAACTCCGTTAAACATCTCAAAGCAACGCAAATGGGAAACAGAGACATATTCCGTATCATACAATGTAGTAGAGGAGAACCCAGAATGAGGGAGCCGCCCTTCCTAGGTGTTTTTTTTTTGGGTGAACTGTGGCCGGGCCTCTCAAGAAGTGAGAAGCAGGCAGCGAGATGATGCCCAGGGGCCGCTGAAAAGAAAGTGAAAATTGAAAACACCGAGACGCTGAAAGAAAGTCAAGGACATGGCTGAGATAACCACCCGTCCGCTCTAATATTAAACCAAAAAAAAATCATAGAATGTTCAAGAACTTATGTTGATGGATGCCATCCGAATCTTTCAGTCTATGGGGATTGGGCACCGGGTAGAGGCTGTGAGCCATTCGCAAAGTAGGAGGGCTGAGAGAAAACGGGAGAGGACGGCCCGGTCGTCGAAGGTGTTCGGCTGAGGAACGTCTGTCCAAATGATTGTGAAGTTCCGGTGGATGGCGTGTTTAGCCGAGAGGAATCTGGGCTGTTGGGAGTAATCTCATTGTGAAAGACTCGAAGGCCGGGTAAGATAGCTTTCGGTTTGCTGTTCGGTAGCAGAGTGTCTAGTTGAGGGCTCGACTGCTCGCTTTTCGGAGAGCGGTGCATGTGTCCGGTTCTCACCTGGTACTCCAGTGCCTTGACGCACTCCTCCAGTCTCTGGTTCTCTTGTCTCAGTGAGTTGCTCTTCTGTTGCTCCATCTGGTTCTGCTGTTGAAGACTAGCGACCATCTGCTCAAGCTGCGAGCAACGAAGTCCATCTTGTATCATCTCCTGCAAATAGCATGGTAACTCGTTGTTTCCTTGACCGATCAACATAACAACCAACTGAATGATCAATGACCGCATAAAATCGATCAATCTAATCGATGCCTGCAAAATGTGTTCCTTAGATTCGGCTAAGTTCTTTTTATCGTCCCATCCTACCAGTCGTAGCCAGTAGTTGTCGAGCCGAAAATCCAATCCTAGGTGAAGCTGGCTCAGGTTCTTTCGTCTGGTGCCCTCTGCAACGCGGTGCTTCTCCTTTTGCTCGTCGTCAACTCCAGAAATCATACTCCCTCTGCGCTTTCGGCCGCAAGCCTGCTGAAGAGGCCTTTTGCGGGTCAAAGCTCGAGGGTTTGGAGCTATAAGGCTAAGTAGTTTCTCCACAGAGCACGCTGGCGGCCACTGAAACTCTGTGTGAGAGCGTACGCTGTCCAGCCAAGAATCTGTAGAGCTTGCGGGGGATGAGGGTACCACGGAATGCTCAGCTGGTGGCCATGGCGATCTGGTCTGGAAGGAGTCGTGTGAGCTCGGCGGGCTGGGTGCGAAGATCCGCTGTGGGAATTGATTGAACGGGTCTCGAGGCAGAGGCTCGCGTGGGAGGGGAGGGAGCCGCCGGTCCTCGGTCATATCAGCCGGACTTGAGGCAACAGAGGAGATTGTGTGTACACCGCTGTAATCATGTCAGAGTCATGTTCGACGTAAAAGCTTTGGATATGCTCACGGGAGAGAATAGCGATGAGAGTGCTCATCAGACATTGGGGTCATTCCGCCAATGGACATATTGCGATTAAGTGCAGTCTGAGCCGTAGAGTATAGTCTTGAAAGCTTCAAAAAAGCATACAGATATGTGTGTAGGCGGATACGGCAGTAGGTGCAATATGGCAGACAGAAGGATGTGTGGTAGAACTCGAGGAAGAGCAATAATCAAAGGTCAAGGGTTTTCAGAGTGTATGAATCAACAAGTAGAGGTCCGTATAAGTAGCAGTTGCGATAGAGCAGACAGAAACATTCAAAGGAACCCTCGAGGTCTGGAAGGCATGAAGAAAATCGAACTCTGGAGCGTGCCATTGCATGTTTATATGCTCGTTGTAGATGGTGAACGAGGCGAGGGAGAAGAGGGGATGGGCGAAAATAGTAGCCTCGAGAGGGGGTGGAACAAGAGAACGACGCCATCCGTGGCGCTCAGACAGCAGTTTTGATGAGAGAAAGGATGGAGAAACGCATTGTTGAAGATGTATCACTCTCCGGCTAGCACACTTTGTGGCCTGCTGCGTCCACCTCAACTGGGAAACTGGAGTAGTAAGTTCAACATTCTGCAATGACATACTCATCGACCGTTGCTTTTTCTTGGGATTTGTTTTCTTTTTTTACTGTTTATTTTCTTTCTTTTTTCCGTCGTTTTTCTCTTTTTGTTTTTTCTATCATATCATCTCTGGCTCAGCCTTTGCCGCATACGCTGCAGCTTCTGTTAGACTCCTCAACTATCCTCCGGCCTTTGGTACACTCTGTCGCCTATCCTGATTCGCCTCGATCGATCGCCCTTTATCGGTCTTGTCCTTCCAGCCTCGATCCATATCGCCCCCTGCCGCCCCCATGAGGAGTTCCACGCGGAAAGGCCATGAAGATTCCGGCAGAGTTCGACAATCAAAGCTAATCCGTTTCAGCGCGCTTCTGGGGGCATACGTCTCTATCATAAAAGGCACGAACGCAACGCAGAATGAGATCGGCGAATTAGCGAGTTCTGATCTTGATGAGAGACGGACTGAGGGGAGGATCGCAGACCCATGATTTGTCACCGCTGTAGCGGGTTCCAACTTCTCAATCTTCACGGGGCAAAGGTATCGATTCTCCTTGCATCGCAGCTATCGATAGTCTCTCGAGCCAATAACCACGATCCATGGAAACAGTGCCCACTTTTCCGAGGCTGAAAACGATCCCTTCGGCGATGTTCGACTGAAAGGCGTTCTTATCGTCAGGTTAAGCGCCGCTGAGCGAAGGCTCCGGAACCTGGGCCACGCTTTCCGGCGCTTATCCATACAGATCTTGCTAACGCTTCGCGAACCTCGAATGATGGCTGCAGAATGTGGCAGAGATCTAACAAGAGCTACATGTACGGGATCTATGGACATGCACAGATCTCTGTGCATCTACGAAAGCAAAAAACGGGAAACATAACCCCAATCGCTTCGAACAGCTGGCTATCTTGAGAGTAAAGTTATCCACGATTCGAGAAAAAAAAAAGACCAACCAGAATAATCTAGGACTTTTATGCCCTGTACACGGAGTGTGTCGTATTGATCATATTATTCGTCTTATTTCCAACAAAAGTACTACAAGGGCTTGAGGGAGTCACCAGAATCGGGACTTGTGCATAAACTTCCCGAGCACAGGCACTCGCAGATCCTCCAGGCAGATCCTCCTCTCAGAAGGAGCTGACCAGCCTAGCCCGGAGTCTATAGCACGAAGCAAGGAATTTGGGACTTCGAGAACAAGCGAAATTGCCGGCCAAACGCTCAAATACTTCCAATGGGCTCTTCTATACAATGCACAGAGATCTGACGCTTGGCCGATAACCGTGTCTAGACGCTCTATGCTTACTCCGACATACACCACCGAGCAAAGCAGCACGCTGCATGACATTGTTCTCGGCGTTTCAAGCTGGAGCCGCAGAACATTGCCAGAATGGCTTCTTTCCAGATCGAGTCAGACGCATCCGAGCCTAGAACAATCGTGCGATATGGGGTCATAAATCGAGATCGCCACAGCTCCGAAGGCCCATACGCCTGGATCATGACTAGAAGGTCCCAGCGACCGGGGTTTGAGCCCTGTCAGTCCGGCAATCGATATGTTCTGGGCGGTTTCTTTTCTTAGCCCAGACCCCCTTGATCGGCTTTTCCAGTGCCATGGCCTGTGTTGGAGGATGCCAACGGTATTTGGAATTGAATCTTCCATCTCAAGTGCTGGAATGTCAACATCCTATCCGCCCTTCACTACCAGTGCTATGGGATTGAGTTGAGGTGAAGTTGATAGTATGAAGTACTCGACGGTTACCAATCTAGTGAGGGTCCAAAGCCGTGCTTATGGTTTGCAGGATTAACTGTTGGCACCGGCAAACCAATATTCAAGAGAAGTATCTCAAAGTACGGGCGTACGGATTGACTCCCCGGCCTGCTTTCCCGATGATTTGCCCAATTATTTATTAATGTTATGCGTGGCACGGAGGTGGAGGCAGCGGGTCGCATGGCATCAAGGATAAGATCTGTCAAGTCTCTGTCCCCAGATTCATACTCGATGAAGAAGAGCAATTCGATTTCGTACTCCAATGGGCCCCATGCTTCTCAGGCTTCTCCTAAACAGCGCCACGTTCTCCATCTACGTAAATCTTTACGGTAACTGATCATATAAATAGCCATTCCTGGTTTCGTCGACTTCATGATGCTTTACCAGGCTAATACTGGGCATACGATTACTCACGGGCAGTGGCACTGGGTGGAGGCCCTCGATCTCCAGCACTACTCCGGAGTAATCTCTGAGATTAACGCATGCCGATGAAACAAGCCACACGGCATCCCAGATCGAACGCTTATTTGAATTGGAACTGACACGCAGCTATCTCAGGCACGAACCCACTGAGGGACTCTCGAGCTCACCCAGGCTTTCACGCCCAGCCAAACAGAAAGGAGGCCACATTCTACCTGTTCGATTGTTCAAGGCGCTCCAGTCCGTTTCTCCAAGCCGCCACTGGTGGGGAACGCTTCCAAAAGAAAAATACCCGAATCGCCTCTCACTCGCCGTGTTTCGCTTATTCTCCGAAATACTGCATTGTGGCCCCCCCCAAAAGCTGTCAACGTCAATAATCTACATATGCATTGGGCTCAGTACTTCGTAGTACAAGGGAAGGAGCTGATCCTAAGTGTGGGGAAGAAGAAAGTTCGGATACACCTAGCAAACCACCACCATTTCGTCAGCAAGATCATCCCTCGTTTACTGAAGAGGTTCATACCCCTCAACTGATTACGCCCTTGAAAATTAAGGTTGGTGAGCGGTTTAGGTCTGGTCGGTGGTTCGACAAACTCGCTTGAAGCTGGAACTCTCGTCTGAGCTAAACCGAGCTAAGAATAGCCCCAAGGACCGAGAGTGATATATCAGAAAAGCAAAGAAGCTCTCGGCCCTCGAGACACGCCTCGACTCTTTGTGTTCAATGAGCCCTATGCGTTGTCCATCCTTCTTCCCACGCGTCGAACTCTCAGCCTCTTACCTGTCCACAGACTCTACAAACGACCCCGTTCAACTGGATCCGGCTCCGCCGTCTCGCAGACTGCGAACCAGGGATGCCCTGCGTACATCATGCGCCATTCCATGCAAGATTATGCTCGGCTCGCATTCATAGGCCCATATCGACTCTCTTTCCTCACTTTGATCTGGGCCCGTACCCTCTCTGCGTGGTTCGGCGTTTCAGCAAGCAGACACCGGGGCCCGCGGTGCTGCGCACCAGCACGATTGAAACCCTGGTTCAAAGTTTTATTCCCATCCTATACACATAGTCCAGCGCCACATTATTTGTAACTCGTGCTTTGCTTCTGATCAAGAGATCCATGCATCGCTCGCTCGTTATTCGTGGGGACTTGGCCGTCTTGACACCTTCCCAAAAGAAAGCTTTTCTCCATATTGCGTCTTACAAGAACGCCAATTCTTTTTTTGAACTTCACCCTTCGGGCCAGGGCTACCCTTGTAGGACTATGTGCCGGAGTATCTCACACTCTCGATACACGCGCTTTTGTCTCCGCGGATTGGATCCAGGTTGCAAATACGACTCTCCTGCAGTCTGCGCGTAGGCCTGCCATTTACTATTGCCACACATCTAACCAAATGCCTGTATCTTTAGCCTCCACTCATTTTCTCCAAATCCTTTTTCCGCCTGTGCATCCTCGGTCCACGATGCTTCGCCACCAGCACGGTGCGAGGGAGGAACGCATGCTGAATTGAAAGCACCGGCAGGAGACACAGCCTATCATTTACTTTGGTCCAACATCCCCTCTCGGTCGCTTTGGATTGATCTTGATGATCGCCACCATCTCCGTGAGATGTTACGTTCAAAAATTATGCCTTGCCAAGGTGTAGACTTCTAGTATTGCCTATTTCAGGTTTTATGCAACTTTCCTAAGTCTTGATTTCAGTGCGGGGTTTATCCACGGCAATGGGGGATTTTCTGCTATAAGCGTTCGTATCCAGCGGATCATTCTTCCTGACCGTGTACGAACGGAAGACGTGCTCGAATCATCGGCGCATGTTAGCCTCATCGGGATCCGCAAGGAGAAGTCGGAAGCAAGATGCAACAAAGAACCATGCGTGGAGCTGCTGCTCATCCTGCTTTGCCAAACACACCACGGGCAGTTCCATGGCGGTCGGTGTCGAGGGAAAGAGGTAAAAGAGTCGGAAGGCATGTATACTGGAAGTTGTCTTCTGATCCCTTCTCGGCACGCCGTTCCACAACCCATAGGCCAGAAAAGCGAACTACAGCATATCCAACTCCGGAGAGCTCTAGGACCCAGCTCCTCGGGGCAAAGCCGAGGTCAAATCGCGAACCCACACGAGCAGCAATTGCCCTGATTAATGCTACAGCAAATCCCAACTAGCCTCACCGAACCCAATGCATTACTCCTTCCTGGTTGACTCGGACGGCAAGCCTGCATTCATCAGGGCTCCATACTGCTCCATACATCTATTTAGAAGCATAGATGGAGCAGACCATTGTCAAAGGAAGTTATCGAACTCCCCCACTTCCAAGGCAGAGAATCGACCTATCAGTGATCTACCCACTAGCAGCAGTTCGCCCTTGGGCCGCCCGCGGTGAACCGTGAAGCAAGGCCCCGAGAAACCTTTGGGAACGATTGCTAATGAACCCAGTTCTCATCGATGAGTGGCAGCGGGTTCCATGATCCATGGCCCACGTATTGGCGCGTAAACTCTGTCCTGACACCTTAGGACGACGGACTTCTCCATCGTTATGTGTCTCCATCCGGGACGGGACGCCTGGCGTTTCGCAGCATAGCGCAGTCGAGTTGCATATTTCGCTGCAATACATCTCGGGTCGTTGGCGAATCTCCTTGCTGTGCGCCGAGGGCTCGGTGAGAGACGCGCAGTTTCACCACCGTACAGGGGAGGTAGAAGGACGCTACCCCGGACGTCGAAGGGTTTCTCCTCATCTTCGATGAGCACCCTGACCTCAGGTACATTGTACGTATTGGGTACTCACTACTTATCCCTAACTCTAAAAACTCGAAGATCACAAGAGAACACTAGTAATGGTCCTTGGTCCTCAATGCCCACCTCGGACCACAAATCCACGGTTAGGTCGGAGTCAATTCAGCAGTAGTCAACCAACAAGTCGATGTCGATAAAGAAATCGGAGAAGAAGAAAAACAAAAGTACAAGCTCCAAACATCCAACGGCAGCTACGTATGTGGCTTGTCCGCGCTAGGGGGAGGAACAAAGGCAGCGAACTCGGCCTAAAATCTGTAGTGCGATACGGATAACTTCTCCGCTCCTATAAACTATCTTTGTCCCTCTCGGAATCAGGCAGTAGTTGACACCTAACATCCACCTGCCTGCGTGTCAGCGCGAGCCTTGTTTTTTTCGCATCTGCGCGTCGACTGTGCCGCTGAGACGAACGGGGACGATGCCGGCTGGAGTCCCGCGAGGCAGGTGAATGGACGGTTAGAGGAGCCGAGTTCCGTATAGTTTGTGTTGGCAGGTGCCAATGCGCTGGAGAGGTCTGATTATTGAATGTTTCGGCATTTGGTTCAGGTTGGTGTTGTTCTATTTTTTTTTTTTTTCGGTCGAAATATGCTTACAGTGTGCTTTGTCGTCATGACAGTGGCAGGTTCGAGGGGATTGCCAGTAGAAGGAAGTCAGATTGAGGCCGAGAGGACTTAGAGACACAAGGCGGATGACAGTGTAGGAAGTTCAATATATATCGTCGATAAAGCGATGACAGGACCATACCCACGGCCAGAATCGATGGACGCAGAACAACGAGATTACAAAGCAGGACTATGGAAAACGGACTGCATTATTAAGGAGAATACCAAGATGAAGGTCATCAAGAGATAGACAAGTCATCAACTGCCAAAGGAACGTCTATACAACACGCAGGATAAAATCTCCGAACACCGCCAGCTCAACCCTGCCGCCACATTCGCCATTTTGTTCACCACTCGCGCTGATCCAAGAGGCAATGCTTCATAATTGTGGGCGGAAGGCGAGAATGGTGCTCAAAAAACTTGAATTATTATCATAAGAACAACACGGTACAGGAAGCAAACCCCCATTGCTTATTATGTCACTTTACACGACCACGATGGGCAAAGGAAAAGGATGAAAACAGGCGGCAAAGGTGCACACACAACAGTCAGTTATCAATTGGCCTTTTTACAAAACATACTGGACGAGCATGCCGAAGATGGCAGCGGCACCCATGACGGGGACGTTAGCAGCGGTCAGGACGGCAGCATCCTCGGTGGAGTCGGAGTCATCGGCGGAGGAGGTGCTGGTGCTGGTGCTGGATCCAGAGCTGCCATCGGAGGTGGTGGGGTTGTTGGTCGCAGCCTTGCACTCGTAGGTTCCGTGGATGGTGTTGTCCTTCCAGTTGTCAAAGGTGTCGCAGCTAAAGTTTCCAGTGCTCTGCATGTTGAAGCCACCACGAACGTTCTTCAGAGAGGGAAGAGAAGCACTGTAAGAAGTGTATTAGTAAGGCCATATTCTAGCTACGCAAGGAGAAACACTTACCGGTCGAAAGCACCACTGAAATCAATGGCACCGGTGACGGTGGCGAGCTTGGGGAAGCTAATGGTGTTGAGCTCGTCGTTACGGGTGATCAGGAAGCCACCGTTGACAGTCTCGAGAGCGGGCAAGCTGAGGTTGGAGAGGCGCTCGTTGTCCTCGAAAACAAGGTCACCAGTCTCGGTGAGGTTAGGAGCAGCCAGGCTGGAGAAGGTGTTACCCCAGAAACCCAGCTGACCCTCGAGCTTGGTGAGCGAAGGAATGGAAACAGAGCTGACGTTACGGATGGTAAGGTTGGTTCCTTGGGCAAGGTTGGGAAGAGAAATCTCCAGCTCGTGGTAGTTACCAGCGAAGTTGATCAAGTTGGTGGCGTTCTTGAGGTTGTTGACGTCGACAGTCTCGAGCTGAGTGTTGTCGGTGATGATGAAGCTGCCGACGGAGTTGAGCGAGATTCCATCAAGGGTGGTCAGACCAGTGTTGACAATGGACACGCTGCCAGCCTTGGTAACGCCGCTGGTGAAACCCAGAGTCTGCAAGAGTGGGAGGGCCTCGAAGTTGAGAGATCCAACAGACTTCAGTTGAGGGAACTGGAGGGAGGTGACACCAACAAGGCCCTCGAAGTGGAATTCTTTGTCGATGGTCTCAAGGAGGGGAGCATTGAACGTGGTAACGTTAGCGGCACCAGAGGAGGTCAGGGCGCCCTTGATTCTCTGAACACCGTTGAGGGTAAGGTCGCCGGCGACGCTGCTGGCAATCTCGACATCACCGTCGAGATCCTCGCAGGTGTTGTAGCTGTCCAGGTCGCTCTGGCTACGGATGCGAATGGTATCACCGTCACCGCAGTCTGCGACTCCAATTAGCCCAACGCATCCCGCCAGTGTAGCCGAATAAAAACTAAATCATTCACTCACCAGCAGCGAAGACGGCCTGAGCCGCAGCGAGGACGGGGAGAGCGTATTTAATGAAAACCATTGCTAATATTTCTAGCGCAAAGGAAGCAAAGGTCAGCCACGTTGACCCCCAATCGATCAGGTTGTTAATGGACAATCGCGCTGGAGCAAACTCACTGAACGGTAGGTTGAACGGTTATTGTAGATAGGCAAAGCCTGGCCCTGTCGGTAGGGAAGACGAAATGTGGCGGAAGAAGGCCGGATGGGAAAGAAGGGTAAATAAACGAGTGAAAGAAGAGGAGCTTCAACGAGGGAGAAGCTTTTAGGCAGACGTTCCTCTGGTGATGAAGAGGACGGATTCGGCAAGCACGTTCTTAGACCGAGAAGAATGAAGGGAAGAAGCAGAGGAGAAAAGAAAGCGAGGGAAAAGGAAGGACTGGATGGCAAAGCGTCAGAGGAGGAAAGCAGGCTTTCAGGGAGGACAAGAAAGGAGTTGTCGCGGCCCAGGAGTGGTTGGCCGTTGGTCCACCCTTGCGACAATAATACCGGGCCATGTTTCTTTCGTTATTACAATACCGGTACTCCAGGCTTGGTAGTAATTCAAGATACTCCGAGTAGATTCTCATCGTCTCCATCTTTCTTCTGCTCCCAAGTGAGGTTGAACTTATTGTCAGTATAGCATCACCCCTCAAGCTGCCGTTCGACATGCCGAATTCTACATAATATGTTTGACCTTTGGGTAGCAGTTTCCTGGGTAGGTAAGATGTATAGCTCCCCACTTACTAGTGGTAAGGCTTCTATTATTTGCACAGTCTCACCTGAAGAACTTAAGCACCAAACAATGCGAAGAATTATTATGGCCCTTGCCAGGCTTGCGCGAACGCACTGAGCTACTCGTAGTATTCATCAGGTAACTAGATGCCTCATCTTAATATACGCGGAGTCTCTGTCTTCGCACTGGGCAGAGGTGGTTTGAATCACTCTCAGATATGCTCAAACAATGAGATACGAAGCCTGAGTGTATGGACTCATGGAGTATTGAAATCTAAGATGGCCAGAATCAAGATATCGAGTTTAATTGGATTTGAAATCCATCTCGATGCCGGATCAGTGGATCCAGACTCAAAGTTCTCACCAAACATGCCAAGCAATGTAGAATTCGAGAAACTCGTATTAGAATTCTTCAAACGAGCGCTCGATTTGATATCATTCTCCAAGATGGCCAAATGGCTCTTCCTTCCCATTCCTCCTCCCCAGAATATGGTGTCAAATACCCAGGAATGCTGCTATCTACAGTCGGGACAAGTAAAGTCCGTGGACGCGTCGTCAATTAAATTTGCTGCAAGTGGCCAAGACCCGCTTTTCACCCACCTTTCTCGGCTTCTGGTTCTTTTGCGCCGACCATTCGCTGGTATGCGATCCCATCCGCGTCTTGGAATTCGAACTGCGATGCATCCCAAGTGCCATCATCGCAGAGGTTGATACGTGATTGAAGCAGGCAGGCTCTCAGAACCGTGCAGCCTGCGAGGGAGACTGCTGCGTCGTTGAGCCCTGAGTTCTTGACTCTCGTCATTGAGTTGGCGACCAAGGAACAATTGGCAAGTTTCCAGGCACAAGCGGGCCACCAAAACAGCCGGTCGCCAATATCCGTGCCTTACTGCCCACCCACCGCCTTCGTCTTATGGGTGCGCCACGCATTTACCGTAGTCACGCATTTACCGTAGTTTTTTATATCGTCAATATTTTTACTTCTTGAAGCCACACAACATGACGAAATCTCCTGAATTTAATGAATCTCGATTAAATGAAGCCGTCGCTATTGCTACAACCCAGAAAAAACCGAATATCGCGAGAATTGCGCGTGAATTCAACGTGTCCTACACCACCCTCCGAGACCGCTTGAAAAAACCAAGAACACTAGCTACACCAACACCGTCGAAGAAGAACCTCCTACAGCCGTATCAGGAGAAGGCCTTGATTAGTTGGATTATACAAATGCGGAATTGGAACCTCCCCCCGACTGCTTCGATTATACAGGCGTGGGCAAATCAGGCGCTTGCCCGCGCGGGCTCGGAGAAGCGCGCAAGCAAGATGTGGCCATACCGATTCGAATCACGTGTACCAGTACACCTAGGACTCGCGCCAGTGAAGCAAAAGACCAAGGAACTAAGGCGGATACAAGCAGAGGATGCAGGACTTCTCCAACACTGGTACGACCAGCTAAAAGACCTTCTTGATGGGGTTCCTCCGCGCCTTGTATACAACTTCGATGAATGTGGATTTCAACCTGGTCAGGGGCGAGCTCGCAAGGTCCTTGGGTCAAAGTCTTGCCCTAATCTTGCAGAGGGCGAGCGAGGTGAAAATATTACTGCTGTTGAATGTATTAGCGCGGATGGTTGGCTAATGGCCCCGTTCTTTATATTCAAAGCAAGCGGTAGTAATCATATGGAGGCCTGGTATCACGGCAGCGAGGTCCTACCAAGCGATACAATGACCGCGGTCTCACCAAATGGTTGGATATCAGATGAACTATCGCTCGCCTGGCTAGCAGAGTTTAATACAGCTACAAAGGATCGTACAAAGCAAGGCGAGAAGCGATATCTAATATTCGACGGCCACGGCTCACACCTTACGCTTGAATTCCTACAATACTGCGAGCAAAATAATATTATTCCCTTTGGTTTCTTGCCTCATTCAACACATCTCTGCCAACCTCTTGATGGAAAACCTTTTCTTAATTATAAGCAGCAATTCAGGCTTATAAATAATGATTTGTCTTTCTGGGGTGGTAAGCCATATGGGAAGGCAGAGTTCTTGCAGATTATTCAACCAATCCGCGAGAAGGCCTTGACAAAGCGAATTATTCGAGAATCCTTCAAAGATCGCGGTATCTGGCCAGTTGATGGAAGACAAATCGTCCAGCAACTTACCAACCAGCTGGTGATCCCAGATATATCAGTGCCAGAACTCCGCGGAAGCCCTACACCACCTCTATTACTCTCCTCTAGCGTTGAAAACAGTCCTCCAGCAACAATCGAGGCGCTTACAAGGAATCAGGCGAAGATTATGAAGGATATCACTGATATTTCAGAGAAGACGAAGCGGAACCTAGCAAAGGTCTTTCAACACCAGATGCAGAAGCTAGAGGAGCTCCAAATGACCCAGGAAGCAATTTGCAGGATTAGGACCGCGCAAGAGCCTCAACACCGGCTTCCTACTAAGCGTCAGGTAAAACCACTTAGTAGCAACGGGGTCCTAAAGACTAGCGATGCAATTCGATCAATTCAGGACCGAAAGAGGAAGGAGACTGCGAGGGACCAAAAGCGGCTGGCGAAGCAGTTCGAGAAAGTCTATGGATTTCGACCCAACCCACGGTCAGAGGAACGAATAAAGCAGGCAATTGAGAACGAGCTACGTAGTAGAGAAGCGGGAGAGGACTTTTTTATTGATAATTAGTGTTGTGGTTGTTGAATAACTTCAAATATCGAAAAACTACGGTAAATGCGTGACTACGGTAAATGCGTGGCGCACCCATAAGACGAAGGCGGTGGGTGGGCAGTAAGGCACGGATAATCGGGAGTGTTCAAATGAGCGCTAAGAATAAAGTGGCGAATCTAAGGAGACTTATCACGTGTCAGCCATCCAGCTGTACGGAGTAACCTTTGGGATAATTTTTATTCGATTTCAATGTTGCGTAATTTACATACAGGACAGCACCAATACGAAGGAAAACACCACATCCGTGATCCAGAAAAAGCGACCTGCGCAGAGACCATGACGCTTTCAGGAGACGGCTATCGGAAGGTGGCGAAGCAGAAAGCTTGTCTTGCTCGATTCGACCATCTTGTTGATTCAATGATTTCTGCGCCCAAACACAAGGGTACGTACATGGGTTGCTGGCCATCAAGAGGAATGCATCTCAGCAATGCAGTCATGAATTCGTCAAAAAGTCAACTCTTCACTCCACAGTGAGACAGCTGATACACGTCTCTCATCCCCCTATCAGTCTGTTTAGAGGGAGGATTGCCGCAGGACTCGTCATGCCCACTCGGCTGGCAAGTCGCTAGTAGCACATCATCGACTCCACAGATATCGGTGCAAATCGCAATGAATGGTCCTTGAAACCAACCTGCACGCTTTGCAAGGTGATCAGCATTCGTTGCCCCTGCGACCCAAACCCTTTATTTTGTCTGAAGATCTTGTTGTTTCATCCTGGGCTGCAAGATTTATTCAATTTGGACGGCTGGATGTTCAATCAGCGCATATCCGCCAACGATCCTGATCGCAATATGCTTTATTATGAAATGGGTCCTCCGTCAGCGCGAAGGTGGACTGGAATGTTGCTATCTCGTCCTCCGCGTTGGCACGTTCTCCAGCGCCACTTCTCTGAGTGGCTGATAAGGGGCTAGAAGCCCCGCCTGATGATTCAAGTTTAACGCGGCCCCAGATCATTACATTGTAACATTGCCAGGTTTGATATCAAGGAGGACAATCTGCAACGGACCCAGGCCAAGATGATTGCAACATGGCCGTCATTAATATGTGACTGTCAAGGGCTTCCAGGTCTCAGTTGGAAGAGCGCGTTGTCCGTCAACCACCTGTAAGCAAAAATATATCATCGCCGCAGCAACAGTAAATCATATCATGAACCTCCTCCAATTCAAACGGACCTCTTGTCGATATACGGCCCGACCTAGACCGTACATAAGTGTTGTTGACGGAGCCCAGAGTCTTTGAGGTAGCACTGGGCTGACACCTCAACGGTGAGCAGGGATCGATTGGTGACAGGAGCGCGAAGCTTTTGCGACTGAAACCGGAAACTGCGGGAGATAATTCTCATGTTTCATCGTATAAACGGCTTGCTGACAGCGCTTGTCATACGATGATCGAGATTCAGCCATTATTTCTCATGATTGAGAGCCCAGAGGTCCTCCAAGGGTTCCATCCACGGGTGATCAGATACAGACGACATTTACAGCTGGTAGAAGTGAAGTGCTAACCCACGCAGTCGTCTTTATTGTTCATCGTAGCTACATCGTAGCCTGGAGGTAGTCTGCGGATCCAGATCTAGATCTGCAGAGTACTCGGTACCGTGGTAAGCAAAACCGAGTCTGAACAGGAGCTTTTAGTCCTCAATGTCATTTTCCATTAGTATTTGGCACCGAGCGAGCCAGACATACAGTCTTTTAGAGCGATTTGGAGAGCTCGGAATCGCGAGTTCCAGCTTCCCCCCCATGTTGCTGGGATACGAGCTTCCCGTGACTCTCTCAATGATGACAGACCGGAGCATCAGCTCCGAACCCCGGATTTCACAAAGAGCTCATTTTCGTTTAGATAAACTTCAAACCAGACACACCTGTCTCAGCCTCCGCTGCACATAAAAAATAGAGTACTTTTCCGGCCTTATATTCATATAGATATATAGAGAGAAGCTATGGCTCTCCGGCGCTCCGCCCGCTTGAGCGCCGCTGTTCTCCCGCTCCAAGCAGCAATCCAGCCACCTTCGAACCCAGCAAACGGCGTTACGAAAGCCCGCAAAATATCAACAAAAGAGAAGAAGAAACAGACGCAGAAGAAGACACAGATTTTGAGTTCGCTTCCTCAACTATCCCTCTCCAATGACGCAAACCTTCTCTCCTCTACACCGGTCCTCAAACCATCCTCAACTTCCTCTACTTCAACCCCAACGGGCGAAGCCGAGCGTACATCCGCAAACAACAGCGCTTACTGGGAGAACAATGCAATATCAAATCCTCAAAAGAGACCGCAGACCCCTCCCCCGCTCGACCGCCCCGTTGAACCCCACCGAACAAACGCTACCCTCCTAACGCCCCACGGCTCCTCGCTCGTTGCCTACCCACCGGGGACAGAGGACATCTCGCCCTCAAAAAGTGGCCTTCCACGACCCACGGCGACAACGGGCACGCTCCTCGAGAAAGCAACCGCACACTTGATAGCCACCGACCCCCGTCTGAAACCGCTCATAGAAGCACACCGGTGCGCGCTCTTCTCGCCAGAGGGACTTGCCGAACGGATCGATCCTTTCCGGAGCCTCGTGAGCACTATAATCGGGCAGCAGGTTTCTGGCGCGGCTGCGAGGTCTATAAAGGAGAAATTTGTGGCGCTGCTGTGGGGGCTGAATCATGCGGATGGGGTGAACGGGGCAGATGGTGCTACTGCACGCGATAAAGATATTGAGGGTTACTTCCCGACTCCCGAGGAAATAGGACGTTCCGATATCGCTACGCTACGGACGGCGGGGTTGTCCCAGCGAAAAGCAGAGTATATTCATGGTCTTGCGGAGAAGTTTGCAAGTGGGGAGTTGAGTGCGAGGATGTTGCTGAATGCTAGCGATGAGGAGCTGTTGGAGAAGCTGACGGCTGTGAGGGGCTTGGGGAGGTGGTCTGTTGAGATGTTTGCTTGCTTCACGCTCAAGCGAATCGACGTGTTTTCAACGGGGGATTTGGGTGTTCAGTGAGTTCTTCCTCTCGACATTGAACTGGTTCAGCTCGGAATGGTACTAACTGGTGTAGGCGAGGCTGCGCAGCGTTCTTGGGAAAAGACGTCGGTAAACTAAAGGCAAAAGGTGGTAAGTTCAAGTACATGTCAGAAAAGGATATGTTGGAGCTGGCTGCCAAGTTCGCGCCGTATAGGTATGTCAATGATTAGATCTTAATGCTGCAACTGCTTCCCGTTCATTTCTCACATTGACTAGGAGCCTCTTCATGTGGTACATGTGGCGCGTAGAGGATGTCGACATCACCGTCATGACTGGTTGAAGGATGGCGAGTCTGTTCCGGTATCAACCCTGTATATATGGAACGGCGATTCGGTATTATCTCTAATATAATTTGGCCAAATTTCGTATTAGTATTGTGTATAACGCCTACATCCGGCAGGCTACTGCTTTGGTAAATCCAGAAACTCGCGAGACACAGCGAAGTCGAACGAAGCAGGAGAAAAATGGAGATAAATTTGTACAGTATCAGTACACGGGTTGCGCGACGTAAATCCAAAGGCTCAAGCAACAATGGCAATTGCTCTACTCGACAGAGCACAAAGCCGGACGGAACAACTCCTGTATCGTCTTATTCCACAGGTCTATATCACAGAGCAGATTTTATGTTTTCCATGGCGGGAATCCGAAAGCCATTTACCGCTTTTGGTTGACGACAAGGTTGTCAAGGTCGTTACGCTCCGCCAGCTCCTTCTCGATCTCGCGGATGATGGGGCTGAGGTACTCGACGTCCTATTGAGAAAAAATCAGTAAATTCTGCACTCGGCCATCTAGTTTGCGTCCCAATAGTTCATTCGATAGATTGAAGTGTCATAAATCGAGTACCAAGCGGTTGACAAATCCTCCTCACGGGATTGGTCGATCGCTTTTGCGGAGATCTGGGATGCGTATTGCGCGCAATGGAAGCTCAGTTCGACTCACCTCGGAAGGCTTTGTGTGCTCTTCAGGAGGAAGAAGGGTGTGGGAAATGGAGCACTGTTGAGAATAAAACCTTTAGCTAAACGAAGCCCTGAGGCAACTCGATGACGAAACTGACCTGGAAAGCTCTGCGAATACGGAAGACGCGGTCGTAAGCCTCCTTGGGAGGAAGACGCTTGAGAGCGGTCAGGACAGCCTCGTTCTCCTCGGGGATCAGATCATCGGCTCTGTAATGGCAGTTAGATCGCTGGTACGATTATCCCGACGATATCGGGCGAGTCCAGATGAGCGGGGGCGAAAAGGTCGCGATTGACGTAGGAAACGCAGTGATGATACAATTGTCGTAGTCGCTTTCCGTCCTTCACCAGCGTTTGTACGGGATTATCGAGGTGTAGTTGCGTACCTGAGACCGAGTCTTCTGTAGCCAGCAGCGTCGACATACCAGTTGGCGATGGGGGTCATCCAGCGCTTCAACCATGGGCGCTTGACAACGAAGTTGGTGAGACTAGGAGCCGACATATTGAATAGCCCGACGAGAAGCGGCGTGCGGTTCCAATTGACGGTGTGGAGTGGAGGGGTGGTCGCAAAATGTCAGTCAAGCTGAACGAAAGATGGCTCGACGTTGGAGATTATTGTGCAAAACGGGAGGTCTCCGGATGAACTTACCCAAAAACATCCGATATGCTGCCTGAGGCAGATACACCACCGCGCCGGTTCTGACCGCATTATCCCATATGAGAGCCGGGCACTGGTGCTGTATGCCTCAGGCCGCAAGGCCTTTTGGACCGAGTATTTCTGTTTGGCCAAAAAGCTCTGGTACGCCGACATCCTCGAAGGAAAAAAGAAGCGAATAGCAACTCAGGTCCGGGCCCTTCCACACGACTCTCCAGGCCACTGTCCTTTACTAGGTCTTACGCAAGTTGGAGTCATTTGTCTCGAGATTTGCAATTCGCCCACTTTTCCGAGGACGGTTCCTTTTTTCGTCTCTCGTCATTCGACACCTGAGGCCTCAATTTCCCAATCATTTGTGATTTCAACGCGGGCAACCCGAGGTTCCTGTGTCTCGGAGGCGGGAATGAGGTTAATTGATCGTTGATTATCGCGTTCTCTCTATCTTTCGATATTGCCTCTCTTGGTACTTTGATTCCACCAAAACCCCGCTCCCACGTCGGTGCATCAGATAGGGCAACTTTAAAAGACAAGGCGGCTCGGCAGCATCGGCTCGCTCAATAAATCCTTGGAGGTCCCTCTGCACCTCGTCATCCGTCATACCCTTCCCAACCGCACGACATTACCGAATAGGCTTTTGCTTCCTAGGATTTTTCCAGGACTTATACGCGCCGCACAGGGTTCTTTGGGTTCCGGAGCGGGCACCGATATGCTCGGATCCGGGATCCCTCATCGGTGAAACATATAAGAGCGGAACAAGCTGTGGAACTGCTTGAGTGCTGGTCGCCAGGATGTTCTCAGAAGAACACAACACGCCAGGGGCATCCAGCAGCCCTAACGAGCAGCAGGTGACAAAATCCGACAGCGCTCCGTCCCCTCCTCTCCAAATCGAACCCGCCGCCGCTACGTCAAGCCCGTCCTCGAACTTCGTCGACCGCGTGGAGCTCTTTGCTGCCCGCTTACCAGAATACTACATAGCCCCGTTTTGCGGCGCCAGTGCAGGGGTAGCGTCGGGAATTGTGACCTGCCCACTCGATGTGATCAAGACGAAGCTTCAGGCCCAGGGGGGCTTCCGGAGAAATGGGCATATGGTCGAAACTAGCAAAATATACCGAGGCATGCTAGGGACTGGAAAGATAATCTGGAGGGAAGACGGCATCAGAGGTCTCTACCAGGGCTTAGGACCAATGCTTTTAGGGTACTTGCCTACGTGGGCGGTTTATCTGGCCATCTACGACCGATCGCGGGAATACTTTTATGAGACAACTGGTTAGTGCTTTGTCGGATCGCTGATGGCAGGGCTTTATTCTAATCATCATTACAGATAGTTGGTGGCTTTCCAGAGGATATGCTTCTGTTACTGCGGGAGCATGTTCCACAATCGTCACAAATCCTATCTGGGTGATCAAGACTCGACTGATGTCCCAGAGTTCAAGATCCGACACCGAAGGATACAGAGCCCCTTGGCGGTACAATGGCACTTGGGACGCAGCTCGAAAGATGTATAAGCACGAGGGAATACGCTCGTTTTATTCCGGCCTCGGACCGGCTTTGTTAGGTCTGACGCACGTTGCGATACAGTTTCCCCTCTATGAATACCTGAAAATGGCATTCACCGGCTACAGCATCGGAGAGCACCCGGATAACGGAAACTCCCACTGGATTGGCATAAGCTGCGCTACATTTTTGAGTAAGATATGTGCCAGCACAGTGACGTACCCGCACGAAGTACTGCGAACAAGGCTTCAAACACAGCAAAAGATTCAACCTTCTGCTTCGCCGGAGGAGATCACATTCCGCGGTGGGCTGGATCACCCGGGGGGGCATAGCCGGTCCTCAGGTGGGGCGTCATCTGACGGCATGGCTAATCGACCACGATACGCTGGAACTATTCGCACGTTTAAAACAATCTTGCAAGAGGAAGGTTGGCGAGCGTTCTACTCAGGGATCGGCACGAACCTGTTCCGCGCCGTTCCTGCTGCCATGACCACCATGCTCACATACGAGTATCTCCGGAAGCATATTGGGCACCTGAAGCACGAAGGAGAGCATAAACTCGCCCTGGAAGAACAAAAGGCCTCTTCGGCAGCAATCTAACCATTTAACTTGAAGGCAAGTGTCAACCATCCGATCTACGATATGACCGCCGCAGCCTGACACAAGAGGCCCGAACTTCTGATTATTTCTTGTCATCTGAGCAATCAGCTCGCGTCTTAATGTCGACGTACGACTCTATGGAGCAGATATATGTCTTCAGCATGGACGATTTCCTATGTCACCGGTGTTAGGGTAGAGTGATGGGGTCTGGCATACGATGGTCTCTGGTTTAAGACTTGTGTTTTATGAGCGCCGTTCTATTACCCCAATTTTATCTTACGTGCCTCACATGTATATATCATATCTACTACCTCTATACGTATCATTAGAACTCACAGCTTTCAATTGATATGGATTTTGAGAGGCTGTAGTACTACCTTGATTGTGAACCAGTGGATAGAAGGAAGCACGTGACTTGCTATGGTATATCCACAGAAATTTTCTTGCGCAAAACTTAAAACAAACAGCAACTCCATGGCACATCACAAAGCTCTGTGTAGCTTCTCAGTTCGCTAATCCTGGGTGATCATGGCTCGGCTTTGCTTGATTTACTGACAATGACCTCTTGCTCTACCTCTTCAATCCCTATCTCACAGCCAGCGATGGTTCACTAGCTTGACGTCTTTGTTTAGTGACATGCCAAAATGCTGGCATGAGGACAAAGTACGCATCATGTTATCGCTTGCCAAAGAGCCAATACCTCTGCATTGAGCTATACAAGGTAGCGAGAGAAGGACTTGACTTCTACAGGCCCAAGACTGATGAACCTGGCAGGCAGGCTTCCTGCACGGCTATGGATGGTTTCAACACGGACTCCTAGCATTCGAACCGTGGGGTTCTGTTGGATGCTGCATCCTCGATGCTATTTATTTTCTGCCAAATGCCCTCCGGAACAATGGGCAAAGGCAATCCCAGACCCTGCTGCTCGGAATTACTTTGGGAACTCGGTCGCTCAGCGCAGCTACACGAGATCAAGATCGAGATCGAGAAAATCAGGACAGCGCGGATGTCCCTACTGTATGGCCTCCATTCTTTTCCTGTCTTGTACAATGGGTCCCCGGTTGAGAACGATACGCATGCTCTGCAATATGAGGTAAGGCTCCCTTGCATCTCCGCATTACACCAAATCTTTGAACATGAGAACCTATATGATGAACATTTATATCAATGGTAGATCCGGTTCATGACAAGCTGGATGTGACTATTCATACACTGAAAATTCTGATACCCTTCTCATGATCTCCCTTATGCTTGCTTGATTTCATCGTCGTTCCTTGCTGACCGGCAAAAGACTCTCTTAGGTACTTAGTAGCTTTGATAGTATAGAATGCTTGAAAATACACTTCGTCCATATCGCATCAAACTAGCAAAAGGATGTAATCAAATCCCACAACTTAGACTTAACACCTAAACACCAGCGTCACCACAAAGGCAAAGCCAAACCACCCTAGGATAAGCGAAAAGAAAGGAAACAAAAGCTCCAAATTAAACACCCCCCTTCCCATCCCTCCCCCTCTCCTCCAACGCCCTCTGAACCCACTCATCCTGCCGTTCCCTCTGCCTGCACCTCCTCTGCGCGGCACTCAATGAGGCCGATGCCGAATCAGACTCCTGAAACTGAGACTGGACATGCGCGCCCCTCCGCGCAGAATTGATCGAGTAGATGCAGTACGAGCATAGCACGACGGCCATTGTGAATGCTGCGATAGGGGCGTTTAGAGACTAGATCGTGTATTAGCTTAACTTGTGTCGTGTATGCTTGAGGTGCGAGGACCTTGGACAGTTGGAGAGGTGATGGATGATGAGTGGAGTGGTGTGATAGAGAGAAGTAGAGAGAAAGAGCAAGGGTTAGCTAGGGGCATTGCTTACGCCTGTAGAGCGGCCGAGGGGCTTCTTGGACATTTCAGAGTGTATGTCTGTACGGGATTTTTAGACAAAGAGCTGGTTGAAGGATTGATTGGTGGTGGTGAAAATGGTAAGACGGATCTTTAATGTTGGTGTTCGAATAGATTGCCGCGCCAAAGCTACTGGTAGACGAAATGAGTGTAGTATCAGGTTGATTTCGTATTTTCAGCGACGCAGTCTGGACGAGAACCTCCAGCCAATTATTTACTCTAGTTTCGGGGATTCTATATACACTTCTAGAATAAATTCTATAATCTAGATAAACCAGACAGACAGGGGATTTCCAAGGCACCGAAGCAAGCAATCTAAAACACGAAACAAAGAGAAAGAGGAACGCCATACCATGATGCACAAATATACAGGGTAATTAAAACAGGAGAAAAAAAGAGACGTTCGAGGTGTTTCACTCCACAAGGATTTTACACAAGTCCCACGCGGCTCTTCAGCGTCAGCACGGTCTCGTACACGGAGAGCTTCAGCTCCACGCGGAGGAACTTTGTCCAGGCGCAGAGAAACTGCCAGAAATTAGACGGACGCAGCAGTCCGCCGTTTTCGTGAATGGTTTCGATCGCTTCCTCGAAGACTGTGCGGGTTGCATAGCGGGCGAGGATGAGGAAGGTGCGGACGGGGCCCTGTCGAGTGTGTAGGTTCTCGTCCAAGCTGCGGGCTGTAGAGTATGCCGTTAGATGAATGCGTTGCAGGTATTAGGAGACAACGAGATAGCTTACTGAGGTCATTTGTCTTCAGAATTAGGAGCATGATTCGCGGCACCTGGCCCAGAAGCTCTACCAGCTGCTGCAACATGCCCTCTCCGAGGGCCCCGGAGATGCTTTCCTTCTCAGCTGCTGTGCGGGCTGAAGCGATGTCCTTTCTCGTCAGGACCGTATAATCCCTGCCAGTGATCGCGCTCGCGAAAAGGGGGAACTGCTCGTCTGTGACGCCAGCCACCTTGCGAGAGTACTCTCGCATGCGGGCTTCATCTGCTTCGATGACAGATAGCCAGAGCTTCGCATAGTTGCGGCGTGTCTCACGAGCAATATCACGGTAAAGACCATGATCGTAGAGGATGATGTCGAAGTTGTGACGGCTGCGATTAGGGTTCTTGCGAATGGCAATGTTGCCACCATGAGGATCGCAATGTAATGGGGCATTGTCGCCGAAGATCATCTCGTTGAAAATATGAGCTAGCGCTGCGGAAACTTCATCACGGTCGATACCGTTGGAATCCAGGAACTCTAGGTCATCCGGTCGGTGACCGGACAAAAACTCCATAACTAGAATACGTTTCTGCGCCGAGATGACTAGAAGCTGTTAGAGCACATACAGACGCGGGAGGGAAGAGGAGAAAATGAATTACCTTCTGGGATGACCAGCGGAGCATCCGAATGTTGCTTAAAGTGCTCACTAGCTCTCATAGCATTTTGCGCCTCTAGGCGGAAATCCAATTCCTGTGGCAGCGAGAGGTCCATCTCCTTTGACAGCCACTCCAGATCATATTCAGGAAAGAAGCGCTTCAGCATCGAGAACGTAAACCGCGTCAATGCCAGGTCCAGCGGCGCCCATTCCGCCAGCGCCGGATGTTGTACCTTGACCGCAACCTTCTGGCCCGTTTTCTTCAGGACTCCAATATGAACCTGTGCCAGGGAAGCAGCGCCAATGGGCGTCGGCTCGAATGATTCAAACAGTTCATCAATCCGCTTGCCGGTGTCTGCAACAAACATCTCCTCGATCGACTCGATCGACGAAACGGGACATTTGTCTTGTAGAGGAATAAAGGTCGTTGTCCACTCGAGTGGGAGGAGGTAGCCCATGCTGCTCAAATGTTGTCCCAGCTTGATGAAAATGGATCCGTTCTTTTCCAGTACGCGCAGGGTACGCTCAGCGCAACGCTTGTGACAGGCGTGGATCGCATCGCATCGTTCTTCGGGGGTTGCATATTCTTGCTTGAGGGTCACTCGGTAGCTGAGTTCCAAGACATTAGCAAATGAGTTCCGATCATTCAGTGTGCATGTTCCAACTTACTCGTTGATACAGACAGCTAGGGTGCCAACAACTCTTCCTGTTCGCTCCGCCGCGCGGTAAAGATGTTTAGCATCACTGGAAAATGTCACAGCTCCGACCAAGATCACTCCTCCGATAACTCCATATTTGATCCATTTCTTCCCTGGTTTACCAGTTCCAGATTGTTTCCCTTGACCGCCGGCCGCCTGTTGCGATTCGTTCAAGACAGAGGTCCTCGTTGAAAAGGGTGCTCGGGGCCAAGACGGTTTGACTGTGGTAGTCAACGGCGATGAACTATGTCCATATCGACGAGTGGACGCGTACGTTACAGTACGCCTCAAGGGCAAGTCCTTCAACGAATAACTCGGTGTATATCGGACGATGGGCATCGGCTCGAGACTGAGAGCCCGTAGTGGGGTGCGGAGCGCCACCCTCATACCGGGCACGAACAATGCCGTATAGAGAGCGACAACGAGTCGAGAACAAATAGTTGCCAGACGAAGACTTTCATCCGTACTACCATACGGCCATTTGTAAAGATGGAAGGAGAGAGCTTGGAGGCGAGAGATGGCGGAAGAGACAAAAAATTATTCCGTGGCCGTTGAGAGCGTTGATCGTGGCATTTCCACCCCGGGACTCGCCGCGGCCGAAGCGCGCGCCACTCGAATCCCATGTGCATCCGGAGAAGAGTATGGCACGCTGGAATTCTTTGATATAGGCTAAAATAATAAGAAACAGCCACTGTCTACATACACACCATCCGGACCACAGATGCACCATATTCCTCCCAGCGAGACAAAGACTTGCTCAAATGTAAAACCTAAGGAAAGTATGCATACACAAAGGAAGGACAGCAAAAACGCCCCCATATGCGCCTAGAATATGCAAAGGCTCGCTGGTATGGCCACAACCGGACGAGCGTCTTCTGACAAAGGAAAACTGATGCAAGATAGACAACTTATTTTTCAACTGATCAGTTAGGGTCCTCGTTCCCCTTCCAGCTGCTGTGTCAACCGCCGACGCCGAGGGAGTATAGACTGCCGGCGAGATACTGAGCTTGGAGGCCGAGCATCGTCCTCGGCTAGTAAGTCGACGTGGGATAATCTGTTCGAAACTCCGCGGGCTATCCTACTCCTAGAAGCACCCGAGCTTCCGTTGACGCCACCTGTAATGCCCGGGGTTGCTCCTTCTCGGCTCCCAGGCCGGAGGGCGAGCGCAGAGCCGCTGAGAGCGGTTCGTGGGTGCCGTTGGCTTTCTCGACCATCGAAATACCCCTTCGATTGGCTCTGTCGGCTCATCTGGGGTGTGGCAGGGGCGGACTGGTTGACAAGAAGACTCGGGGATGATGCGGACATGCTTCCGCGTCGTACATTGGGCTTGCGCTTACCCAGTCCATAAGCCTCGCTTTTTTCGTTGAACTGGATAAGTTTTCCAGCCATGTCCCGAACAAGGACTGCGGGATCATGCTCTAGCTCCCGAATCGCCTCTAAGAGTCCGTAGCCGGTGAGAAGTCCGCCTTGTTCTTCGCGAGAGTCGCAAATGCTAGATATGATGCGGAGAAGGTTTAAGCGGACCGCGGCCTTGTTGTGATGTAGCTTCTGACCTAACCTGCTGAAAAGGTCAGGGCGCGCGAGGGTTGAAGCGATAGGAGGACTAAGCCTCAGAAGCTTCTGAAGCGGCTCAAGCAGGTTCTCAAATGCGTTTGCTTTTGATAACGTCAAACATCTGATGATCGCGTCCGTAAATGATGGCTGGTCATAACGGTTTTCCAGCAAATGCTCTTCTACTTTGGCTGTCTCTTCCTGAAGCCTATCGTACCATATTAGTCTATGAACAATTGACTCAGGAGGTGTCATCGCCACTCACCAGATGAAAATAGCATCCAAGGCCGTCACCTGCCAGTACGGATCAGAGAGCAATGAAATGTAAAAGGCAAGACCCTTGTTGCGCCACAACTCCCGACGTCCAACTTTGCCGGAATGAGCCATATCACAGAGAATTGGCAAAGCGAATTCTTTGAGCGGTCGCTCGGTTTTCACAATTTTCTGCAACAAGGGGACAATGCCGTTTAGCGCAGCATCTTCCTGGCGTGACTTATTGAGCCGGCACATATTGTAGATGGTATTCAAGATTTGGTTAGAAACCTCTCGGAAATGTGGGCGCTTGATAGTGGACCGCAGTAAATCGGTAAGCACGTCAATCGCGTTCGAGTTCTGGAGGGAATCGAGCGTTGTTGATAGCATGGACAGATTCTTAATGAATTTGAGCATAGTTATCTGATGGGCTGGCGTCATGCGCTTCAGCTCTTTCAACACCCCTGATAGAGTTAGCAGAAGCAAACGGACTCCCAGATCATTGTGATACATACTATGAAGAACGGTGCGCTCAGCGACCATCTCCTTGACATGATTCTCGGCCTGCGAGAAGATGAAGAAGATATTTGCGATACGGCCTTCTACAATCTCGGCCAATTCCCCTTCCTCGTCCAATACTCGACTCAGAACCAGGGACAACGGGTCTAAAACAGAACTGCGAGACAAAATCCTGCAAAAGTCGTTCTTTGGTGTTGAACCCTAACTGCTCGTCAGAACTGACGTCCGATTGACGGTATTAGGCATAACTCACCTGCAGCTCAAAAACACTCCAGATACCGTTCACTCCAACCAGCACAAGGTCACGCTCGTCTTCATAGTCATCCTCCAAAAATTCAACTAGTACGTTCAACCCACCCGCACTGACGAACATTTGGAGGGTGAGAGTCGAGGTCTGATACATCTGTTGTACAAAAGCAGCTGCTTCGAGTCGGATCTCCCGCGGATATTTCTTCGCAGCAAACTCGTTGATGATTGGAATGCCTCCAACAAAGCAGAGATTTTCTTGCAGCTCGTAGTCATCGTAGATGATCGCATTCACGATCTTCAAGAGGCACAGAGTAATGTCACGTCGACGGCACAAATCAAGGATCTCTAAGATCGGCAGCATACCATGAGCGCTGATAATGATGTTTTTGGTTTCGGGAAAATCGCAGAATACGGCTAATAGCTGTTCGGCTATCTCTCCAAGCACCTCTTCATCTTGCGACGTCTTCAAGGAGCCGACGAGTCCTTCCACCTGGTTTCGTAACCTAGCATGTTTATCACGTGCAATGTTGGCCTCGAGGTCCGTTTCATCAAGCCCTTCCTCAAGCTGTGCGAACGGATCATCCTCATCGTCCTGATCACCGAGCCAAGAGTTACTCGAGAGTTTCGAATTCAGCATCAAAGTGCTCTTCTCTGAGCTAGCATCGCTCTCAGTCTTGTTGAGCGTGACGCCGTCAACGCCCAGAATGTCAGAAAAGTCTTCGTCTCCCTCATTCTCTGTGAACTGCTGGATTTCGACGGCTCCTCGATACCGCTTGACTGAAATTTGGCGTCCTAGTTCGGATTGTTGTTCATCTTGCTCAGATGAATTATGGTACCGCACAACTTCCCTGGATGCTGGGGACTCCAGCGAGTCCATACTGTCATCGTTGTCCTAATCTGGGTCAGCTGTTTACCATCCTCTAACTCCGTTCGTACTTACGTGAAATGCACTGAGTTTGCGGTCCAAGATGTCTTCATTCGCACTGATGATATCAGAGTAATCTTCGACCGAGTTCTCCTTATAAAACAAAGGTGGGCGCTGTTGTCGGATGGGCGACGACGAGTTTTGCAGCATTGGCACGCCGTGGGTAGGATTAATAGAAGTTTTTATGGGCGGGCCACGTCTGATGTGTGGCCCATTTGAAACGTTGGCGGCTTGCGTAGCTCCTGCGCCGACCTGCTGGGATGTAGAAGGTCGAATTGTTCTCAATGGGTCTGATTCTGCGTCGTGCACAAATCTTCCGAATGGGTCATCAAAATCCTCAAACCCGTCATCAGACTTGAGGACCGTACCATCAAGCGAGGCAAAAGCCTTTAGTTTCTCGGACGACAGCATTCCTCCAAAGTTGTCGTGCGGTCTGAGGTGAGGCAGCTGTAGTGCACTTGGCGAAATAGCTGTGGCAAAGTCATCATCCCAGTTATCTTCTTCCGCCGATATTGGAGAGCGAAATCGCTCTGCCGTGTGTCTCGATACCGGGCTTGGAAGTGAATCTTTTGAAGGGGTGTGTCGAGCCTGGCCTACGTCGAGCCGCAGAGAAGGTGGGTTTCGACTGTCATTCCTAGTTCCTCGTCGGAGGGCGCTTGATTCGGGTGAACGTAGAGCCTCGTTCCACTCTTGGACACTTCTCACAGCCTCTTCGTACTCGGTTGACTTCTTGGGGACTATCGAATCAGATCTGCGAGCATTGACTATCCAGGGATGTTTGAGGAGCTTTCGTGCAGAAACGCGAAGATTAGGGTCTTTCTGGAAACATTGCATCAAGAAGTCTTTAACTGCCTGTACTGATATTAGCAGAAGACAAAAGTAATTCTCACCGCCACAAACTCACTGGAGAGGCGCCTTGTGGGAGAGGAGGGTGATCGTCATTGACAATCCGGAAAAGAGCCGGCATAGGTTGGAGGTTATAGTAGGGGGGCTTCCCTTCTAGCAATTCGATGACTGTACATCCAAGACTCCATATGTCAGATGCCGTTGTAGCACCTGAAAGCTCAATCACTTCGGGAGCCATCCAATACGGAGTGCCGACGACGCTCGATTCGCTCAAGCCGGTAGTCCGACTAGCAACACCAAAGTCTGCAAGTTTAACTAGACCCTCCTTCGTTGTGAGAATATTTGCGCCTTTGATGTCTCTGTGTATAACACCTTGATCATGCAAGTAAAGAAGGCCGTGGAGAACCTGGGACATGTACACCCCCACGAGGGTCTCGGGAAAACGGCCAAAGTTTTTGGCAATAGAATGGAGTGAGCCATTTTCGCAATACCTGAACAGTCAGTTGTTAAATGCTCTAATTCGTGGATCGGAAATGAACGCACTCGAGAATAATGTTTAGAGTTTCGGCCGACTTCACAAATCCATGGTACTTCACGATATTTGGGTGCTATGGTTATTGGGTCAGCGAACTGCGGTACAAGAGGGGCTTCAATCTCAGGGGCAAGAAACCATACATCCAAGTTCTTGAGGAGATCGATCTCCAACTGTAGCACGTATACTCAGCGTTTGAGATCACAGTAGCGAAGGGGGCGATTCTACCATAATAACTCGCAATTCACTCTTTGGAAGGTCTGCAAGCTTGATTTGCTTCACAGCCACAGTTTCCCCTGTGTTCCAGTTGAGTGCCCTGTATACCGACCCAAAAGCACCTCGGCCCAAGCAGTCACCGAGTTGCTTCCAGGATTAGTCAGTTTTGAACTCCAGGGCGACAACTCAGAAGCTGAACGTACGAAGTCCTTGAGTTCCGCAACATCTTTGGCCGAGGTCTTTCCCATCCGGTCATCCTTCGTCTTTTCTTCTCGTTTTGATGGGCTCGAGCCGAGTCTCGTGAGCCGTGATTTCGCGGGGGTGCCAGGCGTCCTTGAAGGCGGAGGAGGACCGTCGGGGCCCTCGTTGGACCGAGACACCATCGCCGGTCAAAGCCTGAGCGGACTTTCTATAGTAGATTGGACTCTGTACAGTGCGGACTGTTCGCCTCGGGTTGGGCAACCGTAAATGCGGGACGAAGGAGGGAGGAAAAGGCAGGCGCCGGGGATTCGATCGGATCGCTCATATCAGCACATTTGCTATTGCAGAGTACATTGTCAGTAATGATTGAAACAAGAAGAAAACAAAATCATTTAGGAAGGATGAAATAAATCTAGCTTGTAGCTCAAAGTATTGATAAGTGGTTTCGCAGAGGGAGAGAAAAGACATACCAAAGGGATCCTCGTTCTCGCAATCACAAAGCTACCCTGAAACGCGACAGAACACATGGGATGTTGGCCTTTTGATTTAATCAGGAGAGTGGATTGTCAGCAGGTTCACAGGGAACACGGATAGCAAATAAGTTGAGAAAATATTAATCCCTAGTATTGTGCCTGCTGAGCTGAACTTGGGAAACAATTAGCGGATGTTTAGAACTCTCCCCTTCTCCACAGCCCGCCACTATTTGAAGCATGACGCACTGGCCGGCTGCTTGTGTATTTCCGATCAGCCTCATCGGCCACATGGTGCTGTAAGACAAGCCCAAGAGCGTTGGTTACTTTTACTGGAGACGTCAAATTTATTGGAAATTATGGGTCAGCCACGTCATCCTACCTAGAGCATCGCTAGAGTGTTATATACATCTGTCGGTGGTGGTTTGGTTGGTGGTCATCAAGTCTCCGCCATGCCTTTTCGCGTAAGCTCAGGCCTCCGCTGGCTTGTAAGAGGAAATGGGCACACAACTCTCAGTCTCTCATGCTGCTCATCCCGATTTTGCTGCTCTGAGATAACGGAGAACGTCTGAGACGAGGTAAAGACTCCCTGCGATGACCAGGGGTTTGCCGTCCGCCCGGCTACAAGCCCAATCGATTGCACCGACAGTATCATCTTTGAACGACTGGACTTTCCCGATGCCTTGTATGTCTAGAACACATGAAGATAGATCATCCGGATCAGCAGCCTTGACCCAAGGCATCCCGTCCACAGGCCCAAAACTCGTTGTCGCGACGTCGTCGCCTGGTTCGATGATAGAATGGAACAGCGGACGAATATCTTTTCCGTGCGATGCTGCAATGACCCAGGTGACGTTGTTCCCCGACACGCGCAATTTGCGATTTACATATTCTCCTAGAACCTCGGCAGACTGGGCATTATGCGCACCATCCAGCAGAACGGGTTCCTTGCGGGTGGCCAGAGGCTCTAAAGTGATGCTCTGTAAGCGACCCGGCCACTCCACAGAAGCAAGATGTGGTATAAAGGTGTCGACATCAAGTCCAGGGCGAACCTGTGGCAAGACAGCTTTCAAAGCTGCTGCAGCGCAAGACATGTTTGCTTTCTGATGGGTCTGCAAATCGAGTTTCCCGAATAACCTGGTCAGTGAGGGCAGTTGGCGATCTGGTTCATCCGGATAAACAGGAATGGCATCCAGACCAAGCTCTCTGGCGCGATGTTTGATAGCTTCTGTTGCCTCCACACAGTTCGTGCCGTCGACTACACAAAAGACTCCAGGCTTCAATATTCCGGCTTTCTCCCGAGCGATCTCCTCAATTGTGTTTCCCAGAAAAGCTTGGTGATCCAGGCCAATCTTTGCAATAACCGAAACAAGGACATTATTCAGTATATTGGTAGCATCCAAGCGACCGCCCATGCCCACTTCAACGACACCGACCTCGACTTGTTCGTGATTGAATATCTCAAATGCCGTTGCCGTTAACAGTTCAAACTCGCTCGCGCCGATGCCTAACGTTTGATCTCGGAGCTTGACCCGAGCCTCGATTTGTCTGAAGAGCGACTCCTGGACAACTCGTTCATCAATTGTGATGCAATCCCAGCGATCGATCAAGTGAGGGGAGGTGAAGCGGCCGCAGCGTACCCCTCCTGTCGTCAGAAGGTGCGACAAGTAGGCGCTGATCGAGCCTTTGCCATTGGTACCCGCGATGTGGATTGCCTTCCATGACAGAGGAGTCTGTTGAAGGAGACGGGATATCCGGCTGAGGCCGAGCTCAATCATTCCTCCGGATGTGCACGCTGGATGAAGATTCAAACCCAGCCTTCATGATCAGCGGAAAACGGAAACTGGTTGACGCTGTCGACCGGCCGTCGGTTTCCTCAATTTTCCCCAATCGTGTCGACGCCCGGCCGAATGTCAGCACCCGCTTATCGGAAAGCCAGGCGATAAGAGCTTCTGCCTGAGGTGTCACCCACAAAACTGCGCTCAGAGCTTCTGACGACAGTATAAATCCCTTCCATAACCAAAGCTTGTGAAAATTCGTTGGTCAATCACCGTTGCCATATATCCCAAAAATTTGCGCCGACACTCAGCCCCCTTGGCGCAGGAGAAGCGCCAGGATGACAGGCGGCTGGACGGGCGCCTTTGGACGCGATCCACTCGGTTGCGCCTCGTCCGAGCGCGACCGCAAGGGGTTCACGCTTGGTCTGACTACTGCCTCAGGCGCCTCCCCTCCGCTTTTCCCTTTAGAAGCAAAATCGAATCTTGCCGTTTCTCCATCAACACAGCTCTGTCGCCAACCCCCCACCGCCATCGTCGCGTCAACTTTTCACCCTTCGCGTTCATTCTTCTAGGGTTCTGAAAGCGGCGCTTTTCTGTGGGCTCATTTTACTTTGTCTGGACGAAGCATTTCGCGCACTTCTCGCAGCTATGGGTATTCCGTAAGTTTATCGCCGTTCTCTCCTATGTTTCTGGTCGCCTGGGGTCTCCACAGCGCCCTGCGGTGCCCAGGGAACAACTATCCTGATAAGTGTTTCTCTAGTATGTACCGTGAGCCTTCTACGGCTGAGGCTACCAAAAACAATACTATGAAGGATCATTGCGCTGCCGCTCGCTCTGCGATTCGCCGCCAGGCCACGATTCGCCGTCCGTCGCGGTATAGTGGCTCTGGTCTACGCAGCGCGACATTGCGCTCTCCGTTTCCTCGTTCACTAGCGGACGAGATTGAGCGCGAGGCAAATGGCCTACCACGACATTCACATTCTCCTGCTGCGAATTCCACTCCGCCCGGCGATCCGTTCGACCTCAACAGTAGTTTAGCTGACAACAGCCGCCATGAAGCTGGACTGCGCATCCTTGGAGATGCGCTTCGCCATAGCCGTCCGGGACAACGGTTGCGAATTCCGAGGAACTCAACACTCCCCGATCTACACTCTCACTCTAGGCGCGCCGGTGATGCAGGTACCCGCCCAGAGCACCAAGAGCGTCTCTCATTCACACCCCGCTTTGCTCCTGCCATCGCATACCATAGGCAACCAACACCATCAGCCGGACCGGATATTCTTCGCTTATCATCTATGCCTCGGCATGATTCTCCTGTGCCAGAGGTTCCGTCAGGGTCTTTCCTTCCCCTATTGCGCCGGGTTGGCCAGCGCTCTATAAACGATGCGAATGTGACGACCCGCGACTCACTTGTCGATGGCCTCGGCGATCGCCAGAGGAGCGTGGACCTAGAAGATGACCATGCAAATGACGCATGGGAGACTCTTCTCACCACGATAACACCAGATGCCAACCTTCCCAGTGCCGATTCCTCCTTTACATCTGCCTCCGCTTCTGGAACAAATGTTTCGCGTGTTGGTACTTCTAGGAGCTCTGCGACATCACTTGAGTCACTCCAAAACTCCTTGCACACCGCTATCCCAACCGTTCAAATGACACTCGATCCCTATCCGGAATCCTCGAACCCTTGTGACTATCCTAGCTCTACCGATTCTGATACCGAGTCGGACGGTGAAATCACTCAACAATCCTTATTCCGGCGCTACCGCCGGCGTATGCGACAGGTTGATTCTATGAGACGCTCGCATAATCTTCAATCGGCCTTGAATAACCCCCCGTCCATTCCCACAATCTCCTTCGCATTCTCGGATTCCTCAGCAGACCAGGATCTGCATCACATGCAAGCCATTCTGGATCGGCTTGCCCGTCGGGAGGATATCCCTGATGACTGGTGGGCGGCAGCTGGACTGTCCCGCACCATTGGCCAGAGAGCAGGTACCAATGATACAAACGACAGTCGTGGTCCAGATGGTCCCAGTCGCCAGAGATGAATGGCCCCCCCTGTTACTTCCTATCATGTTTTTCACTATACCGTCTCATTTTCTTCCTTTTTTTTTTTCTTTTTTTCTTTTTTTTTGTATTCTTCCGGTTTGGCATTTGCGCGGATCTTTAGCGGAAAGGATATCATTCTGGCGTTCTGGGAGTGTGACCTCTAGCTATGAGCTCATAGGCCCAGTGGTGGTCCATGTGCAACGGTGTATTTCATGTATCCATATTCTATGACCTATATTTCGCTTGCAAACCGTGCGAGCATTTCTCAAAAAGGACCAAAAAGGACATTCTTCGAAGAGCCTGTCGGACATCTTGGTGCAGACTAACCTTACTGGTTGCCTTTCGGCTTCTCTTAGATTGTGCCTAGTACTTCCCGATCACTGCCTGTAGATATGTTGAGCATCGAATCTCCCTGCGAAGCCATGATATGTGGAACGACCTCGAATTCTTAGCATTTTCCTTGTCGAGCCTAGTCCAGTCCTCGAAGCTTAGCTGCTCCAGCAGATCGCATGCTGATACCAGGATCAAACCTACACCAAGTGGGGGCAAAGAATCTTTCCATGTTTTTTTGGGGAAGCATGGGGTGAAGATGAGATGCCAGAGTCCTATGTTCCGTTTGTTGGTGATATTGCTTCCAAGGAGCAGATCGGAGATGCACCGTTCTCCAGACGGAGCTCATCGCTCCAGACCCCGTCGCGTACCCCACTCTGACGAAAGCCCCCGCCCGCCGCAATTATTTGTCAGGATAGCTTCTATCTCGTCGTCACTGAGGGTCTGCCATTGCGCAGTGGGTGATTTATTATCTACTTCAATCATCGACTTTGCTCCGCGCTTTTGGGACAAACCACCTCACCATAAGCTACTTCCACTGTCACCCACCCTGCGTGCGTCAAACTATCGCAAGCTCCTCGCGTGACAGAACTTGAATATCCTTGGCTGAGCGTACTATCAAACCTTTGATACTGCACTTCGGCTACTTGTTCTTGCTGAAATTATCGCGCCAGTCATGGAGACACAGGTAGCCAGGCTAGTCGATAAGATCTGGGGTAAGAAGCATGCAGCTACTCCGCCTCGGACTTCGCAGCTAACCAAGCGGGAACGTTCAGATAAATACCAAAAGACGCCCCAAAATGCCCGCTTAATGGTCGCAGTCAGCGGCATCCCGGGATCCGGAAAGACAGAGCTCGCAATCACAATGGCCAAACGTATCAATCAGATATACGCCGAACAAAACGAAGGATTCATCGCCGCCGCTATCCCCATGGATGGATACCACCTCACACGGGCACAGCTTGCGCAAATGCCCGATCCCGAATATGCTGCTGCGCGAAGAGGAGCGGCGTTTACATTTGACGGAGAGAAGTTCCTAGAGCTGGTGCGCGCCCTGCGTGAACCGCTGACGCCAGACACGCAAACTTTATATGCTCCGAGCTTCGATCACGCTGTCAAGGATCCCGTGGACAATGACGTGCCCATTGCGCCTGAGCGACGGGTGATATTCTTCGAGGGAAACTATCTTAGCTTGAATAAGGAGCCATGGAGCTCCGCGGCGGGGCTGATGGATGAGTTGTGGTTTGTGGACGTTGACTTTGATGTTGCACGGCAAAGATTAATCAAGCGACATGTCAAAGCTGGCATTGCAAAGAACGAAGCTGAAGCCGAGAAGCGCGCAAATGAGAATGACCTAGTAAATGGGAGAGAGATTGTGGATGAACGGATGGATGTTCAGGAGATTATCCAGAGTTCTTATGACCCCCGGTGGGAGTACTGATTTGCATGACGCATGGATTATGAACGTGACGACAGTAAATTAGACCTGGGAAAGTAAATAACACTCCCTTAGAGATCTGGTACATAATCAATATGCCTTTCTTCAATCTCATGGTCAACAGGCCTGTCCTTTCGCCCCTTTACAGGACTATATTTAGAGATTAACTCTGAGACAAATGGGCCCAGATTTCCGAGTAATGCTTTCAATTCACGGACGAATTTGCCATACGGAGCAGGAGGCCAGAGAAAAGATCGCTAATGATAAAGCCAAAGGCTATGGTCACGTAGATGGAAGCATAAATGTCTCATGTTCCTGGTGATATTGTGATGGGATTCTCTATTTATGCTGCAATTCAAACCATGGTATCGTGACACTGTAGCCAGGAAAGAAAGCTCATTCCGAATATAGCACTGGTCTTAAGGACTATATATGCACAAAGCTACCGAAATCTCTGGCAAATGGGAGACCATGACTTCATTGCAACCCGAGGCATCTCGAATCTCCGTCAAGGAATTCGATTTCTGTGGTAAACCGTCAGGGTTGGTAAAATTTGAAACGCGGGCGGCGGGCCAGGGGCCAGGGACGAGCGATCGGCAGGGCAACTCCCCTGTTGGGTGAAACAGCCCTGCTGAAGGCATCTCCCGATTCCTGTTATTTCTCCATCGAATTCGTTCATTATTGTTGTTTCGAGATCTCTTCAACTCTTCTTCATTGTTGTCCCTCACTCTTTTTTGCAGACGCCTTCCTTTCCTTTATCAATCCCACGGTCTTTACCAATACAACTCCAGTCACTCTTTTAAAACTCACTACTTGCGGCGGGTCCCATTGATTCCCCTGAACCGACTCGATCCCGTTTCCAATTCCGATTACCCCGTCCACAACGTCAAAATGTTCTTCGCAAAGTCTTCTCTCGCTGTCGCACTCTTTACCCTGAGCAACATTGTTGCTGCTAGCACCCCTGCTTGCCTGCTCCAGGTTGTGGGGTAAGTTGAACATTCCGGTGGAAGTCGGGACAAGTGATAAGGACCATGTGCTAAGGATATTGCTTGAATAGTCCCGAAACTCCTGGTGATCTCAAGGGCCTTTGCAAGACAAACGGCGATGAGATTCAGTCATCTATCAGGGACGTGTGCGGAGACGATGCCAAGGAAGCTCTAAACTACTACTCCGATGTTTGCGAGGAGGCTGGCTACGAAGTTGGTGCGTATATCTTTCTAATATAAAGAATTAATTGGATACATAGCTGACTCCGTTCGAACAGAGATCGCCACGTCCACCTCTTCTTCCTCCTCCCACTCTAGCACCTCGTCCTCGGATTCCGACTCAACCTCCACTGCCGGCGCATCGTCCACCAGCTCTGCTAGCTCGACCTCCGACTCTGACTCTGACTCCGAGTCTGCTTCTGCCACCGAGAGCGGCGACAGCCCTAGCGAAACTAACGGTGCCTCTACTGACAAGCAAGTCTCTGCCGCTGCATTTGCTGCCGTTGTTTTCCTTGGGTTCGCGGCTACGCTCTAAGATGCCTTGAGGGCTGTGTACAATATCTGGCATTTGGACAAACATATCCGGAAATGTGTCTTACGTGACTTTTTTGCATCACCAATAGTATATTAGAATGGTCATTTTAGATCTCCTTACTTCAGTCGAAGGGCCATCAAGCAGGAACTGTAACTCTTCATGTGTATTATTGAGTTTCGAGCACGGTACAGAGAAGAGTTATACAACAAATCAATACTGCCTGGGCATCGAAAACACCACAGACCTATAGATTCTGCAGTCTCACAAGCTGATTGTACTCTGCCTGATCGTCAGTGTTGTGACTGCCTGAGGCTCTTATGCTTCCCACGTGACTCAGCATCTTAGCGCGTTTTGAGACAAGGTTTTGCAGAGCAACCCATTTAGCCCAAACACGAAAATTCGCGGTTGATATCCACCTTGAACGCGTGAGCCGGAGACAATATCTCCCTTCGCTCGGCCCCTCCGGTCTCTCTTTTCCTCTCATCCTCCTCAGCCCTGCCTTGGAACTGTTCCCTCTCCCTCAGTGACCTCAATCCTCTTCCAATAGTACCAGAGCTTCTCGACTTTGCTTGAGTATCCTAATTTTCCTTATACTCCCTGTCTTTGCCCAGTTCCCTCATTCCGCATATCTACCGGGTCACGTCCCGCTATTCCACGCCATGTTTGTCTACAAGAGAGGTATGTCTTGAAGCAATTTTTATACCGCAATTCTCTAGCTATCCCAGATTGTGGTTCCTTGGACGTGTTGACGCGGCTTTCTCTCGAGATCTAGCGCGTTGCCACCTCGCTGTCAGGACCCTGCTAATGCATTTGTAATCACACAGACGGACGCAAAGAACGCGTACAGTTCGACAAGATCACAGCTCGTGTGTCAAGGCTCTGTTATGGGCTTGATCCTGAGCATGTCGACGCTGCCGCTATCACTCAAAAAGTCATCTCTGGCGTCTACCAGGGTGTCACGACAGTTGAGCTGGACAACCTGGTATGCTCCCCAAACGCCCTCTATCGCCCATCTTGTGCTGATATCCTCTTCCAAAGGCTGCTGAGACGGCCGCTTACATGACCGTCACCCACCCAGACTACGCCATCCTTGCCGCTCGTATCGCCGTGTCGAACCTCCACAAGCAAACCAAGAAGCAATTCTCCCTCGTCATCTCAGATCTTTACCACTATGTCAACCCCAAGAATAAGAAGGCTGCGCCTATGATATCACAAGAAACGTACGAGATTGTGATGAAACATGCCGACGAGCTCAACTCTGCGATTGTCTACGACCGGGATTTCAACTACAACTTTTTCGGTTTCAAGACCCTTGAGCGGTCATACCTTCTGCGTCTCAACGGCAAGGTTGCCGAGCGTCCTCAGCATTTGCTGATGCGTGTTGCTGTCGGTATTCATGGCAACGATATTGAGAGAGCCATCGAAACGTACAACCTGATGTCCCAGAAGTTCTTCACACACGCCTCCCCGACCCTGTTCAATGCGGGTACTCCCCAGCCTCAGCTAGCTTCTTGCTTCCTGGTCGACATGAAGGAAGACAGTATCGAGGGTATCTACGACACATTGAAGACCTGTGCTATGATTTCAAAGACTGCTGGTGGGATTGGTCTCAACGTTCACCGCATCCGTGCTACTGGATCTTACATCAGTGGTACCAATGGATCGTCCAACGGAATTCTCCCCATGCTTCGAGTTTTCAACAACACCGCTAGATACGTTGATCAAGGAGGAAACAAGCGTCCGGGTGCCTTTGCTATCTACCTTGAGCCCTGGCACGCCGACGTTTTCGAGTTCTTGGACCTGCGCAAGAACCACGGAAAGGAGGAAGTGAGAGCCCGTGACCTGTTCTATGCTCTTTGGACCCCCGACCTATTCATGAAGCGTGTCGAGGCCAATGGTGATTGGACCCTCTTCTGCCCTAACGAAGCCCCTGGCTTGGCAGATGTCTATGGCGACGAGTTTGATGCTCTTTACGAACAGTGAGTGGTACTAAACATCAGATTTCCTCCTTCTCTGCTAACAGCATGATAGGTACGAGAGGGAAGGCAGAGGTCGCCGGACCGTCAAGGCTCAGAAACTCTGGTATGCCATTTTGGAAGCTCAAACCGAGACCGGCAACCCCTTCATGCTGTACAAGGATGCTTGCAACAAGAAGAGCAACCAGAAGAATTTGGGAACCATTCGCAGTTCCAACCTGTGCACAGAGATTGTCGAGTACAGTGCTCCTGATGAGGTTGCTGTTTGCAACCTTGCCTCCCTTGCGCTCCCTACCTTTGTTGACGCTGCTCGCGGCGAGTATGACTTTGGAAAGCTGCACGAAGTCGTCCAGGTGCTGGTTCGCAACCTGAACAAGATCATCGACATCAACTACTACCCCGTCCCCGAAGCCAAGAAGAGTAACTTCCGCCACCGCCCGATTGCCCTTGGTGTCAACGGCTTGGCTGATGCATTCCTTGCTCTGCGTTTGCCATTCGACTCCGCCGAGGCCAAGCAATTGAACATTCAGATCTTTGAGACCATCTATCACGGTGCGTTGACCGCATCTTCTGACCTCGCCAAGCAGCATGGGCCTTATGAGACCTACCAAGGCTCCCCTGTCTCGGAGGGTATCCTGCAGTATGACATGTGGGACCGCACCCCAACCGATCTTTGGGATTGGGATGCTCTCAAGGCCAAGATTGCTCAGACTGGTGTCCGCAACAGTCTTCTTGTTGCTCCTATGCCTACCGCAAGTACCAGCCAAATCCTCGGTTTTAACGAGTGCTTCGAGCCCTACACCTCCAACATCTATTCTCGCCGTGTCCTTGCCGGTGAGTTCCAGGTTGTCAACCCTTGGTTGCTCAAGGATCTTGTCGACCTTGGCCTCTGGTCCGACAACATGAAAAACCGCATCATCGCCGACGGTGGTTCCGTGCAGAACATTCCCAACATCCCCGATGACATCAAGGCTCTCTACAAGACTGTTTGGGAAATCTCTCAGCGACGGATCCTGGAGATGGCTGCAGATCGTGGTGCGTACATTGATCAGTCTCAGTCTCTCAACATCCATCTCAAGGAGCCCACCATGGGCAAGATCACTAGCATGCACTTTGCTGGCTGGAAGATGGGTCTGAAGACTGGCATGTACTACCTGCGTACCATGGCCGCCTCTGCTCCCATCCAGTTCACTGTCGACCAGGAGCAACTGAAGGTTGAAGATACCAACGTTGCCCGAACCACGAAGAAGCGCGTCGGTGCTGCGGCAGCCAGTTACTCGGCAGTTCCCCGTGCTCCCCTTGAGCAGGTGAACGGCAACAGCGAGAACGCCACCAACGGCATCTCTCATGAGGCTGAGGTCAACGGCGATGCTCAGAGTGATGAAGAAGAGAAGAAGGAAGGCGAGCCCAGCGAGGCCGACATCTACTCGCAAAAGGTCCTCCAATGCAGCATTGAGAACAAGGAGGCCTGCATTATGTGCCAAGGCTGATCCTTTAGTTCTCATTGTTGTTAGAAGGTGTTTTATCTTAATATTGGGTTTTCTTTGTATTTATATCATGAGTTGATGGATATTGGCTTTCTGAGTGTTTTCTTTTCTTGCGATATGACATTGATGCGGGCTTGTCTTTGTTTCGTGCCAGGCATATTCCATATCTGTCTAAAGTTACCCTGGCTAGTTCTCTTATGTCTGATGGTTTATGGCTATTTTTTACATACTTTAGGTAGATTGATTCGAATTCGAATTCGTACATTCTTAATTATTGAAGTTTCAACCGCCCATGTCTCAACGAAAGAGCCGTTAGTGGATAGATTGTCAACCCTTGTGCTCAAAGCTCTGAGTCTCCGACTGAGGGGAGCAATGCCCGATTGGCGTAAAGCTCTAATGAGAGTGGAGACTTTACACAAGAAGCAGAGACTGGTGGACTGATGCTATTGACTTTGAAATTTGTGCCCCAAAAGAACAATTCTGCTGCAAGCGGGTATGACAGATGACGCCCATACTGACTGTTGAATGGAATTGAAACAGCTGTCGGGTCGAGACTTTAACAATCTCAGTTCACTACCCAACTGCAAAGATATGTATTCTTCAGCCCGTTTTGGGGTCTTCAGGGCGAGTTTCTCTTTGTCAGAATATTCGTATTGCTGACTCTGCGGTGTAAGACAGGAAAGCCTCCATTGCCTCCAAGAGTCGACCAGGAACAATGAGTCCACACATGGGGACTGAAAGGCTGAAACTTTGCAAATTCAATCCCAGTCATCCACTCGGCAAAGTGGCGCAATCCTGGCCAGACCAGCGCAAGATGAGAAAGCCGAACGAAACGACGAATAGCGCCACGGCGAGTGGGCAGGGCCCTCAGGACGCGATGCGAATTGGGGGAAAAGAAGAGCCCACAGAATCCAGATGAGCCACGAAGCCCACGTCAGAGCAAGACCGCCAAGGCTGTGTGGCTTCAGGCACCGAGTTTGGGAGTTGCTAACTTGCTGATCCCCCTGGCCGCCGCTGGCGTTGCCAAATTTACCAGCAAGAGGTGTGGGAAGAAAAGGAGACGGACGCGCTAACAAACCTTGACCATCCGATGAAGATCCAGACCCTGAAGGGGAACCAGTCAGATTTCCGTGGACCGGTCGTCCACGACTCTTTGGCTGATTCGTTCCGGGGGCTCCGACTCAGGTACCCGGTGCTTCGTTGGCTGGTGCTTTTGTCGTGTTGGACAGGTCAGAGATGAGATGGCAGCCGGTGATTTCTCAGATACCTGCGACGAGGGGAAATACAGCATAGTACTACACAACAGTGGAATTGCGATGAACCATGGAAGGACTGGGCTGGCAATCAAACGGGACACTCAGTTCGTGGGGCGGGTCTGGGGCTGCCCCAATTGGACCGCTCAGCTTTCTTTGTTTTTGGCGCTAGGACCACTTCTAGTTAGACATGTGGCCTAGCATTAAATACCGCTCTGCCCGTCTCACCACCGGCCAGACCCTCGCTTTTTGCGTCTTTCTTCCACACCACTTCTTTCTCTCCAGTCTCGAGCCTCTCGTTGACAAGCGTCTGCCACTCTCTTTCTGCATATCTGCAGCTTTCGCTCCTTCGCACACTCTCTTGACTGCGTTGCATCCGGCCTGCTGTGCAGCTCATCCAGCAACACTTCGCTCCTTCACTCTGAAACTAGGCGCTTGTCTCTTTCCTTGTTGAATATATACAACACCCAACCGCACATATCGCATCCATCATCAACCGCAATGGCTCCCATCAGCAAGACTCTCGCCATCGCTGCCACGGCCTTTGCGGCCTTAAGCGCGGCTGCTCCTGGCCACAGCCACGGCCACAAGCACAACCACAAGCGCGACGCGGTTACCGTCTGGGAGACCAAGACCGTCACCACCTGGACCACCATCGATGTCACCACCACCATCCTGCCCGGTCAGCAGGCTCCTCCTAGCACCATCATTGAGGAGAGCATCAACCATGCCACCGCTCCCGAGCCCGAGCCTGAGCCTGAGACCTCTACCAGCACCACTACCACTACCACCAGCACTAGCACCAGCACTGCTGAGCCTGAGACTTCCACCACTGTTGAGCCTGAGGTCACTGTCCAGACTCCCGAAGTCCAGGTCGTCAAGCCTAGCGTCCCTACTGTCTCCGTGCCCACCGAGATCCCTATCCCTACACAAGAGCCTGAGCCTGAGACGACTACCCAGGCTCCCGCCCCAGTTGAGACCTCGACTGTTGAGCCTGTTGCCTCTGCTGGTTCCGGCTCTAGCTCTGGCTCTGGCGGCCCTTGCTCTGCTGGCTCTCCCTGTGTCGGCCAGGTCACCTTCTATGACACCGCCACCTCCATGAGCGCACCCAGCAGCTGCGGCCTCGTCAACGATGGCTCTTCCGAGGACGTTATCGCTCTGCCCGTCGGCATCATGCAGGACAGCGACTGCGGCCGCACCGTCGTCATCAAGTACAACGGCAAGACCTCCAAGGGTACCGTTGTCGACAAGTGCATGGGCTGCGACGACACCTCGATCGACCTGTCGCGCCACTTCTTCAGCCTGCTCGCCTCCTTCGACGCCGGCAGACTCCACGGTGTTGAGTGGTACCTGGAGTAAATACCCCCGCAATATATGTCTTGCGCCGCTTTTTTTGTTCTTACATTCGCTATATCATACTTTTTTATCCTTCCCATCTACGGGATGCCTTGCCAAGAGGCATTCATTCACCTTATGCTTCATGTTTATAGAGATTGGGTTGTGGTAACATAACCAACCAAACCATTTGTTACTTCAACATGGAAAAAAAGCAGCGCGGAAGGGACAGGATCTGGAATCCCGCTGGGACTTATGACGCTACGAATCAAGTGTTTTCGGGAATTCTGTCTCGTAGTGTTCCTCTGTCGATCCGACATCGGTTCTTACCTAACCCATACTAGTAGTACAGGGAGCCTGAATTGCTTGGACGGGACCCTTCCGTGTCTTATTGAGTGACTTATAGAGAACTGCCAAGAGCACAGCCAACCATTGTTGTGGACTAACATATTCCTTTTGATTCCAAAGCATACTGCATAGAAGTCGGATCGTGAAGAATCAAGAGACAACAAAGGGGAGACAATGGGGATCGCAATACAATGTCAAGGTTCCCCAGTCTCGGACCCAGTGGACTGGATGGACTCTGGGGTAGGCTAAGAGAAGATGGCAACGAGTCGTGTGTGCAGCATCCATGGACACAGCAGGGGACCGGATTCGAAGCCCTGGTTGGAGAAATTATGCGAACCAGGGAAAAAGAGAGAATCTTAGATTCCTCCAAGCAAGTTGGGAAGAATTGAAGCTGGAATTAATTGATCCCTTGACCCACAGTCCCTCGAGCCCTGTTTTGACTTTTCCCCCTCGCTTCGTGTTCGGGTTTTCGACTCGAGCCTTTTCTTCCCTCTCTCTCGAGTCCTCGAGTTTCGCTCTCTCTATCCATCTTACCCCGGATTTAGCTCTCTTCGACTCGACTCGACTCCCCTCGCTCCTGTGGACATGCCTTTACCGGCCATGGACTTCTCGCACTTCCCCGAGTGAGCCGTTTACATCATGGAGGACCGCCGACCCGAGGTCCTCGTCGTCTCCATCGTCTTCTTCGTCCTCGCTACCGTCTTCGTCGCCCTGCGTTTCGTCTCGCGCATATGGATCGTTCGGAGGCTTGCGTTACACGATTATTTGATGCTCCTGGCTTGGGTATGCTTGCAACAGTTCAATCCATGAGCTTCCACGTTCTCGTCAGCTCCGCCCGCCTACATGCTAATTCCCTGTGCGCTTCGACAGCTCATCAACTTCGGATTCTCCTTTGCTCTGTTCTATGCCACTAAAAAGGGCCTTGGCCTACATGATGTCGACATCCCTGTTGCCGAGCGAGCCAGCCTCAGCCGCGCCAACTATGCTTTCACCGTCCTATATGTGAGTGTTCCGATCCGAGTGCTCCGCACTTCGGCCACTATGACATTCGCTCATTGCCGCGCCTCCACTAGAACCCGGCCTTGATGGCTGTAAAGTCCTCCATCCTCGTCTTCTACCTCACTCTCACCCAAGGCGAAAAGATCTTCCGCTATGCAAACTATGCCACCTTAGTCGTCGTCAACGTTGCCGGACTGGCGTTGACTTTTGTCAATATCTTCCAATGTCGGCCTGTCGGGGCCGCATTTGCGGCCTCGCTACCAGTCGACGCGCATTGCACCGATATCTTGACGCTATATCTATCCTCTTCGCCGGTCAATATCATCACAGACCTGGCCATTTTGGTCCTACCCAATCCTATTCTTACTCGTATGCGACTCCCGCGGAAACAAAAAATTATCCTTGTGATTACGTTTAGTTTTGGTTTCTTCGTCGCTGTCGTCGATGTCATTCGCATTGCATATCTGCAGGAAGCCACCACGTCTCGGGAGATTGCTCTTCGCCAAATTCATCTCCAGAACTATGGGGGCGGCGATTTTGCCTGTACTTGGCCCTCATCTACCGGTTGAACATTTCAGTCAGCTAACTTGTCTAGGGTATGCGTCTCTTTCCTTTATGTGGTCCGTTGTGGAGGTCAATGTCTCTGTGATGTGCGCCTGTGTACCCAGTCTCAAACCGCTTGTCGCGAAATTGGTCCCCAAATTGATCCGCGACACCGATGGGAGTACTCGAACGAACCCGACCGATCCGCCAGTACCGCTGCCACTGCAGATGCCCACCGCAGACGCAATACTAAATGACTCCGCAAACCTTGTGAGTCTGTCAGAGATCCTGGCAGCTCCTGGTACTACAACTACCGACGCCGAAGCCAATACAACCACCCTTACGAGCACGTCTGATCCGCGCAGTATGACCTTCTTCGACTTTGTCAATATGAAGAAACCCGCAAATATGTTGAAATTAAGCAACAAGGAGTCCATTGCGCCAAACGCGATTACGACTGTTCTGTTTTTCCTGTGGGGATTCGCATATGGCTTCCTCGACATTCTCAATGACCAGTTCCAGCAGATTGTACGACTCGACAGCTGGCGGTCCCTCGGTCTCCATTGCGTCTACTTCGGAGGGTACTTGGTGGCTCCGCCGCTAGTTGGACGCACAGTGTTGAAGCGTTGGGGTTTCAAGGCGACGTTCATCACGGGCCTGTGTTTCTATGCCTGTGGTTCGCTGATATTCTGGCCGTCCGCTGTGTTGACCTCTTATTCCGCGTTCCTCGTATCGAACTTTATTACTGGATGCGGGCTCGCCATTCTCGAAACGGCAGCGAATCCGTTCATTTCTCTCTGCGGGCCGCTGGAGAATTCAGAGGTACGGTTGAATATCTCGCAAGGAGTTCAAGCAGTAGGGAGTGTCCTGTCTCCCTTGCTCGCCAAGCGGGTTCTATTCAACAGTGTTACCGACGTTTCCTCTTTGGTCGACGTGCAGTGGACCTACCTTGGGATTGCCCTGTTCGACGTGCTCCTAGCATTGGCTTTTTACTACCTGCCGATTCCGGAGGCGTCTGATGAAGATCTGGAGGAGCTAGCGAATCGTCGGCGGGACGACAACCGGGCCGCCCCGTTTGGGGTTCCGATTGTCTGGATGACCCTTGCATTAGGCGTATGGTCCCAGTTCCTATATGTCGCTGGCCAGGAGGTCTTCTCCATTAGCTTCGAGTCCCTAGTCGCATCCGCATATCCGCAACGACCTATGAGCGAATTCGACTACCTAACAATCGGTCGCTCCGTCTTCGCCGTCGGCCGCTTCATCGCCGCCTTCTTGCAGTGGTTTCTCAAGCCCCGTTGGATTCTCCTCCTTTCCTACATCGGCATGATCGTCTTTGCCGCCCTGTGCATGAGCACCACCGGTCCCACAGCCATTGCCATGGGCATGATGGTCTTCCTGTTCGAAAGCGGCGCCTTCAGCATCATCTTCGCCATCGGCCTCCGCGGCACAGGCCGCCACACCAAGACCGCCGGCTCAATCATGACTGTCGCAATCAGCGGTGGCGCCTTCCTACCATTCGCACAGTACGCCGCCCAGCGCGCAACAGACAGCGTTCCCGATTCGTACAGCGTTCTTGTCGCGCTCTTTGCAGCCGGCGCGATATTCCCAATATACCTCAACCTCGTCCCCGCCGCAAAGAAACAAGTCGACCCCGTACCAAACGAACACCTCCGACATACACGCCGGCGCCGAAGCCGACAGCCGCGATCAAACGCCATGCCGCGAGAGAAGGCCAACCCATCGCAGGGCGGGGTATACTCGCGACGAAGAAGTGTCCTCAATGACCCGGACCCGCTGCCGACAATCGACCTCTCCGGGCCCAACTCCCCACTAAATTCTATATCAATCTCGAGATCGAACTCGCTTACGGAGCGGGATATCCAGCGGATCCCTACAAAGGATAAAGATCTCTCGAACTCGAGCGACGAGCAGTCGCCCATATGACCTACATAACCTACACACCCCCACACAGTCGCATTCTCACGCTCACGTATCCATCCCTCTCTTGTTTTATTCGACGATCGATGCATAAATGATACCCGGCGGCAGTTTGGTTGCATTTTGAATGATTTTTCTCTATATCTCTCTCTATTAACGCCTATTCCAGCTTGGAGTTCAGGTGCAAGCCGCAATGCGCATTGGGCTTTTCTTTTCTTTCTTTCCCCTCTTATTTATAACTATATATCGCCTAGCATCTATACTGGTCATGGTCTTGGTCTCGTCTTGCATTGGCATTGGGTAGCTGGGCATGAATGCGGATTGAAAAGTGAACCTCTTATATAAATGATAATCAAGATTTTACCCCGATACAATTGACTTCCATCTGGCTGTCTTAACTTGCCTATCAAGAAGAGGCCCGACAGATACTACATGTCCGCCAACCTAGAGAACTGCCGCTGTGCGACTGTGCAAAAAGTCCTCCACCTTAAACCTACCTGGGGTAGTCTGCATTGATATACCATTAGTATCTACTTTGCTTTGACAATAAGGCTAGGTCTCTACAGAACTAAGAAGGCATGCTTGTATACTTGAAACAAGTTTGGCGTCTGGATTTAAAAAAACGAAGGCTATGGTTAGCTTTTTTCTGAAAGCCCAGAAATCCATCCCTGATCGTCCACATAATGATATGGCCATACGGGCAACGTACCGCAAGCGGACTGAGGAATCGCGTGAACCGTGGAACGAGATCCTTCCGTAGACCAAAGATTGGATCCACTAACCGTGAGAAACAAGAACCTTCTGAGATATGAGATATGAGTCTTGAGTACTATCCAGCGGCTATATAAAATGTAGTATATATTATAGATCCAGCTAAGCACTTAGATCTCGATCTTAATCTCGATCGATGGAAGGAATGCGATGAACATTACCGCCGGGTGAAACTTGGGGGGTTATTCGGCCGAGATCGACGTTTGGCTGCTGCGTTGCGGCCCACTTTCGAACTGCCGATCTGATACCTGCTCGTACAGCAGTGGTTTGTATGGTACATACCAGTACCTTTGGTATGTATCGACTCGAGTTATGGACTCTAGAGAGTCACAAAGGGGAACTTTCAAGTTGCTATGTGTAATGCTTTGTCGAGGACCGAAGTTTTGAGGTATCGAACAAGCCCAATTCGTGGTTGTGTTAGTTTGAAATCTCAGAAGGTCAAGGACTTGAAGGGTTTGTCGTAAGGTGCTTTGTTCGTAACCGTGGTTGATATTTATATCCAACCCCATATTGTGTATACACAAAAATCGTGACTTGAAGATGGTAATCATTATTTAGACCTCGAGCACAGCACGTGTACCATGATTGTAAGCGTATCACGAGATCGTCCCCAGACCTCAAGCCTCGCGTATCCCCCTTTTCAAGGCTCGCAGTCGGCTGCCATTGTAGGACGTCGATGTTGATGCCCAATACCAATAAGAGAAGTCACAGACCACAGGTTCGGCCTAGTTTCAAGGCCGAGAAGGTGTCAAGAAGACGCTATGCCCAGAGCAAGTCTGATCTACATCGGACATTTAAATTGACTTCTCGACGGCACTTGGTTGTCAAAACTTTACTAGGCCGGAATGCAGTGGTTTCCCGGCGTATTCGGATTTGTCCTGGGGTACCTCGGTAGCGGCGAGGTAATCGATTCCTGGAAGGCCGGTGCGAGGAACCCGAAGCAAGCAAGCAATAATGTCATTCACAAAGAACTGAGTCATGAGTGATGGGTCGGATCATCGGATGGATTCAGCATGGAACGCTGCTAGAACCTGTCCTCATTGTTGAAGGAAAGGGGCTTCAATTCACTTGTCAGATAGATTAAATTGTGGGGCATTGGTTCCGTTTCAAATCTAAATGGTTCTGAAGATGCTCTGAGATGTACTCTGGGATTGGACACAAGCATCAGAGTATGAGATGTGAATCTGCGATGTATCTACTGGTATATTTTGACCAGCAGACGCATGCACGGATCGATAGGGAAATTAGATAGTAGACCCTCCAAGTCTCCAGAAGTCGAGTCGTCCAAGTAGCTGAGGTTATGTGGTGCTTTTTCTCCATCTGGCTAACATAGAGTAGGATGTATGCAATTCCGAGGCAGGTATCGACTTGAGATCGTCAGTCCCAGTCTTGCGGGAGGTGTTTGCGAAAGCTCACTGGCCAATTCGTGAAATTGCAGATTCCGCCATTCAGCAACGCCACCGACGGCGAATTCTCCGGAAACTGGTTGATCCGTCGTAGGGTGCTGACCTGACACTGGCGAGTCTTTCAGGGGCAGAAGATCACGGTTACTACGGAGTAGCCAAGAATGTATAGACCTGCGCAGAGCCCCTGTCAGGGAGCAGGATTCAATTAAATCTCCGAGCTTTGACGACGCCGACAGGCGGTTTGCTCCACTGGCGAAGGATAAACGAAACACCATCGAGACGTGTGGGTTCCACCACGACAAACCGGTGGGGTCGGCGATCTGACTTGAGTTCGACTTTCTTTGATCATAGGTTCGCAGTCTTCTTCCATGATTCCTCAAAACTTGTGTAGGCGATCCAATATCGTGCCGCCACTCTCCTCGTACACTGTAAGATTCTCCGGACAGTGGGTAATTGGCCCGCCTGGCTCATTTGGCATTGAAATGCCTTCACCTAGTCATAATCGGAGAGCAATCCAAGCCCGAGAAGATCTACAAAGATGTCGGCACTTCGCCTTGACAAGGCGCGGGGACTTCGCTTGAAAGACACGGTCTTTTCCGTTGCCAGAAGGGCTCGAGCCCCTGGATTTCCGGGAAACGAAGGCGCTCAAGGCGGTTACCACACTTGAAGAGGTTATAGAAGAACCATCTGATCGTTGTCTCTTGAAAAGGAAGAAGAAGTCGCTACCGGGGCCCACTGAACACCTCACAGTCGCTCCTGCGGGATGCGTACCAAGATCTAGAAAACTTCGAACTACCCCCGTGCGCTCCGTGGTCGTGATGACTGAGAGGATGTCTCTTGTAGAGCGTCCGGCGCTCGAGGTCCAACCATCCAATCTTCCATGGCAAGCCAATCGCTCCATCTTCTCTCGGCCGCTTCAATTTCCGAGTCCAAGGGTCCTTGTAATGGCTGTAGAAAGGGAATAGTCTCTAACGGAGAAATGTCGTAGTCCTTCTTCACCGAAGCCCAGCCTCCACTCTTCGCCGCGAACAGATAATTGCAGCGTTCTTGCTCGTGCAGGCGCCCTACCCCAGATTGCCATTCATCGCCGAAGAACCCGTGTAGCACGCCTGGATAATCCATTCCGGTTGCCACAAGCCGACGGATGTAAGGTACCAAAGAGACCGACGGAGATGTATTCGATGCCGCTGGAGATCCGTGGGAAGCCAATCCATCGCTGGTTTCTGGGGTTGTGTTGTCGGACGAGTTCGTTATCGGGTGCGGTTGTCGCTGAAACGGAAGCCGGATATTCAAGTAAGCAGAAAGCGCCTGGACGGGCCTACTGTGTTGTGCATAATCTAAAAAATACCGCTGACAGGCTTGGTAATGAGGATACCACTCGAAGATGTCGAAATTGTCACCCTTGACGTTATGAGACGCTTCGGAAAGGCCCAACATCGCAGTCGGATCTGGATCGGAAGCGGCACGGTCTGGCCGCTGTTTGGGGTACCTGTTTCAGAACTTATTTTAGTGACTGCGACATTTCCAACGGCCATAAGCCGAGTCAGCTTTCTCAGCCATTGCCGGCCCGGGGAGTAAAGCGGCGAATGGTGCGTGGGGTGTGGTGGAACGAAAGGAATTGGGCAGGAGCGGCGCAGCAGTGACTCTGAAACACAAGTCAACGCAATTGGGTTCCAAGCCTCCAGGCCAAGGAACAGATGCGAACGAAACCAGGCAGGGGATTTACTTGTTAGAAAACACCGTCCGGCTTCGACGTAGGAGTAGCGAGACTCGACGGCGAGGCAGCGAGGGCGACGAGGCGCGGAACAGGTTCCGGATGGCAGAGCCTAGTCCTCGACCGGGGTGAGACTCGTTCACGGACATCTGCTAGGTGTAGCCCATCTATAGGACCTGCAGCTACCGTTCATGACAAAGGAAACGCGGATATGGGAGAGGAGAGGATTAAAACAGAGAGACAACGCGGGCGAGCCTTTTGATGCGAGGGGCCCATCTGAAAAGATGAAACGGGGCGCATGAGACGTACACTTGCGGATAGAAAAGCACAGGCAATAATTGTAGAGATGAAGGGAAGGAGCGAGGGAGCGAGGGAGCGACGGACGGATGATGCGAGCGGTGCTGGCAGATGGCAGATGTTGTACTCGAGGGCAGGATCCAGATACCATAAAAAAATCAGAAACGACTAGAGCAGAAGCTTTGAGGAGCCGGTACCCAATGGAGTGTGGTCGACGCCAGAGGCAGTGACTGTCGGTATAAATACTCATTGGGATCGATTGGCGATTGGCTTCTCGCTCCTTGTTCCTTTTTACTTTTATTTTTAGTTTTAGTTTTTTTCTCTTGCATTCAATAACATCATCTACATGGTAACCAGCACTGTTCTGCAGCATCAACTTACGACATTACTCGAAAGTCTCATACCAGGAACTGCAAATAACGGGGACATACCCTACTGTCTCTCAAGCCTCGAACAATTGTTCAAGAAAGCAGGTATCGGATCGGGCCTCAGTCAACCAGCGGATAATAGAAAAAGAAAAAAAAAAGGGCCATCGCGTGTCCCTCTCTCGAGCTGTGGATCCGGGAAACGGCGATAGGGCCATGGACCAGATCGAGATGCAGGACCCAAGGTTCCAAGAAAGATGTTGTTGGAGCGTGGTATCCCAATTGGGATGGCTGTCGCTCTTCAGGTGCAGGCGTGGCTTAGACTTGGGCTCTGGGAAAAACGAGCATCGGCCATTGGTGATCGCTAAGCGCCTCCATAGTCCAGGGCTGCAAGGCTTCGGTGTTCCTCGGTTCAGACTAAGCAACTTGGGCTGGTCAAACATCTTAGACGGCGAGTCTTTCGCGATCGCAGATTCCGATCAACCAACCATGGTTTGCGGCTCGCCCTGGATTGAACCCAAGGAAGCAGGATGCCGGTCGCCGGGATCTGGAATCCAAAACCGTGGATTTTGATGCTTCTCTTGTTCTTTTCGGAGATTCGATTTTCTCTGGTTCTGAGCTTTTTTTTTTTTTTTTTCGGGAAACGTTGTCGGTGATGAGGAGAAAAGGAGGGATGTGGTGTAAGTGGCGTTTCCATAGTTTAATGGGAGGGTCGTACATCTAGCGGTCAGATTCACCAAGTTGGGGGTAACAGTGCGGCTGTCCTCCGTCATCGTCATTATTTCTCTGCTTTGAAATCCAGAATCAGGGAGCCTCTCCTAAAATGCTGCATCATTGGACTGCTGCACACCTGACAAGGCTTGACAACCGAACATATCCCGGTCCAATCATGCAGGCTGAGGTTGGCGGGGTACGCGGCTGGAGGAAGGGGAGGGGAGGGACCGTTTTCCCCTTTCTCTCCCCTCCGTCCAATATTATTAGGCACCCAAGGGGCTGATATTTGCTCCATTGTTCTAGGAGCAGGATGGAACTTTCGATCGAGGACAAGATAGGAGTGGAACCGACCTGCAGCGATGGACAATCTCTGCCAGCTAATGCTTAATCCGATAAGGCCGCATTCATGCGAGATGAGTTTTCTGCATTTGACTCGATCGTGATGTATCAGAGATGAAGAGGCTCAAGGAACAATCCTTGTGGAGAAGGGATTCAGGTTTCAACCTCGAATCCCAGGCAAGGTGAAACTGCAACTTCGGACTTGGAACAGTTGGGCGGAAAATATTGTCATGGCTCTGCCACTGGTGGAAGTTGGGCAAGTCTTGAAGTCGGAGGTCGCCAGATGCAGACGGTAATTTCGGTGAGTTTCGAATACGACTGGTAAAGTACGGTAACGTACGGAACTCCTGGAAGTTGCAGGGACCACCCGTCCATGGCTCCGATCATCAATTCGGATGTGAGAGGTCATTCTTCTCGAACTTCTTCGAGCCACGCGAGTGGCCACGAGATCTCTGTCTGTCGAGATCTGCAATTCCTTGATCTATCCCCAGCTTTGTTCCAACTTTCCCGATCAATAATGTACATTGTACCGCTCAACAGGGCTGTAGTAGGCTCAAAATGGACGCGCCGAGATGGAATTTGCCACCCATGACTGGCTTGGAACACTTACTCCACCCGACGCCGCCAAAAGTCCTACCGGGGAGGAAATAATAACTGGTTCGTTCCGTGAGATGAGATGGTCAAATTTGATCAGTATCAGAGTGGTCCAGGCTGCACTGTACGTATCAAAGGACGAACAATCTCGACGAGTCGGCAGATCACCAAACACACAGAGGACAGACGGCATCGACACCAACTGGTTTGCATTGGCTGCGATAAATGAGCGGTGAGATGCAATTCACCCGTCGACAGCTGCCTTCTTAGTGCTATGCTCAAGGCGCAGATACTATCCCTTTCTCGCATTAGGGAGCGTGAAAGATACCACACCATTATGATTCTGTTCGAAGTACCCATACTCCAGAATCCTATCTCCCTGCAGTTTGTAACGCAGTTTCAGCACAAACAACCTGCCTTCAAGATTGTACTCCGTATCAGCCCTGGATTATTCCTCCTTTATCAATTGCCCTACGAACCTGTGATCCTCATCTCCTGCCGGCACCATGCATCGTATTTTGTTGTCAGGCCGACAAAGGTTACTTAGCCGATTGGTTAGCGATACTAGTACAACCGCCTGGAGTTTGACGTGCGTGAGTCAAAACCAGGATTCTGGAGGTGGACTAATTAGGAATATGATGCATCGCTTTTGGCAGCCAGCCCAGCAAATATCCTGACCATCAACAGTATCCGCCAAGGAAGGGCGAGATACGAGTATGCCTGGTCAAAGCCTGCAATCGCTCTGAATAGCGGACTGCCGACGCGATATTTCGTGTTGGGAACTCACACCTCCCTCGAGGTTGAACATGGCACGGGCTTTGATCGAGGCATTCCTAAGCGCTGGTAACGAAGTCGAGTGCTATGCTGCGTCTAAGTGCAGCTCAGCTCACAGCCCACTTCGAGAACGGCTTTATTGAGGGGTTCGTCTCCGATTTCCCTTCATCTCCCCGCATAGCGAAGCTTAGGCATCAATGAACCTGTTACCGCGGAGACAATTATTTTCAGTTCAAACTCTTTAGTCGTTCATTACTGCTTCACCACCTCGCAGTGACTCCTGGTCCTATTCGAAGCCACACGATCGACACGGATGACACCGCCACTAGTGACCTCTCTTGCCGGTGATTCGTGCAATGCCTTTGGAATTGGAGTAGCGTGGAGCTTACCTGGTTTGCCACTGTGGCGAGGACTCTATTCAAGCCACCATTTGCACTAGCCGCCAGAGGCACATGGCCATCGGTCACAGCTGCGTCGCCTTATCAAGGGATCCTTTCTATGGCTCGGATCTACATCTTCGCATGGTTTTCCTATACAAGGGTAGTGATTCTGCAAAATGAAACATGCGTGACCCTATTGTTCTGGACGATTGCCGGTCGTACGCGTCTGGGCGGTACCTGACAGCATGCCCTGTTCTCTCAACTCACAATGCAAAACTCTAGTCTTGGGTGTCTCCAGACGAGCAGCGCCTGGACCGAATTGGAACAGCTGCCTCTTCCTGTTACCTCAGCCATTTCCTTTGGCCTCTGCGGGGTCTTTCGTACTGCACTTTCCGTGCCACATCAACCGCGAGAACAGGTACCCCTTGCCCTGGCGGAGAGTTCTCGTACTACAGGCATTATATACGGAACTCGGATATAAAGCACGGCTTGGCAGTTTTGGCTTCCTTGACAACATATCTATATCTGGATACACCACCAAGCCTAGCGAGGGTCCAATGAAGGTATTGTGTGACACTGTGCTACCCAAAGCATCCTTTTGTCAGTCGACACTTTGCCTAGAGAGGAGATTATATCCGTTACATGTTATACGTGAAACACCAGGAACTCCTCAGGCGACCTTGTGTCGAATCGTCGATACTCATGTTCCTTGTCTGAGATGCTTACTCCGTGGTACAGAATAGTTCGAACTCCCTACTTCATCACGACGGCGCTTTTGATGTTGACAAATCGACCGGCCTAATATAGTCACATGATACCGACCCAGCGACATGATAAGCATTGCAGCATGAAACTGGCGCATGCCTTGGCATGAGCTTTGGCGAAGCAACACCCAAGCGTCGTGTGATTCCGTCCACTGGTGGCCACGAACACTCACTCACCAGTTCATACCCGAGTTCGTCGAGACCTTCTCGCATACGCGCTGTGATTTATCCCTTTGTCGCTCTGTCATGAAATGATGCAACGAGTAGGCACCAAAGTTTATTGCGATTGCAGAAAGGGTCTGGTGTTTTCAGACCAGCCTATCTCCAAGGACATGAATGACGTTGAATATTTTGGTCGAAAAGAGCTCACAAAATGCCAGCAAATAGCAACAGAAGCGCGGTCGATTGGATGTTGAAACCCGACACAGTGTGCTGACGACGATGATGATGATATAGTTCTTGCTGAGGTGTGTGGTGAAGGTAACCTAAAAGTTCATGACTTGGGATGATGTCGCAGCTACCCCGGAATAGTAGTGAGCTGCTGGGGCAAACTGGGTGAGTTGGATACGGGGAGGATTGGGCTTTTTTACTTTTTCGACAACTAGCGATGAAGTCACATAGAGATAAGGACTTGTTATGCGATTTGATCATCGAATTAGTAGAGTTATCCATTGAACACGGAGACTTAGCCAGGGCGTCACTGCGATTTGGAACGGCGCTCGATGCGAGCCATCCGACGGAACATGGGCGCAGCACTCCCGAGTTCCAAGACGAGCAAGGTTACGATATAGTTAAAGTCATGACAATGACTTTTGACACGCCTATCGACGGGAGCAAAGCACGCACCAATCGCAGGGACCAAGTTGCATTAGCCGATGCTTGGCAGGCGATCCCAGCGACTTGGAAGGCTTGAGTCGCCCGCAACTGGCGCAAACCGGCAGTTTCTCTGCGCCAACCCCGGTGAGTGCTTTGAGCAGCTTGCTTTGCCTAGCACGAGTCGTCGAATCGTCGAATCTTCACTGGTCTTGAGCGCCCGATGAGTGGTGGTCACTTGCTGCGGCTGCCGATTTACCGAGCCTTCCCCACGCTCTGGTGGCTGATCCCGGCGTCGGTGAGTATAGACCAGGGGTTGATCCCTGCGTGTTAGTGATGGGATTATTCATGGGCTGATAAGGAAGTTGACTGTTTTTATGCTTCTGTTCTCTTTCTTGTAGCGACTGTACTCGTAAATCCGGTTAGGATTTACCCGGGCCTCGTAAGTCAAGTCGTTGGAGTCGACGGATATGTATCGGATATATCCCCAACTAATACATTCTAGAAATCGAATGGCAACCTTGCAGTTCTAATTAGCAGTTTCTATGTGGAGAAGCCATCAGATAAAAGTAAAGTCTGTCTTCAAAAGAGTTGGTGGGCACGTGGGGCTCATGCCTGAGGCAGGCTTGGCATCTCTCGCCTCCCAGGCTTCCCCTCCCTCTCCGGAGCACACCTCTCCTGGCTCTGCAACCTGTGGTCGCGTCTCGCTGGGACTTTCGCTCGCCTCCGATGAGTTTGGAACGGAAGTTGGACCGTTTGCATTCCCGTGGATGGGGAAGGTCGCAAAATTTACATAATGCGACGAGAATGTCCCGGACTGGGAGCGGGTGGATTTCCGCCGAGAGATAAGGGAAGATTTTCTGTGACCTCAAACGATCGACTAACACCCCGAACTTCGGACGCTGCCACCTAGTACCGTTCTTATTCCCTTCTTCCCACAGCGCTGGTTCGCAGGTGGCCCCGACCAGTCAATCAGAGCGATTCGGTACCTCTTACCCTCGCCCACTTGCCAGCCGACTTTCCCGCCAGATTTTAGTCGCCTCCCGTCGCCGGTGCCAAAGGATCTTCTCGTCCGACTCCGGCTGTATACCCATTTGCCCCCCTCCGCCAACTGCCCTCTCCCCCTCTCTCCACCCCGGGTCTTTCTATCATACTTAAACCCGCTCGTGTGCCCTCTGTCCAACCTCTTTTTCTTCATCATCTCACGGGTTGAGCTTTTGACTGCTATACTTTTCGCATACCCACCACGCCACCATCTCTTTTCAGCGGCAACCTTCAATCAAAAGTCTCGCCATCATGTCTAACCTTCCCGTCGAGCCCGAGTTCGAGCAGGCCTACAAGGGTATGCTCGATCTTCCTCTACTACTCGCAGTCCAAGACTGACTCTCGCAGAACTCGCCTCCACTCTTGAGAACTCTACCCTCTTCGAGGCTCACCCCGAGTACCGCAAGGCCCTCGCTGTTGTCTCCATCCCCGAGCGTGTGATCCAGTTCCGCGTCGTCTGGGAGGATGACAAGGGCGAGCTCCAGGTCAACCGTGGTTTCCGTGTGCAGTTCAACTCTGCCCTCGGCCCCTACAAGGGTGGTCTCCGTTTCCACCCTTCCGTCAACCTTTCCATCCTCAAGTTCCTTGGCTTTGAGCAGATCTTCAAGAATGCCCTCACCGGACGTAAGTAGATCATACGATCTCCAAATCGTATACCAATACTAACTGCAACAGTGAACATGGGTGGTGGCAAGGGTGGTTCCGACTTTGACCCCAAGGGCAAGTCTGACCAGGAAATCCGCCGCTTCTGCGTTTCCTTCATGACCGAGCTCTGCAAGCACATTGGTGCGGACACCGACGTCCCCGCCGGCGATATCGGTGTTACCGGCCGCGAGATCGGCTTCCTCTTCGGCCAGTACCGCAAGATCCGCAACCAATGGGAGGGTGTCCTCACCGGCAAGGGTGGCAGCTGGGGTGGTTCTCTGATCCGTCCCGAGGCCACTGGCTACGGTGTTGTCTACTACGTCGAGCACATGATCAAGCACGTCTCCGGTGGAAAGGAATCCTTCGCCGGCAAGCGCGTCGCCATCTCTGGTTCCGGCAACGTCGCCCAGTACGCCGCCCTCAAGGTCATTGAGCTCGGCGGTTCCGTCGTCTCCCTCTCCGACTCCAAGGGCTCTCTCATCGTCAAGAACGAGACCGACTCCTTCACCCCCGAGGAGATCAACCTCATCGCCGACATCAAGGTCGCCCGCAAGCAGCTCTCTGAAATCGCCGAATCCTCCACCTTCTCCTCCAAGTTCTCCTACATCGCCGGCGCCCGCCCCTGGGTTCACGTCCCCGGCAAGTTCGAGGTCGCTCTCCCCTCTGCCACCCAGAACGAGGTCTCTGGCGAGGAAGCCTCCTCTCTCATCAAGTCCGGTGTTCGCTTCATTGCCGAGGGTTCCAACATGGGCTGCACTCAGGATGCCATCGACATCTTCGAGGCTCACCGCACTGCCAACCCCGGCGACGCCATCTGGTACGCTCCCGGTAAGGCCGCCAACGCCGGTGGTGTCGCCGTCTCCGGTCTCGAGATGGCCCAGAACTCCGCCCGCATCTCGTGGACCTCCGAGGAGGTTGACGCCCGCCTCAAGGGCATCATGGAGTCGTGCTTCAAGAACGGTCTCGAGACTGCTCAAAAGTACGCCACCCCCGCCGAGGGTGTTCTTCCTTCCCTCGTGACCGGCAGCAACATTGCCGGTTTCACCAAGGTCGTCGAGGCCATGAAGGACCAGGGTGACTGGTGGTGAACACTTTTGCTGTAGTGAAAGTGGCAGTGCCGTCTCTCGGCATGATTTGATGATGATGACTTTTCCTTTGAGCCTTTTTCGGGTTTATATCCTGTTTCATTTCTTTGGCATATTCTATTCTTGAGCGTGGATAGAGGCGCCGGATTCGTTTCTACTGCGTGGTTATTTTGTAGATAGACTTTGCATTTAGTATACCTTAGACCCTATACATATTTATTTCTGACTTTCTTCTTCACAAGTAAATCTACGTCGAATCTCCGTTTAAGAACTAGTCTTGGTACGAGAAAAACTTTATACAACGAACAAGTTTCTTCAACAGACGATCATTCAGTCATTCGGATGGCTTCCTCCACGGGTACTTTTGGGTTAACCTGTACTACTGTACTTGACCAGCAAGACATGCATTATAGATCCTCCCTCGAACCTTGCCCAAGGTCCAATCTTTCCGACCTTAGAACGAAAATACCGTTTCATCGTGTCCCATAAAGTCAACCCCCGCCATCGTAGCCATCCCTTCCATCTGCGGCTCCACCGTCGAGACAGCCAAGCCCAAGCCCATCTCCATCCCCACTCCCAACCCCAGTCCGTCCTGACTTCCACTGGCTCCGGCCCAAGGAGACACCAGCATAGAAACCGAGTCCGTCACTGGCAATACTGATCCATCCGCATTTCCTACCCCCGTCCCAGCTTGCATACTACGACCCACATTTGCATTCGCATTTGCAACCATACCATCATCACCACCGTCGACTCCAAACGCAGAACTGGGGTTATCTCCCACCACCGAACCCCCCCGGCAAAGCCTCACAAACTCAACAAGCAACCTCCTCATCGCCGCAATCGGCGCGCTCAGCGCCCCGCTCTGCGCGAGGGAATTCGACACCGCGCGCAGGATCTCCACGTCGCCCTCGTGGCCTGTTGCGATGGCGTTGCACAACAGCGCTATGCTTGCTGTTATTGGGTAGTAGAGGATTGTCCTTTGCGCTTGTTAGCATTCTTGATTGGGTAGGGACGAGGAGTTAGAGGGGGCTCACCAATGCAAATACGCAACGGTTTTTTGCTCGTCGCTCGATGCACAGATTCTTATTAGGGCGAGGAGGTTCCGGCGTGCCGAGTCGAGGTAGATGGCTGTTTCGGTCTGGGGCTGTGGTTGTGATGGTGTAGAGTAGGGTCCTGCGCCTGCGCCTGCACCTAAATCCATCGCTGCTCCTGCGACTGATGTTGGTATACTCGTGGCTGTACCTGCGACATGGCCCAGCGAGATCTGCCGCAGATGCAGGAGATTCGTCAGGATAGAATGATACGCAAAGTCCAGCGTCGCAATCTCGCTCGTCGCGTCGAGGCCGCGCCAGTCGGGCGACGGCGGTTTGATCTGCCCTCTATATCAGAATCGCAATTCCCACCACACTGATTGTACCAGGGAAAAGAACAAGAACATACCTGATCAATATCCCCCCGCACCCCCTCCATCCTGTCGAGCAAAAACCTCCCAAACTGAAACCGCTCATCGCCCCGCGCCCTATCTGGCTCATCCAAATACGGAATCATCGCATCCTGCACCTTGGCAAACTCCAGATAGATCCGCATAAGCTGCGACGCCGCCGCCGCCGCCGGCGGATCAACGTCCGTCCCGCGGTCAACGACGAGCACACGCACACTCCCAAACTTCCACGCGTAGTTGCGGTCCAGCGTGTAGCACCACATGAAGCAGTAGTATTCCTCCTCGGAGACAGAGCCCAGATCCGTGCGCATCCGGGCTCCGATCCCAATGTCCATGCACACCCGACACGCCGTCCGCGCGAGCTCCCGACACGTACGCGTGTCCCCGCTCCCCTGATTCAGGAAGATCCCGCAGAGGATCGCCTGCAGCAGCGCGAGCGACGGTCTCGTCGTGAGCGGGATTTTCTGGAGGGCGGCCTTGGCCGTCTCGCGGTAGGCCAGGGCGTTGGTGCGCAGGCTCTGCGCGAGGTCGGGATCGGGCTCGGTGGCCAGCGTTGCGGTGAGGAATTTGTAGGCGACCGAGTTGACGCAGACGGTGTGGATTATCGAGTCCGGGTTCGTGGCTGGTGTGCTGGTCAGGAGGAGCGAGAGGCCCATGTGCTTGAGGGTCGGGTTGCTGATGTGCCGGAAGTAGTCGGAGATGAAGGGGCCGAATTTGGGGCTGCCGATATCTATGAGGCTTTAGTATCGCAAGTGGGTTCTCTTTCTCCGTTGAGTGAAGAGAGATCAGGCAGGGAGGGAACGCACCCTTCAACATCCAGTACAAAAACTCAATCGAGGGTACATTCCTCTGCTCCTCCGGCGGAACGACCCCAGCCGTCTCCGTGGAATACTCCATGCTCCCGAGTACCTGGCTCGCAACGGATAATGCACTCTCGAGGAGCTGGCTCCGGCCCCAAGAGGCGAGATGCTGTGAATTCGTATTCGAGTGCGAGTGTCCAATGCGCCGACGCCGGTTGATCATCTGCGCGTCTGTCAAGGGCACAATGGCCATCCAGCTGTGGAGCTCGTATTCGACATCGAGGAGCATGCCTGGGTCTTCGAGGATGTCTGCTAGGAAGGATGTGTCGAGTGTTGCAGTTGCAGTAGGAAAGTCGAAGCCCACGTTCACAAAATCGATATCGTTAGATCTACCAATCGACCGGTCCAGTAGCGATCCGTACGCCGCTACCGATGCAGCGCCCACTGTCGATACAGGCGTAGACACACCCGAGGCCTGCCGATCGCGCGAGCGAGCCCTACTCATCATCAAATCTCTCTTGGGGAGACGCTTCATGCCGCGGGACCGGGTACATGAGGTATTCTGGTCTACGCAGTTGCCGCAGGGGTCGTTGCGGTCACAGCGGACCTGGATGGTATGTTAATCACCGAATGTACCATAAGCGTGGGGTTGCCATACCTTGCGAACATGACACAAGTCACACTGTCGAGGCATTAGTATCGCAAATGAATGAAGCAGGCGGAAGCATACATACCACACGACGACGGGCTGGAATTTCAGCAGCCATTACCAGGCAATCGCTCAAAAGAAAAATGTATACAGAAATCCACCCTGGAATTGATCCATTCAAGAGAGAGGAACGCAATAATCGCCTACTCAATCCAACTCCAAACCCACGAAGAAGCAAGCCCCGTTTAAGGCTGAACGGCACAGAAACCCTCGAGTGTGCCAAGCAGCACCAGACCAGTCTGAGACTTTTTCTCTTGGGGGTTACGTATGGATTGAAACTGCGCCTTAATGCTAACTATGGCCCGCCAATCAGCGTCCTCTTTTCGAAATACCCTTCAGCCCCCGTGGCTCGGGGATCTCCTAGCCCGGTGGACCTCATACCCAGAGGGGACCTTAGGGTTGAGGTGGCCTATTTCGGTTCCTTCGGCTGCTCTGACCCTCTCGCTTTCTCGTATTGAGAGTTTAGTCGAGCTCTAAACGTGCATAGCTCTCGACGAGTGAGTCGATACGATCGTGTCAGGGACTTTGTGCTGGGTGGGTCAGGGTTGCCACTATAGGGGGGCTCGGGACCCGAGGACCCCGAGATTTACCGGAATTGTGCCGGGGATGGAGTCATACCAGAGATCAACGAGTTCATTGTAACCTTGCGAAGCTACCTATTTAGAGTACATTCGAGAACTAGATATACTATATCACAGAAAAGAAAAAAAAATAAAGAAATCACCGTCTGACGAAACAGCACAGCACCCCCGTCTTGCCCAGGAACCACAACGCACCCACGAACCGGAAGATGGATAGCCCCGATGTCGCCCACAAGATCACCTTAAAGTACCACGCCGTTCGGGTGGTGGACTCGGTCTAGACACTCGATACATATTAGCACGGCAATCCTTCCCGCTCCGGGGAGAAGTACAAAGACTCGCGAGGAGCAACATACAGAAAGACACAAATTTCCCACCCCCGCGTTATTGATTAACAGCGCAAGCAACGAATTGCTCAACGCCCAGAGCAGCACGAGATTCGTCCGGAAGGTCTTGTACGAGTCGTCCAGCGCAACCGTCTTATTCGGCGGCGGCTCCTTGTACTCGGCGAGCGCCCGCCGCACCGTCGTCTCAAACTCGGTGTCGATATCCGCCTGCGGCTTCTCGACCTCCTCGACGAAATGCGTCTTGTTTGTGTCGGACGTTTTTGTCTGCGCGGACGGTAAACTCGACGACTCGTCGGATCCCTTTGTGCCCCAGGAGACGTCGTGCCAGTTGCAGAACGCGTAGACGTTTAGGATGTTGATTGTTGAGGGCATCCCGACAAAGTACGCCCAGGAGGAGGTAATCAGATGCCACGGGTCGAGGTAGAGGATGCTGGCTATGAGGTAGGTTCCGTAGGTGGAGGCGAGGGCGACGAGGACGAGGCCGGTGGTTGAGGTGAAGAAGGAGGCGAGGAATCCGCCCGCGCCGTTTTCAAAGTCGAGGTCGATGTTGCCGCCGCTAAACGCTTGGGCGACGAGGTAGAAGGAAAGGGTTAGAATGTAGATTTGCACGAGAGAGAAGTAGAGGAAGGAGACGATGTATGCCATTTGGGATCTGGATTGTCAGCTCGAGGTTCAAGAGATATAGGAGAGTATAGGGGAGGCAGGTACCCTTTGGGTCTGTTTCCGAGGGCGAGGAAGAATTGGTGCATGAGGAATGCCAGATACAAGACTTTGACGACGTTGTTGAAGATGGGCGTTGCCTCATTTCCGAATGGCCAGCCCTTGTTCTTGTTGGTTGCGCTTGGGGTGCCGACAATGTCCATGATGACCGAGGTCGTGAGCCAGTATGACGCTGAGAGGTTAGCAAAGCTTTTCACTCCACGATCAAGACATACCTAGGGAGAACCAGGTCATAATCAGCTGGCAGACATTGTAGAGCAGCTGAATGTGAAGGAAAAAGAGCCTGATAATGTTGTGCCCGCTCTTGTAGATCCTGGCAAAGTGCATGACCGAGTACAGACTCGCGGCAAACGACCCATTCAGCCATCTGCGTCGTTGACTCAGAAACTCAGGCGGAGCTATCTCTCATTAGTACAGCCCACCAAGATCAGTATTGTAGATCTCACCCTCTGGCACATCCGTCTCCCCCTTGGAAGCCTTGACATAGCTCAACGTCCACTTCGACCCAGCCTTGGCCACAAGCTCAAAGCATAGAATCCGATCTTCTGCAAGAAACATGTTCTTCTTAAAGATATTCATCCCCTCAATTCCCTTCTTCCCCAACTTCTTGGACAGCGTATGGTCCCCATGGAAATACTGCTCCAGCGGCCGCCCCATAATAGCCCTATACCGATACGCCGAGAACGCCCCGGGGAGCACACTCACATACCCAAACGAGCTCTCCAGCGGTTTATCGAGGATGTTCGAGATTTTATACTCAAAGTTCTGCGCGGCTACCAGCGGGTTCACGAGCTTCTCCCAGCGGGGGCCGAGGAGTGCGTGGATCTCGCCGCAGGCACCGCCGAGGTTCTTGTTGTTGTAAAAGGCTTCCCAGAGGGCGAGCAGCGACTTATGGCCTGGTTTTGTGCCTGCGTCGATAAGGATGCAGACTTCTGGGTTGAGAATGCGGCCGAATGCGTTGAAGAGCCAGCGGTGCGAGTTGATTTTCTTGCTGTTTTTCTGCTTTAGGCAGAAGATCATTTGGACCGGGGGGAGGTTAGTGGGGTCGTCCTTTTGCGGTCGGACGAGTTGTAGGGCTGGCGTGACTGAGAGCTGTGTCGTGTACTCGAACTATTTTTGAGTTAGCCAGGAAACTGCTATAAACAAGGAAGAGTACCAACGATATGCGCCACCGTCTCCTTTCCATCAATGTCATGCTTCATAATCCCATCCTGATAGATCCCCAGCGTAGCCAGAACATCAAGCGTCTCTTTATCACAGGGACTGATCCCATCAAAGACAAGACACACCACGACCTTTTGCCACGCCGGCCCTCCTTTATTCCAAAACTGCGTCTTCTTTAGATTGACAATGTCCCGAATGTTTTGCATCACGCCGTGGAGCGTCCGAGCAGTCAACACCTTGTCCTCATTGTAGTATGTAATCGCTATCAGCAGCTCGGTGTACCGATTGTACATTGATGCCCGGAGGTTGTATCCATTGCGGAGCGTAAAGTCGTCGGGGTCGCAGGTTGCTGCTGTGTCTGTTGCAACACGTCAATCACTGCCCATGCCATGCAGGAAAATGAGATAGTAGGAAGGTGAAGCGGTACTCACATCTCAAATGCGTAAACTCCTCCGGACTCGACGTGCCATCCGCCTCACGATACTTGGACTCGACCGAATTCAAAATCGCACTCGGCACCGGATAATCCACGCTCAGCACCGTCCCCTTGATCAGATTCACCCGCCGAGTCGGATACCGCCGCAGCCCGCCCTGAGCCGCGAGAGTCTGCCGCTTCTGCCACGAGGTGATGCTCGCCGCGTCGGAGCTGCGCTTCACGCTGAGAACCTCGGGACCGTGCTCTCCAGGTCCATGCCCGTATCCGTGTCCTCCATGCGGTGGAGAGGCTTCGGACTGCCATGAGGCGTTGGACGGTGTGCGCAGGCCGTCTGGGTAGTAGGGGGACTGCGGGGACCGCGGCGGGTAGCCGTGCTCGGTGAGGCTGTATGGCTGCGTGTAGAGGCTCCCTGAGGCGGGAGTGAGGTCTTGCTCGCGGAGGGAGTAGTGGCGCTCTGCCTCCGAGGAGCGCGAGCGGAGCGGGTGGGCTTCGTCTGGGGATTGGGGTTGTTGGGGGTACGGGTAGTCCATGGTTTGGTTGATTGATTGTTCAAAGGCAACTCACTCTTCTCCGGTCGTGGTCGCGGTCTGCGCAGGAGACAAAGGGGAGAAAGAGATTGAACCTCAAGAGAGAGGCTGCATGGAGTCAGAAAGCAGACTCGAACACCTCACTGTGTAACCAGGGCCAGTTCAGGTACCAATTCCGAATATAGATCACGGCCCTGCACCCGTGGACCACTCTTAACAGCGCCCCACTGGTTATGGCCCCCTGATTGGCCGGTGCAGATCCACTGCTATACCGAGCCAATCACGGGCAGTCCAGGATCCGATCGCCATTTATAGTCGGGGGATATAGTCCTGCGCAGAATCTTCACTGTTTTCCAATTCACGGACCGCCGGTCGGGTCGAGTTGTGAATCCTCTGGGGCGAGCTGAGGCCCGTGGGAAGCTGGAGTGAAGGTTTCGGGATACGAGAGGGCGAGAAAAATTTCCAAGGCGTGTCATGTCATGGGCGACCGACGTAAATGCTTCCTGGCCCCAGGAGACTTGTTGAGTTTCACGTTGGATCTATCGAGAAAAAAAACTTCTCAATGCTTTTTTGCGCCCCGTCGATGCTGCCTCAAGTTGAGCGCTTATTCAAACCACCCCGCATGGAGATTCAGATCAGCCTCGACAGGGAGCAGGCCGTCTACACGAACAAGGACGAAGTCTGCGGTCACGTCATTCTCAGAAATGACAGTCAAGTGGATATCAATTCAATCACGATAAGGATGTTGGGATCTGCGACTTCAAGACTAGATGCGGGGAGGGTGACTGAGACTCATCAAGTAAGTTTGAGCGATACATCTCGAGAATGCATGCTGATACTAGAAACAGCTTTTCAAGACGAATATCCAGCTATTTCCTCCAAAGGAATTCGCGAGCTTCTCCAAGTCCCGCCCTGTGACTGTTTCACCAGGGCAACATGTTTTCCCGTTCACGTTCAGCGTGAGTTCTTCTCCCTCTGCGAATGGGTCATACTAACCAGGTGTAGTTCCCCCACGCATCAGAATGCTACAAGGCTAGTCTTACACACGGAGCAGATAGTAAGCAAACAGGAAGTAGGAAGACTCACCATCTGCTTCGGAGACTCCCGCCGTCGACAGGCGACCCGACCACTGCAGAAGAAATCAAGTACCTTCTCGAAGCCACAGTCCAGCAGGACGGCCTTATGCGCGGGACACACAAGGCTGTAAGCAACCATCCTTCTTTACGCAGTACCAACTCTAACAAGATACAGAGCCGCGGCGTATATTTTTACTGCACATCAACAATGCACCTCCCCATGCGCGGGATTACCGACAAACGATCTGTAGTTTGCCGACCAGATCTCTCAGAGCCCATATCACCTCGATCGCAAGAACCAATCTGCCAGATCGAAGCAACACTCCTCAACGGACCATTCCTCGTCCTGGGACAGCCAGTCCCTCTTCGCGTCGAGATGACCAATCTACCAGGTCTATCCAGCAGCAATCACACCGTCTCCTTGCACGACTTCCAATCCATGCTCATTGAAACGACCGAAGTCCGCGCAAAGGGCTCAAGCGAGTCCACAACCCGCTCGTGGATTATCCAGACCATGGCGAATCTCCGGCAGAGCCTTGTTCCCGGGTACGATGATATGGCGGAGCCGGTGTTGAGGGTTGATGAGGGTGTCTGGACTCGACATGTTGTGCCGACGTTTTTGACGCCGACGTTCGAGACTTGCAATGTGAGTCGCAACTTTAAGCTTGAGATTCGGCTTGGGATTTGGTTTGGACGGGATCATGTAAGTTTCCTTCCCTCTGTGAGTTGACAAGTGCAGCTGCTGACATGCTTAGATGCGGATATTCGAGTTTCAGTTTCCAGTTTACATTGTCTCGCTGGCGATTCCGGGGTTGAAGGTAGAGAAGCAGGAGCCGGCGCCCGATTATTATGAGAGCCTTGGATTTCAGAACGGGTTGCTGAAAGAGACTATGTGACTGTATGATATGTGTTGAGTCAAATGTCTGTACGCCTTGCCATGAGAGAGTGCTTCGGAGTAAGAATAAATGTAGATGTCCAATTATAATCACTTTGCCACGATACAAGAGTCGGAAGACCGGAAGCTACTGGATTAGATGTATGAGACGTATCCGACATGTACCAAGCAGTGTACAGCACTTACTACCTTGGTATCAGATCAAACAGCGCATTGGTATGTTTATTGGGAGGACAGTACTAGTAATTCGAGTCGAGCGATATTATACAAGGAATTCAAACGAACACAAAAGCAAAAAAGCAAGCATTTCCACCTCGAGTAGTATGTACTCCTCTAAGCAAACCCAAAAACACCCGAAACAACAAGCCCCAGCAGCCCCAGCGCAACAACCCTCGGCACACCCTTGGCTACAGCAACAGCTGCATTCTCTCCATCCCCATCAGACTCCCCACCCGTCTCCTCAGCCCCATCCGCACTCGAAGTCCGTGCCGCCGTCCCCGTCTCACTTCCCCTCGTCGAAGTCGACGTCCTCGTCGCAGTCGGATACCCACTCCCCGTCGCCGTCCCATTCACATCCCCGGAGCACCAGACATCCCCCCACTCAACACCGGCCTTGTACAGGCAATCAATCAAATCCTGAACAGACTGATCGACGGCCGGCGCCCAGAGCGCGCACTCGTGGTTGTATTCGCGGACGGCCGCGGGCGCCGCGCAGTTCTCGAAATACTCCTTGTACTTGTCGTTGGCGTTGGGGATTCCGCACGAGGCGTCGTGCACGGGGAGCTCGTACTGCGCTGGGGTGTTGCAGGTTGTGCTAGAGGGAGCGGTGGATGTTATTGTTGATGAGGCCATAGTTGGTTGTTATTGTGGATGGATTTGTTTTGGGGGTTGTAGGGTGATAGTGGGGTGGTGGGTAGAGGAGATACTGAGGTATGAATGGTAGATGGTTATTTCGATTCTGGAAGGGAGGGCCTTCAGTACGCGAGATATTGGCTGTCGGGCAATTTGAAACGTGCTCTCAATATGCATTAAATATTGAGGCAACGTTCAATGCCAGCCTGCATGACGATGCCGACTATTTTTAGCTGGTATAGAATCGTTCGCCTCAGGGGCGCCCTAGACCTTGAAGAGTCTGACCGAACTCCAGAAAATTGAGCCTCTGGAAAGCCTTTGCTATTCCGAGACTGTAAAGTTCCACTCTTATACCGTACCTATTGTATCCCGCCGGGCTTCGGTTTTATACAACCAGATCGGTTCGGAAGAGCGTTGCAGATCTAACTTCAACGTGCAGCCTGAACAACTTGATTAAAGCTTTTCACACCATAAAAAAGACTACTGACTTTAAAAGCACCTATTCAGAGCTATAGATTCCATAGACAAAGTCCCTATAGTTGTTTGAGCATGCCGCAATATGATTGGCCATATCTTGTCATGTGACGTAAATATCACGTGAGTCGCGATTGTTATCCGCGCGTTTCGTCTCGTCTTCCAAGACACAGCTTCAATGCACCAGGGCAAGATGCCCATGATTTGGGACGAACCAACCAAAAGCACACCGGGCTAACCCCGCCGTATATATATACCATGCGTCCCCGCGACACCGATCGCGCGGCAGCAGCCACCTCGCAATGGAAGGCGTTTCTCGACCGATGTCTGATGCATCGGATCGACGCCGCGGAATTCAGAGACCTGAGCAAACTGCTCCGCGCGCGCTGTCCGATCGGCGACTCGTCGCTCATCGACCTCTTGCTCCAGACGCGTCTATCGACGGGCGTCAAGTGGGACCCGCTCCTGCCGCTGTACATCGACTGTCTCTGCAAGAGGGGCGGGGTCCAGATCTCGACCGTCTTGGCTTCTTTGTTGAGGCATTCGTCCATCCTCGATAAGCCGTCGCCGGGGGCTGATGTCGCGGCTATCAAGAAAAGGGCCAAGTGCTACACGTTGATGACGGATATCAAAGTCATTCAGGACGCGATGCTCTCGATCTCGACGGGGGCGACGGTCAAATCGCTCCTCGAGGCTATCCAGGTCTTTTCTGCGACGGCGGATTGGATCCAGGCGATCATTGCCTGGCATAATAGTCACCTTGACGCGGATCAGCCGGTCGGGCTGATGGCTTCGCCGGATGCTGTTCTCCTCTATGAGTCTCTGGGGTTCCTCCTTGCTGCGCTGTCGGGGACGCAGAGGGGCTTAGAGGTTCTCTCGTCACATTCTCATGATGGTACATTCTCAGCTTTCTTTTTCGTCAGGGCTCTGCTAATAGTATGTAGCGCTCAAGGTCAGGATTGGACAGGCTCTTTCAGCCTTCCTGCCACTCTGCGCCGAGGTCTCGCTTGCTCTCCGCAATCGCTTGGACAGCGTGCAAAAGGAGTTCAACCTGTACGGCCAGCCGCCGTCCAAGTTGGAAGTCAGCATGATGGACAACGTCAATGTCAACGCGCTTAATTTTGAGGCGTCTATCATTGACGGACCTACCATCAACTCTAGAGCTGGTCTCTACGTATATATCAATGCGATGGTATTTCTCTCAATGTTTTTATGGGGTTGATCTGACATTTTTAGCTTGTTGGACGTCCGTTGGTTGATGACAGCATACTGTTGAACTATCTCCTCAATCGCTACGCTGTCAGTATACTTCTCCCATATCTATATAGGTATTAACGACTTTAGGGCCACTACGAAATACTCATCCAGGAAATCATCACCGCCGCTTTCGACGTCCTCTCCAACGCAATGTATCGCAACGAATCCAGTCGGACAATGCTCCTCTTCCGCTCATTCCTGGTCAACAAACTCCCCACATTTTTCGCGGCCATGCTCTCCGTGTCGATGGTCTCGCTGCCGATGGAAGTGTGTATCGGCCATGCGTTGAGCCGGCTTGACCCCAACACCTTCCCTTCCTTCTCGCAGATGTTTTCCATGCAGGGCAATTCGTCGCTCTCCGACGTGCGCCAGGAATTCCTGTTTTCCTGTGCCTCGCACAAGTTGATACCGGAGTCTAGTATCGAGCGGCTTCTTGGCGAGAATCCGATGCAGACTCTCCCTGTCGGGGGACCGTTAGTCAAGGATGACCTTGTCGCGCAGATAAGCGCGAACCATGAACGTGCGGAGCAGTTGATCAGCGACATTGAGTCTACGGAGGGCAACGCGGCTGCTATCGTCGGGGCTATCACAGAGGTGCGCTTGTTACTCGTATTCAAGACATCGCTAATTGGAGCAGGTCATGCATAACCTGTGCAATCAGAAAGAAACGATGACGCTGAAGAATATTTGCAACTCGCTATCGCGTCGCCCTCAGTCGTTAGATGTGATGCTACTCTTTCGCAGCCCAAAGCAGATCCTCCAACCGCTATGCGCCCTTCTTGACTCATGGCACTGGGATGAAGACCAAGCAGAGAGCCAGCCGGTGTATGACGAGTTTGGAAGCATTCTGCTGTTGGTGTTGACGTTCAAGTACCGTTACGACCTGCGGCCGTTTGATCTTGGAATCACGAGCAGCAATTCCTTTATCCTCAAGTTGATCGAGCGGGGTTCGTCTAGTCTGAAGCTCGAGGAGCTGAGTGAGAAGCAGAACAAGAACATAGGCGAGTGGATAGCGGCTTTGTTCATCGCCGAAGGAATTAGCGAGGAGACCATGTCTGGATGCAGTCCGCAAGAGTTTTACATGCTTGTCTCCACACTTTTCCGCCAAAGTCTTGGAGCGTGCGAGGCGGGAAAGCTAGAGTTTGATACGCTAAAGGGTGGATTCGAATGTAAGTCCATGCGCAAAACTGAGTGATGGCAAGCTAACAAGATAAGACCTGCTTGAGCCATTCCTTCTTCCCTCACTTGTTGTCGCCTTGACCTGGTTGAGCAATCACATCTGGGAAAGCGAGCAGGACCCGACCATCCCGTTGAAGACGTTACAGTCACTGGTCAGCCCCAGCTCAATATCAGGCGAGGCGCGCGAGATCCACTTGACCGTCCTCAACATCACCGCCCGCGCTCTCGAGGAACAACTCAAAGACGTCCGCGCGCGCCATCCCAACCGAACAGATATCAAACCCATCCTCGACGCCCTCGAGCCATGCCTCTCCTTTAAGCGCACCGCCAGCTGCCACAAGTCCGAGCTCGAAAGCTGGACCACCCACTCCCCCGGCGGACTCCTCGGCAGCATCCGCAGCACCTTTCAATCCCTCGTCATCTGGAGCACAAGCCCGGACGTCAACATGGCACCACCCTCGTACACGCACCGCCAAATCATCTCCGCAATCCGCATGCTAGGCGCGACCCGCGTCCTCACCTCCCTCCTCGAAGAACTCAAACTCCAATCCCAATCCGGCAACGCCGACCTCGCCCTCGACATCGCCGCGACCCTCATCTGCACCCCGCTCGCAGAATCCTACGCCATCGACCAAAACACCCACCACCCCGTCGACCCAACCAAGGAACCCGTCCCGCGCTGTCCGATGCTCACCCTCCGCGACGCATTGAACCTACACCACGCCGACGTGCCCAAAATCTCCGAAAAGGACCCCCTCCGCGCCGAGTTGGTCGTCCGCCTCTACCGCCGCGTCAATGTCCTCCTCGCGCCCCCGGCCCAGGTCACAAACCTCGACATGAACATGAATATGAACATGAACAGCATCATCCAGAACATGCAGCTTGGAGTCGACCAAACGTCGATGGATCTCGATCCGTCCGGTGCATCAAGTGCGCCCGGTCAAAACGAACAGGCAAACCTCGACCAGATCATGGATAACGCGGCGGCAGCTGTAGGCATGGATATGGACGGTGGACAGGGAATGGATGACTTGGGGCTTGGGTCTTCGACTGGATTGGATCAGAGTATCGACGATGTGTTGAATGCCGCGGAGATGAATCCGGAGTTTTTGGATTTGGATATGGAGGGGATGTTTTGATATCTGTTGTAATTCTTTCAAAATGGGTTATCATGTGCTTTTCATTCGGGACATGCATGTACGGAAATTGTAGCAAGGAATCAATATAATAAGTACTATTAACTAACACACACAACCACAGCATCATCCCAACCGGCCACCACTATCCAGGCTCTAGCTAAGTATCGCCCCCATAAACCCGGTTGAACCCCAACTCCACAGAGAAAAAAACATTCCATAACCCCCTCGCAACCTTCTCCACCCAGCCAACCACCGCCTCAAAAGAAAAAAAAAAAAACTTATTCACAGATGCTTCCTCCCTCCAAGATCCCCCGACAGCCTTCCAACACTCTCCGGGATCCCACTTCCCGGCACAACCAAGTTGAGAAGCTTCAGATCTCCCACGGGGAGTTGGCGCGCCGTGTGTGTATGTGCATGCGCATGTGCCTGCGTATGCGGTTCCATCGACGTGTCTGCACGATATTGCGATGGGATCGGGGCTGCGAGAGCCATGGAGGAAAGCGTTAGGAGGGTGAGGGTGCGGAGGAAGCTCATAGTCGGCATTTTGTACTTCTTTTCTTGGTTTGATTGATCAATTAGTTCGGGTAATTGTTCGGAGATACAGGAGCAGTGGTGAGGGATAGCACATACCCGTGGTTTATGCTCTGCTATCTCGTATAGTAAAGTGGTCTTGAAATTCGTTGGCGGAGGAAGGAGTTGAGCACACATCCGAAACGACGGACCGGTCGACCATATTATACCATCCGCGAGGGTATTTCCATTCGACCATCTCGCGACGCGACAGGACGCGTTTCATCGTTCTTCAGGAATGTAGACAGGGGAACATCGGTCCCGGAGGAGGGTGGAAGGGTAGGCAGGTACTCCGTAGTCCCCCTCGTTCTTTGGGCCCCTTTCCTCCCTCTTTTCGAGCGGAGGGAGCCACACACGGGGAAATTGTCTGCTCCTGCCTCGGAAAACTACAGCCGATTGATATCGTCCTCATACTCATGCTTTCCTACCCCGTATAACTAGAGCTCGCGCGGATACTGGTGGTCTACAAGTCATGCCGTGCGTAGTCTGTTGATACCGCTCTCTTATCGGTGTCTGGTGTAGACGACCAACCCTTGGAAGAACCTAAAGTATTGGGTGTCATGGTTCCTTCTCATATATATATATATATTACAACGGACACCCAAAGTGAGCTTGTGGAAAAGATTGAGGGTGATTCCCGGTCCATGGTCAACAATGTTGTCCGTCTCCTTACTATATATCTAGGTGAGGTTCACCACTCACTAACCTAAAGCCAGAGGGAACATTTGATTTCAGTGCCGCGAAATATATATATATATATATATATATCTGTTGCACCTCCGTACTTTCTCTCTACCGTTTGCTCCACGATCGGAATCTAGACGTATAGCTCACGAGTCCCTTCGTTCTTCTCCTGTCTTTCTTCTCGGCTGAGAACCTAGATCCGCAAGTCAGTCAGATATGAGGGTTAGAAACCCTCGTTGGGGAGTCAACGACAGCCTACGAAGTTGATGTCTCAGGTAATGGCTAGCTAATATCCACTCTGCAGTTAGATGACCGAGGCCTGCTCCTAGATTAGATTCCGAAGGTGCTTTGAGGGTGCTAGGGCGCGAGTTTACGGATCCAATTGGACTCCATCCAACCAACACAACCAGTCTCTTCATTCGATATCAAAAGCTTTACTACTCCAACATCACAAAGTATATTACGATGCGGTATGCGATGCATAGCCCAGTGTTGGTGGCGCTAGTCTAAAGGGACGGGATAGATACCTCGGCGCCATGGACTAGCACACCTAGCCCTGCTGATATAGGGCTATGCAAACCTCACCCTCCGACTGGGGTTACGTCAATCGATAACGGAAGCATTGGACGGAGAATTGGAGTGATACTACGGGGGCTGGAGCATAGTCGGATGCGAAGAACGGGACTCACCATCTCTGCCCCTCATACCAACCTTGCAGTATTCGCGTGTCGCATTCGTTCAGTTTTGTTGTCGTTTCGTATGTAATAGCATCACAAGACCGGATCATCCGGCCTAGTTGGAAGCCCTGTTTTGCTCGAGTGATTGCGGAGGCCGAAGGGCAGGCCGCAGATGCATGCTTTTCCCTCCCGGGTAGGGCCGCCGAGAAGCAAACATATATTGCATTCTGCTATGGACAGGGTGCGGGTAGGATCCAATCGAAGAGTCTCTTCGGTCGCGGGGTCACATCAATGCGCTTTTGTCTTGCTTTATCGATTCATTAAGAGCATGCGATTCTCCAACAGTCGACTTCTTCAGAGTTGTTTGCTGAAACAAAAGAACGATGAAGGAAGCTTTCCCCAAGAAAGACAGATCATAGGTGTGATTGATCCAGCTGCAGTTCCAATCACACTGCACGTGAGGCCAATTGCGCAACGGACCGCCTGCGTCAACAGGAACGTGCAGCTTCGATTACTGATTGGGCAGGAAAGATAGAAAATGCCCTGAAAGCTGAGATTCCCAGCCAACGAATCATATCTTGGATTTTGATTTAGAGAAAAAAAGAAAATATTTCTGCAAGATTTGGCCTGTATTTTTTCTGGGTGCACATACCGATTCAGGCAGGCAACATTCATCCTTCGTTCACCTCCAGGAAGCTGCAGGTACTTCATGCAAGCCGCGAATATCCTTGTCATGAGGCTGGCTTGCGACGGCTTCGGGCTCTGGACTCGAGATTTGTTTGCCTGTCATATGTGCAGCGCGGCAGAGTCTGCAGATCCGGACAGAAGGGAGATGTGAGCACTCGGACTGGGCAGCGCACTCCGATCTCGGCACGGTTTCGCGACTCTTTCTTTGCTTTTTATCGTATACTCCACAAATGTTGTGGTTCATTCTCACCGACTCGCGCTCTCCGAATCCAAAGGAAAGGCGGAGATATTCTCTGTCGCGGGCCGCGGGTGAGCCAAAACCTGGCCAGGCGGAATACAATCGCGGAATAAAAAGGGCACCGGAGCGTCGGCGATAATGCACAGGTAAATCCTGGACATTGTTTCCAATTTCTGGCCTGCATGCGCCTGCATAGATGCTCTGTCAAGGGAAACACAATGGCTTGTTTGCGATGTCAAAATTAGGCCGAAAGGCACACAGGCATCAAAAGCCCCCACAAGGCAGACGTGGTGATTTTCAGATGGGCAGGATGACATGCCCTGCCAGGTGCTCAAAAGGTGATAGGTGAAGGAAAAGGATGAAAGCCGGCCTCTCACCGATCCTGGTCTATGATCCGAGTGTTGGAGGAAAAATCTCGACTGCCGGCATCATGCAACAGGGGTGGCATGGCACAGCGCTTAAAGTTCATCAACCTGGATCACTGATTCGTAACAGTCCTTGCGCACAGGCGAGGCAGGGCTGGGGAAGTTAAGATACTGGACTATAACTCAGGCTGTTGGAGGGCTCGAGGGTCGAGGCTCGAGAGAGAACAGAAGAGAAGGCTGAGGGCTCAGCAATATCTCTTGACCAATAATGATCGCAATCTGGAAGAAGCACGGTGCAAGTGATCTCCCCAGAGTTCACGCACGGGTATGAACCGGCGACGTAACGCGAATCATGGTGGCGAACCGCAATGCAAGAGTATGATTCTCCTCAAGGGCGACTCAGCCTTGAGCGACAAAAATCAAAGCTCGAGGCAAAGTCACGGAGCACAGCACGCCCTGTGGGAATTTTGAGGCGACGGTGGGTTTCCGCAGGATTCGCGCGGTTGGCTTGCAGAACTCGCTGATTGGAGCTTGTGAGGCCAATAGGAAGAGAACCGAAGAAGGTACCCTTCGACGCAGTGTTTCTGTCGATTGATTTGAGATACCCTCACCTCAAATGATGTTCGACTCTCGAGCTCGACCGGCCATCTGGGCAACCCAGAATTATGCATTCCAATTCTCCTCCAGCGGCAAACGTGGTTTTTGATCATGCGCGCAGATGCCGCTTGATGGGTATTCCCTCCGGCGTCACGGATGCGCTACTGGCTCGTGCCTAGGCAGCCTGCATGAACTCCACAACACTCCATCGTGCTCGTCGAGGGACTCGACCGGTCGAGTCTTCACAGAAGATGTCTGACTGGATAAGTCCCACCTTAGACACCTGCAAGGTACTTTATATCCACTTCACAACCGAAGAGTTTGTCCTCCGACCAAGAAGAGTACCGATGCCCAGGGCAATGCAGCCGGTGTTTGCTATGCTGAAGGTGCGATGCCTCACGCGTAGCCCCTTCTGCAGCTCCTGAGGCAAATCTCTCTAGCGCGACCGTGTAGTGCATTATTCCAGACTCTCGAGGACGTTCATCAGGACGTCATTTCCGAGCGGGACGATCAAGAACAACGCGATTCCTCACCTGGACAGCTTCCGATGATGCGGAATGGAGCAGAACCGAGACCAGAGACCTGGAACCCACGGTTCATTTGGCACGAGGGTATCATGATCAAACTGCCACACAAGGCGAGCGGTGGGCCAATGACAAATGCACAACCGGGTGTTATCTTTCTCCCTTTTGCGGGACCATGTGGAGTGGGAGTGAAGTCGGTGTCAGAACATTCCACGAGGATCGGAATTGACCCGATTCTGATTCTCGAGCTTGGAAGAGGATGATCATAATCGCGATCGGGAGATGTTGGCGGCTTCTGGCGCCTGGGCTTCTGGACCCGGCTCGGTGAGTGTTGGTGATGATTGAATCGATGGTCGAGGCAGGCCTCATGGATGCCACAGTGGGAGCGACCTTCCATAGATGGCTAGATCAAGCATGTGTCACGTGATGGCGAAGGAGTTTTCGCCACTGCTTTTGGTGCCTCGTTGCCTGGAAAAGTACCGAAAAATCCTTTTGCCTTGCTGACCCCTGGCGAGTCGCGACCCGGCGACCGTTGGCCCCCAACATCACATCCATTTCATCATCCATTTTTCTTTCAAATGACCCTGACCCGTCCCGTGGGCCCAACACGGCACAAGCCAGGTTGTCACACACCAGGATTCTGACGGGTCGCTGAAGCCAATTCGTACCGTCCCGTCCCGTGTTGAGCAGCTTGGGGAGCTCCTGAGCTGTTGTGATTGTGATTTGTTGAAGCCGTGTGATATGTCCTCATTCGGAAACTCCCCTGGTCATGAACCGTGGAACCGATATAAAAAAGGCCTGGTGGATTGGCCTGGGGACCTCGGGGTCCACACTCGCTGTGTCCGTATCGACGTATCTTTGTCCGTATTGTGCCCCTGTGAAAGCAGCAAATGCCACAGAGAGGCAGGATCCTAAGCCGTTTCTGGAAAGAGATTCTGGCTGGTTCGCTCTGGATTCCAGATTAGGAGCTTGAGGGCCTCAAGCAACAACAGGTGCTTTGAATCTGTGATTCACCTTCGACTAGGACTTTGGCTCAGTATTTTCCTTTGTCTTCACACGGAGCAGCCAAAAGCACCACTTGAGTCTCCATTACGACTGGGCCGACGCTCAGTGCCAAGCATTGGTCTCTGCATTTGTGTCCAGCTAAGCCAGGGCCCCCCTGTGCCCCTACAGGACGCCCGCAGCAAACATCAAGCACGTGCCATTGTCTTCAACGACTGGCCAGATAACCGTTTAATTGTCGAGAATTTCTTTTGCCGGAGCAAATCAGCGGTCAGGTTTTCTTTGTTCACCTCCAACCAGATATGACCCCAATTCGCCTTTCTTTGGCGGTTCACTTGGCACTTTCGTTCTCAAGGGAAGCACATCGTCGTGTCTTTCTCTGTTCGACGCGTCTCCAATTTCGTCAAGTAATAAGAACAGACTTCTCCCTAGCTGCAGCCGCAACAAAGATATGACAGCCCTGGCGTCCCGCTCGGTCTCTGAAATATCGTTATATGGTTCAATAAACCTGCAAGCCCGGAAGAAACCTCGATGATCAGTCAACTTTCTGTCTTTGTTGACTTTTGACAGCTCGTCGGCCTTGAGCTACGACTGGCCACGACGCGGATGGCGTACCGGCAACGACGCCACACCACAGCCCGCGACAGCCAGCACGGGATTGACACCAAGAAACCCGGAAAACAAGAGGACACTTAGACAGGCCGTCGTCAGCCACGACAAGCTAGGTTAGGAAGAGTCGAGACTCTTTTTTGCTCCCCGCCGGTCGCATGTCGTTGCAACCAGGAGAAGAAGTGTGGGGATCATTTTAAGACTTCCACCTTCACAGGAAATGGATCGAGTCTTACGGAGTACTTTTGGTGGACTCGAAATGAATCCTTCAGGCTCGACGCTTGCTCAGATTGGTATGCCGCATCGGCTTGCACTTATTATCATTGTCTTTGGGCTCTTTAATTACGTCTCTCTGCATGAGAGGCTCTAAACTCTTTGTCCACGGAGATGCACGACGCCCCTGCAGGCTTATCAAGCAATCAGCAGCCTGTGTTGCTCATTTGCTGCTTGCCACCAATATGGGGCTTGACTACATAAGCGCGGCCGATCAGACCCGTGAACCAGAGAATTGGAACTCTGTATCCAACTTTCTAACTTTTGATATGCCTGTGGACTGTTCACTGCTGATGGTTTCAAGAAGATGGTGCGGGGAAGGTCCTCAAAGAATGATGAATTTGTGAAACCATAGGACGTCAGTTCTGACATCTTGTCAGAGCATGATGTTCAAGCGATCACCATCCCTAGAAAGACCTGCTTTCTGCGAGCGACTGCCCGGGCTTTGAACCCTACTGGCACTCGAGGTTTCAATAGCATCCCCGGCTTGCGTCTCCCGCCAGCTCCAACTCGGTTCTTGAAGATAACGTTCCCCGACTGTGGGCAAAGACAAGCACCGTTCGAATTGCAGCTCCAAGTTCCAAGACCCCGGTACCCGGGGTTGTTTCCTTATAGATGGCCGATGTAACCTAGGTTTGAACTATGATGGTATTAATCAGTTCAAGGTCCCGGCTTGCTGTGGCCGAGTTCCAGGGAGCTGGTTCCTGGATGAGCCAACATGAGTGGTGAAACGGGGCGGTCTCCACTTGCTGGCAGACTCCGCAATCACCATCCGGAACAGATGCTCAATTGGGAGGTTTGGACGCTTTCTCGTGGAATCAGGGGATTGACTGATGGATATCGGGATTTGCACTTATGCATGCGGTGCATTGGCGTCGTCGATTACGATCTGCCCCAGGGTGAAGTATGGAACTTGAAAGGCGACATGAGGTTATCGCTCGAGAACAGCAAATCCCAAAGGGCTGAAGTTGAAAGTCATGAGAAATTGAATGGTGCGTTGCACAAGAGGCCGCATCAATGGGATCAAGTGGCAATGCAGGCAAATGGAGCTGTGGTGTTGTACTGCATTCAAGGCCGGCATGATCTTGCTCCGGAATCTATACATCTCGGTTAGAAATCGCCATCAGTCATCCTTCAGGTGTCAGCAGGTTGGGTCTGTTGCATTCCAGACCCAGAGACAGAGACGATGACAGATGAAGTAAACCAGCGTCAAACTCGGATGTCGTTCGGCGGATGTTCTTCTGGTCAATCTCACGTTTCCCCCCGATTTGTCGGGCGCGGAGAGCATCCACAACTGCGAATCGACCTAAAAATTGAGGTCCTTGTCCAACCCCCGAGTTACCAGAGGGACGGGTGGGAGGACTTCCGACTGGGCTGGCACTTTCTTTCTTACTGGACTAAGCCTCGACTGGTAAGTTCAATGGTAGCTAAGTTGTCTGACTCGAAAGTCGAGAGTCGGCTTTACAAGAGTCGAGCCAAGGCAGATGAATCTCCCTCGGAATTGAGAATAAGGCATCCTGGGCAGCCTCAACTCTGGTAACTGGTTTGCGGCGTTGATCGCCCGTTTTTTGGCCACGGAACCAGAAAGCACCTACTTCATCCTCCCGTCTCTTAATTTATGCTCCCACTCGCGGGAGTCGCGTCTTCTGATTTATATTGAGGACAAGACACTGGTCAAGTGAGGGGCGGCCGTGGCTTTGCCACCAGTGATGATAGTGTCTTGGCCGAAAAAGGGAAAATAAATCGCTTTCACCAAAAACAATTGATTGAGGCGAACGCGGTTTCTGAGCGGATGGACTTCCCGTCTCCATCGCGCTAAATGCACTAAAATATACTCCGGAGTAAAATTGGTTCTGGCGCTAAAATAATAACACGCCTTAATATTGCGCTTCTAGACTAACTGACTCGAACCCCTGTTTGTTGCTGCAGGCTGTTCACATTTTATTCTATTCACACCTGGTGTGACTCTGAGCAATGGTAGCCTGACGACGCCTTATCGCGAGCTCAAGAGGAATCAAGAGAAGCAGCAGGAATTGGGTTGGCTGCGTATTTCGGAGAGAAACGAAGAGACCAAGAAATGAACCGGTTCTTGACGTTCTGCATCATCTCACATCGTTTTTTTTTTCCGTATCCGCGCCAAAAATCAAAAAATTAAGAAAATCAAAAATAGGAAAAGGAGGAAAATCTCAGTGGTTGATGTGATGGCAGATCATCGACGTTTGGGGCAGCGCTAACAAATTAGCTGCGTTGCTGCTTGGGCAAAGAAAGAAAAGAAGAATACCAGACACAAGATCTCGCCATCTTCGCGGTGGACGAAGAAGAATAGACTCGACATAAGGAGAAGACTGTTTACTCAATTGAGGTCGGTATTGAAGAGTGTGATTCGATAGATTGAAGAGCGCGATTATCAGGAGACGCGGACAATGAGCACTGAGGTTCGGGGATAGGCTGACCTCTGCTGCCGAGTGGAGCACAACGACTCAACCACCCGTCGACCCGTCCATCGTCCACCGGCGACAGTGGCACCAACATTGGTCCCCAGAACGGCTCCGTCTGGCTGGGAGCCTTAGCTCAAGTCTCTTTCCCCTCATATTATCACCTCTTTTCCCGTCTCTCCTGCTCCTATCACTTCAACGACTTCGTTCGCTGCCCCGGAGAAACCGCCTCACTCTTTCTCCCCTCCTCTCCCTCCTCCCCCCTCACCCTCATTCTCCCCAGCAGGCGTGGCACCACACTGTTGTTGTCGCCTTTCGAGTCATTCCTTCGTTGCTGCTGGTAGCAAATTCTCAATTGCGAGTCAGAAATCCGGGAACCGCACGACCGCATTCTTTCTGTCGCCGCTGCGTCTGAACCTCGAAGTGTCTCGGACGATCGTGGTGGCCCTTGCTTTCGACACTTGAACGCTGTACATTAGCTTCTCCCACTCGGCGCGCAGACGACCCTCTCCTCGCTCGGTCACCTAGTCAATCGGATTGGAAACGCAATACAGCGCAGGAAGCAATTGGGTTTGTTTAGGTCATTGCTTTCTTGAGAGAGCTTCGGACGGGAGACCTTCGATCCTTGCATACGGAACCTCCGGCGGAGGCAGGATACTATTGTTACGCTTCATCATTGGACGCTAATCGACGATTCGGGACCCTTGTTTGGCTTCCCTTTCTTCCTAGCTACCGTCAATTCCCCGTGCTCGTGCCTGTCGACGACTTTACTGCCTCGTTCGACTCGGAGTCAGGGACCTTTTTTTAGCTTTACCGAACAACTTGGAGTATCGCAACACAGGATAGCTGCGCTCGTTTACTCTTCTTCCTTTCTATTTTGATTTGACTTGCTAGGTACGTTAGCAACCCGTTGCCCTATACTGGCATTCCTCCCATTCCTGGCTCCCTAGAATCCATCCGGCATTCCCCCCGGCGATCCGCAGCGGGTTACGGGACCCATGCAAAACATTTCCCTCCCCCTCCAAACACTTCCCCAGCCATCCAGTGGAAGGAAAGCGACATCATCATTGACGGAGACTCTACAGCGTCGGACCTCTCCCTCAATTGCACTTATCTCGAACCACTCCTTCGAATACGCATTCATACTTGCGCCACGATCTTCAGTTGGCAATTCGCTCACTTACACTTCATATTGGGTGCGACATTTGATAATGCTCATTGATTGTACCGTGATATAATCAATGGTCGTCGAGGGCCTTGTCCTATCTTCGAATACACATACGTTTACATACTGGAACATACGAAATGGATCAAATGAAGGCTCACATTGCACCATTGAAGATCGAAAAGGGCAACTCCAACTTTCACGCCGCCGCAAACCGTTTCTATTCCCCTCGCCAGATAACTCCACCAACAACACCTCATACGACACAGGACGGCGCCATGGATCGTTCTGACCCTCCACGGACCGTCTTTCACAACTATCTTCGCGCATTCTACCCATTTCACCCTGCTGGAGACGTCTCTCCGGCAACAGTCACACTCCCTTTAGATCAAGGCGACATTATTCTAGTACACTCTGTACACACCAATGGCTGGGCCGATGGAACTCTTCTCGACTCGGGCGCTCGGGGCTGGTTACCCACCAACTACTGCGAGGCGTACGACCAGGTTCCGATGCGACCATTGCTGAAGGCATTGACAGATTTCTGGGACATCATCCGAGGAGGTTGCGGATCGCCTTTGGTGGACTTTGGCAACCAGGATCTTGTACGGGGCTTGATTGCTGGAGTTCGATTTCTGTTAGAAAAATCAGAATGTCTTACCCGCGATTCATCCCTGGTGAAAGGCCAAGAAGGCCTCCGTCGGAATCGCAAAGCACTCTTGGCCGATCTCTCATCGCTGGTTCGAACGACGAAGAAATTTCAGGAGATTTCCAGCGGACAGCCGATGGAAGACGAAGTCGAATACATGGTGGATGAGATGCTGCTCAAGGCTTTCCGAATCGTCACCCGAGGCGTGCGGTTTCTGGACGTCTGGAACGAGGAGGTAGGCCTCAGCAGGGCGATTGCTGAGCTCGAGCAGCAGCAATCCGGCCACGGTGAGATTCCGCCAACACCAACCTCCGAAACATTTTCCCCATCAGAGAGCACACCATCCGAGATCGGTACAGAGCGAAACGAGTCCAGACTTCTCAACCGCAGCCGATTGGAGAGCCGACTGGAGAGCCGATTGGATATGAGTCGGGCATCAACGCGGATGGATGCGTTTGACTCGCAACCCCGCCCCATGTCCGTCTCGACCAAACGGATCTCCGTCTCGCACAGGGTGTCTTTTACAGGTCCAGCCGCAGCCGCCGCCCGGAACCCCAACCTAGCGTCCGAACGCCTCACCGCGACATACGATGCTTTCCTTGGTGTCTTGGGCTCCTTCATTGGTCTGCACTTGCAGTCTCGCTCTTCGACAGAGCTTGTTGTGACTACGGAACAAGCCGTCCGGTCATGTCGCGGTTTGCTCACGGTGATTGAAGCTGTTTGCGAGCACGACCCACAGGGCAGCGCTCTGCTGGAACAGGCCAAAGATACCATGTACGAGCGGCTGTCTGAACTGGTTTTCGCCGCGCGCGACGCCTTCCGCCCTGCTCAGTCGCCAGACGATGAGCTCGTGTTCATGCCTGATGAAGGCAAGCGCCTGGTGGACGCGGCAACCGATTGCGTGCGAGCTGCTGGCAACTGCATGGCCAAAGCTCGTGTGGTGCTGGAGCAGAGCGGAGACTTTGAGCTCGTAGCCAACGGCGAAGAAGTGCAGATTGATATTATTCCACCCGCGCTACCCGAAGAGTCTACCCCACAACCTCCGCGCACGGCCGACGTGGCAGTCGAAGAGACCCGTCCCAAGGAGATGGCCCGTTTACCCCCACCCCCCCTGCTGATCCCCCAATCCAACAACGCTTCCTCACCGTCCACTCCTGGTCTGACAGAAGACAACACCCCCTGCTCCTTCCAATCACGCCACGAGGTCACTACACCTGTCACTGCGGCGATCGAACCCTCCTCCTTCCAATCTTCTATCCTCTCTCCTAGCTTTGACAAGCTTTCCTTCCCTTCCTCCCCACAAGATGCCATTATCCCGGATTCATTCCGTCGTGACAGCCAGGCCAAGTCTGAGGTCAGCGACTCCTTCAGCCGTGGCGTCACGAGCAACGCCAGCAGTTTCACCTACAGCAACCTCCGTGACTCAGAGATGAGCGGACTGTCTCAGACCTCGACGCGGGCAACCTCACCGGATATCGGTATGGTCCCGTCGCTCAAGGGCAGTGTCAGCCACTCGACCCTGGCGGAAGAGAATGAGGAGACAGAGGCCAATGTCTTGGAAAAGACATATGCCCACGAGCTGATCTTCAAGGATGGCCAGGTGATGGGCGGTAGCCTCCGGGCTCTGGTGGAGAAACTCACCGCTCACGGTTCGACTCCGGATGCCATGTTTGTGTCGACCTTTTACCTCACCTTCCGTCTCTTCGCCTCTCCCATTGAGTTCGCCGAGGCTCTCGTCGACCGCTTCAACTACATTGGCGACACTCCCCATGCCGCCTCGCCGGTCCGCCTTCGTGTGTACAATGTGCTCAAGGGCTGGCTCGAGTCTCACTGGCGCCACGACTGCGACAACATCGCGTTGGATTTCATCACTAATTTCTCCAACAATGCTCTCATGCAAAACCTGCCAGGCGCGGCGAAGCGTCTCCTCGAGTTGACCGACAAGGTCTCCAAGCTCCAAGGCCCGGTTGTGCCTCGCCTCGTGTCCTCGATGGGCAAGACAAACACTGCTACCGCGCAGTACGTGCACCCTGACACTCCTGTTCCCGCTCCTATCTTAGGTAAGAAGGAACTTGGTCTGCTTGGACGATGGAAGGACGGGAACGGAACCATCACAATCCTTGATTTCGACCCGATGGAACTCGCTCGTCAGTTCACGATCAAGGAGTCGCGCATCTTCTGCGCTATCTTGCCTGAGGAGCTGCTGGCCACGGAGTGGATGAAGAAGACTGGCTCGCTCGCTGTCAACGTCCGTGCCATGTCCACTCTTTCCACCGACCTTGCCCATCTCGTTGCGGACTCTATCCTGCAGCTTGAGGAGCCCAAGAAGCGCGCTGCGATCATCAAGCACTGGGTCAAGATTGCGAACAAGTGCCTGGAGCTCAACAACTACGATTCGCTCATGGCAATCATCTGCTCCCTCAACTCGTCGATGATCTCCCGTCTGCGGCGCACCTGGGAGATTGTCTCGCAAAAGACCAAGACCACTCTCGAATACCTTCGCGGCATCGTGGACGTTTCCCGAAACTATGCGGTGCTCCGTCAGCGCCTGCAAGGGCACGTTCCTCCCTGCCTTCCCTTTGTTGGGACCTACCTTACCGACCTCACATTTGTGGATCACGGCAACCAAGCTTTGCGGAGCCTGCCCACCGAAGACGGCGAAATGGCCGTAATCAACTTTGACAAGCATGTCAAGACCGCGCGCATCATCAGCGAACTGCAGCGTTTCCAGATTCCCTACCGCTTGACGGAGGTTCCGGAACTGCAAGCCTGGATGCAGAGCGAGCTGGTGCGGGTGCGATCGAACGGCGAGAAGAGCCTGCAGACGTTCTACCGCCGCTCCCTTGTTTTGGAGCCTCGCGAAACTGCCCAGCCGCGCAGCGCGATTCAACCGGAGTCGAGCTCCTCATCCTCGTCGCTCCTAGAGAACGCCAAAGACAAATTCGATTTCTTATCGTGGACCAACACCTCGAAGGCCAAGTCGGTCGCGACCAATGGTTGAGCCAATCTTTACCGCCCCCTCACATTTCTTTACGACTTTATGACCTTCTCTTCGATCTCTCATGTTTTAACGGCGCACTTTACCCGACTTTCTTGGACATTCTTAAGTCTGTCATTGTGGATACCTTTTTCCTCTTAACTGTTTTAACTGGCGGCTTTTGTGTTTGATTACCCTCACTGGCACACATTTTTTTTTTCTTGAACCTGTGTTCCTGTTTTGTGATTCGGACAGCGACTCGGCGGGGAAAACGGGGTTTGTTTGTGCTAAAAGTATGGGAACATACAGGTATAGAGCCTCGCGGCTCGGATATATAAAAGCGATCTCACGAGATGTATGGTGATGATCTTCTCTGTCGGTCCTGCTCTGGATTGTTTGGATTTTGTTTGGAACTGGATTTAATTGCGCTGGCATGGCTTGCTTGGATTGATTGGATTTGGACTGGATTGAATTGCACCGGGATACCTTGGGAGGAGTTTACTTGACAAGCTTAGGCCTGTATTATCGACTGTATATAGCATCCTAATGGATTCATCAAATAAGTATCTTGGTCAATTTCGTGTAGAATATGCTGATTACTATTCATTAACCCTGTGGTGAGAAAACATGTGAGAACTCCCGGCCCGCCGCGCAGAACCGCGGCCCTGGCGAGAACAGCCAAGATAACACAATTTTTTAATCCAAGTTATGCACTCCACCTCCCAATAGAAACCCCTCAACATGAGCAAAAACAAACACAAGACCCTTGCCAATCCCCCCACACGTGATTGATCATCATCAGACGGTGGCGCCGCGCGCCTCGTGTTGAAAATGGCTTTGTCTCTCTTCTTTCGGTTTCCCCTCTTGTGTCCCTCCCTCTTCCTTATCGATCGACCGGTCCATCGCAGAAGAGAAGCTTACCAGACGACGAGAACGACAGCCGACGCCATGAAGCCGCCTCGGCAACGGGTCGCCATTGTCGGCTCGGGCATGGCGGGCCTGGTCGCTGGGTATCTATTGGCGAATGATAAGGAGGGGAGGTTTGATGTTGAGGTTTTGGAGATGGTGCGTGTTCTCATTTTTCTCTTTAATGACACTTTTTGTTTCTCTTTCGACGAGTGCTGACGAGACCAGCAAGATCGCCTGAGCCTCGACTCGGCGAGTTACACGCTCCCGCGAGAGTTCTCGCGCAGTGGAACCGGAACCGGGACCAGGAACGAATCCAGGCACGGGGATGGCTCAACACAGAACTCTGCAAAACATCGAAACGCACCTGAAGAGATAGAAAAAGAGAGAGAAGAAGAAAGAGTCGACCTCCCCATGCGCGCCTTTGCCGCTGGGTACTACGACAACCTGCGCAAACTGTACAGCCACCTCGGCGTGCAATTCGACGAGCCGCGATTCGTCTATTCGCTCTCGACACTCGACTCGACCGACGACGACACAGCGACGAAGAAGCGCACGGCGACGAAAGGGGGAAACTACTTTATCCATTCATCGAACAACCACATCCTCCCGCCTATCCGACCCGCGGGGCTCTCGATCGCGAGATGGGTGGTCGAGGTCGCGTATTTACTATTTTGGTATACGTGGTTCACCCTCGCTGCTTTCTTCATCAGACCGAGGACGATAACGACCAAAACCACGACACGACAAAAGGACTTTTACTCCTCTGGGGGACTCACGACGACGACAACGCACTCGAGCGAAACGCTCCGCTCGTACCTCGCTCGCATCTTTCTTCCGAATTACTACACAACGCGCTACTTCCTCCCGCTAATGTCCAGCGTGACGACGTGCACCCACGACGAGCTCCTCGACTTCCCGGCAAGCGACATCGTCGCGTATGCGCGACGCACGTTCCGCCGCCCGCATTATACTGTCCGCGGCGGGGTCCGGCAGGCGGAGGGGAAGCTCTCTGCTGGCCTTAGGGTACGCTTCGGGGCGAGGGTCGTGAGCGTCACGAGCCTCGAAGATGGAAGGGTTAAGGTGCGGTGGAGGTCGACGTCAAAGAAGGTCCGGACCCACACTTCTTCAGCGCGAATGAACGGTGGGGCCTCAGCGTCAGCGTCAGCTGCAGAATATGACGTTGCGGAGAGGCGCGTGGGGGCCGAAGCGGAGGAGGTGGAGGAAGTACTAGAGGAAATCTACGACAAAGCGATCATCGCCGTGACGCCCGATGTTGTCGGTTCGATTTTCGAGCCCCTTGTGCGGGAGATGAAGGATATACCCACGACGTCGGTCCAGTCGGTTGTGCATCAGGACTTCGCGCGGATCGGGGATTGTAGTACGCAGTTGAGGCGGAATCCGCGGTTTGCGAGTCGGACGGCAAGATCGAGTTCGTCTTCGTCCTCGACTTCCGCTTCTGGTCCTGTCTCAGCAGCTATTCACATGTACACAAACCTCCGCACCGGGAAGACAGAATCCATCCACGAACACCTCAGCTCGATGCTCATCACGACATATCCAATCGACGAAGCCATCGACGAATCGAAGATCTTGCACCGCGCAACATTCACACGGGTTTTACGGAGTCCTCGAAGCCGGGAGATCGTGAATGGAATCTTCAGACCTCAAGTGAACTCCCGACGGCACATTGAGGAGTCTCGAAAAGGGTGGAAGAATGGCGACGGTAATGTCTACCTCGTTGGCGGGTGGTGCTGGGATGGTATGGTTATGCTGGAAGGGTGCATTGTTTCGGCCATTCGGGTTGCGGATGCGCTCGGGGTTGATGTGCCTTGGGCTCGGTAGAATGAGCGGTTGGTGGGATTTCGATTTGGAGAACATGGATCGTACATGATGGAATGAGTATATGAATGCACTGTATCTATTGCATGATAGACTAATGATGGATATTACGAAGCCGAGTAGGGCAGAGCCTCGGATTCCTGCCTTTGAGTGTGTGTACTATCCGCAGTCTCGTGCGGTAACCATGGTCGGCCAGACCCTGATCATACCTTGCGGGTGGACTCTACGGACGTGTGGATGATTCTCAAACAATGGACTTAGGAAAGAAACCTTGATAATTTAACTCCTTGACTCTAGTAGTGTAGAGAGATTTCGAAAACTTCAAGGATGAATGACGTCTAATTGGGCTTCTCCCGTAGAGACACAATGGCAGTAAGAGATGCTTGCTCGGAGGAGAGGAGGCCTTATGTTCTTCAGCAGACCTTTTGTTCCCTCCTATCAACAGTACGGAGTAGTGTGTAAGGCGATTCTCATAGATGAGTGTAGAAACAAAAGAAAGAAAGCCCCGTCTCTCCAGATGCTTCGTTCAACCACACAACGCCGGGGGAGAAACCCACTAAGGGGTGTACTCGCCTTCCCCCTGGTCTCCGAGGAGCCGGATCTTGGTGACGCCGATGCTGCGTTTGATATCATCAAAGAGGTCGCGGGTGCTAGTAAAATAGCCAACGTCTTGGGTATCTGACCCCCCGAAGAAAAGCCCGACCACTTTCTTGTCCTTGTTAAAGACTAGGGACCCAGAATCCCCGGGCCTGCAGACGAACTTTCCACTTCCCCTGCCATGAGTGAAAGTGTGTTCCCACGTTTCAAGGTAGACGGTCTGCCCATTGGACACTCTGCTAGCGATCTTGCAGGTATCTAGCCCACTGTACGGTGCGCATGACAGTCCGGACGCGCGAGCCAACTTAAAGAGCATCTCCGCAGGCTCGGCCGGGGTTGTTGTGAAGGCTATCAACCTTTCAAGAGGTGTTTGGGCGGACTTTTTCACCTAGAATGCCTCTTTTAGCTACAAAAGATCATTATATGGCGAGCTGGATCCTTACCATGTTCTTACCCGCCGAACGGTTGATGTTGGGCTCGACCAGAGCCCAATCCCTGATAGACAGCTTTGAGGGATCGTCGGTCGAATTCACCTCGCGGGCTCCGGACGCTGCTAGGACAGACCCGAGGATATGCCCCCTCCCCTGGAGGAATTGGGTCATCACGTTTTTATCTTCTGTATTTTCTCGGATGATGTTCGTCTGCATTCTCCAGTCTGACATGTCAGATGGGATCACGAATGGATCGGGCTGTGCCATTATGGCCTCGACTCTGAGCTAGGCGGAATCATTCCTGGCATCACGTATAACGTCATCGCGCATATCGATCCCCTCTGTGATCTCTCGAAATGCCGGGCAATCGACGCCAAGAAGGCGTGTGCGGCCCGGGTCCTTGGGGGAGACGCCCTTCCGGAGCCATTGCCGTATAACTGGACATGCATTAGCTCTGTGCCGACGCCATGGAAGGGCTGAATTACTTACAGGTTGCGTCCGCTGCTGCCACAGCTCCCTCCGAGGGTAGAATAACGTGACCGCAGGTCAGAGCGAAGGGTTTCCATGTCTTTGCAGGTTCGTGGTAGAGTTCTACCCAGCCTCCCAGGGTACCGCGTGACTCGTGTAGAGCAGATGCACAAATGCCCTCGCCCGCAGGAGGATCTGGCCGGCAATTGGCTGGGCCAGCCACCTCGCTCGTGAGCTCGTTTGCCGCCATAGCCCGGGACCTAGCATCCTTGCGGATGACGACCGCCCTGTTAACCAGGCCCCGAGAGTCAAGCACATGGACAACACCCTCCCTCGCCTGCCTCCAGTTGCGTGAGGAATGATGAGCTACCCCAATAAGGACCGTCGGGGGGCATCGCTCCGGGGAATCCTCTCGTCCGATGCGGAAGCATCCGACGGTGAGGATGTCCCTTCGGCCCATCCCCTTTTGGTGACGTCGGCTCCGCGGTTGGAGGTGATGAGCAGGGTCAAAGTGAGCCGCCTATTGGATCCAAACTCTGATCTACGCCCACAGAACAGCATGTCGAGCACGGATAGGCGGGCTTCCCGGCAGATGTCGCCAAGTCTCGTGCGCAGTTCGTACCCATCAGGGCCCCGCAATGCGTTGTAGTATTGATGCGAGGATGGAATCTCCCGTACAGTGATGCATGGCTCTTGGCCGAGCGCTGGGCCGCCAGCTCGAAGATCTTCCTCGATGATGCCGTATTGCCCAGGGGTCGGATTTTGGTCTAGTGAAGACCCATGGGAGCGTCGCGAACGGACTGAGGCCGGAGCTGGTCGTGCAAACCCCGAGAAGGCGGAAGAGGACATGGACAAGGTGGCTACAGAAGCAAATGCCAATTCGTTGTGCATAAAAGGGCTGGTAGAGGTTGAACTGCGAGGCGAAGACATGTTGAAACACGCTGTATAAGTTGATCGTCTGGAAGAGTAAATTTGATTGCGAGTACCTGGGATGATCTGTCAGCTGGACATGGGAATAGGGCTCGAATAAGAGGAGTGTGAGGCAGATAAGACGTACTTGAAAATTGATGAAAACTTGGTTGGAAGGAAAATGGGTCAAGAGACCTTGGAGGATGTCAATAGGAAAAGAGATATGTGGAATCTGGACTGGAGAGTCACTAGGTAGGGAAGAACAGGATATTTATCCCCATCAACCCTCAGGAATTCAAGCGTTTGTAGAAACTTCTGGTCATCGACATTACCCCGTGGTGGGCAACACGTTCAAACGGAGTGCTCAGCTACGTCGGAGAACTTCTGAACGTCGACAAATTAGATGATGCTTGAGGTGTCGGGAATTAAGGAGGCGATATGCAGTGAGAATATGTATGGGACAAGTATGGTTCTCTTCCAAGTAGGCAGGCAGATGGAGATATTTATGCAAGTTGGAGAGCAGAGGGAGTGAATTTGTCTGGCGAGGATCAAGAGAACTCTTGTGACCAAGTTGGCAGCAGTGAATCGAGTTCTACAAAGCACACATTAGTGAGTTAGGGGGTTTTTTTAATTTATTAAGTTTCTAGTATGGGGTCCATATCCTTCCTACCATAATGAACCAAGCAATCATAGCATTTCTGTGCTCTGTTAGACTTATCTGAACCATCCCGATGCCGTTACTCCAGTAGTTGATGTAAAGACGGCCAATGACACTGTCGTGGCCTCGTAGTGCTTGATCCAGGATTCCCCTCTCCAGTTTCTAGGGGGTTATGCTTTTCATTCAAAGACCCCATCAAGCCATGCATACCGTATCGATTGTGTCTGGATTAGGTTGCGTCGGACTTCTGCTGCAGGAGTTGTATTGTTCTGAACTTGCAGACTATATCACCTCGCAAAGCGTGGATAAACCTATGAATAAACATACGCCCCCTTGCTTGAATCGCGGGGCGGGTGGTCAGATCGGCTTGGCGGCCGCTACTCGTTTGCAAACCTCTGGGGAAAAACTTGCATCATTCACCATGACTAGATAGAGTTTGGATGGAAAAGTTCTGCGGTGGTGACTCATTTCCGAGTTTTCAGCAGGATAGAACCCCGTCTTCTCTGCTTCGTCCCCCTCGCTTCCAGACACTGCTAGACACACACGATCACAATGAATCCTCCTCTCCATCTACCCTCCGCGCCCCGAGAGGTCACCTACGCCTCATCCACCATGGCGACAACCGACAGTGACAATCTCGCCTCCGGCACTCGCATCCGCAAGCGGCGCTCCTACGGCAGCTCAAGCGACAGAGCCCCAACCCCGACTGAAGACGGGATCATCGAAATCGACTATCGGGCCGGCGGGCCTGTTCTCTGCGAGTCCCCGTGTATAAGCAACCACTCACAATATGCTCTACCCCCGCAGCATAAGTATTACAATCTGGTAGCCAACGAGAGACACAAAGTGGTGAGCCCGATTGTGCATCTGTGCAACGAGGAGGATATTCCCGGGCTGGTTGCGGTTCGTCTTGTGGGGAGACAGTCGGTGTATGCTCTGCAGGACGAGCCAGTCCCGACCCTGCTGATCTCCTTGGACCGCATCCAGAGCGACCGACACGAGCGGGACAGAGAGGTACAAGGGAAAGAAAGAAGGAGCTGGACTGATCTCGTGAGGATATTCCGTGCCTCGCTCCGCAAGTCCCTTGCATCACTCTGGCAGAGCGATCCTACTCGGAACCATCTCGATCTGGATGCGGACGACTTCTCAGTGGAGATTACCGACGTCAGATTTCACCAGCATGAAAGTATCCACCCGTGCTATCCAACGGATACCATATTCCCAGTATGGACGGACGTGGCCGAGGAGATCATGACACGGATCTCGGATCCAACGGGGATTTTTACGATTGGATGTTTCCGAGTGGGCGGGAAAATCTACACTCGCGATCCATACTGGGAATGGGCTGTAAAGGAGAGTCGCGAACGGTGCCCACCGACGGTTGTCATCGGTGTTGACCGGCTGGTGAAGAGGGACTGGGCCCAAGTTAGGGAGACGGTCATTGCGGTCCTGGATGCTCGGGGCCTTGACGAGGTCGCGGTGCTGATTCGAAAGGATGTAGACTCCAGGCCTGACAAGGTCGTGGGAGACGGTGATCCACAGGAACCCCTGGGTGTCCATAATTGCAGACCGGATCCTGATTTGGGGTATAGTATCAACAACTCGCGCGCTGCGGGGGATGTTGCGTTTGGAAGTTTGGGTGCTTGGGTCGAGGTAAAGGAGCTGACCACAGGGGATTGGGTTCCAATGGCTCTAACGAGCGCAAACTGCTGTCTTCCTCCCGAGGAGGGATTGTCCGCTGAGGACCTGCAAGGTATGATTTGTCCTATCCCACCTGCCCCCTCGTCCCTGTTTCTGATCTTCTGTTGTCTTGTGTATCAACTAACATACGGAAACCAGTACTTCTAAAACGGAAACGAGACGGCGTCAACTCTAACGACGTGCACAAACGACACCTTCTTGCAGTCGAGTCACCCAGCCGTAAAGACGTTGAAAAAGGGATCAAGTTTCTTACCGATGAAATCAACCAACCGAGCCGTGACCCTAGTGAAAGAAGCGCTCAAATGAAATGGAGAAAAGGCCGCGAGACCATGAAAGGATACCTCGATAACCACGGCCACCTCCTCGGTGAAGTCTTCGCTTCGTCCGGGTTGCGCGTTGCCCCGTCCACCGAGGACGCAAGCAAACTGTCTATTCGAGATTGGGCGCTCGTGCGGCCAAATGCAGATCATTCAATGGGCAAGAATGACGTAAGTACTCCCTTTTTGCTGTCATCTCTGGCGTCGCCTCCCCAATCAACTGACGCTGGCATAGATTGGAATCGTACAAACACCGGCCGGCAGAGAACTCCGCCGGCTCTCTCGCCATCTCCCCAATACGAATCAGTCTCTCCTGACAATCGGCCGAACCAATCCCATTGTCAGATGGAATTACGCCAATCTCAAAGTATACCACATCTCCAGATTCATGACTGATGGACAAAAACAGCCAATTCTAACCTGGGAGCATGCCATCGTTCGGAATGGCGATATTACCCCTCTTGGCGACGAACGGGACTCGGGGGCGCTTGTTCTTGACCAGATGGGCCGGGCCCTTGGAATGGTTTTTGGTGGTTCTATATCGGGGGACCTGGTATACTTTACCAGTGCCAGGGACTTGGTGGATGACATCAATAGGAGTACTACGGGGGTGAAGGCTGTGAGACTTCCTGGGGATGAGTTTTGGGAGTGGGAGTGACTTTTTGTGTTAAGTGAACATCTTTTTGGGGAGGGGGAGGGGGAGGGGGCTTCTCTTTGGTTACGTTCAGGGAGATAGGTATCTAGGTCAATAAACAATACGTTGGCCCCCATCGCCCAGCGTTGGCACATGTTATCATCCATCTGCAATCCAAGAACCTTCCGAACTTATCTCCCTATTTATGGACCCCAAATCATCTCTGTATCGGGCCAGGTTCTCACAAGAGGCCTAACGGCCCTAACTAGCCTCACTAGACCCTAAACGCATCACTTAAACGACATTTGCCCCATAATAGGCCTGCAGAGATCTTGGCGCTTCTAAGCCACGCTTAGCTTGTCTGAACCACGTTGGCTCGAGGACACGGACCCTATAAAATAAAGCTTAGGCCCCCCAGCTGAAACCTCGACTTATCCTGGTCCGCTGGGTTCGAGAATATCCTAAAGAATAGAGTCTGCACCTAACAGTGTGACTATTGCCATCGCTGTTGAGATAACTTCATCCTCCATATCTATCTACAACTCAAAGCCGCCCAACATGTCTCCGCTCTGGGACATGTTCCGCGTGACCGTCTTCGGCTCAGACAACGGCGCCTCACGCACCGACACACCGGCCTTCGACCCAGCCCACGACATCCCCTCCCTAGCAGGCAAAGCCATCCTCATCACCGGCGCCGCAGGTGACCTCGGTCGCCAAACAGCTATTGACCTCATCCGTCACGGGAAGCCGGAACTTGTCTACATCGCGGATCTCCCGCGCAGTGAGGATGAGAAACGGGCGGTGCTTGATGGTATCCATCACAAGGTCTATGGACATGAGCACTCCCGAGATCCCGCCGACGACGGGACGCGAGTTCGATATCTTGATTTGGACCTCGGCTCGTTTGAGAGTGTCAGACAGTGTGCAAGAGGTTTCCTCGATGAGAATCAGCGACTGGATGTGCTGATCTGCAATGCGGGGATCATCCGTATGACTCCCGGGACAACGGCGGACGGGTACGAGGCGCATTTTGGGATCAATTATCTCGGGCATGCGCTTCTGGTTAGGTTGCTTGCGCCGGTGCTCCTTAGGACGGCGGAGAGAGCACCCGAGGCTGGGCCTGCGGCTGATGTGCGGATCGTTCTTGTTTCGAGCGAGGGCCATGTTTTTGCGCCGGAGGGGGGTGTCGAGTTTGATGCCGTCAAGACGGATTGTGCCAAGATGGTATGTGCTTTCCCCAAAACTCATCCAAAAGCTGAGAAGAAGACGGACGATTCTAACCCTGTGCAGTCCTACTCAACCCGCTACGGCCAAAGCAAAGTCGCCCTCATCGGCCTGATGAAGAACCTCAGCCGCCAGTACCCCCAGATCAAATGCGTCGCCATCCACCCCGGGCGAATTCTGACGGGGATGGCAAGGTCTCTCCAGAAAGAAAGTCTGCTCGCATGGCTAACGAAACCGATTGCGCCGCTCTTCTGCGTGCCCGTCGCTACGGGTATCAGGAACCACCTTTGGGCTGCGACGAGCCCCGAGGTGGTGAGTGGGAGTTATTATGAGCCTGTTGGTGTACCGGGGACACTGTCGGCTGTTGCAAACGATGAGGCTTTCTATAAGCGGTTGCAGGACTGGACGGATGAGGCGTTGAAGGGGGTTGATGCCCCTATACAGATATCAAGCTCTTGAATGTGTCATACTCCGCGAGGAGTAGAGTCGCGCGGAGCAAGATGTTGTTGTTCTGAATACGTAGCATGTGATTGGGCCACTAGGGCTCCTTTTGTCGGACAGAGTCTTTATAGGCCAGAAATACCATGGCCATTTTTCGAGCGGGAATTAGCCTGAGGGGTTACTGTAACGGACGACAATGGCCCCATCTAGTTTTCACGACGGCGATATCAATCTGTGTCAGATGATACAAACCACCTGATCGGACTTATCCTTGAGTCCAGCAAGTACATATTGTAGCCGATGGTGCCGCTGCACTCAGCCACCCCATGCTCAACCTGCGCCTGTGGCGAGCTGCGCTCCTACCTTGAGAGACAAGCAAAAAAAGCAAATATGGAGAAGAAGATAACCACACAAGTGATTACGATCTCCTTCCTTCGGATGATGGCTCGGACTTGGGACAGTGGAGACATCGTGAAGATGCTTGTGTTCTTGTAGAAGGAGCAACTACCAGAGCGAAGCTATCAAGGAAGCAGGCACGTGCGTTGGAGCCTCAGGCCGCTCTACATAAAACTTGAACTGGGCGAGTTGAGCTGCAACAGAATTTGAGCAAACTAATTGGAATGCCTTCTCTGCGATGACAATGACAACAGAGGTTGATTCGCCGCTAGACCGGGTTAACAAAAGACAATGAATATATCGAAGGCTAACGATCTATTTAATGAGGTTTTTTGGCAGAGCCGCAAGCTCACCGACTAGTTACATAAATTGAATTCTACTATATCTGTCCTAACGACAAGTAATCTGGTACATACGACCACAGGGTGTGGAGAACAGGGCTTCCCGTCCGCTCAGCCGTACTTAAGCCACACGCCGGTAGGTTAGTAGTATGGTGGGTGACCACATGCGAATCCCTACTGTTGTATGTTTTTGTCCTTTTTTTCGCGATTAATGTGCGGAGTCGGCAGCTCCGATCTGGGTTTCCCCGTTTCGCTTGCTACGTAGTAATACGCATTTCGACGGGGAGTAAAGTCATGTGACTGCTGAGTGTACCCCACAACAACCCCGTGTTACTCCACGGCCTCAATCTTCCTTTCGCTTCAACACAGCAGGTCGATTCATCCAAATATCACCACCATCCCTTATCTCATGCATCCATAATACCAACTTGATCCCTGCCCCTTTAGCTTGATCGGCACATACTCGACCGTCTCTCTCCATCGCTGTCCGTCTGGCCGGGGTTATCATTCTCGGCCAGTCAACCATAAAATGCGGCTGCCCATCAAGCGATCCAGCGTCGGTAGTTACTAGTACAACTGTCCGGTCTGCTGAAAATGGATTCTGAGTCCGCTCAAACTCGGGCTCGTACCCGCCAGCCAGGAGCAAAGTGCGCCAGCAGGGCTTGCGACCAGTGCAGGCTGCGCAAGACGAGGGTAATTGCACTTGTTGTATCTATTTAATTTACCCTTCTGGCTCTTAATAATCAAATATGTATAGTGCAGCCTCTCGCGGCCATGTGCAGAGTGCATACACACCGGACTTGAGTGTACGTTTCTTCAGCCACAGAAGAAGAGAGGGCCGCCCTCGCGGTAAGTTGAGTCCAGTGGCACATTGCTCCAAGCGAGTCTCTAGTATCATGGACTGATGAATACGTCCAAGACGTGTGGCGCAAATTCGCCAGCAGCAGCAGGAAGGCCAGGTCGCAATGTCCCCCAGCCGCAGTACTTCCGCGCTCTCCGGCATTGCTCCGCCGCTCTCTCTTTTGCCTAACCTTGAGCCACCTCCAGTTATGGGTTCTGGTACCTCACATGAAACGCAGATGCAAGTTCCCATAGCACATGTCCACCAGAATCAAGACTACAATAGTAGCCTGGTCGGTGACTCGACAACATCTACCTGGAACGACGCTCCTGATCTGGAGTACTGGCTCCCGGACAGCTTCAATACCCAAGGGTCTCCGTCGTTTGGCTTCCCAGGGAGCAGTATCTTTGTCAAGCAGACACTCCCCCCTATCATCGATGAAAACGTCAACCTCCCTCTGGGCAACACTCCCTCTTTTTTGCCAAGAACTACTCTAACCCCCGACTTGCAGCCAGAGAACCTCAATGGCGTGCCGCCGCACGGCGACCATGTCAATAATACATTCCAAAACCAAGAGTTTTGGCCTCCATACATCAATGAAACGAGCCTCATCCCTTGGTTAGACGTCTACTTTGACCGACTACACGCAACTCTCCCCGTTTTGAACAGATCGTCTCTCTTCACGAAGCTTGTCCTCCACGAACATCGACGCAACCCGCAATTTGGGGCAATGCTACTATCACTGTGCGCCTTTTCTCTCACTCAACCCATCGATATCAGCGAGCGGCCCACCTCTTCCTCACGCTCAGACCAGGCAAAGATCCTCGTGCAAGAAGCAACGAGGATGCGCTCCTCGTCTGCTGATTTCGGCGAAAATCCAACGATAGACGCTGTTTTGACGAGTTTCTTCCTATTCGGGTATCTCTTTGGAAGCGGTCAGCACAACGCAGCAAGACTGCGCTTGAGAGAGGCAGTAGATCTAGCGTCGACTCTGGGGTTGAATAATCCAGCGAGCTACGCTGATTGCTCCTCGGCTGAGGTCAAGGGGCAGTGGTTACGGACATACTTGGTTTTAACCGTGACAGAGAGGGCATATGCCCTCCAGCGCCAACATCCTTTAACATTTACCGGCCCCCGCCCGCACGAAATTATCCGCAGTGCAGCTGACGAAATTATTAGCTGTACGACGCAGCGCCTCGATGTCTCAGGGATAATTGTGCATACTGAGAAAGAGGCCGCGGGGATGCTGGGCCTTTCGTTGCTGATGGAGATATTCGATGCCATTGACGAGGAGATCCTCATCTGCTGGAACGCACGCTGTAGTGCTTCCAGAAAACATGGAGATGGGAAATGCCAGATTCTCACGGAAGCAAAAGTGTTGAGTATATACCGCAATCTATCGAGAGTCGGTAGTGGGGCAGGACGATATGGGAGCAACAACAAAAAGAACGATGATTATTTTGAGTTAGATGGTGGTGAGACGGGTGGCAATGATGGCGGGAGAAGAAGAACAACACCACCACCCACATCTACGTCGCCAGAGCTCAACTCGGTCGAAACATTCCGCACATTTCTCTCTGAGACGCAATGTGCTGACATCCTGCTCACACGGAAATGGGTGCAGGACCGGGTATGGAACCTCTGTTTTACGCATGGACTGCTACGGCTTGGTCTTGAAACCGAGCATACTGAGCTCAGACTTACCTATGCAATGGATAATGCTGCGCGGGCGATGGAACTGTGTCGGGTGCTGCGGATAAGTGCCATCGAGGCGCATGGGGTTGGGATTGTAAGTTTTCTCCCTGTCACTACTCGGTCGTCGTTTCAAGCGCCTGTGACCTACTAATCTACATGGAGTGTTCAGGACATGGTTGTTGACTGACGGACTGAACAGATCGAAAAGCTATACAACATCGCAACCAGCGCACTTCTTCTGGCGAATACTGGAACTGCAACTCAAACTGATACAGGGAGCGAAGAAACGTCACTACAAATGCTCGCAAAGAATTACCTGAAACTCATGCAGACACTGCGCGGTGGGAACCATCCCTACCTTACGCGGTATAAAGCTCATCTTACAACTCTTAACTGGGCATAGATTATGTACAATACAACACAATTCATGTTCAGACCACAGACTCGTTCTTCCCCTTCGCACCAGGCTTCGCCGCAGTGGACGTCTGATAATCGCGCCACTTCCACATGGGAATCTTCGCATCGTACATCTCGTCAATCTCCGCGAACGTCCGGCCCTTGGTCTCGGGCATGCAAAAGTAAACGAAGACCAAGACGCAGACCATGCACCCGGCGAAAACGAGATACGTCTTCGCGCCTAGGTTAGCTGCGTCGGCCGATGTCAACTGGGGCACGGCGAAAGTCGTAATGACAGCACTTGTTTGCGCACAGGCGATCGTATAGGCCATGGTATGGTTCCGGAGCTTCGGCGTTGCGATTTCCGAGGGCATCAGTGCTGAGAGCGAGTAGAATCCTGCGCCCCAGAAGAAGTTGAAAATGAATCCGAGAGCGGCAATACCCATGACAAAGTCTTTGTTCGAGGTCTTGAAGGCCAGACCACCGGCGGCTATGTCGATGAGGAGGAGGATGGTCATACCCACAAAGGCTGTTGGACGTCTACCTACGCGGTCGATAACGAAGGGAGCTACAATTGTTCCAGCGAGCGTGCAGCAGGAAGCGATGACGGTGAAGGTAAAGGCGTCGCCGACGCCGAGTTGCGTGAGGAAGACGGTCGTGTATGTTGTTGAAAGGATGATACCCGAGATCTGGTTCAACGAGTAAAAGGCGCCTCCAGTCAGCGTACGCTTCAGGTTCTGGCGGTCGAAGATCTCATAAAAGCGAACGTTTGCTGTGAGAGCACGCTCATTCTCCTCGCATTGCTGCATGACTCGGAGCTCGTCGGCGACCTGGATGTCGCTATAGCCGCGCAGCTTGCGGAGATTGCAATGCGCCTCCTCGATCCGACCTTTGCTAACTAGCCATTGAGGACTTTCAGGGAGTGGGATGGTAGCGACGAGGATCAGTGCCGGCAAGGCGCACTGGACAGCCAGAGGGATCTGGTATTCCAGCTTGCCCTGTATATCTTTGGTCTCGTTCACGATGATGGTTGAGATGACACCAGCCAGGAGGGAAAGGATGTTGATGGAAGTCACGCTTCTGCCTCGCATTGATGGAGGCACAACCTCGGACAGATACAGGGGCGCAGTTGCGTTGGCGACACCAATCGCAATGGCGTTCAAGAATCGACCAATGACAAACTCGGCGATGTTCCGGGCGAACAGTTGCAGGAATCCACCTCCGATAGAAAAGAAATATGCGCCGATGAGAGGCCACTTCCGACCGAAATTGTTGTTCAAGGGTGAGGCAAGAACACCACCCACGATTGAGCCGACGAGAGGAACGGAGAAGATGAGGTTTTGGTTACGTGCTGTAAAGACCAATGTACCGTCGACGGGGTTAGGGCCTTGGAAATCGCGGACCTGTCTAATTGTTAGTGACAGAGTCTCGTGGAATGGAGGTGGTGTGGTCTCACAAACTCGGGCAATGCTGCCAGAGGGGAGATGATCTTGTCGTCGAACCCAAAAACAAAGGATGCAGATCCGAAAGCAACGCATGCGAGGATCAGGAGTGTGTTGATCGCGCCTTGACTAGACACAGTCGTCTCCAAACTGGTATCCTGAACGCCATCGACGTGCTCGATCTGCGCAGGCTTTTCAGCAGAGGTTTCAGGCTTTGAACAAGACATGATTAGAGAAAAGAGAGCTAATCTGGGGGAGGAGAAAGCATGGCTTCCATGCCCGCTTTTATAATCGTGAGGTGAGGTGATTTTTCCGGGGTAAAGACGGCTCTGCCCACGCGGGCTTTTCGCCGGTATTTCTCCCATATTTCTCCGCGACGAGTTTCTCCCGGGTTCCGCCGAGATGCGACCGACAAAGCGCGACTATGACGAGGTTGGGGTCCCCGTCAATTAGTTTGATCAGCCAATTTTCTTTTCCGACTTTACAACAATCTAGCCATGTCGGCACCTGAAACAGAACGCAATGCCTCAAACACGCCCGAGTTCACGCGATGGCGACCCTCTTTCCACCTGATTGCTCCCCACAACTGGCTCAACGACCCGTGCGGGCCTGGCTACGACCCCTCAACAAACAAGTACCACGTCGCATACCAATGGAACCCAACGGGTAACGACTGGGGTGATATATCCTGGGGCCGCGCAGCATCTTCAGATCTTGTCTCTTGGGAAGTAGACGCAGAACCGTGTCTAGCCCCCGCTGCGCCGTACGATGACAAGGGGATATTCACCGGATGCTTTCAGCCCATGAACCTGCGCGGCGAAAAGGATGGTACTTTGTTATACTTCTATACGTCGGTGAATAAGCTCCCGATCCATTACACACTTCCCTACACGCCTGGTTGCGAGACGCTGAGTATCGCGCTTTCGAACGATCAAGGACGCACGTGGGAGCGGTATGCGCAGAACCCGATTCTCAACGGGCCACCGCTCACTACAGCGACGGCCTGGCGGGACCCGTATGTATTCGAGTGGCCGTCGGCGCCCGAGCGGGTGCGGCGGTTACTTGGTGAGGGGCACGAGAATGATGATGTTCTCTACGCACTCATCTGCGGTGGCATACGGGACATGACGCCGACCACCTTTCTGTATGCGATACAGCGGAATGCGCTGGATAAATGGGTGTACCTTGGAGACTTGGTTGATCTCGTGCTGAACTTCGTCCCCTCTCGCTGGTCCGGAGACTTTGGCGTCAACTGGGAAGTGACCAATTTAGTGACACTGACCGACGACGACGGCGTTTCGCGCGACTTTCTCATCATGGGGACAGAGGGCTGCACGCCGCCTTCTTCTTTTCCCTCCTCGCCCGCCTCCTCTCAGCGCGCATACGACAATCAAGCCCCGGCGCGCGATCGCCGAATCCAGAGATCGCAATTGTGGATGTGCATAAATGAGAACACGCGCTCATCATCTTCCTCGCCGATGCAATATGCCTACGGCGGGATCTTCGACAACGGCCTCTTCTATGCGGCAAACTCATTCTGGGATCCTGTTGCCGAGCAGCAGGTTGTCTTTGGCTGGATTACCGAAGAGGACTTGCCAGATGAGGTGCGCGGGGAACAGGGATGGAGTGGATTGATTTCGTTGCCGAGGGTGCCCAAATTACAGACCATCAAGAGAGTGAAGCGTGCGCGGATGACGGCCAATTTGAGTGATATTACCTCTATTGAGGCTGTTGCGGATGGTTCGGGGACGCATACAGTTCGCACACTGGGGGTGGCGCTGGATAAGCGAGTGGAGAAATTGCGAACGGGGGCCAGAGAGACGAGGATTGGGGATGTGGTCCTAGGACCGGAGGCTAAACATTCGGACGAAGCATTCATGCCTCTCGACACGACGAAGTGGGAAGTCGACGCTGAGATTGCTGTTGGCAAGGATTGCAAGCGCGTTGGCGTGATCATATACCATGCCGAGAGTAAGAGACCCGCGCCCAAATCTCACATTACGCGTGAGACTGACAGCCTATCCTTATTCTAGATCGAAACCAGAAAACCGTCGTCTTCTGGGACCCTGTCTGCGAAACATTCCAAGTCGACCGACCAGACCTCAGCAACACAGCCCTCGGCAGCCGGAACATTAACCACGCACCCGAAATCACTCCTCACACTCTATTCACGACCGTCAGCGCAGCGTCACAGCCCGAGAAGCCGACGACGCTGGCGAAGCTCTTCAGCCTCTTTTCAAAAGCCTCAGAAAGGGAGACGGAAGAACCCCTCCATATCCGCGCCCTGTTTGACACAAGTGTCCTTGAGATCTTCGTCAACGAGCGGTCGGCGCTTACGACACGGATATACCAGGCTGCTGATGAGGATGGTGGAACTCCTGCTTGTGTTGGGTTGCAGTTCTTTGCGGACGAGGTAGATAGTACTAGTGATACTGCGTCGTCGAGGCTTCTTCGTGCTACGGTCTGGGACGGGCTGGCTTGTCCTTGAATGTACTCTGATGAAAATAGATGAATAGAGGTAATAGAAGATTAAGAAGTTCAGGCTCGTAGTAGGGTGTTTCTATGTATCTTAGTAGATCCCAGCACGTTGTTTCTTCCTTTATTTTCTAGTTACATGTCTTAGCTGATAGCATTCAAGGCTGCCGTCAAAAAGGTATGTAGTATACAATAGGTTCACGAGCACCACGAGGAGTTTGCTGCAACATGGCACTGGACCGGACCCAAGGTTGGCACTTATACCACTGAGAAAGCTACCGAGGTCCAACTCCAGCCAGCTCGCCAAAAGCCCTCCCGCTATGTCTATGGAAACGGAGCAATCTCATCGCCCATGTGCAGATAGTAATCATCCGGCCACTCGCAAATCAACATATACGCCGCATACTTGCCCTCCCCACACGCCGCAACCGTATCAGGGCCCTTGATGCATATCGCGTCCTTCCAGTGCTTGCACGATAACGTGCCCACAGACCGGGTCCCCTTAGTCACGTTGATATCGGCAGTATACGCGCACGTATCCCCAAATACCTCAATTCCCTGTAGACTGTCCGGGAAGGCGGGATTCGTAACATGGCCCTCGACAGTAGTCTTCTGTCGCCAGTCTGGCGTCACGCCGCGCGCGCGACAGGTCCCTGTGCCGTGGCAGTTGCGGCCGCGCCATTCGGAGGAGAAGGCTCCCGAGCCGCGGTCGTGCGAGAAAACGAAAAGGTGGTATCTGGCGGGGGCGCCGTTGCAGTTGGGTGCGGGGACGTTGGGGTCGCTGTTTGCGGGGGGAGTACATTCCGCCCTGGGGAGGATTGGGATTGTCGCGGTGTCCGTGTAGCTGGAGTCATTTATTGTTGTCGTGACCTGGTTATCTTCGACCTAGAATCGTTATTCCACTGGCCGAGTTATAATGTCTACTTTCCGGGTTCGTAATTACCAGAGAATGCGCAAACACCGCTTCTCCATGGCTTGTACCAGCCAGAAGCAGGGTTAGCAGTAGGGCAGACCACATCATGACTCGCCCCTGACAAACATAGAAAACTGCAGGGCTGACGCACCTGTATTTCTAAGATTCTAGCCAAACAACCCTTGCCAACTGGACACCCACCAGCATATATTCGAGCCCCTCACCTCTCCTCGGATATAGTCGGAAGGGGCTATCAAGACACTCCACCAGTGCTTCTTTTGGGCCCGTCCGGCGTTTAGTCCCTACGTAGCTATTGATGCTAGCGATAGTGTGTGTACAATGCGAAGGCATCCATCCTGACATGATTCAGGATTACTGTGTCAAAACCGCAACCCCTTAGACCAAAAACATACATTTAGTTGAGCGGATCATTACCTTGACTAGTTAGGGCTTTGTAGACGAGCTGCACTAATCTTCGCTATCCGTGAAATAAAGTGGCAAGACCCTTTGGTTCGCATGCTTCAAAATCTGGTCCTGCGAATAGGGATTCGAATTGGACACTTCAGCCCCGCTGGATCTTGGCGACTCGGTCTCGCTCCTGAAGTCGGAATACTCCGTCGCCTCGACCAAAATATAGAACCCTTGTGGGTCGGTTTTTTTGGCACTAAAGCACAAATGCTTGTGTACTGCGAACCGCACAGCCAAGTGGCCTTGGAAGCTTGAGCGCCTTACAAGCCATGGTCTACAAACCTTGATCTACAGGATCTGACTTTGGCATTATTATCTCCGAATGGCTGGTCGTCCCTATGGCTTCAGAGGGCTTCTCTGACCGAATTGCCGATTCCAGACGGCCTTGGTCCCAACTTCTAGGGCTCAACGCTAGGGACAGCGCTAGCAGTAGATATCTTAATCCGGTAATACTACGTGGAGCCGGAGTAATTGAATTGTACAAAATATCCCTTTAGCGAGGTTTTACACGGAAGTTCTTCGGGCCAAATTTCAATACTACTACTAGTACATTCATTCTTTAAGCGAGCCCTCAAGGCTCATTGGAAATGGACAAGGAAACCTTGCCTTCGCGAGTCGTGACTCATAAGCCGCCACATCACCTGGCAAGGGGGAATTCCTTCCCTTTCTTGTCTCTGCCTCTAATTAAATACTATCCATCTAGGGTTGGTTTTGAGTTTCCAGTTTGTTGTTGTCTGGAAACCCCCAAGTACTCCTACGTACATGGTGGAGTCGAGAGTAAGTGGCCCTAACGGCCTTCTCATAAAAGATCAAGGCACATACACCAAACAGCGCTGGTTATGCACTGTATGAAATCAAAAGGGCTCAGCCTGTCGACCTCTAAATGTGCGGTGAGGTGGTTGGGCAAGATGCCTGATCTATGTCATGTTACTTATCATAGGGTAAAGCCGACCTATTCGGAACAATAAGAAGAATTGGTCCAGTATTGCGGGGATCACCAATCACCGCGGTGATTCAGCTGACGAAACACTAATGAATAGAGGTGTTGGCCGATATGGGGTTAGAGAAGATGAGCATACTGAGGACAGACTCCAAATCACTTGTAAGGAGGGTTAAACTACCACGACATCAGCAGCTTACCATAGGGGTCGGTTGGCTAAGATATCATTAGTTTGCCATCTACTGTATGAAGGCGTGACTATTAATCTAAACTCTATGCCATTAATTATTATTCATTTTCCCCCTCGGGCATTTTCTGCAGGTATGAAGTCAGGAGCGCGCGCATTCGCTCTGACTCTGCCGCCTCTCGAGCAGTCTCAATCTCTCGTTTCGATCGAATGAATGGCAAGAGGACTTTCACCACATCTTCATGTAGTAATTGGCCCTGTTTAGCGACATGGGTCAAAGCAGAGTACCCCTTCTTGTCCGTCCGGCTGCTATCCACATGCGCCTCCTCCAAGAGAACCCTGACAACACCCGCATCGCCAGCCCGCGCTGCAAGAATCAGCGGCGTGCAGCCGTCCTTATCTGCTGCTTCCGGGTTCACCCTGTCGCCCTGCGCCAAGAGGAGGCGGACTACAGCCTTGTGCCCTGTGAGCGCCGCATTGGCAAACGGGGTGCGCCCATCCATGTCCGGCCGGTCAATCTCGACGCCCGGTTGAGACATCAGTAATCGCATCGTGCCCACGTGCCCGCCGTGCGCTGCGGCATCGAGCGCAGTTGCGCCCACCAGTACCGCCACTTGCCCGGTGAGTGCCCCCATCAGTTGGTCGTCGATATCGTTCATATTGGTGTTCGGCTCGCCAAGGACTCCCAAGAAACTCATCATTCGGAGGTGCAGCTGGCTTGTGACTAGATCAACGGCCGCGCCGTGGTCAATCAGCAGCTGGACGATGGACTCGTGCCCGCGGATTGCTGCCCACATGATCGGGGTTGAGTCGTCGGCCCCGCGCAGGTTAACGTCAGCCTTGCCCCAGGAGAGGACTTGGCGCACGATTTGTTCGTTGCCGCCGACGGCCGCGTGTTTCAGGAGGCCGTGGCCGCTGCTGTCTTTGAGGTGCTTCTTGATCTCTGGGTGTCCTAGGAGGTGGTCGAAAATTCCTTTGTCGCCTTTTGAGGCTGCAGTCATTAGATACGTCATCCCGTATTCCTCTGTATTCCGACGGTTGATATCGAGCTCGCCCCTCCACATCAGCCTCTCGACAACGTCGTAATACCCCCTCTGCACGGCAATGCACATTGGTGTTCGTGCGCGGTAATCATCTGCATCGACGTCAACCATAGAGTGCTGCATCGTGAGGTATTCTTCGTCCGACATCCTCGATGCCTTCTCTTCCGCGCGCTTATAGTCCAACTCTAACAGCCTATTCAAAGCATCGACATGCCCCCCGCTCGCAGCGAGGAATAGCGGCGTCTGTGCGTTCTTGTTCCGCTCGTCCGGCTCGAAATCCGCGTCCAGGAAAAACTGCACCGCCTCGGCGTGTCCGTACTGCGCCGCGAAATGTAACCCCGTGTTCCCCGTGTGCAGGCAATCGATCTTGATATCAGGGTCTTCGCCAAAGGTATGCTCGCTGATAAGCCGAATTGCATCGAGACTCCCGCCCATCGCGGCGCCGTGCAATGGCAGCCCGAGCCACCCGTCTTCTTCTTCGTAGTCGGCGTGCGCGCCCTTGTCGATTAGGGTCTTCATGTCGTCGACCCGGCAGAGTATCGCCGCCGCAGTCAGCGCCATGGTCAATGGATCGGTCCATGCGTAGTCGGTCTCGTCGTCATCCTCGTCCATCTGCTCACCAACCTCCTTTGCCTTCTCACCACCCTCCTCGCCCTCCTCCCCATCCACCTCCGGTTCCTTCCCAACTACCCCCTGAAGCAGCGCCTTGGTAACCCCCTCAAACCCAATCACAGCAGCCGCCATGACCTCCGTATACGTATCGCGGAGCCTTCTCCCACTCTCACCATCACCACCATCCTTCAACGCCTCAACAGCCGCATCCACAACCTTGGCAATCCCCTCTGCAAACTCCTTCGCCCGCTCCCTGTTAACCTGCGCCCCACTCCGACTCCGCTGCAGATGCCTCGTCAGCAGCCGCTGACAGAAGCGCAGTGCCGGGGGGGTGGGCGGGTCACTCTGTCGCAGACACGCGGAGTTGAAGTCGTCGACGAGAACACAGGGGTCCAGGAAGTAGTCCAGCACGATGTCGTTGAAGTCCTCTATATACTACTATCAATTTCTGGACAGGGGTGCACTGGACTGGACTGGACTGGACTGGACGGACCGGGCTAATACATACTGCACACTAGCCGCAGGGCGAGAAAGGCCTTGACGTCGTCGACGGGCCGTGTTACCAGGGGCCAGTACTTGCCCCACCCGTCTGACGGAGCTGATTGGGATACGATGTGGCGGATGAGCTCTGCTGGGAAGGTTGAGAGCGCCATCCTTTCCGGTAGTATGATGTTGTGTTAAAAAAAAATGGTTGGTGATCAAGTGTTGTTGCGTTTTTGCAAAATATTTTGAAGACAGAAAAACTCAGTCACGTGTCACACGTGATCATTTATGTTTCCTTCCAGACCGCCAATAGGAGCTGGTTTCAGCAGCTAAGACTAGCCTAGCTAGGCTAGGGGGCAGGACACACGTGGTATACGAGTGGGTCTCAAAGAATGAATGACTAAGCTTTTTCTTTGCAAGTTTTGCAAAGAAAATAGTGGAGTTTACTGGGCCACAATTATGGCTGTACATGACAGGGTTGAGACTCTGACGGCATTACCTTGCAGTACACACATGGGTATCATCTAGGTGTCATGGTACTTTTTTCAGTAACTGGAAAAGTGCAACAACCCTTTTTTATGGCTTGCGCTTAGATAAGGGCAGGGAAGAATCCATGTTGATATATATATTCTGCCTACTACTCTCATAATACCACCGTAACACCCGCTGGGTAGCTGTTGGGCCAAGGCAAGAAACCTGAAGCCGAGGGGATTTGTACAGCAAATTCGCTATTCTACAACACTAGCACCGGGTGAAACGTTCTCAGCGGCATCAACCACTCCGCGTACCACGTCGGCCGGGTTCTCGGCTATGAGAGTTCACACTCATTCTGCAGCCCAATCGGGGTGAAGGCGTTCTAGAATGGGAGGGCGTATGTGTAGCCATATAGCTTGACAATAGTCCGCGTTTCCAGTTATTCACGTCAGAATACATAGCCTTCAGCCACGCATCGCTAATCCTAAGCAACATCATTACCTGACTCCTAGAGATATGGTTGTCGAGACACACGTAGATGCCTTGATGGGCGTATTCGTCGGCAACGAGGTCGAAGACGGCCACCAGTTTTGATGGCTGTCCCGTGTGGAACTCATACACTTTAGCAGCGTGTTAAAACTGTCTCTTGGCCTTGGCCGCACTCCCTGCTAATGAGAGCAACGACAGGACAACTTGGAAGACGTACGATATTGCCAGGGAGGCGTGGAGGGCCTCTAGTTCCAGTCCAACAACTTCCCCAGGGACTCGATCTTCATGGAACTTCTCCGTCGACAAGCAACATCTTTTTTACTCCAACAATGTGGGTGCGGCGATGGGTTAATAAAGTCACTCCTTCGAACTCTCTGAGATCCTTTTATAGTATCTCTGCAACAGCCCATGAGCCAACCGAGGACGATACTTTGCAGACGACTCATTTTATAAGCAAGCGGAATACGGACTCGCATAGTAAGTGAAACCTCACCGAGAGTTTGGTTGTTAGCACTTAAGTACTACCCAGAGAGCTTCAGAAATGACTGGTTGGCGTGCCTGGATCTCGGGATGCTAATCCCTGTCGAACAGTGGCCCCGTTGTCGCTAGGTGCAGGAACTTATACCAACGGAGGATTAGGCCAACCGATTGCGATTAAAACCAGAGGGAATCTCCGCACAACGATGGAGTTGCCTTTCCCCCCAATCTGTCTCCTTTTTCATTTCGCCGAAGTCGAGCCGTTCTCCCAATCCTCTCCCAATGGCACCGACGACGTCAAGCGCGCGTCAAAAACACGCGAGACAACAAACCTCGTTGCGGAGGCTTGTAAAGCAGCATAAGATCCATTTCTATTCGATCGGTGACCATCTCCCCGCAAGCCTAGAGCGCGAGGAAGCTGCGGTCCAGGCGATCGGGAATGCGACATATCAGGCGAATCTGGAACGCAGCTCCCAGGTTACGCAGGAACGAGGCGAGGAAATGTGGGAAGCCGTCAGGTGGTGCCTGAAAAATGAGAATAACGAAGAAAATTGGCGCCATGAGGTCGAAACGAACATCTTGAACCGCCTCACGAAGTACCATGCCTGGTACGGTTGACCCCGGGGGTTGATTCTCCATTCCTAATTCGCAATGACCTGTGTATCCTTCCAGTATACTTACCCCCGTGCAGCGTCAAATGTGGCAAGCGATTATGGCGAGCGGATTTTGAATTTCCCATCGGCGATGAGCAGGGGGCTAGGTGGGAGAATCTTCGCAGACGACGAGACAGGCGTGACAAATGCGCCTGCAAGAGCCGCATCATGGGGTGAGTTATGGAACCCTGCCTGAGACTTCTCGCTCAATCCTGTCGCGTCTTCTAGAGATCGCCGACCGAAAGACCGTGTTTTCCAGAGTCTGCGTGGCGATGAGGTTCGGTACGGGCCTGACCTCCGAGATCGAATCCCGGGGGGAATCCGTCCTGATCTGGTTGTGGGTTTGTTCAATGGCCCGAAATCGACCACGCTCCTCGACGCACCATCCAGAGCCGACCCGGCAAAGCGTGTCGGGGATCTTGTAAAGTCCGACATCTTCGCCAAGGAGGACCCCGATGTCCAGGACGATAGTGCAATGATATTCCCCTTTCTTATTCTTGAAGCAAAACGAGCAAGGGCGCCGGATAGCCTCGAGGACATCGAACGGCAGATGGCATTTCCGGCTTATGAGATGTTGCGGGCACAGAACCGGCTCCTCGAGAACGCTGCGGGGTCAGAGGGGAGCGATAGACTACCACGCGTATGGCTTGTCAGTTTCAAGGCCCAGATTTGGAGGCTATACGTTGCGACTATGGAGCAGGATGAAAAGGAGGAGTATAACTACGTAAGTGGCCTATCACTCGCACCAAGGGCCATGACCCGGTCGTTCTGGGAACGTGCTGAAACTGGTAGAATATTTACAATGTATGGGGCGGCGATGTGTCTGGAAGGTCGGATGCCTTGAAACTGGTATTGCTGCTGGACTGTGTCTTTGATTGGGCGTTGGATATATACCGACTCGATATCTTCGAGTCGCTGCAATCGATGGTGGCACCCAACCCCAGAATCACTGCTCGCAATGTGGCACCCACCGTCTCCGACTTGTCTGAGTCACTTGAAGGACTGGTTATAATGGATCCTGTTGACCTCAGGGTCGAAAACCTAAACACCATCCAGGAAGACACCTCGGAGGACGTCCTCAAATACAAGCATGGCTGGATTCGCGACGGAAGGCAGGTCTTGACTCCGGGAGAAGGGCTTCTAATCACCCAAGCCAACATAGCGGACATTTTTGACAATTTCGAGCATCCGGACCATGCAAAACGATTTGCGCGGATGATTTGGGCCTTGCTTAGCAAAGAGGCGTGGCTGTTTTCGAGTGAATTGATATTGGACAAAGTCAGAGAAGTATGGACAGGCCAAAAAGAGCACAGGCAACAAGTCCCTGATGTACCGATATACGTACAATTGGAGGTGTACGTCTATTTTGACACGAGCTGGCAGCTAACGAGAAAGTTGATTTTCGTGGCCGTTACCAAGGATAGCATCCCGGAGCTCTTCAAGCGCACACAGTATCCGAAGCGCCGGTCCGGTGAAATTGACATCGCCCGACACCAGATCCATGAGGAGAAGTTTACAGCTGAGCTCCGAGACCGTCGCAAGCCCAGGGTACCTGACAGGCCCAGCGAAGCGCACTTCAACATCGAAGAGGCAGTGAGGCGGTGGCATTGCTCACTTAGTCCCTCTAGAGGCTCCTGGGACCGGGATCCCCTGGGGTGGAGTCGCGTCTCCGTGCCCAGCTGCGACAAAGCATTCCAGGAAATATTTCGTATGTACCAGGTTGGCCAAAGGGAGCCCTCAGAAAGCTTTTTAAAGATTTGGCATAGTGTTCAATCTACTCGTTTCGAGGTGGCTCTGGACCAGGATTGGCTGGTTGTTGGGGATACGGACGAGGGTGACTGGCGCCATATCCACCCTCATAACCGAGCACCCCGACTGTGTGTGTTCGTCTTCGAGGACCTGCACGATCTGGACACCACCGAGTTCGGGGAATTTTTCGCCTACTATGAGAAAGAGGGCTTCAAGGCGATTGACTACCATTATACCGTCCTCAGAGGCAAGTACCTCTCTGGCTCCACACATTTTGATGACAATCGTCTGGAGTCTGAGTCTTGTTGGCTTATGGGGCCCATTTCGCCTAGCGGGGGCCGTGGCCCAATATATCCAAGTCTAGCATTGCTGCTTGGTGAATGGGTCCGGGAGCTGAGGAATGGTGAGCCAGAGCATTCCGATGCCGGTAGTGATGGGGAAGAGTACTGTACCGATGATAGTGACCATCGTGAAGACCTCGGTAACCTGAAGAGCGGAAAGGCCTCTGTTGACAGCATTGATGGCGAAGAAGGGGTGGATAGCGACGAGTATGAAGGGTCAGAGACTGAAAGTAGCGACTATGTTGAGGAGGAGGAGGAGGAGGAAGAAGAGGAGGAGGAAGAGGAAGAAGAAGAGGAGGAGGAGGAGGAGGAGGGAAAAGGAGGAGGGAGAGGAAGATGGAAGTAGTAGTGAAGACGGAGAGGACGAAAGCCAGAGTTGGGATGAGGATTTATTGCATAATAAACATCACGTATACGTTTATCCAGCAAGGCTCTGGTGGACAGACAACACACGGGAGGCTGATAGTAACAGGAGGACCCACGCAATACCCCAGAATTGCACTCTCACGAACCCCAGTTTTCCTCCTGCAGTTTGTCGCCCCACAGTTCATATAATTCGTGCGTCTCTGTAGAGAGTCTTCATAATACTTAGTGTATACACGAATGAGAGTCGAGGCTTTTTCAGCGAGCTGCGATGGCTCATCATTCATCATATCCTAGTATACCCTGGTCAATACATGATTGCATGCCTGGGGGGAGATTCGAACCTCATTGGAGTCCTTGGGCCGTATTCCAAGTTCAAGGCGTACTGTTTTGAGAAGTCCCGCCAAGTCTTCCAATCTGGTTGGGAGGCGTTCCATGTTCCATCCACGCCATCTTGGTGGATTTTGGTCTGGTTCATCATCTGATGCATCACTATTTGCCGCACCCTTGTCTGATTCACCTTGGTCTGATTCACCTTGGTCTGATTCACCTTGGTCTGATTCACATTGGTCTGATTCACCTTGGTCTGATTCACCTTGGTCCGATTCGCCTTGGTCCGATTCGCCTTGGTCTGATAGACCTTCGTCTGATGTATAACCATTCGCTCCATACTCTGACGCCAAGTCATTGAATGATTGATAGTCATCCCATGTACCCGCAGCGTCCTCTTCGTCATCATAACCCACCACCCACAGACCCGTTTCGCCGCCTGTAGATTCACTGTAAAGCACATCTCGTTTTGCAACAGGCCACTGCGGATCCAATACGTCCTTGGCTGCCAACAGTGGTGACGGTATCTTCAGAGCCTTACGAACCTCCTTATCAGAGCATGAGGCCTGAGACTCGTGGTTTAACAGTTCGTGACACACACCAAGCGAAAAGGGCCAACCAGATGAATCTCCTCCATTGCGTCAAAGAGGCCTAAAAAAATGCGGACGGTCAGTGGCCATTGCCAGTCGGATACCAGACGTTTAGCAATGGCCCTGGATTTCTGTATCGCAGTCCGCAGGGCACCAACCTCTGTAGTGCCCCGAGGAAAGGTCCCACTCTCTTTGACTAGAAGTCGGAAGACTGTTGTCCGCTCCCAAGCGGCGATGGCAAGACAAGGTCGAGGGAAAAAATCGGATCGCAGTAGCAGACTGACAAAGTCCTTGCGCTCGGGCCTAACTGCATCGACCCAGGCGTCACGAGAATTCCGCACAGAGATCCACCACCGCGCCCTCCTCAATCAACAACGACACGGCAGCCACGTCGCTGGATAATACAGCTCTCAATAGAGGCGTCAGGCCATACTGATTGACTGGATCGAGCTTTGCCCCATTCTTTATCAACACCCTTGCCGCCTTCATCTTGCCGAGACTTAGATCCCTGAGCAGCGGCGTGTCGCCCTTGTCGTCAACGGGGTCTGGCGATGCGCCACGCTCGAGTAACAGGCTGACCATTTCGGCATGGTTGCTCCATGGAGATCTGTGCTATGCTTGTTATTTCAGCCTCATCAAGGGGTTCTTTTTCCTGGGCCCACCCTGAACCAGTGGTACAACTACCAATATGGCTGCTAATCTTGTCGGCCATCATGGATGCAGGCCGAAGAATCTTGATCTGGAATGCATACTCCTCCACCATCTATCACAATCTGAGCCAGCAAGGAGAACTGTTGGAACCTCCAGCATTTCTGATCTGCCTTTTGGCCCATTCAAAAACAGCCCCGTTTTGGAATTGTTGTTGGGTCCAAGCGGCCCCCCCCCCATTCTTTGTCTTGAAGCCAGACTGTATCTCACAGATTAAACACGGTTGGCGATAAATACGAAGCTGCTCCTATCAAGCTAAAGAGAATCGCACTTTGGTGACAAAGAGTTCTTTCCAATCCAACAGATATCTGCATTGCTATCACCTCCCTGCTAGATAGATGCGACCTATATGTTCTTCAGGATACTACCCGCCCTGATAACTAGAATCGCGCAACGTTAAACAAGGCGAGGTAAGTTATAGAACGTCCAAGTGAGCGATGCAGGATCTAGAGGTAGTTCTGAGAAATGGTAGATTACAGGGATTGGCACGTTGTGTAACGAGGTGTCCTACGGGACGAAATCTGGGGTAATGAGTTAGTCATGGTTGGCCATGGATGACATGTCCTCTTGATCTTCTCCAGGGCGCAGGGGTCTCTCCCCATTCCTGCCCGCCCGTCTTCTTGCTCTACTAATACTCAAAGTGACAAAATGGCCCATTCACCAGAGAGCAGTCGTGCTGAGATTTCCTGTCACTTGTGTCGCAAGTAAGTCTCGGCCACACAGATCCGCTCCGCAGCACGCCTGACTTCGAAGCTAACCGAGTATCCAGACGCAAGGTCAAATGGTGGGTCTAAGATAGAGGAATATCCGGAAGGATTTAGCCTCGCTAACAAGACCGTGAACAGCGACCGCACCTTCCCCCATTGCCTGGTCTGTGAGCAGATCGGACAGCCCTGCACTTACCCTCCCGGCCCGCTCAAGCCCGGTCCCAAGCTCGGTTCACTCCACCGCAAGAGACGAGTGCGCAGCAAGGTTAATGGGGAGGAGTGTCTGACGGGCCAGGGATGGCTGGCAGCTGTGGCTGCGGGTCGTCAACCTCCTGCATTAGATGATGAAGGGGAGGAAGACGAGGTCGAGCCGGATGCGCAGGATGGCGACGATGCAGCCCCGGCCACCGAGGTCAAAACCGTTGATCTGGCGTTTATCTTGCATCCATCTCATGAGCCGTCTCCGCCTAATAGCGAACCTGGTGCATCGCCCGTAGCGGTGGTTGATGACCACTCGGAGGATATCTTACGGCAAACGCGTGCTGCCCTGGGGATGGACCGGGCAGAGATTGAAAACTTGTGAGTTATCCTAGAAAGAGAAGGAAGGCATCTAACAGTGCTCAGCATCAACATATACTTTGACAACATGGTGGCAATCAATCTGTTCCACGAGCCCAGCTTCTCCGAAAAGCTGGCTGCGATGAAATGCCCGACCCAGGCCGCGGCCCTCCTGGCTGCCATGTTCACCTTCTGCGCGCGCTTTTCCCACCAAGGCGAACCCCAAGAAGAAACCAACTGTCGGGCGACCCATTATCTCAACCTCGCCTTGCGACTGATCGACGATGCGATGAAGGAATGTGGCGATCGGACCCCGCCGTTGTGTGTGCTCCAGGCGGCCATTCTGACTGCCTTTTGCCAGCTGACCCAGGGTGTTCTGGGCCGTGCATGGCGGACCCTTGGGACCTGCGTCCGGCTCGCATATGAGATGAACCTGCATCTGGTCGATGCGCAGCACCCGCGAAATGTCGTGGATATAGACCGGTGGTCCGCGGACGAAGAGAAGCGCCGGGCGTGGTGGGCCATCTGGGAAATGGACGTCTTTGCCACGGCGATTCGACGAACCCCGACGGCGGTCGCCTGGTCGCAGATGGAGGTTCTGCTGCCCGTCCAGGACGAGTACTGGTTTGCGCGGACCCCGCGGTCGAGCTGTTTCTTCCAGCAGGACCCAACCCGTCGGTGGCAGGCTCTCGAAGGCAGTGGGAACGAGTCTGCCAAAGCCTGGTTCATCGTCATCAACTCGCTGATGAAGGAAGCCCAGTGCATCTCCACCCCTCGCGGGGTTCCGGGCCGGCGGCCCCAGTCGGTGACAGTTGATGAAGCCCGCCAGCATCTCGAGGTCATCGCCAATGCCGTGCGGTGTTTCCAGCTGGCGCTGCCCAGTCACCTCAAATACATGCAGCAACCTCTGGGTTTCGAGGCTCGCAAGCCAGGCGAAGTTACATCGCAGCGCCAGGCACATTGTTCCATCTACAACATATACGTAATGACCCACCTCGCACGGCTCATGATCTGCCGATACGACGTGTTCAAGGGCCGATTTCGCGTCAATCTCCCCACCAATCGTGATGATTGCAACGACGACAGCCCCTGCAACGCCAACGATGGCCAGCACCCAAGGGCAAATGAGTACTTTGACGCCGCCGGCGACATATTGGCCATCATCCACCGCAGCAGCGATGACCACTTTCGCTATATCCATCCATTCCTTTCCAACGCAATCTGGCTGGCATCCGCTGTCAATCTAATGCGCAGCCAGCTCTGTTCACCGGCGGGCACGCTGCGGTCGGTTCTTCGCTCGCGATATCAGGTCCTGCATCTGATGTACAAGAAGTGCGTTAGCTTCTGGGAGATGAATACGGCTGTTCAGCAGAGTCTGGAAACACTTGAAGCGCAGGTCGAGGCGTGGCAGCAGCAGCAGCAGCATGGGAGTAAAACGCCTGGGAGCCTAGAGCGAGGCAATAGTCGGGCTGATAATTCATCCACACACCTTGGGTCGAGTGCCCAAAGCGACGCACAGGCAGATGTGGCAGCTATATTAGAGCCGTCGACAGCGCAAGAGGACCATCGTATGTGTACACCACCACCATTCCCCACTCCACCACCATACAGCACCAGACTCCCAACATCAAACTGGCAGCCGCAGCCGCAATCACAGGCGCAGAGCTTCCAAGACACATTTGACGCACCAATGCTAGACCTCCTCCCACCAATCGATACTCAACCAATGGCCGGTCCGCTACTCTCCTCCGGTACCCTGATCGACCCCTTGTTCCTCTTCGCCAGCAACCCCCCGCTACAACAGCTCCTCGATCCCAATGGGTTTCTGTTGGATTTGGAGTCGGGGGCAGGGTGGGGGGCTCCACGGCCTGATTTGCAGGATATGTTTTGAGATCTATATCAACGTTTAAAAGCTCTATATAGAGCTGGGGCGACATTCGCGGTACCCGTGACACTATAGCGTCTCCCGAAAACGCCTGGAATGCCCGACGGATGTACCGGCTCTTTAATCTCTTCACTAACGTCTTGACGGACGGTCGCTATGAAATCCTTTATGGTAGCCACATTGTTGCCTGAAGGCCTGGAAAGTCTCTGGATCTCCGCCATAGCTGAAGCTGGAGGCGCTATGACCTATCAGTCAAGGTCCTTGCAGTCGGCTAGGCATAGAATCTACTCTTGCGCCCCATTGCTTTTCCTAGGGAGCCCTTGATAGTTGTATAGCAACTTCAACTCCGCGGCCTTTTTGGATCGCGACTAAGCGATCTTGTGTATTCAGATTAAGAGCGCTCAGGTAATTCCTGACCAGTGCCTCGTGCATGGAGAATCATGGGCAGGTGACAGGCGCACAGACATTTTACACCAGGCATTCGGATATAGTTATTTCTTAAGGCCAGCAATTAGGGTCTTTTCATCTGTCTAATATTTAACAGGCAATGGTATAGCAAGAACAGGGTCATTATCCTGGTTAACTAGTGAGTTTAGGCTGTTCGCTCGGTTTGGGTGGTGGGCAGCAAGGCTGGCAGGAGAAATATCAGCGAGAAAGTATGCCTGTAGGTTGAACCATTAGTGCTATTTTCATAGTATCCAACCAGCGTCATGTCCCTCTGCGAAATCCCTTGGGGCCTTTTAATCTTATGGCGGCATCATGGAATGGCCTGATGTATTGCCTACAGTTGATATCCATCACTTGATGCCATTGTGGGGAAGAATAATCCTCAACCGCACCCAGATTAAATCGTTGGGTCGCGAACTCCGGAATTCATTCTAACTTGACGACAATTTACAATTTCCGTACATATGCGTTACCAGCAAGGATCGGTCACTTCCCCCATACAGCGTAGGGATAGCAGGAGGAAGAAATCGGTCTGTATCCCGTCAATGCAACCTCATGACAATCAACAATGGCATATCCAATAGCATTGATTTTGATCTTTCGTGTAAGATGGAACTCGGCGGCTACGTACATGTTCACATGGCCCGCGCCCTATTCAAATATGCGGGTCATTTCGCGTGCTCGGTTCAGCTGAGCCCGCGCGAGGTGGGAATTGACTCGGGGTTTGTTCCGTTGAAAGACGTTGTTTTATTGACCTGGCGTCGATTGGAAAGAATGAGGTTGACGGGTACTTTGATTGTCATGAAATGCGACCCCGCAGGATACGCTCATCTGGGTCCAAGATCCTTGGAGCGCGGCAAGCGTACAGATTGGACACAATGCATGGGGATGACACATTCTGTAATACACCTCGTACCCATGCCACTATAGGCTTGTCTAACAGGCTGCCTAGCCTTTCACTGTTGCCCCGTGCGGGACGAACCCGTCGTACCTGTGCGACACTCAAATCCTGGGGTCCGGGGATTAAAGCAACATGTAAGCCGGCTTGTTGCAGGTATAACGGGAGACTCTATCCCAAGATTCACACAGAAGTGTATATTATAGACATGTTCCTCTCCACCCTTCTGGCCCTCCTCGCAGTTTTTCAGCACCGTGTCCGCCTGGTGTGGCGCGTCCGAGCCTTCCACAGAAGGCCTCGCCATCCACCGCGAGCTCCGAGACAAGGAAGCCTTTGGGGGCATCCACCCTCGCCAGACAGACGGAAACCAGGTAGAGGTGTACGTGCACGTCTTCGGACATGACGACGCGGACAGAACGATCGCCTGAGACGTGGGACAGCAGGTATGCTACGGACCACACAGCGCAAGGGCAAGCAATCCGCCCCCTTGCATAATACCCGAAGGGGGGGTTGGGGGGGGGGGGAGACGGACTGGACTAACTGCAAGGCGCGCGGGCTCGGACAGATCTACGTCCTCAACCAAATCTTTCAACCCACGGGCTTCAGCTTCATCCTCGCGGGCGCCGACCGCCAAGTGATTGGCGACCTCGCACCCGTGTGGTACGGCAACGCCGCCGAGGCCCAGATCAAGCAGTACCGCGTCGGCGGGATCCAGACGCTGAATTTTTACATTGTGCCGCAGGTTGCGTATAGCCATGCGGGGTATGCGTGAGCCTGCCCGCTTATATTATATGATACGTCATGTGCTCGGCTAATGACTGACCTGGCGACTGCGGAACTGCAGGATCTTCCCGTGGGACGCTGCCAACAACACCCAGCGAGACGGCGTGGTAATGGGCAGACAGTATATCCCCGGCGGAAGCGCCTCGGGCACAAACACGGGTAAAGTAGGTGGCCATGAGGCTGGGAATTGGCTGGGCTTGTTGCATACCTTTCAGGGGGGATGCGATGGCGGGGATGAGGTGGATGATACACCGCCCGAGGCGTCGCCGGCGAGGGGCTGTCCTTGGGTATGGTATGTATACTCTAGTACTCCCATAAGGAGGCTTTGTCATGGGCAAGTGTGCTATATGCGTTTAGGGCCGGGCTAACGACAGTCTTTTAGGTTCGCGACACTTGTCCGGCCGAGGGGCGAGACCCGATCCATAACCACATGGACTACACAAACGACGCGTGCCGCTTCCAATGGCCTGCGGGGCAGATTGAGCGCATGCATAACATGTGGACGCTTTTCAGGGGGAATGACGCGGAGGATCCGGGGCACGGGGGTGGATCCTGGGAGTAGTAGCTAGAGTGTGTAAAGATGAGTTAAGATTGGTACTTTATGGGTAATCCTGTTCTAGTTTGAGTAGGCGAAACTATATATTTGTGGAAGTTACCAAGAGCTATGTAGGGGAAAGAGAGTTTTGGAACTGTTGAATTCAGGAACTATCCTAGGAGATATATCGCCCTTATATAACTGATGTTACAAACGCGGTGCGTTTGTCACCAAACGAATAACGACCAGGATGTTGGCCGATGTCTCAGATACTTAAGCGCCGCCCCACACGGGATAGACGCGGCTCTCTCTGCGGTGTCGACAATATTCAGCAGGGTCGCCTTAGTGTAAGTCATGAAAAAGTTTCTCAAGACAAAAGGGATATCAACAGCTTGTCATGCTATCCGACTAGTTAACGTAGCGCACTGTCCAAAAAGGTTGCTATCAAGTTTCTCGGCCATTGATATATGGTAGTGCATCCGTAGGGGTCGAGAGTAGGGCTTCTCATCCCTTACTAATACTTCAGCCATGTCTGGTTGACAAATTAGCAGAACAGCCTCCACGTCATGGCCAACGCCCGATGACCACATCTATGATGCACCGGAAAACATGCCGGACAGTCCCCTTCGCTATCTTATTCCGGAGTAAGGTTAATTAATATAAAACCAACACAAACGCTTTGATCGAATCTAGAGCCAGGGTCAGGGTATTGTTATTGAAAATGTCATCCACTCGCTCACTCAATATCCCCGCTTCTAAATCAACGGTGCAAGTGTCTATCATCGACACCACCTTCGATGCCAAATTCCCCGCTGCCTATTTTATGGGCCCGCCGATCAAAGGCTTCGATGAATTGACGGCGGTTGCGTATGCTTTTCTCGTCAAGCATGTTGACTCGGTTGGCGAGGAGCGCAGTATTGTATTTGACCTGGGTACGCCCAAGGATGTGGTGAATGATTTCCCGCCCAAGGTGGCTGAATGGTTCATGGGGATGGGGTTCATGCGAGTGGAGAAATATGTTTCGGAGATTCTTGAAGAGAGTAATGTCGCTCTTGATAGTATTGAAGCGATTATCTGGAGGTGTTTCCGTCCCCAAGACTCCTCCATGCCCCTCTATAGAAAGCTCACATCGACTGCAGCCACGCACACATGGACCACGTCGGCCGCCCCTCGCTCTTCCCCACAACCGCAAAACTAATCGTCGGCCCTGGAATTAAACAAGCCTTCTTCCCCGGGTACCCCACTGCACCCGACTCGCAAATCCTGTCGCGTGAGTTCGCCGGTCGCGAAGTCGCTGAACTGTCACTCCCCGAGTTTAGTTTGGACATCGGCGGCCTCAAAGCGCTGGACTACTTTGGTGACGGGAGCTTCTACCTTCTCTCCGCGCCGGGACACGCGATTGGGCATCTGAATGCGTTGGCCCGTACGACGGATAACACGTTCCTTTACTTAGCTGGTGACAGCGTCCATCACCTCTCTGAACTTCGACCGCACGCGGCCAGTCACCTCCCTCAATCTGTTGCTCTGCGTGGTAGCAGCCGCTGTTGCCCCGGGGCAGCTTTCCATGCCATCCATCCGCTATCAGACATAACCAAGGTCCCAGACCGCTACCACGAACCTCTCGGCTACCCGGACAGCACTCCCGATACCGCGCCCTTCTTTACAATCTCACAGACGCCGACTGGGGAGTCGCTGGCTTCTGACGTCAACGACGCGCGCGCTACGATCAAAGCTGTGCAGAGGTTTGATGCGGACGAGAATGTGTTTGTTGTTGCGGCTCATGACGCGAGTATACGTGGGATCTTGGACTTGTTTCCGAGGACGGCGAATGATTGGAAGGTAAAGGGGTTGAAGGAGGCGGGGCGTTGGTTGTTTCTTGATGACTTTGAGGAGGCGCTGAGGCTGGCGGGGGAGAATGTAGGCGATAGTACTAGGACTGCTTGAAACCCAAGTAACCAATGTGATGGTCAAGTAGAGCACTTGGATTGATATGCAACACTATATGTTTTCTTTTCTGTTACTTGTTAGGTTTGGGCTGAAATATCAGAGAAGGTCAGGATATTCAGAAAGATGCGAGTATGGTGCCTCCGGATCACTAACAAGGAGTGCCAAGATACTACGACGCCAGGGGCTTACGTAGCGGTTGGTTAGTTCAAATATTACCAGAATGTTATTAGCTTGCAGAATCGCATTGATAGATCTAGTTCAAGGAATCTTTACTCTAAATCTAAACTCTCTATGATTGATTATTCCTTCTCCTCCCCAGGCATTCCCTGCAGGTACAAAGCCAGGAACCCATGTATCTTTAGTCTACGCCACGTCTAGAGCTTTTTTAATCTCTCGCTTTGATCAAATAACTATCAATGGATCTTCGCAAGTCCTTTATAGCCCTTTCAAGCCGCATAGGCTAGAGCCGAAATCCAGTGGAGATGCTTGGGATATGATATGGCAGATAAGCTGGGAGGATTCAGAGCGCCATTCGTTTCTGGTACTATGATATTGTGTTCACGTGGTGTGGTGAGGTCAAAAGACTCCTGCCAAGCGTAAATTTTGACCTCCACTGTTGGCGGCCCGAGGCATTAGTGCAGCCTGATATAGTTAGCGCTTCCCCGCCCTCCTTGAAGATTCCGGTAAAGTAATGACATTGTGACCTGCTACCATAATCGATACAACGGTGATAAGATGGCTGGTGGTCGGGGGAACAGATTCGGCGCGAGATGAATTCTTATGCTGTTGACAAGAGCCCTGAGGTGCTTCGCGCGCCCCTCCACAGTACGCCCGACTCCCACTCGGTACACGAAAATATTGCCGAAAATCGACACAGCGCCGAAGCTGCAGGAGAGAATTCAAGCATGATCAATGAGTGGGTTCAAGAAGAAGCGCCTTGGCGGGCATTTGCTAGATATAGCTAATGACACGAAGGAAAACCTGACTTGACCTAACAACAACACCGCATCTTATGAGGCTAATTCTTTAGATACTAGTGGAATCAATGCTGGAGATTCCGTCCGCATTATCAGAATTTTGAGTTTTTGCGTGGTTAATTCAGTCTGTATAGTTAGTTATTGCCCAACTTCTACTTACATAACTTATGATGGATCAAACAACCTCTTCTCCCCTCAAGCCCAAAAGAGGCCGACCTCGAAAATACGCATCTAGTGAAGAAAAAAAGCTTCAAGGGTAGCCCAGCAGAGGAACCAGCGCCAGTCTGCTCGCGCTGCACAACGCGCTCAGCAATTCAATCAATATTATTCCACGGCGGAGTCTCTATCTTCTGACATCAATGGACCTCCACCAACCTACTTTCCTCCAGAAGAACTCTCCATTGCCACTGAGGTTGAGCAACTTCTACCAACCCTTAACCTAGTCGCCTAGTCGTTTCGTGGCACTTATGGGTTTCGGTCGTGTCCCTTCTTGGCCCCCGCCGAGTGAGGTCACCATCAGCAAGCAGTATGTGTCTGTTGTTGTTGATCTGTTGTAATAGCACATTGACACGCCATCATATACCCCCATGTGCATCAACAATCCTCACTTTCACTCTCAATCTGAGCCAACGAACCCGCCGAAATCTTCTGACTCGCCCCCAACCTCGGGAACGCGAACAACCTCAACTCATCCACCACTCTCTCCCTAAACTGCCTCGCCAACTCCACCCTCCCTTCCCGATTCCCTTTCCCAGCGTCAAACCTCCCCTGCAAACACCTGAGCACAACCTCCTGAAATGCCTCACCAACTCCAAACCCCAAATGCTCCTTCGCCCTCTTCACCAATGCCTTCTGCACCTCAAACGCCGCATTACTCGATGTTGACGACACCACATTCACCATACTCCCTGCCTTCCGCCACATACCTAGTTCGAGGAGTACCACGCCGAGAGCGTAGATATCGTGTATGGGGCCGAATGATTCTGTTGGTACGCCCCAGCGTTGTGGATGGCGGTAGATGTTGCGTGCGAGGTTGGTATCCGTATTGAACGAGGATGTGGCGTCGATTGGGCGGGCGTAGTCGAAGCCGTAGAGGAACCATTGGGCAGGGAGGATGTGTGTCGAGTCGCTCTCGTCGTCTGGAGGGGACTTTGGCTCGTAGAAGAGGATGTTGTCGCTCCGGATACTTCCGTGCACCCAGTTCACTGTGTGGAGGCGGTCGAGGACTGCTGCTAGCTGATACGCGATTTGGAGGCGTTCGTCAAGGGAGGGCCCAGTTGTGGAGGAGCGTTTGGGGAGACAGTCGAGGAGGGAGAAAGGGCGTGGGAATAGCGTGGGTGGGATGTGGTAGAGGAGAGATGTTTCGCTTTTGTCGACCCATTGCATCCAGGCGACGCATTGAGGAACGGTGGGTTCCATGTTGTGGAGGTTTTCGAGGATGGAGCAGAGTTGGTTCAGGCGGCGGGTCACGGTGGTTCGTTGGGTTTCTGTGAGTTCTGCATCGCGTTTTCGGGAGTCCACTACGACGAAGTTGTTGTCGTATCTGCCGAGTTTGAGGGTGCTGTGGTCGCCAATGGCGCTTTGGTTTTGGAGAGCTGACCACGGTTTCTCAAAGTCTGATATCTCTGCGGAGATCTGGGGAAGCTGCGGTTGTGTTGCGCGTGAAGACGCCTTGATTGCATCTCGTATTCCCAACTTTTGTACTTCTGGTCTTCCAATGTGAGAATCCATAAGAGCAAGTCGAGATTGATGGGTCAGAAGGTGCACTTCGATGAGCCGAATGGCTTTGTCATTCCACATCTCAAACTCCATGTAGAAGTTGGTCAGACGAGCCTTGTCTTTGAATATCCAACGCAATATTGATGTCTTAGACTTTAACACTTCTTTATTTTTGGGTTTTGGTTCCGCAGAGGAGGGTTTTGAATCCAGCAATAGTGTTGCATTCAGGGCCTCAATTTGAAGTCGCTTCATGTCTTCAGAAAGCAATTCATGTCCTGAGACTGTCGTTTCCGAGCCTAAAACCCGCTGTTCCAGAGGCAAGTAGTTCGAAATAGTACCAGCATAACCCTCGAATACTCGATGAATGCTCAATTGAGCACTTCGGTCTAACTGGTCAAAGAATGAAGGGTCCTGAGCGGTCGGAACACGCGCAAAGAGTAGATCACGTAGCTGGAGCGTAACGGCCTTCTCTGTAGTTAGTTTAGCGATGAGCTTGGAGCGGTCGGAATCGAATTGTTTTGCGTCTGTAATGATGGTTGAGACTTTGTCGTATGTGCGAACCAGCCCCTCGACGAAGCCGAATGTCGCGAACGCTAAACCCACTATATCCATTTTCGAGTCTAGTGATGATCCACTGGGTGGTATTCAGGGGCGAGGACAATATTTCAATGATGCTGATAGAAATGTGAAGATCACAAAACTGTTTACTGCCTGAAGGCTGGGTGAATGTGAGTAGGGTTCATATAGGGTGGGGTTGGGGTGGGGTTGGGTACGGTAGATTAGGTATTCCGTTCCGTAACTATCTGATGATCTTCACACTTATTCGAGTTCTGCACCCTGAGTGCTCAATCAAGGAATTCTTCGCCCAACCTCTGCAGTATATACGTGTTCTGTGACAAACATCTCAAGCCATCTCGGCCTCTTGACGTCGGTTTGACATTCCAGAACGCGATGTCGAGCCCAGGATACGTAGCTTCATCTGCAGCCTCGTCAGCAGGTTCTGTTCTCTCCTCAGCAGCTTCAGTCGACCTACGGGAGATGCTACTCTCCCATGCAAATCTCGGGGATCTCTCATTAACATATGCACTCACTTCTATTGCAATACGAAACCAGATTCACTACTTCCACCCAGTCGAGCTACAAAAAGGTCGACGCTTCCTAGGCGAAGGCACGACATGCACAGTGTATCAGACATCGATAACACCGGAACTAGACAACATAAAGCCACAAGCCGTCGCAGTCAAGCAGAAACGGCGAAAAGGGTCCTGGTTCGACCACGAAATTTCTCTCGGAGCATGGTTAAGGAGCTGTTACCAAGATGTGCGTATCATGTCCGACAGCGCCTTAAAGTCATCAAAGAATGTTGCTCAAGTACTGGGATTCTTCTGGGAGAAAGTCGATATTGACGGGCCAACGAGATTATCACCCTGTCTGGTGATGCCACTTGCGACGGTCGACACGGTAACTCTCGATCATTTCTTTCATCGGTTGACAGCCAAAGGCGAGAACGCCTCTCTGGAGCGGAAAATGCAATTTTGTTGCGACGTAGTCAATGGCGTGTACGAACTCCATCGTTGTGGAGTGGCTCATGGCGACTTAAAACTGGGAAATGTTCTGTTGTTCGAAGATGACAACACCGGATCTCCATCATTGATCGCAAAGATATCAGATTTCAGTCACGCAACCGTGGTCAGTGACTACGAAAAAGCTCTTGGGCATCCACTAAGATATACTGGAACAAGGCCTTTCATAATACCAGAGGTCCGAAGGGATGATGCGGCATACTTTGGCGATTCCAACGATTATGAGCCCTCAATTGCAGCCAGCGACTATCTCCTCTGCGACATCTTCGGTCTCGGACTGCTACTAGTGGCAATTCTCTCGAATGGTGTTGATTTTGCTTCGGCGATCAAACATCGCGAGGAGGCACGACACTCAAGAACAGTGGATGACTCGGAGTTAGAGCGTGAACTTGACAAGATTTGCGCTGAGAGCAATGGTGTACTCGCGCTCTCACGAGCCTTGGTCTTTGAAAACAATGACTCTGACGAAGCTCAAATACGGAGCACTATACATGCGTGCCTGGAAGCATGTCTTCAAGACGATCCCAGTAAACGCAGCGCAGCGAGTTCTGTCTTATCACTGCTAACACATATGTCAACGACCGGCACGAACGACGAAACGATCAGTAACCCGGACGAAGAGCCATATGGGAAAGTCGAAACAGGCCACTTTTCTCCCCAAGAGGTCAGTGACACCCTCAAATCCCCATCTACTAGAAATTAACGTAGGGAAGCTCGCAATACTGCTAGTTCGTTCATATCTCCCTCCACTACCCGACTTGCTGCAATCTCAAATATTCGCCGAGCTCGCACGCAACTCCAACAGCCCTTCGAGCCTTGCTCCGGCCTTCCTCGCCAATTGCTTTACCTCGGGATTCGGTACAGCCGCTGATCTCAAGTCTGCATCGGGATGCTTGCTCGAAGCAGCTGATCGCAATGATCGGGGATGCAGAGCCATCTGGCAAGCTACTTTTCTCGCTGTCTTTCCGGATCGTAAGGAGTTGCTGCGAGAATATATGAAGAGATCATACATATCCTTCAGTGATAGCGATGTGGATCTGATGGAGCCTCGGAGTGCCAATTACGCCAGACGCATCCAGCATTACAAGCTAGTTGATTTCCACGACGTCTCAAAAATCTTCATTTCTTCGGGTCAGCGTGACATTCCGGTCTACAGCAGAACATCAGCGATCGACGCTGAGAAGAATAGGATTTTAGTTCTCAAACGCAAGGAGACTATCTCACTAATATGCCAAATTCCATCAATTCCATCAGGATATCGCCGAGAAGAGACATTGCAGGCCCTCCTAAACAAACTAGAGACATTGCAGGCCCTCCTAAACAAACTTCAAAAGGTTACGCTTGAAGTCCAGCCTCATTCGTCCATACTAGAGTCGGCCGCCAAGCGGTTTGATCCTTTGGAGACTTTCTCGGAATCTTTCTTACGGAGTATGGTCCAATATAACAACACGCACCTCGAAACCGAGTCAGACTATCACGACTCGTTCAGTCTAGTCCAAACATATCGGGACAATGAAACAGAGATTGGGTTGCCTTTTGGTCTGCTTGATACTGCGTTACATATGGTTGCAGAGAACAATAGTCCTCTCGGTCAGAGGAAAGCACTGCACAATGTGATGGCAGTCATTCAAGCAGGCGGCTCCAGAGAGATAAACGAACCTAATCTATGGGGAGAAACGCCCTTGATCCAGAGCTGTCGTTACGGTCAGTTTCTCGTGGCTCGGTATCTCCTGGAACTCGGTGCGGATCCATGTCGACCTGATAACAATGGAGTGACTGCTTTGCACTGGCTTAGCCTTTTCCGCGAAGACGAAGTCGATGAAATCTGCAAACTCCTAATCAAATCTGGCAGCAATATTGATGCCATTACATCCGGGGCGATTGAGATTGAGAGCCATTGCCTGTTTCTTCACGCACACTCCACGCCACTCCATTACGCAGCAATGTTGCGAAACGTAACGGCGGTCAAGGCGCTTCTAGCTCTTGGAGCGGACCCATTCGCAGTGACGAAGGTGGGAGTGTGCAAACATAGTTACCATCTAACACCACTTCATCTTGCTGTTTCTTGTCATTTCTATAATATTGTTGAAGAATTGATCAAGGTCAAAAACACCATAGCAGCAGTGACCGCATTCCTTGGTCGCAAAACATCTCAACAAATACACATGATCCATCTCGTTGGCTTTGGCACCGTTGGTCATCTTCTAATGGCTCCCTTTGCTCGATGGGTCATGCACGGAGTAGAATACAAAGACGCTTTGGACAGGACATTGAGCGCCATATTGTCGGTATTCCCAGAACGACATGTGCTAGAACCCATTCTGGACGCATACCCTTTTTTGGCTATTCCAGCGTCAGACCCGTGGATCTTCCAGTCAATCTTGCAAGCAGGCTTCAGTCCCAAACAACCCTCAAGAGAAGAACTGGGCCCATTCGACCGCGCCGATGCCCATCAACATCCGGGATGGGAGGCGGAACTGCTCATAAGAGCGGCAGTGGATGGTTCTGGATTTGGAAAATATAACTCCGAGACGATGGACGCGGTGCTTGACTTTGTTGACACCACGACTCCCAGTTTTGGTCTTGTAATGGCCGCCGTTGATCATTGCGTGAAAGGCGATATGCCTGGGCCACTATCAGTAATGCTCAGACGACTAGAAGTGCTCCAACAAACAGCGATGTTGAAGGGCATACTCTTCACGGCAGCGGAACATGACTCAGTGGCGGTGATTGACTTGGTGTTCTCTAGGTTAACCGATCTTGGAGTTAATGCGAAAGAGGTATATTTCGAAAATGCTATACACTCAAACGCTGTGCTGATAGTCTTCTAGATTGCCCAACTTCAAACCAGAGCGGATGACCAGAGTGTTTTGCATCTAGCGGCTAGGTCCAACGCCACTCACGCTGTCACCTACCTCCTTGACCACGGAGCCGATATAGATCTTGACATCCAGCCCACTGGAACAGCCCTCAACGTCGCCGCCGGAAACTTCGAGAACAGAGATGCGGTCGTGCTCCTACTCCAACGCGGCGCCAACATATTCTGCTCTCTCCATCGCGGCTCGATGCACTCTATTCTCCACATCGCAGACAGCGACTTCGACTCCCAAGAATCAGCCCAACAGTTCTCTTTAGTCCAAGTTCTTCTCGAAACCTTTCCAGACAAATTTGTCAAAGATGGTGGCCCTACAATCAACGCGCAAGATCGGTACGGTCGAACGGCATTGCATTACGCAGCCATGAGGGGACACCTCAATGCCGTGCGAGCTCTGGTAGCACTTCCGCACATCGAAGTCTCTGTTAAGGAGATTGAAGGGTGGACTCCGTTGATGTGGGCGTTGCATAGCGTTCATTTTAGCGATGAGTCGCTCTTGCTGGCTGAGACCGATCACCGATCGAAAAGGAATAGATGCAAAACAATATGCAAAATTCTCATTGACGCCAATTCTGCTGTTCCAGAAGTGGAGCCTCACACGGGCGACTATCTCTTTCTTCTTCAATGGGGAATGAACCGGCTGCTACGGCTTGTCAGCGGTGCGCCGGCCACCAGTTTGACGCAATATGCGTCGACTGTTTTCCGGAATTTCAATTTCGTCAAAGCGAATACGGTCATGCTGTTTGCTACAGATAGGAAGAAGGTTCTGTTACTTCCCAATGGTCAAACCCCAGGCGCTACAGCGTTGAGTTTTCGTCGAACTGATGAAGGATTGTTGCAATGCTCTAAACTGACGATTGAATAGCATGTATCTTTTTCATCCATTCACTCATTTTATCCTACTCGGTTTCACTGTTGACGTGTCAGTCTGTATTTTTCCCTGCCATAGGAAAGCTCACTCACCCCAAACGAGCAAATCTTGGAGATCCGCTTCTGCATGTTGATAGTGTGTAGGTGCAGCCATAATCAGCGAGTTGGTGCGGAAAAAGTATGCCACCGAAGCTGCTTTGTATACCACGTCGCAGAGGTAAGGTAGTAGAGAGGAGCAGGTGTATAGGTTGACTACTGAGTTTCGAGTGGTTGCGTTAATGCCGTCCACTGCCAGGTACCGACATCGTGGCGAAATCGGTGCAAACGGTCGTTAGGCAGAACAAACCTATCCGCTGCTTTTACTCTAGTAAGTGACAGTTGTCTCTCTTACCTCAAACTGCATCGTCCCTATCCTACCCTACTTGTACTTCGTTTGTGTCCGAATCAGTTCTATATTTACAGTCTGCACCATCCCCTTTCCTACTATTATAGCCCCCTATTCGCCTACCAAGCTCACTACACCTTCCTTTGAGCGCGCTGTCGGCAGCGTTGTCTACAACACTCCCAGCCAGGGGAATACGATGTGATGGGAAGGCCGCCCTGAGCGATTTGCGACCGTTTCGCAAAATCTTGGTGCTCCCAATCCAGGAACCCCGAGCACTCCCTCACCTCTAGTTTGACCTAATAACAGACTAAAGGGACCTTCCTCTGTGAGCCAGAAACGGTAAGTCGGTTGAATGGCGACCCCAAGGTGATCTCGGCCTTGTATGGGAGTTTCACGTAGTGTTTGAGCTCCTGAGGACCCCCCTATTCACAGCAGCGACCTCCTGTATATATTGAGGATCGCTCACCTCCTAGATAGAACAACAAGTCGATTCTTAGTTACCCACTCAAAGATCCAATATTCTCTCATAGTCTATAGACTCTGTCATGATCCAGCTTTCTCTAATCTCTTCTACCAACTTCATCCTCTATAAAAGTGTAGTACTCTTACCACGGCATCGACTCTGCTATAAAAGAGGACGGCCTTTGTCTCTGTCACAATAGTTATCAGTGTTAGCTCGGCTAGAACCATAGTCCCATCTTGCTGCAATAAAGGCTAGTCTCGAAATCATCAACCGGTATAACCCCCTCTCGCCTATCAGACCTTTTCGCATTGCACTTGCTAATGATGCATGAAGATGGATCCCTTTGCCCGACTCCCCTGGTTCGCTTTGCAAAATGTTCTGTCGAGTCTCCCGGATTTGTTCTCGCTGCACAGCCTGTATAGTGCATCGCCGTCTGTTGCGGTATTTTTAAGCGAGAACAATGATTTGTTTGCTCGGATTATCGATGCAATTATGGCTAGACCCTCTCGCGACAGAGGTCTCCTGCCCTACATTCGCGATCTGGTCAGGCTAGTGATTCTGCTATGGAGCCGACAGTCCATCGGCACGGATGCTGTGCACTCATACGCAGAGATAGTCGAGAGCCTACGATATGTCGGGGAGCGGCCTCCACGCGAACAGTCCCCTGTACTAAAGGCAATACCGTTATCAACACCATCGGCTGTGCTCTTCAAGCTGCTTGACCTTGTGACACAACTACGATGTGTTGCTCATAAATGTTCCCACTCCATGATTGAGAAATGCCTGAAACTCCCGGTCGAGCATCTGCCCCAGAGGGATTTCACAGCCCAACGCAAGGGGATGTGAGTAGGAAAGTATCTCAATCGCGGCCCCCCGACCGATCCGAGCCAAGGCCCACAAGGCATCCCTTTTGTCCCCGTTGATATCGGTTCGCTCACGGGATTGGAGAAACAACGGCTGATCGGTTCTCTGCTCCATGTTGTGGTTTTTTACGAGCTGCGCACGGCCCAAGCAGAGTCACCGACTATTCCAGAGACATCGCAGCATGCAGACGTTTTGCCAACCCACAATGTGGACGGCTTCTGGGAGAGATTCCAGACCAGCCTTACAAGCCTCCCAGAGCAGGTGAGAGCCCTTCTCCTTTGGTTGGATGAGCAGGCAGGCGGCCGTGAAAACGTGCTGTCATGGTTGCGCTCTGTTGCATATTTGGAGGAGAGTCACTGCTGCCGACAATATAGACCCGTGACAGATGACCAGGAGGAATGGGACGAAACGAAACGGAGGGCCATGCATGGAATATCCCGGGGTTATGATTGTCTGTGGCGAAGCAAGGTGTCGACACAGTCTCCAATCAGGTACCTGGAGCTGTCCATATTTCGTCCATATGGCCTGGTGTTTTGGGAAACAGACAGGTTGCAAGCGCTGGGATACCCCATGAAAGGGAATCCGATGCCACTTTGGTTTGCCCTATCCTCGATATTTTCAGAACAAGACTGGGAAGAAATAATTCGGCGGCAGCACGCCCGGCGCTGATGTGATTTTGCGTCTGGCCACGAGAAATGTTTGTAGTTTGCAATAAATCGGAAATTATATCGCAACATCAAATAATCTAGGCGCATTGACCATAGTGGTATATGAAACTCCCAGATCATCCTAACACGACAGGCGTGATCGCGAAGTAGATACATCCCTCACCATCAGCTCCAAATATCGTGATATCAGACAATGTTTTTATACGCAGCTGCGCCTTATGCTGAATAAAGAACCAAGCGATCCCAGAGCCATTGGGGCTACCAAGGAGAGCTTAATACTCCAGGGAACCTGGCCGGAACATCTTTCCTCCTCCCCGCAACGGCTGAATAGTCTCCCAGTCTGAGAACGTCTCGTCTTCTCCTACAGAATTTTGCATGATGCAAACTATGTAGTCATTTGTCGTCGTTAGCAATTGAGTACTATATGTGGTGCTGCAGACCCTGAACATTGCTTCCGGTTATGTGCCGCCAAAAGATGAAGATCACATCTGACCATTGCTTTAGTGGTGGCAAGTCATCAGCGGCCAATCCTTCTTCTCCGCCCTGGGACTTGAATTGGAGTCTGCAACAATCAACCCGGAGTCGACGTTGAACAGAGTGTTATAATAAGTCCCCATTGGCTACAATGGTGCTATTAATAGGTATCCCATCCCATCCTCATCGTGACTTGATAGTCAGACTTACGCACCCCGCAGGCTCAGCCTAGGCGCCCTCGGCGAGCTAGGTCCTTTAAGAATCTACTCGACGATCCAAACCGCCCCCTGGTTCTTCATCTGCGTCGACCTGGAGAGGTTTATCATACCACCCCATCCACAGTAGCCCTCTCGTTTCGATCTTTATGTCTACATCATGCGGGAAAACTAGCACTAATTGAAGCGACCCACCCAGCATCTGACTCCCGAATATGGTTGATCTAGGCACTGTCGACGTCTCCTTTTATCATCGGAACCCCTGTAATGATACCCTGTATCGGCTTTGGGAGACATAGTCGAGCCATAGTAGTAAGTGGGACACTATAATACGTGGCTTGATTATGATTATCCGCAGGGGGGGAGTGATGAAGGTGAGAGTGAGGATGAGGACAACACGAATGACACCAATGCTATTGACGACACCCCAGAGGTCCACTCCGGCAAAACTGCTGGCGGGGAGGAGAGTGAAACTGTCGACGATGTCAATGAGTCCGAGTCTGCGATTGATCCGCCTGCTACCGGGTCCGATACACCGACTACCAATAAAACGAACACACTGAGTCTGGCGCCTCAGTGACGACGAGACATAGGTCCCTAGAAATGCAGCAATATTCCTCCATGAAATGCAGCTGGAGGAATATCGCTGCCTACCGCTACTACCCGCGGTTGATGGTGGTTGCTATCTTATTTCTGGCGTTGTATTAGGGCTCACATTCCTGAGATAACGAAAACGGGTTGGATTAAATGTACTGAAGCTAGGCAAACTACATACATAGTGGGTTATTCGGGGCTTGGTACCAGTTTTCAATCCATCTGGCCAACACACTCCCTGTTCTTGATACGTCGTAGAGAGACGCTAAGCCTCGTACTCTTCGGCGTCTATAGTAAGCTTAGCCTAGGTTACCTCTGATCAGCGCTATTGTTTTCTTTTCACAGTCTACGTCCAAGATATGTTCTACTGCCAGCCACATCATGTTTGAGAGGTAGGTTCATAGTCACGTCATTCAGTAATGATTAGAACTTCAGTCCGGTGTTTGAGAAACCATCCCAACCTGCATCGACCTCGCTTCAGGCGAACCGTAAATTCAGATACGACATGCCTGGTTCCACGATATCCACGCCGAGGGGCTCAACCTCCGCATCACCCGCCGCTCCAGCAGCAACCAAAAGAGGCGTAAAGTGCTAGAGGTTTGTCTCATTAGTGGCGGTGATTCCCAAAACGATACAGAGTGAAGCTGAATAGGTCATACGTACCTCGACGGTTGGATGAGAGCGCTTGAACTCATACAGCTCTTCTAGCTTTAGTAGAGCCTCCTTCCTTTCCTCTACGCTTCTCTTCGTTACTGCCTCACGTAGATGCGTGTCGAATGCTCTTGACTCGGCCAGGACTTTTGCCCGCGTGGCTTCGCGCTCCTCCTCTGTCGGTGCGCTTCTGATTTCATCGATCGAGGCGAACGAGTGCACCGCCATACCGGAGCCGAGGATGACATACCCTTCATGGCTGCATTTGATTATCATCAGCACATTCTCCAAGCAAGATGTTCCCGTTGGATACAACATACCGCAACGCCCCCACAACCTCCCCCAGTCGAATCTGACTCGCCAGATCGTACCCATGAAACGTCGACACCTGGATAACAGGAACATCGAGCGGCGTCTCTTCGGGGAACATGACCTTGAAAGGAACCCAGACGCCGTGATCCACTCCGCGCTCGACGCGCTTTGCTTTGATCCCGCCTTTGACGAGATGCTCCCAAACTTGCACGGCTAGTTCGGGGGCGTCGTGGTGCTTCCAGTCGTATTCGTAGACTGATGGTCGCGTGTCGTGAAAGTCGTTGACGAAGTCGTGCTTTGCTGCGTCAGGTACATGGGGTTCAATTGTTGGAGGGGAATGAAATTTGGGGTGGGAGGGTTGCTTACTTGGATATAAGTCCCGCGTTTGACGTTTACTTTTCCACGGTTAATGTATAGGGTCAAATAGAGTGTTCCGCCGAGCCCTCCAATTGTAAGACGGAATGAGAAAAAGACTTACCCTCGATAACTCCCGGCCCATGAATCTCGCCCGCTTCAAAATGACCGCTGAAGACCACAATCGCCTTCGGTCGCGGGGACAAAGACAGGATCTCCTTTCCGATTTCTCTCAGGTTGGCCTGAACAGATTTGTTGTTCAAGGACTCATTAAACAGTAACCCCACCCCGGCGTGGCCGATGAAATAGGCCGGGTATGGCTGGGTAGGAGGCTCAGTTGTGGAAGGCATTGTGAGGCGAGGGTCGGATTTTCTGGTATCCAACGACAAAACCGATCGTGTATCTTCCAAAAGCCCTGGATTATATTCTTGATTCTGGCTTCGTCGGTAAACTGTGCCGGGTTTGGAGCTGCCGTAGCGAGATTGGGGTTGGCGTGTATTTGGTCAAGTATGGCGTCAACCGAGTTGGAGACAACGGGAGAATGCACCGCGGTAGGAATACAAAGACTGTTAGTACTGTACAAACTTGGAATGTGCGACAGTTTAAGTATGTTGTGTTATTGCTCCTACTACTGGATGCCAATATCGGGTCAAGTTAGGGCTTGCGGCGATGTCTCGCCGAATGTCTCAAGATTTGAAAGACTGAAGATGCAGACTGCAAATCCCCAATTGCCGAGTCAAAGGTTGCAGCCCTATTACCAATCAATTCCTACCAGAACTTCGGGACATGGCTTCGGAATATTCCCCAAGTCGGTCACGACATAATCTGGTATAAGACGATATCCAACTCCAACAAGCCGACCTCGCTATCACATTCGCCAGTTAATTTAACAATCCATATCATGCATCGCTTATTCAATGAGGGCTCCACAACAAGTCTTCTGGGTAATCTAGATGTGGATATCGCCTCCAAAAGTGTGAAGATTCGTGATCCTGCGAGTCATACACTTGATATATTAGTCTTGTCGTACACCCTAAGCAAATCCCAACTTTTGACATCCGCCATTCAACTTTCCACCAAGTCATTAGCACCTTGTAGATATGGCGGACAAAAGCGCTGTCGACTTCAAGGTTGACCCCCTCCCTTCTGGTACAAGTACGCCTCCAGACAGCGAGCGTAGCGACGAAGAGCAAGAAAATGGCACACTCACCCAGCATATCCTCAAGAACGGCGAGCAGGTCCTGGTCACCTGGAGAAAGGAAGAAGAAGCCCGCATCGTCCGAAAAGTCGACTTTCTGTTCCTACCCATCTTCTCGGTTAGTCTCATTCTTGGCCTCTATCATTTTCATGCTAACTCGCGCAGCTGATGTTCACCTGGATGGCCATTGATCGTACCAATGTCTCCGGCGTCTTGACATCCACCTTCCTCTCTGACACGAACATGACTCGCGATCAAGCGAATACAGGCGTTTCACTCCTATGGCTCGGCATTGTTCTCCTCGAAATTCCTTCCAATGTACGTTCGTCCCCGGCCATCTATTCTCGCGTCCTCATCTGACCTATGACAGATCGTCCTCCACCGCATTGGCCCACACTACTGGATCCCCGCCCAAGTGGTAACATGGGGCGTGATCGAAGTCCTACAAAGCCAAGTGACCAATGCAGGCGGGTGGTACGTCGCGCGACTGTTCCTGGGCCTCGGCGAAAGCGGATTTATCCCGGGTGGCCTGTATACGATGTCGAGGTGGTACCTCCCCAGTGAGCTTACGCAGCGGACTGCGATTTATTTCCTTGGGCCATCAATTTCTGCCGCGTTTGGGTCGCTTATTTCGGCGGGGGCGCTGAAGTTGCATCTTGAAGGGGGGTTGAAGGGGTGGCAGTGGTAATTAGTCTTATTCTTCCTCGGCATAGTTCGTATTTGCGTACTAACTGGACCCTATAGGATCTTCATCATCTGCGGTGTTTCCACAATAGGCAAGTCGATAATCAAATTTGGAATGCGCACAAGAGACTAACATGTAACCTAGCGACGGGAGTCCTTGCCTTCGCCGTGGTCCCCAAGTCCCCCCACCACACAGGCCATCTGTTCGGCGGGCTCATCCGCGTGCCAGGTTGGCTCACCGAGCATGAAGCTGACATTCTCGTCGCCCGGCAAACCCGCATCGCGGAGAAAAACCACGTAGCCGGCCTAACTTTGAAGATTACCTGGAAGGACATGTACGCCCCTCTTATCCCTTTCTTCCCTCCCCCATTGACCCGCCGCCCAGTCCACTAACAAACATCAACAGAACTGACGTCCTCTTCTCCTGGTCCACATGGCCATACCTAATCGTCTGTCTGACCGGCCTGCAATCTGTCAACGGCCTGAGCACCTGGGGCGCAACGATTATCAAGTCCCTCGGATTCAGCAGTATCCGCGCGAACCTCCTCAATGCCCCGGGGAGTCTTCTCGGTGCATTTTTCGGTATTATCCTGTCGGGCTTCGTTGACCGGTATAGTCGCTTTGGATACGCGATTATCTTTGCGGCTGTTTGGACGCTTGCGGGGTTGGTTGCGCTTTATGTATGTTCTAGTCCCTCCATATTTTGTGTGAGCTCTGTAATGACGGGGAGCTAACATCGTCGGCACTTTCAGCATCTACCAGTGACGAATAAGGCGTCGTGGTCGTTTTATGCGGCGTATGTGGTTACTCAGGCGGCTCCGTACGTTTTCCATTCTTCCTTTACGAAACGACCTGAATGGACTTTAAACTAACTCTTATGATGCGCAGGGGCTGGCAGCCAATCAACGTCACCTGGCTATCCCTGAATTTCAAGACGCCTCAGAAACGCGCGGTGGCATATGCTGTATACAGTAAGACTGATATACTCCCCCTTCCACTCAAAGAGCGAATCGAACTAATGAACAATCTACTCCAGTCGGCTGCTCAAACCTCGGCGGTACATACGGGAACCAGGTCTTCAGGGCGGTATGCTATCCCCTCCCCCAGCCCAACCACGTCCAGACATCCCTAGGAAAAACTGACACATTGGTTAGAGCGACGCCCCCCTCTACCGCAACGCCTGGATTATCTGCATCTCGCTCGGGGCAGTCTGGCTTGCCGGTGTAATCGTGCAGACGATCGGGTTCCAATGGGCGAACCGCGTTTTCGCCGGAAAGCTGGCTGAGAACCCGGAGCTCGAGAGGGAGGTTGTTCATACCGATAAGCGGGGACGCGCGTATCGATTTTATTGGTGATGTGAAGATCTGCCTGGACTCGTTGATGCCACTTGATGAGGTGGGGTGAGAGCTATATCGAGAGCGTCACTAGAGATATTTTTTGGTCAATCTGCGTTGCAGTATTAATGCTTTCAGGTCCCTGGTGAACTTGATCCTGTATAGATAGAACCTCAAAAGCGTGTCAGCCTCGACGGTGTACCAAGTACACTGTACAGATTAGGGCTTCGGTACGTTGCATACATAATTTTTTTTTTTTTTTTTTTTTTTTTTTTTTGAAAAGCATGACAGAAAGTGGGGTTCCCACACCGAACGGTATCCAAAGCCCACCGCGCCAATCCCCCTCACCACCCAGACCCAGACAACAACCCCCTCGGGAGTTGGCGTCCGTACCGCCGCCCCACTACTCGGCCATGGGTCTCTGGTGGGGTGGTTCGCCTAGACAATCCCCCCACTCGTCCCCTGTCTCCCCTGCATCGTCCCGACCCTCCGCCCTGGCGCTAATCGCCCCCGCCCTCGGCGAACTCGACGCCGTCCTTGCGGGCTATCTGGCGGATAGTTACCTCTGCTACTGGTACTCGTCCGCGCGTTCCTGGCAGCCGTGTTTCCGCTCTTCGCGACGCGCATGTTCGAGTCGCTCGGAACGAATGTTGCACGTAGTGTGCTCGCCGCTGTGGCGATGGGGTTTTGGATCGTGCCGCTGATGTTTGTGCGCTTTCCAAAGGGATTCGGACGAGGAGTGGGTTTGCGAGGTTTAGTTTGAGCGCTGAGAGGGAGGCGATCCGGATGGAGACGGAGACGGACAAGGAAGGGTGTGGTGTCGGAGTCTAACCTCCAGAGAGTGAGGGCCATTTTATTGGAGGAGTTGGTGGGATGAATATATAATCTACCTGCGCAGATAATATTAGGAAGGGGTCGTATGGGCCATACCCACGGTTTCTTTCTCGACAAGTAGAGACTCCATTTATCAGTGCCGAACGCGAAAGCCACCCCAATCTACTAGGAGTCCCTCCCCTCGCTATACTTGCGTGAACGGAGTTTCTGACACATACGACCACAGAGTGTGGAGAACAGGGTTTCCCGTCCGCTCAGCCGTACTTAAGCGACTATTGCAAACGTGGTTAGAAGATAAAAGTGCCCCTTATATTGTGAATTGCTACATGATACGCATGACGACAAAGGAAGTGTACTTGACACGATGGGTCCGGCATAGAGTACATTTGCGGGACTGGAAACTCTACCACCAGCCCCAGTTGTGCCAGCTCCACTCCTCACTCCTCTCATCGCCCTCATCCTCGCCTTCCTCATCTTCAGCCTGGTCTTCGTCTTCATTCTCATCTTGTTCTTCATCTTCATCATCGCCTTCTTGATCCTGATCATCCTCATCATTCTCGGCATCTTCAGCATCGTCGCTCTCTTCGTCTTCCTCTTGTTCCTCCGTGGACTCTTCCTCCTCCTCCGCCTCCTCCTCCTCATCCTCATCTTCTTCAGCCGACCCCTCTTGTTCCTCATCCTCATCATCATCACCTTCACTAGACGTTTCCTCTGGAGTTTCAGGCGCCGTCGCACTCGGAACCGCACTGGGCGTCGAGCTAGGAGTGGACCCCTCCACCGGAGTCCCCGAACCACCACCAGTCGAGGGCGCACCAACAGCAGAATCGCCACAAGCAGGAAGTTCAGAGAAGACACACGCCTCAGTGGGGCTCTCAGACACCTCCTCAGGCTCGCCGCCACCGGCATCAGACTCATAGGTTGTGCAGATGGCGCTCACGTCCGTAGCGCACGTGGAGGACTCAATCGTCACCACGTCGCCAAAGTTTCCGTTCGCACCTGCGATCGTGCTGCCCTGTACGGCTACAACATTTCTGATTGTCGCGGACCGCGCGATGTCCCCGCATGTACCGCACGAGCGGTAGAGCTTTCCAAAGTCGTAAACGGTGAAGCCGTCGATGATGACTTCGCCTCCAGAGTTGTGCTGCACAAGATATATTAGCATCGCCCGACTCTCCCAGGGAACGAACCGAACAGTAAAGTAAAAGAAGCCAGTGAGGAATAAAGGCAAAGACAAACCTGAATAACCTTATCCTCCGCCCCCTGCGCCCCACCCCCAATGACATTATACGGCCCACTCCCCTCCTTGAGCGACAGCGCATCCTCGCAAACCTTCTCCCACCACACATTCTCAATCGTACAGGTCCCCAAACAATAAACGCCCTCGATCTGATCAGGCCCGATAATCGCATTCCGCAGCGTCGCGCCCTCCTGCAGGACAAAGACTGCGTCGTCTTCTCCGCCCTCGCTCTGTCCGCTGCACTCGACGCCGCGGCCGAAGGTCTGTAGTCCGCCGTCGTAGACTTCACCAGCGCCGATTTCGTGGGGAGCGTCAAAGGTTACGCTGCCGGTTGAGGTGGGGAGGGGGAAGGTGAAGCGCTTTTGGAGGGTGGGAGCATGCTGCGCGGCGAGGAAGCGTTCGTGGAGGAGGGCGGGTGCGGCCAGCGCACTGGTTGTGAGGAGGGTGAGGGGGAGGAGGAGCATTTTTGAAGAAATGGGCATTGTTTGTAAAGAAGGTAATATGAGTCTCTAGTGAATGTATCAAGTATCGAGGTAGTTGAATGGTAGCTGCCCGCCAGGGTTATGCTGGGAACGAAGGTGAGGTGGAGGGGGTTAGGAAAAGAAAGGAAAGAGTGAACTGGGCTGTAGAATCCAGCATCAGGTTTCAGCGTCTGACCAGATGGGCTTTATAGAGCGACGTGAGGAATGGATTCTCAGGGCAGCTTGCACCCAGCTGCTGACGCATGCACAAGACGCGGGTTAGGGCTCGGCGTTTCATCATCCGCCCTCCCGCCATCAAACCTAAACACTCTCGAGTCAGGGTCCGGCCTTGGCTGTGCTAAATCCGATCTTGGCTCTGGTCTATTCGGCAAGACAACCAAAGGGATCCTTTACCCCGAACATGCGGTCTTCAGCCAAGCCACAGAGCTGGGACCAGTTCCGTGGCAGACCGTGCACGGGACCCTGGTTAGTCTCAGGTACATTGCACTAGTGTCGACCTTAAAACATGACAGGGCCTTGGCAGGGGTCTCGTCCGATTCAGGCGTCCTGACTCGTCGGCCCTAGTTAGTAACATGCCGTTCGCGCTTATGCAGGGTGTTTGAAACGACCTCAGGTTGATGAACTTGGCGAATCCTCCTGGACACCCAGGTTGCGTCAGCCATTGTATGGGCAAGTTTCTGGCCCGGTCCGAAGTGCACTGCCACGACGCCGCACGTTGAAATTGCGCTTTAGACCCTGAATTGCTGACTGAATGTTCACTCCGCCGCGACGAAAGACTGTCATGCGAGAACGGCGCTTGATATATAGACGGAAAGGTTACCGCCCGATTCCTCGGACACCAGGTCAGGGGTCTTTAGCAAGTCCCTTATCGAGCCGCTGCAAGTAACAGTCTTTCTCTGTTGCCCAGTGTGGCAACTTGATTCAAATATGTCATCGAAGGTCTATACTCAGAATATGCGTATAGCAGAAAGACTGCCGGTCAAGCGCCCACAAACCTAGTCCTATTGCCGCCAGAACCGTATGCGGTTACATCATCTCATCGGCCACTAAGCTGAGGGTGACGACGACCAACATGACCTAAAAGTTCCAGCCAAGTAATTACATTTCTAGCTGTATTATTCAGATTATCTTCCCGACGAAATACAACATCCAAAGACGGCCTCAATCTGATTACGTCGTTGTATGGCAGCTCGTGCTTCAAGGCGAACTAGTTCTAGTATTGCACGAATACCCCAGGACTTACTGCCCGACTCGATCCGCGACTGCTACCTATTAAGCCAAAGTGCGGGCGCTGGGTACAACACGAAGAGGTCTCAAGTCTCAGCAGCCTCAGACATTTTGGCCGAGAGAGACCCCCGGTTCTCGGGTCGCCAATATCCCGGCTTCGGCAACAAGGACACCGGGCCCCGGTGCTTTCGGAGGCTAGTAGGCTTCCAGGTAGTATGATTGGTTGTATGGAGAATAACAATACTCCGCAGATAGATCGCAAATATCATCTTTTCCCTCCTCCTTATCGCTGCCTGACTCCTCCGAAATATCTCCCTATACTGTGCGGCATGTCTGTGCCACAACATCAAATGCGTTGAGGGCTGCCTGGCACATGTCAGTCGGTTTCCCCTTCGAGATACTCATCCAATGACTCTATATCCAGCTAGTAGCACATGGTTGGGTGATGCGGTGAGTGGTCTAATCATCCCCGAGGGGATCTTCCCCATGGACATAGTTATCCACTGTAGTGCTGACTGATCCAGCCGCTAGAGGCGACTCAAATTGCTCTTTTCATGACTCGCGGAATGACGACGACGCGGTGACATACCGCGCACTTCTCCTGCTAACCCCAGACTAGTCGCGCCCATTCATTTCGAGGGGGACAGGTGGGATATCATACTATGGACTTGACGCTTGTGCTGAAGTCGGATGGTGAAGTTACGGCTGGATGCTGTGTCTTTGGCGGAATTTAGCTTGGCAACAAGCCTGACGTTCTTCTTGATCCCCATGATACATTCATTTTGGGATCGGCGCCGGAGCAACAAGTAACGTCCTCTTCCAAATCCCTCGCACGGTGCCTAGCGAGACAGCGACCCATAGCAGAATAACAATCGTAGCCAGGACCTAGAGAAAGAATCAGCCCCATTTCCCGTTTGCCAAACCCTGCCCGAACCCCTTCAGAACACAACGTACAGTCCCTAGCACCCGAAAAAACGCCGACGGAAGCTCATTCCCAAGGAGAATCGTACTCGCCGCATAGACCCCCAGCGGAAACGTGAACCCCCACCAGCTCATGTTGAACGGGAACGGCGCAGCAAAGTATACCGAGGCGAGGGCGAACAGGAGCCATGTCAGGCCAAAGGCCCAGATGATGAGCCCGATCATCAGCGTTACGGCCCGGATGCATTTTGCGGATATGGCGAGGGCGGGGTCGGCGTCGTTGGCGAAGAGGGCGTGGGTTACTTTTCCTAGGTACATGATCCTACGTAGGGAAACTCGGGTCAGCACTAAACCCGGGAGTGTAGACAAAGTTCCAAAGCTGCCAACAAGACGGGACGGCGGAAGTAGGAGCAAACATACGTATAAGACCCGAATCCAAGCGGGCCAACGGGCAAAAAACAGCTCACAATAACCTCGCGCGCAGGCAGCTTGTGAACAGCCAGTCTCTGGTAGTAGATGGCGAGAACAATCGCCGCGAGCGGCATCGACATCCCCCAAAGAACGAAGCTAGCGATGGTTGTGGCGATGGCACGGTCCCTCGATGGGAGGACTTCGGCGACTTCTGCACCGACGCCTGAGGCGATGATTGTGGATGCTATAGGGAGGAGCTGTACAGCGGTGACCATTTCTAGGGAGCGGATGCGGGACTTGGACATGCTTTTCATTGTTAGTGACCACTGCTGATGTGAGGAGTTCCAATAGAGAGTTGAACTCACAGGAGGAACGAGAGATACACCGTCAAGATGATTGCACCTACGGCGTCGACAACCCAAAATGCCCAAGCCATGGTACTCGCCCACTCTCCCCACAAAGGAACGCAAATGAATACCCACATCTCGATGAGTGTCGCGAAGGCGATTGGTATGGTGGCGAGGAATGGAGCGACCATTGGATCACAGAGTGTGGGGCGCCATAATTTGGGGTATAGACAGTACCGTAGTATAGTCAGAGCGGAGATTATGCTGAAGAATAAGGTATTGACCACGAATAGTACGATGGAGAGGTAGTAGAGCCAGTTCGCTTTGAATGGAATGAAGTAAAGCAGTATAGAGGTCATTCCGGTCCCCATACAAACTGTGAACCAGCTTCGAGGTGTTAGTTCTTGTTTGATAGAGAGACAGAAGATTGTATTCAAGCCTGGAGATCTGATAGGCCTCGTTGGCACTTACGCTGGGCTAAAAGAAGCGATGATCTCCCTCCAGCTAGGCCCGGTTGTAGCTATATTCGTTGATTCGACCTCGATGGGGATCCCAGGATTGTCGTAGGTAGAAACCGTGCGAGCAATAGCTGGTTGAACTGGCGCGCCCTCCAAGTCAACTGATCGGTCTGAATCGCTGTCATCAGTCATCTTAAAGTGCTTGTCAGACGCTGAAATGTTGAACGACATGAGGCAGGGTTGTGCCCAAGCAACAAGGAATGGTATATGCGATGCCCGATGTTGTATTATTCCTAGCAGAGCGACGGCGTTCGTGGTTTATCTATGGGTCATTGCAATGTCATGTCTCCACACTCGGGTTGACATGTCGGCCGAGAGGTTGGCCCATGGTGGCAAATCGACTATGCGGGCAAGATAGGCCAACTTAATCCTCACTTCAAGCAAACTCTAGATACCTCCCAGTACCAGCACATGCAGCTAGTTCAGTCATTCGGTTCAAGATGGGATAGCTGTTCTGGCAGATTGGACAACCTTAGTGAGTCGGCAAGGGCCTCCTTCGCACAATGTCAATACTCCTATCAGAACCTCGCATGCCGCTATTCAACTTGCTTTATCATCTATAGTCCAATAAATGTAACGCGGCATTCTTTAACTGCAAAGGGGCACTCCAGGGTCTTGGAGCGCCGGAAGACCCGTGCGATGCTTTTTCCGACGTCGGTACACCGATTCCGCGGGAAAGTTTTCCGGTCTTATCGCTTTGATGCTGTATGGCAACCATGTTCAATATTCGCGGTATGCAAGGTCAGATTTACCACGGCCCGCGTGTTGTGTCTTCCAATTAGTCTTTTGCTGTCTCTTGCGTGGTACAGGTACTTTTGCTTGCGGTCATTGCTGTTGTTTCGACGGTGGAAATGCCCAACATCGGTCGACCAGCAAGGCTACCAGGTAAGTTCGGCCGTCCACCTGCAACCGTCTAACTCTCTAGATTGCCACCTAGCAACCTCGCAGCCTTGCGGAAAGAGTTTTGTTTAAAGAGCGTGTTTATAAGGGTATCCGCGGCTGCAGGCACCGTTGTTAATAGAGTACGCCCGAAGTGGCAATTCCCTAGAACTATATATAACCCTCTCTGAAATAGGACTTGGCATTAAAGACTGCGAACCGGTCGACTGGGCCAGACCACGGCTGATAGAGATGCTAATAGTAAACGTAATAAGATCGGCGACGCAACCTGATACACGAAAGGTCATGGGTTGCCAGATGACTATTGCTCAGATAACGGCATTCCCCCCTCACCCTTGGCGCGTAGGCGATCACGATATCGCTCCGCAAGCTCCGCACAGGGACCCCAAATGCGTCTCCGATTAGCCACCCCCATAAACGGCCCGCTCATAGCATACATCGGCTTCGTCCGCTTCTCCAGCCACAGGTACAAGGCCTTGTAGTCACGGGTTCCATCATGAGACTCCGCGAGATAGGTCTGTAGCTCCCAGAACCAAGGCATATCGCGGAAAAGGCGCCGTTTCCAGAACGGGTTGTTTGATGTCCGCGTGTGGATCGTCCAGGATGCTTTGCTTAGTGCGAATATGGCTTCTCCGGGGAGGTAGTCCAGGATGTGATGGATCATCTCATATGGAAGGTTCCCGAACGGGTCCCTGATCACTTTGCTGCTGAGGTCTAATGGTGGCTGAGCTTCGGGTACGGAGGTTAAAAAGTCGGTGCGAAGTTGCTTGGCTAGGTCAAGGGTGCCTGTAGGACAGGTTACGGTGTACTATTTGTCGTTAATATGGGGACCAATCGCAGGCTAGCATGATTCAAGTGCATACCTCTTCCCCAGGAACGCACTGCCAATCTTGATCCGCGCCAGTAATGTCTCCATATTCTAGATCGAGCCGGCAGAAGTCGGATAAGTGGTGCATCACGTCGTAAAGAATCCCTTTTTGTATTCTAGACACATCGACAACGCCGAAAATGGCTCGGCTTAGGATGTCTAGGCACTCAGCGTGCATTGGGAAGACTGGAGGGTCGGCTAAGTCGGAGACGCCGTAGCTGTAATAGATAAGACATGTAGGTGAGTACTAATCCTTGATCAGAGGATCAAAGTGCTTACGCGAAATATCGGCTTTGCTCATCAGTTTCAAAGTGGTCTGTTTGTCACCATATTAGCATACAATCGCTTGACAGGGTTGGGCAGAACGTTCCATAGTCTTGGTTCGTGTACACCACATTCTAACGGTTGTACTAATTAGTGATGTCAACTTTTTAACATTGCAGCCCAAATCAGACACTTACCCGATCATAGTAGAAACATTCGCTAAAGAAATATCTATCAGGGCCGGGTTCCCGATGCGCAATCCCCAGCGCAACGACATCACTCAACCAGGTCAGCTCCGACCCAGTAACAAGGTCGGGATCATAACTGGGGTCATCCTCAACATCCGCAATAGAGTGGGTATCCAAGCCGTTGTCCGCCTGCGCTGCCTCGCGGAACCACGGCAGCGCCTCTAAGCGGGCTGCCTTTTCTTCTTCTGACTCGTCGTCTGTTTCGTAGTAGAGTTCGCCGCGGCGTCTGGAGTACGTTCTTCTTGCGACCCGTGCGCGTCGGATCGCCAGGTGACGCGGACTGGTAATTCCAATGTCGCAGTGATGCTGGAGGCAGCAGGAGCACAGGGCACAGTAGACACTGAACTCGGCAACCATTGTTCGGGCTCGGAAGAATGGATGGGGGTTGATGAGGTGGTGGAACGTGGAGCTTGCTGGGGCTGAGGTTCGTATTCATCCAAGAACAGTGCCCCAGGTGGGGATCGGCGCCTGATATGATTGGTTGGAATGTGCACTAGGAATCCATATCAAGCCTGCAGTGGATGGGACAGGTGGTCGAGGCTAAGCATCTGAGTATATGCATAGGAGGTTTGTTGGGACACTGCCATGTAGCGCAGCGAGCCGGAATCTAAAGACGAAGCTGGGTACGGTCAATCTGGGATCTAATCACCGTGAGAGAGGGGTCCACGTACTAAATACCGTCTACACGAATCCCATAGCCATGACCTACCGATCACGTATTGAGTTCTGATTTGGACGAGAAGGTTGATATGAGAGTATATCGCGCACAGGGAAAGGCACAAAAATTTACAAAAACATACAACAGTAGGGATTCGCATGTGGTCACCCACCATACTACTAACCTACCGGCGTGTGGCTTAAGTACGGCTGAGCGGACGGGAAGCCCTGTTCTCCACACCCTGTGGTCGTATGTGCTTGTTTTTGATGAGAAGCGGAATATACGACACGCAATTTGGTGGATCTGGCACATCACGTTGTTGTCAAGGATGAAGCGCTGCTTATCCCCCACCCAGCGCGTAGAAAGGACAAGTGCTCTGGCAGCACACGACGAGCCACAGTATTAATGCATACTCAGCCAAGGAATCGCCTAATGATTGTCAAAGCCAGTTCTAAGGCTAGAACACCCTTTTATGTGCACATCCATGCTATGAAGCCGGGTTGTGATATATATAATAGCCCTAATCGTACCGCTTCCCTTGATCCTACGCGTGCGGTTTCCGCAAAGGCGCCAAGCAATACATCAACACCAATAGCAAGCGTAAAAACAATAATCGTTCCCAAACCAAGTACCTTCCCAGTCCTTAATGTAGTCATAGGCCGCCCGCAACAGTGACGCATTCTCCGGTTCTCCATTCGGCAACTCGGTTCAGTATCGAGCGTCACGCCGGATCCTTTCGATCAGGTACTGCGTGCAGGCGCGGACGATACTCGGATCAACGCCCTCAGGGTCCAGATCGCCGATCAGATATCTGCATTCCTCTGCGGTCCGACCCGGTCTGGCTGTTGTAGCTACGGCAAGGCTAATCCCAACCACGACAAAAAAGTTGAAACTAAGCTTCATGATCGACTGCGAGCAGGAATTAGCCTTGGGCATATGCAAAAGTCGTGGAATGAACAGTGGCCAAACTTGGGCGTACCGTGATCTTTGGGTAATAGTCGTAGAAGAAGCTCCTTGTTCGGGCGCTGTGTGTATATCGAAGACAGAAGGAATGGGAGCAAGGGCAGAGTAAGTCTCGACGATAGCCACTTTAATCTCGCGGAGAAGTTGAGCTTGTTTCATAGGCTCAGGGTATTTGTCATTGGAGTCTGGACGTGTTTGCCTGTGTAACCGTGACAAACGCCGCTGGCAGCACCTGGGGCCGTTTCCGTGATGAGGCTGCAGGGGAGGCTGAGGCGCACTTTCCTCGCGAACAAAAGATCGGCCCTAATAAAAATATCGCAATCGAGATTATCGTTAGGAGTGTCGAGGAGCGCTCATTGTGCAATATATGATAAGAAATATTTATGCCTACTGTCTTCGCAACATCCACCCCTTTCCCAAGTCTAGTCCCAGTCTTGAACCCCCCTTGGCATGTAAGGGGCAATCAGCCCCAGTCCAATAGCAATCTCCAACCCACTGTCATCTGTTTGCGAGAGTGGGCAGCCTACATGAGTCCAATAGGCCGCATGCACGGTGACCGTCTGAATCAAAAATTCGTCTTCAAACTAACAGCCCCCAAATTCTGCAGCGTAGGGATTTGAAAATGCACCACTACCACCATATCAGCGAGCACATAAACCCGAGGCTCTTTTTCAGCTTACGCGCCAGGTTTTATTCCTCTTAATGCAAGCCCTCGGATTCTTCCTGACTTTGTCGCGGCACTCTGTAAACGTCTCAAGCTCCTCGATGGCCGACTTCACTCCAGAAGCTAGCACTCTCGGCTGGGCCCTCCGCCAAAACGGCACCTGCCTCGCACACGAACAAGACTGCGGGGAGACCGTCGCTCCATACCGCGGCTGCTGCCCAGGCGGCTCGTACTGTCCCCGCGCCTACAACATCGCCTGCTGTCCGTCGAGCTTGAACTGCACCGAAGCCCTCCAAGCACGTCCAGCCTGCGCGAATACAACGTGGGATCTCTATTACAACGGAGGGTATTTTTGCTGCGAACATGGGACGAAAGGGTATGCAACGAGTTTTGACTCGAACGGGTGTGGGGAGCCGGAGTATGAGCTTGCGGAGTCGGAGACGCTGTTGTCGATTATTTCGCCTGGGACTAGTAGGTGACCTCGTTCTTCAACGTGTTGGTGGGCGTTCTGTGGAGCAAAAGAAGCTGACTGTCCGCAGTCTCAACAGACCCAAGGAGCACGCCCACCCCATCTCTGACCCCGATTACCTTGCGACCGGAACCTACACCTACACAAACACCGACCGCATCCAGGACTGCCGAGCCAGAAATCGGCTCCGCATCGAGCCCCAACTCAGGCGCAATAGCCGGCGGCGTCCTTGGCGGGGTTGCAGGTCTCGCGCTCATCATCGCCGTGGTCTGGTTCCTGTTGCGGACCCGCCGTCGAAACCAGCAACTGCCAGAGTCGGTGAGCACGGTCCGAGAGATCGTGCAGAAGCAATACCCCGCAGATTCGGGACTGGAATCAGCTGGTACGGACGGACAGGCATATCGGGGTGCGGAGCTCGGTGGGATATACCAGGGTGTGGCCGAGCTGCCGGGGCATGATGGCCGATAAGGCAGAGTGCTCACATTGCAACTCTACGTTGTGAGAGTTCACACCCAGTATCAGCCACGAGATTGCCCTCATGGTAGTTTATATGTCTTTTTACCTGTTCGGCTGTGGATTGTAGTTAGCTTCCCTTCTGTGGCCCAAGCCAGTGCTGTTTTATCACTATATATGTACCTAATTACCAGTGCTCAGAACCGCGTTTCGGAATACGGAGGGCTCAGGTTTATGAAATGTGCGAGAACCAGTTGCCTGTGGTGCGGCTCTTGATGTGACTGACTACTTCCTCTCTCCAGATCTGGTAGCAGCAAGCCAGATTGCTAATTGCGCAAGCGCTTCCTTCTTGCCCCTGTTATCTGATTTAACCTCCATGCCTGAGAACAAGAGTACTTGCTTTGTAAAGGCATCTATTATTTGGCTTATCTAGTAGCCATGCCCGCCAAGGCTTATCTTATTATAGAAATCTCGCACCGAGGCATTATAGCAAGTAAAAGAGAGGGCATAGTTAGCCTTCTTGCTAATCTTGCTTAGAGCGTTTTTAGATCTAGGGAGAAGGCTTGCGTCTATCTATTATAGCTACCTATGATAATAATAGGTATTAGAGACGTTCTTTTAATAAACAAGTAGACTCGCACGCTAATTAGTTACAATAGCTAACACCCTTGGATTAAAGAAGTAAAATAGGCTGCACCATATCTAGAAGCTTGAAAAGAAAGGCCCCTGCTTTGCCCTGGCTATTTCCATGTTTATCGACTCCGTACACATAAGATAACTATCTCATCTGCCGAATAACCAACCACAGGACTACATGGATTCTTTGCTGCTCATGGGCCGTAGAAAAGGATCAGCTCACTTGTTGTGTAAACTGACTCCGATGACCGGGTGGCGTCGTTGAGAAAACCGCCACGAATTGGATGGACGATAGAGAATTATGGGAGTTGGGATGAGGATGGCAGGACATAATCGGACATCTTCATTATGAAATTTCGGGTGGATCCGCCCTGGTCAAAAGCCGGGCATGTCTCTGCTCCGGATCGTCAACGCCAGTTCTACTTCAGTGAGTTCACTTTTCCTACCAGCAGCATCCATCGCGCCAGGACAGAAAGCCCGGCCTATTCCAAGATCCAATGGTCAAGGGAAGGAACGAGAATGACATGTGGAAAGTAAATCGTTCCAGACAGCCGGTAAAACATGCCCGATCATGATGAACCGCCACGACCCTTGGCAATGCCCGGGCAAGATAGAGTGGGATCGTCAAAAGTTCCATCGTTCGTCCAGTTATATGTAGCGTCTTCCGACTACGAGTGACAGATGTTTGCGCGCCTCAGTATACCGTGGGGATGAATCTGTAGACTTTTGTTGACTACCTGTTCTGAAGATGGTGGACTAGTCCATCAAGGCAGAACATCAGTTCCTTGGCGTCAGGACCTTGGAGCGCTGTAAACCAATCAGACGCAGCCAGAGTCACGCTGAAGGCTTCAGCCCTTCAGTGCTCGCAGCCATCAATGGCATTTCCCACCAAATTACAGAAACCCAACCAAGCGCGAGTAACGGCAGGAGGAACCATGACTCTCGTAAAAAAAAAAAAAAAAAAAAAAAAAGCCAAATGCCTCTTAATCTCATTAGTGACGCGCATGAGTTGATTAACGAGATTCGCACTGTCCCTATCTACTATCTAGCGAAACCACAGCTGGGAAAACGGGCTCTGACGCAGGTGCCAGAGAAAGCTTACCCCGCCATTCGAACCCCTCTGGACTGTATTTCGAATCCGTTGCGTCCGGCACTTTCCATTTAAAATGATTCAGCAATTTATTCGTATCTAGACCCTAGCTAACTGATCAATCCTTAAATCAACCCTTTAGCTAAATCTTCGCAGTTCTGTAATCGCACTGCTTTGCTGGACACCATCTAGAGGGGTGCTGGGTCGGAATCCTTCTCCGCAGCTGCATTTCCGACTCCCGGTTGGTTTCAGCTGGCCTGTCGACCCCGCTTCCATTATACTCCATACGACTATTTTCTCTGTGAAAACGCGGTTGTCAGATAGCATCGGCAACCCCGTGTTGCCCCCAAACCTTCCTGCTGATTCTGCTCTGCCTTGCCTTGGCGCTTGGTATAAATAAACCAGCAACCTCTGATCTCCGCGTGAAGAGAGAGAGAGAGAGGGAGAACCTCAAACTTTGGTTGTTACATCTTAGACCGTCTTTAATTCTTCTCACCCCTGGTAACAACATATACAACATAAACAAGATACCACTCGTCATGGCCCTTGTTGAGCAACTCGCGGGAACATTGCCCAGTATCGTCAGCGAAATGAGATCCCTCATCAACAGCAGGCAAACCGCCGAGGAGGCGCGCGCGAACTGGGGCTGGAGGCATGGAGGGCCCAGGTTCGCTGATGAGATGACAAAGCTCAAGATGGAGCTAAAAGCGCAAGGCAAGCCGGTGAGTGAGTTCAGTTTCCGAGGTTCGATCGAGCTGAGATTTCTTGTTCTTGTTCCTGTTTTCGGCCGGGTGCTTTCTTTCGTCTTGTCTGATGCAGATATACTTGTTTATTAGGTCACGACATGCACCGCGTATCACGTCTTCAGGGAATCCAAGGTCAAGAACCCCACGGGCCGCATGATTGTGATTCCCATCGGTGGGACCATTACGTTCAAAAATGGCGGCCAGGTGCTCGCCCCCGGCAATTTTTATTACATTGATGACGAAAGAATCCTGCTTGGCCAGGATATGGATCTAATTGTGGCCGCGCTGGAGAAGAAGAAATAGCGGCTGGTTGGCTGAAAGCGACACTCATTGTGCTTGTCAATGTAGTACAGATGTTTCATATATCGTCTACTGTCTCTGATGTCGACTTACTCCGCCCCATGAATTTGGCTCAGGGAGAGCGGTCTTAGTTGAAGTTTTTTCTTTTCATGTTTTTTTTTGGCTAGCACGAATGGGCGCGAGTTGCCCGGGCATCATTGTGTTCAAACAATTGACTGCCCGACCCGTAACCAGCAAAGAATCCATGCAGCCCTGTTGTTGCTTATTTGGCAGGTGATATAGTTATCTTATGAGTACGGAGTAGGTGCACATGGAAATAGCCTGGGCAAAGCAGAAGGACCCGCCGATCGTGGCTTCCACCATGTTCGATTTTCCTCGGCCGTGAGATAGTGCCATTAATCCGTTTTGGGAAGTTAAACTGGGGCTCAAGTTTAGCGTCATCGCAGAACTCGAACGCAGCAAAACAAGAACTCCAACTTTGGATTTGACGATAAATCCCCGGTGCAGGAAGACTGAGGCATACTATGCCCATCCAGCAGCTTCTGCTCGTCCTATTGCTTTCCAGTATATTACGCAATAATGCGATATAATTCCTCCAGGGAGAGGTGATGTATCCAAGTCCCTCCCGTCCATTGGATGGAAGCAAGATATATATAATGACCATCGTCATCATCGCGGCCAACTAGCAGGGTGCGTGCTACACCCTTCTCCTCGATTCAATTCCTAGAGAGCGAAATCACATCTCATTAATTTGCATACTAGTTCTAATTTATCTTATAATACTCTATTAAGTCGGTATTTAGTGCCTGATATGATATATACGCGGATGACTTTGCTTGGCTGGTTAATTGGCCAATGCAGGTGGGTGTATTTTGTAGCTCTTCGCAGGGGAAGATAAGGGATAGAAATAGTCCATCCCTGTATTTGCTAGAGTGGCTGTGGTTGCGAAGGGCCGGCCACCAAACCACCCACCTGAGGCTGCGGCTGTGCTATCATTGGAACTGTGAAATCAACTCGTAAGCTATAGCCCAATAGTTAAGTCACTGCATCATAATACCTGGACTGAAATAGGTTGGTGGGATTGCAAACCCCAAGGGAGGTGACATAGAGGATATCATCGTGAGTCTCGGATGGGAAACTGGGTAGAATGAGGAATGACATCTGCCATTAGGCTCAACCGGGCCGCTACTGGAATAAATTCAGCCCCTGATCCTCAGCTCTCCCTGATCAGGCTAGTGTATGCGTGCACCACTAGATGCTGGTTTAAATTACGGTTTTCTTCATTGCAGACATGCAAACGAGCACCCCGTATATTATAATCCAGAGCTAATATATTTTTTAAAGTAATCCTAGAAATATAGGAAAGATATATAAATACCCTCCCCTTTAAATCTAATTTATAACTGTGGCTATATTACTATAGATAATCAAGTAATTATTTTAAAACTTAGAGGTAGGACTTATAGCCCTATGTTAGACACCGTACTGCGCACCAGAATAACTTGTGCGTTGCTGGCCTTCCCGCAGGGAAGACCAGCGATTAGTTCACCAACAATAGAGACTCATCATATTAACTTGCTTCTGCCGTTTTCTGCCAGTCTAATTTGCTAGATGTCATAAACCTCATCTCTCGCAATTTCTCGAACATACCCTGGACCCCCTAAGTTTATATATGTGGTAATCACGAGTTGGCCCTCATGAACTTTAAAACCCTCTCTAGGCCTTCCAATACCTTTCCAGCATCCCCTTCACCGTCAGCGGCTTAATCTCCGGAAATCTCTCATTCAATGACCCTGCTTGGCAGATTTGAGAGCTTCCATTGGCGGTAAACAGCTCAAAGATAGACATGAACCACTGAAAGGCCTTCTTAGGGAAGTGATCGTATAGCGCAACGTGGTTGGGCAACTCAGTGATCTCGAACTGCTTCAATTTCTCGATAGAGTCGTAGTGGGTCTCAAACTTAGATCCTAACGCAGTCTTAGCACATGGTCTACACTCCCATCAATTGTAGGATGTGTAATGGATACCAGTAGTTTCCTCCGCCAACTTCACAAATTCGTGCCAGGTAACCGCATCACCAACAACGCGACTTTCCTCCTCCCACTTCTCCAGATCCAGCGCGGCAACGACAAATCGAGCAAGATCAAACGTGTAGGTAAATGCCACGGGCACATTTCCCGTCCCCGGAATTGCAGCAATCCTATTTGCGATATCAATCACGAACACATTGGGTTTCAGATACGATTTCATAGACGGCCCACCGAAATAGTCGAGGAAGATCCCGTTGTGGAAAACCGTCCATTCTAGATTAGACGCCTCGAGGGTCTCAATTGCGGCGAAGTAGTCCTTTAACTGGGGGAGGACTTGTAGCGCTCTGAATCTACATCAGCATCGATAATTTCGCATTCAGGCTGGGAAGGAGTCATACGTCCGCGGATATGGGATGGCATATCCACTCGGGACAAAGCGCTTCGTCTCCTTCGAGCGTATAGCAGCTTCAATCAAATTCTTCTGTGATTTTGCGAGCGAGTCGCCTTCCACAGAGAAGGCGGAGATAACGGTGTGGATCTTGTGCATTTCGAGAACGGTGATGAGGCTGCAAATGTCGCTGTAGTCGACTGTAACTGTCTGGGTCTCCTTTGATGGCTGCAACTGGTTTTTAGTATCTGGAACTGGGAGGGCTAAAGAACGTAGCAGTCTGCTAGGTACCTTCCGCGAAAGCACGAATGCTTGATGGTGAGAGGATCCGAGGACCTCGACGATCGTTTGACCGACGCCGCCAGTGCCGCCGGCTACTGCGACGTTTACCATGCTGTTCTTAAGAATGAAAAGTTTTGAAGGTTTGAATGTGGTGGAGCAGACATTTGGTTCAAGGCAGCTTTAAATAGTCCGATGTTCCATGGTTTCAATTTCTCTAGGACGCATGGATCTCATAGAGATGGATAGGAACCCGCCCAGTGCCCGCGGCATCCGGCGCACTGTGGAGACTTGGGTTTGCAGGCCCACCTGCGAAACTAAATGCTGACACCCGCATGACAGGTGGAGAGCAATCCAGCGCGGGGTTGTATACATCGCTTGGGGCGGTCGTAGTTCGGTTGGCGGATCAGTGAGTTGCGCTGAGTCCGTCACGTTCCGGCCATCGACACTCTCGTATACCTCGAGCAGGTGCTCTTGCACTGATGCCGGGAAGCGCTCGATGTACTGTGCAATCTGGTTCGGGCTCAGGGCGTGATAGGCAATTACCTGCCCTGCACCGCCGAAGGACCTCAGGATTCCATCGTCTCCCAGGTGGACGAATCATTCGCCAGTTTGGTCGTGTGGGAGGGTTGAGACCAGCTCCCAGACGTCCGTAACTTCCTGGACCGTGAGTGAGAGCTTTGTTCAGGAAAGGATATTCTGCAGGAGGTCAAACGCACATTGGAAGTGGCACATGTTACCGCGAGAAATAGGGTTGTAGGTAGGAATATCGGAATTCTCATGTCGGAAACAGAGGAAAAGAATTATTTTATATCGTCAATACTTGGCAGGTGTTTTCGGGGATGCTGAGGGATTGAAGGGAAGAGATTAGTTAATGGTGGGAGGGGGCCAGCGAGTGATATCCATGGGCAATTCCCCGAAGACATATCCCGTCGCACCGCATGAGCTGCCCAAAACAGAAGAAAGAAACCTTGCCCGGGCTCCCAAGGATGTTTGTTCAGCCCAAGACACTTACTAAAGCCAACTCGAATTGTGGAGGATGATTTGCTGCACGGAGAGGGCGGCAACGAGATCGGTTGCTCGATGACAGCCCTTCCTATTCGTTATGTCTGAAGCGAAAATTGGTTAATGAACGCAGGTGGGTTGGCAGTGACTCAGTCCGTGGGATCAACGCTGCGCTGCGTAATGGCGGAATTAATTGATGTCTTTACGGCTTGGACAATCGCTATCGGGTCTTGGAAGCTGACTGTAAGCTGGCCAGAATATGACTGAGCGCGGGTGGTACCAGGGGCGTGGATAATGTTAGATTCTGTTCTGAGCTTATCTAAACTGCTACGCTCTCGACAAAACAGACTATAAAGCCAAGTACTGAATACATGTTATAGAGCTGCTCTGGCAAATCCGGTACTCGTCCACATCCAAACCACTGCATTAAAATTTCTGTAGCTATGTGTTAATACTATTACAAACTCATAGCAGAGGGCGTCCATACTGGGCAGGTTGGGTACTTATAAGACCCAGTAGGGTTGCATTCACCATCCGAACCTACAATCCAGCATCCTATATGTGCCAGCCATATGAGTATGAATTGAAAAGAGTAGTGACCATGGTGTACATTGGTACATACCGTCTTGGCAGGCGCAGAAATTGCCAATGCCGCTATGAGGGTCCGCGCTGTGTGTGTGGGCGCTTAGCATCCATGTAGGTGAAAGACACAGGTTACGTCCTTACTCGTTCTCACAGGGCTGACGACCCCTTGCAAGCACATGGCCAGCCAGAAAGGATAGCATGAAGAGGAGGTGAGACACTCTCATTATTGTTATTGTTGCGTGAGGGCCTTGAAGAAAAGGGGTAATGTTTGGTAGGCGTTCACTTAACAATGGCGACTGGGAAAGGATGCCGAGTAAGAGCGTGAAAAAGACTCCTGGGTACCTCTTATAGCTTGTCCTCGTCAGGTGGCAGCACACGGCAATCTCAGCGGCGCAGGCCCTCGTAAAGACCAAGCACCAACGCAAGTGACTGCCTCGTTGTGTCTCAGGTGTGATGCATTTTGATCGCTGGACCATGCCCATTTGCGCTAATGCAATAAGCACTAAACCCTGCTCTTAAGCCCTTTTAGGCCTGTGGCTTATCGGATAGAGCGGCAAGTTTTCTACAGAATGCTTGACCTCGGCCCTAAGGTTGCTTACGGGTGGTGTTTAAGCGCCGTCTCAAGGCTTGTTAAAAGGGCGCATCCCTGCTAAAGTTACATGGGATCTCTGTGCCTCAGCCAACACCCTGCTACCCCGCCCCGGTGTCCGCACTCTCAATCGCCGACAGAACAATCCAGTTCCTGTTGGCCTCTGCGAATATTTCTCACTCTAGGTCAAAGGTCCGCTGAAATGGTACTCATCTCCTACCCTTGACGTTCATTCCTCTCTTCAGCTTTACTTACGCATACATTCACCCTAGTCCAACCCACAGCACCCAGCCACGGCAGCCGGAGAGCACGCCTGCTTGGCCGAAGGCAAATCCGCCCTATCCCATGCCCTGGACTCCCTCCCAGGAGATACCTCCGGGTCCGGCTTCTCGCACCTGGGCACAGACGGCGTGTGGCGGAACTATGACGGGAACCGCAAAGTGATCAGCTATCGACCTCTGTCCCCGGAAGAGATTGCAGAAGTACTCGCCATGTATCCGGCTTGGATGCGCGAAATGCTGGAGAGTCAGCTCGAGGGTGTTGATGGGAGGTCTGTTACGGATGTTGAACAGTTGATGAATCCTGCCAGTGAGGTCGGGCCGAAGTTTGAGGATGATGGGAAGGAGGATGGCGGACGATGTTGAGAGCAATGAGCAGCCAAGTGTTTTCAGAGGCTGGTGCCGGTGTTCACTTTGGCTTCATGGTCCTTCGAATTAAATCCATGATGCCTCGGTTATGGTTCACCACGATGTCCCTGGTAGATTAGGCCGCAATTGACGATTATAGAGCAGTACGGCGGTTTGCTGTCCATGGACCAGACTGGCGACACGGGCACCTTGCTTGGCAACACTATATTGTCCGCGATAATGATTGTTTTAGCTAAAAGACCCACTGGGATACAGACATGCCTGGCGCGCCTGATCCCTGGATGGTAGTTGGCCGCTTCCAGAAGTTATTTGCAATCTCTGGGTTAGCTCAGCTCCCCTGTCCGTTTCTTAAAGTGTGATGCCCAAGGAATTAGCCAGCCCTTACCAGGGCTTAGTTACTGGGGTTTAGCAATAGCGTATAGATATTGCCCGACGAATTGTAAGACCCGGGATAGGGCCAGCCAGCTGCAGACTGGCCACTGCTGGCTAGCGCCGCACAGCAAGCTCCATGGACACAGAGAAGACGATAAATGCGAATGCGCGGCCAAGGAAACAGTCATTCGCGTCCTCCTAGACTGTCCAAAGCCAAGAATGCCACGAAAGAAACTGCGCGGGGAGCTTGGAGAAGCTTTTGGTGATATACCAGCCATGTCAGGAGGGAAAGGAGAAACCAGCCACGTGGAGGCTGTACTGGATTTTGCAGAAGCATCTCAAAGGTTTTGTAGCCGCGGGCCAAGGGGCCCGCAAAGACAGAACTCAAGGCAAACGGCCACCACAGGCCCCTAGGCGAAGCTCAAAGTTCGCCCGTAAGAAATGAGATACAAGGGAAGATATATATATATATATATAGTTGTACGTCGCCTGCATATCGCTTCGGTGCGAGAGGTCAGGGTAAATGAGGGCATCCATTCATCCAGTATCAACCTTCCACGTACGGTTATCCTTCTTACTACCATCCGCGATGCGGTCGCGGGGAGGCCGGGTCAGCCGCTTGGGGCAGGGGAAGGGGCCTGGCTCAGGCTCGGGAGGGCGCTTGGCGCCTGGCTGGGGTTGTCGTGGCGGCACGATCGTGGGCAGGGCAGGTGGTCCCACGGTCACCGCAGCTATCGCTGCGGGACGACCCTTGCGCGCATGTCCAGGATCCCGCCCTGGGTTGCGTGCAGCTGCTGAATTTCACTTGTTGCCTTGAACAGTCCCAGAAGGAAATTTTGCTGCCTTTCACCCAAGAATGGGCAATAAGACAGCTATTGCGATACGTATTCGAAAGCAGCCCCTCTTAAGTTGGCACACGGCTGCGATTCCGGCAAACAAAATAAAAGTAGCATTTTCGTGCGAAGTTGAGGCCAACCATAGAACTTCCTAAAGCGCTGAAACGATGTAGCCCGCTTCCATATATGTAACAGCAGCAGAGGTCAACCCGCGCTACAATAAGAGGGCTCCATTCGCATTCTTTTCTCCTTTCCCATGTGTGCATCCCCTGCTCAATCCATGACAAGCCAAAAGATTACTCCCCACTAATTAGTTGGTAGATTCCCTGTCCGCCTCCGATACTCGATCTTCAGTGTTCTCATATGGATACTTATCGGTAAAATACTTTAACAAGAGCGCGGTCACGATGCAGCCAAACATCAGCACGATAGTCACTGTAAATCCGGGCACGTATTGCGGTGCTGTGCTCGAAGGCCAGATATAAGATCCGTATACAGATGAGAGATTGGCAAAGGCACTGATTGAAAAAAGAAAGAAAGAAAGAAAAGAAACCCGTCAGTCAATAGTAAAGAGGAGGAACGCACAAAAAGTGAAGCGGTAGGGCGGTAGAATGACAATTAACGTACTTGACAAATGCAATAGCCACAGCTCGTTTCTCGGCCGGTCGGGAAATGGTATTTGAGAGGTAGCTTAGGGTTAATGGACTGCAACACCATATACCGGCAGCGCCTGTAGTTATATCAGCTTAGGACGAAGGTTCCTGCTTGACTGGAATGGATAAGGGAAGATAGATAAGAACGAACCGAATGCTAGGAATGTGTAGCGAGCCTTGGGATTATCAACTGTGGCCACAATGATCAAGGATATAGTGGACATGACAGCCATGGCCATGATATGTTTTGGTCGGTCATTGAAGTAATCAGATGAGAAGCCACAAATGAGAACGATGATCAAGGCAACCATATCTGGTCGAAGTAACTAACGTCAGATCACGAACACGTACGCTATTTTGGATATTGGTCAATTCTTACAGATTGGGATAGTCATCTAACCACCAATAAATAATGAGTCAGTGTGCGGTCAGAACCAAGGGGTAGGGATAGAAAGGATACACGAACATATTGCACGTGCTGGCCAGTGTAGTTCAAGGCAGCCATTAACGTCGGAACAAAATAAGTGATGGTGCCAGCACAGGTACAAAATGTCTGTGCAAGGAGGAAAAGCCAGGTCCTAGTTAATATAATTCAGTCTCGATCCTTTTTGCTCACTTTCAGGAGAATCGCTGCGGTTACTTACCTCCAATCACGAATAGCCGATACAAAGCTCTGCCAATGAGAGACATCTCTGGCACCGCTCGAGTTGCCATCGTCTTCTAGACGTCGGATGGCATATTCTCGCTCTTCCGGGGTAAGCCATTTCGTCGTAGCTGGGAAGTCCGGCAACACGAATCTGGAAGAGAATTGATCAGTGAGTGTTGACAATAAAAGAAATCTTGTTGACGTACATGGAGATTATGGCAAATCCAATGGTCATCAACCCCTCAACTGGTAGCAACGCACGTGTTAGCTTGGTAGAACGAAGCCATAGGCTACTGGATAATCCTACTCAAGAACAACCATTTCCACGCGGGAAACGGTGGGCGATCTTGCATGCTCTGTAAGATTCCCCCGGCTGAAGGAAGGAGTCAGCAGAGACACGTATAGTAAATAGTGTCTGACAGATACACTTACCGATAAGTCCACCAACGGCACCCGAGATAAGAGATGCGCAATAGAAAATGGAAAATCTCCGGGCAAGTTCGGTTTTTTTATACCAGTTACTCATGAACAGCAGCACACCAGGCTAATTACCAGGTCAGCATCCAAATTCTGCCTAAGTCCGGACCCTGGTGGACTCACAAAAAAACCGCCTCGATCAATCCCAGACAGAAACGAAGGGCGATAAGGCCCTTTTTCGAATTGACGACCACATAACAAATCCTATAAAGGGTCAAAAAGTAGCCAAGGTACAACTTATAGCACCTGCAACGCACACCATCCCACCCCAAACAATCTATGAAAAGTAAGCGCAGGTATGGGTTTAAGAGGCATGAGGATCGAACCATAAGAATGGGGAGATAGAGGCTCGGACGAGTCCGGCTTAGAACCATGTTGCTTGGCACCTCAAGTAGCAGATAGCCGATGAAGAAGATCGAGACAGCTAAAGAGTAATCCGACGAAGAGAGGCCTAAATCGGCCCCCATGCCAGCTTCTTTGGCGTTGCCAATACTGCAATAAATGCTCTGATTAGCGTGAGGAATTTCCTTGATCTGGTTTGTGCCATCTCCTTACTTGTTTCGATCAAGATCTTTGTAGAGAATCCATCATCAGCTGAAGTTCTCATAAAACTTGGATTTGATTTTTTTTTTTCAGCACACACAGTTGAGAATGTACTAAAATTTAGTGTTAGCTTGTATTCAAGGTGGGATTGATCGAAGATACTAAACCGACCATAATGAATAGCGCTGGTAGCAGTCGAATATCCACTTTCCACAACAGTCTATTGCTTGTTCAGCGTCGAATCTTTGTTGATTTTGGTTCGACTAAAGTGACTTCAGACCTTTTTTCCAAGTCCCTGTTAACAACGAAAGGACTGGGGTAAGACGGTCTAGCGTCCTCAACCTGAATCGTATCGTCTTTCATTGTTAAAAGTCAACCGTTCTGCAGGATGTTAGGTTTCAGACCACTGACGCGGGTTGACGGATATATAACTGAGATGGACGGCAATTTTGTGCGGAGGTGGAGATGCCGCATATTTCCGTGGAGACTCCGAAGAACAAGCTCCAGCTAATCTTTCCGGGGTGGAGATGCTGTCTAGATTTTATGGAGACTCCGAACGTGGGGTTTGGCCACAAAAAGGAAGAAATAATTCTTCGGGTGGGGGACCTTGGAACCTTCGTGATCTGGAATAGTGGATAGTTCACAAGGGTAAAGATAACAGGAAGATTTTTGGAGGTGGATAATCTACGGACTTATTGCTTAGGTATGTATCAGTTGCTTACAAAACACTGATAACTCGCCAATCATCCAAAAAAACGAGGGTTCCTGCAGGGGAACTATCTGGGGTCGATATTTTGTCTAGTGATCATAACTGACTATACCCCATGATATCAGGAATATTTCTCCAGCTCCTCTCGATAACTCCGTAGTATTATATAACCACCTGACCCTTGAACCCTGAACCAACCCCATCATTCGTCTCGTTTTCCTTCTTCCCCGCGAACCATCTCGGCGAAGCTTGCGTAGCCCTCCTCCATGCGCGTCTTTAGACGAGCTTCAGGGTCCCTAAAGACCCGCTCGAAATCGCCCACTCGAGCGGATACTCCTCGGTTCTATGATAGTCGGGCCGTTCATTATTCATCGTGACTCCGTTCCGAAATAGCGTGCGCAGCATTTCCTCCTGTGCTGTCCACTCACATTGCCGTAGGCGCTCCAGGAGAGGTGATTTCTGTGCTGCCGTTGGAGGAGAGGAGTAAAGAGGAGAAATTTCGAGTTTGGTTTCGCGTTTCTGCATCCCGGCATCTTTGGGGCCATTACCCAGATCCAGGTTATAGACCAGCCAAGATTGACAATCGTATAGAAAAACATACAACAGATTGCGGTCATACAATCTTACTGGAACCAGTGAAAAATTATTTCGAGACATATATAGGAGGAGCTACTAAATTTGGTGACAAACGCGCTAGCATATGTAGTCAAAAACAAACTCAATTCCCATATTCATATACACGACACCACGTTTTTTGACTTCCAGGCAATGCGATAGGGATCCTATGAGCCCAACATTGAACTCCTCAACCAGGATCAGTTAAGGCGCCTGCCTCATAGATATACTATTATCTCTCCCTAACAGGATATGGATAATCCTTTCCCAATTTACTGTTTAGGGGCATTAACATTCCCAGGTCCATGCCAGTCATCAAATCCCTATGGCAAAACAATGGTCAGCGATGCAAGGTGCAGGCAGCACTGTTGGTGGTTTTCCTCAGGGTAGAGCAGCTTAAGCCCACTCACCAAATCATGTCCCCACAGTGGGGTGTTGACGCGCTGCTGCTTTCCCGCTGCGGCCATTCCTTCCAAAGTATCCAGGTCCTCCTGGTGCAGGGGAATCACTTTAAGATTAGATTCGATACGGCTCGGTGTCACCGACTTGGGCAGCACGACGCAGCCACGGTTGACCTGGTAAGAAATCAGGATCGTCGCGGGGGATACATTGTATTTGGCTGCGATTGCTACGAGCTCCGAGTCGCTCAGCAATGGAGAACCTGTTACGTTATCACGTTAGATGTTGCGTGGTGTCAATGGTGGGGGGGTCATTCTATATCACCGGGCAACGGTACCTGTTGAACCGAGGGGGGAATACGCTTCCAGGAGGATCCTCCTCTTCGCGCACCATTCTTTCAGTGCATGTTGCGGGCAGTAAGGATGTAGCTCAACCTGCGATGAGATATTGTTAGCTAAGTAAAGATAGTTTGCCGGGGCGCTTGAAAGTTTCGCTTGTCACCCTATCCGTACCTGATTCACGGCGGGAACAACTTCCCATTGTTTCTCCAGATCCTCCAAGTAGGGCACACTGAAGTTGGACACTCCAATGGCCCTCACCTTGCCGCTACGGTACGCCTGCTCCATCTGCTTCCAGGTGTCCTGCTGGTTCCAAGAGCGGTCCACAGCGCGGGTGCCGTCGGGGTTCGTGGGTAAGAGTTGAGAAGTCTCGTTAGGAACCAGACGGCTAAGAGCAAAAGAATTATAAAAAGCAGGCGTCAGCACTATTTTCCATGGACATGACATTCGGCGAAGACACGAACACTGGCCAGTGGATCAAGTAAAGGTCTAGGTAGTCCGTTTGGAGATCCTTCAACGTCTGCGCAAGACCCTCGGCGACATTGTCTTGGTGAGTATTCCACCTGCATTTAGAAGGCATTTGTTAAAAAGCAGTGTTCGCGCTAGGTATTTGTAACCAACGTACACTTTACTAGTGATGAAGATCTCCTCTCGGGGAATCCCAGACGCCTTGACTGCCTCGCCAACTTCTTTCTCTAAGATAAAACGCGACGCTTAGTGAATTCAAGAGGCAGATGGGTATTGTCGCAGACTGCAGTTGACTCACCATTTTGATAGATCAATGCACAGTCCAAATGCCGATACCCGCATTTTAGTGCGTGACTGACAGCTTTGCCAACTTCACCTGGCTTTGCCTGCCACGTCCCTGTAGCATATCATATCAGTTGATCGAGTCCAAAGCTGATAGATGAAGCAGGGCAGATGTACCGAGTCCAACTGCGGGTATTGAGCCGCCGGTGTTGAGCTTAAAATGAGACGGAACGGACATCTTTGTGGTTGCAGATTCACACGCTTGTTGGTAAAAGTGAAGTGACCTTGTCTATATATGAACAAAGAAAGGAGAAATTCTCCTCCAAATCAACCTCGAACAACTCCGATGGATGTGGGGTTTTCTCGGCCAACGTTGGGGATATATGTAGTGGAGACCCCGAGTGGATGATGGATTCATTTCGGGTCTCCACTTCAACTACCTAACTATTGAGTCTTCTAGCCAGACATCATCGCTCGGTGTAGACTGATTCTGTGTTTTAGTTTAGGTGTCTTCAGAACGATACTCGACTTAAGCAGTTTCCTTCGCTAGATCCAACAGCACATGGCGAAATTGTACGGAGACACCCCATGACATGAACTCCAGTCGTTCGTAAAACGTAGACAAGAGTTTGGATATCGGCAGGTCCGCCAGATTTCCAAGGCCTTGAAAAAAAACCTGGCCTCCATGTTGAATCCACTCATCAGCATTATCAAATTCAGACCCTACAATCGTTGTTGCTCATATCAGTTACCGGCGATATATGAGGGGAAGAGAGAGAGACAGAAAGAGAGAACGCAGATACCCAAAAGAAGAGCTTACATGTTACGACTGTTCGCTTAGAACCAGAGGACGAGATATTCAAATCACTGCCGAATTTTATAATCGCCCACAATGCCAGCGCAGCGTAAAACATCCACAGTGTTTCGCAGGGATTGCTAGAAAAGAAATTAGTTTCTCAATTGCACTGTAAGGCATAAGTGACTCACTCGAACGGAAATCGAATAAGGAGGGCATTGAGTCGCCCGGCATGGACAAGAATAGACCTTGCACCGACCACATCATCCGAGATTTTGGAGGAAAGCCATGAGCGTGCATTGAGCTTGCTCTCCTCGGTCCCTGACTTGCCAGCAGCGATTTTCACTTTGTCCAGAAATCCAGTCCATGTGAACTGCAGATGCCCAAGATGAGATAGAGCCGACACACTCAGAAGAGAAGGGGTAGGTGGAAGGGACAGCGAATGAAAGTACACGGATAACTGATCAAGTAATCTCTGTGGATTGCTAGGACAAATCAGCAAACAGTTCAGGTATTGCAGGGGAGAGTTCAATAGGGCCCGGTTACTGCTTGATATTCGCCGGAAATGGTAGTCGATAGAACGAAGGATTATCGACTGGCTGGGCTACACAAAGTGAGTCTAAGGAAGCCGCGTCGGAACAAAGCCTACAAATCGTCGTCAGCAAGACCGGCAAATGATTCAGGTACAACCTACCTGTGGAGGGTATGTGCAATTATAGAGAGAGCAAACGGGCTCAATGTCTGTGGCAGCTTGCCCACTGATAGCAGGTCCTCAAGAACTTGACGGAAATTGAGGGTGCCACTTGATGGCTGAGCAGAGTCATCATGTGTGTGAGGAGAGCGGGATTCCCAAACGTCCTCGTTCCAAGGAAGTGATATATCAACCTCACCGACTGAAAAATGAGGCGAGATATTCAACAAAGCGGAGATTTGCATGTCATAGAGCTGGAAAATGGGGAAATTTTAGCTTTGGAAAAAGGTCCAGTAGGGCTGAATGGGCGTACATAAACCCCCCAGCCTAGCCTACAACGCTCCTCGTCCTTCATACGTGCTTTCTCTAATTCGTCAGTGGAGGCGGTCCCTCCGTGCTGTTCGAGCTCTTTGACAAAAGAAAACGCTGGGCGAAGAAGGTGCATTCGCCGAGCGGCCGTGACCAATCCACCACGACTAACTTCGGCATGGTGGTAGAGCAGTCGAGAACCGCAGAAAAGTCCGAAGATCGACTGGAGCAACCAGGCCTGCACGATCGAAGTATCAAACATGAGATGCCGGTCACTTTCTCTCAGGTATACAATTGCTCTCCTGCACAATTCATTGAGGCCTACAGCAAGTCTGGTCATTCGCTTTGGGGAGTACATAGCCCCAATGGCTGCCATGGCCAACAATAGAACTGGACTGTGCTCACCTGATTGGAAGGATGAGCGGCAAAGGATTGGCAGGGTTTCGTGGAAATGCTGAAAGTAAAAATTGATGCAAGTAGACAATGTGCGGGTTGACGGAAAGGCGGACACGTCGACCGTCGGCCAATGCGGCTGATGAGCACGGTTTATGACTGACAATATTGCTTCGCGAGTGGAAATATCGACATGATCAGGGCATTCCCATTGGAAGATCGGCTGTAAGGTTGAACATGGATCTACTTCGATGATACTCAATTGTTCATCGTCTCTGCTGGGCTTGTAGACATGTGGCTAGGTTTGTGAAGTGAGCAATAAACTCCTTTTTCCAGATACAGATTGTTTGCTTACCCAGGGGCTATCGGCCGGCTGCGCATCTCGTATTAATGTGATATATGACGCATCGTGTACTGCTCTTTGCGCCGAGTGCGCAGGCGAATGCATGGGTGTTGAAAGAGAGGGCCAGCACGCTGGCGGTATAACAGGGGAAAACTCGTTGGAATCCGTAAAAATATTGATCTCCTCTCCACTGTAGCTCCATCCCATATAGCTTTCAAACGGGTCAGTTGAAAAATCGTAAAGGCGGTCAAGTGAGAAGTCAACCCCATCTATAAACACATTAGCCTGTGGTATGTCGGCGACGGCTCGGAAAAAGCCTACCAGGGGCTTGAGATTGAAAACGGCCAACAGCGCTGCCTTCCAAGGGTGCGCAATTTGTTCTTAATGTTGGTTGGGGGGGATCAACGCATGCCACAGAGGTTTGCCTGGCGCCAGGTTCCGTACTGACAGCAGAGTTCTCAGGCAGAAAAGGCCTACTTGAGCCGGTCTCCAACGTGCTCTCCATTCGACTCTCGCCAAACTGATCCAGTGTTAGGGGATTTTGGGGGGTTCTATCTCTTGATATGTAGAGACACGGTTGGCTAGTGTGCAGACATCTCCGACATGTCGTTCCAGGCGCTCCATCACAACGAAGCTTCGAAGCGGCACATGCTTTGCTAACAAGCCGTGAGACAAGGGTTGAAATGAAGGAATTTTACTCACCATGACACCTTCCGAGTTTTCTTGACCAAACCAACGGCCTCCCCGTGGAGAGCGGCATGTCTTGTCATTACATCCCTTGACATCCGCAACTGATGAGTCGAGTCAACCACAGGAAGGTAGAAAACTCATACCGCCGGATAAACCGCTTTTGACAAATCGGGCATTCATGTCGAGCATCACCAGTATCTACGGGAATTGAAATTAGCGGTCTTCAGGAGCAGAGAACAATTCCGGACACTCACGACCCCGCTGGTGGCGCTGGAGATGCTCAGCTTTTCCAAAGGATCGACGACACTCAGGCCAACTGCAGACGAATTTACGCTTGAAGGCTTCTTCCATGGCTACCGACCGGGTCTGAGTACTGGGCTATCAAGGTGTGAAGGTCATATGTTGAGGGCCGACGCTCGCAGATGGCCAGACGCCAGCTGATGCTGCAGCTCACGGAGACCCATTTTCTGCTGCTGAGTAATGAGCTGGGAAATTCAACGTCTCACCTGCTCACGTGGCTCCTGATCATTTGGTTATGCCTGATTACTAATGCTCCCAACATGGCTTCTTGTTGCCCTCTTTTAAAGGTGCTCAGAGTAATAAATCAAGCCTAGCATCATGGCCCTGTAAGTGCTTGATTGCTTCACCCATGCCCCAAAAGTCCTCTCCATGCTCTGTGCACGTATATTCCATTATATTGGAAGATTCTAAATTCTGCCGAATGATGCGTTCATGTTTCCGAAATGAGGAAGTCGTCATCATAGGAAAATGTGATGTTTGTCAAAGGACCGAGGCCGGAGAGTAAGTAATCAATACTATTTGCTGCTGTTTTTGCCAACTTCGCTCTCTTTTCTATCTGCGCTTCCTCCCGCTGCGCGCCCCAGCCTTGGGGAAAGGGGTAGGGGCACAGTTGTGTTATCAACGCGATGCGACACCACGCGTTTTCTTGCCATATCTTGTCAAGCAAATCCTCCTTAAATTCATGTGGTCACTTCTTGAAAAACCAGTCGAGGCAACTGCAAGAAGCCTTTTAGTATTCAATATAATGGTGCCTAGAGGCTCTTACTGAGCCAGATTAATCGCTAGAGGGAGACTAGGCTGCGAAAACCACCCGACACGAAACTGTTCTGGCGGAGTGACAGGGCACCCTCAAGTTCAGCTAGCTCTGTAATGAGGCAGGAACCAAACACAAAGCGATATTAAGAGATCATGTAGCCTGCGCCAGCGAGGGATAGACCGAAGCCTAAGTGCTCTCTGGCATAATGGAAGTTTTCAAGCCTGACAGGATAGTGGTTGCCGGATGTGTTAAAGGCCTACACCGTGACCGAACCACTTATCACCTGGACAGATACAGTGTACCGCTTCGAAGTACAAAAGGATATGGTGGGAACTGAGCTAGGTTAGTGGTGGCCTCTACAAGACACGGTCGGCTGCTAGAGAGAGTAGCGGGCCGTAGCATCATAGAGGTGACTAGAGGGCGCTGGAAATGGTATGTTTCCAGCTCGTACCTGGGGTATGGCCGCGTGGTATCGCCAACATATCCTACTAGATAGGTTTGCGGAGACCCTGTGCTGGCTCGAGAGGACGAAGCGCGACCGCATGAGCCTGATCAGTAGTCTGATCCTCCTGCACCTGGGCTACCTCCTCCTGTATACGCCGATAAACAGCCTGCATCATATCCAGTACATGCTGGCCGACGGCAAATCACCAGATGGCGAGCTGCGCGAGTCGGCGTACTTGTGGACGCAATCACCACGCTCAAGGTTGGCTGCGGAGCGCGTGGTTTCCACCTGGGCACTTATCACTAGTTTGGGTTTGGTATTGGAGAAGGAAGTTGCGGCAGGAGGAGGAGATAAAAGAAAAGGGGGAAGGGACCAGGCTCACGGCGAGACAAACCAGACTGCACATGGAAAGACATTGCAGTTCAACCTTGTTTTGTTCCTTGGGTTGCATTATTCTGCAGTCTTGCTCTGGGCGTATTGCAGGGCCAATGGGGTTGCCAATGCGTCAGTATCAGGGCCAGAGGAAGGGCCAGAGGTGGAAGTAGATACAGGGGTTGGAGGAAAGGGGAAAGAGAATACCTAGCTGTTCCTCTCCCTTTACGCGCCGCGGTCACCTGCTAGTGTGCGTATTGCGCTTAACAGCAGTAATGCATCAAGAGTGTTACAGTGCTTTGTTTGGGCGTATAGCTTGATCAGTCCCTCATGGTGGTCATCTTTTGCCAAGGCAGCGACTGCCTTGTCGGAAATGCCGTTCCCCGCTCTCAAGGGATGATTCTGGCTTATCGGACATGCTCTGGGTCTCTACGCTTGATTTGGGGGACTGTAGATAAAATACATAGTTATTAATCACCATTTCCACATCATGGGAATGAGGACCTTAGCTTAAAAGACCAGTAAGCGCTGCAGTACTTCTTCAATTATACAACGTCTTACATGGTAACTGGGGGCACCAAGCAGGACGTGGAGTGATGGTTCAGGTCGACGTTCCTGCCGTGCGCCCATACATATTCTAGTAACTCGCCACCTTTTCCAGCGGATCGCAACTATATCAAAGATCGTTTCTAGGGAGTCTCGAAGTTCTGTGCTTATAAATATTGAGCTTTTGCGTCTGCTTGAGTTTTTCTTGCTCCTCGTGTTCCTATATTTTGCTTCGCGATTTATCTACCAAGCAGAGTTGGGTCTTATCACAGCTTCGTAATGGAGACTTATAAGTTGGAACACGAATTCACCATGTCAGCTGCCATTGAGAAAATCTTGAAGGGCAAGACTGTAATCGTCACTGGAGCTCCGTTGAATAAACAAGAAAACTATTGCTAGCTGAGACTTTTTCCTGACATGGCCTCCATACATTGGCGCAAGTGGAAGCAGCAAAGTATATTTGCGGGGCTTGGCAACAGCAGGGCACAATTAAGCCCAGAGATTCTGCAGGACGAGACAAGATAGCAAACCAAGAAGCAAGTCTGTGGTTCACGTGCTGCTCTCTCGCGGAGCCCTTCCCTCGCAACCCAACCTTCTAGAGAGCGGCATCTTAAGATGTAGAGGGCATGGACCAGCTCTCCCCCCTTTACTGTAGCTCTTCCGGCGCCATTTCTTCAGGCTCAGGCTGGGATAGGTTTCCTCCTGGCCTCGGCTGTGAGTTGGCTTCGGACAATAGGCTTGATGAGAAGTGAAATCCGCTACGTCTTCTATCTCGACCCCCCGAGGAGCAAAGGAAAAGACACTCTTCTGTTATTCATACATAACTAAGACAAGCTTTGGTTATTCTGTGTGAATGCCACAGCCCATTTTGTCTTATCCTTGAAGGCTTGATTTGCCATTTGTAGCAAATATAACTCTATTTTGCTGTCATCACAACTGAAATGCATCAATAACTAATCTTTTAATTCAAGGAGCTCATTTTGTAGCTCCTTGAATTCCCTCTCTAATTTCTTTTTCGCGCTGGCTACCTCCCTATAGCAAAGCTCTAATTGCTCTGTTTCCTTCTTTCTCTTCTCACGGCTCCTACTAGCAACAACTCGGTTGCGCTCTAGGTGTTGGGTCCTCTTTGGAGATTCATGTGGTGCTCCGTGCCTGTGAATTGACGAGCATGATTGCATGTTTTTCATACAAGGTAATTGGGCGCAGTTTTTCTGGTTATCAAACATGTTGAAGAGTTGATAAGCCTCTTGACCCTTGATGCTGGGACAAGCAATGTTTGTCCACCCGTGGCTTTGGCTGATCGGAAATCCCGAAATCAAGTTAAAAGGTTATCAGTCATTGCTATCTCCGGACTCGTGTCGCTGAGCATTCCAGACTTGATGACTGAGCTTGATCTCATTCAAGCACGGATCTGTAGTGACCAGATAGGGCTTCTTATAGGCAGAGGATGATATATAATCTTGGCTATGTTGGATCTTCTCGGTCGAAGGTGGCCTGGGAATGAAAGTGTCGCGTAAAAATAACTCCCACGGGTCAATGCACGGCGTCTCAGAAATAAGTTCGGCGCACGGAATATGGCTTTTTGAGGACATGTTGATTGAGCCGACTCTTGGACGCCTATTTGATTGGCCTTGTGGTTATGGAGGTAGGAGGAAGAGCTTGACTTCCCAATACCAACAGGATTGCTGCAAGCAAGTTCTTGGTAGACTGGGAGAGGCTCATTACAATGAATTGGAGTAAAGAGTTGGTGCACGAGGGGTGCTTGGGCGACGCTTGAATATTTTTCATGATAGTGGCCAATCTTTATGATAATTGCATTATTGATGCACACAAACTAAGAACAATTGCCTAGTCAATATACCTGATAGCGGAATGATAGAGCATGCTCAATTGTTCTGTGTAAATTGTTTATACCATATGACGTCAATAACGGCCTTTGGATTATCTGCTGCTCCAGCAGATGCCAATGCTACAATGTCAATCTGGAAACCACATCCGTCCAAAGACGGCCTGAATATCACGTCCCGCCGTTTGATTGCGGATACCGGTTTCGCCGACCCACAGTATGCATGTATCCACCCACTGTCAAGAGTCCCCCACATCTATACTGCCACTGAAGTTAGACATGTTGGAGGACGCTTGATGTTAACGTTTAGAATAGAAAAAGTTAAGTCGGGTGGTTGTTGGCCCGAGTCAAGAGGGTAGGCTTGGGGTGCTTCTAACAATCGGCACCTTTTGCCGATACAATTTTGCCCACTGCTCCTTCAACGACGGGGGGCTAAATGCGGCCACTGAGTTAAGGATGCTCTATGCTACTTCATCCTACTAGTTCCAACTTTTCAGAGCGCCAGTAGTCTGCCAAGGGTATAGTGGCGACTAGTCCCGGGCGGCTGAAGGGTTTGAACTGTTGACAGAAATCTTTGCCTTTAGAGATCACCCCTATAGCGAAAAAATCACATGCTTTTCACACATTTTCTGACCAAATTGTAGAAATGGGAGATAGAGCTTGGCGGCGTGCAACTACCCTGGGTTATGTTGATTCCTTGTACTGTAGTAGACTTTGTTTTGTTCATTATGTCAGTCCTCACAAAACTAAGTATCGGTTCTGATTTCAGTCGAGAAAAATGGCTTGATGCTGGATTTGCCAGGAATTGTACGATCTCTGTGCGGAATCTTGGGTTCTGCTGCAAAGAAAAAGTCCATCAAGCGCCAGAACATTGAAATAAAGGCCTTCAAATGCAAGGGCTAGGGGTCTTACTGCCTTAAGAAACCAGGAATTGAATACTAAGATTGGGTGGGTGGTGGTGGTGGTGGATCTAAGACATTTGCTTTAAAATGTTTGGAGCGGCCAGACCGTGCTCATCCAACCTGTTTTTAATGTGATGGTGAAGGGTATACTAGAGTCTTAATATTACAATCTTTAATATGCTTGGTTTATTGAATCTATCCAAGAATTAGGTTGTTGAAAATAACTTCAAGTTTGCTTGGGACAGTCGATTCTGGTCGGGCGAGCGGATCACCTGGGGTCATGATATTTCTATATGTATGATACCTATTTATGTCAGTGTCCCTTCGCGCAAAACTCTTCTGGGCTGTGGAGGGTCTACGTTGTGATCAATCATCTCATCTTTTTAAGATGTTAATGGAAGCACATTACCGGACCAGTTCCTCTTCCCGAATCCACTCTAGTTTCGCAACTGAATCCAAACGCCCCGTCGCGTCCAGCTCAAGTTGCGCTTCGATGCAGCCCAGTCCACATCGACTCTTCGAGCCATTCCCTGTTGTCGCTTCGGATATCGTTGCTGCGTCCTTGAGGGCACGAGCTTCAGATCATATTAGGTTAGTCCAGGTTAGTTCCAAGAACTATTAATAGGGAGCTTTCTGAACCGTTCAACTCGTCTGCCTCATTTTGAGGGCCATTCGCGGCGGTTGGATCGAAAAGTACCAACTGCGAGCAACCATGGCCACACGGTCACGATTTACCAGAGCCGGCACTGGGGGCCCTCCTTTCATCATTGTCTGGCTGGTGAGGAATTTCCAAGGTGGCTTCTGGCCAGTCCCACGTTGATTGGACTAAATCCATCTTCAACTGAACTCTGGATAGAGACAAACGAAAAACAGTCCTTATTCCGGGAAATATATTTCCTCGACGGCCCGCGCGCCGTCCTCTACGTCTTTCACTGGCAGTTCAAACTGGCATGGGACCTGGATGGACCCTGGATAGGGGTCTATACATTCATTGCGTCCCCATCCCCGCCCTCCTCCTCTACATGATAGCTCTGTGAAGAGCCCGCTAGCCCGGCGTAGCTTTCCTCGTTTGTAGCTTGGTTGTCAGCGCCGTAGCACACCTGTAGGATGGGTGCCCGACTGTTGGCACAGACGTGACTAGTGCCTGCTGTATTGCGCACACCCCACGAGGCATGGACGTGAAAGGACGTGAGAGGACATGGCGGAGGGGCCTTTGCAACGCATATTCCCAAGGCCATGCGAGGATCTGTTTGGGGCACTGGATTAGGCTGCAGTATCCTCTGTCAACACCCCTTCCTCGGAGAAAATGAGTCCATGGCGTTTTGGGCTTGCTGCACCTTGCTAAGCGCCTTCCTGAGGGCTTATCATGTAGGACAGTGACTCTTCTTTCCCATGGTTAGGATACGGTTCCTTCGCGTAGTCCGCGGAAGCTTTTCTTGCTCTGTAGGGAGGGCAGACCAGCACGTTCTTTCGGCCAATCTGGATCTGTATGCATCGAGTCCACCGTGCCCACCTTGAGATAGGTTATCGCGGCAAGCGAGGAGCGCCTACCGAATACGTACAACTGTGCCATCCGTGTATGCCGCAATGATTGTGATATCGGAGCCCTTGCGCCCCTCCGACATGGAGTTGCCGCCATTGCCACAAGCGTGGAGGTTTTGCCAGTACCTGGATATCCCTTCACAATTAGATGCATTCCTGGGAAGTTATCAATGGCAGCGATGTATCTTTTTTGCGCGTCGGACCAGTTGCGAATGGCAAGAGTCTGGTTGATTGTGCATTGCATGAAATCTTGGAAACTTGGAGCCCTGGGGTCAATCACATGTCTGCATGGGAGTTCTCGTCTTCCGTCTTCGAGCAGAGGTGTAGTGTGGGCAACATGCGCTTTGCATGCCGCCGTCGTCCTATCATCGTGGCAACCTGATCGGCTTGCTACATGCTGACGCACGAGGCCATTATTTCATGCGATATGCGCTGGGACAGAGCCGGGGACAGGTTGCGCTTCATCGTCGGCAGAATGAGTCTGACACTGGACCTCCGCCTCGTCACTGGCATGCGTGGTCTTGCTCTGCTTGCTTGGCTTTATCAAGGTGTCCTCATCACCCTGGGCCTCCTCGCGTGGGCGATGTAGCCGGGGCATGGGGCAATTGGCCGAAAGGTCGGAAGGGGATCTCTTAGGGCCCCTATTATCTGCTTCTCTAGCCTGCGCTCTTCAGTGCTAGGCAAAAATGGATAACTCAGAAGGTGGTAAGGATGGCCTACAACCCATTCGGACAGATTTAGTTTTGGAACTATCGCAGTCCATTCGATACCGGGGCCATCGTTTCAGGCGCCAAAGGTGGGGCTAGAGCGATCATTGGATGGACGAAAAAGATGTTACGGGTTTGTTTCCACTGTCCTTTTCTTTTGTGGTGCTGAGGAAGGCTGACTGAACATTTTGAACGGACAGACTATGATCCTGCCATTGGCCCCTTTGTCATGGACATTACAGAAACATACAATGAACGGAGGACATACTATCGAATTATAGGATACCTGTATATACTAGTACAGTACTAAGGATTGCTCAAAGGGATCAATGGATTGGATGATGCTTATGACACAAAATTGGAGCGGCAAAATATCACCACCGCCCAGTTCGACAATCTGAGTTGGGATTCCACTGGTCCTTCACAGTTTCTACAGTGATCTGGTTATAAGATTGCCGAGTACTCGGAGGTTGGGAATTTACCTGTGACCCCTATCCGGCGAATTCGATCTCTCTCGTGCCGCTTGCATCCAATGTCCACCTTTCCTCGTTCAGCCTCGTCACCGCCATTCGAAGGATATTCATATGGACTTCAAGTGGCGTATCATCAATCCAAAATGCTTGGTGAGCATGTAAGTCCCTAAATCCCTCCATATCGTATTGGATCTGGTATAAGGTGACCAAAACAAGCTTCACAACACTCAGAGCGTGCTCATAATACTGGGTAATATCACCGAGGAGAGTCGAATGGTTCCTGAATGCTTCCATAACCCGGCCCTCTTCACCTCTCACTTTGTTCCATAACCTGACGAGGGGGAAGCTTTGCAGCTCCGACGGGACCTGCCCCTTGCCAGTGCAATTTTCTTCCTTGACAAGGTCTTTTATTGATAGGAGAGTGTTTTCCACCTGTCCGAGGTCTTGGGCCAGAGACTCAGTATGGGTGATGAGACGAGGAAGGCTCTTAACAGTAGAGCTAGTTACAGCAATGAATGTTTTCTTCAAATCAGCCTCGTCCGCAGCGAGCATGGTTCCATTGTGGAAAACACATAATGGATCGACCACAGCAAGCGTCGTTAGGAGAATTGAGTTACGCGAAGCTTGGATGGAGCCAAGTCTCTTTATTGCATAGTAATCACTAGCAATGATAACATCGAGTACTGAGCTGACTTGTGCGCTGAGTTGGGAGAGCTTCCTGTCGGCTGAGAGTCAGTCGCTGTGTCTCGTCCATATAGAGCGGCAATCCATGTAAAGGAAAATTACCTGGGCAAGGGCTTTGTTTTGCTTAAAAGCAATTCCAGCTGGTGTGACATGATCTCTTTGTTATCCAAATTACTAGTCCTCGCTCTCGCTGTGAGGTCCCTCAGAGCATGCTCGTTGCTCTTCATACAGAGCGCTAGGCCTGCACCTTCTCCTGCGTAGGTGGCAACTATACCGAGTTGCCCTTGCGCCTCCGCTGTTTTGGAGAAGCCAATCACCTGTGGTTCAGGGCCTTCATTGGGAATGCAGTATTCTCCGAACACAAAAGCCAGTTGTCGTTGATTGCAGACCACCTCTCTAAATCTGTAATCTAAACACGAAATGGCCCATCCAGTTAGGTATATACTGAGGTAGACCACAAGTATATACTGAAAAGGGTAATGAATAATGGAAAAGGTCCAGCGGAGGACGTTGGAGATGGATTCAAGCAGACCAATGGATGCATCAGTTGGCATTGACGTAATTCCTGATGGGATCCTCGGTCTCGACTTGCGAACGGTTACTTTTTCATCTCCGTTCTGAACCTCAGTCTCACCATGGATATTATCAGCATCCACAAAGTTACTTTCCTGATGGTCACGGATACCACTATGATTTGTGATGCGTGTTGTTGGACCATCGGAAGTCCGTAACAGGTTCGTCTCAAGCATAAATCCATCTGACATTAGCCATGATTGGCACTCAGTGAGGCAGCTTAGCGCGACCAAGCCGGCATTGGTTCCAAGACTACCGGCGAGTGGAATTTTGCTGCAGAATGTCGAAAGAGGCCATATGTGGTTCAGGATAGCCTCTTTCTGGTCGTCGTAGCCCTTTTTGCCGAAGACATTTCTCATATGAAGGAGATTGGTCTTCGCCTTTGCTTTGGAAGGGGCAAAAGAGGGGAAGGATTTGGCGGCACCATCCAGGCATGCGGATATGGCTCTTGATGCCTTTTCTTTTGTGGTGCGGCTACCGGATATTCGAGAATTTTGCCAGTTCTCCGTTTCAAGTCTCAGATTTTTGAAGTATTCCACGAAATCATCATTGCTGGAGGACTTAGGCGACATCTTTCCAGATCGTCTTTTGTTGACATTGGACATGGCGTTACTTTTGTTCAAGACCTCTGAATATTGATTGGTGTTGCTTCACAGTTATAGCGGGAGGATGAGACGAAAGGTAGTTAATAATGGGAAGCGCTTAAGGTCAACCAGTCGGCAGGGCATCAAGGTGATTCAAATACTTGGGCGGCCGCATCTTGTGGCGAATTTCAGTCAAAATTGCTCCTTGAGATTCACATGCAATTAAAGGATTCTGGAAAGAAATCGGAAGACGAGCGGAGAAGATGAACTCTATGTCAATGCGGGGTTACTCGAGAGATCTCTTGATGAACGCCTGTTGTCTGGAACGTATTAGAGCGCGGCGAGCTGACTGAGCATCCAGATTGGCTGCAGATAGGGGCGTGGACTGTAGACCAATCACAGCCCAGAACGGCCTTATCAACTCTGTCCGATGTGAAGAAATACCTCATATACCGTGGTAAAGCAAGCCACGATTCTGTCTACTGGTGGGAGGGAAGAGGTATGCCGAACCTTGAATCACCCTCCCGCCCATGCCGTACGGAAGCATAGCCACGGCGAGTTTCTAAATGTCCTGAAAATCCTTGTCATCTCTGGGGACGTGGACAACCATAAGGTCATTCAGCGACCAGTTTGCCAGGTCTAGGCACTTCCCAGTATCTCATTGCCCCCCTAAGTCTGCTAAGCACACAAGCACATTATGCACCCACTTCTAGGCGTAGCAGTCAGGTCTGGTTGCCGCCATGCTATCATGGGCGTTTTAACTGTTGGCGTGGGGAATATCCTGATGGTGGGACTGGATGCACTAGATGCAATGGATGCACTGGATGCAATGGATACTACAGACGTCGTTGGGTCCGGTGATGCTACAACCCAATCTTGCGACTACAGTGCCGATGACAGATACGACTCTGCTAATGGGCCGCATTTTGGGGGTAAGCAAGACAATTTCTGTCCCTGGCCATATTTTTCTTCTCATGGTTGTGCCACAACATGCAGTTGAGGCTGACGGTGTACAGATACAGCAGATACTGGGAATACAGGAAATGTGGAGAGAGCGGACGAGGTACACTTTACTGGTGACAATGACAGTCCCAACGAGCAAACTAAGTCTGATACTACAACCGACCCCTCCACCGACAATTCCAACGATCCCTCCGTCGACAACAAGAGCTCTCCTGAGCAGCATTCACGTAAGTTAGTCCCTTCCCGCACCTTGCTATATCCTTCTCTCGCATGGAATTAAAAGCATTTTTGCACATTTATCACTCGTTTTTAACACTGGCTAACTTGGCCATGATGTAGCAAACGGCTTGGAAGGAATATACCAACAAGGCAGAGACACTTGGGGCAATCCAGTTGCCCAGGGTAGCTATGGTGGACCTTATAACCCTCAAACTGGCGCACCTGTGAATCCTATAGATGTCCGGTGGCCTTCTGCCATAACGGGAAAGCTATGATTTGACTAGTTAGATGCACAGATTTATTACACAATTTGTGCCATCAGCAGCAGTTTTTATCTATGAAAAATCGGCTCATTCAACATGAACAACAAAGTATGATTATTATTATTATGAGATCTAGGCGAGAATCTGTGAGTAAAAAGAGGGAGAGAGCAAAGAAAATGTTGATCTCAAGGCCCTAAATATGTGCAGCGATTCAAGTAATATGTGCTCTTACACAGCATTAGACTTGAAATTGAGAGGCATCGTTCTCAACGCATTAACGTACCAAGGTTTTCATATCCCTTAGCGACCCTGACGCTTAGTCGAGAAACTTTTGCAGCGAAGGCCAACATACAGCTTATCTATCGTTTCCCGCGGCTTTTACAGATTACCCAGAATGGCTTCCAGATTGAATTGGCGGTAGCGCATCGCGAACTTCTCAGACTCTCCGCTTATAAAATGTCAGACAGCTCCAAAGCAGTCCTGAGCAGACATACAGCCATCGATAACGTTGCTGCCAGTTGAGTTCATGATAGGGAACTTCCACCGCAGGGCGGCACGCAAAGTGTGCTTGTTAGGACCAAGGCGAAAGTCGACGTAGTAGCCGAGGTCTCCCGCTGGATGACATCCATTGAACACGGGCTCTGCTAATTGACACATCAAGGTGGCCATGCTACTTCTCAAAGAGGGAACTGACCCCGTGTTTGTGGATATGTATGAGAGTAGACCCCGCTGCACTTAGCATCCGCGAACGGGCACACCGAGGTGGTTAACCTACTTGAGAAGGGAGCCAGCGTCCAAGCTCAGGATACCTCTGGATGCACGTCGCGCTTCTTTACCTCTGTGAATAAAATCACATGGACCCTAGGGTTGTGGTGGACACCAAGAATCGCTATGGTTCCCACTTTTTGCGGCTGCAAAAAAAGGGCATGAGAGGACCATTGAGTGTTTGCTTAGCGTTGACAGCATCCGTGTCGGCTTTAAAGGCGGTTTCGGTCCGATCGACTAACCAAAGGAGCCGCGCACCTGGGAAAGATCCATCCCTTTCTCCCGCTGCTCACAAGGGAGAGGGCGTTTATGCGCTGCAACACCTTTGCCCAATGGGGTCAAGCATGGAAGTTATACGCCAAAGGTGACCATTTGCGAATGGTTGATAGCACCTTGCCGGCTACCTGCACCAGGAGGCCGTATGGAAGGCTGCCCGGGTGCGGGCGTACTAGCTGCTTGAAATGGCAGCAGCTCAGCAGCTAGCAATTGTAGTACAAGAAGTGTGGCGTCTTGGAAGTTCAGCTTTGCACCAGCCTATCCTTGCAAAGATTCTCGATGCTTTCCATAGTCAGCAAACGTGCTTCATTAGGCATGTGTATTTCTAAAGCATCACAAACACATATGCATACAACAGGTAAACACATCAGAGTAGAAATCGAAGGCTTATCACATCACCACGCACGACGCAAAAGCCAACAACCAAGAAAACGCAAAGGTCGGCCACAACCCGACCATATCCTCTACCACATTTGTTTGCTCTATTAATCAGGATCGAAGAGAGCTGTTTACCGACCACCACACTTCGCAAAGATTTGGCTTCGACCCCTGATCCAAGAATCGTACGCACTCATACCAAAGCGCCAGAAATAGCTGTCGAATCATAGGATATGTGTACATACTACTGAGGATAGCTCAAAGAGATCAATGGATTGGATGATGCTCAGAAGGCAAATTGGAGCACTGTTGAAAGCGTCTCATGACTCAAGGGCCTGGTTCAGCGTGTTACGACGCTGGTATTCAGAGAAATGCGTCTCGAATATACAAAAACAGTGCAGAGTCAAGTCCTCCATGAATCCCCCAGACCTCAGCAGTAAAAAATCACTGCTAAGTTCGTCAATAACTTTGGAAAGCTTCTAGTCGCATGGTTGGTTTAAATGTCCTTTCTTCTGTCCACACCGAGAGGACCTGGAAGATGACCTGGTTAGTATCTCACTTGGGTTGGTATCTCCAAAACTTCCAGTTCGAGCTTACTTACAAGTCATATGCTTGCAGCCACTTATCCTATCTACGCGGTAAAGACATCCTGCGCCAGGGCATGGCTTGCTTGACCGGCGGACCTCTGCTGCCCCCTGACGCTCTTCTTTCCGTCGTTTTATTTGCTCGGCTCGAGCTTCTCTTCTTGCATGTTCTGAAGCCCCTTCCTTTTCCCTGTGCGGTTTGCCCCTTTCCTGCCGTATGTCCCGTTGCTCAACTTCTCTCCCCTCTTCCATTGCTCTAATTGCCCGTGCAAGATGTTCGTCTGCCTGTATTTGTTGTAGAATGACCTCCTCCTTTTGCCTGATCGCTTCCAACTCGGGCGCACCCTGTCTGTCGCGTTCGTCGGCGGCCTCTGGGTGGTCAAATTCATCGCAGGAGAGGTCCTCATGCCATCGCATTCGATGCTTAGAGCATGTCCGAGCTCCGCAATTAGCGCAGGTCATGATAGGGGATTCTGTGCCAGAAGTATGCACCTGGCCTGCATCACATTCCGCATTCGAACAAAAGACAAAGTTGGGATCTGATTGGAGCATTTGCCGCACCCGAAGGTCGTCCATGCGCCGGAGGGTCTCTGGGGATGCCCATTTCTGAATTTCACACTCTGGCATACGCGGCGCGGCATATCGGACATGTATACTTGTTCGATCCATCCACCTGCACGCGTAAGTGATGCGCCAGGCACTGAGTACAGATCTTGTCCTCGACTATGTGTTTACAGGATGATGTGATACATCCCTCGGGAAAGAACATCCGGGGCAGTATCTCCAGGCATGCAATACATTCTGCGCGTACTGCATACGAGAGCTTATCTCTCTCACTGGTGACTTTGTCTGAAGAACCGGCAGACGAGACCGATGGTACAGGCGTCCTGAGTTTGTTCGCACGGGTTGCTAAGTATCTGACTTGCCGATCTGTAGCTATGTGGTATTCTGCGTTGCTGCTATACCAGTGCTGTAGTCACGCCTCGTATCCACTGATTGCTGTTAGCTGCGAATTATGGTCGGGAAAGTAATAGAACCTCAGAACCCAAGAATGCGGTTGCCATGTCACGGGTCGATGGTCGTGCTAAGCTGTTCGAGTAATCAAAAAGCGGAGTTTGAACAACGGCTACCCAGCTATATAAGATTTATACGAGCAAATTCCAGCATGCTAACCCTGACCGTAGGTCCTACCTTCACGGGTAATTTTGGCTGCCGCAACCCGATAAGCACACAACACGGTACTGCGACGAGTAATTGGCAAATCTAATGACTTTCCAGACATCAGCGTGGCTTAGCAGTGTAGGAACCCCAAGATGCACCAAAGTTACGCAGCGGTAATGTTATATGAGGGTTTTTTCTAATAGGGTACCAGTCTTCGGTGACGAAAACGAGTCGGCTATGAGAATTCCCCGGATTTTCGGCACAAACAGCCTTGCTGTACCGGGGCCTGAAATTAGAACACAGTCTATCCAAGAGAATTTCTCCCGTAAATATGAGCTAGGGCGTTTTCATGACGTCGAGGTGGAGGCTGAGCATACAGAGACGAAATTCTATTATGTTACTATCGCAAATATAGAAATCGGTATCTATCTCCTATAGTCTTGCTCATTACATTTTACGATAATCGTTCAGAACCAGGGCTTCTCCCTCTGCCTCATTCGCATCCTCATGTCCACCCGACGAAAAGCCCATCCGATAATCGTTCAGAAAGCAACTATGCCCAAGAAATCAACCTTCTTTCTCCCTCGTCCCCCTTCGTTCCTTCCTACTCCTCCTCCTCCTCCTCCTCTTCTGGGGGCGACATCCTTGTCCGCTCTATCCTCCGCCATACAGCGCTCGCCCTTGTGTCAGGCGGCATCGGCAACTTGTTACCGCAACAGCCGATGTTTCGGACGATGTAGACGTCATAGAAGCGACTGATGCAACGGATATCTCCGACGCCACAAATACACACATATAGCAGCCCAGTGGCATTGGCCAAGTCTATTTTGGCAGTTCTCAAGATTGAATACGACTCAAGGACGGGCGAATATCAAGGATCATGGGAACGTGACGACCATTCCTCAGAGCGGGACGGATCTGCCGCGCTCAAAAATCGAGGCGGTTGTGTTAGTGTCCCTACCAAAATAATACTGTTTCTGTAATATTACCTACGGAGTACTTATCTTAGTAGCCTAGCAGATCCTATCTACTAGAGTAAGAAAATACTCTTTTGTTTCAAAAAAAAAAAATAAAAATAAAAATAAATAAATAAAAATATTTAAATAAAAGCTTTTCAGAGCTATAAAAATCACTAAAATACTTGATTCCAGAGCAACCACGCATATCTGCAACGATGCTTCACGCTTTGAAGAACTTGATAATACTATCGGAACAATTGGAACAGAAGATTCATCAGTACAAGGCAAAGGAAGAGGAAAGGTCAAAATCTCTCCAAACGGAGCAAATGGAGGCATTACAATGACATTGACCAACGTCATGTACGTGCCTGGGATGCTTACCAATATCGTTGCTGCAAGACGACTCAAGCAAGCGGGATACACTTGGGATTTCGACAACAACACTATCAAGGAAGGAAAGAGCACTCTTTTCAAGCTTAAAGACCATCCTTCAGGTTTGTGGGTGGTAGAGCAACCAAAGGATGACGACTATGTCTTTGCAGTTCAGAGATCTGCAAAACCGCTGCTTCAGCAAGGCAGTATGGACCTTTGGCACCGGAGAATGGGGCATACTCATATCGATGCGATTAAGCACTTACCTGAAGCCGTCACAGGCATCAAGATCACTGGTATTAACGTTGATCACCGTAGCAAAGCTCCATGCGAGACGTGCAAGATAAGCCATGCACCTTAATAGATATCTCGAAGGCCCATGATGACTGCAACTAAACTGTTTGAACGCGTACACTTCGACCTAATTGACATGGAACATGGAACCAATGGAGAACGCTAGATTACCTATCTTTATGATAAAGCAACACGAATGCACATCATCTATACTCATATGATTAAAAGCGACTATATCAACGCTGTCAAAACCTTTGTCAACTGGGCAAAGAACACGCATGGCAAGACCATCCAAATACTTAAAAGTGATCAAGAAAAGGCCTTAGGAAGAGAAATCATGAACCTAAGAGCTATAGAAGGCATTGCACATCAGTATTCAGTTAGGGCAACGCCGAACCAGAACGGAGCTGTAGAAAGAGCTGGATATCAACTTATCTTAGATCACTGGCCATTTATTATTCAAGCAACAACCTTTATTGTCAACAGAACGCCCACGCGTGCTCTAAATTGGAAGACACCATGGGAAATCCTCAGCGGAAAGAAACCAGACCTCTCTTGTCTGTATGCTATTGGATGCGTTGCATATACCCGTCAGAAGCAGACTAAGCGTGCAAAGATGGCTCCAAGAGCTTACCGAGGAATACATCTTGGTCCAGTTGCTTCAAATATCTGGAATATCTGAAATCCAAAGACTGCTCGAGTAGAAACAGCCAGAGATGTGCAATTCGATGAAACAAGGATGTATGGTCCCACACAGCCATTCCTAGAGGATCTGTTGGCGGGAAAGAGCGGGTGGCCAGAACTGCAGGGCAGTTAGAGACCGCTTAGCTTAAAAACCTATCCTCTGCTATCTTATTTCTCCTTTACAGCAAAATGCTCCAGCAGACGGGCAAAGGATATGATTTTGACTTTATTGTCGGGTGCACAGGTGACAGCCATATCCGAGTCCTCCTTTGGTCGGAAGCACTGCGCGATTTTGCCATCTGGCCCCGTAGAATGGACAATAGCTAGGCTAGCATCAAATCATTTGTACTGTTCGGGAATGCAACTTTATGGTCCATTCCAGAAACAGCATCATGAGTCTCTTGCCATTTGACTTAAATTCTGTTCCTAGCGATGGGCCATGGATCACTCATTGGCCGGCATGGAAGAGCAAAGGAATACGCCACCTGTTTATGTATTATCGAGCTGCTAACGGGAGCCTCAGACCTAAGAATGGAGCCCAGAAACAGACGCAGGGCTGACTTCGCTGAGCTCTGGTTACAATGAGAGCAGGGTCGGGCGCAAGACATTTCTCTGTGCGCAGTGGGCCTGGTAATAGGCTTTGGCCTGCCAGCCCACGAGCCTGTTCTTTTCTCCTTCGTTGGTTGCCGGGGACGCTCCACCATTCAGGGGGGAACAGCGCACACCAGCCCATGAGGAGCGGTGACAAACCGCTCGAGAATAGGGTACGAGGTCTGACTGGGTAATTCTTCTAGAGTCACGGTGGACGGACGCATGGGGTGCATGTGCCTTTCCTGGGAGCCAACATCATCCCGATCGTATACCGGGTGACGCAGGTATAGCGCCCTCGAAAGCCACGCCACGCGGGCTTTGTCTCGAACGCAGGATCGAAAGATCAAGTCTTGCACCTTGATATCGAATGAGAGCCCAGTCCACGATCGACGCAACGCCGGATGGATTGTCTCCGAAGCACAATCGCCGCCCCCCCCGCCGCGTGTTTCCACCTCCACCTGCCATTCCGCCTTCAAGGACTCGCTGCGAGATGTGCAATTGCACCCCGCCCATGGTAGGCCGCGGCAGTAACCATTCGGGGACCCATTCTTGCTCTACCATTTCTTCATGCGTGCGTCGTCGGGCGGTGAGGTCACTACCCAAGTAGATAGAGCTGCCACGAATGAGCATTCCGAGGGGTAGATTCCGACGTCTAGGGCAACGCGGCCCTGTTGGGATGGAACTATAAGGCATTCAGCGTAGCGGGGAGAGCGAAGCTCGGTAGCACGAAGGATATAGGAGATCCGCAGAGAAATCAGAGAGTAGATGTTGTCGCGAAAAAAAAAAAAAAATAGAGCACAGAAAAGAGAAAGCGGTGACACAGCGCAAAGACGTATTCAAGACAGGTAAGTTGACCAAGGACTTCAAAGACAAAGCCTGGGCAATCAGGTGGCGGAATGGCCATTACTAGCATTTCCAGACCTCGTCTGGCCGATCATGTGTCTGGTCGACACTAATATCTATACGCTTCGCTTCAGGACTAGACACCCGGGCTTGTACTAGGTAGTGTACGCCCTCTTCCTCTCCGTGGCTAGCTTTCCAACAAAGTGAGGCAAGAGGGCGAGATCGTAGATGATTTCCTGGCTGTGGGTGTTATACAAGCCTGGAGAGTCAACGCCGAAGTCTTCGAACCGACTCGGTACGCAGCACTGCCTTGTCAGTCCATTGCTCCCACGCCTTGATGCTAGGTCTAGGTCCCCCATTAACTTCAATCCCAGATGGCCAGCCCAAGTACGTCTACCCTACAGCTGGACTCCTCCCAGCTGCCGGCGCGAGCAAGGGCGGCCGGTCATGAGCTGGATTTCCGGGCACTGGCACTGAATGGTCGGGGTTGAGCCGGAGACCGCCGGTGGGTCCCTTCTGCAAGGGAGAGGACGCTTGAACAAGTACTCCGTAGGTATCTCTCTCAGAGAGAGAGAGGCCGGAGCCACGACACCCAGCTAAGAAACGAGAGAGCCCTCTCATGCAAGTCCCAGAATGGGGCGCACAAGGCTGTGCTTTCTGATCATGGTCATCACCATCATGAGACAAACGATATCATCACCTGGGCCGCGGCTACCTAGCAGCATTGGGGGTTATAGGAGCGTGGCAATGCAGCAAAGCAACCAGACGGGCCTCATTCCTTGAACTGCTCGTATAAAGCCTCTATAAACCGGTCCGTGGTCCTCCTGGGCCTGTTCAAGACGTTCATACTTAGTTTCGTCGATGTCCATGTCAATTTGATCACAATCTGGAGCTTGCGCGATCCCGTGAATCCATCGAGACCGAGGCCGTCGCAGTTTTAGAAGTTGGACGGAGGCTCGCCGTATTCCGCGTGTAGACATAGGTGAGTAGTTCCTTGAGTATTTGCCGTCGTGCTTGCAGTACAGTCTGGTGCAATGATTGATTGGTCCTATTGGAAGAGTCGTGTCCGCCTCCTGCTTCCTGAGGTTCTCGATTCCATCACGAATTGCCGGTTTGTCCGTGCGGGAACAACGTATCTATCTGCTTTGGCTGTCTCGGTAATATCGACACAGAGAACCGCGCATGTGGCATTGGTGTGGCCCACAGAGGTCGTTCGGGGCTCGTCAAGGAAGGTGAGTGTTTGCGAGTAATATGGGATATGGATTCCGTTGCCATCCCACTCTGATCGCCCGTGTGGGGGAATATCAGCATAGTCTAGGGACGTGGAAAAGGAACTGGAACTGCGAACCGACGGATGCCATTGCATTAGGACTCGGGGGGAGA